ACCAATGAATATAAGACGATACTCAAATACGAAACAAGAATTATTGAAGCCAGTCTAATTTAACAGAATCGTCACAAACAAAAGTGGAATTAACACATTGAACACATTTACAAGTCGTAAAGTTATGAAACCTGAACGAGTCATATATCAAAAACATATCGTAACCAGCAACCAATTGAGACGTGAAATTAAACCCAATAAACTATTTCACAAGCACGAGTCAAAGCGGTCGATCTGCAGCCGCTTAGATATGAGGTGGAAGAATTTGAAAACATATACATCATAAGTCTATTAAAGCTAGTGTTTTTGGTTTATTGTTTTTTTAATTACGTCAAACATATTGGTTACAACAAAAATATTTTTGATTGTTTTGTTTCTTTTTTTTTGTTTTGATTATTTTTTGAAATTATTTTATTTTTTCAAATCCTTTATTTTATATGTTAATTTTAAATATAATGAACGCAAAATATTTATATTAGAAAAAAGCATAAAATCTAAACGCTCAAGTATGTTTCGGCAGGTGGTACTAGGTTATAGGAAGCGGAGTAAGGAAGGAGCACTTTAAGGGAGTGCTTGTATTTGTTAAAGATAAAATAAAATAAAATAAAATAAAACAAAACAAAATAAAATAAAATACGAAAACCTAAAATATTTGTAATAGCCGATTTTATTAGTTCAAACTAAACAGAACATAGATAACAGAATGTATTTGATTCGTATATTAAACCAAGGGTAGAATGTTTCGTACTACTTTATTATCGTGTGGTTATTTTTAGCAATAGAACTGAAGGAGATAATTATTTTGAACTACTTTTGTATTATAGGGGCTAGAATTATCAATTTAAAAGAATCTCTTAATTTAAGCAATAATTTTCGTAAATAAAGGTCTAACAAGATTTCATTTCCACAAACTTTATTCATTCAGCAGTAGTTCCTGTATAGCTCTGGATTTTAGAGGCTATTTCTTGGAACTGTCATTTCCAGGAAGTTTTCTCTTTACAAGAATTTAACCCAGATTTCTACATTCAACTTGCGAGTTGTTGGTAAATTTTTTTAAGCTGGACCCTGTAGCTGAAAGGATGGGATATAATAGTATCAATAGTAAATCTTTATCTACAATTGATTCATATGTTCCCAAACACGCAAAGAGTACATTTGTGAATTCAAAACTTAATAAATAATAAAAATCTAATAGATTTGAAGATAGTGCAAGCTTTAACTTTGTTGGAGGCTTTAAACTTCGTTATTAGCTTACCATTATCTTTGCTTAGCGTATATAAACATATTTTCATTTGTGTTCATCCCTTGAATATTCTGTAATGTGTTATTAGTTAAAAGGTATGCATAATGCAACACATTTATTTTAAATTGCCGTTGATAACGATACATTCTAATGGAGGTGCGTCCACGCTAGTTAAAGCCTGTTCTGCTCCACTAGCCGAGACATCACCACTACTTCGTCCTTTCGATGTGTAAGTGGCTCAATACGTGTTGTCTACAAAATTGCTCTTGTTTACCTAAATTCAGCACCAGAATAGGAGAGTATTTAAGGATGTACTACCAGACAACTTAAAATTCTAATCTACATTTAATAATTACATATCAACAACACTCCTTGTTTATCACCAATATCGTAGTAGTTAGTTTGCAATATAGCTTTTACTAGATTGAATTTTCTTTATAAGACAAGAAAAATCAATATAAATTGTCTCTTTTTTTATTTTCCTAATCATATTTATGTGTACCCTTTGTTGACTTGAATAATATGAAAAAAAATAAGAAATAATTTCAATTCCACATTAATTAATTTAAATTATCAGAAGGCTTAGAAATGGGATCTAAGAAATCGTTGGTTTTATTTACACACAATCAAACGTGGTTTTATTGGTTAATTTCAAATGATTCCAGGTTAATATTGGTAACAGGGTACCTTCTATGACATATCCTTTCAAAAGCAACTTGGAATGGATTCCCCTTTAAAGATAAAATCCTTTTTTCAATATTAGTTGTCAAAAAAAAGCCTATTTATTACAGGTAATATTTTCGGCGTGAACCTTAAAAGAATGCGGGATCAGAAAAAAAATAATAATCGAAAAATAAAAAATTTCTTCTTCTCGTATTATTTTTTAACGAAGAAAGTGTTATGCAGGGATAAACCCAACTGCAGATAACAACAGATTCATCAATCGTTTTATGTCCTCTCTTTTTGTAAAGCCAAGCTGTTCTATGAATAGAATTGGAGTAAGTAGTTAATTATAGAAATATTAAACAATTTCATATGAATGGCAATAATAAATAATACTTTGAACTACATAAATTGAGCTAGTATATCATCATGCGATAAATGTATTGGGGCTCATCAAATGTGTTAATTTTATTAATTAATAAAATTAATTAATTAATAGAGTTATGAGATTAATAATAATAATTCAAATAGGTTATGGATGAACCAAATTAAGTTATCGTGAAAATCAAAGCCTAAATCACAGATGTAATTAATTATATTTTGAATATTTCAATGTGGTGAATATGAATCTAAATCTACATTATAAACATGAAATCTTATCTATAATAAATATGAGTTGTAACAAACTGCTGATATTTAATTTTATCAATGTGTAATTTAGGAATTGAGCGCCAGACATTTTAAATCTCCGTTATATTTTACGAAAACATACACCCCTCAAAATAAAAAGAAATACTTATAATACTTCTCGACGTCATACATATGCACCCACATCCAAATACTCTCACACACACCCACATTCATTCGCACATACTCTCATAATTTAAACAAATAATAGTTAAAATACATACAGTTCTCCGCTTTGAACGGTTACGATCAATTGGAGTTATGTCTTGATTTTGCCGTACCAGTTTACCCCAACCTAAGGATCTGAAAATTACGAACCAACCTACATGCGAATCTAGCGCGTAATCTAAAGTTAAGGGGAACCGTACTTAACCAAGAGTAAGTTTTTGCCTCGATATCTGCTTTTATATCAAGATTATCATAATCTAAAAGATGACTGGGATCAATTATGATACATTTTGTACTGACATTATTTTGACATTATAAGTAGAAACATCGTTGCCACAAGCAAATGCGGGTGCTCAAAGAAACGAAAGGCAAATTAATTACTTGCATATATTTTTAAGATTTATTTTTTAGAGTGGACACTACCATGCAAGATAAATTATCATAAGCTGATATGTTATTAGGAGAATAATAGAATAGAAAAAATGGATTATATGGTATATTTATCAAAGCTTCTAACCTACTTGGTAATGAAAAATGTGTTAAGCATAATACTAAACCTAGTTAATCCAAACATTAGAAATCTTCACTTTAATCATGATTTTGGGTTTAATTTTTGAAATTATTTTGCAAGAAGATTGATGAAAAAGGAAAATTGTTGAAATTAAAGAATTCTCATAATTAGCCCTTGTAAAAACAGAGTAAATTAAAGGTCACACCATATAGTCATCTTTCCAAATGTTGATCATATCAATAAAAAGAAGAGTGAAAGAAATATTGGCTCTTAAACCCTCGATATTATTGAAGAAAATATTATTAAAGAAGAAAAACCGCTCAAAAAAATATAATCTGTGCGGTGCACAACGAATACGAAAAGTGACAGGTCACAATCGAATTCAAAATAATTTATGTCGAGGACCCCTACATTCTAAATAAATTCAATTATTATGATATAAGGAAAGTTTAAGAGAAAATTATCTAGATTTATATAACTAAATAGTTATTTCTTTTCTAGTTTTAACGAAATCACCACTTTTCGCTATGTCTTTCTATTAACTGGGCTGATAAATGTGTGATCCATTTATTTGTTTATAGCCACTACTAATTGTAATTTCAACATCGGTAAGCACACGACTTCAATTTTTCAACAGCATAGAGGATGTTATGTTTTTCGAAGTTATAAATGAAAAGAAGTTATTTGAAAAATATACAATCAATAAAATAAATAAACCGTATTGATATGTTAGAATAGATGAAAAGCTGTCAGAGTTCGGGAGCTTAGAGTTCTAGCACAGCTTTTACTCGCACACGCATTATATGTGGAGAATAAGTTTAAGTTTATTTTTTATTCTTACTACTGTAGCATAAATATACCTTTAAAATTAAGGTTGTATGACCTCCAGGTCGGTTTCCTTTTATAGTAACCCTGTTTTTACACTTTTTAGTAACCTTGAAATAAGTCATATTATTTTAAAAAACTATGCTGCTCATGTCTTATATATATATATATGTCCATATTTTCATAATACGTATATGGAGTGATAACAATACGAAAACGTTTACACAGATGACCAATGTACCATAGATACTCCAAATTCAACCCTGTGAGGCCCGTCTAATAGTCAAATTTCATATTACAGATTAACCTTTATTTCAACATTTCTTTTGTTTGGTCTCAAATTTCATTATTTCCCTTTTGGGTCGTGGTTTGTTTATGCGGGCCGAATGCCCATCACTTAAATTGTCTAACTATTCTCCTCCTCCTAACAAATTTCGGTCCTGTTCTTTGTTACCCCTTTCAAAAACTGACATTGTTCCACAATATACATAGAAACACGTCAAACGCATAACGAACAATTTTTGTTTGAATCTCATGATCGGAGGCCATGTCCATTTTTGTTTCTCATCTCAATGTACAGTATTTATTTTTTTATTTTGTATTCCATCTCTCCACAGTTCCAATTGAAATTCATGTTTCCGTCATAAACTTTACTATTTTAAATTTAAGATGGACATCTTTTAAATACATGTATTTCATATAAATAACCATGTATATTTCAGGGAATGTGATTTTTCATTTTTTGATTCTGTTTCGTTTTTTGGATCTTCTTTTTCTATTTTCTTCAGTTTGTTTTCCAGTTTGTTCTTTCATCCAGTAAAACTTTCATCAACCCTTTTCAATTAATCGAAAACTACAAAGGATTTCATTCTTAAAAGTTCAAATTCCTGAAATATTAACATAATGGCTCTCAATCTTGTCAAATACGATCTTGCTTCTGATCTCGGTGCTGCTGCTAGTGCTGTAGCCGGTGCCGTCAACACTGCCACTGCAGGCGCAGCTTCTGTTTTAGGTGATGCCACTTCAGCTGTTGACTCTGCTGCTAATGTTGCTACTGCCGGTGCTGCTTCTGTCTTTAGTGTCGCCACTGCCGGTGCTGACTCTGTTGCTCATGCTGGTGCTTCCGGTGCTGCTTCACTTTTAAGTGATGCTACTTCTGCTGGTGACGCTGGTGCCTCTGATGCTGCCTCTCTTGCTTCAAGTCTTGATGCCGGTGCTCATAGTGACGCTTCCTCCGCATTAAGTGCTGCTGTTGCTGGTATTACTTCTGGTACTTCCAGTGCCGCCACTAGTTCCGGTTCATCCACCACTTCTTCCGCTGGTGCTTCTCCAATTGGTGGATCATTTGGTGGTGTTTCTGGTTCCTGGAAATCCGGTACTGCCATTGCTGCGGTTATTGGTTTCACTTTCTTATTTAGTGTCTTATAATCAATTGTCTAATTTTACAATTTAAAAATAGAAACATTTTTGTTTATGCCTATTTATGTTAGTTTAGACATTTTTCTTTATTGTGTGTTATACTTAGTTCTTTCAAATAAATAACAATTGAATATTGTATTGGGTGCAATTGTAAACATTACATAGCGTGTAGGATTATGTCAAAATTTTGTTAGCGACTGCATAGAACACCATCGCTAACATTTATAAAATGAATTACATATTTTATTCACAAGGTAAAAGCTATATAATTTGAAAAAAAGGTATCAGAAATATGTCATCAGGTGAGGTTGTACAACAATCTAAGACTCTCATGGATCGACCAGCTCGATTGCAAGTTGATCCTGAGTCAATAGCTGAGGATGATAAACCACCACAAACAGGAAATGCATTTAATATATGGTATTTGAAATGGTCTGGAGGTGAATCTTCATCCAAGAGAAATCAAATCAAACTGAAATTTAAAGTAAATATCAAACAAGATACAGGATATACAAGAGCTAAGTTATCAAGTCCAATATGTTTATTTTTTGCTCGTGGGTGTTGTTATAGAGGTAAGAAATGTCCATATTTCCATCGTATACCGTTGGATGTTGATTCATTTTTACCTACTCAAGATTGTTTTGGTCGTGATAAAACAGCTGAATATAGAGATGATATGGATGGAGTAGGATCATTTAATAAAATCAATCGAACTTTATACATTGGAGGGTTACATATGAAAGATAATATGGAAAATAAAATCATTAAGAATTTTCAACCTTTTGGTGATATTGAAAAAGTTCGGGTATTATATAATAAATCGTGTGCATTTGTAACTTTCAGGTTAGAATCAACCGCTCAGTTTGTTAAAGAAGCAATGGCTGATCAATCGTTGGATAATGGGAATGAAGTGTTGTACATAAGGTGGTCAAATGAAGATCCAAATCCTCATGCTCAAAGACAAGAAAAGAGAAGATTAGAAGAAATTGCTATTAATACTGTTAAGAATCTTCTAGAATCGGTTCAAGATAGTGAAAATAAGAAACGGAAAGTTGAAATTCAGGTAGAAGAACCTGAAGATGAAGAAGCTGAGTCTGAGAATGTCCATGAGATTAAACAAATAGAGGCTTCTATACCAGTTAATCATGGTATAACATTCAATACAACTTCATTGGAAACTTTGTCAAAACTACGAGCTAAGCAAATTGAAAAAGAAACTAAAAATGCTGTTGCTAATGCTATTGGAGGTTATTCCAGCGATGATGATGATGACGATGCCTAATGATTTATGAACTAAAATAATTTATATTTTATCTATGTAACAATAATATATAATGATAATAATACAGTATTTAATCTCTTAAATTTTGAGATTGAGTAGCCTTCAATAACCAATCAGGACACTTCTTTCCACTTTTACTTAAATATTTCTTTAAATCTAAAAACACATCCTTATTTGAATCATCAATAAAAGTATATGCTAACCCAGTTTTACCAGCTCTACCAGTTCTACCAATTCTATGTATATACTCTTCAAATTTAGTAACCATTTGAAAATTAACTACCAATGACACATCAGAAACATCAATACCTCTGGCCGCTACATCGGTAGCGATTAAAACTCGAGATTCATGATTTCGAAAATTATTAATAGACCATTCTCTTGATTCTTGATTCTTTGATCCATGAATCACCACATTATCTTTCCAGCCACTTGCAGACAACCTTGTGGATAAAGCATCACAGATCTTTCTATAATTGGCAAAGATAATGATGGAAGTAATATCATGATATTGTTGTTGATGTTTATTTATAACAGTTAATAATTTAGCAAACCTTTGGTCATCTAATTCTTGACCCCCATCATTAGGAGTAGTCGTCAAATATTCAAATTCTTGATTAATACTATCATTTGCTTCGCCAGCATTACCAATAGTTATATAAGCAGGGTTGATTAAATAATTCTTACTTATTTTTTCAATAGCAGTTGTAATGGTAGCTGTAAACATTAATGTTATTCGATGATTAATATTAAAAATTTTAGAATCAATGGTTGATTTTAATTGATTTTCAGTAGGTAAATATTTAAAAATTGAATTCAAACTTGCTTCAAACCCCATATCAATCATTCTATCTGCTTCATCCATGATTAAATGATAACATTTACCCAAATCTATAATATGTCTCTCTAATGAATCAATTAATCGACCTGGAGTAGCCACTACTATATGAACCCCACCACCATTTTGAATTGAATTGATAGTTTCTTCATATTGATGACCTCCAATTATACATATAACATTAATACCTAAATCTTGACAAAATTTATTAGCTTCTTTTGTAATTTGTAAAGCCAATTCTCTAGTAGGAACCAATATAAGACTTAAAGGTTTATTGAATTCATCTTGTTGTTTATGTTCATATTTGAAATAATTATCATCTATATTTAATAAATAAGTTAATAAAGGAATTAAAAATGCTAAAGTTTTCCCACTTCCAGTCTTTGCAATCCCAATAATATCTTGATTATTTAAAGTGATTGGAATGGAGGCCCGTTGAATTGGGGTTGGATTATCATATTTCAATTTATATATAAGGTCTATGATCTTACTGGGGATTAACTTGGGAATCTCATCCCAATTACGTAATGGTTTAATATCATTAATCACATTTTTAGAAACTATATTATAATCTTCTTTGAAAATCCTCCAATCTCGAATAGTCATCTCATCCACTGTTTTATCAGTCCAATGTTTATCACTGATGATAATTTCATCTTGATTTGAGGTCCGTTTAATGTCTTGGAAGATCAATGGTTGATAATTATTTGAAGTATCTTCCCCTTCATCCCAATCAAAATTAAACTTTGATTTCTTCCTCTTTGTAGTTTTGTCATTACTAATAGTTATAAGAGGTGATTCTTTTTTCTCATTCTCTTCTTCATCATGATACTCTACTATTCTTTTCTTTCTTTCAATTTGTTGTCGATTCTTTTCATCTTCATCTGCTTGTTGTTGTTTAAGTTTCTTCTGTATAGCTAGTTTTTCACGTTGTGCTTTGGATAAGAACACAAGCTTTGGTGCACCATTTATTCGAGTGATAGGCTTGCTGGTGAAAGCATCATCATCAGACTCATCTTTAAGTAGATCGTCAATCGATATCGGTCGCCTACTCATGATCAAACTTAATCAGTTTCAAACCCTATCATCATCACATTGTAATTCAAATCTTTTTAATCTATACAGACTATTTGGTACAATGCGCACGACTTTTCAAATTTTGGATAATTTTTCTGGGGACAGCAGGAAAAGGCTGCAAAGTACAATTATGCGGCAAAACGATTTCAACAAGACCCAAGACCAAATCTGAATTTCACTCAACTTAACTTTAAATTAAACTTAATAACCACCCCTTATCCACGAGTATCAAATTCATGGTATATTCTCACAACGTGGATATGAAACTTCAAGAGGTGGGTGAAATTACGTATACTTGAGAACAAGTGAATTAAAGTTGGATCAAGTCGAGGGAAACATACAATGAGTCAGGAGGAGTTGTAATAAGCGCTCAGAATACAATGATCAGGGGATGAAAATCTAATTATGAAAATCAATTGGTGATACGATATTGTTAAGTATATGTTTGTATAAGTCTAGATTGAAGTTGTATGAGGTGCTATATATGATTGAAAAACTATAAATATCCCAGTAATCCTCTCTGTTTTGCATAATCTTTTTCTTCTTTTTATTCAGTAAGACATCGATAGATTTCAAACAACAACAACAACAACAAACAACAAACAACAAACAACAAAATGGCTAAAGGAGGTTCAGACCAATCACACAACACCAATAGAGGAACATCAAGCGGAGGTCACGTCTCCAGCTCTGATCACTCCACTTCATCCAACAATCATGGAGTTCAATCCCATACCCATACCACTGGGGTCAATCATTCTGACGGTAAAGGGTCTTCCAAGGGTGTTTCTAGCTCGACCCACCATGCTCAACAAGCTACTGGTGATGGTCGTACCACATATGTTGATTCCAAGACTGTCACTCATACTGAAACCAAATGAGTTAAGGCGATCACGTTTGTGTTTTTTCAACTCTATATATTAAGTAGAGTATATTGATAGTTAGGTTTATAATAAACGATTCTAACTCCATTAAAGTCTGTAATTAATTAATATATTTTGTCTATTAAAAAAGTATACAAATTTATATATAAAGTGTCCCCTTTTAAATTGTTTTTGGTTGGATAAAAAGAATTTTTTGATAAATAAAATAAAATAAAATAAAATAAAATAAAATAAAATAAAATAAAATAAAATAAAATAAAATAAAATAAAATAAAATAAAATAAAATAAAATAAAATAAAATAAAATAAAATAAATAGATAAAATAAAACAAAATAAATAAGTAAAGCAAAGTGGTAAAAGTTAAAGTGATTGAGTTTTTTTTATAATATAGTCTTTATTTTTGAAATATCCTACACATTAAAAATAAATAAAATAAAAAGCAGTCTATTGAGAATCACCAAATGGATCAAATTTTGGATTAATTGAAGTATTAGTCGTTGTTGATGTAGTTGTCGTATTATTATTAGTTGATGTTGTTGAAGTCGTCGTAATTGGAGCTGGGGCTGGGGCTGGGGCTGTTGTTGTTGGATTTATATTTGTTGAATTATTAATTGAAACTGTATTAGTATTAAATCCATAAAAATTACCTTCAATTTCATTATTTAAATGTTTAATTAAATTAAGTAAATTTTTCAGATGGAAATAATTTGGTAATGATAAATTATCAAATTCATTAATGGAGAAATTTAAAATTTGATCATTAGTTAATTCATATTCATGAGGAATAAGATCATCATCATCATCATTGTTGTTGTCATCATCATCATTAGGTCTATAATTTTTATCGTCATCATCCTTAGAATCATCATTCTCTTTCTTCTCTTCTTTATAATTTGTAACATATAATTCTGGTTTATTATAAGGTAAAACAGCACATAACCAAATTCTAGTTTTATAAATTTTAAATAATTCTTTAATTAATCCTCTAAAATCAATTCTTTTAAAATTAGCATAATAATAAAAGATTAATTTTTTAAAATCAGATTGATATTCAACATTAATCAAGGATAAATTCGATTGTAAATTTAATTCTTTAATTTTATTAAAACAAGTTATGAATGCTTTCTTTTCTTCTAAGAATTTGCCACTAATTTTATGAATTTCCTTGGGTGTAGCAAATCTTAATACTTGTTTAGTAGGTAATGTGATTATAAATTCATTATCTTCATTCAGATGACTATTTATAATTTGAGAAGCATTTAATAAAGTTGAATGAGTTCCATTAATCTTTGAACTTGGATTATTCCCATTATTATTATTATTATTATTACCATCTAAAATAGTTAAACTTTTTAAATGTTCTAATTTTTTAAGGAAATTAAATAAAATAGCAAAATTCAAATTAACTAATGGTTCAATAATCATCACTAAATCTTTCCCTCTATCACCATCAACTATAACTAAATCATTCTTTTGTAAGAAAATATTGGAATTATTAGGATAGGATAATAAATCAAATTTTCCATTTTTATTTATAACTAAACATAAAATTTTATGATTGAAAGTTAAATTATTTAAATTTTTAATAAATGTAATTAATTTAATTATAATGGCATTATTTAATAATTTATTAATTTCCAATAAAATTTCATTAGTTAAAGTTGGATTTTGAAAATAATTAATCGTTTTAAGATAAAGATTTTTTAAATCAGATGAAGCAATGATATATTGATCTTTAAGAATTAAACCGTGTTCTAATTTAACTGATTGATTGGAATTATTGTTATTGTTATTGGTAGTTGGTTTGGAGTTGGTGGAAGGACCCTTTGATTGTTGCTGCTGTTGCTGTTGCTGTTGTTGATGAAGTAAAAAGGATGGATTATTACCCATGGATAAAGGGGGAGGAGGATTATTAAATAAAAAGGAGTTACCTTGTTGTTGTTGCTGTTGTTGCTGTTGAGGTTGTTGTTTTTGTAAATTTGGAGGAGGAGGGAAATAATTATAATTTGATTGGAATTCAACTAATTGACTTGGTCTTCTTTGTTGAAAATCATTATAATTTGCATTTAGATTGAAATTAGTAGAGAAATTATCATTTAATTGATCTAATTGATGATTAAGATTAGGGAATTGATTTGATTGATTTTGAAATGATGATGAATTGTTTGAATAAGATGTGGTTGATGATGATTTTGAATTATTGAAAAACGTTGCTGAAGGACTTGAAACAGGTAATTGAGGAGGAGATTTAAAGAATTGAGATTGTGGTTGTTGTTGTTGATGTTGTTGTTGAGGAGGAACAACTTGAGATTGAGGAATTGGTTGATTAAATAATGGAAATGATGAAGATTGTTGAGCTGAACTTCTCGTGAATGATTCTGCAGCATAAGAAGGTCTTCTTGAACTAATAGTTCCAATTCCACCTTGTAATTCCAAAGGTAAATTAAATGAATCTAAATTTGTAAATAAGAATTCATTAGCATTATTTAATGGACCTGAAGTAGGAGATTTATTAGATAAATTATCGGATAAATCTTGAGAATCATTAGAAGATTCTTCTAATGAAGATAATTTATTGAATAATAAAGTATTAAAATTATGATTATGATTTTGATTTGAGTTAAGATTTTGATTTTGATTTTGATTATTATTATTACCTTGATTATTTGGTATATTACTAGTAGATGATTGTAAGAAATCAGGATAATTGAAACTACTCATATTGGCATTAAAAAGCAAAAAAAAAGGTGGGGAAATATATGATTATTATTTTTTAATGAAATTAGGGTATTTATTTTCTAATATGAATTGATTGATATATTTCTGTTATTCCCTTATATGGTTTAGTTTTTACTCTTTTTAGTAGTAACTTTACAGGTTATAGATGATAGTATATTTTTTTTTATAGTAGTGGATTGGTTAGGTTTATTTTTGGGGAAATGAAATTTTTTTTTTTACCGTCTATTTGAATTTTAAATTTAATGGGGAATTAAGAATCGTATGATAAAGCGTGATTGATCTGGTATTTGTTTATTTATGTATTTGTAAATAATAGTAAAAGGTGTATAAATAGATTGATTATGGATTGATTAATGGGGTATACATATGATGGTGATGGTGATGGTGATAAGTTTAGATTGATTGATGTGATGTGATGTGATACGTGTTGCTTCTGATGGATTGTTGTCAGTAAATTTAAAGCTGAAATTAGTGAGAGAGTGAGCGTGAAAGTTAAACTGAGTGGGAGTGGGAGTGGTGGGGAAAAAGGGTGCGATCTATATGAGTCTATAAGTGGTGATTGGTTAAGTTTTGATTACTTTGGAATGATGGATGGATGGATGAATGGATTGAAAGTAAGTAAGTATAACTAACCAAATGTAACTGATATGTTGAAGTTAAACGAAGAAAGAAAGAAGAAGTAGTTGTAATAGTTAATTAAAAAGAAGAAATCAGTATTTTAAAACAAAACAGCAAAAATTTAAACAAAAAAAGGTTAAACACAGAAAAAAAAAATTGAGAGTTGTGGGTTGTAAAATAACTCTCTCTCTCTTTCTTTCTTTAACTATGTGCACTCTCCTTGTTACAATAAATTATCTGATGGTTATAATTACTATTACCACTACCAACTACAGCAGCAACTTCTACCAAACCATTTAACAATCTCAACATTGTTAAACTTAATACTTTATATGATATTAAACTACTGATATTAACTCAATTAAGTAATATTCTCTTATTCTTATCATCATTTATATTCAAATTCATAATCATAAATCCGCTAATAATAATAATTATTATTATCACTGACTATTAAAGTTAACCGAATTCATTCATCATTGTTACAGGCACACTACTACTGGTTATAACTAGTTATAATTTCTAACATTTTAACCGTGACATATCTAAATTATACATTGTTTATTATCATCATACTATGATAATAATAAATACCGTGATTATAAGTAACTAAATATAAAACTGAATGATCATATCTTGCCTTACTTTCTTTGTTTCTTTATCCCTCTAAAGGTGGGGAGGAGTATTTATTTATTTACTGAGTGGGTTAATTTTTTTATTTTATTTTTGGTAGTATACAGGAACAACAGAGAGGCTAAGAAAAAAAAGTCTGGGGTAAAAAAAGACTAAACGATAAACGAAAATAAATGTGAATGTGAGAATTTGTAACCAACCAGAAATGATATTTTTAACTATGGAGAATATACCACCAAGTTAGTAAACTAATACAAAACAAAACAAAATCATATAATAATCAAATAATATTTATTAAATATTCCTGATACCTAATACTATACACTTTAATGATAAACAAAAACATTCAACTAAGTAAGTTTTTTTACTTAGTTATGTTTAATTCTAATAATTTACACTTTAAAACCCCAACTGCAATTGCAACTGCAACTACAACTGCAACTGCAACAACATTACCAATTTAATGTTTAGCAGTTTTAGCATATCCACAACCTGCTTTAGGTGGATAATCATCATCTTCAACATCACTATCAAATGATTCACAGGTACACCAATGTTCCTTTGGTGTTATATCCATCACTTGAGATTTATGTTTACCACATCCTGTCCAACTTTTATGTTGACAAATTCCACAAATTTCTGTCTTGCACATTGTTAATTAGTTAATAATTGATTGATTGATTTAATAAATAGTAGTAGTTAAGTAGTTTTATTAATTAAAATAATAATGATCTGTAAATAAGTTCTGGTTGAATTTTACAATTTTGATAAATTTAATCCCCCTTTTATATCTTTACTTCTTATCTATACGGTATGGAATTTAATGTCCGGAGTATATTATATATGTCCCCCTCGGATAATATCGTAACAACACAAAATAATTAATGAAAAAGGTTAATCAACGAGTCACAACCACAATTGAAGTCAAAGTCAAAGGTCAAATAATTCAATTGAATCAAAAACAAATATTTAATGGTCTGATTTAAAATTTATTAACCATAAGCTATTATTTATACTTTTTTAATGACAACTAAGTCATTGAATCATTTCAATTTTTGAATATGATTTTACTATGAAACATTTCTCCTAATTCAATTTAAATCTAGTTGATTCCATCGGATTCCCCAACCCATCCCTTAACTCTCATCCCTTAATCATTCATTCGTGCCGTTACAATTACTATGATTATTTTTAGTTGCTATTTTTTTAGGGTGAATTCGATTTTTTACGGTCCGAGCATAAAAAAACTGTCTTACGATAACTAAAAAAAGGAAGTTCAGCCTGAAGGTCTCACTATGAGAAATGAAAAGATCATTCAAAAAAAAATGTGCTCTCTCCCTGCGAGTGTCTTCCTCTCCCTTAGCCCGAGGTATCATAACAATTATCAATACCACAAACTGATATAAATCTTGTACCTTTTTTTAAATTATGGGTGAATACTGTTTGATTACTATATGTATTAACTTAGTTAGTTCCGATATTTTACGTTTCTGTGATTCAATTATTCATCCCTTTAAACTTTCAACTAACTTTCTTGATTATCTCCCCAGGTTTGGGTTTACCACTATGATTGATTCATTAAGAATATTCTATCTCTATAATTTAAACCACCTAATTCTTTTTTTTTGAATCATCCATTTTTTATTATCTTTCAATTTTATGAATCGTAACTATAATCATAAGTCATCAAAGAATAGTGGGGAATAAATTTACTAAAACGTCTCTCACTGTTCCATTGATTTCCCCAACATTCAATTTATAACCAAAAAATAAATTTCGATAGAACTCCATCTCCCTATCTTTCTCTATCTCACTCTCCACTTCCATAGTCATCATCATGACAATAACCTTTTTTCCAGGCTTATCTAAAATTATCCTTTCCTTTCACTTTCAAAACGTCAATCATTACGCCGTCTGGTCTGTTTGGGTGGGTGCTCTCTCCACATTTACTTCCCATTTAAGTAATTCCCCACCAAGTCAATCTGTAACTTATTATTAAAAATCTAAAAATAACCTTCTCTTTGATTAGACAGTGTATTATTCCTTTGTGTTTAGTTTTCATCTCATTGTTGTTGAATATATACTATTCCAGATGTCAATTTTAGTCTGGTTATAATTATATTTTTTTGCAACTTTAAATCTTGACCTGTTTATTAAACTATATTGAAGTGGACCACAATGGATCCTAATACGTATTTTATATATACCACTCTACTTTACGACGGAGATTTACGGCTGTCTCGCCAATAAACAGTAATATAACTTGACTTAATTCTACTTTTGAATAATTAACTTTTTTACCAAAATATAACTCAACTATCCTAATTAATTCATCAATATTATTATCACGAACTCGAAGAAAATCTTCCGTAAATTTAATATGGATAATTTCTATATTAGAAGGTTTATCTCTTTTAAAATTAGGTATTTCTTTGAATTCCATTGAAGCAATCCTGGAAAAATGAACCTCTTTCAAATTTTCATGAGAAATAGTTGGTAATAAAATATCAAGATTATCAAAGGTCAGGCCGTATATAAATAATATTTCTAAATTTATCGGTAATTCAATCGTTGGTGAAAAATATTCAATCGGACAATTCTTAATACTGATGCTTTTTAAAAGTGGAAACTGTAACGGATTTTTAAATAATGGCATGGTTTCATCAATGCTATGAATTTGGCTTTTGTCGATGGATATAATTATCAAACCAGGTGGAGGTATAAAATTATGAAGATTATCAATACCACAATCTTCAAAAATTATGTGTCTTAATTTTGGAAATTGACTGAAATCTAAATTATAATACAGTTCACCAGTATTATAACGTCGAATTGCTAACCCTTCTAACATCGATTTACAATTTTCAAAATTGAAATTATTTAACGGGATGGGTAATTTACAATTAATCAATTGAAACTCGATTATATTTTCCGGGATAATAAAATGATTTCTATTGCCTTTGATTTCCAAGTCAAGGCTAATTAAAACTAATCGTGTTAATGAAGTTGGAAATTTAAAATCTTCATCATCAATTACACCATTCTTACCCCATATGTTTAGTTCAACATCAAGGATTGATTTAGGTATTTGACGAATAATACTATAAAAAGATTTAACCATTACGAACAACTTGATTAATGTGGATGGTAATTCACAATCTTGTATTTCATTGAAAGTAGTCGGAAGACCTAGAAGAGTTAGATCCTTTAAATTCATTGGCCAATCTTCACTTGAATTGATTCTTACTTTACCACCAAAGTATGAACTTAATACCAATTTCAAAATATTCCTTGGTAAAGACTTAATATGAAAGTCACTGTGAGAACTTAATCTAATATTAAGGGTTTTTAAATTATTAAATTTTAAAAGATCTTCACCAAGACGTTCATCAATTACCAAGTGATGTAAAGTATTAAATAAATCAGTAGAATAGATTACTTTAATATCCGTCCATGAAAGCAACTTAAGTTGGTATAATCTATTAAATCTAAACTTTTATCAACTCTTGATTCACTTAAATTCGAAAGACATATCTTGTCATGAGAATAACGTATACATGAGAGATTTAAAACGGTAATCTGATTAGCATGTTGAAAGCTCTCTAATTTTTTACACTCGTCGTAATCTATGGTATCAAAGTGTAATTGTAATTCAAAAATTTGTTTATCACCAATAAGCCTATTTAGAAATTGAATTGGCACATACCCAATTTGTTTACAATCGATTCCCACAACAATGCAATCTCTACTATTAGCAAGATCAGAAATTTGATCAAATATAGATAATTTATTTACAAGACTATGAGTAAAATGTTCATCTTCATGGAGTATATCTTTATAATCATTATGACTTACGTTGAACTTCAACCTAATCCACTTATTACCGATATCTTTAACTCTAATGCCTTGAACAGTTTCATCATCAATTATCGATTTAAATTTGACTATATCAAGAACCTTTAAGTATGTAAAAATTCGAACTTTCAATTCAATCGGAAATTGTTCAAATTTAGTGAATTTAAAATCATCATCTCCATACAATGGCTCTGATATGTGAGCTTCCACTGACATTGATAAATGTATAAGTAATGATGGAGTAAAATGAATTGATGATGTATCATATTTTATAGATTCTCATTAATCGAAAAATTTCGTATATTATTATTACGCAGCTATAAATACGAGAAAAATCAATAAAGGTCAAAATCACAAAAGTTAACTATGGTCAATTAGATTAGTTACTATTTTTTCAAAAGTTATGTAATAAAGTTGACTTGAAATGTTTTCAATTCCTTTTGCAACTGGATGGCTCATAATGATGAAGACTTGCTTCACCTTGCATAAACTAACATAGACTGAACGTACCCTTTCGGACAATTACTTCCCTCTAAATTTAGAACTCAAATTAAGAGTCATTCAAAGTGTAAACAAACATGAGAGAAGAGCTCCTAACTATTTGAAAATAGTGTCATAATTTCTACAGTTAATTATATAGAATTATCATATAAATATAATCATTATATATGGCATATGTAATAATCATACATATATCTATTTAGGAGAATGTGAGAGATCGTAGAGTAATAATAAGAAAGAGAAGAAGAAGAAGAAAGACAAAATAAGCATAAACATCAAATAGTTTAATATTAAGCAGAATAACCAGATTTTAAACCCTATATTACAATAGCACAACTAGGTAGAATAGCAGCACGAACCATATTTAGACAACCATAGCATTGTTCATCTTTTTTTTAGTTTGATCCGTTATGTTGAAGTTAGTTATGTTGTGAGTTTATTGGAAACCACCAGTTTGTTCACGATGAGCTTCAATGGTATCACCATCTTCTAATTCTAATTGATCAGGAGTATTATCAGGATAAATTCTAGTACCATCTATTAAAAATCTTAAACTATCCAAACTCTTCCCTTGTCTTTTACAAAAAGCTTCCATTAATCTTTTCATTGGAGTTGATCTTTTAATCTTAAAGAAAATTTCAGCACTACCATCACTTACTTTCAAGTTAATATGGGTGTTATCTGGTTTTTCATCCTTTGGAGCTTCGGTATCGTTGGTCACTGGTGGAGCTTGTTCTGAATCAGACATGTTGTGATATAGTACTAATAGTTGTTGTTTTTAGTTGTTGTTAATGCAATAGGGGGAATATAACAATATACTCTTTTTATTTATTTTGGGTTTTGTCCTGCTTTGGGGGATATGTCTATAGACGCGTTCTTAATCAAACGTTGGTGCTATCAAAGTTGAATATGAAATGTATACTAATTAATTACTAGTATACTGCTTTGATTTGAATTAGAACAATCGATGAATTGTTTGAAGATGAATTAAAATCAAGTTGATTACAAATGGTTTAAGTTGAATGGATGGCAACTGAATTTTGTTTGAAAGTTCTATTTTGGTGAGAGTTTTTTTTTCTGTCGATTCTTTACAGCTTTTGAACCCAGCGCACGACTTCTATTATAGGCAATATCAACATTGATATAATATTGATACTTAAATGTGTTATTAATATTTAAACAATTATATAAATTATACTTGTAATTGATAAGAATAGATACTAATACTACTAATAATGATAATAATAATAATAAAAGAAAAAGAATAAATGCAACTTTTAAAAATTTTTGCCTGTAAAATAATAATACAAAATTAAATGGAACTGAATAACAACATTACAATGAATACATCTCTCTTCTAACTCTAACATAAACCATGTCTGAAATAACCAAACACAACAGAGAGACAATGGTACATAAACTTTAAATTTCAACTGATTAACCACTAGCCTGAAATACAACCGCTTCAATCACATCTCCATCATGCATTTTTAATTTCTCAGGTGTATCCTTAGTAGTAACTCTTTGACCATCAATCATGAATCTTAAAGATTCTAGATTCTGACCTAATCTTCTACTGAATGATTCCAACACTCTCTTTAAGGTTGATTTTCTCTTAATTTTGAAATAAACTTCAGTAGTTTGATGAATTACTTTTAAATTAATAATAGGATTATCTGACATTATGATGATGGTTTATATGGATAGGATCTACTTAATTAAAGATTGTAATTGTAACCGACAGATCTAGTAGATTAACTATTCTGGATGGATTGTTATGACACTCCCGATTTTGATTTAAAGATAGTCTGGAGTGATGAACTCTGCGTTGTAGTTGTTGTAGTTTCGATTAGAATTCTAATCTGGTTTACAAACGGCGGTAATAAATTTGAATCACAAATACAACAAACCAGCCAATTATTCACAAAGTACTGATTGTATTATACCAATTGATGTATGGTTTAAACTGCTTATTTTGATTCAAAATTAAGTCAAATTGTTAACATAAACCAAAATTAAATTTGTTTTAAATTTTATTTTTTTTGTTTCAGGGTATGAGTTGTTTGAGTTGTGCACACATATCCTCTGAAGTCATAATAATTTTTTAACAGTTAGACTTTTACAGAACTAAAATAGTTTACAAATAGATGGGATATGGTTAGTTAAGGTGATTACATTGTTCAGAGGAGATATATGAGGTCTATAGTTCATAGGAGTGATTTAATAAGTGATATTGTGAAATATGATTGAACTCTATTTTGATAGGGTATTTCCTAATTGAGATTCGCATGTTTCAAAGATTTCTTTTGGCTGACACTTTTTGCAATCAAATATGTTTCAAACTTGTTTTTAATATTTATTAGCATTACGTATAAATAAGACATTAAGGGTGATGAGATGGAAATGGAGAAGGAGGAAATTTAATATCCTTCAGAAAGAATCAACTGTCGATATGATTACTCGTGAATATCTTTCGTTTTGGGAATCCATAAGTCAAATATACTTCAACCATTATACAATTGTACTAGTTATCCTAATTATCAAAATCTACCTTTTCAAACGATCAGTTATCGATTCTTTAAACAATTTACAAGTGGCAGAAGTTTCGTGTGAACAAGATGCCACCCTAATCAATGCCAAAGTATTTGATATGTTTCAATTCATCATCATTCAAAGTTTAAATCTGATTCAAGTTATAAATTTAAAATTCTTTCAAATGATCATTACTATCATAGAGAATATCATCTGGTTTGTAATTGAATTGTTTTTAGGAACTTATACATGTTTATTACAAGCCTTAATCACCAACACTGCTGATTTTGCTGTGGATGCTAGTGAATCAATCATAGTGGCAGTTAATTCAACTATAGTAGGTTTAACTAATGATATTGAAGATGGATTGAATGGATTAAGTAAAATCATAAATGATTTTATCAGTATTGGGTCTAAAATATCTAATTTCTTCACCGGGAGTTCAAGTAGTGATAATAATGGTCAACAATATCAAAATTCAATTAATTTATCGATATCTGGGTTGAAGAATATTTCAATCCCATCATCAGTATTAACTAGTATTAATAACTTTAAATTAACAACCTTACCTAATTTCACCAATATTGAAAATGATTATAAAGATTTAATCTCCCTTCCCTTAGATACATTTTTAAATCAATCAACTATATCAAATCCTATTAATGAAACTGAATTAACTTTGAATTTTCCTCAATTTCCTATCCAAACATTATGTTCAAATGCCAGTAATAAATATAATGAAGATTTGATGTATTTAGTTGATAAGGTTGAATTCATATCAAAGATAATCTTCATTGCTCTTAGTATTTGTTGTATTTTATCTATCATCCCTCTTATTTATCAACATTATTATCATTATTATGTCAAATTACCACAACTCTTGAATGCATTAGATGATGACAATGATGAAATCATAAAGATTAATAATACTTTACATTCTTTTTATAATTCATCTTGGATAACTAATCTTTTTTATAAAGTATTTAATATTAAAAGTCATAAGTTAAAATGGTTAATCACATATTTATCTACCAATTATTGTTTGATTATATTAGGACTAGGTTTAATTGGGATATTATCATGTGTTCTACAACTAATCATCATCATAATCCTTAATAAACAAATCCATATCACTACAACATATTTACAACAATCAATCATCCCTTCCAATCAAACCAATTCAACCATCACATCAGCCATAACTCAATACATAACTGATGTAAATCAATTCATTCAACAAGAAGAAAATCAAATCAATCAACAATTATTCGGAACCCTATTACAAACCACCTCATCGATAAACTCCACCATTGCAACCTTTGTCAATAATTTGAATTCCACCATCAGTTCAACCTTTGGTGATATCCCGGTCTTAAGCACTTCGATATCGACTATTGTGTATTGTACGTTGATTCGAAGATTGATCACGGTGGAGAAGGGGTTGACGTGGATTAATAATAGTTTTAAGATATCAATCCCATTATTGAATTCAACTAGTTTTGAAACTCAATTATTGAATGTTTTGGATGATTCAGAAGCTATGAATGCAAGTAATTCTCAATTATTGGAGTTGATTAATAAAACTATTGATCTGTATAAACAATCAGTTAAGATTGAATTTTTAATTAGTCTTATATTTATTGCAGTTTGGTTAATACAATTATTAATCGGGTTAATCATAATCATGATCCAAACTTGGTTGAATCAACCAAAGACGGATTTTACAGTTTCATCATTATTTTCACCTTCACTTCCATCTAATCCACCACCTCATTACGATACTACCCATATTAGTTCACCCCAACCTTTAACCATAGCTCAAAAACATGAATACGGATATCCATTCACAAACCCTTATGATGAGAAAGTATACTCTACATCAAGTCGATATCCATCAACTCTTGAATCTATGTAACAATTTATTTATTACTAATATACAACTAATTAACGAAAAACTTTACTCTACTTTTTAATTGGAGCTGGTTTCTTCCAATAATATTGTTTATGAGTTCTTCTACAAGATCTTAATCCACCATGACCTTTTAAATTCGATACTAAATTAGTTCTATCGAAATCATTATCATTTTCAGGCATATAATAATATTCTTCTTCTAATTGTTTCCCAGCCGCATCTTTCCCTTCTCTATAGATGACTCCAATACATTTAATATTATGTAATAAGACTCTTAATTGATTCAATTGTAATTTGGATGTGACGACACTGATGGTGTTTAAGAATGAAGCAGGGGTAGATGATAATCTTGAGAATGCAAGGTGATTGATTAAGATATTGTTGATCTCATCAATGTTGTCAATATCAGATATCCAATCTTGATTGATTTCAACTTTTTGTAAGGATGTTTCTGATACGTCTTGTTTTTTCTTCTTACGTTGATGATGATGTTGTTGTTGTTGTTGCTGTTTTGGTGGTTCTTCCGATTGAGCACGTTTGAATTTTGGGGTGGTTGGATTACTATAAGTATTTGATTTATCATTAAGGGGAGTTGATTGTCTTTTGATGATTTCGGGGACAGTTGGTTCTTGTGGTGGTTGTACTTGTTCTACTTCCTGTTTATCTTCAAAGATTTTGAAAGTTTCAATTGATTTTGGTTTTGGTTTTAAAAGAATCATGGTTGGTGGTTTACTTGGAGTTAATTCATCATTAGGGATGGATAAGATTGGTTGAGGTAATGCTTCTTCTTGTTGTTCCAATTTATGATCTTCTTCTTCATCTTGTTGTTGATCGATTAAATCTTGTTCTAATTGTTGAGCTAAAGAATCAAGATCATCACTACCAAGTTTATCAACCACTTTTTTAGCCACTGTTCTTGGAGGTGAAGAAAGATCATGATTAATAGCTTTAATTGGAGTAATCAAAGTTGGTAATTCATCTTCAGTTAATTCTTCTTCAATATCTTGAGGATTAATTAATAAGATTTGATTTGAAATTTCTAATAAGATATTATTTAATCTTGGAATAGTAATAGTTTCATGTTTTTTAATAAAGAATTGAGTATTATTTGAATCTAATTTAATTGATTTTAAATTTGATTTTGAATTTTGGTTTAAAATTGGATTAACTAAATTTAAATCATTTAAATTTAAAGGATTACCACTTTTATTTTCCATAATTAAATAATTTTTTGAAGAATTTGTAGCATAAACAAAACAAGGTTTTGGAATATTAATAGTTATCCCATTTTGACCTAAACAATTTAAGATAATTTGTTGAGAGTTATAACTTAAAGAAACATGAATTCTTGAAATGAATGAATTTTTAGCATTAATAGCAAAATCACAAGATTTTGATGATCTACCAATTGTGATATGACTTTTTGAATTAAGTAAGGGGATTCTAGTAACTTTAACATCAGGATCTAAGATATTAAAATCACTATTGATTCTAACAGTTTTTGATTGTTTAGTTAAATCAAATTTAACTTTTTTAGGATGTTGTAATTGATTAACTGGTTCCGGAGTATGAGTGTCATAGAAGTTGGTAGTAGTAGTAGTAGTAGTAATAATATGATTATTGTTAGATCTTACAGGAGAAGAAGATCTAAATAAAGCAGATGAAGGATTTGGAGTTGGATATTCTTTAATAGCCGATTTAGATTGATGATGAAGTTCTTGAAGTTGAAATTTTGGTTTAAAGGCAAAGGGGTCTTCTGCTGCATAATCTTCATTAGAGATTAATGGAGAAGATGGAGGGAATTGACCATTAGGATCCGAAGGCATGATGATGATATATTATATATTGCCAATTGATTGAAGGATGATAGAAACAGTAAAGAAGAAACAACTATGATGATGGATGATGAGATGATAAATTGAAACTATCAACAAATGACAGGGTCATTCAATTTAAGTTCCATACAGCAATACATTATTAATTAACTATACGTTATAGTTAATTTTTACAGTGGTACACGATCTGTTTATGTTTACATTTTTTTGCAACAAATTTTAATTTCTTTTTTATTTATTTATTTATTTATTTTTTATTTTACGTGTTTTCGTGTTTTTGTGAATGGTTATATTCGTGAACATGTGACTTGAGTCACACCACCAGGTCACAAGCCCTAGCTAGTAACACATCCACGTGATGACATATGACATTACGGATTATATACAGTACGTGATATTCAATTATATTTTGTGTCATTTATTCCCATAGTTAAGAAAAGGTTCGCACTCAATACTGAAATCTCCATAGTTAACAAGGCTCACTCATAGTTAAGGATCCAATACAGCACTACCACTCTGGAACTGAAAGAAAGAGAGAAAAAAAATACTTAAAAAAAATTAGTAGTTAAAAATTTTAATATATACTCTTTTCAATTTATCACATTAATTAAGAATAAGTCAACATGGGTAGTACGTAGAGATCAGATAGTCTATTGGTATTGACTAGGTCAATGCCAATGATACCACCAGAGGAAATCATATGAATGTTTAAATAATAATAGGAATTAATCCATAGTATATCAATCATTGAAAGAATTTTTCATCATCATCATCATCAACTATCATCCATCAATAATGTTAATGAAATATGTATAATAGAACAACTATAAGAGTTTATTAGAGTATGAGATTCCAAGTATCATGGGTTAATAATCGATTACCATTCAGTTTAATCTACTACAGTTTATCAACATTCTATATCAAGTCATCATAATAGTAAAAGATCATGAAAAATATAGTCAACTAGTTACCAAGTCATCATCCAACTTCCTCAGTAATCCAATCAATGTCATATCCACTTCCATCATCATTTATAAGCTCTAGAAACTATTTAACTCATCAATCAAATCATCACGTTAAACCCTCCACCACCATATTTATTAAACATTCATAATTTCTTCATCTTATACATTTTTTATGTATAATTCAAATGAAAAAAATATAACTTTACTAACACCTTTTATAGAAGGTACTCCATCTTTAGGTAAACGTCATAACAAGTCCCACACTTTATGTAACAGATGTGGTCGTCGTTCATTCCACATTCAAAAGAAGACCTGTTCTTCATGTGGTTACCCAGCTGCTAAATTAAGATCTCACAACTGGGCTTTAAAAGCTAAAAGAAGACATACCACCGGTACCGGTAGAATGGCTTACTTAAAACATGTTTCAAGAAGATTTAAAAATGGTTTCCAAACTGGTGTTGCCAAAGCTCAAAATAAAGATGCTTAAGTTTAAAAAACTTTTCTTGTTCCATAATTTAATATAATTCATAAATCAAACAAACAAACAAACAAACAAACAACCCCCTCCATATACTATATAAAAATATAATTTAAAGGTGTTTATTGCTTATCCGATGTTTAATCTATCGTTGAATATCTATACGTTTTTTATTAGCCTTTATGTCATTACATTAAAAAATATATATATAATATAAAAACCATATTTCATTTTGTATTTATTATTGATTGTAAAATTTTATTTACTCTATTAAATCCATTTCATCAAAGGTTTCATCTCCATCATAATTCATATTATAATATAAATTATCCGCTTCTTCATGATTAACAAATAAATTTAATAATTCTCGTGCTAATTCAACTGTTTCTGATTCATATGGGATTTCTAATCCATTAGCAAAATCACTTTCTATATCTGCCAATACCTTCCCTGATTGTCCTCCATTACCTCCATTCACATGATTTAATTCTCGAGCTTTTAATTCACTCCAAGCATTGAATATCGGTTCGGTTAAATATCCTCGTGATCGGATTTTAATTAATAGTTTATGAGCATCAATCGATAAAGAATCAGATCCAAATGATATCCTCAGTAATACGACAAATAATTCATACATGGTTTCAGGATATATCAATTCATTAAGATTAAGTTGATCATCATCTTCATCACCTTCCTCATTCCCATGATGATCGTTATTATTGACGATTAAGTAGTTTAATATCTTGATGAATCGTGATATGATTTCAATTCGTAATGAATTGAATTGACTTCGAGGGGATTTCATGATATGAATCTGTTCAAACCCAATGATTCGAATAATCAATTTGAAATATTCTTTTGATTTTAAAAATTCAATCGATTGTTTGATAATTATAAATGATTCAAATAATTCCGTGACTTTGATTTTTAAATTTAATAAATGGAATTCATGATTTAATTTCAATTCATAATCTTCATTACTATCTTCTCGTCCATTAAGTAATTCAATCGGGATAGGTTGGGGAATCAAGATTATAAAATTATTTAAATTATCTTTGGTTTCAGGTATAGTAGCATTTATCTTTTCAAAATCATTATTATTACCAATGATTCGATTTAATCCATAAAACATGAAATCTTCCTTAATCGGTATATCAATAAGAAAGATCTTTAATAAGGAGTTTATAATGGTATCATCCGCTACTCGTTTATGACGATCATTAAAGGCAAACGTATCTTCTGTAATGGATGAAATCAACATCTCCACAAAATTAAACATCACATTGATTTGACCCGTATTCATAAATCGTTCATGATTATCCGGTAAACACTTTAAAAACAATTCCACTGATAAATATCCTTCATCCCCATTCCAAATCTTTCGAATATATTTCGGATCGTATAATGAACTATAACTGATTAATTTCTCCATGATGTCTAAACAACTTATAAAGATAAACTTCTCAATGATCATGATTTGATGAGGGACATCATGATAATTGATATAATCCTCTTCATTCAAATTCGAATCCAATAAAAATGCAAATTTATTACTAAGTTGATTTAATCGGATTAATAATTGTTCAATTAAATGTTTCGTGATGGCCAAAGGTCGGAATGTGATTGATCCATGAATCAACGATAATAAAAATGGAACACTAATAATACTTTTCCGTTCGATTAAAATCTCAATCAATGAGATCAATGTTAGACAAAATTCACTGATTAATTGATCTAATCGTAAACTCTTCTTTAACATGATATATTCAGATATAGAGGATGAGATCGGGATCCGTTGTTTGATTTTTAAATCTTGAATGTCAATGTAGAAATTAACACTGATCTTACTTAGATAACTTAATGTAGTACGTTTACTTCCTATAATACAATGATTCCAAATTTGATCAGCAAATAATGATGAATCATTTTGAATTTTGATAATCCTTTGAATCGGTTGTTGCAGGGGTAATGGTTGTTGGGTAGACTTTTGTTCCATTGAAGTATTCGAAGATCTCATGGGAGTACTGCCCCTACTAGATTTAGAATCATCTAAACTTGTTGAAATATCAATATCAATGGATCCCATAATCTCTTTCCCTTGAGTTCGAATAGGAGTAACTTTCCGTTTCTTACTATAACTATTCGATTTCAATTCATTATTTAAAAACTTCTTTTCATCTTCTAATTTCTGAACTGCATGCTTTAGAATTCGAACTTGATCTTCACTATTCTTTTTATATTGATTAAAATTATCTCGTATTTTATTGACTCCATCCAATCGTTCTCGTTGTGCACTCTCTAATTGAGCTCGTAGTATAGCCACTTGACCTTCTGCTTGAAATATTCTAGATCGCATATCATTATCAGCTGTTGTTGTTTGTTGTGGTTGTACTTGTGCTGATTGACGTGGTTGTATTGGTGGTTGCATTGACGGTATAATTTTATGACCACTTACATTTGCTGTCCCTGTCAACACAGCTTGTAAGATTTCATCATCATCATCATCATCAAAGTCTGAATTGGACATCTTACAATCTCAATGCTATATTATCATATTCCCTTGCCTTTAAAGACCTTTCCTACAGATCAGCCTTTTGACTGTAAATATTATTAAAAATGGTTTATTTTCATTACACGCGATATTCGAGGGTATGTGATCACATGCAAGATCACGCGCTTGGTCGGAACATCCCACCGATCACCAAAATAGACATTAAAAAAAATCTTTCAGTTGAGCAGGGGAGATATGTATATTGAGTTTATCAATTTACTTTACTTTAATAGTTTGAATAGATTTGTATCGTCTTAGTTCATAAGAAGTTGATTACAAGATAGTCAGAGGTTATCTTTCATTCATATTCGTTGTTCACCTAAATAGCAAAGGTTTAATCTATATTTTTCACAATGACAAATCAAGATACTACTAATGGTAGTACAACTACAGAGAAAACTTCAGCCCCAGCTGCTTCTCTTGTACCAGTTCAACCAACTCCTCTTAGTTCAAAAGATAAAGATACCAAAAGATTAATAGTTGTTTTATCCCAAGCATGTCTTGAAACTCATAAAATGAATACTGGAGGTCCAGGGGGTGATAAATATGCTCTTTTAAATTGTGATGATCATCAAGGTCTCTTAAGAAAAATGGGGAGAGATATCGCTGAAGCTAGACCAGATATAACTCATCAATGTTTGTTAACCTTATTGGATTCTCCTATAAATAAAGCAGGTAAATTACAAGTTTATATTCATACCGCTAGAGGAGTTTTGATAGAGGTTAATCCAAGTGTTAGAATCCCAAGAACGTTTAAGAGATTTTCTGGTTTAATGGTTCAATTATTACATAAATTAAGTATTCGTTCAGTTAATTCAGAAGAAAAATTATTAAAGGTGATTAAAAATCCTGTTACTGATCATTTACCGGCCAAATGTCGTAAGATTACTTTATCATTTGATGCTAAGATTAGAAGAGTTCAAGATTTTGTTGAAAGTTTAGATGAAGATGAAAGTATATGTGTATTCGTCGGTGCCATGGCCAGAGGTAAAGATAATTTCGCTGATGAATATGTTGATGAAAAAATCGGTCTTTCTGAATATCCATTATCGGCTTCTGTTGCTTGTTCTAAGTTCTGTCATGGTTGTGAAGACAGTTGGGGTATTTTCTAATCAATAATGAACCCCCTCTCTTCTCCCATCACCAATTTATTCTTTAGTTCTACTGACATTGTACATTTATTTTATCATTTGTAATATCGACTACTCCATCCATACATATAGTCTTACATACTTATATATATAAAAACTCTTTCATTAATAAATTCATTTGTGCATCATAGAGATATCGGTAGCAGATCGCCGAAATTTTTTTTTTGCTTCTATTGGCTTTGCCTATTTTGTAACCGCTGAGTATAAATAGTTGCAAATGCAAAATTTAGAGTAATTTTCTTTTATTTATACTTCTTTTTCCTTTTTCCTTTTTCCTTTTTCATTCCTTAACTTATTATCTTCTTAAGAACAGTCTATTGCATTCTGCTTATCATATAACTGTCAATTAATATATAATAGTCAAACCATCTAGCTAAAGAGAATAAGAACATGGCTCATATATTACAATCCAGTGCAGTTCATAGTTTAACCGCTGGTCTTACCGCTGGTGCTTATGTGTTAGATAAGTTAAATTTAAGTGATATTTTAGACTTACAGATATCTGCTGCTTCAGTTATCCCACTTACCAACTATCCCACTCAATTTTTTGTTCGTCAAAATAGAAAAGATAAGCAAAGACAAATTAGAGTCTTTGACGCTCAAGGTAACCAAGTTTATTCATTTGAAAGATTATCATCCATGAATCCAGTTTGGACAATGATGACTTATCCTCAAAGACAAGAGGTTGCTACTCTTTTTGTTGGTTTTACTTCAAGAGCTTTTGATTTTCATAATAAAGTTGGTATTACTCATAGAGATATTATTTCTGATATTAGTTTAAAAGGTGCATTCAGAAGCTTTTACCTTAATGATGGTGCTAAATATTCTTGGACTACTGGTTCTAAATGCTTGGAAAAAGTTATTAATCCAAATGGGGGTATTGAAGAAACCAGAGAAAGAATTGCCAAAGTTAAGCTTATGAGACAATTTAAATTAGATTTTGAAGTTTTGGTTGATGAAAGTAAAATTGATAAAGAAATTGCTTTAGCAACTGCTTTTACTTCAATGATCACTCAATGGGGTTATGGTGAAGTTACTGGTACTATTGGTCCTACTTTTGTTCCTAAAAGAACTTTAGAAGTTAAAGCTGCTCCACCTCATAGAGAAGACGAAAATAAAATTGTTCTTGTAATTGAGAATGGTTCCAATGCTGAGGTCAGTGTTGAACAAGAAGAAGAACTATAATTATTGTTTTTTTTATATTAGAGAATTTTACAAAACCTCATAAAGAATTCCCATTGTATAAATTTCATGGTTCCCTTACAACCTAATTTATCATTGATGTTTCTTTATTTTTAATTATTTAATTAATATATTTGTTATTTATATTACAAAAACAAACCATTTCGTAGTTATTAAAATCTTTAAAATTTTTAAAATTAAAAATAATCTAAATATACAATAGTATGAAAAAATAAATATTTATATATAAAAAAAGTCAGTTATTAATTATCCAATACTCCTTCTTTACGTAAAACCTTTTCAATTTCTTTGAACAAAGTATCAGTAGTTGTCTTTGAACCTTTAACTCTAGCACAAACAATTTCTGATTTTTGATTAAAATCTCTGGCATTAATCTTAATTCTGAATTTACAACTCTTTAAATTAAATGCATTATTAGTTGAGATTGATCCAGTAATATTAAAACCATGTAAATCATTTTTCAAATTCTTTAAACCAAAATTAGACCATGAATTTAATAATGCAAATAAAGCAGTTGACATTTCATATTTTGGAAGTATAGTATTGAATCTCTTGAAGTCACCATCAACTCTTGAATTACTTGATGAAGAGAACCATCCAAAGAATCCACTCCCACTTGATTTCTTAACTTCGATAGAACCAGCTCTTGAATCAGCGGGTGATGGTAATTGAGCCACTGGTTCATCCATAGTTTTCTTAGATCCCCATGATAATTTTCTGAATATACTCCTACTTCTCTTTTCCTCTGGTTTATTAGTGGCATCAGCCAATGGTTTCTTATTGGTATTTGAAGTTGGTGGAGTAGGTGGAATTCCATTGTTGCTTTTTGGTTGACGGACCTTTTGATATGGTTGTGGTTTTGATTTTGGTTGAGAATTGTTGTTATGTTTAGGTACTTTACTCATATCAGGTATTAACATAGATTCTGCACTTGGTAACATGGATTTAGGTTTTCTTCTGTTAGAGTCAGCTTTACTAGTTGCTACTGAATCTCTTTGACCATTAGCATCTGGTAATTTGATATTATCAAATAACGCACTATCATCATCATCTTCATCATCACTCAAAGGTTTAGTTGAATGATGTTTGGAAGAACTATGACTCTTTCTATTATGAACTGCATCATTCTTAGTAGCAAATGTATAATCATCAATTTCTTCTAATTCATCATCAGTAGGTAATTGAGGTAATTTAGAAGTAGGTCTTTGACCATTACTTTTAACCACACTACTATATCTTGAATTTCTTTTACTAGTTGGACCATAATATGATTGTCTTTTATTAGCCAAATGTTCTTCAAAATCCATAATTGAACCTTCATCCAATGGCTCTTCATCATCATCTTCTTCCACCAATCCTGCTTTATCTAATCTATCAGCGAAACTAGTTCTTAAACCAGGTAAAGTACCATTTGGTGCATCATGGTCATGATCATATTCATGACCTTCAGCATGAGTATTTATGATGGAACTTAAATCATGATATGATTCCTTAGTAGAATACATTGATAAAACTGATAATCTTTTATTTGAATTAGTGAAGTTTCTGGATTTTCTAGTAACATTAGGAATCTTAACATTACCAATTAAAGTTTTTGGTTCTTGTTTAGAATCCTTCTTGACTAAACTACCCTTTAAGTTTAATTGAGAATTTAATAATCTAGATTTTCTAATTTCTGATTGATATTCTTCACTTAAATTGGAATCATCCATATCCGGTTCAGGTAATTCATAATGAGGATCATTTTCATAATCATTTTCTCGAGATACTCTTTGACCATTATTATTGACATGATCATCAATAACTGAGATCATTGAATCTCTCTTATTATTCTTATGAACAATCGATTCCCGATTCGACTTTCTCTTGTTTCTATTATTTTGTCTCCATTCTGCTTCCAAAGCGTCTTTGGCTTTGTTTAATTCTTCATTTTCATAAGCTTGCCATAATGGATCTAATTTAGATACTGGTCTTCTTGTCAATACTGGAGTTTGTCTTCTCTTTGGAATTGGTTGAGTGGCCGATCTACGTTTAAAATTATCAAGATCTTGTTGAGTTAATTCATCTGAGACTGGATTACCTTCAGATAATGATCTTAATGCTGGAGCATATTTAGATTGTCTCTTTGGTTGATTTATTTCACTACCATTGGAAGTAATATCATGTTCACTATTATTGGCTCCTTCAGCAGCATTATCATCTCTAATTAAAATACTTAATTTTCTAGAACTTAATAATGATTTTCTCTTTTCTCTTTTTCTTTTCTTTTCTAATTCTTTTCTAGCTTTTAATTCAGATTCATATTTCTTTCTTTCAATTTCCATCAATCTTTCATATTCTTTAGCTTGTTTTTCTTCTTCATCGACTAAGTTTTCATCATCTTCATTATAATCTTCTTGATTGAAAATCTTATCACATAAAGTAGCAAATGTAGCTGAAGTTCTTTTAGCTTGTTTATCAACATATTCCCATTCATTATCACCAGATAATTTAGCATAAGTAGATAATAATTTCATAGTAATGGAATTTCTCTTCAAACCAGTAGTCATCGAGGCACGCATAGACATTCTCTTGGATAATCTATTCCTGGAATTGCTTTTCTTTATGATTGAATTACGTTTATCTATCTTTGCTGAAGTCATTAAACTAACTTCATCCACAATTGGATTTTCCTTAGCTTGGGGTCTATTATTAGTATTGTTAGCATGAGTTAAATAACTATCCTTTGAAGGTAATGAAGGTGGCATTGATTGATAAGATCCCACATTTGAAAATGATTGAGCATTATTGATTTCATTATAGATATTTCTTGGAATCACAGGTAAACGACTTGCATCTTCCAAAGGTTGACCATATTTTCTAGGAGATCTGAAAGGAGATCTTGGAGATTGAGCAGCATAAGAAAATCTTTTACGAGGAGAATTATTGACACTTGAAGAAGCCAGTATTTTCCCATTAGCTCCATTTATGATTTTATTTGGATTACCATTTCTATATTGAAATGAAGTTGGTCTTGAAACATTTTTTTGACTTTGTCTTTTTCTTTTTGGAGTATTTGCTGAACCATTACGTCTAATACTTCCTTTTCGAGGAGTATTTGTGGTACTTTGATTATCTTGATTATGTCTATATCTCATTAATAATGCATAGAATGTTTTTTCTGGATTTTGACCATTTTTTAATAAACATTTAACAATATCTTGTTCATCTCTATCATGCCATAAGATTGATAAATTAGATAAGATTTGTCTATCAATATTTTTAGCTGAACCTAAAGATTTATATGCTGTTTCAGGATGAGGTAAAGATTTCACACTAATTAAATCTTCATTTGGAATTGGATATTTATTTAATAAAGGATGATGTAAGATTTTTTCAGTTGGAATTCTTTTAATTGGATCAACGGTTAACATTTTATTGATTAAATCTTTAGCATCATTACTTAATTCATCTGGCATTTCATAAGTACCAGCTTGAACTTTTAATAAAAGATTTCTAATATTTTCATCATCAAATGGTAATCTTGCACTTAAAAGAGCAAATAAAATAACCCCACAAGACCAAACATCAGATGCAGCACCATGATATTTTAATCCACTAACGATTTCAGGAGCAGCATAATGAGGTGAACCACAAGAAGTTTCAAGTAATTTTCCATTACTTTCTAAAGCAGCCATACCAAAATCAGCCAATTTAACATTTAAAGAAGCATCTAATAATAAATTTTCTGGTTTTAAATCTCTATGACAAATCCCTAAGGCATGACAATAAGCAGTACCTAATATAATTTGTCTGAAATATTTAATGGCTTCAGCTTCATCCAATGGACCTCTTTCAACTAATAAATCGAATAATTCTCCTCCTTCAACATATTCTAATACTAAGTATAAAGCTTTTGAAGTTTCCCAAACATCATATAAACGTAAGACATTTGGATGAGTTAATAATTTCATGATAATGATTTCTCTTTCAATACCATAAGGTAATCCAGGTTCATTGTTTGATTTTTTATGAGGATTATCTTCATCTTGTAATTCTGATTTGGATACTACTTTGACGGCAGCTTTTTGACCAGTGGTTTGATGGGTAGCTAATAAGACTCTTCCTGTAGCACCACTGCCTAAGGTTTTACCTAATTTCCAAGGTCCAATTTTTTGAGGATGTCCAACGTTGGAACTTGATATTATCGATGACGATATCGAGTTCTGCCTAGAATGATATGCCATGGTTGTTTATATATGATTGATCGGATTGATTGATTGATCGACAGCTTGTTGGTGAAAATGAGCGTGTTGAATTGATTTGATTTGATTTGATTTGATGAAATTGACGACAGACGAAATGAGAGTGGGTTTTAGTGAACGAATGTATGGATATGAATAATTCAAATGAATAGTCTGTTATATACTTTGATTGATTGATTGATTAATAAGTTACAGAAGCACTGGAGTCGATGGTACTAACGATATCTTGATTGATTGATTGATGCAATGATAAGTAAGATAGATGATAATGTGTGGGTGTGTTGTAAATAGGAAAAGAACGAAAAACAGTTGGTTGGATAATTGGTTCTAACCGATTGATTTCTTCTGATTCCAATTAATGTCGTTAATAGTATGGACTTCCAGTAGAATGTAAACTGTAACTAATCACTTCTTCAAAGGTGAAATGGATTCAAATCTTAAAAATTAAAAAATTTTCTATTCAGTTTTGAATTTGGGATTGAGTTGGTTGTAAATTGTTTTGTGCAGTTTGGTTCCTTTATTTACATTTCCACCAGTTTTGAATTAAAATTTTTCTAAACACGCGTCGCGTCTTAAAAGGAGGGTTTCCTATTTGGGTAAATTAATGAATTAATGGTTAATGGTAGTTTACCGGATTCTGTATGAATTGATACTATTTCGTCAAATACAAAGCGTTATTTTCTTACCCTGATGCTTAGCTGTTATGCAAGTTAGTCAGTTAAATTTAGTAATTAACATGAAATGAAATGAAATTTATTTCATCTGTTCTGTTTATAATGCTTGCTCGTCATTTAATAATCAATTTGTAAAAAAATTCATCTAGGCTACAGCTTAAGTTAAAGTTGATAAAAGGAGTTAATTGATTGTTCTAGAAATTACAACTTGATAAGTTTGAATTAACCCCTATCCTTTGTACCTTAGAGAATATAGTTTTTTTTTTTTTCAATTCAGCCACATCTGGTTGGTAGCTCTTTTTAATTACTGATCTCTCAAATCACTTCACTTCCTCGCTACCAATTATTAAACATTATAAATAGACAACTTACAACTTAAGTATCTTATCTGATATGTGTGCCTCATTTATATTATTCAAGACATAGATCTTTCGTTCTAAATAATATTCTTACTTATCTCGGTTATGAAACTCACAGCGGCTGAGTGTAAATTCTTGTACCCTAATGCAACCAACCGCAAGACGAAGCACAACTTGAGATCTTCTCGTTCTCTCATCACATCAACTCACTTCCAATTCTACATAGTGAACTAAATTTAACCTATTATAATACATTAGTTTACTATAAAACTATAATCTTTTTACATATCAAGTACGATATGAAACAACCATTATTTTGGACACACATTAGTCTGATTTTACAGGATCACCTAATACTCTTAGAGTCCCATTCCAGTAAGCAATTCTAATTGAGCCGTTAAATCTTGATCAACTAATTTGGCTTGAGCCTTCGTATGTTGATCTTCCTTCAACCCTTCTTTCAAACTATTAACATCCAACGCACTTTTTGGTTTCTCAGCTGGATTCTGGCCTAATAATTGGGTTATTTCATGAAGTTCATTAACATCAGCATTCAACCTAGCTATTTTAACCTTGGTTGATTTGGATTGTGATTTTGATACTTTATGACTACTACTCTTCTTAATCTTATTTGAATTCCCTTTCGCTATTTTGTTAGCACCTCCCTTAGAAGTTTCGTGCCGTATATTACTTGATTTCTTTACTTTTGGAGTCATCCTTAATTCTATTGATCTATTAGATATGTTCTAGCTAATGTTATATTACTATTCATACTTAAAAACTCATCTTAAAAAAATCTTTTTATAGTGTACTTTTTATATGCAGTCGCTGGCATTTTTTTTTTTCTTTTCAACTCCAGGTAAAAAAAAATTATCCTCATCTCTTCAATATCAGTAATTATAGATCTACAATATCAAACATCAACATCAACATCAATATCATACATATATATATATAACACATAATGGTTTCTAGTTACAATCGTGATAAACCATGGGATACTCCAGATATCGATAAATGGAAATTAGATGAATTCAAACCAGAAGATAATGCATCAGGACTTCATTTTGCTGAAGAATCAACTTTTATGACCTTATTCCCCAAATATAGAGAACAATATTTACAAAGTATATGGAGTGAAGTCACCAGAGCATTGGATAAACATTTCATCAAGTGTGAATTGGATTTAGTCGAAGGTTCTATGACTGTTAAAACCACCACCAAATCATTTGATCCTGCTATTATTTTAAAAGCTAGAGATTTAATTAAATTATTAGCTAGATCAGTTCCATTTCCTCAAGCAGTTAAAATCTTACAAGATGATGTGGCATGTGATGTGATCAAGATTGGTAATTTCGTTAATAATAAAGATCGTTTCATAAAGAGAAGACAAAGATTGGTTGGACCAAATGGTAATACTTTAAAAGCTATGGAATTATTAACTAAATGTTATATATTGGTTCAAGGTAATACTGTAAGTAGTATGGGACCATATAAAGGGTTAAAAGAAGTAAGAAGAATAGTGGAAGATTGTATGAGAAATGTTCATCCTATATATTATATTAAAGAATTAATGATTAAACAAGAATTATCGAAAAACCCAGATTTAGCTGAACAAGATTGGTCAAGATTCTTACCTAGTTTCAAAAAGAGAAATGTGGCTCGTAAGAAGAGTAAAGTCACCAAGAGAGAAAAGAAGGTTTACACTCCATTCCCACCTGCTCCAACTCCTAGAAAGATTGATTTACAAATTGAAAGTGGTGAATATTTCTTAGGTAAGAGAGATAAAGTTAAGAAACAATTACATGAAAAGCGTGAGAAACAAGAAGAAGTAACTGAAGCTAGAAAGCAAGAAAGAGAAAAAGATTATGAAGCTCCAACTGAAGAAGTATATGAAAATAAGTTATTAAAGAAGGAAAAGAAAGAGAAGAAGCATAAGAAAGATAAGAAATCAAGTGAAGATTAAGAAGTAGAAGAAGTCGTAATTTATTTTGAAACGACAATCATATAGCATAGACTGTATAGCCGTTGTATATTAATGTCATAGTATTTATTGTTATTGTTATTGTAATTTATATTTCAATGAAATATTTTAAACAGGTTTAAAACGCATTAAAAAAGCTTAAAAGTAATGTCAAAATTGGTCACTTCCTATAAACGCAAACCAAAAGCACTAATTGGGTAACCTCTCACGTTACAAAAACTAATCCCTATCCCTATATTTCGTGTTAGTATCACTGTTTATATTAAATTTGTGTTGACCCTGCTTTGTCCTATAATACTAAAAATTTTCAATATTTACGATTTGCTCTTTTTTAGGGTTAAGTGATTGCCTAATTAGGAAAGCAGCTCAATTTTTGTTTGTTTTGATTTGACCTGTATATAGCTTAAATTGCAAATTTCTTTATAGTGTAACCTCATCAAGATGATCCCTCTTTATTATAGGAATTTTTCTTAAATGGGTATTTTCGTAAAATTGGTATAATGGATAATAAAGTTCGGTATTTGTTGTCTTATTTTATTTTATTTTCCCCCTGGTGTGTAAATAATCTTTAAATAAAAAGATTTTCTTTCTGTATTATCATTGATCAAGTGATCTATATCTCAACTCAGAATCAGTTACTGATCCAACTAACCTATCATCCACTGGCAATATCGTTCGATGTATGGTACTTCCTCGAGGCTAGACCAGATTACTGCCTTTGTTGATGAGCTTGAAGCCAAATCAAATGATGTTTACTTAACTGCCACTCATTCAGCATCCATATTATCAACAATTGCATCAAAGAATCATACTATTTCTCAACTCGATGATGAGATAGATCACATTAGAGATGCCATGGGGAATAATTATACCTATCTCAAGGAGTTCACTAACTTATATGAAAAGGCCTTCTATATCGAATCAAATCTAAATTCAAATGATAACGTTACTAATTTAACTACATTTGGAAACTTGGCTCAAGAATATAAATACTTATTACAGAAATTATCCACCAATGATTATACTATGACTTCCTATGAACAAATTCCAAGATTGAACAGCATGGATGTTGATATGGTTGATGTTGCTCCTGAAGTGAAACATAAAGTATCCTTATCCAATTTACAATTAAAACCAATAAGATGTAATAGTAAGAAAGTTTATAAAAAGAAATCAAAGTATAGACTTTCAGGCATATTTAATATCAATCCCATTGCCTATGATGATAGCTCATCATTCATGATTAAGAATCTAGAAAACAATCTTGAATCATCAACAAATTCATCCATTCAAAATACCCCTATAATACCCCAAATGAGAATGTCAACCAGTACATTTGAATCATCCACTATGATCAATAATAGTGATCTTGATTTGAACTTACATGAAGGTGGTGATTTCAAACTTAATCATAATAGCAATGATGAAGATGATCTTAATAACAACAATGTAAATCATGATACAGATACTGCTGCAACTTCACCTACACTTCAAGGCAATGATAAAATGAATCTCGGGACCAATCATCAAAGATCAAGTTCATTGCCTGAAGCTCATAGTAGTGGAATCTTTGGGTTTGCAAGTTCGAGTTTAAAGTCTCAAGAAGAAGATAGTGATCAATTAAGAATCAATAGACTTAAACATTTCATTAGTTTTGGTAATTTACATGATTTACAAATGTTTGATGAAGTAAATGAATATCAAAAATCTCCAACTCCTTCCATAAATTTAAATTCTCCAATTGATTTAGATAATTTATCTATCTGTTCTGATATCTCGGCATTTTCTCCTCATAACACTAATTACCGCATGCTTAATAATAATAATAATAATAATAATAACAACAATGACAAAAACAATAATAATAATGATGATGATGATGAAGATCAAATTAGTGATAATTTTGAGAATTACCTAAGAAAATCGAGAATCGATTTACATGAAGTATTCCCTCACATATTAAAGAAATCAGCATCATTTGATAGTATATTCAATAGTGAATTATTCTCTGATGAAGAATACTATGTCAAGGATGTTCAACAACTTCCACCCACCTATCTTCCTGCCCCTTCATTCGTACCAAGTTACAAGATCCATAATCCAATTGAAAACATTCAATTAAGTTCTTCTTCTCAATTGGCTGCTCTTACTAAAGAAGCTATTTATTCAAGAAAGAAGAAAAGGGTTACATTTGAAGATGATGATCCAAAGAGAACGTTAAGTGATATCATTCTTGGTAATGAAAATATAAAGAAACAAATGCAAACTCCATTGCCTCCTGTAAATGAAGCACCAGAATCACCATTACCAACCACACCATCAAAATCGAATTTCTCATCAATGTTTAATTTTAATTTACCTTCTCCATCCAAGAATCCTTTCATGATTACTCCTACAAAAGATCAAAATAATACCCCAACCACAAACACGATCGAACTTATTGGAAAATCATTGACTGAAAGTTTCATGAATCTCGTCAATACCACAACTGTATCCACCTCCACCCCAATCAACAAGAAACCACCGAAAACAAAAACCATAACTCCCGAAAAGATCAAACAAATGAAGAAGAAAACCAAACCAGGCAAATCAATCGCCATTCCAAACGACCAACAAAGGAAACGTATGCCAATCAGAATCCCAAGTGGTGGTGGTTCCAGCGGAGGGAATTATGCTTCAAGTTTGACCATCGGTCCCAACAATACTCGTATCATCCAACATGGTTCTTCTAGTGTGTTTAGAAAACCTGTCATGAGTAGAGTAAGTCATCAATCGCTTCGAGAAGCTCTTTCTCAAAGTTTATTAGATGATTTTTAGAAATCAGATATAGTTCAGTTTCAAGGTTGCGTTATAATGACTCTTGAATTATATATCTCGATTAATTAGAATTCTTTTTCATTTCCTTTCCTCTTACATTTTATTGTAACTTTTATCTTTTACACACATTTTATACCCTTTTTCTCAGGTACTTCAATCTTTTGGTCTAATGCATTAATATATATAAATATTCTATCTAATATACAAGTTTTAATTTAAAAATATGCTAATTGGGGGTGTATCTATCTATTCAAAACCTTCATTGGAGAAGATCTTCTTAACTTCAGCTTTAGAACTATTGATACTTCTTTGAATTCTCTTCTCTTTCAAACTCTTAATTGGTTTGTTGGAACTACCAGTCTTCTTGGACATGTATGTAATAGAAGCCTTGGATCCAGACGCAACTTTATATTGTTTACTGATGGTAACACCAGAGAAATGCTTTTTACCATCCTTAATTTGAATTCCTTGTTGTTCATGGAAGGATTTGAATGAACCGATAATGGATGGTTTCTTGAAAGATGGCATGATATCGTCATCGTCAACATCAGTATCATGGAGTTCATCGATTGATCTCTTTCTTGACTCTGGTTCAACTGGTTCCTCAACAATTGTCATCGGACTTTCTGATCTCTTACTAGTTAAATTACTTAAACTCTTCGATTTTAATTCTTTTACATCAATAATTTCATCATCCGAAGAATCAATTCCATGTTGCTTATTTGAAATACGTTGAATATTTTCATAATCATGATCTTTATTCTTATGTAAAAATGATAATTGTCTTTGAACAAATGATTCTTCAATTTTAATAGTCTTTTTGACTGGAGGTTCCTTTTCAATGATATCATCTTCTTCATCATCTCCATCTGTACCATCTTCTCCAGTGAATGGACTTTTACTCTTAGATTTTCTACTTGAAGTATCTTCTTCTATTTCTTCTTCATCATCCTCTTCTTCTTCATCATCATGTAATCTGATAATCGTAGGCTCTTCTTCCATAAAGAAGGCCTTGGCTTTTTCACTCTTCACAAAGGCGTGCATCTTTTTACTTTCAGCTAATCTTTCACGTTGTTCTTGTAATCTTTGTTTTCTATAAGCTGCTAACAATTGATCTTCTTCATCACTTAATTCAAGATCTAATCCATTACCAGCAACTTTCTTAGTTAATCTATGATTTTTAATATCATCTAATAACTTTTCTAATTCCTTTTGATCTTTAATTTGATAATCTTCCATGAATTTCTTTCTGATTTCATCATCTTTTAAATCGATATTAAAATCATTATCAATCATTCTTTCATCATCGGAATTGGCTTGATCAGAAAGTTCACCATCCATACCACCTAACCCTTTCCATTCATCTTCAGATTCTTCAGCTTCTCCTTCAACCATATCTTTAAGACCTCGTCTTTCGAATTCCTTTCTCTTCTTACGTTGTTTTAATTCTTGCTTTCTAATCTTCTCTTCATACATTTTGATTTTCAATTCCATAGCTTCTTTTTCTTCTTCTTCATTCACCTCATCTTCTTCTTCTTCAGCTTCTTCTTCATTAATATCATTCAATATAGACGTATTCTTCCTTATAAGTTTTCTACCAGTTTTAACTTTGGAAGGAGTAATAACATCTTCATCTTCTTCATCATATTCATCATTCTTAGGTTTTTCAATTACTTGAGTTTCAGCATCGTCAACTTGAGTAGTCATATTTGCATCTACTTGAGTTTTTATAATAGTATCAGCTTGGGTTGAGATTATGGAATCATTTTGAGTATTTGGTTCACTAATATCACGGAATGAAGGTAAGGTGAGGGGGAAATCATTGAATGATTTATTAGCTAAATCTTCTGAAATTTGAGTTGATTGTTGTTGACTTGGTTGTCTTGGTTTCAAATTTTGGAATAATACATAATTGTCATTGTTGAATCTAGACACGTCATGTTCATTGTCATTATCGTCGTCTTCGTCTTCAAGAGTTTGAGTTTCTTTTAAAGTTGATAAAATATTCTCAGATGGGTTGTTTTGGAATGATTGTGAACTTGCAGTCGTTATGACACCTTCTAATTTATGATCATGTTCTTTATCTTGTTTTCCACCAAACATATAACTATCATCGTGATTTCTCAATTCTGATAAATCCTCATTATCTTCCATTTCTACTTCACCTTCTTCATCATCATCAGATAAGATAACTCTCTTTGATTTTCTATGTGAAACTTCAGGTTGGCCTTCGTCTTCTTCGTCCACTTCTTCTTCACCTTCTTCGGAATCTTCTTCAGCTTCGTAATCTATAAGCTCGCCATTATCAGCATCAGAACCAGAACCAACATCTGAACCATAATCTGAATCAGGAACTTCACTTTCAGGTACATCACTATCAGGTACAGCATCGTCTTCTTCTTCTTCACCATCATCATCGCCATTCTTACCCTTTAATTTACCAAGTAATGCCAATTTAGCCTTTTCTCTTAATTTTTCACGTACTCTAATACGTCTAACTCTTTCCATTTCTTGTTCCAATAATGATCCCATAACTTCTTCATCTTTTTCCATTTCTTCTAATACGGCGGTTTCACCATTAGTTCTATTCGCTTTCAATTGTAAGATATTTGCACGTTGTAAATTCAATAAAAAGTCATTGGATTCCTTTAGATTTGTCTTATGACCTAAATTCTTAACTACTAGATTCTGAGGTAATTTTGAATTTAATAATTTCTTCTTAACGAATTTTTGCTTTATAGTTATCTTTTGATCTTTTGAAAGTTCTGGTATTACGAATTTATTATTGTTGTTGATGTTTGTCTTGGGTAAATTAGTAGAGTTTCTAATTGGTGATGATGAATTGATTTCTAAATCAGAATCGGAATCATCTAAATTGATAAGCCTTTGATTAACACGTTCATCATTATCACTTTTTGTGGGTGATGAAAATAATTGACGTTTTAAATTTTGAGCATATGATTCAATGGGATTTCTTGTTTGAGTTTGCAGTTGAACAGTTGGTTTTTTATTAATTAAAGCTACCACATCAAGTTCTTCATCTACGTCATCATCTTCTTCTTCATCTGAAGATATAGGTTTCTTGGATATAGTTTTAACTGGAGAAGTATGAGGGCTAGATCTATGATGATCATAGAGTCCTAATGGTGAACTTTCCTTTTCAAGAGTATGATGTTGTTCTTCATCATCATCATCATCATTAAACGCAGATAATAATTTTTGTTTAGTAAATACAATTTTCTTTTCAAATTCGGGTCTGATATCTTTATTTCTCTTTTGAACATTTAAGAATTGTTCAGCTTCTTTTAATTGTTTACTTGATACATGATCAGTAGGATTGGCATTTGAAACTACTGAATCATTGAATTCATTATTTAAATCATTTTCTTCATCAGTTAAAGTAGTGGTATTAAGTTCATCTTGTAATTGTTGTTCTTTTTGTTCTTTTTCTAACCGTTGTTGTCTTTTTATTTGAGCTAGTTTTTCAATCTTAGCTAGACGTTCTTCCTTTGATAATGGTTTATAGTTATTTTCTTTTTCACTTTGATGTTGATCATTTTCTTCTTCTTCATCATCATCTTGAGATAAGAATAATGAGTTTAAATCAGTAGTTGGTTTCGAAATTATAGGTTGAGTGTCATTTATAGTATTATTATTATTATGTATGACTTGAGTTGAAGATTCATTGGATATGAATTCAGATGCATCTATTTCTAATTGAGGTAATTTTTGAATTTCTTGTCCTGAAGTTGGAGTATCCTCATGATCTTCATCTTCATCCTTTAACATTGAATTATCAAAATTGAAATCAAAGGGGATTGATACTTCTTGAGTAGGTTCTATTTGAGTTGATTGTTGAAGTTGATTCAGATTCACATGATCATCCTCTTCCTCATTTTCCTCTACTTCTTCTTCATTTTTGTTATCATCACCAGTTAATCTTTTCCTTATACCATTTAAAAGGTTAAGATTCAAACCTGAATCTTTCAGTAATGATTTTGCAAGGGCACCAATATCGAAATTGAATCTAAGATCATTTGATTGATCATTAGATTGATCTTGCTTATGAGATATCTGGTGTTCTCCTTCCTCTTCTTCGTCTGAAGAAGAAGATTCATCATTATTATACAGCAATTGAATTTGATTCAATTGAGTAGATGATAGATTTTCATCTAAACCATCTAATAAGTCCATATTTGTTCTACTAATTGATTGATACTAGTAGATACTTACTGGATGATGATATGATATGATATGATATGAACCAGTGATTGATGAATGGTAATGATAAGTATTGATTGTGCTGCCAAACTTCATTTCAACTTGTGCTGCCTTTTTCCTTTACATTTTCCCTTTAAAGCGCGAACTGTTTGTTTACTATTATAATTTACGTGTTTTTGTGTTATCCTGTATATAAATCACATGATCCCCTAATATACAGGATCAGAGATCTTGGGAACCCAACTTATTTGTTTTGTTTTTTCACATGCATTTTTATATTTATATATATTTGACCGAGTCACGTGTGCTATCGTATAGTCCTGTATATACCTTAACTATGAGAATTAACCCACGAGTCAAAAAAAAGAAATTAAGCAGCTAAACGGTCGTTAACTACTGAACAAAAATATATTGTGGCTCTTCGCCAAAACCAAAAGAAAAAAAAAAATTCTGACTTAATTTGGAAGCGTGTGTGTTGATTGATAGCGTTAATTATATGTGTTATATAAATATCACCCAAATTTTTCAACAAATCTAAATTTGAAAATGAGGAAGACGAAATTTTTTTTACAATCTTTCTTCTTCTTTCTTCTTTCTTCTTCTTCTTACTTTGTCAATCGATCCATTAACTTAACTTCCCTAGTTTAAGTCATCTCTGATTAACATATATCCAGTTCTTCCCTATAATGACTGCTGCCAAAGAAACTTTTTTTTTCACTTCTGAATCCGTCGGTGAAGGTCACCCTGATAAGATTTGTGATCAAGTGTCTGATGCTATTTTAGATGCTTGTTTAGCTGTCGATCCTTTATCTAAAGTTGCTTGTGAAACCGCTGCTAAAACTGGTATGATTATGGTTTTCGGTGAAATCACTACCAAAGCTCAAGTTGATTTCCAAAAAGTTATTAGAGATACTATTAAACATATTGGTTATGATGATAGTGAAAAGGGGTTTGATTATAAAACTTGTAATGTTTTAGTTGCTATTGAACAACAATCTCCTGATATTGCTCAAGGTTTACATTATGAAAAAGCTTTAGAAGAATTAGGTGCTGGTGATCAAGGTATTATGTTTGGTTATGCTACTGATGAAACTGATGAAAAATTACCTTTAACTATTTTATTAGCTCATAAATTAAATGCTGCTTTAGCTTCTGCTAGAAGATCTGGTGCTTTACCTTGGTTAAGACCTGATACTAAAACTCAAGTTACCATTGAATATGAGAAAGATGGTGGTGCTGTGGTTCCAAAAAGAGTTGATACCGTTGTTATCTCTACTCAACATGCTGATTATATTTCAACTGAAGATTTAAGAGAAGAAATTATTAAACATATTGTTAAACATGTTATTCCAGAACATTTATTAGATGAAAGAACCGTTTATCACATTCAACCATCTGGTAGATTTGTTATTGGTGGTCCTCAAGGTGATGCTGGTGTTACCGGTAGAAAAATCATTGTTGATACTTATGGTGGTTGGGGTGCTCATGGTGGTGGTGCTTTCTCTGGTAAAGATTTCTCTAAAGTTGATAGATCTGCTGCTTATGCTGCTAGATGGGTTGCTAAATCTTTAGTTAATGCTGGTTTAGCTAGAAGAGCTTTAGTTCAATTCTCTTATGCTATTGGTGTTGCTGAACCTTTAAGTATTTATGTTGATACTTATGGTACTTCCAGTTATACTTCTGATGAATTAGTTGCTATCATCAAAAAGAATTTCGATTTAAGACCTGGTGTTATTGTTAAAGAATTAGACTTGGCTAGACCAATCTATTTAAAGACTGCTTCTTATGGTCATTTCACCAATCAAGAAAACACTTGGGAACAACCAAAAAAATTAAAATTTTAAGTTAAACCTATGACTTGAAAGTTTTGATTTAATAGGTTGAGTTTTCAATTTTAAACTCCCTATCTCCTCCTTTCCTCCCTCCCTTCCCTTTTTTTATTATCACTATTATTATTATTGTTTTGTTAAAGCTTTCCAATCCCTTGGTTTGAGAAAGATAAGAAAAAATTATAATACTTAATGACTAATGTAATGAAATGACTCACATGAATTATAATATTCACAATCTAAAGATTCAATGCTCAACTCGTTGTTTCTTAAAAATTAATACAACTCACTTTTTTTTTATTACTATTTGCTAGATCATTTTTTGGCTTCCAACTTACTTTTCTTTCTTCTTTTTTTCTATTATTAATTACTACTACATTTTGTACTTTTTCAAAATCATCATCATCACAACACACACAACTTATTTATCGTTTTGATAAAGGATAGAGTTTTTTTATTGCATTTGGGGTCCTCAACGGACAATTAAGGTTATTAGAACTAAAATTTTTTTTTGATTTTTCTTTTTTTTCTTTTTTTTTTTGGATATAGAGCACTTTAGATATTTGCATATAGAAAGATTATACATTACGTGTTTTTTAGAATTGAATTGATAATAGTTGTAGTTTATGTCATTGTAGAAATGATAAATATTAGGTATATGTATTCTATGGTGGGTTGATAGTTGATAAGAAAATATCAACTCTATAAACAGAACAAACAAAAAAAAATCAAACAAACAAACTATAAATCACAAACTAATCACCATTCTAATAATCAATGGGTAAATGACTATTCACATCAAATAAAGCATTAAAATACTTGAAATAACTGAAATAAGCCATCACAATCCCAATCAAGGATCCAAACCCAACATCAAAGAAATGATGTCTATAATCTTGAGTCCTACTTAAGGCAATATAACTAGCAAATAATACCGGTAACGAGAAGGCCAAATAAAGATATAAATTAGATATGAATTTATGAGGAGTAGCGCCCTTTGATAATACTTTGAATTGACCAAATAACCAGAATGAAAGATATAATAATCCTGCAAATGACATTGAAGAATGACCGGATGGAGTTGATTTCATTCCATCCATAAGATACATTGGACCCAATGGCAGGGTACAACAATCTATATCGACAAGAACGTCAATTGGAGTAGATGCTTTTGGTCCACATCTACTAAGGAAATCAGGTCTGGGATTTCCAATCCAACATTTCAAAATATCAGTTAATACTGCTGCAAAGACAACACTGAACCATAATCCTACGTTGGATACTTGTAGAAGGTGTAATTTATCAAAGAATGAGCTGGTAGTGGTAGTAGTTGTTGTGGTTGTTATTGTGGTGGTGGAAGTGGAAGATGCCATAGAGATACTGGTTTTATCCTTATCAGTAGATTCTGGAGATCCATTATTTGTAGTGATTGAATTTGATGTTATTATAACTGGTGAATGAATCAACGATATAAGTGATACTAAAATAGAAGGAACGATCAAACTCCATAAATATAACTCATTATCAGTAAATCTTTCTTGTTTGGCAAATGGATGAGAAATTCTTGAATCATTAATGGAAAATTGTCTTGTGAATGGTGGTGCAGTTTCTAATACATTAAAGAATATAATGATTAATACCACTATGGTGATCCAATCAGGAATGAATTTCTTAAACTTATCCGACGAAAAATATAACTTCATCGTTTAAGTGACTTTGACCCTGACTTGTGGCTTTCAATTGATGGTTGATGGATGTGTAAATATGATAATATTGCTACACGTTTTATTTTTTTGGTTTGGCTTGTTTGATTTTGGTTTGATTGTCAGATCCGCAAAATCAATACTAATTAGGAAATCTGTTAACAAAAAAATGGCACCCAAAAGAAAAAGGAAGAATTTTTTTTTTAGCTGTTTAGTTCAATTGAATGGAGTTTACTTGGTATCGTTTGATGATTCATTTTGGTGATACTTATATAGTCTTCTTCTTATAATCAAGACTCATCCCTTAGTCATCTCCGCCTTTTCAAGTTTGTCACTTTCTAATTATATCCATTCCCCCATTTAGCGACATAGTTGAGTTACAAAATTGATTGATTCCTCCGGTAGGGCCTGGAACCGGACCTTCCTTCCCAATTAGGAAGCGCTTCGCCAGTCAACCTCTTCTTGTTTCTTAATAGGACACGGCTTCTTCAATGAATGGGGGTGTAACACAAGGACGAGACCCTTGATGTAGGAACTAGACCCAGACCTAGACCAAGCATTAAGCCTGATTGTATCATCGATTCTTTTGCTGCATATTTCACTACCTTAAATCATCATTTATTCTTTAAACCGTTAGGTCAAAAAAAAATTCTTTTCCAAAAATGATGTGTTGTTTATATGCAGGAAATGGTTATTTATTTCTCTCTCTTTTTCTTCTTGTTACCATATACTATTGGTGATTCCCCACTGATTAAACATTTAAAATACGAACAATCCTCAAAGATGATTTACGTTCTTAAACTGAAAAGTTAATATGTATATGAACATGTAGTAACTCAATATAATAAAGTTTTAAGAATAATTAAAAATCGAAAATTTCATAGGACAGTGGATCTAATTGGGAAAAATATGTGGGGATGGTGGTTAAGCTAAAGAGAGAGAGAGAAAAACAAAATATTAAAGGTACAGGGAAATTTCAATTTAACTAAAGGAAGTAAGTAAGATTATAACTTTAATATTCGAATTAATAGTTAATCTAATGATGAATTGATTGACAATGGTCGGCGAAATAACTGGCTAAATATGAAATTACTGGCTGAAAAGTAGTACTCAGTGGCAGCTAGGGAGATTATTTTACCCTCGCATATAAAACCTAAACAAGAAAAATAGAAACAAAAATCAGACATCAAATCAAATTTTTTGTCTTGTGTCTGCTTCTGATTAAAGTGTCTGATTATTATTTTTCTGCTGCCTGGGCTTAATTACATTAAAAAAGTTTCACCAGCCTGTTAAAACTAGTAATTTTAAAGTTGGGCTAATCACCTTCCTCTCTCCTTCCCCCACGAACCGATTGACCCATGTGCCTTGTTTAAAAATTTTCACTACTACGAGATATTAATTATTATTATTATTATTATCTTGCGTATTACTATATATATTCGCTACTTTATGAGTTAACGCCATTCAACGAGATGGTAACTTTTGTGTTTCATAAATTTTAGGGATAGAACTCCTCGTGTAACAGCCATTGAATATGTAATTGATGGTTTGGTTTTGTATATTCAGCTAGTGTTCGGCTATTCAATTAGCTATGAGCCAATTAATTGTATTATTCCTTCATAACATAAAACGTTTTTCAAATAGTGTTCATGGAGGGTTGTGTGTCAAATTAAATAGTAAATCAATTGATGTAATATAAACGAATTCAATAATAATAAATAATAAATAATAATAAAAATAAACAAAATTAAATTAAAAATGACGAAATTAAAAATAAACAATAACTACTGAAATATCATTACCCATTGCTGCTAACTACACTACAGTTTCTCCTCCCTAAACCTCTCCTCCAAAACAAAAAATTAACATATCATCCATGAATAAATATTCCCCTATAGATTATCTACCATAGCGATCGTAAGATTTGTTAGGGAGGATGGAAGGAGGCTCAAAAATTATTCACTAATCCCTCACTATCAGACAATTGCTACCTGATGTTATTGTTGTTGTCGCCTTATTGTCCTCTGATCAAACTTTATTAGTAGGAGCGACCCTGGTCAATTGGTCTGATCTAAGATTAGCAATAAAATTCATAGTCTAGCGAGGCAAGTGGTAAGAAATTATGAGCTAAAACTTCAAATTTTCTCAGTAACCACTTAAAATTTAGGCTTTATTATCCTCTCTCTCTCTCTCTTTTTCTTTTTTCATTTTCATTTGATATTTTAACCACTTTATTATTTCCTATTGTATAATTTATTATTTATTGTTAAGTTAAATAATAAAGGTTATCATGTAAAGCAATAAGCAATAACTCAGTTAATTGGATCTTAGTTCGTAAATTGATTCAATATGTTACCAATTTAAAACAGAGAAAGTTGTTGAAGAAGGAGAAAATGAGAAATTGATAATGGTTAAGGGGCTATTAACCTTTTAACTATATTCTTCTCCTTCATTCAATTGCCCGATATCATAATGCAACGAACACAAGTGGACGGCAGATGAAGGTGGATTTTCAAACCTGGAATGGGTTACATTTACATAATACATTTGACAGCAATAATGTATAAATAAATTGAATTCAAATGCAAATTTCAATTTCAATTTATTGATTAGCGTATACGTAGTTGTACTTTTTCTGATTTCTTACCTTAAATTATCTTCATATCTCCCCGACCTTGCTACACTTGCAAAATAAATCGCTCCACTAATAATAATCATTATTATATTATTATTTGTAGGGCACAAGTTACAGATGAACCTTATCTTTGATGGATATTCTCATGCTTGTTTTAGTCAATGCATTTCGGGTTAAGGTAATGAAAGTTTTCATTAATCCTCGTGGGAAAACAGTTATGTATATTATTAAACTTACCTAAAAATAAAAATAAAAATAAAAATAAATATTAAAATTTTACAATTTTTTCATTTTCTCTTATCTTTATCTGTTTCCTCCTCTTTGTTTGATTCAGAAATTTAAAAATTTTAAAACTACAATGTGTAAATAATATCAATTATCACAAATAATATTATATTTGTAAACCTCTATATATATAAACGAATGAACAGATGAAAACTAAGTTGTCAAGCGATTGATCTGACTTGGTTTAATTCAATTCAATTTCAATCGAACGACAACCATTTTTCAAAAATAGAAAAACTATTAAACACTGTATTATTAAATAAAAACCATAAAGAAAATAAAGAAAATAAAGAAAACTGATCTGCTATAATTTAACATAAACTAATTACAATAACTAATAGTTACATCGATATAATTGAAAAATATAATAATGAATGTATTATTAGATTATTATTAGTAAAATTATTATATTAAGAAATAGAAACTTATAAATCACTTAAATGTATTTGACATGAAGAAGGAAAGGGGGGAATGTAAAAAATAGACGAGAGCTAATTAGCTTATTGCTTTTCTTCAGAATCATAAGATTCTTCTTGAGTAGCATATCTATCTTTAACCAATTTGGTGGCATCAAGTTCACCATGGTATTTTTCACAAATTTCTTCTAAAGTCATTCTCTTGGTTTCTGGGATTAATAAAGTCGTACCAATACCTAATAACATGAATAAGGCAAAGATTTCTAAGACATGTGGTAACCAACAGTTAGCATCATCAGCAGCACAACCTCTGTTAACTAACGTTCCTAAAGCGGTTTGAGCAACAATGGCACCAACTTTACCGGAAGCAGCAGATAAACCATGAGCAGTGGATCTGTATCTGGTTGGGAAAACTTCACCTGGAATGATGAAAGTAGTAGAGTTTGGACCGAAATTTTGGAAAAATTGAGCAACAATATAAACACCTAATTTACCTCCTTCAGTTAATCTGTGGTAAGCAAACCCGAAAACACATAATAAGATGGTTAACATGGTGAAACCTAATAATTGAATTGGCTTTCTACCGACGGTATCGACAGTAGCAATAGTTGCCCAGTAACCTGGTAAAGCACCGGCACAGACTAAAATTAAATTACCAACAGCAGAATCGTATAATTTTTCGTAAACATTGGCAGAACCAGCGTAACCGATAGTTTGCAAAATAGTAGCAGTATTCAAGTTAAGACCATAGTAAGCAACATCTAACATGAACCATGAACCGGCGGTACCAAGTAAAATTTTACCATATCTCCATTGACCAAAATGACCCCAGAAATCTTTTAAGGAAGCTTTTGGAGCAACAATTTCATGAGCTTCGTTAGCAATGGCAGCTTCAGCATCAGCAACTTTTTCTAAGGTGTCATGTTCATTGACATCTAAAGAATATCTTGGAGATTCGGCAATAGTTAATCTATAGTATAAAGCAATACAACCTGGGACACAACCGAAACCGATTAAGATTCTCCACATTTGATCGTTAGCTTTTAAACATCTACCAACACATTCAGAACCTTTGGTAGCGAATACTAAATCGTCCTTGTAAGCAGCAACAACAACAACCGCAACAATACCACCTAATAATTGACCTAAACCTTGATTAGAGAAAACAGCAGCCATAATAGCACCTCTCCATTTGGTAGTAGAAAATTCAGATGAGATAATGGAAGATAATGGATAATCACCACCAATACCAATACCCATAATAATTCTTAAAGTGGAGAAAATAGCAACGAAGTTAATAGCTGGAGATTGACCAACTGAACATTGAAAAATAGTAGCACAAATAATAACAATCAATTCTAAACCATAAATCTTCTTACGACCGAAGAAATCGGCAGACATACCAAAACCAACCTGACCAATGACAGTACCAACAGAAGTAGTAACCTTAATTAAAGTAGTAGTAGAAGCTGGCATAGAACCTTTCCAGAAAACATAGGACAACATAGTAGTACCTAAATTAATAGCGAAAATATCGTAAGAATCGGTCATGAAACCAACACCGGCAATCATAATCATCTTAACTTGAGTCCATCCAAAACCTTGATGATCAATTTCTTCTAAAGCTAATCTTCTTCTTTCTAATGGATCTTCAATATGGGCGAATTTACCAATATAATCCTTGAAGGCGGTTTTACCACCGAAATTATTTTCGTGGTATTCCTCGTTGATAACGTTTTCAGTAGTAGTAGCCATTTTGATAAATAAACTGCAATTGATCTATGAAACTGATGATATAGAAAAGAATAAAAGGAATATAAAAAGGAATTGAAACTAAATAAATTTTTTTAAATCTGGGAAATTTGCAGTATATTTATATCATAAGTTTGAAATAAAGGGAATAATCGTTTGTCCTAACAAACCTTATAGTTAACTATTTTGTAGATAGAGAGCGATGTGCTCTTCCTTAGTGTCTGATATTATTATTTTTTTTAATTGCACTCGAAATAATTATTTTTTAACTTTCTTTTTTTTTTTATAAATTTCATGCATGAAAATTACCAGAAAAGAAAAAAAAAAAGAATTTCTAAAAAAAAAAAAAAAAAAAAAAAATCCAAAAAGACAAAATTGCCTTACCAATTACTATTTCTTTTTTTTATTTTTTTTGGATTAAAGAAGTACTGGCTCTGCTCAATAACTTAGATTCGCAGACAATTATGGTATTCTATATTCTTTTTAGCGGTAGGTTCTTAGCGTGTTCCCTAGCGCTGAACTTAATTTTTATATCACATTAGCCAGAACGTTTAAGTTTTTTTGAAATTCTATCAGATTTCAATTGAAGTCGTTACAAGCTTTTTTTTATTTTTCTTGTATAGATCAATTGACTTGTTTTTCCTTCTATTTTGTTGATGATAGTAGCCCCTACCAAGAGATGTATAGTAAACTAAGCTTCTAGACTGAATGACGAGAATTCTTGTCCACCTGTCAAATAGTTACTGCGATAAGGAAAATGGAGCTTACATTATTCTCCATCGGTAAATCTCCCGCTATTCCTCCCTTACGCTCTATTAAAAATATTTACCAGACATTAAACACCGTAGTATATTGCCCTGCGTACCAAAAAAATCATACAAACTTACTACGTAATGTTTAGTGTCCGCCACTTGCTGGATAAATCAACGAAAAATAAAAAAAAGCCTAAACAGAAATGGAATTAAATAAATTGCACTTTAAAAAAGATATTGAAAATAGGTCCCGTGGCCCCCCCCCCTTGACTGTTTTTGGTTTCTTTTTTTTTTTAATGGCAACTTTCAAATTATGTATTTGCAAAAACGTTTATTGGATTTATTAAAAATAATATCATAAAATTATCAATTTTTGTCTGCTTCCATACAGTTAAACCATGGCAGCCCTGTAATTTGATTTTAATTACCCAGAGATGAGGTAAATTCAAACCAAACCAAAACAAACCTCAAAACAAGCTAAACCAAAACAAAAAATACTTGATCGACTATTAAGCATCAATTAATTCATGTAAGTTAATGTGAACTGGTCCATTGCCTTAGTGCTTATAAATGAATTAACTGAGACTTCAGACAATATTTAAGTTATCAGTAAAACTTTATCTCTCCACTTTTCCATAAATCCAGTATTTACTCCACTAACTGTGCTTTAGAGGAAATTCAGTCAAAAGGTTTAAACTAGATATTAAAAAAAAAAGAAAAGAAAAGACAGAAAAGACAAAAAAGACAAAAATAAAAAAAAGGTAAAAATAAAGATAAAAATAAAAATAAAAATAAAATAAAAAGAAACTAACATGAATAAACAAAGCCGCCGTTAACATCCTAATTCTTTAAGCATTAAAAATATTGCTCAGTGCCCATTGTTCTAGTTTGATTGGTAATACAGATTGTGCCCTATAATACATGGATAAATCTAATACAGTACAGGTAGACGAGTATGGCAAGTCCAAAAAAAAAATAATGTTGATGAAATAAACTAAGCAGGGATATTGTAGTTATGAACTGGATTCTTTGTTTGAAATATGCTTAGATGATTAAATCTCAATTCCGTATTTAAGCAACTACAGGTTACTTCATTCATACTGCTTGAAATTAATGTACATATTCTAAAGATTTAGGCGGCATCCAATTTCGGCGGATTGGTATTTTCGTTTCTTCTTTCACTTTTTTTGATGTTTTGCAGTATAATATTAGTGATGTTATAACCTTTTTCATCTTCGGTGTTATTACCACTTTGAATGTAAATTCAGACACTTTTTGATGGTTTAGGATGAATATATGCATACGATTATTTTAAGCTTTAAATGACTTTACAACTATCACTATTTTTGACTTTTGGGTTATTTTCTGTATAGTTTAGTTTAATACTTTATCTAGAATAATATGGGGTGTAGGTTGAATAAATCATTATAACATTGACGTAAATCTCCCCTCCACCCCCATCACTTCACTAAGTTTATTGGTCTCTAGAAGGCAGCGGGAGCTTCTTTTTTGATAATCGGTGGTAGTGGTAGATCCCTGTCCATGTCATGGTGAGCTAATCAACTTTATATTTTTTTTATTAGTGAGTTTTGTGTATTGGCCTAGAACCACATATTATTTTGATTATACATTTGTGATTTCTTCTTTTTCATTCTCCCTAGACAGTAATTAGTCCTAGCGGCCGTTTTGAATAATCATGTAAATTAATAATTATTTTTAATTATTGTTAGCTGTTTTTCTTTTTTTTGGTACTTTGGTTATATTGTTACTTCAAACCTATACTTAAAATCTAAATCACCAGTTTTCAACTGAATTTTTATTTGTAGATTTGATCAAGAGGTTCTTTCAAGATCATTTTATACTTACAACTAATGTCGACGAAGAAACAAAGCTTTTAGAGATAAGAAAAATAGAGATCGCTGTAATATCTACAACACGAAAAAAAAAATGCTTGACAAACAAAAGGCTTGGGGGCTAATGTTATTTATCATGGCAAACTCCTTGCAACAAGGTTAATCTCGTATTATCATACAATGATTTCAATGGTGACAGCTTATTTCGCTAACTTACTGTCACTCTCACTAAATCCATTTAATAATTTTTTTATTTTTCGTTAGGTGCAAAACCTAACTACATATATGTCTATATTGTATGATTTTGAATAACATCTAGAACAAAACTTCGTAAATGGTAATCCATTGGGTTATTAAGACTTACATCAATCGTCACGATACTATTAACTTACAATGATGATAGTTGTGAAATTTATTTGCAGGTCTGTGGTGTTTAGAAAATATCTCTAAAATTTAAATCGAAGTGAGCATAAAGCAAATTTAGGGGGTTTATGAAATATGGACCAAAGTTTATGAAATATTAAAATCGTTTGGTAAGGCTAAACAAATTTGTTAACTCTAGGGAGAATTGAGTCGCTAAATTTAGGCAGAAATCTATCAAACAATATTTCAAAAATTACCGTTGAAATCCATTTTTCACACTAAAATTTTTAACCATGCACAGTAGAGTACACCCCACGTGTACCTCGAATTTTCGCAACATTTCCTTGGCTGGAGGTGCTGCAATTAACAAAAAAAAAAAAAAAAATACAATGCAACCTAAAAAAAGAAAATATAAATCCTTAAAAAATATTTTTTCGAGAGGGCCCACGTTTATGGATAGATCGCACGACCCACGTGTATCAATTTAAATCAGATTATCTTCCATAGTAAACAATTATATTTTAAAGTATAAGGGAATTAAACATACTCTTTTTTTTTTTAATTCATTTTTTTTTTTTTTTTTTTTTTTTGGCACATCGTAATTTTCCTTTGCAGTATTCTCATACAATAACTAAAATTTGGAGTATACGGTACGAATTGTTAATTATGAGTTGGTTTTTTTTTTTTTATTTTTACATTTGATTTATTTTTAAATGCTTCTATTTTCGTTATTTTTTATGTTAGATTCCCTTGTAATCGTCATATGGAGAAAGTTTAGATGAGATGAGATGACACTAGTAAGAGCTATAGCCAGAAATGGGGAAAGAACGATGGTTAGATGCCGAACATATATCCATTAGAAAATCCGCCATTGTCAATTCCAATCAATTGATGAGAGAAGGTTTTTTGGTGGTTGCAATATCACTTTCCTAACTCAATTGCTACAATTAGGCTAAAATTTTTGGAATCATTTATAATTTGATGTTGCCAGCTTTTTAGAAAGTATACACAAAATGGAATTATCAGAAGGAAGAGAAGAGAAGAGAAGTTAACCAGACAGAAACGATAAAGGTAAGTTTAATGGCTGTATAACGGATATTGATTCAAGGAAATGTATGGCCATCTATTTCATGCTAACTATTATTAATCAAAATAATCAAAATGCCTTAAATCAATTGACTTAGTTATCAGATAATGGCTCAACCAAATCTAGGTTTTTAATTGAATTATGATGAACGTGGAAATTTACTTCCAACTACATGATTCAACTGATTCGATCTACCATTAGTTTATTCAAGTCAGACAAACAACTTTAAAATTCATTTGTGGCAACGCATCAATTACTACCTCAATTAGAATTTCCATCGCAATTCTCATCTCATCAGTTCATTTCTTTTTTTACAATACTGAAATTAATCTAATAATTATCCATATGGAAATAATGTCTTCTCCATTGTAAAATAGTATTTTTTAGATTAACATGGAACATCTATGGAGTCGTATCGTTCTGTATATGACTATTTCAAATAAGAAACCCACTGCTGATGGCTAGGTTCCCGGTAATTTATCTATCATGTAAACCTATATAAAAAAAGCCTAAAATTATTTAGAGTTGGTTCCCCATGCTATCTCTTACTACATCAGGAATCTCTCGCCTGCATGCAGGAAACAATCGATAGTATACCAAAAATATTATTATTAACTCAAAAAATAAATAAAAAAATAAAAAATAAAAAAAAACATTAAAAAAATTAAAAAAATTAAAAATTAAAAAAAAGAAATGAAAATGGAAATTATTGTCTTATTTAATTTTTAATTGTCTTTTTTTTTTTTTTTGATCCTCGCTGGGTGTGCTTCACATAAGAATTAAAAAAAATACAATTTTTGATAATTATCAAATTTAAATTTATTTGGCACACGAGGGTTAACTTAATTGAGTTAGTTGGCGTGTGAGTTTTAAATTTCAAGGAGAAAGTTGCATAAAACCGTTAAATTATAGTTTTTTGGTTTGTTTGGGCTTTTTTTTTTTCTTATTGAACTCAATTTGGATTTTAATTTATGAGGTTTGTCTCTTTTAATAAACCAATTCAAGCAACTTTTAATCATTATAGAGGATATGGTTTGCATATTTTTGAATCTTATTTTTTAATTAATGCTTTTGAATAATTCAGTTATATCTTAGTTATTGGTTAATTCAAATGGGGATTAAATGTCTGATTTAATGATGTGTCTATTGTATTCGCTTAGAATGGGTTGATCAGTTTTGTTTTCAATTAATTTTCCTCGAAATGGGAGAATACCAAATTAGGATAATACCTTTCATTGGTTTTCGTAAAGTTTAATTGTTTTTATTTTATTTTGATTTATATTAATATTTATATTTTTTTGGTTTGATGAATGTGGTTGAACTAATTTCTCCTTGACCCCCCTCTCATTATAAGCTCTGAGTAGAAAATATTTAAAGTGGTCCATTATATTATATCAGTGGTTTGAAACAACTTTGTAAGGGGATAATGAATTTGATGATGACCGTCGTTCCAGACCAATAAGTATAAGCAAAACAATTCAAATTATACCTGCTGTATTTCAATTCAAAATAATTTAATATTTTTGCCCCCTAATTCTAATTTAATAATAAATTACCACTACAAAGGACATATATTATTACAATCATAAAAAAGCTCCACAAATATGAAAATCCAAAAAAAAATTCAAAAAAAAAAAAATAAACAAATTCAGAAAATAATTTATTTTTAACTATCTTGGCGGGATAAAAATAAAAAGCTTGAGTCGTGTGACTGAACTGATTGAGAGATAAATCTCCCTAATGGTAGTAAACTGTCTGAGTTGAAAGAGTATGGGTTAAAAAATACTGCTGGAATGTGTTAAAATGAATCAGAAATATTTTGAATTTGAATAGTAAAAAATAATCGTCAGATTGATTAGGTTCGTATATCATGATTGTATAGTAGTTTGAAAGCCTTTAAGAATAGGGGTACATGATAAAACAATTGGATTGAATCGAAGTAGTTCATTCGTTATCTGATTTTTAAGTACAGTTAAGCTTCCCTAGGTCTAAGTACTAATAAATTAGATTAGACCTTTCTTTCTTAATTCCAGGTTTAACTTAACTTTAAAAACAAAGTTTATAGAGTGAGCTAACAATTTTTAAATTTAATCAAGAAATCAATCATTAGAATAATTCAATAAATTCTATTTTAAGGTTAATAATTATAATTTGACCCAATTTTCGCAATAAACTTTTAATTATTGAAGGTTTTTTTTTAAAAAAAGCTCGGTAAACTGTTATAAATTCCAGATCACATGACCAATTCACACGTGATGTAGTTAATAAAAAAAATATATCCCTTATTTTTAAACCATTCATTCTTATACACAATATTATTTATTTATTTATCTACAGCAGTCCAAAGATCTAATCTTTATTATGTAAGATTTTTGTTGATTAGTAAGTGAAGGATATATCTTTTCTCATAACCGTTAACATACGTGTTATTATCTTCTACTTGTGTACTTACGTTCACTCATTCATTCATCCATCCATCTACTCCTTCATTATTTGTAAGTATGATGATGTGTAATATTTGAATCTAATATTAGACACGAAGACACGCCCAAAAAAAAAAAGAGCGTGTATTTTTGTGGGAGTGTACTTTGTTCAGAAACCATAATTTATGAACAGAGTGAAAGTTAAAAAGTGTAAATTTAATTCGTATATTAATAAGGAAGGAATCTAAATCAAACTATATATATATCCTTCTTCTTTCTACCCTTTTATCATCAAGTTAACTATATTCTGATCTTTTCATTAATTCATTCAACTGATCTGTGAAATAATATATTCTTTCGTTATCCCGTTTTCATTACGCTAGTCAATTCATCCACTTCACCCCATCAAAACTAAATTCCCCCCAACCCCCCTCCCTTATAACACATATACCCTTCCATAATGGTCAATACAAGACAACTCAGAGTAGTGGCATTAGCTGCGTTTGTCCTTACTTTGATCTTCATCTTGTATAACTCCAGTGTTGGAGATTTAGTGGTTTCGGAAGGTTCTGACTCCACCAATATTAATAAATCTTCCGATGATCTTGATTTAAGTTCGATTAATAAATTATCAACAACAAATCAAATTGTTTCACCAAATGCGGTGGTTGATTCTAAAAAGAATAATCCAAATACCCCTAATAAGATTTCTAATTTGATTGAATCGAAAAATAATGATAAACAAGATGAAGCTATTAATCAACAAATTTCAAAATTAGGTTCATCATCATCATCTTCAAGTAATATTGTCATTGATGAAGAAGATGAAATCATCCCCGTTAAAGGTGGGGCCAGTTCTAATACTGTTGGTAAAGGTAAATCCTCCTCTTCATCTTCAAATGATGTTGAAGATAGTAATGTTAAAATTGTTGATTCACCATCAGTATCTGCTGCTTCAGCTGCTTCAAGTCCATCAGGTAAATTCGATCCTGCTAAAGCTTTATTAGAAATTAGATCACTTGCTCCAATGATTATCTTTTCCAAAACTTATTGTCCATACTCCAAACGTATCAAGTCATTATTAGCTGATAATTATGATATTTCTCCAAAATATTATGTGGTTGAATTAGATAAACATGTCAATGGAGCTGAATTACAAGCTCATTTAGCTGAAGTTACCGGTAGAGCCACTGTACCTAATGTTTTAGTAGGTGCATCATTAGAAAGTAGAGGTGGAGCTGATGATTTTATTAAATTACATAAAGATGGTTTATTAGCTCAATCAATTCAAAAATGGGGGTAATTCAAAAATATCAGTTAAAAAGAATAATGCACCTTCAAATGCTTAAGTAAAGGGTTATTTTTATAGATTGATTTACAATGTCTTTTATATATATATCAGTAATACAAATATTTTTTAAAAATGGAAACACTATTACGAGTTTGACGATGATATTATAAGTATATATAAGTTTATTTTTATATTTAACTAATGTAACATTAAAGAAAGAGTAAAATATGTAAAATTAAATATTTTTTTTTGGAGATTTATTATTTGCTATATTAAAGACTTACTAAACTTTATTTTATTTAAAATTTAGAGAATTGTTTAGCTTTTGAAGCAGCAGCAGCAACTTTAAGAACGTTAAATCTAACAGTCTTAGAAATTGGTCTACATTGACCAACGGTAACAACATCACCTTCTTGAACTCTGAAAGCTGGAGAAAGATGAGCAGCAACATTCTTATGTCTCTTTTCGTATCTATTATATTTTGGAACATAATGTAAGTAATCTCTTCTAATGATAATAGTTCTATGCATTTTAGTTGAAACAACAGTACCAGTTAAAATCTTACCTCTGATAGAAACAGTTCCAACAAATGGACATTTCTTATCGATATAAGTACCTTCAATAGCAGCCTTTGGGGTTTTGAAACCTAAACCAACTTCTTTAAACCATCTCTTGGTTTTTCTGTTAGCTTTAGCCTTTGGGTTGGTAAAGATATGTGGTTGCTATAAGAAATAAAAGTTAGTATTTAATGGTTTTTAAAAAGGTTAAAATTTTCAACTATTTTGAAAAGTAAAGAGTTATGGAGTTGGAGGTGGAGTTGGAGTATGAGTGTTTGTTTGTTATTTGTATGATGGGCTCAATAATAGATTTAGAAAATGGATAGATGGTTAGGATAGGATGGATAGATGGATTGATGAATATTGATTCATATTAAATATTTTCTTTCAATAAATCTAGATAGTTGAATTATAAGATGATTCAACTTCAGGAATTGTAGTTGATAAGTTTCGATCGATTCTTTAAAGTTAGATCTCTTGATTGATTGAACTTTTACTTTGTTGTCTGTGGGTCTATCTATTGATTTGTCTTTGATTGATTTTTCATGATGAGATGAATTCATTCATTATTTATAAATCTTTCTACATGATTGATTGATGGTAGTTCTTCTTCTTCTTGAGTTGCTTGTGATTCATATGAACATGATCATCTTAGTTATACTTTCTTGTTATCACTCATTATATCATTTCATGATTTACATTTCTTTCATTGATATGATTGATTGGATAAACTCCATCCATATACTCTGTCACTCTGGGTTAAAATAGTTGATATAGATTTGATTAGTACGAACCTTTTGGAAAGCTCTTTCAGATTGAACGGTTAATTCAGTAGCCATCTTTGTCTTAAGTACTTAATATGCTAAAAAAGGATATCTAAATGAAATTTTCTTTTTCAATAAATAGATTTATTTAAAATTAAAAAAATGAAAATTTTTAAAGAACTGTTTGGTTCAGAGTGAGAGTGAGAGCCTCTACCATAGTTAACAGAAAAAAGCGCTAACAAAATTTTCTTTACTATGAGAAATTAAATTGGGTGGTACACACAAAAATGAGTGCGAGGGTTGCAACCCTACCACACGTGATTGACTTTTTTCTCAATTATTTCGAATTCTTACTCTTATAGTACGAGCTCAACATAACATTACCCAATTAGGCATTCTACAATGTGTTTACTTTCAGTTTTGTGGATTGTTTTTATCATAAATATCACAAATAGCTTTAAACTACACCAAATTCATATCTTAGACCATCATCCCCTTTCATATATCACCATCGTTATCTCTTTACAGATCCAGACCATACCATACCATACCAGACCATCAATCCATAGACTGATAGACTAATAGACTAACTGATTGATTGATTGATTGGTCTTATTTTGTTCTCCTTTCCTTCCCTACCATACCCCATTCGTTTCACTTCAATTAACATTATACACAGTTTTATATTGTCTCAAGTTTTATGTATTATTATTCCTATTAAATCATCCTTGTCTTTTGATTGCTAATATCAATGAATTCAACCAATAATAACAACAATAACAATAATAATCATCATGCTAATGGTAATATAGCTTCCAAATATAACCTTCCCAAATTCAATTCAACCGCCAATTCACAAGCTGCAACAACAACTACAACTACAACCACCACCAATGCTGCCACTAATAGAATACCATCCAATCATATTCTAGATTCAACGTTTTTGCATCCAAATGACTCCATAGCGTATAACACCACAAGAACTATAAGTTCATCTTCAACTTCAATGATTAGTACTCCTAGTAATAATATACGAAGATTCCAAAAACATCGTCCTCCTCAAAATAATCAAGATTCAAAACTGCAACAACAATCACAATCACAATCACAGCCACCTCTGAAAACTTCAAAGAATGCTGCTTCTATAAAGAGTAAACTTTTAAATCTTCAACAATCCCTGAAACGGTTTATTGATGGTGATTTCACTCATCATAATCGTAATCATCATCATAATCAACATCCCCATCATAATAGTAACAACAACAATGCCATTGTATCTCAAACTGATATTGATGAAAGTCATCCCAACCGTTCGGTTCCAAGTTTTATTATTCATAAACCAATCAATATGAATGGTTATGATTATTCCGTATATACCAATTATCCAAATGGGATAGATTTACAACATGGGGATCATTTACCCCCTGCTGTTAAAGAATCACAAATAAAAGCTTGGGAATCAGCTGAAAGAATAAGTAAGAATATAATCTTTGGAGATTCAAGTGAATCTGAAGATAATGATGATGATGAAGAAAATGAAGAAGTTGAAGAAAAACATGACATTTATAATGATAAGACTAATAATAAGACTAATGAGAACTCTAATAAATTAAAATCTAATATAATACAGGCTATTCCAGGATATACAAGAGGAGATTTACAAATCATTATCAATGCATTTAAGAATGCCAAATTTAAAGATGAAAGTTTTGATATTGAATTAAAAAAACTTTTAAATGAAAGTAAACGGGATATTCAAATGCATCATGAAAAAGTATTTTCTCAAGCTCATACATTTAATGCTAAACGTCAAATTCAAATCACGCAAAAGAAAGAAGTTTTAACTCGATTATTTGGATTAAATAATAGTTTGAATCAAGATTATATTACTAATAATTCAATCTATTCATCGTTTGATAATAGTTCCAATATTCAAAAGACATTTCTTGAAGATCGTGATGAAATATCTTCATTATTAGAAGAAGATCGAGCATTTTTAGGAGAATTATCTGAAGTTCAACTGGTTTTGAATGAAAAGAAAACTATGGGGATTGAAATTAGTCAATTAATGAATAAAGATGGGTCTAATCCTACTACTACTACTAATGTTAGAAAAAGAAGAAGAACAAGAAGAAGTAGTAGTACTAGTAGTATTAGTAGTGATGAAGAATTTGATATTAATAAATTTGAATATGGTAAATTTCAAACCACTATTAATAAAAGATTAGACACTTTATATAATTCACGGTTAAAGAATGTCCATCATCATCATCCTAGTCAAGTTCTTGAAGATGATGAAGAAGAAGATACCAATGACGTTGACGATGATGATGATAATATTTATGATGATACTATTGATGAATCTAATGATGATTTCCATTTATATACGATTAATTTTCTCAGAAGATGTCTTAAGTTGACAACTGATAACACTAATACAATGGGAAGTGATGAATAGATTCAATTCTATTCCAACTATGTTTTAAATTATGTACTATTCATGTAACTAAATATATAATTAATAATAATATTATTTGTAATAACGGTTAATCATTCTTTTTTTTGCAATTTGCAATAATTGTAAAAATTTCAAACGCCACTTTCCCGCATTGATTCGTAATCCTCACTTTTTTTCACCTCCTCAATCCCATCAATGGCCAATTATTGCTACTCACTCAATTGATTATTAATATCTATCCAATTCATTCATATCTGATTGATAAATAAATGTTTAAGAATTCTTCATCCATCTTGAAAAACTCTGCAAACAGATTAAATACCATCAGTCGACATCTATCCCATTCCAACGTTACCATGGCTCCAATTCAACCTATTAAAAATTATGATTATTTAGTTATCGGAGGTGGATCCGGGGGAGTTGCCTCAGCTCGTAGAGCTGCTAAATATGGAGCTAAAGTCTTGTTAATTGAATCTAAATTTGAACAATTAGGTGGGACTTGTGTAAATGTCGGGTGTGTACCTAAGAAAATCATGTGGTATGCTGCTGATAATGCTCATAGAAAACATCAATTAAAATCTTATGGATTATTATCTGAATCTGAAGATGGAGAAGTTAAATTCGGCGATTTCAATTGGGGGTTGATTAAAACTAAGAGAGATGCTTATGTCAAGAGATTGAATGGTATTTATGCTAATAATTTAAACAAGGAAGGGGTGGAATATTTATATGGGTTTGCTAAATTCATAAATTCTGATGGTGATGTTGAAGTTACTTTAACTGGAGATCAAGAAATTCCATTCTTAGAACAAGGTAAATCATTTAAACAACATGAAAAATTAGTATTCTCCTCTAAAAAAGTGTTAATCGCTACTGGTGGTACTGCCATTATTCCTCCAAAAATTGAAGGTAGTGAATTAGGTATTACTTCCGATGGATTCTTTGCTTTAGAAACACAACCAAAATCCGTAGCTGTTGTCGGTGCTGGATATATTGGAGTTGAATTCTCTGGGGTATTCCAAAGTCTTGGTAGTGAAACTCATTTCATTATTAGAGGTGATACGGTTTTAAGATCGTTTGATGATATAATTCAAACCACCATTACTGATTATTATACTGATAAATTAGGAGTTAATTTATATAAACAATCAGGTGGAGTTACAAAAGTTAAAGCCACTTCAGATGGTAAGAAAAAAGTTTATTTAGGCAATGGAAAGATTCTTGAAGTTGATGAATTAGTTTGGACAGTTGGTAGAAAATCATTAATTGATATTGGATTAGATATTGTTGGAGTTAAGATTAATGATAAAAAACAAATCATTGCTGATGAATATCAACAAACTGCTCATCCAAAGATTTTCTCCTTAGGTGATGTCGTGGGTAAGGTTGAATTAACTCCAGTTGCCATTGCTGCAGGTCGTAGATTATCCAATAGATTATTTGGACCTGAAATCTATATTAAAGATAAATTAGATTATGATAATGTTCCATCCGTAATCTTTTCTCATCCAGAAGCTGGTTCAATTGGATTATCTACCAAAGAAGCCAAAGAAAAATATGGTGAAGAAAATATTAAAGTATACAATTCAAAATTCACGGCTATGTATTATTCCATGATGGAAAGTGATGATTTAAAATCTCCAACCGCTTATAGAATCGTTTGTCATGGGCCTGAAGAAAAAGTAGTTGGTCTTCATATTGTTGGTGATTCAAGTGCTGAAATTTTACAAGGTTTTGGGGTAGCTATTAAAATGGGTGCTACTAAGAAAGATTTTGATAATTGTGTAGCTATACATCCAACTTCAGCTGAAGAACTTGTTACAATGACTTAGATATTTTTTAGATAAATTTAATTAAATTCATGTGTTTATTACCTTGGAATAATCAACCTGTAGATAATGATAGTAATAGTACCTTATCAAGTTTCTTCTTCTGAATTAGCTAAATAATAGAGATTCTCGTAATCAATTTTACGACAAGAAAAGTTAAATTTCAAAAAGGGTCAAAACGGTACAAAGTAGACCGATGGAAATTATTCAACCATTATTATCTTTACTATATTTCAAAATAACCAAAAGTTTTATAATTGTGGATCCAACAACATACTTAGTTATAATTATAACTTATCATTGAGCCAATCATCATTGTTACAGGCGGTTTTAACGTTCCTTTCATCTCAATCATAGAATAACTGAGTTACTTCCGCATTATTTTATCTTTGGGGGGTTTTATAAGGATTTTGCGGTAATTTTTCAAACAATTATTATAAATATACTTTATTATCACTTGTCAAACACATTTATATAATCTCAGATAAGATAACAAAGAACATCTCTATATCAGGATTGCCTTTTCTAAGTTCACTTACATTCCAGAAATAGCCACGAGTCAATTTTGCAGAAATGGCTCCAACCAAAACACCTATAATTGCTAAATCCTTTGATTATTTAGTTATCGGAGGAGGATCCGGTGGAGTTGCATCAGCTCGTCGTGCCGCTAAATATGGAGCAAAAGTATTACTTATCGATGCTAAATTTAAAAAATTAGGTGGAACATGTGTTAATGTGGGATGTGTTCCTAAAAAGCTTATGTGGTATGCCGCTTCTGCAGCTCACGGAAGACATCATTTAAAATCTTATGGTTTAAGTGAAAATGATGATGATGAAGTTAAGTATGGTGATTTCAATTGGGCAAAGTTTAAAGTCAAGAGAGATGCTTATGTTAAGAATTTGAATGGGATTTATGAACGTAATTTGATTAAAGAAGGGGTTGAGTATATGTTTGGGTTTGCAAGATTTATAAATTCAGATGGTGATGTTGAAGTCACATTGAGTGGTGATCAAGAACTTGGATTTTTAGATGAAGGTAAATCATATAAAAAGGATGAGAAATTAGTATTTCAAGCCAAACATATTTTAATTGCTACTGGTGGTACAGCTATTATTCCTCCTAGTGTTCAAGGTAGTGAATTGGGTATTACATCAGAAGGATTTTTTGCTTTAGAACATCAACCAAAATCAGTAGCCATTGTCGGTGCTGGATATATTGGAGTTGAATTTTCTGGAGTTTTTAAGAGTCTTGGTACAGAGACCCATTTTATTATTAGAGGTGATACTGTATTGAGATCATTTGATGATTTGATTCAACATACTATTACTGATTATTATACTGATAAATTAGGAGTTAATATTTACAAGCTGTCAGGAGGAGTTACTAAAGTTGAAGTCGATAAAGATGGTAAGAAGGTTGTTCATTTAGGAAATGGTAAAATAGTTGAAGCTGATGTATTGATTTGGACAGTTGGAAGAAAATCTTTAGTTGATCTTGGATTAGATTTGGCAGGCGTTGAACTTAACCAAAAGAAACAAATCATTGCTGACGAATTCCAAAATACAGCCAATCCAAAAATCTTTTCATTAGGCGATGTTGTGGGTAAAGTTGAATTAACTCCAGTTGCCATTGCTGCTGGTCGTAGATTATCCAATAGATTATTTGGACCTGAAATCTATATTAAAGATAAATTAGACTACAATAATATCCCTTCAGTTATCTTTTCCCATCCAGAAGCTGGATCGATTGGATTATCTACCAAAGAAGCTGAAGCAAAATATGGTAAACAGAATATCAAAATTTACAATACTAAATTCACCGATATGTATTTCGGTATGATGGATAGTGATGACTTAAAATCTCCAACCGCTTATAGCATTGTTTGTCTCTTACCAACTGAGAAAGTGATTGGACTTCATATTGTAGGAGAATCAAGTTCAGAGATCTTACAAGGATTTGGAGTTGCTATTAAGATGGGAGCTACTAAAAAGGATTTTGATAATTGTGTTGCAATCCATCCCACTGCAGCAGAAGAAATAGTTACAATGACTTAGATTGATATTTTGTAATTTCTAAATAAATAGTTAATGAACTGACCTATATTGAAGGGTTTCTATATTACATACTAATATACAATGATTATGGTGATTTCTAATTTGGTTTGACTTATCAACGCCTAACTCTTTTTGGAGGTGGACCTCTAACTGGAGGTTTTGGTTTATCACCAGCTTTCATAAAAAACATAGGAGCATTTTTCAATATATCTGGAACTGAAATGAATCTAATCATAGAACCTCTGACAAACACTTGATTCATATAAGTGGTTGCACCTGTTCTACCTTTAGTAATTACAACATCATATAATGATAAGTTCATATTATCTTCATTTTCAAGTAACTTTCCTCTATACGTATCACCAGTTGTTAATTCCAACGATATGGTATGACCCTGTGCCTCATTCAATAACCGTACAGGGATACCTGCTGACATTGTTATGTGATTGAACTTGGATTAATTAACCTTTCCCAAACGGTCTAGATGGATGGATACCTATTAACTATGGATATCAGAGATGGTTTGAAGTTCCAAGAAAAATAATATCACTATTAAAATCCTGAGCCAATTCACACGACCCTTTTTTTTAATTTACTAATTACACAGACGTATAGCCAGATGATATATCATTAGGGTTTAGTAAAGTATAAATTTTTCAATTTCATTTAGAAAAGATCTTTAATTAGTAATTTTCCAGTATCAGTGATAGACATACCATCTTTTGAGATCAAGGGTTGGTACTATTATGGACCGTTAGTTTAAACAAGGCATAACTGATTTAAAATGACTCCAAGTTCGATTGAGAATCAAAAACCACAAAGACAAAGAAAGAGAGTTCCAATCTCATGTTTGAACTGTAAGAAGAGAAAGGTCAAGTGTGATAAGGTCAAGCCAGCTTGTGGAGGATGTGTTCGTAATGGTGTTGCTCATCTCTGTGAATATTTAGATCCTCACTGGACTCAATCTGAATCATCAAATGGGTTCAAAGAAGGTTCCTCCGAACCCGCTAAAGCTGAAGTTGTACCAATAGAAACCACTGAAACTTATAAACAATTGAAATTACAAAATGAAAAGGTTATTAACACTCAAAGGAAAGAAATAGAAGATTTGAAACGACAATTATCAGTAGTTCAACAGTTTTCTCCCAAGAATCATGATTCTATACCCCATAATGAATGTACTGCAATAACGATTCTCGGGAAACTAAGTACTTCCACCATCAAGAATAGAGATTATTTAGAAGTTATTAATGATCCAACTTTCTTAGTCATACCCAAGAAATCAACCTCCAATAATTATGTCGATACTTATTCATGGATTAATTTGATTAAACTTGATCCGCAGTTAACGGCATTATGGTTCAAGATTACCAATTTACAAAAAATTTATCATGTTTATAAAATGAACTTATTAAAAGCAAACAGTCCATCAAATGTCAATCAAAACAATAATAATAATAATAACAATAATAATAACTCATTAACAAACAAATCAGTTACCACCAATCCTTTATCCAAGAAATCACCTTATAGAATCAATGAGATTGATTTTACCTTTTCTGCTGGTAGCCCGTTTAAAGTTGATGACCAAAGATGTCCTGTTATCGAATGTGATTTCAATTTCATGACGGAAGATACTATAACTCCAAGTCCACATGGAAGTAATTCCCCTTATGCTATCGTAAAATCAATAGATAAACCTAAATTCAGTAAATCAGAAGAAGATCAAATGGCTGAACATGAGATTATATCTGAGAAAGGTAAGAGTTTACTCATCAGATTACAAAACATCTGGGATTCAACCCTTAATTTGGTAAGAGGGAATGAAAAGCTTAACTATAAGCAATTATACTTTTTAATAGACTTTTATTTCAATAATCAATCGTATGATATTGAGTCTCGAGATTTATTAAGTTTTTATAAGGTTGAAATCCAAAGTACGATAAAGAAAAGTGGGAATGAAATAGCATTGAATCTTAGTAATGGTGGTGGAGGTCAAAAAACCGATGCTGAGTTATATGTTGGATTAAAAATGAAAGGTGTGTATCTAAGCATGCTTGCATTGATCATAGAAGAATCATTAGAAATATTAAGACTGAATGTAAAACTCAATTTAAGTGATGATATTAGTATGAAGTTTAATAATTTATTTCCTGCTGAAATCATTTATATCGGAGTTGGATCAAGACTGGCAAATATGGTGTTTATTGTTCAAGAGTTTGTAGTTAATTTATTAAGTCCTAAAGCTTCTGATGAAGTTGCAGTACCATCTTTGGGAATAATAGCATGTACAATCACAGTATTGAATAGAGAAATTTCAGAATATAAAAAATATGGAGCTTCAAGCGATCCAAAATCAGGATTTTCAAGTTTATTCACTTCCTTGTTAAAATTATTATTGGACGATGAATCAATGATAGAATTGTGGAAAGATCCGGAGCTTATTGCTTTTAGAGATGATGAATCAAGGAGAAAGAGTAAAGATTTGAAAATCCATTTATGTTACTTATGGTCTGATTTAGTGAGAATTGCTAATTTATCAGCTTTCAATTTTGTCCCCTTAATAAAACATTCTGAAAGATTAGATAAATCACTTAAGTTGCTCTATGAAAAGATAGAAGAAGCCGATCTGGTTATGCATCATCTTAAGTATATCACTAGTTTAAATTCTGAAAAGTATGATGAATTAACCATAAGTCTTCATGTTCATTATTTGATAGCAAGAGTTTCTTCAGCTTTATGTCATGGAATTTCAAAAGTGGGTGATCCAAAATTAACAATTTCAAACCTAGATGCTTTAATCAGACAATGTAGTACTTGGTTAGTTGATTTAGGGTTGAGAAAATTAAGGTACATTAGACGCTTTGAAGTAGATTTAATACTTAACTATCTTCGATACTTCATGAAATACATCATCCTCCTTCAAGCTGAAGAAACAATGGATCACGAAATGGTTAATACTTTAATCCCTGATATCTTTATAAAATATCTTCAATATGTGGATCATATAAGAAAGATATTACTTCTGGAATCAGATTCAATCAATACTCAATATGTCTTGCTGGCCATCACTGAAGTCATTACAAGATTAATCCAATTTGTTATTAGTTTTTTAATTCGTCTTAGAAATGATGATAATGTTATATCACAGGAGACTATTCTTAGAATTGCTGTATTAAAAGCACCTGCATCGATCAATACCAAAGTTATATCTGACTACGGAGTTGGATTGAATGATCTTATCAACACTCATATTGTTGATGTGGTTGATGATACGGTTGCTTTATTATTCAAGGGTCCACTCTTAGATAAAGAGAAAGCATCGAAACTTTCTAAATTATGGAAATTCTATTTGAGCTTTGTGACAAATTCCCAGAAAATGGGTTCGATTAACTATGCCCAAATCCATGCCAATGTTCCTTTATTCAAAGGGTTGCAGAATGATGCAAAATCTTGTCCTGTTATAAAGAATGATCATCATATCATATCATCCGAAGTTGATGGATACCCTAGATGTCCAATATCACATATAACTACTCCAATGGAAGATTCTCCTACCCCTGCTTTGAAATATCCAAGTATCAATAGCGATTCATCGATTTCTCCCAAACAAGAAATAAAAAAAAGAAGATGTCCATTTGATCATACGACAATGGGTGGAAAGAGTTCATTAGCTCCAAATTACAATCCAATGGAGAGTAATATTAGAGGTGAAAGTGTAAGAAAGAGACCAGCTCTTGCACATAAGCTTAGTGACAGCTTCACCCAAAGTTTAACAGCCTCGCCAGTACCCCAGATAAAGAGAGAACTATCTGTAATGCCACCACCACAAATGCCAATGTCAATACCTATGCCGTTTGATACCCAAGTTTTCACTGATTTTGATCTCGATTTTCTTCAAAATGAAAATTTGTTAGAACAGATCAATTTCCCTCCTGGTGCTGAACTTGATCATATTGAAGGATTCTTTCAATAGCGTTTAGGATAGATATATATGTATACCAATTAATTACATTTAATGAACTTTTCAGAATCACGTGCGAAGATTTTAAGATTTTAAAAAATTATTTTGTAGCACTATAAACATGGTAGATCTAATGAATCTTACTCTTCATCAACTTTAGCCATATGATTCGGTTTCAACCCTTTCAGAGAGCTTCGTTCAGAAGGACGAGCATTCTCTTAAAGAGAGCAAGTCTAGACCATCCTCATTTTAAATTTCAGAGGTCATATAGTCAAGAGAAGATCAAAGTCAAACCGCAATCAAGATATACTTTCTTTAAGGTCGGTATAGCTATAGGCCTTGCAGGTTCAGTCTTATACTATACCAACGATAGAGCTCGACACATAGTATTGACAGGAGAAAGAGTGGGTGTTGTGAGTGTTGCAGTGGTGAGATGTTTTTTATTATATAAAAATACTCTTGGAACTAAATTTAATACTGAAGATGAAAGGCAAAAAGCTTTGAAAGAGACCCATAAATCGGCAGCTGAGGTTACTTTAAAAGCTCTTGAACATAATGGTGGTATTTATATTAAGTTAGGCCAACATATAACCGCTTTAACATACCTTTTACCAAAAGAATGGACTGATACAATGTTACCACTTCAAGATAAATGTCCAAGATCATCAATGGAAGATATAGAAAAGTTATTTGAATCAGATCTAGGTGTGTCAATGCATGATTTGTTTAGCGAATTTAATCCATCTCCAGTAGGTGTTGCTTCCTTAGCTCAAGTTCATCTTGCCAGACTTAGAGAAACTGGAGAAGAAGTTGCTGTCAAGGTTCAACATCCCTCATTGCAGGAGTTTGTTCCATTAGATGTCTATTTGACGAAATCTGTATTTAACTTGATGTACAAGTTCTTTCCTGATTATCCCTTAACGTGGTTAGGTGAAGAAATGCAAAGTTCGATCTATGTTGAGCTTGATTTTACATGCGAGGCTGAAAACGCTCGTAAAACCGCAGAATACTTTAAGAATCATCAGAAGAGGACGGCATTAAAGGTACCAGACGTTATATCTGCTCAACCACGTATCTTAATCATGGAAAGTTGTCCTGGTGCTCGTTTGGATAACTTAGAATATATGAAAGAACATAATATATCTACATCCGACGTTTCTTCTTGTTTGTCTCATATTTTCAATGATATGATTTTCACACCAGGAGTTGGACTTCATTGTGATCCTCATGGAGGAAATTTAGCCATTAGAAGTATTCCAAAATCATCTAGTGGTCATAATTTCGAAATCATTTTATATGATCATGGTTTATATAGAGATATTCCAATGCAGATGAAGCGTGATTACTCCCGTTTTTGGTTAGCAGTTTTGGATAATGATGTTGCAAATATGAGAAAATACGCTGATAAGTTTGCCGGAATCAAAGGTGAGCAAAAGTTTCAAATATTTGCTGCTGCTATTACTGGAAGAGCCCCCGAGAAGGCATTAAGTTATGATATTAGTAGTGCTAGATCTGAAGATGAGATCCTGTCCATGCAACATAGATTACATTCTGAAGAAGGTATCTTAGAAGATTTGATGACCATTTTAAGTTCCATGCCTCGTATAGTGTTATTAATCTTGAAGACCAATGACTTGACAAGAAACCTTGATGAAGGATTAAGTAATCCATTAGGATCGGAAAGGACTTTCCTTATTTTGGCTAACTACTGTGCAAAATCTGTTTACGATGAAAACAATGAAACCATAGGCAAACAATACCTGAGATATTCGTTATTTGGATTGTTTAACCATGTTAACAATTGGATCTCATATCAAAGAAGATTGAGTACATTATTTATCTACGATTTTATTATGGCGATAAGAAACGTGAGACAAAGATTCTTATTATAATATTTAAAATTTATCTATTCCCTGTATATATTTATAAAAAATTATTCCTATTTGAAGAGCTTAACAGATAATTAATGGCTAATGTAGAATACAATTGATGACTATGGTACACATTTAGATATGAACTTTTTCATTGCATATCCTTTTTAATTTTATCTAATAAATTAGTGATTCTTGGTCCCATTAATGGTTGACCTCTTCTGGTTGATTGAGTGATTCTTTCCTTCTTTAAAACTCTTTCCTTTGATCTCTTCTCAATCATTTTTCTTTTCTCTCTGACATGTTCTAATTCATCTTTTCTCTTTTGGTCTTTTCTTTCTTTAACTATCTTTGATCTTTCAGCATATGATAATGGTTTTCTTTCTTCTATACTATCACCATTGGTGTCTGCAATCTCTGATTGTGAAGTTGTGTCTCGTCTCGGTCTCTCACCTCTTTCAGGCTTCTCAGGCGCCTCTATTCCTTCTTTCTCAAGTAACTTGAAATAACCTTTTCTCAATCTGGCTCTATGTGTTAATGACTTTTTGATTTCAGCTGATTTAGCTTCTCTGATATCAACATAACGCTTATTTCCATTAAAACCACCTCTACCACCTCTTCCACCAAAGTTGCCTCTTCCTCCAAAGCTACCTCTTCCTCCTCTTGATCCAAAGTTACCTCGCCCTCTGAAATTACCTCTTCCAGACATCTTGTGTTTTAGTTAATGTTAGATTTAAAGTGTAGATATAGAGAGGATCGATATTTTCAATTTGATGAGCTTCTCAATTTTTACAGTCCACAAAACCAGAGAAAAATCTCAGGGGCTACCAATTGTTAACAGTATAAATAGTATAACCACCAAAGAGTTGGTGCAGATGAATTGGTATGAAATATAGATAGGCTTATTATAGTAAAATTTTGATCTATTATCACAGAATTGCAGAATTAATCATTTTACAATTTTAGAAGGTATCTCGAGATAGTTGACTACGGGATCTTCATTACGTCATGTGGCTCTAAAGCTACTTTCCTAACAATTCAACATTTATTAATTGGATTCCAGAAATTCCATTCAAAACATTCAGATGCAGATCATGTCTAAGAACTAAATCTTCTTAAACTACATAAATACAACATATTCTAAGTACATTTAGAGTTGAAATTGTGGATCAGATAAAATTGTGTGCAACGCACAATTATGTGTCAACAAAAACTTGATAAATACCAGAACAGATCTTGGTTAGTTTCACCAAAACAGGGTCCTTTCCATTTATGACCACTAGCCATTGAAATGTCAGCAGAGCCGAAGACTACGAAGAAGGACTATACGTCTATACCGCAGACCAATATTCCCCATCACAATGGGGGTCTTGATGGGGATACAGTCAATGAGGACGATTTCGATTTCGATATTGATAATGAAGATGATTTAGTGGATCACACACTTGAATCTATGGACTATCAAGTCGAAGTTCCTGGCGAAGAGCCGACTGAAACAGGAACATCCAGTATGCGAATGGCATTTTTAAACATGGCAAACTCTATCCTCGGAGCCGGTATCATAGGGCAACCATTTGCATTTAGAAATAGTGGGTTAGTGGGAGGAATTATAGTCATGGTACTATTGACAATATTAATCGATTGGACATTAAGACTTATCGTCATCAATTCACATCTATCTCAAACAAAATCATATCAAGATACAGTTAATCATTGTTATGGTAAGTATGGAAAGATTCTATTGTTATTTGCAATCAGTTCTTTTGCCTATGGTGGCTGTATGGCTTTTTGTGTTATCATAGGTGATACTATACCTCATGTCTTAAAAGCATTCATACCGACATCAATAACAGGTCCAGACTCAGCTATAGGTTGGTTATTCAAGAGAAATGTCATTATTGTTTTATTCACTACTTGTATTTCATATCCATTATCGTTAAACAGAGATATCTCAAAATTAGCAAAAGCATCAGGTTTTGCATTGGTAGGAATGTTGATCATTGTAGTATTGACAATTGTTAGGGCTCCATTCGTTGATTCAAGTTTAAGAGCTCCATTGACAAAATTAGAGTGGACAGTTAATTATAATATATTCCAGGGTATTTCAGTCATTTCATTTGCTTTAGTTTGTCATCATAATACGATCCTTATCTACCAATCGATGAAAAATGCCTCTATAAGCAAATTTGCCAAGTTGACCCATATATCATGTATTGTTTCCATGATCTGTTGTCTAACTATGGGTATCAATGGGGTTGTTAACTTTGGTGATGCCACTAAAGGTAACGTTTTGAATAATTTCAGAAGTGACGATAATTGGATTAACGTTGCTAGATTTTGTTTTGGATTAAATATGTTAACCACATTTCCATTAGAAGTATTTGTGGTTAGAGATGTTCTCAAAGACGTTATATTAGGTAATGCCGAAGGCAGTACAGCCGATCTTGAATTAAACAAGATGCAACATTTCACAATAACTACCATATTGGTATTTTCTTCGATGTCAGTTTCATTACTTACTTGTAATTTGGGTATAATTCTAGAGTTAATAGGAGCTACTTCTGCCTCATTAATGGCATATATTATACCTCCGCTTTGTTATTTGAAGCTCTCTTGGGATCAGATAGATTATAAATCTTCAAGTAAAGAAGATAAAAGAGAATTTATAATTTGGAAAGCATTACCAAGTATAGCTTGCGTGTTATTCGGATTTTCAGTTATGTTCATAAGTTCGTTCATGAGTATCACACAGGCTGTGCAAGGAGGAACTGCAGGACATTGTGTAGACGATTAGGCAAAAGACGTATATACATGCATATTCAATATTTAATATATATAACTATTCATCATCTTCATCATCAATAACCAATCTCTTCTTTCTTGTTGGGACTGAAATATCATCATCATCATTTGGCGCTTGTGCGCTGACAAACGTAGCTTCAGCTCCATCATTATCAGAATCATCTTCATCATCACTCTCAACCAAATTACTATGTGATCTCTTTTTAGCTAACGAAGTTGTGGCTTCTTCTTCATTATCACTTGAGGTTTGAGAGTTATCCACCTCCGGAATATTAGTCGTATCAGCGTCAGAAACGTCACTAGCAGTCTGCGAACTTAATGGCAATTCTATTTCATGATCAACTTCTTGTGAATCTAAATTGTCAACAAATAAAGATGATTGTTGTCTGACAAGATTGACTCGCTGAGTACCGCCGCTACCGTTTTCCAATTCAACCCAGACTTTCTTAAATTCCTCTAACTGTTGAGCGTTAACAATACCACCTGAATCAGTTAACAATTTACGTAAATGATTTTCTCTTTCATAGAACTGTTGATCTTTTTCATCATCCGATTCATCATCAGAATCATGAACGAATTCAGTAGACTTAAGTGGAGCTTCATCTTCAGAATCAACAGAGAAAGATTTTGGTGGACGACGACGACGAGATTTACTACTACTGTGTTTCTTTTTCTTTTTACGTTCTTCACTTCTATGCTTTTTCTTCTTGAGAGCTTTACCTTTGGAGAGACTCTTTGCTGGTCGTTGACTTCCTTCTAATGATCTTTCTAATTGTTCAAGAGCATCTAATTCAGCAGCATCCTTCCTAGTAGAATTTGGATTTGCCGAAGTTTCAAAAGCAATGGAATCATCTCCTTCTTCATACTCACCACCATACCCGTCATCATATTCATCATCATAATCAGCTTCCCATTCTCTTTCTCTAACAAAGTAAGAAGGATCTTTGTTGTCATCAAAGACAACAGGTTGATTGTTGATCCACTTTTTAATAAGCTCCAATTTCTCAGATAAAGATGAACTTTGAATATTGCTTTTTAATTTACATTTTTGACCTATTACTAATGGTAATTCAAAGCCGACAACTTGTAAGAGTAATCTGACATATGAATTTTCGAGTGTAAGCTTTTCAAAGGTACCTTGCGACAATGAATGTTCACTGATGTGATTAGTATTATCATCAACATCATCTTCGCTATTTTTACTGGCATCCAAGAGCATTTGTTCTAAGATGGAGCTTAATTCATTTGTCAACCAATCAAGTACTGGCTTAATGGTGTCAATTTCATAAATTGCAGTGATTAAAATCTTAATCTTTTCATCATCTGAGAAATTATCTCTTGTGAATTCCAATTCTTTAGCGAGTCTAACCTTTGGAGTTCTCTTTGCTTTCTCTTCTCTGACAAATAATTCTCCAGTAGTCAAGTAAGTCTTGATATTAACATCATCAAATCTAGGAAATAATAACTCTATAGGATTTGGGAATCTTGCCAATGCAACTTTAAATTTCTTCATGAAATAATAAATGAATTCTTCAACATGATTTCTAACACTAGAACGTTTTGGTAAATAATTACGAACCTTTTGTAAGAGTTGCATGAAATCTAATCTGTATAATCCACCAAAATCCTTTCTTATCACGAATAATCTATGGAAATAAGAAATACAACGTTTTATTTCTTCATGAGTTAAATCTTCATATCTTGAAAGATAATCAATATATGTACCAATTATTGAAGTATGGAAGAATCTTAATTCTGTTTGTTTGAAATCCAATTGACGTTCCTTCGAAATTTCCTTAATTCTTTCATTATTTTCTTCGTCATCAGAACCATCAATAACATCTCTTAACGCATTTTCGTTCTCCTTGTCAAGATTATTTAAACTCTTCTTATTCTTATTGGATAATTTCCTCTTATATTGAACGTAAATTTTAATATCTTCATTAGCAAATGTTTCGAATGATTTTAACAAAATATGAATGACTGAAATACAAACATTTAAATAATCAGGTGAATGACTTGAAGCTTTATGAAGAGTTTGAATCACCAAACTTATGAAGAAGTTAAATGTAAATAACTTTCTGATAATACCTTCACCTAATTCTCTATCAATATCTTCTTGAGTATCATCATCATGATCATTGTCATTTTCAGTAACCTTCTTTCTATTCGAGAAAGTCGAGTTAGAAATTAAAAGCAATTCTTTAAAACATGTCATTGCAACATGCAACGAACTCCAAAGCTTTAAATCATATGATGTTCTGAAATAAGATATAATCAAAATGAAGTTAACTTCACTCAAACCAGCCCCAACTGATCCATAATTGAATTTGTCAAAATTGTCATCACCAGAAGTATTCACTTGATATTCTTGAATTAAACCCTGCAAATGTAAGTTGTTTCTTTCACGCTTATAATTATAAAACCAGGATAAAGTTAAGAAATAAGTAGCCTTTTCATATTCATTTATATTTGAAAATTCTGAAGAATTCGAAGTCAATATTGATCCAATTGATTCAATCAAATTATTAAAACAACCACCAGTTAAGAAGTTATTTATGAAAGTGTATAATAGTTCATTTCCAGCATTAGTTAAATAATCAATTTTTGTATTAATGAATTCATCAGAATCGTATTTGAAAGTAGATCTATTCTTCCAACTTTTAGATTTATCAAGTTTATCAAATGTAGAACCCATATCATATAACGCATCTTGTCCAGAAACAACGTATGAGTTTGCATCAGTACTCCTGATTGACAACAATGTACCAAACCTTCCATGTCTAGTTGATATATTTTGGGTTTGTACTTTTTTCTTGTTAAGCTCATTAGCAAGCATATCTTGTAATTGCATACCTGATGTAGTAGTGATTGAGGGAGTGATTTCTTCTTCAGTATTAGCAGCAGGATTGGAAGGCTTACTGACACTATTGTTAATAATCCTAAACTTATTGTTTAAAAGGTCGAGTGGTTTAATTCCCTTTATAATCAAATAAACACACTCAATACAAACAGGACCAAATAAATCTTTATCAAATTCAGTTCCTACCAAATTTGACATTGTTAGTAGAAACATTAATACTTTATTCCTTTTAAATGCTGAAAGTACAACGTTAATAGAAATATCATCTAAAGTAATACCAGCTGGTAAGTTATTAGATAAAGCTTGAACTTTTGATGTGGATGATTTAGCTGAGAATGTAGATTTTGCAGCTTCGATGAATAAAATATTTCTAAAGAAGAATAAAACCAATCTTAAAATTGAATTATCTCTTGGTTCACGATCATTCCTTTCTTTAGATAATGTTGGTAATGCTAATCTTAAAATCGACTTTAATGTTTGACCATTATTATAAGATAAAATCGATTTTTTATATAAGATTTGATATTTCTTTATATTGGAATATAACAATTTTTGATTTAATGACAGCTCTTCATTTAATTCCACTGGCCAAGTGAGTAACACTAATAATTCTAAACATGATAACATTATTCTTTCAGTAGTTCTAGCATTCTTAATGGGTTCCTTTGATTGATTTTGTCTTTCCCATTGACACAAGATCACTATTAAATCATTAATAACTAAACCAGATTCAGCACATGCCAATGCAACATCATAACTATTATTAGTTTCATCAATCGATTTAATCCAACGTCTTAAATCCTTTAAACATGCTAATGCATCATGACCCAACTTATATGGAGCAGGTTTGATAGAGGATGTGTGATCTATACCACCTAATGCAGATACCAATACGGCAATATGTGCTTTTAAAAGTTTCTGAGATTGAGTTTCATTGGGTTTCAATTGAGCTGTCATTTGAGTGATTCTATCGATTGGTTGATCGATATCAGTAGTTGAATCTTTGGGTTGTTGATTCTCCTTTTCATCGTCAACTATGAAATCCCTCAATTCAGGATTATTATAGGAATCTTCCTCTATATCTGACTCCTCAGAACTACTCATGGTGGATGCAGATTGCTGTTGTTTGGTGCTTATCGACGGTGATGAAGCTTTGATTTCAGTATTTACAGCACAGTTAAAAAAATGATTTTGAAGAATGAAAATAACGCGTTAAAAAAATACACGTCGCAAATATTTTGATCTATGTCAAAAAATTATTTATGACAAAAGTTACAAACATTTGCGACATAACCACAAAGTGTTTTGCAAATTTATTTACAGCCAAAATATTTATAACTAAACCATTGTTTATACTCTACTTGAGATCTAATCGTATTAAAACATATCATTAAATGACTCAAAACCAAGTTTCAATTCATCTTGATTACATGTATTTGATTGATTGATCGACTGATCTTTCAAACCAGGAACATTTTATTGTATTCGCCATATGGTTCATATTGCTCCTTTTAATGGTAATTTTGGTAACAATAAATTAGTTTGAGTTTCACATTAGCTTTAAGATTCACCCACGATACGGTGAAATCATACGTTTCTGATTGAAAAATAGGAGAAGATCAAGAGATGGGAACATTAATAGATGAATCCATATATCTGCATTAACCTTCCTAACCAAGTTAATCAATGAAGATAGTTTACGAATTAGTAAAGTTTAACTTTAACTTGCATTAGACCAAATATTATTTTGGGTTGCCTTTTGATTTCATTATGATTTTTAAACTTCAGATTGAATATGAAAAGTCGGTAAGCTGCTTATCATCGGTATAGAAGTCAAAGTTGGAGATTCAATTGCATAAAAATAGTGGAGAACCCCCAATCCAACATTACTCAATCAACATATGATATCAGAGATATAATACTCGGTTAATTGGCTTAAAGGCTTTATATATTAAGGTCGACCGTAGTTGTTTACCTTCTTGGTAAACTTTTCACATGGGGATTTTAATGGCCCGGAAAAATTCATCTCGCAACCGTTAAAAAGCTGAGAGTAGGGCAGATACTGTAATATGCATAGCACTAAATTAGTTTTAATAGACTAAAAATAAAGAGCATTTTACGCCTTAGCTTTTCCCCTTGTTGATGCAAAAACTATACAGGGAGAATAAAGGAGTTGATGTTTTGATAAACCCCTACCACAATGGTTATTTCAATTTATAAAGTTCAATAAACTTTAATGAAAGACTGAAACTCGGTGAGTGAACACACTCTAATAATATTACAGAACAAATCTAATTGTCAGACAATCAACAAGAGATGTTAAACAATACGTTACGAGCCAAGTATATCAAACCGACACACATTATCAGAATTTCAGAATTTCATGTGACATTTTTTTTTGATGTTTAAAAAATTTAATTTTTTATTTTTATTTTTATTTTTTATGTGATTGTTTAAATCAGTACACATAACTGATCCCTTTAGTTACCAACAGATTAAAACTAATCCCATTTAGGATGTTGACCACACTTACATACTAACAATCGACTGATATTCTATGTTTATTTAAGACTGTAACTACTTGTATGATGAATAATGTTAATCATCTACTATTGAAAACATTCTATCGCTTAACATTTATTACCCCACAAGAACCAAAAAATAATCTCTGTGGTTAAAGAGTGATTGTGAGTCGACAACAACTTACTGTGTATGCTCTACACGCAAGAACATCTGCATACCGGTAAATGTGGGTGGGAAGTTGTATGTGGTGTAAAAAATATGATATTTTTGACTTTTACTAAAAATATATCTTTCATAATCAATCTCTAATAATATTATAACCCTCCAGGGGACGAAATAGTGAATTATTTATTCTGCAAATATAAAAATGCTGGGCGGCGACAAATGCCTTGATGTGGAGAGGTAGACCTTCCTTCTATGTACATGTTTCCGTATGTCTGTCTGTTCTATTGGCTTTGCGCGCACAAATATCGTACCGAGTTATTGAAATATCACAGTTCATCGAAGCATTGATATCCCCCAATCAATTGTCATCTACATGTTACATGTTCTAGTCAAGAATAAACGTATTGCTTGGAAAATAATATTAATTATACGGTTTAGATATAGCAAAATTTAAGTTGTTGTGGTATAAATCACACAAAAACCCTGCTGTAATTCATTTTTATTTTTTAAGTTGTGAGGTGTCTCACAATTTGTTCTATTATAGTTTTTGCTTTCCTTCCCCAGGTTCATATATAAAGGCGATTGTCTTATAAAAATATTCACAGATTTTATTTTTAATTAATTAAAATCTTAATTCAATTGTTACAGTCAATCTGTCTCTATCATTACTAGTCAACCGCCAATAGAGATGGAGCACCCCAAGAAACGTCATAGGGTCCCTGCTTCTTGTTCTGTATGCAGAAAAAGAAAATCAAAATGTGATCGAATTAAGCCAGTATGTGGAACTTGTAAAAAGAAATCAATAGCCCATTTATGTTATTATGAAGGTGACTCCAAGGATCCAACATCATCAACTGTGTCAATCAATGAAATCATCCCTTTACCTGTGCCAAATCAATTCCAAGCACCACCAGATCAACAACCTTTACCCCACTATTATCCCATCCCACAAGCGCTTCCACCCCCACCTCCACATTTGCAACCGACAACGGTTATGCAGCATCAACAACCACCACCCCAGCAATTTAAACATAATCAATTACAAGGTCAAGTCCCAAATCAACTAATTCCTCCACCTCAACATCAGATACCTCCTCCCGGTCTTGCTGCACAACCAGTAACTCAATCAGTCTCATATCCATATGCACCCACAGATCCAGTCGATAAATCATATATGCCACCTCAAACATCAATATCCCTTAATGCCAACCGCCAACCATACGATAAAAGAAGCTCGATAGATAGTAATAATAGTGGTCATAGTCCATATAATAATCAAATCCCACAACAAATACCTCATAATAATGTGTCACCCATAGGATATGCAAATCTAGAGCAACCTCCGAGCTCTAGTACAGCTAGCAATATAACTAATGGTGGAAATAATAAAAGTATAAATCAATCAAATAATAGCATTAACACCAATAATAATCAAATTGGTTTTCATTCACCTACAAGTACAAGTAATTTAAGTCCTGGATCACAGGTTCCGTTTTCTCAAACTCAATCAAACAATCAAACACCATTGATACCACAACAATCTCAATCAGTAAAATCTCAATCTATTTCTGGATCCCCTCCTAATCACAATATATCCAATGTCACTTCATTTTCATCTTCTCCTTTGGTTGCTATACCGCTTGGTTCTAATTCTACGCTTCAGGTTAATCCAGATGATCAAATGAATATATTTACCAATGCTAGTTATTCATTAAATCTCGAAGGTTCATTATGGCAGGTCCAGGGAACATTATCATATATAGGATTAACCAAAAGTGATCCATTCATTAAAGTATTGAGAAATTATGCGGTGCTTTTATTTAAATCAGGTGAAATGACAAAATTTATCAAAACTGAAACTGTAAGGAGGAGGAAAAGGTCAATCTATTCCTCAAGTGGAGTTCCATCTGCAAGTGCGATGGCAAGCTCTCCATCTAGTTTAATTGGGAAAAGCCCTGGAGGCACTCCTAAGCGTCCAAAGGTGGATTCTTTTGCAACTTCTTCATTGGGACCTTCTCCAAGCTCGTTAACGATGGAAAATGAACAGAAAAAGGATATTGAAGATCCTGAAGATCTAGTTGAAGCCGATGCATTGATCGTTACCCAAATAAAAGTTAACAAAGATGACGACGACGATGATGAAGAAGAGGATGAAGATGGAGAAGATAGTAATAAAATTACTGGCCATGATGTAGATCCTAGTAATATCAAAGCGGGAGCAAGCAGCTCCACTAATGGTAACAACGATGCAGGTACACACGGTAATAATGAATCAACAAAGAATGGCAAGACCAATGGTTTACATAAAGATAAAAATGGTCATTGCTCTCTGGACGTTATAAGCATGCTACCAAATCTTAGAAGGTCATTATTTTCAGGTAAAAAGAGTAGATCAGAATATTTTAAATTGATTGAAAAGATTGTTATTAGTATTTTACCAAACAAATTAAACATGTTTATGTTATTTTGTCGATTTTTTAAATATTGTCATCCATTTATACCAATTCTAGATGAAAATTCATTATTAATTGAATTGAATACTTTATTAGATAATTTCCCTAATTTTACTAGAGATTACTATACTGAAATTTCGATTGAAAATGAAAATGATTTAAATGTTATTGGGATTTTATTAGTTATATTAAGAATTGGGTATATGAGTTTAATTCATAATGATGATGTCAATAACGTTTATACCGATGATGAAAAGTCCATGATAATGGATATGAAACGAGTTAATTCCGAGAATTTCACCAGTATTTCAAATATCTGTATATCAGACGAGTTAATCGCTGTTAAATCATCATTTAGATTAGTCCAACATTTAGCATTGGTGTATTTCTATCGTCAAGTTGCTCCTGATGATTGTCATGGATTAGGTGGTGCAGATTCTAATATTCTATTTGGAGTCATTGTCCGTCATGCCATGTCTATTGGTTTAAACCGTGATCCTTCATTTTACGTTGCTCATGATGTTATTATTAAACGGGAAGCATTGATTAAATCATGGAGAAATTTATGGAATTATATCTTAACTACTGATGCAGTATCAGCCATTCATGCTGGAACCACTTTAAATATTCCAAATATTGAAATTTGTGATGTGGAGTTACCATTGGTTGATGAAGATAAAAGTGGTCACTTCAACGATACGATTAGGAGAATCCAAACCATTTGTGAATCTTATCGAAATATAGTTAAAAGGATTAATAATGTTCACAATAAACCAAGAGTTATTGAAATGTTATTAGAAACAAATCAATTAGAAAAGATATTTTTTGATTTCTTTGGTAAAGATTTCTTTAAGGACTTCATTTGTAAACCAGCCAAAGTTCCTGAAGATGGATCAAGTTTTGAATCTGGTAGTAAAGATCATGAAGAAAGCTTTCTAAAAGTTATTAAGTTTTGTACATTTATTCAATTAAGAACAAACTTATCTTGTATGTATTATATGATTGCAATTCATTATGAAAATGAATATAATGAATCTCGGACTCCTTCTATGAATGCTGGTATTGAATTATTCAAAATTTATATTAAATCTGTGGTTCAATTAGTTTACATAATGTCATATGTCTTGGATAATTCTGTGGAATTGTTTGGTAAAGGTTACGATTATTATTTAACTGCCAATAATGAAAGATGTATGATTAAAACCCATAGTTTCCTCACATCATTCTTTGCTAGATTGTTGCATTATAAGATGAATTTAACTTTATCAGTTAGAAGTGATCCATCCATCAAACCAAAACTAGATGTTACTGATAGCTTATTTTCAATGGTTTTAATTGAATCCGAATTATTTGTGGGTAACTTTAGGAAATTAAGTCGAACATATATTAATTCTTATAAGTTATATGTTATGACCTATTTTGTTTTGATGCAATGTATGGAAAACCCTAGTGTATTCTTTCAAACTAGTATTCAATATCCTCGATTTTTTCATAAAGGTACCAACATGTTAGAGTTTTTTACCATATCTGAATTACATTATTTATGTAAGTTATGCGAAGATTTCAGATCAGCCAAGGAAGGACAACAAAAGTTTAAGAATGCAAAAGTCAATCAATTACAAAAGCTGGATCCTACCAAACAGTCTGCTACAAATGCTGCTGGAGATCCTTTGCAAAAAGCATTTGGTCATCCAGCTCCGCCATCATCATCAAATATTTCTACTAGTTCAATATATAACACCTACGCTAACAACATGCTGAAGGATGGATTTCAAACTAAATCACATTTGTCGCAGTTCAACTCCCAACCTCCCCTCAATTCAGCAGAAGCATCGAGAAATATGTCACAGACAGGCATCGAAGTTGAAGCTGGAACCAGATCAGATCTTGGTGTTGGAGCCGGAGCCGGAGTCCCTGAGTTTGATCTCACTGCAGGTCAACCAGGAATCAACCCAAGTAGTAATGAATCAGCAGATCCTAATATAACAGCATTAAATAATTTCAGTTACGATATATTTGATCAACCCAATTTAGGAGGAGAGGATATTTTAAAATTATTCGAAGTGTATGGTGATCTTGATAAAGAGCTTTAACTGTAAGTTTTGCTTGACTACTTTATTTATTTATTTATTTATTTATGTATGTATGTATTCAATTAATCAATTAGGTTAAATAGTAATATAACCACTATTTATATAGTTAAAAATTAAGAATGAAATTTGATATTGCGGCTATAAGAGATAAACGGGGTTATTTCCGAATGGAGATATTTCCTCACTCAGCCATGTCAAAAACAGAAAGTAAAAAATATGAGAAATTCAAAATTGATAGTTATCTTACTTCTTTAGAGACATTGGATTGTATTAACTACTATAGATAGTATCAAATCTGATACATAATAGGAAACATATCATAAGTGAGATCTTCAGACGTCAGATCTGCTTAATCAAAACAAATTGGACCAAAAAAACTGTGGCGAAGTTACCTTCAAATATACCCTAGAAATTAACCATTATTAATTATGATGCTTGATGATCCAAAGAATAAAAAGAGAAATAGGCTATCGTTGAGTTGTAACTACTGTAAGAGGAGGAAAGTGAAATGTGATAGAGGTAGACCATGTTCAAGTTGTGCTCGATATAATGTGGGTCATTTGTGTGATTATCCTGAACCAGTTTGGTCTGAACCTGCGATTATACAGGGAAATACCAATCAATCAAGTAATTCAGATAATGGTTCATCTGGTAGTAATGGTGGATCAATGTCTGCATTCTCAGTGCAAAGATTTCATCCTCTGCTGCCTGTTACCTCCAATAATATGGGTTCTCAAACCACTTTTCACGTTCCAACCCCTACTATGACTAGTGCCGCACCAACAGTAAATAATATCATTAATGATATACAATCACCTCAAACTACAGGTGTTCATTCGGAATTGGAAGAATTGAAGAATAAAATAAGATTGATTGAAGCTTCATTAGATAAAAAGTCAACTGATCTGCCTCCAGCTCCTCAATCTGGTAATCAACACTTAAAGAGACATCATAGTCAAACCCAAAGTCAACTTCAAAATAAATTCCATCAACTGCAATTACAACCTCAGGTTCAAATACCCACTCCTCCACCACCCCATCCTATAGGCTCCACTACGGCAGTGGCTTCTCCACCTCCATTAATGAACCATCCTCATATCTATTCAAAGTACAATTCACCCCCTGATTCAGCTCATATACCTATCAAATTACCTCCAATCCATTGGGATCCTAATAAAGCACAACTGAGTAATACTGGTTATTATATCCCACGCGTTGAAAATAAACATGAGCATAATTTCAACTGGGATGATTTTAAATATAATATAGATACTAATCCAACTTATGTGGGTATAAATCCATTCGGATCAAATGAAGAGGAAATGAATTTCTATGTGGGATATACTCCTATTCATATCAGAGATACATCTAGACGAATGAATTATGGTCCATTTTCTTGGTTATCAATTATGAAGAAAGATCTGGGATTAAAGGCTTTATGGTTATTTATGGCCCAAAAGAAGAGTTCAAAAGCTGAAGTGATTCGTCAAACTATCCGAACAGAAAAACTCCCTCTTGGAAGTCAATTACCAAGTTTCGCTACTAATGAGAATTTTAAACCTAAGAATACACCTAGTGGTAAATCAATGGATTCAAATACTAATAAATTGGATCTGGAATCTGAATTTAGAGAAAAAGCCATAGATAGAGATGGATATAATGATTTAAGATTATATGGGAATGTTCTGAAAGTGCTGAGTTCAGTCAGAGGTAATACGGTTGAGAAAGTCACTCCCCCAGAGGATGAAGAAGTTAAAAGACCTAAAGATGATAAAGTTGATAATGAAAGAGTGTTGATGAATAAGCATGCTATTTCATTAGGTTTAACTGTGTTTGAAGGAAAAATTGATCAAGAATTACAATTGATTGAAAAGATTCAAGTCATCCTACCTAAACAGAAAGTTATCTGGACATTAATAAATAAGTTTTTCCTTTATATGTATCCATATATGCCATTCATTGATGAGATTTATTTCAAACAAGAAATGGCTAGAATCTTAGGTCCAGAAGGGTATGCTGATGATCCAATCCAAGCTTTGAAAGTTGAGAAAAGATTAGATTTCGCCAATATTGGGATTCTTTTATTGATTTTAAGATTCACTTATTTATCATTATTTTCGAATAGAAATGGAGTTAATGAAAATAATTTAAATTCAAATGATCCATCTACCAAAGCCCAGGAATTAAAATATCTTTTATCGAATCCAGTTAATATTGATTTAATTTCAATGGCCCAATTATGTCTTGATCAATTCGAATTATTAAGAAAGACAAGTTTGGTGGTTTTACAATGTGCATTTTTCATGAGATTATATCATATGTTTTCACCTGAAGATGGTGATGGTGGGGATGGAGGTGATTCTCAAATTTTCAATGGTATGCTTGTTCAAATGGCTTATTCTATGGGGATTAATCGTGAACCAGATACGTTTGATGATATTTGTAATGATGATAAAGTTAATAATCTTGGTCGTAAAATATGGTTCTTTTTAATGATTTCTGATTTAATTCAAGCTTATCAATATGGTAATCCTTTAAGTATCAATGAAAAATATTTTGATACAAGTTTACCATATTATAAAACGGGAAATCAAAATATTAATGATGTCGAGATGGAAAAACATGTGATTAGTACCTTTGCTTATTTCAATAAGTATTATTATAAATTGGTTGCCATTCTTGATGTTTGTTTAGATATTCGAAAATTCACAAAATTATCTCAATTAACTAATCTTATTAGTGATTTTGAAATTCATTTACTGGAACATTATGGTACATTAAATAAATTCATGGTTCCATTTCAAGAAGATAAATTTAAATATCCATTTATCAAGACTATGAAATGTAAGAATTATATTAATATGAAAGGGTTCTTATTATCATTATTTTTCCATCTTTATTTATATTATGAATCAAATAATAAGACTGATTTCTCCTACTTTTATCTCAAGAAGATATTTTCCATTTCAACGGGAGAATTCATTCCTAATTATTTCAATTTAATTTTGGATAATGATACTAATTTTGGTGAAGCTGCTGATTTAATCTTGAATCCATCCATTGAAACAATGATTCATAAAACAAGTCAAATGAATTTCGCTATTTTAGTAAGAATAAATTCCACCATTCATAGAATGAAAAATGATCCTGATCATGTCGTTAACTTGAGAAATAATTTCGTTTATAAATTTAGATATTCGAAATTATGTAAGATCTCCAAGATTTTAGAATTCATTACGAAATATTGTATTGCGGCATTATCAAGATTAAGTCAAAGATATTATTATGCCTGGAGAGTCACTAAAGCTCATTCATTTTTATTGAAATTGATATCCGGTGAAGAATTATACGTTCATTCAAAGAATAATCCAAGAATGGAATTTTTAAATCTTACTACTGATCAATTAAATGAATTGATTTTTATTCTTGAAAATTCAGTTAAGAAATTTGGTAAATCAAAGATTGGTCATGCTAGTACCGAATTAATCGATGAATATAATGAAGAACTTGATATTTCTCATCCAAGTACAAGATTTAAAGATAATTCTTCTCTAAATGTTAACGTGGCTAATAATGTTGACAATGATGCACCATCATCATCATCTGCTACAGCTGCCGCTGCCGCTGCTGCCACCGCTACTACATCTGGTAGTAGTAGTGCTGGTAATGGTGCAACCACTAATCATAATGGATCAATAAGTAGTTCCAAATCATATCAAACCACTGCCACCCCATTCAGTCATGCCACACATCATAGTATTCCATCATCAGTTGATTCTAATAATAATTCCGAATTAGATGATATTCAATTCCTTGAGAATGCGGAGATTGATAAATTATGGTATCAAATGGCAAGTATGAAGTATAATGGAAGTAATGCCAGTAATAACAATAATAACCCTAATAATGGTATGAACAATGATTTCACTTCAACATCACATATAAACAATGCAGTGGAGGCCAATACTGGACTTGGAGCAGAGAATTTCACTATTTCAATCCCTACTCCACTGATGAATCCATTAAGTCCTGAAAGTTTAAGTAATCCTCAAGTTCTTAATGGTAATAATAATAATAATAATAAATTTGATCCAGTGATTGATATTTATAATTTGGATGCTTTTAATAACTTACCTATTGATCAAATCTTTGGTCTTCGTAATGATCAAGAATGGTAATTGTCAGATTCTTGTTTATATATATATAATACATAGATTCGTTTCATAGAGATAATAATAATAATTATAATAATAACATACAGTAGTTACCTAGTTTTGCATCCATTTATTTACCCCAATTAGGATCAATGTCCGGGTAAATTATTTCATGATCCATCTTCCACTCAAAAAATTATTTAAATTCTCAGAGCTGAACAGAACGAGAAAAATTTTTCATTATTACTTCTTCTTCTTCTTCTTCCTTATTAACAACCACTATCAATTATCAACATATTGGAGTGATCTAATTCAGATTCTAATGATACAAATATTGTAATTCAATGAATCAAGGAAGATTTCAATTCCTTATTCGTTGTTTTATAATAGACTATTCTTGGAACTAGTACTATAATAATTATTATTATTATGATTGTTAAATATCAAATTATAACAACTATATAATTATTGGAGATTCTTAAGTGACGACAAAACGCTGTGCACCAGTCTGAGTACTCAAAATAATGAAAGACCATAGTTATACCCAAATTTCTGATTTGAATCTTATCCATTATATTATATTGTTTTATTTTGAATGTTTTAAATTATGATAATAATAGTGAAAAGTAATGATGACTTCATGGGTTGATTTTGTAGATAACCCATGTGCTAATAATGTAGAATAAAGTTGAATTCAACTATAAACTGACGATGTATGTTTGTTATTTGCTATGACCCCTTGCATCGATATACATTGATTGTCTACAACAATGAAATATAAGTAAAACACGGTATTACCAAGCAAATGAGATATTGTATTACGTTTAAGAAACCATACGATTTAATGGAGGAGAAGAGCAACATGCATTTCCCATCCATTCCGTCCATTGTCCAACTACCATTATTAAAGAATCGTTTATGTCTCGATAAGTATGCAAGAAGAACAGAACGCAAAACAGTTAACCATTTAGTTATACCCCAATCCAGTTAAATTAAATAAAAGGGGAAGTAACCAGCCATTATAAGATTATGGTTACATTCTAGACCAGTCATTATAACATTATACAATGGATAACTTACCGTGAATATCGTAAATATCTGTAGACCAGAACTAATTAGACGCGTTAACCATTTTTGAGTTTATAAAAAAAGCGTGTAATTTAATTTAGACTTATTACCCTTTTGAGATTAATTAATTATTGGTAAAAGTTATCGTCAAGCTTTTAAATTTAAATTATATACATGACAAGGAATAAAGAAATAGAGTTACAGATAGATAGAAGTGTTTATTATTATTCTTGTTATTGTATGATATGGTGTTGGATAAGCTTTTAATCCAGCATTTTTCAAGTATAATCAGTGAGATTAAGCAATGGAACTAGACATAACTAAGATGGAAAAGCGCAATATTCAAATAAAAGGTTTATCCGATGATTCTCGAATAGCAAGAGAGTATAGTAATCACTGAAAGGAACTTAGTAACCGAATGAATCTAGACGTGAGTTAACGTATGGAGATGTTAGTATTTGATCATAGTAGTGAAGTAGCGTTGCACAAAAATTGGAATTTTCTCCAAAAAATGCAAAATAAAAAATCAAAACAATAAGTCAGGATTTAACTTTTAATGATGTTGCAAACCAAAAGTATTGTTGACCTACAATATTATTATCTATTACTAACCAGCCATTCATAAGTTGATTAAATAGATTTGATTCTTTTCTGTTTTACCGTTTTATTTTACCGTGCTATAATTCTATTTTTACAATTCAACCTACTTCAAACTACATAATGCCAAGTACGATGGATATGTTGAAATTATTGATAAACTTTTAGTAAGAGAAACATCTGATTTTCAAGTAGAAGGTTCTAGCGATGACATGGATGGGTTTCTAGAAGTCTATAGAGTGCAAATTTACGAATATTGAGTTCGAGTTGTAGCAACCTTTCAGTATCATAGAGGGATATGAAATTTCCAGGTCGGATAAGTAGGAGGCAATTAAGTTATTATTACATAGGTTTAGTTAATTGACATAGTTTGCAACTAATAAAATAAGGTACCAGATCTATTTTAAAGGAGTCACTGCGTAGCGCATAGAGAGAAAGAGCTGTAGTGAGAACTTTAGCCAGAACTTTTTTTGTTTGCCGCTAGGGAGAGAAACAGTGTGGCAGTAAGGGAGGGAGGGGATGAAGGAAAAATAGGAGGATCGGCAACACTTAAACATAAACAACTAATTTACCTCCTTCCGTTAAGCCAATACCAAATAGGAATAATATGAAAAGGTTAAATAGTGAGTAGAAAACACGGTAATTAAACATATAGTTACAGCCACTGTAGGATGGTAAGAGACTTAAGTTTGAAACAAATACTTCACGGTAAGAATAAAAAATAATTAGAGAATAAAATAAGGCAAAGAGATAATTTAGAAGCAGGAACCCTCCCTCCCTCCTACGAGAAGTGAGCAAATTATTCAAACACCTTTTCATTCACCTCCTTCAGTATAACTCCTTTCACTTAATTTTGTGATAAAACGTCTTAAGATACCGGAGACGCTAAAACTGCAACACAAAAAATTTTGAAATCATTTTTTACGCGAATTTAAAAATTTCATTATTACCGCTTTAAGAATTAGCAACACAATTAAAAATTAAAACACCAAAATTTTAAATTTTTCAATTAAAAGTCAATTTGGCGTCTTCTGGAGTAACAATAAAGAATATCTGGGCTAAGTAATTGGTTACCAGTATGGGGTGGATGGGTTGAATTATTATTATGTCTAAACTTGTAATCCTATATATATACCATTCAACTTCCTGATTATTTTGAATTTCAAAGATCTTATTCTTGTTCTTATTCTTCCAACTTTGTTCACTTTCACTATTACTACTTTCCTTATATACTACTACATATATATATTCACATACACTTCCCAATATGGTTTCATCAGTTGATTTAAAAGCATTGAACATTTTCCTCAATACTCCTATCAATCATGATATGATTCATAAGATTGTGGTTGCAACTTTACAAGTTTTACCATGTAAAGATTCCAAAACTGCTAAATATCAATCTAAATCAGATGATGATGATGTTACTAAAAATGGTGATGGGGTTGAGAAACCATTACCTTCTTTGATGACATTTTTAACTAGATTAGTTCGTTATACTAATGTCTATACTGGTACACTTATGGCTACATTAGTTTATTTAAATCGTTTAAAATCAAAATTACCAAAGAATGCTCAAGGTTTATCATGTACTAGACATCGTATTTTATTAAGTTGTTTGATTTTATCATCTAAATTTCATAATGATTCATCTCCAAAGAATAAACATTGGTCAAAATATACTGATGGATTATTTAATTCCAATGATATTAATTTAATGGAAAGACAATTATTATATCTTTTAAATTGGGATTTAAAGATTTCAAATGAAGAAATGTGTCAAGCTTTGAATAGTTTCTTAGAACCTATTAAATTTGATTTAATCAAATCAAACAAGATGAGAAAATTCTTATCCAATCAAAGAAAACAAGTGGAAGAAAAATTGGCATATGCCGAAGCTGCTGCTGCTGCCACTGTCAATACTACTTATTCACCACCATCTTCATCATCATTGGAAAATTCTCCAACTTCTTCATCATCATCATCTACATCTCATACATCTCCAAATCAATATACTTATTCTAGATCATCTTCTACTTCAAGTATAAGTTCAAATAATACTCATTATAGACAAGCTTCTACTTCGTCAATTTCTTCAATGGCTTCAACCACATCATCAATCATGGATAATGCTTCGATGTATTCTACTTCTTCAGCTGCTTCATCAACATCTGCTACTTCTCCAGTTAAAAGAGGTTCAACCTCATCTGGTATTGATCCAATCATTGAATTGACAGCTTTAAAAGAAGAACTTGAATTGAATCGATTATTAAGAAAATTGAATCCAAATGCAGGAATTTCAAGTTCTAATAATCAATGTTTCCAAAAATCTCAACCTCAACAACAACAAGCAGTTCCATTAACTTACAACTATTAAAAACACTCATTACATTCACTTTCGTTTCAAAGGTTATACATTTTTTATATTTACAATTACATTTTATTATGGGTCCCGGGTTCACATTGATATACCTAATGCTTTCAGTTCTTGTTACTATTATTCTTTTACATACTTCTATTATTATCGGCGTTTTATTAATACATACATTAATCATTAATTCTCAATATACCTTGTAGTTCTGTAATGTTATTATTTAGGGTGTAAAATTGTAATTAATGCAAAAATTAGAAAATGAGTGGACACAAAGTCGCGTATACCAAATTTAATTTCAAAAAGGGATGAGGTGAACAAACAGTTAAAGTACCCCTTATATTGATGTAAATAAATAATATTAAACACCTCCTTTTGTATGGGGTTACCGTTTGACGAGTTGAGTTGAGGCAAAGGCGGATAGAAGTGTATCATTTAATGAATGTTGAAAGAAGTCTTGTACTGTTCAAGTTCTTGTAGTAGTTACCATATTAAGAAAAATTAAATGGAAAGGCGTAAAAGGAGTTGTTGATATATAGGAGTACTAGGAGTAATTGTTGACTGTATATAATCATATTCAGTTATAATACTTAGTAGTAATGGTTAACTTATAGATAATTACTATTCTATACTATCTTCTGATAACTAATTTGACTTTTAGTCGTGCGATCGATCATAATATAAACTGTAACATATTTGATAAGTCTTATCTTTATATCTATCACTTTAGTGTGAAATGTCATATACAAAGCTAGATCATAAGTTATGCTTACTAACCATCATCATTCTCTAATTATACTTGATATAATTATTATCTATTTCATCTATATAGTAACTAGACTAGTTACTACTAGTAGTAACTAGTAGTAACTAGTTAATTATGGTATGATATTTCTGTCTTTGTCCTTTTGCGGTACGGGGGTCTGATTTCAAATTGAGCAAAAGTACACGCCCTTTTTTTGATTGAACCAGAAAATTTGAATTGATACGGGGAATCGCCATAATCTAAATTTAACTCATCCATCACCACTTGATATCATCATATCATTCAAACTAAACATACTTATAGATCATATCATATCATATCATATCCATAGAATCACATTATAGTGTACCGTTACGATGAGAGGTGTAATAACAAGACTAAGTAGTAGGAATCATCCTAATCTATTCCTCCTATCCTCATTTACTAATCATAAGCATAATAATCAATTACGAACTTTTACATCATGTTCTTATCTTTTTAAAGATGAAAAATCAAAGCAAATACTAAAGAATCTAGGTTTATCCTTACAAAAGGGAAATCTTGCTAGTAGTACATCTAGTTCTGATGATTCTAATAATAATAATAATGAATCATCTTCTTCTTCCAATGTTCCCGATTTAGAACAACAAAAGGAAGCTATTGAAAAAGCATCAGCTTCAAGTTCAACATCACATCAAGATCAAGTAGAGCCACTTCAACGTGATGCCACAGCCAATACATCACCTACTTCCACTTTAACTGATTCTAACGATAATACCAATAATGATACCACCCTTAATACCACTAAGACCTCCAACGAAACTAATGATACCAAGACTAATGATAATATCCAAACCAAAGCTGATACCACCATATCCACCAGTGAGAATACCATCCATGATGACGATAACCACCATATAATCAAATCCACGGGTGGTGGAGGATATGATGATCAAATGTATCAATTACTTCAAGATGCTTATGATACCACATCTCATATGACAACTGATGATATTATAATTCAAATCAATTTTGATCAAGGACGACAATTATTTGCATTTAATTCTGATCATTATTTAAATCGAAAACAAATCATTCGAAATTTACCCAATGAAATTGATTTATTTAATAAGGATGATTTAGCTAAGATTGATGATATTTATCAACAATTACAACAATTAGATCATGATAAAACTACTCAAATGAAGTATTTCAAACGTTATTTAAAGAAATATGATGATCCCATTATCAATTTGATTCAAGAGTTTAATGGAATTTCAAAAAAATTTAAATTATTAAGAAGAAAAGAAATTGATAACTTATCTTTATCAATGGGTTCATATTTATATAATGAGAATTTATTTAATTTGCCTTATAATGTGGTGGGGTTTGATAGAAGTATAAGTGGATTACCTTTAAGATCAGGAGGGAAACATGAATTAACAGAGAAATTGTATCCTCAAGAATTCATTGAAGATTTACAAATGTTTAGGGAAAAGATTCCGATTCATAAACGAGATCTTGATTTTGTCGAATTGGATGATCAAGAATCAATCAATATCGATCCTAGACATACTTCAATGAATCATAGTCGACTGATGATGGTTGAACAAGAAATCAATACTGAGAATTTATCAACTCAAACTAAATTAGAACAAATTGATGAATTTTTAGATAAATTTATTAATAATACTAAAACTCAACCTCAAGCCAAACCACAAAATTCAATCTTAGTATCGAATATTGAACATTATGATTCATTAGATTTACGTAACGATTTAAAGAAAAAAATCGAAAGTGAAGTATTATTATTAAAAAGAACCTTACAAATTGAAATTGAAAATTATCTTAAATTAAATTTAAAAAACTTTACCAAATTATATCTTAACAATGATCAAATAAACTCCATCAGACCGAATCAATATAAATTATATGATTTCTCATCGGTTAAACCACCAAATAATTCAACTATCGTCATTATAAATTATAATTTTAAGGATTTTTCAATGTTACCTCCTTATTCAGTGGTATTAAATTCTCGAAAACAATTGAATCAATTACGAAATCATTTGTATAAGTTATTTTTAATCAATTTAGATGATCAAATCGATACCCTTTTCCGAATCAAATATCTTGAAGAAAAAGATATGAAGAAATTCATGGAAAAGACATTAAAAACCATTGGGAATATCATCTCGATAAGATTATTGAAATTACTTAAACCATATCATGAAGAAGATGTGGATGCGTTATTGTATAGTCCATATTTATCAGATGAAGATTCGTTAAATTACAAGCGGATTTATTGGGTCAATAATCAAACTAGAAGAAAATCATTAGTGACAAGATATAATCATAAGAATAGAGATAGATTGATTAATAAGTCTGCTTTGAAGGTTGATTATAAGAAATTTGATAATTCTGTCGAGTATTGAATTAACGCTTTATTTATTCATAAACATTTTATACCTATTTATTATAAAAACAATTGAAATATCATGATTTGCAGGCATTTTTTATATTATCATTTAGTTGTAACTTCTCTCCCTATACTCTAACAATTGTTTTGACCATTCTCGCACGACCATTTTGAAAATTATTTTTTCTTTTTCTCTTCAGTACCTGTTGAAAAATCAATATTAAACCACCAAACATTATCAACCATTATCATTCATTTAAACACCATCCACAATGGCTTATAAGAAAGTGGGACCTCCACCAAAGAACTTACCACCGTTACCACGATTAAAAATCAGAAAACCGATTCTTTCAAAGGGAACCAATCAATGTTTTGTCTTGATGTCAAGTTTATTGAATTGTTGGGCATCAAATGGTGAAGGTTCAGTTCAATGTGCTGGTTTCGAACATGATTTAAAAACTTGTATGGAAGTTTATAAACCAGAAGCTGATAAAATCAGTACCATCAATTATCATGCTCAAAGATTATATCCTAAATTAAGAGGTAAGGTTAATGATTAATTAATTGATTTTGGAAATTATTATATTCCTATTTATTGTACATATAAAATATTTTTGCATTATCATATCACTACCATTGTCATATTATTCATTAGTATCGTTTCATGAAGATTGTAACTCTTGAGTCAATCAGCTCTGCAACAGTTAAAGTCATTTCAACGTTACTACCTCCTCCTTTCCTGTGTTCATACATTTCTAGCCATGTATATGAATACACTTGTATATAACTCATATGGTTATTGAATAATAACCGTATTTCCATTTTCTTTTTAATTCTGGGTCCTTTTAATATATATTTTCAACATATTATAGTGGGTATAGATAGTGTAGATGTAGTTTATAAACAGTTGCTAACTATACCAATAATACACTGGGTGTAATTTCCGGCATATAACCAAAGTTGACCCAATATCAAATTTCACAGTCGTAGGCATTTTAAAAATTACAATTAAATTTAATTAAATGAAAGTAGTATATCTATATAATTGTCATTATTCTGAGTATAATTTGTTAGGGATATAGTATACTGAAATCACTGTATTATGATCATATTTCATGATTTATAAGAATTTAGTGGTTTAAAAACCAGGTCCTAACCTGTAAATTACCCTGGGCTTAGGATAACCTGTAAAAAAATACAGTTACCATCAAACCCCGATTTATTGACCATTTAAACGGGTATTTTAACAGTAATTGATAGTTGGAGATGTAGATGTTCATGTAATGGAAGTTTGCTTCTCATTAGTTGATTGAAATACTTCAAAATGGTGCTGGTTTAACTGGTATTACCATGCTCTTCTTGCTGATAGTGAGGTAATTAACTATAGAGATATCAACGGCAATATTGAATTCAAACTTAAGCTGAAAAATCCCATTATCAACTCTAATCATAAGCTATACACCCCTAACTTCCATCATAGTAATCACATGGACTATATACTCATTAATTGTGGGTATATATATTGGTGTGTTTATGGTATGTGTGTGGTGTGTGTGACAGGGCCAAAAAAAAATACTTAAAATTTGTTTCACTTTATTTACAACCAGATGTCATTCCATCAATCAATCAATCCTTTTACAACCAAACCATTCCTTCTTTCAGCTACCCCCTCCATACTCATTCAGACGTTAGAACCACTCATCGTGGGGAATCGTATCTCATTACCTAGACCATCGAGATCTTACCGTCATCTTTCATCATACATTCATTTTTGTGTGCCCTTTGAAGTGTTATCAGAAGTTTATAACAGCTGATAATAACACTTGGGTTCAACTATCCTTTCACATCATCTATCTGACTGGCTATAATAATCAATATAGAGGAAATCTATTGAATGGAACATACTCTTTCTATTGATCCCCAATATCATCACTATCCCTTGGTTTAATCCTGGTTCATTCCTTTATTTATATACCTTGACCCTTCATTGACTCAATACAACTTTCATCATAAGTCATAGTTAAAGTAACTTCTAATAACGTTTAATTTCCCCTTTCAATCAACTCATATAATCATATATCAAAATGATACTCACACATATCCATCTCCTACTAGGGATAATACTATCGTTATTCATTCTACCTACAAATGGTGCCTTTATTAAAGCTCAAACTTGTAATTTAGTGGATTCAGGATTCAAAATAGCTCCATTTGTCATCGATGCTGCCTTAGACGAAGCCAATCAAAAATTGAAATTTTTATTAAATACAAAAGTTACATCATTTGATAATGTTTCAGATACAACCATTCAAATATCTGATGTTAATGCAACTACTAATAGATATACAACTTTCCATATTGAAATTGATTTCATGGGAAAGAATTTCATAACTGATAATAAACGATTCTGTGATATGCTTGCGGTGAAGAATAATACTCAATATCAAGAAAGTCCAAGATTCCCCTATAATGATCCTTTATTAGAATTGGCTCAATCATCTTCATCTTCAACTTCAACTTCCCCTATCCCGACACAAGCACCTGGAATCCTACCTGAACCATTTAACACCACCATCAATTCTAAACGATTTTATAAACGAGACAATCCGTTTTATTTCAAACAATTTAATAATACTAATTTCGCAACTTCAAATACAACCATTGAACGAATCTTTTCAAATGCAACTGGTGGATTAATTCAATGTCCGTTATTTATCAACGATTCACTTTTATTATATTATGAAGCTGATATTAGTCAACATTTTCATAGATTGGGATCTTACCTGGTACGATTTTCAGTCGTTTCAAATGATGATAGTTCTCAAGTAATCGGCTGTAACAAGGCTTATATTACTCCAGTTCAACCTGAATCTGTCTCGACCGTTTTATTATTAGGGATCTTGATTTTATTAGTTGTCACTGCCATCATTAATATTATAACTATCACTTATTCATCATTTCAAGAATCTTCAAATCCATTATTATTCAGAGCTTCAACTATTTGTAATGAAGAATTATTACGACAATTAGATGCCTCTGTTCCAAGAATCATCATTTATTTACAATTTGCGCTATTCATCGGTGGATTAAATCTCCAATATCCGGGGTTTTATCAACCTTTAATTGGTCAAATTAGATGGTGTGCACTTCTAGGAGTTTCATTAATTAATAGATCCGATGGTGGACCTCAAAGAATTACAAAACAAGATAATGTATATACCACCATGAATGTGAGTGGATTGAAATCACTTACTTTGTTTTCCAGTGATGAATCGATTGTGGCAAATTGGCCGAACTTTATATTAACGTTCATTATAGTGGTTGGAATTGTATCTGTTGCACAACAATTATATATGTTTGTCAGATACATTGTACTTAAATTGGTTGAAAGATATTCTGATTCGAATGTGTTGATGAATAGACAAGCTCCTCTGTCTTCGTATTCATTATTTGAAAAAAATCCAAATTATTTATTACAAAAATCCCAATTCTCCTTTAAAAAGCATTTATATTTAATGTTGGGTCAAGTGATCGAAGGGTTCTTGCTTGTTTTTGCAGTTCCATTCTTGGTTTTAACTACATATATGTTTTCCAGGGCTGACGATATTAAAAAGAAGGGGTTCAGACCACTTTTAAATCCTAATGCTTTACAATATGAAGCATTTTCTGAAACAAGTTCTTATGATCAATTATTCTTACCATTACCTATCAATGCTACTTTTTCGTCAACTACACCTACCCCTAATTTCTTCAATAAATTCAATTTAACAGGTTTAAACAACCATCCTCCTAAGTTTAATTTCACTAATACGTTACTTGGTGCTAACTCAAGTTATTTCAATGCTACTAATTTCCCAAAACCTCCACCAATGAATTCTCAAACCACACCGAATGTAGCCATTGCCATTGGGTCGATATTATTTGCTTGTTGGATTGGATTATCATTCTTTTTCATTTTTAATTACTTGTTAGCCGTTAATCATCATAAGTTACAAAAGAATAGAAAAGTTTCAAAATTATATACATCTATGAAATCAATCTTATTATGGTCGTTCTTCTATAATCATTATAAACCCACACGAGTGTTTTATGTCATTTATGATATATTTTCGTTATTAACGAAACTGTTAATCATTGGATTATTACAATCTTATGGATCAATCCAAGTAGCGTGTTTGATTATTTTAGAATTCATAGATTTGGTGTTTTTATTTGCATTTAATCCTTATTTTGTTAAATTCTCTTGGATCTCATCAAGGTGGATTTTACCAGTGGCAAGATTCTTCGTCACAGTGTTATGCATACCCTATATTCCACAATTACAATTAAGTGAAGCAGCAAGAACTTATGTTGCTTATGTACAACTTTTAATTCATTGTGTCGTGGCTTTCATTTTTATCGTTCAATTATTCTATGGATTTACAAGAACTATCTTATCGATCATTAAATTTCATAAGGAAAGATTACAATATAAAAAATATAGCGGTAAGTTACATAACGTCAATAGTGTTGATGATATTAATCGAGAATTCGAATATAAACCAGTTAATGACATCACCAATAGAATCGATTCAGTGTTAAGAAGACCTCCACCACCAAGTAATTATCAACGATTATTACTGCGATCTAATGGGTCGGCTAATTATTCGTTGAATGAAAAACAAGCCGCTGAATATGATGCTGGTGCTGATACGGATAAGACTCAAGATTGTAATAATTTTAATGATGAAGTTGATGAAGAAAAGTTTTATTTCAGAGGAGTTGGTGTTGATCAAGAGGTTCTGAGAATTTATAATGCCAAATCGAAAGTGAACTCCTCTGATAAAGTGAGATTAAAGAGAGATTATTCTGATTTAACTTTATCAAATGAAAATATTCATCAATTCTTGCCTGATTCAAGTTTATTGGAATTAAAAGATGAGGATAATGATAATGATGATAAATTCTCATTTGTAATTGATTCAGATTTACAATCATTCACAAGACAAGAAAAATTCTCAAACTTGAGAAAACAACGTACTGATTATAGAGTTCGTGAAGGTGATAATATTTATAAAAAGTATTTCATTGATGATGAGATTGATCCTGAAATCAAAGCGTTGTGGGAATCAAGAAACAATTGGGGTGAACAATCACAATCACATTCTCAAACACAATCTCCAGCACCAGAATCAAGACAACAAATACTGCCACCAGAACAACAAAGACAAAAAGTTGCAGCTGCACTGACAATACTTCCATTTAAATCATTATTTAAGAAGAAATCCTTAAAACAAGACCATGTTGAAAGAGGATTTCAAGTTTCAAGACCAAAGCAGTTGGTTGTTAGAACCATTGAAGAAATCCACGCACAAGCTGAAGCTAGAAGACAACAACAAATACAACATCAAGAAGATGAGAAGGCTGATTCCATTATTAACGATGAATATAACGGCAGCACTAGCTTTGACAATAATCCTAGCAGTTCTTCATCTTTTGTATCAGCGGAATCTGGAAGAATTCTTACTGTTACAAATAATGAACAATAATCATGAACATTAAAATTCCTGTTTTTTTATTTATTTATTTTCCTTAATTAATTTTCATTTCTTCGTAGTAGCTTAAAGTTACAATTTTATTTTTTATTTGGGTAAAATACAGGTTTTATTTACGTTTTATTTTATGTTTATATATTAATTACAATAAAATATATGATACATATCTAGATTGAATAGTTTGTATTATATGTACAAAGTGTAGTAAACGTTTAAGTAGTTTTTGATTTTTTAATGGATGAAGTTTCTTCTCCTGAAGAATCTTCTTGAGCTCTCTTCTTAATAATATTACGAATTAATTTCTCATCATCGATGAATTTGAATGGTCCTAAATCTTCATTCTTCTTGAATGTTTTATCAATATCTAAACAGTTCTTTAAGGATTGATATTCTGATTTAAGTACTACTTCAGCCATCTTTGATCTTGTGAATGGGATTTTTGGTTCATATGGTTGAGAAGCAAGTTTAGGATATTGATTTAACCTACTATTCAAAATAGCCTTATAATTTTCAAGAAACTGATTAGTAAGTTTCTTGGATTCAATTAATTGATAACATTTTTTAGATATTCTATTGATTAATTGATATTTAGGTGCTTCTTCCAAAGTCATAATCGATTCAGTTTTATCAACTGCTGCTATTATAGTTAAGATTTGAATCAAAAATATTAATTCTAATATAACGTCACCCGATTTAAAACAATCATAAGAATCCAATACGATATCAACAAGATTTTCATCATCTTCATGTTCTTCCATGATGATTTGATTCACAAAATGAAGTAAATCTTTAATAGATTCCTCAGTAAGGCCCGTTGTATCTTCGAAATGTTTGGTGATTAAATTTAAGGGAATTTCACCAAAGTCATATTTAGAACCTTGAGTTTCAACATATCCGTATCTTCTTAAGATTTCACTATTTGGATGATCGGAATAAGTATTATAGATTTGATCTCCCTTCTTTATAGCTTTCAAACTTTTCATGACAAGTTCATTGTCAACATAGGTCAAGGAAGCATTATGAAGATTGGTGTCGGCGTTAAGTGTATCTGCTAAAGGTACCATCGATTTATAATATCCATCCATTAATATACTTCTTGGTTCCATACCACTTTGAGTTTTGCTTTCATTGTCCTCTCCTTCTTCTTTCTCTTCATCATCTTCTTCCTCCTCTAATTCTTCTTCTTCCTCATCTTCCACCTCTTCCTCTTCTTCATTTTCTTCTTGCTCATCGAAATCCAGTATTTCCACATCGAATGAATAAGACATAATAGTAGATGCAATGGCTAAATACATATCTAAGGTCACTTTTCCTTCTAATTCCTTGATCCCCAACTCTTCAATTATGATACCAGGATATAATTTATTATAAATAGAAACCGCTAAATCTTTCCCCACTCTTTCTAAAATCAAGGATGGTTCAAGTAAATGTAACTCATCACTATTCCAATACATCAATTGATTGAAAGTTTCTTCGTGTTGTTTGGCATTGAATTGAGCTGATTTCACAGGCAAAACATCTAAATAATCATTCCACTTACTATTCTCACCCTTAACTAAGACTTCATAAAGTAATACTATTATCAAAGATTCCCAATGGGTTAAATGAACTAATTTCTGTTTAATATCAGGATAATCTTCGATAAGAGAACAATTACCGACATTCAAAATAGAATCTCTAGGTATTGAAAACAAAACTTCTCCTTTATTTATATCATCCAACGCTATAACACCCCTACCTTGTTCACTATTTCTTAAATCTGCAATTAAAACTTTTGATGAGATGGTTATATCATGATGATTCAACCAATCAGTGAATTTCATCGTACCCTTTGTGAACAAAGGCATCTTTACTGTATTATCCCTACTGTTAAAAACTTCAACAAAAACCTATCAACTTCAAAAATGGTTGTAAAATTTAGTCAATTTCGGAATCCCGTACTATATTTATATATTATGTGAAATTGCCCTAAAAAATTGTATCTTGCACCGTGTAAAGATTTTTCAAAATGCTGACCACACGTATATAACTTACTTGTTCGAGGCGACTTTTAACCTTTTGATATGATATCTCACTTTAATATAGATATATCAATGATATTAGGATCAACTTGGTACTGCCTGGTGTTTATTACTGCTAAACCTTAATTCAAATTATGATGGAAATATGAAAATTTGGAATGGAATTGTGCCATGTGCAGGATATTTATATAGGTATTATGGTTTTGATACCTTTCAAACAAGGTTAACCGTTATAATTGATTATTAAGGTTCTGACATATGAAATAAATCATGTCTATTCATAGTGGTTATATCGGAAAAATCATTACAATAAGGATAAATTATGGAAATGTGATGGGAAAATGCAAATCAAGTGCCTCGAAGCGAATCGTTTAAAGTAATCAAAATATGAATTATGTATATTTACAAAATATATACAAGTATATAGAATATGGGGCGGATGGAAGTGTCAAGAAAATCAGTAGTTCATCTAACTGATCAATTTTTCTAACTCAGTCTTCAGTACCGGGATAATAATACCATTTGTATCTTCATTACATATGAAACAGTTGACCTTCTTTTTCTTCTTATATCGATTCAAGAAACAATCCTTGCAATATAAATGACCACATTTCGTTTTAATAGGATGTTTATAATCTGATTTGCACAAGACACACTTGAACGGAAGTTTTTCACTTGTGTCTTTATTGGTAGGGATAGTTAATTTAGTGGTATTTGATCCCACAGTCTCCCATTCCTTCTCTATAACTTTATTGGCCTTAGATTCATCTCTGATATGAAGAAACTTACAAGTATCACCATACCCACAATAACCTGTTTGTAAGAAATCCTTACAAACATCAGGTTGAAAGTCTGTTAATGTAGTAACTGTGATGTTGGTGGGTAATGGTTTAATTTTTGATTTTGTAGATATAGCAATTTCTTCTTCCTCATCGGAATCATCTTGTTTCTTGTTCGTGCCACTCGGTATAGCAACTGTTACTGGCTGTGTCGATGTATTCAGTTTCTTACTAACAGCCAACTTCTGTCTTTTCTTGAAAGGATCTGATGAATGCAAATTACTCTTTTCTATGATAGGACTATTTTCATCATCTTCAGTCTCCAATAAGAATGATCTTTTACTTGACTTCACTGTTGATGCCTTATTACTATCATTATCTTTTATTACTCTTTTCTTAAACATATGGATGAGATCTATGATGATGATGATGATAATGAAATAGATATTGGTTACTAATAATTAACTTCTATTTTTTATGCTGCTTAAATAAATGATGGGGAAAATCTGAGATGGAAGTTATATGCAGTCACACACAAATTATGGAATATCAACAAATTTGTCAAATGACTGATATTTAGATATTGGTTAAGGGTTGTACGAAAGAAGGACAATAAGATAGCAGTTAAAATGATAAACAGGAGGTTTGCTTGTGGTTTAATAGGGAAGAGATTTCCTATTAATAACCAAAAACAATCTCAATTGTTTTATTCCGTCACTTCAGCATCTGGTAGTAAGATCAATTCCTATTTTGAATTATTTCCTAAGAATTTCCCGAATCAAGGTCCACCAGGAGATTCATTTCTAATAAATGATAAAACGTTAAGACGGGAGTTTAGAGGTTTACAAAGTGAAAACCATCCTGATGTTTTAATTGGATCGTCATTGTTAAATAATAACTCTACTACCACCGCCACCAATGACAACGAGGATTTCTCAAGCATCATAAATAAAGCTTATACCATTTTAAGAAACCCATATAATAGAATTGCCCATTTTATTAAGGTATACCATCCTCAAAAACTAGATATAACACAGGATGAAGTATCGAAACAGTTAATAAGTGATTTCAACTCTAGTTCACCTCAAAGTAGTCAAGATTATAAAGACATGTTGATGACTGTTTTAGATGCTCATGAATCATTAGAGATGGCGACGAATGAACAAGATTTACAAGATTTGACGTTGGAGAACAATGAAAGAATAAATCAAAGTGAAGAGATTTTAGATAATTTGATTCAACTGGAATGGCCTATTCATGATTGGAATCCAATTTTAATGGAATCAATCAAATTGAAATATTGGGTTAATATTCAAAATGGGATCAAAGATTGGGAACCGGGAAAGCCAGTTCATTTAACTCATTGAGTTGCTATTTAGACACATCCAGACATTAGTGGATGAATTTACGATAATAATATGAATAAGGAAAGTTTTAAAAAACGTTGTATATATAATATATATTAATTGACAAAAGATTTATGTATAAGAAATGAATTAAAAAATATAAAAATTGTGAAGCTGTTGTGTGATAATTATACAGAGATTAAATTAGATTAGATGTAGCAGCGATGAATGAATGGATATATGTATGTGTATGTGAATGAATGAATGAATGAATGACAGCAGTATACGATTACTACTCACTTGCCATGGTTTTATCGTCATCTTCTTCTAACTCTTCTTCTTCTTCATCTTCATCTTCCATTTCACTTCCTTCTATTTCATGCTCTTCATGTTCTTCATTTTCTTCATCGCCATTTTCTCGTACGGGGATACTAAACTCACAATTCTCATATTCATCCTTTTCTATATCAGATCTTGGATGCATCTTTAACCATTTCATTCTTGGACCACTAAGACTTAATTCATTAATTTTAAATCCAAATAATTTTAATCCAAAATCATTTTGATTGAATTTATTAATTCTAATACGACATTGATTTTCAATTTCAGGAAACATCTTTACTAATAATCCTGGAAATGTAGTTCCAAAGAATGCTCCATCAATATTAAGATATCTTGAACTTGATGGTATATAAATATCATTACAACAAGGACAATATAACCTTACGGTTTCTTGACCTGGTATATCAGTAGAACCGACAGGGATAAGATGCATTCCATCACAATAGAATCTTGGACATGAACCAAATTCATTACGTTCAAATTTAGATGCCATTGCGGTTAATCCTGGTTTTGATATAATATATCGAGCATGGATTAAACCATATAATAATTCCGCCGAATGGGCCAATAATGATTTATTAGGTAATTCTGGTTTCTTGGAGTTGTTATTATTAGTATTTGTCGATGTATTGTTGGTGGTGGTAGTATTATTGTTATTGTTATTATTATTGGTACTATTAGATCCATTACCATTAAGATTGGTAGAATCATCATTATGATCTTCAGCAGTTTCAACTTGATAATCTAATATGGTGTATAATGCTTCTCTATAATATGGAACTTGGGATGATAAACCAGTTAAATTGAAGTCATCTTCAATGAATTCTTGAGCAATGGGTACGAAATAATCATGACCAAAGGATTCACAAAACTGTTGTATCCAAGGTATGTAATCATCTTCAGGATCGCTAGGCATATTGGGATATGATATATATGAATGAGTGGTTGATGGATTGATAAGTGATGGATGACTTGATGGAATGATTGATGATGATATATAAGGACTGTATCTGTCCTTCTGTCTCCTTTCCAATGGGGTGACTAAGATAACTTAAGATATCCAGATTACTCTTCAGTTATAGTACAAAGTATCACTTTTTATGATTCGCCTTCTATCGTAGCAGATACTACTATACTCTATACTTGCAAGGGAGTATGACTATTGATTGATTTGTGTATCTCCAATTGATACACCTTAAATTATGAGATCTTTAAACGGTTTCCCATTTAGATAAATAAAAATTCTCAATTTTATCACCATACTCAAAAAAAAAAACTGAGAAAATTTGTTGTGTGGAAGGGAGGATGATTTATATGAAGGAAATTTTGAAAATCTGTGTTGATATAAATAGAGAGGATGTTCATTCTGCTAACTGCCACATCACATTATTCTGATTTGGTTTCTTCTTGGTGATTGAAAGAGATAGACAAGATGCTAGATTGGATAGACTTACAACCATACACGTTACTTGTACTGACGTTTTTAATCCTTGCCTTCCAGCAAGTTATCAATCAAGTTGGTAAATCAACCATACAGGAACTTGTTTGGTCATTATACATGGCAATTGGAAGTAAATTGAATTTAACCAATTCATTCAAAGAGTATTCAACTAAACAAATCGAAATAGTGGATTTGAATAAACAAAAGAGATTGATTAGTGCTCAAGATCAATATGCTAAATGGACCAAATTAAACAGACAAGTGGATAAATTAACAGCTGAACTTACTCAATTGAAAGAAACCATTTCTAAAGATAAATCAAGTGTTAATTCATTCGTTAGCTTATCAATCATGTTGATTACTACTGCTCCACTTTGGTTCTTCAGATTATGGTTTAGAAAATCAATCTTGTTCTATTTACCTCCTCAATATTTACCTTATGCTTTAGAATGGGTCTTTTCAATACCATTTTTCCCACTTGGATCAGTTGGTTTAACAGTATGGACATTCGCTGTCAAACAAGTTATCTCATCTATTATCTTCTTATCGTCATTCCCATTCCAAGCTCCAGTTGGTAAACCAGTTAAAAAGGAAAAAGTTGAAGAAGTTAAATAGTTAGCATAACACACATATATATATAAGGTAAATATGTATATATTTATATACTACAGGCATTATTAAAAATACATAATAATATAATACATTAACTAAAAATACACTAGATTAACTCTAATAGTTCGTTATATCGAGATAACATGACTTGTTTCAATTCAACATTGGAACTTTTACTGTCATCATTATCATCTCCATCATCATTCTCTTCATCGAACTCATAATTACTGATCTTTCTTCTTTTGATATCATTATGGAAATCAGAAAATGTAAGATGGATCAACTTATCAGTAACACTTCCATCAGATTTACGAACTTGTTCTTCATCTTTATCACCATAAGCTAAATAATAATATGAATCAATAACCTTGACCCAACTTAACATATCTAACGAATATTGATAAACATCATAACTATTGATATCTTTACTGTTCAACACAAGTAATGGAGATCCATCTTTATCTGATATTTCAAAATATCGAAGGGATTGTAACACTATATTGAGGGGACGATTATGATCATATTGGGTTGGAATATTAATTTCAACATTATTATTTAATACATTTGCAATGGAAATTCCTTTGATGATGTTTCGTATTCCTGCTTGATGATTGCTTAATTTCCATGTATATACTAACCCATTGTTTGTCATAAGAGTCAAGAATTCATTATGACTTCTTAATGCTATAATATTATGACCCAATTCAAATTGAGGACATAAGAATTTACCAGAATCGGCCTTGACAATTTGAACAGTTCCATGAAATGATACCACCACGATATACTTCAACTCTTCATCGATTATCATAGGCAAGACATGCTGAATCATATATGGGAAAAATAAATTATACAATCTTTTTGTGGATGATAAGTTATTGGATACGATTAATCGAGTTGGATCATCAAAATCTATATTAATATCATTAGCTTTTTCCAACTCTTCTTCTAATTCAACTTTCCAACGTTGGCCATTCCTCACTTCAATTATAGTTCTGATTTCATCTTTCGACTTTTCATCCACAAATTCATTATAATCATGTTTATGCTTCACACTTCTAACAATGACAGAAAATAATAATTCTTCATCATACTCTAATTGAGAATTCGATGATATATCACTTTGGATACCTCCATTGGGATCTTTTTGTAAGATGATTTTCTTATATATCTCATTCAATTCATGATTTAATTCCCGAACGTTATTATTGAATAATATCGGCGGTAAATTAGAAACACTCTTAAACGTATTAGGATACTTTTGATTCATGATTTTTCGTTTAAATCGATTATATTGACGTTTCAAACTTGCTTCGGAAACATTATTAGCATTAGAGTTGGCATTCTGTGTAGTGGCGGTTTCTTCAAATCCTCCAATATCTTCATTATCATTATCATTAATATCATTACTAGCAGGTAAGACAGGATGTGCGCCAGAATTAACATTTTCTCGTGATTTATATCCATGAACTGATGTTTGAATACCTAATCTTGGTAAGAAATAACTTGATTGTGATATTTTCGAACTAATTTGAAAACTTTTATTGGAAGATGATAATTTTGGAGTAGATAAATTGTTAATATTTGATTTTGATGATGAAGATACTAATATTGGAGCAACTCTCTTCTTACCATTCTTGGTAATAGTTATATTTTGAGTCGCCTTTGTCAATTTCTTTGGACTTAAAGTTGTTATTGGCGTAGTAATAGCAGTAGCAGCAGTTGATGGAGCTGCAAATATCGATTCTGATTTAGGTGTTGGAGATTTTAATTTTTCACCATATGAGGCTAAATTCGGCCTTGAACCTTTTTTATCATTCTCTGTAGATATGGTTTCCAATTTCAATTGTTCTATACTTTCCGGAAATATATTAGATTCACGATCACCACCATATCGAGTTAATTGAGCATCAATTAATTCTTCACTAACTACTTTACCACCTAATTCCAAAGGTTCAAACGATACAACCGTAATCGATCCATCTAAACAACTTAAGAATAAGGTTTCACCATCGGGTGTCCAACAAATATCTGTTATAGTCTTCTCCACAATATCTTCAAGAACTGCTAATGGTCTTGTATTAGAAGTTGACCAAATTGCCAATGTACGATCTTGACCTCCAGTAGCTAAGATTGTTGAGAAATTCTTATTATCATCTTTCTTTCTATTGGAATTATTTTCATCACTGAAATCAAATAAACGAGGTGAAAATGAACATACTTCACAAGGAGCTTCATGTCCAATCAATGAAACATCAGTTGACCAATTACCTCTACTTATAACTACCACAGATGGGACTGGTCCATTTGTGGCGTTTGGAACTGCAATATGTTGACCATCGGGTGACCAACTCATTCTTCTGAAATATGAAGTTAAGGGAGACTTCTTAAATGGATCCATTATAATATGTTCCATTTGAAAATCATAATTATTATATTCATTTATCTTTTTATAATAACGGAAGATCCGTACAGTTCTATCATCAGAAGCAGTAGCGAAAAACTTATTAGCTGGATCAAATACTATCCCTTTAACCATTGATTGATGGATATCATATCTTTTAATTCTTTCAAATGTGAATGCATTCCAAATTATAATTGATCTATCTAACCCCACAGTAACTAATAAAGAACTATCAGGGGACCAACAAATATCTTGAATATCATTATCATGAGCCACTAATCTTTTCTTCACTGTCCAATGTTCTAAATCAGCTTCTGTTTCACCGAATTGAGGTTGTTTGTTTTGACTTTCATCTTTTTCCCATATAAGACAAATTTTATCATCTGATCCTGATGCTAAGTATTTCCCATCAGGTGAAAACTTGACACAAGTGACAACCCCATTATGACGACTCATTGAACATAATGGTCTTCTGAATGATTTTGCGGGAAGATCGTCAACATCACCAAGGATTAATCTATCTATCTTTTGGGGTGATTTATCTCCCTTTTTAGGCTGAGGTTCGGATGATTCTGATGGTGGATCAGTTGTGGACAATTTTTTGAATTTGATTATGGTTGGTACATCCCAGATTTTGACATTCCCATCTAATCCTCCTGATGCCAATCTTGTGCCATCTGGGTTTATACTGATTGAATAACATTCTATAGATTTGTTTTCGGCTGCATTTTAAGGTTAGTTAAACCATACAATTTATGGGATTTTGAAAAGTTATTAATATTAATACATACTTCTATGACCTAACCAAGGTAGTTTAAGAATATGCATATCTTAAACCATATATTGATTTCTTCTATATCATGAGTTTCAATTGACTTGACGGTTGAATTTACATCCAGGTTTAAAGTTTTGAATTGCTAAAAGCAAGAAAAATAAATTATTTGGCGTAGTTTGATATTTGACCATAATTGAATAGCGCACTACCATAATAACTACTACTATAAACTGATTTTATAACAAATTGCAAATTTTATATTAAACTTAAACGAAATCTATAGATAAATAAATGAGAGGAAAATGATCGATTAAGCAGTATTAGGAAGTTGGGAATCATAATCGAAACGACTCTTAACCCACCATTTACCAAAGATAGCACCACAAGTAACTAAAAGACATAAGAATCCTACAATACTAAAAAACCAAACTAAGGAATCAATTTCTTGACCTGGAACCACCACATTCATACCAAATAACCCAGTTACAAGATTTAACGGAATCAACATGGTACCGATTAAAGTGACTTTGGATAAGATTTCTGTGATTCTGAAATTAGCATTGAATGATTCAACTTGTAATTGAGCTAAGTAATTGGAATGACTCTTGGAGAACATTTTCTCATAAGCGATTAAACTTTGATGCATGGTGATAACATGATCTTGAATATCATCCAAGTATAAAGCTACTTCAGTTCTGGGATGAGAAATGATTTCAGATGCAACTTCATTTGGTGTTGCAGTTGGAATGGCATCAGATTTATTTCTCTTGGTAATTAAATCTTCTTGACATCTTTTAAACATTTTAATAACATCAGATTTGAAAGATAATAATCTTAATAAATTCATGATTTTCTTCCTAGATGCAAAGATTCTGGTTAACATTTCTCCAAAATTCTTATCTCTACAAACAAACACCAAATTTTCAATGTGATCAGCTTCAACTTCGATTTGTTTAATGACGGGTGCAAAAGAATCAATAATATCATCAATCAAAGCATAACATAACCAATCAGCTGTGACATCAACATAATCTCTTAACTGGTTGACTCTTCTTCTAACCACACCAGGATGTGGAACGGAAGTGAAATGGAAAGTTAAAATACCATGTTTGAAAACCACAATATAAAAATTAATGATTTTTAAGAAGGTTGGAGATTGACGATCAGAATCAAAAGTATGAAAGGATACAAAATAATAATTCTTGAATAATTCAACTTTCTCACGACAATCTTGAGTCTTGATATCTTCACATGTCAAAGGGTGGATATTGAATGTAGTGGATAAGACTCTTAATTCAGCTTCGGTAGGATTATTACAATCTAACCACCAAGTATTTTCATTACTTCCGAACAATTCACGACATGATTGATTAGCAGGTAATAAGGAAGATAATGATGATGAATGAACAGTTTGTTCTGAATCAGACGAGTAATAGGCATATCTATTTTCAGCGGCATCATTGAATTTAACTCCTTCTCCATCTCTATTCTTTTCTTCAGAATCGGAAAAGCTGCTATTATCACTGCTGTCGCCTTGATCAGCTAATGATGATTTAATCTTATACAAAATATGCTTTGGAGTATAATTAATGGCACTAGAACTAGGTTCTCTGGTGGAAACGATTGATCTTGAATCATTATTTATGACACTTGTACGACGATTAGGGATGTTTCTATTAACGAGGTTTTGTCTTTCAAGTTTAATGAATTCATCAAGTTTGTTAAAATCAATATCAGGATTCAACTCTTCAATAGATGATTCTTCTTGTTTATGAGAAAAATTAGAAACCAAATCATCTTCATCTTCATATAAATATGAAGTCCTTCTACTATAATGGGTATCATTGGTTTTAACTCTAATTAAGGGAGATACTAAATCAGATGCAAGTTGATTATCAGTATCTTTCAATTTTAAGGAATCCATAGAAACCAAAACTTCAAGGGATGAGATTTCTTGATTAGTGTTATTCTCATTTACCCGAGGAATGTCTGACATACTTGAATTACCTTCACTATTATAAGTTGTAGTTGGTGATCTTTTGTCGCTGGATACTTTACCAGTGCTGTTTACTCCTCCACTCATGCTGCTTGTACCATTGGGGATGACATGTGTGAAGAAAGAAAGAATTAAATTGAGTGAAACTTATTAGTGGGAATAACTTCATTCTTATAGGACAAGACAAGATGAACTATTAAGACATATAGTAATAGGTAGTAGAGTATGACTCAGCCTTGGCGATAATCTCTATAGAACGAACATCAGATGAGATGGAAGTCCTCCACACGTTTGCTACGATGACCATAAACCCAAACCCAAATTTTAGCCATATGATTGCCAAGCAAGGAAGATATAAGATTCATGGAGAGTATTGGCATTTTGATTGATTGAAATTTGATCTGCATAAACATAAAGTTGGTATATGCAAAATTTTAAGGTGCAAAAAAAAGCAAAGGAAAAAAAATTAACTATATGGAGAAAATAAATTATCGCCAAGATCATACGTGCTAAGAAAAACCGAAAAACTCTACCAGCATACATATCAAAACCATAAAAAAGGAACCAAGGCTTAGACCTCCATATAAACTGTTTGTGAATATTTGAAATTTCTTTTATTAACAATGGTAGTTACGAGTTATACAAAACCTTGAATATATATAATAGTACAAACATATAAAGTTTTAGCGGATGTCAACTCACAAATTTTTTATTTTAATAAGTTATAAAATGGGCTAACGGCCGACCAAAATAAAATTCAGCCGTAATTTTGAGAAAACCTTAAACCAATGGTGATTATAATTCAAATTCAATTTTAATGGCTTCACCAAACTTTTCAATACCAACTACTAAGGCATCTAATGGTACAGCAGCATAAGTACCTCTGAAGAATACATGAGGATTATGAGCAGCGACAAGGGAAGCATGTTCTAATTCATGTTGAGGTGGGTTTGATTGACCTTCAGATTTGAACCAAGATCCAGGAATCATTAAACAACCTTGTTTAATACCTTGTTCATAGACGGCATCTTCAACTTTTAAAGCATCTTCAGCAAATTCAGTTTTGAATTTTGGATGTTTGGTTGGATCAATATTGACAGTGAAGAACATACCAGCAACTGGAGGTGAGAAATTAACCACTTCAGATGGTAAATATTTACTGACAGCATCAATGGCGACATCTCTTTTATGAGTATATTCTAATCTTAAACCAATTAACCAATCCAAATAACCTTTTTGACCCCATTTTTGTAATAAACCATTAACTAAGGATTGAGTTACACCAGAAGGAGCTTGGATTGAAACTTCATGTAATCTAACAATTCTTTCTAATAATTCCTTTTGACCTACAATCCAACCAAATCTTAAACCTGGAGCTAAAACTTTGGAGAAAGAATCTAATCTAATGACTCTACCTTCAGTATCGATGGAAAGGAAGGATGGAACTAAAGCTTTTAAGAATTCTTCATGATTATGAACTATGGTGGATGTTCTTTGAGATTTATCAGTAGTATAAGCTTCCATTTGTAAGAAATAATAAGGTTCATCTTCGACGATTATAAAATCATGTTTAGAAGCTAATTTATAAATTTCTTGTCTTCTTTCGAAACTTAAGGATGAACCAGTTGGATTTTGACCAGTACAGATGGTATATAATAATTTTGGTTTTGGACCCACCCAATTATCTAATAAAGTAGATAAAGCAGATGGAATAATACCATAATCATCCATTGATATTGGAATAGTATTAATACCTTGAGCATGAGCCGTTTCTAAAGCAGAACTAAAGGAGAAATCTTCCACCAAGATTGAATCACCTCGAGTTACAAAAGTTCTTAAGGTTGATTCCCAAGATTCAGTATTACCAACTGAAGCAATGATATCCCAATCGACATAAGGAACTTTATGAACTAAATCAGTATGATCTTTGACAAAGGTAAGTAATTCCGGTTGACCTTCACTATGACCATATTGTAAAGATCTTGATAATTCAATTTGATTTGGTTCATTTTTTGTCTTATCTTTAAAGATTTGAAGTGAAAGTTTTTCAGCACTAGCAGTAGTATTGATTCCTTTACCAGAAGAGAATGCAGCAGGACTTGGGATTTCTGCAGTTAAATTATCAAAGGGGAAATAATCTGATAATGGTAAACCACCACCTAAGAAAGTAACCTTTGGATCAAAGTAATATTTGAAGGCAGATTTTAATGGAGAATTCTGTCTTGATTTTGATTCAAGAGATAATAAATGAGATAAATCTTTAGCGTGAGGTTTAGTCATATTGGGATGGGGGATATAATTGATATAAAGAAGATTAGATATTAAGAAGAAGAAGAAGAAGAAGAAACAAGAAAGAAAGTTAACAATTAACAATAATGAATATTTAAGCCAGAGTAAATGGGATATATATTTATACCGATATAACATGAAAAATTCCACAAATCCAAATTTAATCGGGAACGGTTAGAAAATGTTGTACTCACTTTCGCGCTTAAATTCCCTAATTAGTCATTTGTATTAGTAAACTTTTAGTTAACTGTGTGTGAGTCAAACTGGAAGAGGAGAAAAAGTACTATAATACGAGATTACATAACCGATTACGTAATCAAGTAAAGATCATGAAGAGATGAATGAATAGATAACAGAAATGCCTTATGGATTTCATTTATACAAATACATTAATTAATTCTCCCGTATAAACGATGTAAATTTCTCCATTCTAACTGTGTACTATATATAATTCGTATTTATTTATTATTCTTTCCATTTCTATTGATTTCTCTCTCTCTCTCTCTCTCTCTTATGAGCCATACCAATTATTTCTTCTGAGCCGTATACCGCCTTAATATGCCATTTGATGAATCATCATATACATAATACATTAACTATATGATTTATCTTGGCACCCGTACCATGGGGCATATGACTAACTTCTTAATTATATAATTATATCGTCCACTATTTATTTCAACTCCACTTCTACTGTACTAATTGTTAGTATAATCTCGTTAGTGTGTGTGTAAAAATGAGCTAAATCAAACTTTCGATTGCGAAACGGATTGACAATATAAAAATGTCTCTTATTATGTCACATGACCAATCTGTCGCGACATGATGCTGCTAACGATATTACCATTTAACGCGTTGCAAATTTGATTTAACTCTACCATGAAGCGTATATAGATTGATTGATATCATATAATTCACATGAATATATGAATCATTTAGAAAGTATGGTCGTTAAACGAAGATTCTTTGGTAGAAATAAGAAATCGGAAAATATACTACCTCAACTCGTCAAAACTTCACCCCCTCCATCTCCCCTGATTGAAAATTCATTATTTGTCCCTGATAATGATTATGAATCTGATGAAGATAATGTGAATGAAAAAGAATCTGAATTGATTGTTGTTGATCGTCCTGATATAAAATCTCCTCCTACTGTTAGTAACAAATCTATACGACAAGAATTATTCGAAACTCAATTAACTTCAATCATAGGTCATGTTTCTTTAAAACATTTACATTATTTATATAAGAAATATGATATTCCAAATAATCAATCTCATAGTTTAAAATTGGCCATTAATGAATATCTTAATGGAATTTCTTCTAATGATATGGATGAATTCTATGCTAAAGAAGATATTAAATCAGAATCAACAACCAATAAGTCATCTGTGAAAAGATCTTTCAATCAATTATCTTTCCCATCTCAATCAAAACCTCAACCTGAAATCAAACCAGAACCAATCATATCGACCCCTACAACCACTATCCAAGAACCAACTTGGAAACGATTCATTGGTTCATTAGACGTTCAAGCATGGGCTACGCGTCCCACTTTACGTCCTTTGAATTATCAACAATCATTACAATTAAGAAGACTTGTACCTAAAAATTCATCTATTTTAAATAGTTCAATCATAAGGATTTTCCATAATGATCGTGAAATTGGAAGAATTCCTGAAGATTTAACCAGAATATTATCCCCTTTGATTGATTTTAATTTCATTTCATTTGAAGTTATCGTGTTGGAATCGACATTACGGAGATTATCTATTGGTGATTCATTTTTAATCCATATTAATATCTATGTGAATAATATCGCGTTTGATTATAAAGATGATGATGTTGATGTTAAGAAATCTTTAGACTCAATCTCACCTATTCCTAAAAAAGCAAAGTTTAATAATTTTAATTTCTCTACTGAATCTAAAAATGAATCAATATTAAGATTACGGCAGTTTGCCATATCGAAATTGTTTGATAAATTGGGTATAAGACCTCTTAAGACATCACCTTCATCAATTGTGAATGCGGAATCCATCGACACTGAATTTGAAGACAGTAATGACTTACCCGATTCACAAACGATCAATCTCGATTCAGATGATGATGGAGAAGTAGTTGAAATAGAAGATGATGAAAATGAAACAACAGGAGTAGATGAAGTTAATCTCGATCAATTGAAACAATTCTATCAACAAAATAATGAATCCAATTTATTAAATAGTTTACCTGATACGACAACTCCACCTCCGGATAATTTTAAATTGGATTTAAGACCATATCAAAAGATAGGACTTTCATGGATGATCTTACGAGAGGGAGAACCATCTGTATTAAAGAAATTATCAAATGATGCCTATAATGACGATGATATTGGTAATAGTCAAGATAATGATGGGATAATGAATCCACTTTGGCGGAAATATAAATGGCCCGAAAATATTGAAGATAAATCAGGGAATGATAGTAGTGAACAGCATATACCTTATTTTTATGCCAATTTGTATAATGGTGAATTATCGCTTGAGAAACCAATCATAAAAACAACCAAGACTGGAGGGATCTTAGCTGATGAAATGGGATTAGGAAAGACGATCTCAACCTTAGCCTTAATCAATTCGATTCCATATGATTTATCAAATGAGTTTACGTCTCTGATAACTTTATCACAAGATCTGTCGTTCAATGTGAATAAACCATATGCATCCAAGACCACGTTAATCATCGTTCCTATGTCATTATTAACTCAATGGAAGAATGAATTCGATAAGGCCAATAATAACCCCAATCATTATTGTCAGATTTATTACGGTAATAATAACAACAATCTAATCCATACATTAATTCATCATTCGCCTAATAAGATCCCGGTTGTGATTTTAACTACTTATGGAACGATTCAAAATGAATATATAAAATTGAAGAATACAAAACTGTCACAGAATGTATATGATTCTAAAACGGGGATTTATGCGGTTAATTACTTTAGGATAATCTTAGATGAAGGGCATAATATTCGGAATAGAAATACCAAGACTGCCAAATCTATCTATGAGCTTTATTCGAAGAAGAAATGGATTTTAACGGGGACGCCAATCATCAATAAATTAGATGATTTATATTCATTAATCAAGTTTTTAAAATTAGAACCATGGTCGAATTTCTCATATTGGAAAACATTCATTACGCTCCCGTTTGAACAGAAACAATTCAGTCAAGCGTTGGATATTATTAAATCAATCTTAGATCCGATATTGTTGAGAAGAACTAAGGATATGAAACAAGCTGATGGGAAACCATTGATTGAATTACCAGAGAAGGAGATTGTAATTGAACAGATTAAATTCAATCAAACTGAATTGAAATTATATAATTGGTTAAAAAGTAGAGCTAACAAAACGTTTAAAGAAGGGTTGAAAACCGGACAGATTTTAAGACAGTATACTCAAATTTTAACTCATATTTTACGATTAAGGCAAGTTTGTTGTCATATGGATTTAGTGGGTGGACCGAGTGAAATGGATGAAGAAGAACAACAACAAAAGGATCAAGAGAAGTCGTCATTGTTTGTAGATGATGATGATGAAAGTGATACAAAGACATTCTTATCAGGAGTTAAACAAAGTCAAGAATTACAACAAAAAGCGGATTACTTCGCCAATGATACCGAAGTTAGAGAAACCATGTATAAATTATACTCCAAAGTTGATTTAATCGATTCAGAATGTTCAATATGTACCACGAGTCCTATATCACTTGGAGAATTGGTGGTTACACCATGTGGACATTCATTCTGTGTAACATGTTTAATGGAACATATTGAATTCCAAACCACAAATCCAGTGAATACCAATGGTCATGATAGTTTATGTCCCAATTGTCGATTTTCAATTTCGAAATATAAATTATTCCGATTAAGAAATAATAAAACTGTTACTTCTAAGGATATAAAATTCCATACTCGAGCTCAAACCGAACAAGATGGGAATGATCCAAGTAAAGATTATACTTTCCAATTATACTTGTATAATCCTGATAAAGTATCATCTAAAATCCAAGCGTTATTCAATCATCTTAAATTCTTAAAGGAGCAAAGTCCCCAGGAGAAAGTGATTGTATTCAGTCAATTCCTGTCGTATTTAGATATCATTGAAAGTGAATTAAAATTACAACTTGGAGAATTTGAATTCCGGATATTGAAATTCGATGGAAGATTACTGATGCAAGATCGGGAAAAAGTATTAATTAAATTCAATGAACCTAGTTTGAATAAATTCACGGTATTATTATTAAGTTTGAAATCAGGTGGGGTAGGGTTGAATTTGACTCAAGCTTCACGGGCATATATGATGGATCCATGGTGGTCACCAAGTATTGAAGATCAAGCTATTGATCGAATTCATAGAATTGGGCAAAATAATACCGTTAAAGTGGTTCGATTTATTATGGAGAATAGTATTGAGATTAAAATGTTAAAGATTCAAGAGCGGAAAAAACAAATTGGAGAAGCTGTTGGAGTTGAAGAAGAAGAAAGAAGAAAAAGAAGAATTGAAGAGATTAAGATCCTTTTCGAAGAGTAGTAGATAGATGTTATAGATATGTACATAGTTTTAAATTTGTTATACTTCCTTTTATTTTGCAACTGCATATAAATTTGTGTCATGTAAATTTTTTTTTATTTTGCGACATGACGTATACAATAAACGATTACAAATAATACCATTGGTTAAATGATTTTATTATCATTGCTCTACGTGTCATTCTTATTAATGGTGTAGATTCATACCTTCAAGGATAGTCTGACTATTAATTAGCCTTGTACAAAACATCAGAAACCCATAAAGAATAACTATTCAACCATGTCACAATTACAACTGCAGATGCAAAATTTACCAGGATATGGAGTTGCGATGGATTATTTTAATGATTATATGGATGAACATTTTAATAAAACTGATCCATTCCAAGATGAAGATGGTCATAAATTACAATTACCTCGAGACACCACCAGCAAAGAGGAACAAAAACTTTGGAAATCAATTCAATCCCAAGCTTGGATTCATGATCAATGTTTTATGGGATGTGGGAATTCAATTAATGGGATTGGATTGGTACCATTAATGGTATTGATCTTACCTGGTTTAGGACCGATTTTAATGTATATGTTACATGCTAAATTGATTTCAATGGCGCAAAAGAAATTAAATATTCCTAATAAATTAGTAGGTAAAATGCAATCTAATATTATGATTGATTTAATTATAACTTTTCCTCCATTGATTGGTAGTTTCTTTGGTTGGTTACATGGATGTTCAACTAGAAATGCAGGGTTATTATATCAATATATGGTATTTGTATCGAAACAAAGAGTAGAGGGGAAGACAGCTACGTATGTGGCACCTGGAAGAGAAGTGGTTGAACCTGAACATTTTGGATATCATCAACCACAAACACGTCAAATAAATAAACCATCTACAACTTATAAACGATCCCATGATACCAGAAGTAACAATACTGGCACTAGAGGCATTGTAGTTGGAGATCAACAACAATCTGGATTTGTGTAGATAAAATAACACTTGTATATAATTAAAAATAATGTAATAAAATGAATATGGTTTGGTTAAAAACGTAAACACACTATAAGTTGCTCCCCCACTGACCCTCCCACGCGCTGATTGTTTATCAAAAGATAAACGAAACTCAAAAAAAAATATTGCACCAACTCAAAGTTGAAAAAAAACGCATCGACCATCATACAAAAGCAACAGATAATCTATTAACTAACCATGTTTGATAGACCAGAAGGGATAGAGAAGTGCAGAATCTGGATTGACGGATGTTTTGATTTCGCCCATCATGGCCATGCTGGAGCCATGTTACAAGCCAAACAATTAGGTCGAGAATTATACGTTGGAGTTCATTCTGATGAAGAAATCTTATACAATAAAGGTCCCACCGTGATGAAGCTTGATGAACGTATGACAGCTGTTGAAGCTTGTAAATGGGCTACTAAAGCCATCAGCGATGCTCCATATGTCACTGATCCTAAATTCATGGATCAGTATGATTGTAAATATGTCGTTCATGGTGATGATATTACTACTGATGCAAATGGTGAAGATTGTTATCAAATTATGAAAGATTTAGGGAGATTTGTGATTGTTAAAAGAACTCCTAATATTTCCACTACTGATTTAGTAGGGAGGATGTTATTAATGAGTAAAAATCATCATTATAGATCGATTGAAGATAATGTTCATCCATTATTAAATGATGAAAATAATGAAAAATTTAAACGATATGCTACTGATTTTACAGGATTGAAAAATGGATCTGGAGTATATTATTATGATCAAAAGCTGGAACAAATCAAATTAATCATTGATCCAAGTGAAGAAATATCCAATAAGACTACTATCTATTATATTGATGGAGGATTTGATTTATTTCATCCCGGTCATATTGAAATTTTAAAATCAATTCGTAAACAACAACAACAACAACAAGGGAATGATATTAAGATTGTGGTGGGGTTATATGATGATTTAACCATTAATACTATTGAAGGATTGAATTATCCAATTATGAATATTTTGGAACGATCATTATGTACTTTACAATGTAAATATGTTGATTCAATTATATTGGGAGTACCATTTAAACCAACAGAATCATTTTTATCAAAACTTGGGAATGTGATTAGAGTTTATGTGGGTCCAGTAACTGATAAAGAATTACAACAAAATAAATATGGATTATTGACTGATCAAAGTTTGATTCATAAAATTACCAATCATAAATATGAACATATGAATACTGAATTTATTGTTAATCGAGTTTTAAGTAATAAGAAAGCATATGAAGAAAGACAAAAGAGGAAAGGATGGAAAGCTGAAATTGAACAAAAATTGAAACATGAAGAGACTGAGAAGGGAAGTACAAGTTAGATTAGATTTAGAATTCGTAAAATTTATTTATTTATTTATTTATTTATGTATATGTAAAAGTTTTATATATATAATGACATCGTAAGGTCGTAAAAGATTCGTTAGTGTACATTAAAAGCAAGATATTATTTGATTTAACAAGTTAAATCAAATCTTCTCATGATATAAATCATTCATTTTTGATTCATTTTCAAAATGATTCATATTCTTAGCAGACATATTTGATTTATTAAATAATGAAAAATTGATATATTCTTCATCATCATTTAATTCATCACCTGGTTTACCCCAATTATTCTTACCAGCCCCAAATTTCTTAACTTTAGTAGGATCAGAATTTAAATAATAACTTTCATGATGAGTGAACCATTTTGGTTCTGATTTCTTTTCGTGAACTGTCCATTTATTAGTTCTTGTCATGATTGTGTTTGTGTGTTTGTGTATGAGTGTATGTTCAATTGATTATAGTAATTGATATAATTGTAATTGTAATTATTGTATGAAGATATGAAAAATATGAAAAACTATTAAAATATGGAATGGAAGGTATAAATGATGATATTTATAGTTGTTGTGGTTGGTTACTGGTCGTTGGATCCTTAATGGATGATGGATGATGATGGGAGGCTCTCCCCACAATTTAAATTAAAGTGGTGTTACTTAATTAGGCTGAGTGATCTGCATATAACGCATGACATCCAAACATCCACTCATAGTTTAAATTCTCTCATAGTTAAGTTCAAGTAGTCATTCAAACCAGAGACAAGCGTTATATACACTACCATACTTAAGAGAGTAACTATAGAAACAATCCACTTAGTTAAATTGATGACTATAATAACACAAACTAATCCCATAGTTAACTTCCAGTTTAATCACTTATGTTCAATTTTGTACTTGTTTCACTATGTCATACCTTATTTTATTTCTTAGCTTATATGACTTCAAGTGAAAATGACTCATGACTGACTAACTCTAGAAGTACCACTAATTACTCTATTCCAACGTTTGTTATTCTCCTCCATTTAACGAAATTTTAAGTCATGTGCATTTTGATCACGTGTGTTTTTTGTCTTGTCTTGTCTTGTCTTGTTGATTTGGGCTACCATGTGTTGGTCTCGTCTATAAAGAAAACCTTCAAACTACAATAATTAAATGAATTCCATCAATTTTGATTATTAGTATGGTTCAAATGAATCAATTATTCTCATTCTATCGTCATAATTACTCTCATTCTAGGAATCTCTTGTAACCCTCTTACAAACCAGGATAGAGTTATTTTTTTAAAATAATTAAATATATATTTTTGTTTTAATAAAATACGTAAACCAATATGGTCTTTTAAGAAGAATTAAAAATCTAAATTGAGAAATGAAGCGTGAACGGAACGGAATGAAATGAAAAAAATGCAAGCATTAATAAACGACGAAAGAAATAAAAATAGAAATGTAGGTTTAATAAATATAATAGTTTTTTGTGAAATTGTAACGAGAAAGAAAGGAAAGAGGGATCCTTAGATGAATATTAAAATCATCATCATGATTGGTATTAATATCATCAGTTTGTTAACCAGTCTGACTGATGCAGAACCTTCATACGATGATGATGGAACACTTGCTGTGGATGATGGAGATGTTGTGGAACTACCAACTTGAGTAGAAACATTAGAAACAGTTCCTCCATTTGAAACAGCATTAGAACTTTCACCAGGTGTAGCAGTATTAATAGCAACTGATAATGTAGTATTAACAGGAACAGATCCAACAGGGTTTGTACCGCTTGGGATAGTAGCACTAATAACAGGAACAGGTGCAACAGAGTTTGTACCACTTGCGATACCTGCAGTGTCTTCAGATGCAACAATATTAGCTCTTGGAGTACCAGAAGCAGTAACTTCATTGATTGATTCAGTAGATACTACTTGTGGACCATTAGTAGGCACAATTTGAGTAGTACCAGGGGTAACAGTAGGAGTAGTTGTTTCACCTCCAATAATTGATGTAGTAGTGTATAAAACACCTTCGGAACTTGAAACAATCACAGCAGCAGTTTCAGTACATGGAACTCCAACAGTATCAGTGGTAATAACCGTAGTATAAACAGTTGATCCATCTTCATTGTTAGCAGTATTAATACCTTGTCCTCCAGTAGTAACTTGTGATGCTTCACATTCACTACATGTCTCAGTAACCGTGACAGTAATATCTGAAGTGACAATAACAACAGCAGTACCAGTAGTACTTTCACCAGCAGAATTAGTAGTGGTGAAAGTACTGGAACTACTACTTACTGATTCAGCGGCACAACTATGGTTATCACTATAAGTAGCAGTAATATCATATCCACCAGGGGATCCAATAACATCTAAGAACACTCTATAACCAGCTGGAACATTGGCATAATTGACAACGATTTGATTACCACTACAACTTCCTAAACTGATAGATCCAAGACTTTGAGCGGACTTTGGAAGATACCAATCATTAAGATCATTGGTGATTTTAGCTTCCCAGGTATCACAATCAAGAGTACCTTCATTAATAGTTAAAGTAAGTTGTCCGAAACCATACGAAGTTGGACAATTTCCACCAAGGAGGTAGTATGCATTGGCATTGGACCATTCCAAAGCTCTAACAGCAAAAACAATTTCTGATGGATCTTGTGGAGATGGAGAACCAGCAACAAAAGTAACATCTTGAGTAAGAGATCTACCATCACCAGTAGTGAAGGTAACACTTTGAGTACCAGCAGTTAAACTATTAGCAGCAGCAATATCAGTATCACTTGAAGAACCACCTACATTGAAAATAAGTGGTATTTCAATCGTACCTGTAACATAAGAAGTAGCAACTTCTAAAATAGTACATTGTAAGGATGAACTATCATTATATAATGATCCTGGAACAGAAATACATTCAGCGTAATTAACACCATCAGCACTAAGATAAATAGCATTAACACCATCACGCTTAGCATTACCATAATTAGTGTTATATACACCAAACGTATCTGGTAAAGTTAATGAGAAGTTGGTACCGGCAGTATGATCAATTGTCATTTGCCATGCTACTGTGGCCGTCCATAATGGAGCTAATGGAATTGCTGATGATATGGAACCAGTTTGGGTAAAGTTGATAGCATCTACAGCCGTGAAGATATAACTTGGTGATGAAGAAGCATCGGATCCAGTTGGATCTGATGGATCTGAAGTAGTAGGGTATGATGAAGTTGGATCCGAAGAAGCTGATTCTGATGCTGGACCAGTGGAGATCTGATCAGATGAAGCAGGATCCGAAGAAACTGATTCTGATGGTGGATCATAAGTTGGATGAGATGAAGTACCGGAAGATACGTCACCTATTGGATCTGAAGAAGCAGAAACTAATGAAATTGAATATGATGGTGGATTAGAAGAAGCTGCACCTGAAATGCTAGAATCAGAACTAGTTGAATCAGATGGTGTACCAGATGGTGAACCTGAAGAAGATGGGTCTAATGAAATCAGATATGTTGGATCTGAAGAAACTGGATGAGATGATGAATCAGAAACTGTTGGATCTGAAGAAGAAGCCAAAGTTTGGAATGAAGAAGTACTACTACTTGTCTGGCCAGCTGAACTGGGTGTAATAAAGATACTTGAAGTTTCACTGGCATGACTGGATTCAGAATTAGTGAATACTGTGCTAAATGTAGTGAATGAAATAGAACTTGAAGATAATAAGCTGGATTCGCTGGTAGAAGAAGATGAAACATTTTCAATATATGATGGACTTTCACCACTAGATGATGAAGGAATAGTAGAATCAATACTATCTGTAGCAGCAAGACTATAAGAGTCTGTACTACTATACGCATCACCAGTACTAGATGGATCTAACAATGTAGTGGATGAACTAGAACTGTTAAAGTAATTGACTGATGAAAATGTCATAGAACTACTAGAAGATGATATTCTTAAATCAATAGTCGAGGTACTTGAAATTGATTCTGATGATTCATAACCTGTACTAGATATCGAAAATTGTGAAATTATAGCATCAGAAGTGTAATAAATAGACGATGGAAGCGAACTAGAACTGGAACTAAGACCAGTTGACATTGCGGAGGATTCGTCCGAAGAGGACACAGCCAGTAATGATGGATCAGAAGAAAATGAAACTGATGCTAGTGAATATGATGATATAGTCGACGATGGTACGATATTAGAACTAGAACTTGAAGGATCCACAGAAGGAGATACCGAAATTGAAGATTCTGAAGAAGAAACAGCAGCAGGTGAACTATTGGTTGACGATTCAATGGAACTAGAACTTGATGGATTTGAAGAATATTGATATGAGCTGACAGAGGAAGAAACAGACGAAGTAACGATAGTAGTCGATGAAATTACATCTGAATTATCACTGGAAGAGTAAAATAATGAAGCAGAAGATGAAATTTGTGCAGATGAAACAATCGATGACAGAATGGAAGCAGATGAATCCGAAGTATACAATTCAGAACTTGACGAATTTGATTCTACAACAGAACTAATAGAACTAGAAGAATCATACGAACTTGTAGAAACAACAACTGAAGTAAAAATAATCGAAGTAGACGTGAACGGATTTCCTTCAGAATCAATTGCTTCCACAATAACATCGTAATACCAACGCTCTAATCCATCCGAAGCTAATGACATATAACTAGTAGTATATGTACTCTCAACATAACTAAACGTTGGAAATAATGAAGTTGAAGCAACAATAGAATCATCTGCACCAACACTTGATACAACGACTCCTGAATCAGTAGCAACATATCCGTTACTATCAGTGGAGGTGAAAGTAGTGGTGTATGTAGTGGCTGGATCACTCGAGGTTGGGAATAATGAAGTTGAAGTAACAATAGAATCATCTGCACTAACACTTAATACAACGACTCCTGAATCAGTAGCAACATATCCATTACTATCAGTAGAGGTAAAAGTAGTGGTGTATGTAGTGGCTGGATCACTCGAGGTTGGGAATAATGAAGTACTGGTATTAATCACATCATCGGAACCGACACTTAATACAACGACTCCTGAATCAGTAGCTACATATCCGTTACTATCAGTAGAGGTAAAAGTAGTGGTGTATGTAGTGGCTGGATCACTCGAGGTTGGGAATAATGAAGTTGAAGTAACAATAGAATCACCGGAACCAACACTTAATACAACGACTCCTGAATCAGTAGCAACATATCCATTACTATCAGTAGAGGTAAAAGTAGTGGTGTATGTAGTGGCTGGATCACTCGAGGTTGGGAATAATGAAGTACTGGTATTAATCACATCATCGGAACCGACACTTAATACAACGACTCCTGAATCAGTAGCAACATATCCGTTACTATCAGTAGAGGTAAAAGTAGTGGTGTATGTAGTGGCTGGATCACTCGAGGTTGGGAATAATGAAGTTGAAGTAACAATAGAATCATCTGCACCAACACTTAATACAACGACTCCGGAATCAGTAGCAACATATCCGTTACTATCAGTGGAGGTGAAAGTAGTGGTGTATGTAGTGGCTGGATCACTTGAGGTTGGGAATAATGAAGTACTGGTATTAATCACATCATCGGAACCAACACTTAATACAACGACTCCTGAATCAGTAGCAACATATCCATTACTATCAGTGGAGGTAAACGTAGTGGTGTATGTAGTGGCTGGATCACTTGAGGTTGGGAATAATGAAGTACTGGTATTAATCACATCATCAGAACCGACACTTAATACAACGACTCCTGAATCAGTAGCAACATATCCGTTACTATCAGTGGAGGTGAAAGTAGTGGTGTATGTAGTGGCTGGATCACTCGAGGTTGGGAATAATGAAGTTGAAGTAACAATAGAATCATCTGCACCAACACTTAATACAACGACTCCTGAATCAGTAGCAACATATCCGTTACTATCAGTGGAGGTAAACGTAGTGGTGTATGTAGTGGCTGGATCACTCGAGGTTGGGAATAATGAAGTACTGGTATTAATCACATCATCGGAACCAACACTTAATACAACGACTCCGGAATCAGTAGCAACATATCCGTTACTATCAGTGGAGGTGAAAGTAGTGGTGTATGTAGTGGCTGGATCACTCGAGGTTGGGAATAATGAAGTTGAAGTAACAATAGAATCATCTGCACCAACACTTAATACAACGACTCCTGAATCAGTAGCAACATATCCATTACTATCAGTAGAGGTAAAAGTAGTGGTGTATGTAGTGGCTGGATCACTCGAGGTTGGGAATAATGAAGTACTGGTATTAATCACATCATCGGAACCAACACTTAATACAACGACTCCTGAATCAGTAGCAACATATCCGTTACTATCAGTGGAGGTGAAAGTAGTGGTGTATGTGGTGGCTGGATCACTTGAGGTTGGGAATAATGAAGTACTGGTATTAATCACATCATCGGAACCAACACTTAATACAACGACTCCTGAATCAGTAGCTACATATCCGTTACTATCAGTAGAGGTAAACGTAGTGGTGTATGTAGTGGCTGGATCACTCGAGGTTGGGAATAATGAAGTTGAAGTAACAATAGAATCATCTGCACCAACACTTAATACAACGACTCCTGAATCAGTAGCTACATATCCGTTCCTATCAGTGGAGGTGAAAGTAGTGGTGTATGTAGTGGCTGGATCACTCGAGGTTGGGAATAATGAAGTTGAAGTAACAATAGAATCATCTGCACCAACACTTAATACAACGACTCCTGAATCAGTAGCAACATATCCGTTACTATCAGTGGAGGTAAACGTAGTGGTGTATGTAGTGGCTGGATCACTCGAGGTTGGGAATAATGAAGTTGAAGTAACAATAGAATCATCTGCACCAACACTTAATACAACGACTCCTGAATCAGTAGCAACATATCCATTACTATCAGTATAGGTGAAAGTAGTGGTGTATGTAGTGGCTGGATCACTCGAGGTTGGGAATAATGAAGTACTGGTATTAATCACATCATCAGAACCGACACTTAATACAACGACTCCTGAATCAGTAGCAACATATCCGTTACTATCAGTAGAGGTAAAAGTAGTGGTGTATGTAGTGGCTGGATCACTCGAGGTTGGGAATAATGAAGTTGAAGTAACAATAGAATCATCTGCACCAACACTTAATACAACGACTCCTGAATCAGTAGCAACATATCCGTTACTATCAGTAGAGGTAAAAGTAGTGGTGTATGTAGTGGCTGGATCACTCGAGGTTGGGAATAATGAAGTACTGGTATTAATCACATCATCGGAACCAACACTTAATACAACGACTCCGGAATCAGTAGCAACATATCCGCTACTATCAGTGGAGGTGAAAGTAGTGGTGTATGTAGTGGCTGGATCACTCGAGGTTGGGAATAATGAAGTTGAAGTAACAATAGAATCATCTGCACCAACACTTAATACAACGACTCCTGAATCAGTAGCAACATATCCATTACTATCAGTGGAGGTGAAAGTAGTGGTGTATGTAGTGGCTGGATCACTTGAGGTTGGGAATAATGAAGTACTGGTATTAATCACATCATCGGAACCAACACTTAATACAACGACTCCTGAATCAGTAGCAACATATCCGTTACTATCAGTGGAGGTGAAAGTAGTGGTGTATGTAGTGGCTGGATCACTTGAGGTTGGGAATAATGAAGTTGAAGTAACAATAGAATCATCTGCACTAACACTTAATACAACGACTCCTGAATCAGTAGCTACATATCCGTTCCTATCAGTGGAGGTGAAAGTAGTGGTGTATGTAGTGGCTGGATCACTCGAGGTTGGGAATAATGAAGTTGAAGTAACAATAGAATCATCTGCACCAACACTTAATACAACGACTCCTGAATCAGTAGCAACATATCCATTACCATCAGTGGAGGTGAAAGTAGTGGTGTATGTAGTGGCTGGATCACTTGAGGTTGGGAATAATGAAGTACTGGTATTAATCACATCATCGGAACCAACACTTAATACAACGACTCCTGAATCAGTAGCAACATATCCATTACTATCAGTGGAGGTAAAAGTAGTGGTGTATGTAGTGGCTGGATCACTCGAGGTTGGGAATAATGAAGTACTGGTATTAATCACATCATCGGAACCGACACTTAATACAACGACTCCTGAATCAGTAGCAACATATCCGTTACTATCAGTGGAGGTAAACGTAGTGGTGTATGTAGTGGCTGGATCACTCGAGGTTGGGAATAATGAAGTTGAAGTAACAATAGAATCATCGGAACCAACACTTAATACAACGACTCCTGAATCAGTAGCAACATATCCGTTACTATCAGTAGAGGTAAAAGTAGTGGTGTATGTAGTGGCTGGATCACTCGAGGTTGGGAATAATGAAGTTGAAGTAACAATAGAATCATCTGCACCAACACTTAATACAACGACTCCTGAATCAGTAGCAACATATCCGTTACTATCAGTAGAGGTAAAAGTAGTGGTGTATGTAGTGGCTGGATCACTCGAGGTTGGGAATAATGAAGTACTGGTATTAATCACATCATCGGAATCAACACTTAATACAACGACTCCTGAATCAGTAGCAACATATCCGTTACTATCAGTATAGGTGAAAGTAGTGGTGTATGTAGTGGCTGGATCACTCGAGGTTGGGAATAATGAAGTACTGGTATTAATCACATCATCGGAACCAACACTTAATACAACGACTCCTGAATCAGTAGCAACATATCCGTTACTATCAGTAGAGGTAAACGTAGTGGTGTATGTAGTGGCTGGATCACTCGAGGTTGGGAATAATGAAGTTGAAGTAACAATAGAATCATCTGCACCAACACTTAATACAACGACTCCTGAATCAGTAGCAACATATGCATTACTATCAGTGGAGGTGAAAGTAGTGGTGTATGTAGTGGCTGGATCACTTGAGGTTGGGAATAATGAAGTTGAAGTAACAATAGAATCATCTGCACTAACACTTAATACAACGACTCCTGAATCAGTAGCTACATATCCGTTACTATCAGTAGAGGTAAAAGTAGTGGTGTATGTAGTGGCTGGATCACTCGAGGTTGGGAATAATGAAGTTGAAGTAACAATAGAATCATCTGCACCAACACTTAATACAACGACTCCTGAATCAGTAGCAACATATCCGTTACTATCAGTAGAGGTAAAAGTAGTGGTGTATGTAGTGGCTGGATCACTCGAGGTTGGGAATAATGAAGTTGAAGTAACAATAGAATCATCTGCACCAACACTTAATACAACGACTCCTGAATCAGTAGCAACATATCCGTTACTATCAGTAGAGGTGAAAGTAGTGGTGTATGTAGTGGCTGGATCACTCGAGGTTGGGAATAATGAAGTACTGGTATTAATCACATCATCGGAACCAACACTTAATACAACGACTCCTGAATCAGTAGCAACATATCCGTTACTATCAGTGGAGGTAAAAGTAGTGGTGTATGCGGTGGCTGGATCACTTGAGGTTGGGAATAATGAAGTACTGGTATTAATCACATCATCGGAACCAACACTTAATACAACGACTCCTGAATCAGTAGCTACATATCCGTTACTATCAGTAGAGGTAAAAGTAGTGGTGTATGTAGTGGCTGGATCACTCGAGGTTGGGAATAATGAAGTTGAAGTAACAATAGAATCATCTGCACCAACACTTAATACAACGACTCCTGAATCAGTAGCAACATATCCATTACTATCAGTGGAGGTAAAAGTAGTGGTGTATGTAGTGGCTGGATCACTCGAGGTTGGGAATAATGAAGTACTGGTATTAATCACATCATCGGAACCGACACTTAATACAACGACTCCTGAATCAGTAGCTACATATCCGTTACTATCAGTGGAGGTGAAAGTAGTGGTGTATGTAGTGGCTGGATCACTCGAGGTTGGGAATAATGAAGTTGAAGTAACAATAGAATCATCTGCACTAACACTTAATACAACGACTCCTGAATCAGTAGCAACATATCCGTTACTATCAGTGGAGGTAAACGTAGTGGTATATGTAGTGGCTGGATCACTCGAGGTTGGGAATAATGAAGTTGAAGTAACAATAGAATCATCGGAACCAACACTTAATACAACGACTCCTGAATCAGTAGCAACATATCCGTTACTATCAGTAGAGGTAAAAGTAGTGGTGTATGTAGTGGCTGGATCACTCGAGGTTGGGAATAATGAAGTTGAAGTAACAATAGAATCATCTGCACCAACACTTAATACAACGACTCCTGAATCAGTAGCAACATATCCGTTACTATCAGTAGAGGTGAAAGTAGTGGTGTATGTAGTGGCTGGATCACTCGAGGTTGGGAATAATGAAGTACTGGTATTAATCACATCATCGGAACCAACACTTAATACAACGACTCCTGAATCAGTAGCAACATATCCGTTACTATCAGTAGAGGTAAAAGTAGTGGTGTATGTAGTGGCTGGATCACTCGAGGTTGGGAATAATGAAGTACTGGTATTAATCACATCATCGGAACCAACACTTAATACAACGACTCCTGAATCAGTAGCAACATATCCGTTACTATCAGTAGAGGTAAAAGTAGTGGTGTATGTAGTGGCTGGATCACTTGAGGTTGGGAATAATGAAGTACTGGTATTAATCACATCATCGGAACCAACACTTAATACAACGACTCCTGAATCAGTAGCAACATATCCGTTACTATCAGTGGAGGTAAACGTAGTGGTGTATGTAGTGGCTGGATCACTCGAGGTTGGGAATAATGAAGTACTGGTATTAATCACATCATCGGAACCAACACTTAATACAACGACTCCTGAATCAGTAGCAACATATCCGTTACTATCAGTGGAGGTAAACGTAGTGGAGTATGTAGTGGCTGGATCACTCGAGGTTGGGAATAATGAAGTTGAAGTAACAATAGAATCATCGGAACCAACACTTAATACAACGACTCCGGAATCAGTAGCAACATATCCATTACTATCAGTGGAGGTGAAAGTAGAGGTGTATGTAGTGGCTGGATCACTCGAGGTTGGGAATAATGAAGTACTGGTATTAATCACATCATCGGAACCGACACTTAATACAACGACTCCTGAATCAGTAGCAACATATCCGTTACTATCAGTAGAGGTGAAAGTAGTGGTGTATGTAGTGGCTGGATCACTCGAGGTTGGGAATAATGAAGTTGAAGTAACAATAGAATCATCTGCACTAACACTTAATACAACGACTCCTGAATCAGTAGCAACATATCCGTTACTATCAGTGGAGGTGAAAGTAGTGGTGTATGTAGTGGCTGGATCACTCGAGGTTGGGAATAATGAAGTTGAAGTAACAATAGAATCATCTGCACCAACACTTAATACAACGACTCCTGAATCAGTAGCAACATATCCATTACTATCAGTGGAGGTGAAAGTAGTGGTGTATGTAGTGGCTGGATCACTCGAGGTTGGGAATAATGAAGTACTGGTATTAATCACATCATCGGAACCAACACTTAATACAACGACTCCTGAATCAGTAGCAACATATCCGTTACTATCAGTAGAGGTGAAAGTAGAGGTGTATGTAGTGGCTGGATCACTTGAGGTTGGGAATAATGAAGTACTGGTATTAATCACATCATCGGAACCGACACTTAATACAACGACTCCTGAATCAGTAGCAACATATCCGTTACTATCAGTAGAGGTGAAAGTAGTGGTGTATGTAGTGGCTGGATCACTCGAGGTTGGGAATAATGAAGTTGAAGTAACAATAGAATCATCTGCACCAACACTTAATACATCGACTCCTGAATCAGTAGCAACATATCCGTTACTATCAGTGGAGGTGAAAGTAGTGGTGTATGTAGTGGCTGGATCACTCGAGGTTGGGAATAATGAAGTTGAAGTAACAATAGAATCATCTGCACCAACACTTAATACAACGACTCCTGAATCAGTAGCAACATATCCATTACTATCAGTGGAGGTGAAAGTAGTGGTGTATGTAGTGGCTGGATCACTCGAGGTTGGGAATAATGAAGTACTGGTATTAATCACATCATCGGAACCAACACTTAATACAACGACTCCTGAATCAGTAGCAACATATCCGTTACTATCAGTAGAGGTGAAAGTAGAGGTGTATGTAGTGGCTGGATCACTCGAGGTTGGGAATAATGAAGTTGAAGTAACAATAGAATCATCTGCACCAACACTTAATACAACGACTCCTGAATCAGTAGCAACATATCCGTTACTATCAGTAGAGGTGAAAGTAGTGGTGTATGTAGTGGCTGGATCACTCGAGGTTGGGAATAATGAAGTACTGGTATTAATCACATCATCGGAACCAACACTTAATACAACGACTCCTGAATCAGTAGCAACATATCCGTTACTATCAGTGGAGGTAAAAGTAGTGGTGTATGCGGTGGCTGGATCACTTGAGGTTGGGAATAATGAAGTACTGGTATTAATCACATCATCGGAACCAACACTTAATACAACGACTCCTGAATCAGTAGCAACATATCCGTTACTATCAGTAGAGGTAAAAGTAGTGGTGTATGTAGTGGCTGGATCACTTGAGGTTGGGAATAATGAAGTTGAAGTAACAATAGAATCATCTGCACCAACACTTAATACAACGACTCCTGAATCAGTAGCTACATATCCGTTACTATCAGTGGAGGTAAAAGTAGTGGTGTATGTAGTGGCTGGATCACTCGAGGTTGGGAATAATGAAGTACTGGTATTAATCACATCATCGGAACCAACACTTAATACAACGACTCCTGAATCAGTAGCAACATATCCGTTACTATCAGTGGAGGTAAACGTAGTGGAGTATGTAGTGGCTGGATCACTCGAGGTTGGGAATAATGAAGTTGAAGTAACAATAGAATCATCTGCACCAACACTTAATACAACGACTCCTGAATCAGTAGCAACATATCCGTTACTATCAGTAGAGGTAAAAGTAGTGGTGTATGTAGTGGCTGGATCACTTGAGGTTGGGAATAATGAAGTACTGGTATTAATCACATCATCAGAACCGACACTTAATACAACGACTCCTGAATCAGTAGCAACATATCCGTTACTATCAGTAGAGGTAAAAGTAGTGGTGTATGTAGTGGCTGGATCACTCGAGGTTGGGAATAATGAAGTTGAAGTAACAATAGAATCATCTGCACCAACACTTAATACAACGACTCCTGAATCAGTAGCAACATATCCGTTCCTATCAGTGGAGGTGAAAGTAGTGGTGTATGTAGTGGCTGGATCACTCGAGGTTGGGAATAATGAAGTTGAAGTAACAATAGAATCATCTGCACCAACACTTAATACAACGACTCCTGAATCAGTAGCAACATATCCATTACTATCAGTGGAGGTGAAAGTAGTGGTGTATGTAGTGGCTGGATCACTCGAGGTTGGGAATAATGAAGTTGAAGTAACAATAGAATCATCTGCACTAACACTTAATACAACGACTCCGGAATCAGTAGCAACATATCCGTTACTATCAGTGGAGGTAAACGTAGTGGTGTATGTAGTGAGTGGTGTATGTAGTGGCTGGATCACTCGAGGTTGGGAATAATGAAGTACTGGTATTAATCACATCATCAGAACCAACACTTAATACAACGACTCCTGAATCAGTAGCAACATATCCGTTACTATCAGTGGAGGTAAACGTAGTGGTGTATGTAGTGGCTGGATCACTCGAGGTTGGGAATAATGAAGTACTGGTATTAATCACATCATCGGAACCAACACTTAATACAACGACTCCTGAATCAGTAGCAACATATCCGTTACTATCAGTGGAGGTAAACGTAGTGGAGTATGTAGTGGCTGGATCACTCGAGGTTGGGAATAATGAAGTTGAAGTAACAATAGAATCATCTGCACCAACACTTAATACAACGACTCCTGAATCAGTAGCAACATATGCATTACTATCAGTAGAGGTGAAAGTAGTGGTGTATGTAGTGGCTGGATCACTTGAGGTTGGGAATAATGAAGTTGAAGTAACAATAGAATCATCTGCACTAACACTTAATACAACGACTCCTGAATCAGTAGCTACATATCCGTTCCTATCAGTGGAGGTGAAAGTAGTGGTGTATGTAGTGGCTGGATCACTCGAGGTTGGGAATAATGAAGTTGAAGTAACAATAGAATCATCTGCACCAACACTTAATACAACGACTCCTGAATCAGTAGCAACATATCCATTACTATCAGTGGAGGTGAAAGTAGTGGTGTATGTAGTGGCTGGATCACTTGAGGTTGGGAATAATGAAGTACTGGTATTAATCACATCATCGGAACCAACACTTAATACAACGACTCCTGAATCAGTAGCAACATATCCATTACTATCAGTGGAGGTGAAAGTAGTGGTGTATGTAGTGGCTGGATCACTCGAGGTTGGGAATAATGATGTGGATATAATTGTAGTATCAGTTTTTGCTGTAATCACAACAATTCCTGAGTCTGTTGCAACGAATCCATTAGAATCTGTAGTGATGAATGTGGTGATATATGTGGTATCTGGATCAATTGAAGTAGGAAATAATGAAGTGGAGTTAATAGTTGTTGATGGTTCTACGCTTACTACGACAATGCCTGAATCAGTAGCAATAAAACCATTGGAATCAGTAGTTCTGAATGTGGTAGTGTATGTAGTATCGGGGTTTGAACAATACGCGCTAAGTATGATTGTTGAGTTGTAAAAATTGCCAGAAGCGTCTGTTGTAACAATAACTTCTTCAATGTCAGTACAAGTTTCTCCGTTTGAAGTCGTAGCTATGGTTGTTGTATAGTCAGAACCATTGATACCTGGTATAGCAGGTAACAGAGGACATAAGGCACATTTCGAAGGTTGTACAGCAGCTGCTGCAGGTACAGTCAAAGTATATGTGACGGCATTCAAAAGATTAAGAATGCCAGCATCCCAATCCGTTGTAATTTTAAACCCACTACTCAGATATCCGGTACCTATATTGAAAACGACACTACCTGTGGGGGTACCGTAAAGCGTTAATAGTCCAGTTGTTGCGCTATATGTATATGAATTGGTTAGAGGGGGTATTCCTACTAGTAAAGGAGTAGTTATAGCAAGCATATTTCCACCACCAAAACCAGAAACTTGAAGTGTACCACGCAGTCCAAGAAGATTAACTGCTACCACTATACTTGATGCACTATCGGCCATATAAAATACTTGATTGGCATAGGTACTAGTTGAACTCGATAAGTAAACGGTAGAATTTGATTGCATGGTAACACAACCAGTACCAAGTAAATTTCCTGATTGACTAAGAAGTTCATTAAATAAACAAATTTGACCATTATTGGTTGTAGGTGATCCCAGAATTCCTAAAGTTGCCTGTCCACCATCATTTTGAGGTTGGTAAAATACCATTAGACCATTATTTGTGACAGTAGAACTACTTATGGCAAAAGTACCGAACCCAAGAGCACCACTTGATGCCATATACATTTCCCCATTATTTAGGATCAGCAGGGATGTAATAGTATAAGAACTTGTAAGAATAGATTCAATAGAATTGAATGAAATGGTACCATTATTAACAAACGTTCCACCTCCAATACCGACATCTAATCCAATTAAATTAGATGTACTACTGATATATAATCCACCTCCACTCCCCACATTTAAATTACCATTAACGGTTGTTAATGCATTGTTGATGATAGACCAGTAAACATTAGGATCGATATCGACGTCTCCACCGTTAAGACTTAGAGTACCATAGGTGACTGTATCTTGAGATATTGTTTGGGATAATATAAGGTTTATTTGTAGGAATAATCCTATTAATAGTATGAATATACCTTTCATTCCTGTTATTTAACAATTGAATACGACAGAAGGAATGGTAGGTTAGAATGCAAGTTATTGATTTAAAGGGTTTATATTGACTGCAATCAATTTCTAATTACAATTAATCAGGATTCTAGTTTCTTTTTATGAAATCATCATTTATTTTGATATACATAAAAAGACGACCAGAAACCGAGCTAATATTTTTTAAGCAGGTATTATTGAATAGAATAAAAATAATATTAAAGAACATGATATGGAATAGAGCTTGAACGTATATATATTCTTATGTACTATTAAGGGTAGTAATAGCTGCAGGATTCGATTTGCCTAGCAAGCCCCCCACCCCATAAATGCGAAATAAGAATGAAAAGAAAAAAAGTTCAATTTGGTCTGATTTATTTTTTAAAGAATCCCAAGCGCCTTTGCTTGATAATTTTTAATTTTTTACGTCAGTATAATCTTATTGTTTCGTTTCTTTTTTTATTTTATGTCTAACTTAATTTTATATTATTTTTTTAATAAAGATTACAGAAAGAAGAAGAAGAAGAAGAGAAGGAGGAGGAGGAGGAGAAGGAGGGAATAAGCTTTTAATTTTTCTTAGTTTCTAATTCGCTTTGATTAGGACATTTATCATAATCTTTAAATTTATATAGCACGGCAATTATATAGATAGTTTCAGCCAATATGTGACTTTTGGTTATTATGTATATTATTAAAGATGGTAAGGTATCTGCTTGCTTTATGTATGCTCTAATTTCCATAATGATTTACCTATAAACATATTAATGACCAGTTTTTTTTTTCTTACCATGTTAATGGTATATTAGTTGCCCCATGTTGCTGTATCATATCCTAGTTTGAGCTCTGGGTTGGACTATAAAATTAGTAATTTTAAAGATTTACAATAGGCTTCAAACCTATTTAAAATAATTGGTTTGATGCCTCAAATTTTAATTTCTTTTGGAATTCTATTATACAGAAATATTATTTGGGGTTACCATTTCCTCTTCTTTGCCTAATTAGGCATTTCCAAATGGGTGAAGCAGCGCATAAGGGATCTAAGTGAGATTTTGTGTGTACAAATGCGACTCAAAAGTTTCAAAATATTTTTTGAACAAGGTATACCTGACAATAGAACCGAATTTTACGTATGTATATATTTGATTTATTTTTTGAAAAGGGATGCTTTCTATGCCTGAAACAATATCGAAAATTTATTATTACCGAAATCTCTGCTCATGTTTGGGTCAACCCTTTCATTTATGGTACCCCCATTCCCATCGTAAGTAAGCATTTATTTAACTATAATTTGAAATTGCATATCGTTTTGTAACCAATTTTTTTTACATTCCCAATACATTCAATCACGTTGCATTATCTATCTATCTACCTGTCATACTGTAATGTAAAGCGATTACTAATTAATTATACGTTGTTGATTTCTTTTTTTTTACCTTTCCTCATCCCCTATTTAGTTCTTGTAGAATCGTCTAAAACGGTCCTATATAGCTACATATGTTTAAGATATGAGTCAATTGAATAATACGATCGTAACACAGGCCATTATCGTATTTGGTTTTGGCGCATATGTAACCAACCCATCAAAATCTAAAATAAAAACCAAGAAAAAAAAAAAGGAAACAAAGCAATGTTAAAAAATATAAAAGCCTAAAAATAAGAGTCTAATAATAAAATATAATGTTAAGTATAATAATTGAGTTGATGAGCTCTACTGAAATGAAAAATATGTCTAGAAAAATTACACAGTACAGATTCAGAGGATATATAAGATCGATACATGAGTCTTATCAGACACATTCTTTTAATTCAACTTAACTTATCTATTATTATCTATGTAGATCCAGACTACATAACTTGATAATCTGTAAAGATAAAATAATCCCTTTTAAACTTACGACATACTTGGAATTGAAAAAGATGCAATGCAAGCTTGTGTACAACATAAAAAAATAGCAATTTATAAAATGTAAAAAGTGCTGTAACCTCCTGTACTTGCTTAGCATTGCTTTGCTGTGCTTCGAGCAGCTCAAAAAAAGTCTAATCGCACTGCATATAATCACTATTGTGGTTGAAAACTATTTCTATCGATCCCTACCAACGAAAGACCCCTATGATTAACTAGACTGAAGAGGTGAATAACATCATATTACTTAGAACACCTAAAATTATGAATAATAGTAGAAGAACTTCATAAAGAATTCAAATAGCACTGAATAATATATCATTGAATCCATTACAATCATTCAATCTGAAATTTCAAAGCTCTCCGTAAATTCAACCGATCAATAAATTTTACGAAGTAAACAATGAAATGAAATTCACAAGACAGGCATATCTCTCAAGTCAACAAGACAACCCCAAATTAAACTTTACTTTCAAGTTACAAGCTTACAGAAATTTTAAAAGCGATACAAACATATTCTTTTATATTAAGATAAAAGATACAGAAGTTAAACTAAAGAATTGAAAAAGTGTGAAAATATTAATATGAAAATTAATAGAAGTAAAAATGACAGAAAATATATAATGAAACAATAATGAAAATGATAATTTAAAAAACCCTGAATAATAAAATAACCATCAATGTAAATCAAGAAGAAGGAGAAGAATAAAATCTCGACTATTCAATAAGAAACAAGCAGTATAAAAAATAAGAACTGAAAATGAACAATAAATATAACAACATGAAATTCAATTCAATATGTCAATAATAGTAAAACCGAAAACAAAACAATTTTCTATCAAACAAATCAGTTCTCTTAAACGAAAACTAAGGTCATCAAGATACTAATGATTGGAACAGTTAACATGAATCTGTTGATCAGTTTTCCTGATGCTGAACCTTCAAATGCTGGAGGAACAGAACTTGGAACAGATTGAGCAGATGTAGTAGCAGCTTGAGAAGCAACTGTAGTAGCAGTACCAGCTGGAGCAGCTGGAGCTGGAGCAGTAATGGTACCGACTGGAGCAGCTGGAGCTGCAGCAGTGGCAGTACCAGCAGGAGCACCAGGTGCGGCTGGGGTACTAGCAGGTGCTGCAGCAGTTTCAGTAGTAGTACCAGCTGGAACAGCAGGAGTAGCAGGGGCTGGTGCAATTTCAGTAGTAGCTGGAGCAACTGTTGGGGTAGCAGTTTCAACTCCAATAATAGATGTAGTGGTGTACAATTCACCTTCGGAACTTGAAACAATCACAGCAGCAGTTTCAGTACATGGAACTCCAACAGTATCAGTCGTAACAATAGTAGTGTAAACAGTTTGACCACCGAATAATGAAGTTGTAGTGTAAAGACTACCTTCAGAGTTCGTGGTAACAATAACTTCTCCTGACTCAGTTGCAACTTGTCCATTTGGAAGAGTGGTAACAAAAGTAGTACCATATTCACTACATGGTTCAGTAACAGTTACAGTAACACCAGAAGTGACAATAACAAGAGCAGTACCAGTAGTACTTTCACCAGCAGAATTAGTAGTGGTGAAAGTACTGGAACTACCACTTACTGATTCAGCGGCACAACTATGGTTATCACTATAAGTAGCAGTAATATCATATCCACCAGGGGATCCAATAACATCTAAGAACACTCTATAACCAGCTGGAACATTGGCATAATTGACAACGATTTGATTACCACTACAACTTCCTAAACTGATAGATCCAAGACTTTGAGCGGACTTTGGAAGATACCAATCATTAAGATCATTGGTGATTTTAGCTTCCCAGGTATCACAATCAAGAGTACCTTCATTAATAGTTAAAGTAAGTTGTCCGAAACCATATGAAGTTGGACAATTTCCACCAAGGAGGTAGTATGCATTGGCATTGGACCATTCCAAAGCTCTAACAGCAAAAACAATTTCTGATGGATCTTGTGGAGATGGAGAACCAGCAACAAAAGTAACATCTTGAGTAAGAGATCTACCATCTCCAGTAGTGAAGGTAACACTTTGAGTACCAGCAGTTAAACTATTAGCAGCAGCAATATCAGTAGCACTTGAAGAACCACCAACATTGAAAATAAGTGGGATTTCAATAGTACCAGTAACTAATGAAGTAGCAACTTCTAAAATAGTACATTGTAATGATGAACTGTCTTCGTATAATGAACCTGGATCAGAAATACATTCAGCATAATTAACACCATCGGCAGTAAGGTAAATAGAATTGACAGTATCACGCTTAGTGTTACCATAGTTAGGGTTGTAAACACCAAAGGTATCTGGTAAAGTCAAAGAAAATGGAAAGCCTAAAGTATGATCAATAGTAATTTGCCAAGCAACTGTAGCAGTCCATAATGGGGATAATGGAATAGCTATTGGGATTGATCCAGTTTGACTCCAGTCAATAGAATCAACAGCAGTAAAAATAAAGCTTGGTGCAGGCGATGCTGCTGATGATGATGAACTTGGACTGGTAGAAGCCGGCGCTGAAGAAGCAGGAGCTGACGAAATTGGAGCTGAAGAAATTGGAGCAGACGAAGTCGGAGCTGATGAAGCAGACGAAGTTGGAGCTGAAGAAGTTGGGAATAAGGAAGTAGTGGTGTATAAACTACCTGCAGAATTGGTTGTAACTTCGACAACACCAGACTCAGTCTCTGGAGAACCATTTGGTCCAATTGTAGTAAATGTTGTTGTATACTCGGTATCTGGATTGGATGAACTCGAACTGTTGAAATAATTCACTGATGAGAAAGAGACAGAATTAGAAGAAGAAATTCTTAAATCAATAGTCGAAGTACTACTAGATGATACTGGAGACGTTGGGAACAACGAAGTGCTAGTGATTGTACCAGATGGACCAGCACTAACAATAACAACTCCTGAATCAGTAGCGACTGATCCATCGGCATTTGTAGTAGTGAAAGTAGTATCATATGAGGTATCTGGGTCGGTGGAAGTTGGGAATAATGAAGTAGAAGTAACAGTTCCAGAAGGACCACTGCTAACAATAACAACTCCTGAGTCAGTGGCAACAAATCCATTAGAATCAGTCGTAGTGAAGGTGGTACTATACTCACTTTCTGTTGGGAATAAAGAAGTACTAGTAACAGTACCAGATGGACCAGCACTAACAATAACAACTCCTGAATCAGTAGCGACTGATCCATCGGCATTTGTAGTAGTGAAAGTAGTATCATATGAGGTATCTGGGTCGGTGGAAGTTGGGAATAATGAAGTAGAAGTAACAGTTCCAGAAGGACCACTGCTAACAATAACAACTCCTGAGTCAGTGGCAACAAATCCATTAGAATCAGTCGTAGTGAAGGTGGTACTATATTCACTTTCTGTTGGAAATAATGAAGTCGAAGTAACAGTAGTGTCACTAGCAGCACTAACGACAACAACACCAGAATCAGTGGCAACTGATCCATCAGAATTTGTAGTAGTGAAAGTGGTGGTGTAAGTGGTATCTGGATCACTTGAAGTTGGGAATAATGAAGTTGAAGTAACAAAACCAGATGATCCACTGCTAACCACAACAACACCAGAATCAGTAGCAACAAATCCATCAGATTCAGTGGTGGTGAAAGTGGTACTGTAAGTAGTATCAGTATCAATTGGAGTTGGGAATAATGAAGTCGAAGTAACAGTGTTGTCACTAGCAGCACTAACGACAACAACACCTGAATCAGTGGCAACTGATCCATCGGAATTTGTAGTAGTGAAAGTGGTGGTGTAAGTGGTATCTGGATCACTTGAAGTTGGGAATAATGAAGTCGAAGTAACAGTAGTGTCACTAGCAGCACTAACGACAACAACACCTGAATCAGTGGCAACATATCCATCAGAATTTGTAGTAGTGAAAGTGGTGGTGTAAGTGGTATCTGGATCACTTGAAGTTGGGAATAATGAAGTTGAAGTAACAAAACCAGATGATCCACTGCTAACCACAACAACACCAGAATCAGTAGCGACAAATCCATCAGATTCAGTGGTGGTGAAAGTGGTACTGTAAGTAGTATCTGTATCAATTGGAGTTGGGAATAATGAAGTCGAAGTAACAGTAGTGTCACTAGCAGCACTAACGACAACAACACCTGAATCAGTGGCAACTGATCCATCAGAATTTGTAGTAGTGAAAGTGGTGGTGTAAGTGGTATCTGGATCACTTGAAGTTGGGAATAATGAAGTTGAAGTAACAAAACCAGATGATCCACTGCTAACCACAACAACACCAGAATCAGTAGCAACTGATCCATCGGAATTTGTAGTAGTGAAAGTGGTACTGTAAGTAGTATCAGTATCAATTGGAGTTGGGAATAATGAAGTCGAAGTAACAGTAGTGTCACTAGCAGCACTAACAACAACAACACCGGAATCAGTGGCAACTGATCCATCGGAATTTGTAGTAGTGAAAGTGGTGGTGTAAGTGGTATCTGGATCACTTGAAGTTGGGAATAATGAGGTACTAGTCACAGTTCCAGAAGAACCAGCACTGACAACAACAACACCGGAATCAGTAGCGACAAATCCATCAGATTCAGTGGTGGTGAAAGTGGTACTGTAAGTAGTATCAGTATCAATTGGAGTTGGGAATAATGAAGTCGAAGTAACAGTAGTGTCACTAGCAGCACTAACAACAACAACACCAGAATCAGTGGCAACTGATCCATCAGAATTTGTAGTAGTGAAAGTGGTGGTGTAAGTGGTATCTGGATCACTTGAAGTTGGGAATAATGAGGTACTAGTCACAGTTCCAGAAGAACCAGCACTGACAACAACAACACCGGAATCAGTAGCGACATATCCATTACTATCAGTTGTAGTATAAGTGGTGGTATAAGTAGTGTCTGGATCACTCGAAGTTGGGAATAATGAAGTAGAACTTTCTGTGGTGTCACTTCCAGCACTAACAACAATAACACCAGAATCTGTAGCAACATATCCATTACTATCAGTAGTAGTATAAGTGGTGGTATAAGTAGTATCTGGATCACTTGAAGTTGGGAATAAAGATGTACTAGTTTCAGTACCTGATGAACCAGCACTTACAACAATGACACCAGAGTCGGTAGCAACGAACCCATTACTTTCAGTGGTGGTGAAGGTAGTGGTGTAAGTGGTATCTGGGTCGCTCGAAGTAGGGAATAATGATGTAGAACTTTCAGTAGTGTCACTTCCAGCGCTAATGATCACAACACCGGAATCAGTGGCAACATAACCGTTTGAGTCGGTTGTAGTGAAAGTAGTGCTGTAAGTAGTATCTGGATCACTTGAAGTTGGGAATAATGAAGTACTCGTTTCAGTTCCTGAGGAATCAACACTAATAACAACTACACCAGAATCAGTGGCAACATATCCATTACTATCAGTTGTAGTATAAGTGGTGGTGTAAGTAGTATCTGGATCACTTGAAGTTGGGAATAATGAAGTACTGGTTTCAGTTCCTGAGGAACCAGCACTGATAACAACAACACCAGAATCAGTAGCAACATAACCGTTTGGGTCAGTTGTAGTGAAAGTAGTGCTGTAAGTGGTATCTGGATCACTTGAAGTAGGGAATAATGAAGTACTAGTTTCAGTTCCTGAGGAATCAACACTAATAACAACTACACCAGAATCAGTAGCAACATATCCATTACTATCAGTTGTAGTATAAGTGGTGGTATATGTAGTGTCTGGATCACTTGAAGTAGGGAATAATGAAGTACTAGTTTCAGTTCCTGATGAATCAACACTAATAACAACAACACCAGAATCTGTAGCAACATATCCATTACTATCAGTTGTAGTATAAGTGGTGGTATATGTAGTGTCTGGATCACTTGAAGTAGGGAATAATGAAGTACTAGTTTCAGTTCCTGATGAATCAACACTAATAACAACAACACCAGAATCTGTAGCAACATATCCATTACTATCAGTTGTAGTATAAGTGGTGGTATATGTAGTGTCTGGATCACTTGAAGTAGGGAATAATGAAGTACTAGTTTCAGTTCCTGAGGAATCAACACTGATAACAACAACACCAGAATCAGTAGCAACGTATCCATTTGAATCAGTGGTAGTGTAGGTAGTGGTATAAGTAGTATCTGGATCACTCGAGGTTGGGAATAATGAAGTACTGGTTTCAGTTCCTGCGGAACCAGCACTGATAACAACAACACCAGAATCAGTGGCAACATAACCGTTTGAGTCAGTCGTAGTGAAAGTAGTGCTGTAAGTAGTATCTGGATCACTTGAAGTAGGGAATAATGAAGTACTAGTTTCAGTTCCTGAGGAATCAACACTAATAACAACTACACCAGAATCAGTGGCAACATATCCATTACTATCAGTTGTAGTATAAGTGGTGGTATATGTAGTGTCTGGATCACTTGAAGTAGGGAATAATGAAGTACTAGTTTCAGTTCCTGAGGAATCAACACTGATAACAACAACACCAGAATCTGTAGCAACATATCCATTACTATCAGTTGTAGTATAAGTGGTGGTATATGTAGTGTCTGGATCACTTGAAGTAGGGAATAATGAAGTACTAGTTTCAGTTCCTGATGAATCAACACTAATAACAACAACACCAGAATCAGTAGCAACATATCCATTTGAATCAGTGGTAGTGTAGGTAGTGGTATATGTAGTGTCTGGGTCACTGGAAGTTGGGAATAATGATGTTGAAGTGTAAATTTCACTTGAATCAGAGTAACCAGTTACGACAACAATTCCAGAGTCAGTAGCAATATAACCGTTGGAATCAGTGGTGGTATAAGTGGTGGTATAAGAAGTAAATGGATCACTTGTAGTTGGGAATAATGAAGTTGATGTATAAATGGCACCATCTGAATAGCCAGTAACAACAACTATACCTGAATCAGTTGCGATAAATCCATCTGACTCAGTGGTGGTAAATGTGGTGGTGAATGAAGTGAATGGATCACTTGGGGTTGGGAAAAATGATGAGGAGGTATATACTATACCATTACTATCTGTAGTGACTTCAACTACAGCACTATCAGTTTCAATAAATCCATCCGATTCAGTTGTGTCAAAAGTTGTGGTGAAAATAGTGTCGGGGTTTGAACAGTAATCAGCGAGCGTAATAGTTGAAGTAATAAAATCACCTGCAGTATCGGTTGTAATAATAATTTCTTCGATATCGGTACAAGACGCGGTACCAGACGTAGTAGTGACAGTAGTAGTATACTCAGTACCATTAATACCTGGAATGGCTGGAAGTACTGGACATACGGCACAAGTAGCTGGTTGTGCAGGGGATGGAACATCGCCGTTATAAACAACAGCATTAGGAATAAGGGCAGGAATCACGGCTTGTGAACTAGCATCATAATCAAAAACAGTTTCAAAATTGTCACTCACATAACCAAGACCGATATCAAAATTAACAGTACCAGAAGCCGAGTAAAGAGACAATATACCTGTAGTAGCATCATAAGAAAATGGCACGGTATTAAGAATAGTACTTGTGATATATAATGATACGGATAAGGCAAGCATATTTCCATTACCATATCCATAAACATTTATCGTGGGACGAGTATCGAGGAGATTTGCGGAAACAATAATACTTGAACCACTGTCAGCCATATAAAAGATTTGATCAGTATATGTTGTTATGTCAACACTCAAATACACGGTGGAATTAGCTTGCATAGTAATGCAACCAGTACCGTCTATATCGGTTTGTTGATTAACTAATTCATTATACAAACAAATTTGACCGTCATTTGTAATAGGAAATAAAGGACTACCTAACACAGCAATACCACCATTATTTGAAGTTTCATAAAGTACTAACAAACCGTTATTTTCAAGATTAGCGGTATCAAGACTTACAACATTACCACCAATGGCACCATTGGTACCAAGATACATATCACCGTTGTTTATAATTTGAGCAGAAGTGATATCAAAATTACTTGGAAGCAATGAGTCAACCGAGTTAAAAGCAAAGGTACCATTGTTAACAATATTCCCTGTAAGGGTGACAGTTAAACCGAATAATTGGGATAAACTTGAAATATAGAATCCACCACCAGTTCCAACATTAACGTTACCAGCAATAGATGTATCTTGATTATTGATAACAGACAACCACACGTCTGGATTAATATCTAAATCACCGATAACAACAGCAATGGTACCATAATAGACAGTGTCTTGAGAAATAACTGTATCAGCTAAAGCAATGCTTAACTGTAGGATTATACCTAAAAGTAAAGAAACACCTTTCATTTTCCTTTAAAAAAAATATCTATGAGATAAGTAATTAGGAAGAGGGTATCAATTAAGTTGATGAAAGGAATATTCAATGCTTTGATTTATGAATATAAAAAAATAGTCGAAACAAGTTGTTAATTCCCATCACAGTTATCGAGGATTGCAAGTTATATTTATATAGTTAAATAATTCAACTGCCGAGATAGAGTTTTATTTTTTAAGCACGAGGCATCATAAAGAATATGAATAAGATGCAATTGAAGTGGGTTCCATTAAGGGTGATGATTGAATGTTAATAATAAGAGATTAACTGTGTAAACCCCAACTATCGCAAATTAATATCCTCTCTCTTTTTAGCAGCTCTAAAATTTATTTTGTCCCATTTTTTCATCTCAGTTTATTTTTAACTTTTTTTATTTTTTAACTTTATTTTTTAAATTTTGAACATTTCTTTTTCCTATTTCATTTGGGATTATTTTGTGATCGTTTTTGGAAGGGGACTAGATTTTATTTTTCGTTTTGATCGATTTTATATGTGGCTGCAGTTCCTAATACTACTGCAGAACTACTAGTAATGGTAATAATATTTCCATTTGTTTGTAAAAAATTATCTGTAGAGATGAGGGTGAGAATATGTATGAATGTATGGGGGCGGAACAGGCATTAAGATAGTCAAGTAGATGTCTATCTTACAGAATGCCAAGATAATGCATGTTTTCATTCAACTACAGTATTAATGCTGTTGAATAGTAGCGCATTATCACAAAAGGTTACTAATTTCAAATTGTTCATTGCTTTTGAATCATGTGAATAACACAAATACATAATTAACTTTTGACATAAAAGATGATTATCGAAGAAAGTCAATGGTTTGTCCTGATATATTTCAAATTTGTTATGACAATCATTGATCTCCCCTTACAAATTGATTCATAAATAGCTTCGTTGACTGAAACAACAAGTAAAGAAAAGGAGGCGACCGGTGACTGGATGGGGGGAATAGAGGTAAGATTGTATTATAATTAGCTAATACATTGTTTGAATTTCTTTTTGATCATTTCTTTTTAACTATTATTATTATCAGTATGTTAATTATCAAATCTAAATCGAGTTACCCTTTTTTAGTCCATTTTTGGCATGCTGTGCACGATCATTGAACATTATTTTTTAATGAGTGCAAAAAAATAAAAAAATTAAAAAAAAAATTAAAAAGACTACAATAGAGCGTAAAGTACGAGATACCTGCAAAAATGCAAACTGAGCAACAATGAGTGGGAAATTATTACCGTCTCAGTTTCATTATATTTTTTGAAAGATTTCGTTTATAGTCATATTTTTTTCTTTGTTCTTATATATTTATGCGGTGAAAGTTGACTTCCACGAGTTTTTGCTTCGTATACATGTCTATTGTTCTCTTATTTTAATACCACAACCCTTGATTCTAAATCACTCCCTCTCCGCAGAATGTACCAATGACTTGATGTGAAATTGGACTCAATTTTGTAACTCATTTTCAATTTTCAATTTTCTATTTGCTTCTAAAAGAGAACAAATCTCAGTTTCTTAAATTATCTCAACTAATGATTTTTTGGTTCCTTACTATGTATGCAGTGGTACTCCTTCTCTATCTTCTTTTGCTCATCTTTCTACAATTAACCTAGTTATAAACCCACCTTAATAAATAAAAAAAGGAGTACATTAATATGAGTCGATCCTGATTTCTCAAATAATAAGATGAATATCAACAAGCTTCAAAAGAAAATATCACCATTTGAGCAACAAAGAGGTATGTTAAAAATGTAACCCCTAAAAATAATTTAAAATTTATAATTTTCCTATCCCTGCAGTTTCTCTGTATTTCATGAATTTAAGATCTACAAATTTTGACATCCGCCACATGCTCGTTTCCTCTATATATCCGACCTAGACTCTGTAGTAGTTTCCTATCAAATAATTAAAACTGATCCTCCATTCATCCCTCCTCCTATCAGCTTTTATTTCATGTAATTCCAATAATACATATAACGCTGATCATTGTTGTACTTCTCTTAGTTCCCATTGTTTGCTTACGCTATGCTATGCATTTTTATGTTAGATTTCTACGAAGATAATGAAATTCAAGATTTCAAAATATATTACATAATAACCGCATCAATGTTTATTATTAAGACTATAGTTAAATAATATAAAACAAAGATATGGTGGCGATAATTTAGTCACCCTCTGCCTTCATTGGGAATGTCTGCTGCTGCTTTAGGAAAGTATCATAACTGTTATCCTTTGCTAATCTGTGCGAGAAGGCTTGTTGCTGCAGGATCTATTAATTCACTATCGTACGTAGTAATCACATGTAATTCACTATTTTATTCTAAACTCCCCCTCCCCCTGGGGCATATTCAAACATGATTAAAAACTACTAAAGAGATCTAACTCACCATGTCTCCTAACTACATCAATCTTTAAATTGAAAATAATAAAATGATGATGTTCTTGAAAAATATTCAAACTGATTGTTATTTAAAATAAATAATTATTCTTTATCCCTTAACAACCAAATTCTTCTGAGTATTGAACAACTACATTCATAAATAAGTTTTTAAAATAAATATATATTCTTTTATGTTAATATAAAAGGTACAGAAATTAAATTATAGAACTAAAAGATGGCAATATGCACATGAAAAATTATAAATAGAAAATGACAGAATCCATGAATTAAAACAGTGAAGAAGATGAATAAATGATAAAAGCCCAGTATAATAATTTAAATACCAATACGTATGTGAATAAGAATGAAAGAAAAGGGGTAATAATAATAATCTCCAAGTTAAATATCTCATAAAATTTGGAAGAAAAAAGATGAAGTGAATAATTTAATAAATAAAATAAATGAATTATCAAAAAACAATGTATGTTTGTTCAGATAATAAGTAACATAAATAACCGAAACTTAATTTTGTGTTATAAATATTACTTAAACCAAAACCAATGTCATCAAGATAACAGGAACAACCAACATAAATCTATTAATTTGTTTGCTTGAGGCGGAACCTTCATAAGCTGGTGGTACAGTTGGTGAAGAGGATGGAACTGAAATAATTGTAGCAGGAGTAGTAACAGCTGCAGAAGTAGGAACTTCAGTTGTTGATTCAGCAGCAACTTCGGCAGTTGTGGTGGCTGGTTCAACTTCTGCAGTAGTAGGAGTGACAGTTTCAACTCCAATTATAGATGTAGTAGTGTATAATACACCTTCTGAACTTGAAACGATAACAGCAGCAGTTTCAGTACATGGAACTCCAACAGTATCGGTGGTAACGACAGTAGTAGTGTAAACTACTTGTCCACCTAATAATGAAGTAGTGGTATAAATACTTCCTTCGGTATCAGTAGAAACAATAATTTCTGCAGTCTCGGTAGTAACTGCTCCATTTGGAAGGGTACTGACAAATGTAGTTTCATATTGACTGCATGGTTCAGTTACAGTTTCAGTAACAATTGAAGTAGTAGTGTATGTACTACCTTCAGTGTTAGTACCAACAACAACAACACCAGTTTCTGTACATGGAACTCCAACGGTATCAGTTGTAATAATGGTAGTAGTATAAACGGAAATAACACCGCTGCTGAATAATGATGTAGTAGTGTATAAACTTCCTTCTGAATTAGTAGTAATGATAACAATACCAGTTTCAGTTTCAACAGATCCATTTGATTCAGTAGTAGTGAATGTAGTAGTGTATTCAGTTTCAGTAAGAATGGAGGTGGTGGTATAGAAACTACCTTCTGAATTAGTAGTAACAATAACAATACCAGTATCGGTCTCAACAGTTCCATCAGATTCAGTGGTTGTAAATGTGGTAGTGTATTCCGTAAATGTACCACAACCTGTTCCATCTCTACGACAAACTGTAATAGCGGCAGAAGAGGCTGAAATAATTGAAGTAGTGGTGTATAAACTTCCATCAGAGTTGGTAGTAACGATAACAACTCCAGTATCAGTATCAACAGATCCATCTGATTCAGTGGTAGTAAATGTCGTAGTGTATTCTGTTTCAAGATCAGTACTAGATGAGGTAAAATCAGTAGAAGCGGCAGCCAAACTAGTAGAACCACTAATAATTGAAGTGGTTGTATAAATACTACCTTGGGAGTTAGTAGTCACGATGACCACTCCAGTTTCACTTTCAACAACCCCGCTAGAATCAGTTGTACCTAATGTAGTACTATATTCAGTGAGACTATCAATAGAAGAACTTGAACTGTTGAAATAGAGACTGGATGAAAATAACAAAGAACTACTAGATGAAACTCTTAAATCAATTGTCGACGTACTAGATGATGAAGTTGCAACCTCACTTGAAGTTGGGAATAATGAAGTTGAGGTAACGGTTCCTGAAGAACCAGCACTGACAACAACAACACCGGAATCAGTAGCAACATATCCATCAGATTCAGTAGTAGTGAAAGTGGTGGTGTAAGTAGTATCTGGATCACTTGAAGTTGGGAATAATGAAGTACTGGTTTCTGTACCGGAAGAACCAGCACTGACAACAACAACACCAGAATCAGTAGCAACATATCCATCAGATTCAGTAGTAGTGAAAGTGGTGGTGTAAGTGGTATCTGGATCACTTGAAGTTGGGAATAATGAAGTACTGGTTTCTGTACCGGAAGAACCAGCACTGACAACAACAACACCAGAATCAGTAGCAACATATCCATCAGATTCAGTAGTAGTGAAAGTGGTGGTGTAAGTGGTATCTGGATCACTTGAAGTTGGGAATAATGAAGTACTGGTTTCTGTACCGGAAGAACCAGCACTGACAACAACAACACCGGAATCAGTAGCAACATATCCATCAGATTCAGTAGTAGTGAAAGTGGTGGTGTAAGTGGTATCTGGATCACTTGAAGTTGGGAATAATGAAGTACTGGTTTCTGTACCGGAAGAACCAGCACTGACAACAACAACACCGGAATCAGTAGCAACATATCCATCAGATTCAGTAGTAGTGAAAGTGGTGGTGTAAGTGGTATCTGGATCACTTGAAGTTGGGAATAATGAAGTACTGGTTACTGTACCGGAAGAACCAGCACTGACAACAACAACACCGGAATCAGTAGCAACATATCCATCAGATTCAGTAGTAGTGAAAGTGGTGGTATAAGTGGTATCTGGATCACTTGAAGTTGGGAATAATGAAGTTGAGGTACGGTTCCTGAAGAACCAGCACTGACAACAACAACACCGGAATCAGTAGCAACATATCCATCAGATTCAGTAGTAGTGAAAGTGGTGGTGTAAGTGGTATCTGGGATCACTGGAGGTTGGGAATAATGAAGTTACGGTTTCTGTACCGGAAGAACCAGCACTGACAACAACAACACCGGAATCAGTAGCAACATATCCATCAGATTCAGTAGTAGTGAAAGTGGTGGTGTAAGTGGTATCTGGGTCACTGGAGGTTGGGAATAATGAAGTACTGGTTTCTGTACCGGAAGAACCAGCACTGACAACAACAACACCGGAATCAGTAGCAACATATCCATCAGATTCAGTAGTAGTGAAAGTGGTGGTGTAAGTAGGTATCTGGATCACTGGAGGTTGGGAATAATGAAGTACTGGTTATGTACCGGAAGAACCAGCACTGACAACAACAACACCGGAATCAGTAGCAACATATCCATCAGATTCAGTAGTAGTGAAAGTGGTGGTGTAAGTAGGTATCTGGATCACTGGAAGTTGGGAATAATGAAGTACTTGGTTATGTACCGGAAGAACCAGCACTGACAACAACAACACCGGAATCAGTAGCAACATATCCATCAGATTCAGTAGTAGTGAAAGTGGTGGTGTAAGTAGGTATCTGGATCACTTGAAGTTGGGAATAATGAAGTTGAGGTAACAGGTTCCTGAAGAACCAGCACTGACAACAACAACACCGGAATCAGTAGCAACATATCCATCAGATTCAGTAGTAGTGAAAGTGGTGGTGTAAGTGGTATCTAAATAGCTTGAAGATGTAGTGCTAGCGGAACAGGCAGCTGATAAGACGGTGGTTATATCATAGTAATTTCCCAGAGCATCTGAAGTAACAAATACCTCTTCAACATCTGTACAAACTTGACCGTTGTCAGTAGTAGTAACTGTAGTGGTATATTCTGTTCCGTTTAAACCTGGAATAGCAGGAAGGGTAGAACATAAAGCACAACCAGCAGGAAGACCTGGAGTTGGTACTGGTCCATCGTAAGTAACAGCGTTCAATGGCGCAACAACTAAATCAGTAAGGGCATCCCAATCGGTAGTTACTGAAAAATCACCAGCAACATATCCAGTACCAATATCGAACTCTTGATTTGCAATAGTTGAGTAAAGTGTCAAAATACCTGTAGTTGCATCATATGAGTATGGTTGAGTTACAACCTTTCCCAAAACCGTAAGGGCGGGATTTAAAGGAACATTTAATGCAAGCATATTACTATTACCAAAACCAGAAACATTGATGATGTTACTTCCAATAAATGGGGAAGCAATAATACTGGAATCGGAATCAGCTAAATAAAAAGTTTGTCCACTAAAGGAAGCCAAAGGATTGTCTATATAGACGGTAGAATTTGCTTGAGCAGTAATACAACCATTACCATTAATACTAGATTGTTGTTCATAAAGTTCATTATACAAACAAATTTGTCCATTGTTAGTAATACCATTAAGTAAATCTGTACCACCCAAAGTGACTTGACCACCATTATTTTGAGTTTGATAAAATACCATTAAACCATTATTAGTAACAGAAGGACTATTAATTGTAAAAGTACCGGAACCTATAGCACCGTTGGAACCCATATAAAAGTCACCATTGTTAACAAAACTAGAAAGGGTGGTAATAATATAAGTACTTGGAAGAATTGAATCAATAGAATTGAATGAAACGGTCCCATTATTCAACACGTTACCACCAGTTATATCGACATTTAAACCAATTAAGTTGGAAACACTACTGACGTAGAATCCACCACCATTACCAACATTAAGAGAACCAGTAATTGAGGTATCTAAGTTGTTGATAAGGGATAAATAAACATCAGGGTTTATATCAACATCACCGATGTCAAGAGCAAATGTACCATACTCGACAGTATTTCGAGTGACGGTTTGAGATAAAGCGAAAGATAACTGTAGGACAACAGCCAATAATAAACTAAATCCCTTCATAATCCTTAACTCTTTTTCAGTTTGTAGAAGTTAAGAAATTAAAGGTAATGAATTGAATTAAGGTTTTCGAAAGTATTTCTTAGTTCAAAAAAAAAAACAAGCATTGAAGGAGATATATACCTTTTATATGAGCCAATATGTAGACAGGGTTTTATAGTTTCGCCCTTTCTAGAATCTCTTTATCAGGATATTAGCATGTATAATTTTAGTCAACTGCTAAAAAAAGTTGCCAAAAGCAGAAGACCCTCAATTAAAAAAATAATTTTATTTTTTATGCAGTGCGCTTTTTTTCATGTTCTATGAATCCATTTGAAATGAATTTATTATTTCAATTATTCATGTAAGACGGGTGTCTTCAGCGCTACAAGTCACTCAAATTTGCTAATAAAAAATTATTTTCAAATAATAACATTACCTACTAAATGAATTTTAAGAATCATTTCATAGCGAGTATGAGCCACAGGTATTAAATACTGAGGTCAGCTTCTTTCTAGTGTTGGTAAAAAAAAGCAATACGTTGATCATTTCAGACGCATTTATGACCTGTTCCAGTATTTGAATAATGTGCACAGTCCTTTATTTGCAATTTTAATCTTCTCTATTATTACAGTGGTATTAAACTTCCGTATTTTTATTTCTTTTCATGCAACAATTATTGAACCCTACCCAATTTCAGAGCCTTTTTCATATTTGTGAACCATTACGGATCTTCTGCTGTTAATCTCATCTTCCATATACGTCTATTTAGTAAGATGGCTATTCAGGCTGATTGTACTACTTCCTCGATAAAATACATAAGACTCTATTCAGTAACCTTCAACTTAACAATTTCAACGAGCTTCCATTCTAATCTTAGTTCGCGTTTTGTTTTCCACCAAGTGTACTTCATGTGCATGGGTTTTTAGGGCACCGTTTTACATCTTGCGTAGTCATAATCTATCCAAACTTGGATTCATTTAAACTGCGATATTGGGGATAGAATATAAATAGCAACAAAAATTCATTATGACATAACCATTTGAAAAAATAAGGGTACTAACTTGCAGCTGAAAATAGAACCACAAATGCAATCATCCGTCTCATTTTTATTTTTTAATATCATGCTTCTGTGCATTTCACTGTCCATGATGATCTTTGAAATCTGAATTTTGAAATTTTTTTTGACTTCATTTTATAATCTCTGTTTAAATGTATCATTGCCTTCTTTTAGAACGGGATAATCATAAATAAAGAATATAGCAACACGCTTGTTAAAGAATGTTATAGTCTTAAATACGCGTACCATTCTTTTTTTTGTTAAATTCTAAGAATTCGTTGATAGTTTGATTTGAGGGCTAGGAAATGGTGCCCATAGACTAGTTAATTTGAGTGATATCTATGTTATAAACAGATTCAAAGGCAGTAATTTCACCTAAGCTAATAATAATGACTTCTGTTAAGGTTATTCATGCCCGGATAAAATGATTAGATCAGTATTACTTTTCATTTTTGTTTTCCGATTCAATTTTTGTTTTCCTTTTTCTTTGGCACATGGTACACGACCAGCCTAATACAGTTATGTGGCAAATGAAGTAGCTATTGACTTGGCGACGGTGTACATTTTGTATTTCATACCATTTCCATATAATAACAATTGTAGTTTGTTTTGGGGTGATTGAGTTAATTTTTTAGGTTTGATTATTGGTTATGTTTCACCTTTTAAAAAAGTTTGTGTTGGCGTTACATTCTAGTTTATTCAAAGGCCTTCCTGTTTGAATTATTATCTTTCACCTTACTGATTTGCCCTAAGTTGAATGAATTCACCCCAGGTCAACTTTAAGAAACTACAGACATACATAAATTTGTAAAATAGCGTGCAGAATATTATTTTACAATTATAGGGTTTTTTACGTAATTGCTACTTAATTTATTAATCTGAAATTAAAGCGTTTAGCTTTTTTTCACGTTAATTGTTGCGCTAAGAGATACAATAAATTAAAATTATTTAATTTAAATAGTAGTACGTCAAATATCCGGGTATTTTATAGAGAAACGCATTTCTTCTTTATTTTCAGTAAATGAAATCTTGTAAAGTCACAAATATCTTCTACGAATATACGACATTTTTAAAAATAAAATAATCTTTACTCAAGAATCGTAAGAAAGGGAACTCTTTATCTTAAATCGGTACAACAGCAACAAGATTGGCAACATTATTTCATTTACACTAACCTTATTGTACCGAACAATGCTTGTTTGTACGTCTAGCAATGCAGGGTATTTTATCCACAGTAAAAAAGGATTTAGTGTATTTTTTGCGCTTTGTCTTTCCAAAACAAAAATTTTAAATATCTAACCATTCTTACTGAAATTTCAGATGCTTCTTTTAAATCTGCTGCAGTTATGATGGTATGTTTTAACAAAGAGGGAATTGGAAGAGTTATGAGGCATAAATGCACAGATTCAGAAATAATTACAATTGTCTGTCTAAAAAGGCCTATAAATGAAGGTCATAGATACAGGCATTCACATACCACGGTGAATAAAAATCTAAGAATAACCCTTGCAGCTGTCATTCGACTGTTCTGCCATTTCTAATCTCACTAATATGATTAAATTAATCGTGACGAAAATAGCTTTAGAAATAATATAACATATGTGACGCTATAAGACTTATTTCTTCTATAATCGTTAATCACAAGCATTATACGGAAATTAGCCGACATATGAACAATATTAATTGCTCGGTTAATGGTTTTCTTCCATATTACTATATTGAGTATATAATAGGATAATACTATGGTTTTTATAAAAAAAACTTTTATCACTATTACCAAAAGGGTCTGAAGTTTCACAAAAGGAGTTTTGTGGGAAAATAAAAAAAGGTGCATAAAAAATAATTCAAAGAATATCAGTGCTAAACCTAATCTTGTTTTAACTTTCCTTGTCCTTTTTATTTGCATCCATTGTTTAATGAAATGTCTAACCGCTGTACATTATAAATAACTCGGAAATACTAATCCACCATTTTTACGGCTCATTTACGCTCTCCTTCAGATTCGATATTGGCATCGTTGTAAGGTAAAGACTGAACTTGACGTTCTAACAAAACCCTTTCTAAGCTGTATGTTTTGGTTATGAGCTATAATTTGAAATTTTCTAAATCCATATGTTAGCATTGTTGCTTCTCTTTGTAAATAAAGATCTTACTGTTAATTACACTTGTATTATACTTTACGGTCTATATCTCTGTACTCAATATCTTCGTCCTTCGTATCTAGGTCGCACGAACTTGCAGAATTCGACTGTTCTTTTTCCCACTACAAATTTCATGAAATAAGAAATGAGCAATGTGAACTTCTGTTTTTCATTTGTTCAAAGCCAAATACACAAAAGGATTGGACCATACCTTAGCGGCAATAACAAGCATAGGTAGACTAAAATCTAGACTGTGTCTTGCTGGGTTAAGAGCATGTGAATTAGGTTATTGGTCTTATGTAGACTTAAAGGCTTAAGAAATTTGCATGAGACATTTAATCAGTTGTTGGTTAAATCTATATTTCAATTCAGAGTTAGATCATCTGTTAGAATCCAGTATGGTGATATCAAGTACCTTTCTCTTTGTATATTTCTGACCCTGTTTACTGTATTATTGCAATAATATAAACTCTATTTAGACTTTTGTGCTCATTAAATAATATTATCGCTTTAAACTGCAATTCTCGCCTTCAATTTCATACTCCACTAAATCTGCTTTTTAAAATCTGTATTATTGACTATAACTAAGTACAATTTCACCAAAAGGCTTTTGAACTTGAAAATCTGGATGTTGAATAGACAACTATTATTTGATATATAATATTATTTTAATTACGCTAAGTAAGAGATTGATTATGGTAATTAATTGTTTGATTGATATAAACTCTCTCAAACATACAATTTGAAGCGTTTGAGACTTAAGTATAACTATCTGGAAACTCAATGAAATTCAATAAATAGCTGATAACGTGGTTGTGAAGTGATGTACTTTACAAGTTATAATCTATATCGAGTTTGAAACGATCTAGATATATTTCTACCGATAGACAGCGGTTGTTGACTGAGGTTCTGGAATCCGGTTTGAAAGCAGGGATAATGAAATTATTTACTCCGTGATATTTATTCCCGGGGTATATTAGAATTCTTTTTCATATTCAGAAAATTGTAATTTTGATGATTTCATTCCTGTATTTTGAAAGCAATATTCAAAATATTTTTCATATACTGCAAGTCAAGCAGTAAGCGGGTGGCCCCGAGCATAAAAAAATATATTTTTGATGTATCCAAATAACCCTCTCAAAACTGGACAAAAAAATATTTTATATTTAGTATTTTCAATTCCAATCTGACATGATATAGTTGACGTAATGGTTAACAAACCCTATCTATCAAATAGATGGATTTAAACATTTGAGTGATCTAAAAAGCTTGAATATGAATTTTAATTATTTGGTTAATTAGACACAATTTTCGATAGAGAAGGTTAAGAAAAGGCCTGAAGAGCTATCCTTATTAACTGACGTTCTCGTTTTCCAACATTCTCTGCCGTTTTCCGCTTTCTGCGGACGGACAGAAGCAAAATCTAAAATTGTAAGCAAATGTATTACCTAGATGTATACGCACTAATTTCACTACTTGTACTACAAGTGGGGGGAGGGGGTCTAGAATTTTGCTCCTTGTAACTTGGTTTAAGAATTTCACATGAACTCGCCGATCTTTCGATGCGTTATTTCTTCTGTGGAAGGTTCTACAGAAAATTCTAAAACCAGCTTCGGCAATGTACGAAGAGGCTGTAAGACAAGAAAAAGCTAATCAAAATTTGTTAAACTCCGACATCGACCGTATTGTATACTCGTAGAATAACAATTAGAATTAACAACGTATCTTAACTTACGAAATTCATCTCCATTCATAAAGCTTATTGTTGCGTATTTCAACGTCGAATTACTTCAAGGTAGCTCATCAAACAAAAGTCTTCGCAATTAATTATGATTATGTCAGATCTTATGTAATTTACAAAAACAGCGGTGGTGCATATAAACCATCATAATTTTAATATTTGCAACCGCTGAGCTTTATGATAACTTTAAAGCTAATTTTGGATTTTTATTTAGTGTATTTTCCTTTCCTTTCTCTTTATATTTCCTTTCTCTTGATTAGTTTTAATATTACATTAGTTCTACCTCTATTAACTATCGTCTTCCATCGTTTGATTCATTCCATTAATCATTCAATTCATCACAATAAATATTGAAAAGATAAATCAATTAAAAAATTCACAATGTTAATTCCTACGAAATTGTTATTTGTGTTGACTGTTTTAGCGCCAACTTTAATTGATGCATCCAAAGCACCAAAGGTTAAAAAGAATCCTAAGAATATTGTTGCCATTGCTGATTTTCCTTTTGGTGGTGATAAATTTGTTAAAGGTAATATTGTGTTTAGCGCCAAGGATGGTAAAACTGTTCAAGTTCATGTTGATATGACTGGTTTACCTGCTGAAGGAGGTCCATTTTTCTATCATATACATGAAAATTCTATCCCTGGAAATGGTAATTGTGAAGCTGCTGGTTTACATTTTAATCCTTATGATGCTTCTCCTGATTGTGGTAGTCAAAAAGATGATTCAAGATGTCAAGTTGGTGATTTGTCTGGTAAACATGGTTGGATTAATACCACTTGTTTTGAAGATAAGTATGAAGATCCATTCTTATCATTAAATAAAAAATCGAAATCATTTATTATTGGTAAATCAATTGTTTTCCACTTTGCAAATTTAACTAAATACGCTTGTTCTGATATTGAACCTGCCTCAAATTTAAGAATTGCTGGTCTTATTGAAGAATATAAATCCAATAATGATTTAGTTGATGTACAAGAATTTGAAGATTATGAAGAACAAGATTATGATTTTGATGAAGAAGAAGGACTTGAAGCTGAAGTTTTTGAATTAACTGAAGAAGAAGAGCAACAACTTCAAACTCAAAGACAACTTGAACAACAATTAGAAGAAGAATCTTCAGCTTTTGATGATGTTATCATTCAGCAAGAGATTGAAGCTTATGCAAATCATTCTACTAATTTAACTTCCCCCAGCTTTAATTTTACTACTGGTAGATTGAATCTCAGTAATGAAACAAATCTTACCTCATTTGATTATGAAAATAGTGCCACTTCCATTATAAGATTTGGGTTAGCATCCGCTATTGCTGGTGTTGTTAATCTTTTCATATGAATATGACAAGCTGGTCTTCTTTCTTTTGTATGTTCTCTTTATTTCTTAAAACTTGTCTTTCTACGGGCTTTTTTGAAAATATTCCTCTTATCTCTCTATTTCTTTAAACTTGTTTTTCTACGAGTTTTTTGAAACTATCCCTCTCCTCTGATCTCCTCTCACCTTTGGACGTCTCTTCCAAAGTTTGTATACATGTTTTATCCCTCTTATTTATATTTCAAAGTTGTAGTTTCCGCTGTAATTTAAATTATATTTGTATTATGCTTTATAAATTTATCCAGTCTATATTACTAAAAACAATGATGCTAACTCTTTGGAGGTGGATAGTCTTCAGGACTTCTTTTCCCATATCTAATCAAAGCTTTTATTCTCATTCTCTCTCCAAAATAAATAAGTACTAATGCACAAAGTAATCCAAGCCAAAGGACGAATGCACCAATGGTACAAGTCCAACCAACACCTATACTTTGAATACTTCTTAAACAAGTGGCCGAAGAAACAGCAGCAGCAATGTATCTCGTGAAATAACTACTACCTATAGCATCTCCGCCTAATTCCGGCATACTATCAACACAATAAGTATTTGAAGCTGGGAATACACAAGTTTGAGCAATTCCACTGAAAAACATAAATATGATAGGAACTGCCATTCCACCCTTTTCTTTTTCGATTGACCAACCATAAATCAAAATACTAGTTGGATAAATTATACCCAATGGTATTAATGTTTGTCTTAGTCTATCTTCCGGTACTCTTCTTCCTCTCTTTTTAATGTATTGTCTAACGACATAATCTGCCCATCTTCCACCAAAAAAACTTCCTAATAAGTATCCTAATCCCGGTGCCAAATAGAATAATCCACTGAAGATTGGTTTTGTTAAACCAAATCTAGGATCCACTACGTATCTAATTGGAGTTAATAAATTATACATGTTGAATACTAAAGCAATGGTAATAAAACCATCAATCGATAAATTGGGATATTTTAAAACAGCAATAATCTTAAGGGGGTTAAAAGGAATAAACACAAACTTCCTTTTTGGATCATCCTTTTGGATTTCTTTTAATATTACTGAATGTTTAGTTTCATAACATGTTTCTGGTAAATAAAAAAAGGCCAATAAGAACATACCAGCACCGATACCACATAAAACCCAAAAAATAACTCTCCAACTAGTATATGTGACGATGATACCACCACCAACAGAACCTAAAGAAGTTCCGATTTGACCTCCTGATACAATCCAAGCCATATATGTGGCTCTTTCCACTGGAATATATAAATCACCTATGATATGAGCACCTATACTGAAAAATGAAGTACCAAATAATGCAGTAAGTGATCTGAATACGAAAAACATGGCTAAATTCTGTGATACTGCCACTAAAGCAGTACAAACAATAAACATGAATGTACATACTAAGAATGTATTTCTTCTACCATAAATATCAGAACATGGAGAAAATATGGTTGGAGAAATTGACATAAAAACACAATAAACAGCACTTGAAACATTAATGATTTCCCCTGTAGTATTGAATCTATCAGCAATTTCAGGAACAGCAGGTAAGAATGCTAAACTTGATAGAGGAGATAAGAATCCTGACATTGAAGCTATGATAACACAAATGACTTTTGTTCTATGAGAAAATCGATTAAATCTTTCATCCTTTGATATACTTTGAACTTTTGTTAAGGCCGCTTCTAAATCATTATCAACCTCTTCTCCTTCTTCTTCTTCACCCGAAGCATCCACAACATTATTTCTATTACTAACTACTTTCGAAACAATACTTGATCTTCTTGATTGGATTTTTGAAAGTTGACGTGTGGCTGCTAATTCAGATACACTAGTTAACTCCAAGGGAACTTCATGACTATAAGTTGGATGATGAGATTCAACATTAAGATTAGACTCCGAGTCTAGTGATGTTGTGCTTGCATTATCATGTTGATAACTTTGGTTATGACTAATACTATTTTCATGATCTTTAGTTATGGATGATCTAATATTTGACATATTGTGGAAAAGGTGACGAATTTTTCCTTATCTATTCGCAAAATTGGAGGTAATAATTTTCAATGTATCAAACCTTTTTATCTTATTGGAACATGCTATGAAGAGTAAAACTACAAAAGAAGTACATGATAAAACTGAGATCCAACTATAATATAACATGGTTTGAAAAGTTGTCGGATATTTCTTTCCTTATTTATGCATTGTTAGCGATGATATTACGCTCGTAGCACTTTATTTGGATAGAGTCATTCGGTTCCGCATCGGAACTCGGAGTGTCCCCCACTTTCAGAATTTTAGCCGCAAAATGGGGGGCCAGCACTGACAGGAGGGTCTAAAATTTCTGGAACCATATTTGACTAATAATGTTAACCTTTATTGCTATTGGTTTAAAAGTTATTAAGAGTATGCTTTACCCCACTATATAGCACTAGGAGGGAGAACATTCTATTTTTGCATTCAATAAATATTTAGGGTTTCTATACAAATATTACCGAACGATCAATGAACTCAATTCCAAATAACCTGATATATTCTATCACTATCAGTTTCTCAAGCGAAGTCATATCACTGAAATAACTTCTCGTAGGTATTCCTGTAGAATTGTTATAGAAGATAATACAAAAATCATCGTCTAGAGCGTCACTATCTAGAATATCTATAACTTGATACAAAGGTTTTAAGCCAGGATAAACTGACGGTATGGGAGGCTTTTTTGCATGAAAGAAGCCCTTCTTCTGAGTGAAATCAATTTTATACTGTTTCTTTATTAAGTTTAAATCCTTTTCGGCTCCATCATAAATCGAACTATGTTCTCCATATAAGATTTCTGATATATTTTCCAGTTTTGTATTATCCCAATCTTTGGGGTAATCATCCGATAACTTCAATTCTTCGGTTCCATTGTCGGTTGTAGATCCTAAAACAAACAATCTACCATTTTTTAAATCCAGTTTGACTTTATCCAATGGGACGTACATATTATTAACCAAATCCAATATCTCGCCTCCGAACTTCAGTTTATAATTCATTTTGGGACAATCATCGATATAATAACCTAAATAATAATATCCTAATTTTAATTCTTCACACATTAATATTTCTCTTAATCCAGATAATGTACCTAAAGATAAATGAGCATAATCAGGATCCCAAATAAAATATATAGAAGAAACTCCAGTAGGTAAGAAATCCAATACTGATACTGCTATTAATTTATCTTCAAGATAATAGCAAACATGAGTGGGACCAATTCTTTTATGGTTCATTCCTGATGAATCATTCTCTAACGACCAATTTGCAACCCAATTATTCAAGTCTTTCCATTCTTCATCATTTCCCAATACTTCTTCAACATCAAATGGAGTTTGACATAAGAATCTTTTGAATGATGATTCGGTCACATCCAGGGGTTCATCATTATGGACCTTAATTTGATATTTCTTATATAATTCGAATTTCTCCTTTGAAAACCCCGATGGTTCAAATACAGTTCTGAATTTAGTTGATTTTTGTTCTGCCCGTATTAAATCCCTTATATCATACCGTTGTTGATTCTTATGTGTGGGTTGTTTCTCCTTATTATCATCGTCATTTGATATTTCCTTTATAAATCTATTAATAGCCTTTCTATGATGTTTATCTAATTTCAAATTATTCAATTTGGTTCGTATAGTGTATAATCTACAACAGGATCTTAACAAATCAGGCTTATATACATAAGTTCCTGATCTTCTGCATCCTTTATTGATCATGAAATCATATTGTTGACACGTCATTTGCTCCACTACAAACCCCATAGAATGCGATTTTGATGCATTATCAATTAATGATGGTGATGATGATTGATTGAGGAATTGACTCTCTAAAGCTAAATGATCTTCTTTCTCACCATTACAATACCCACAATGCGAATCTACTGAGTAGAATGGCCTCGATAGTATCATCAACTTTGAATTCATCGCCATTTAAGTATTGATTTTTGCCCTCTTAACTCTTTATTATGCTTATTTTAGATTTTTACGCTCTTTTGACAATTTGTCGCATCAACATAAAAAAAACTGACAGAAAATATCAAATTATAAATATTAAAAGCTTTGGTATATTTCATTAAAGGGATCCAACTTGATAGAACGAAGACCATAATCCAATCATATATACAGGGGCGTAATATATCACATGAGTGTTTCAATCAAATCAAGTCCTTCGAAATCAAACGATGTAAAGAGTGAAGACAATGGTAATGCTATTAATGATAAGATAAATGATAATAATAAAGATGACAAATCGATAGATAATAATGATAATAATGATGATGATACATTAGTGAATTCTCCATCTGAGGGGGCTGATGATGTTGAGAATTCGATCTTATCTGATCCTGAGGATTATTTGGAAGAGAATGAATCATTGGATATGAATTTAACTAATGGGAATCAAAATATTTGGTTAGTTAAATTACCAAAATATTTAGCAGAAAGATGGTCGAATGAAAGTAATCTTAATGGAGCTAAATTAGGGACGGTTAAAATTAAGAAAAACACAGGAGGAGCTAATAGTAAACTACAGGTGAAATTGGTTTTAAATGATGAAGCCAATTCTAATGCCAATGAACCTAAGATACCTCAAGAATATGATATATCAATTTTAAATACTCAAGTTCGTAATACATATGTGTTTAGTGAAGAGAATTTAAAGAAGTTTAAACAAGAATTGACTGAAGTTGGACAAATGCCCGAACAACCAAAAGTTCCTGAAAAGCCTAAGAATACTAAATTTCAACCTCGAAGACAATTTAAATTTTTTAGAGTTCAAAAGAATGGTAATGATGGACCTATAAGAAAATATATTCCATTTGTAAAGACCATTCCTAAGAAAACATCTTTAATTGGGAAAATATGTCATGATTGTCAAATCATTCCTTCTAAATCTGATTCTCAATATAATAAAATCTTAATTGATAGAAAGAATATCGTTAAAGGACCAGAAAGACCTAAAGTTACATTTCTTGATGAAATACCGGGGGTGATTCAATCCAATGCTGGACCATCGATTAGAGGTAACAATACATCAGTCTTTTTAAAATCAACTCATGCTAAAAAGAATGCTGAAGGTAGAGCTATTAGAATGCCAAAGAAGGATTTATTAGATTTATTATTCCGATTATTTGAAGAATATGAGTATTGGTCAATGAAGGGGTTAAAGGAAAGAACAAGACAACCAGAATCATATTTGAAAGAATCATTAGATTCAATTGCTAATTTAATTAAAAAGGGTCCATATACATCTAAATATAATTTAAAACCTGAATTTAGAAGATTAAGAGATGCAGATAGAGCAGTTAGATTAGGATTAGATGTGGAGGAAGAAGATAATAATAAAGATAATGACGATGAAGACGATGATCTTGAAATGGAAGACGTGGTTTGAAATGGAAGATGTCTACAGGTCCTATTATGTGTTTTTTTTTGTTTCTTATTATATATTAAATATACAAGGTTTTTTATCCAATCTCGTAAAAAATTATGACTATGATTTATAAATGATGAATCTCTTTCTATTAATGTGAACCATAAGTATAAGTATTTGTATCCCAGCCAATGAAAGAAAGAAATTTAATTTAGTTTCATGAATGATGAATAATTATAAGTTAAAATGATTAAAAGTCTTTATAAAACGGTTGAAATAAAATGATGTAGATATGATTCTTTTTAAATTTGAGGAGTCAAACTTATAAGTTGGTTAATTTTAAAGTTGGTGGTAAAGATTGTTGTAATTTTTTAGCTTTAGAAGCATCGTTAACAACTAAAGTATATTGATATCTAGCACCTCTAACTTTGAATTTAGTTTGTTTGAATTTTTTACCGTTAGCGTTAACTTTTTGGTTAACTTTGACAACAGCAGATTTGATGTCAGATCTTCTAGCTAATTCAACGAATTGCTTAATGTCAGTGATTTCTCTAGCCATTTTATGATATATGTATATGAGTATATAGGATCTAAAAGAGTTCAAACGATAGTTGGTTAATTTGATATAAGTTAATTTTTTTTCATTAGAGGCAGGCAGCACTTTAAAAAAAAATTAAAATTAAATTTTAAGTGCCAGTCGTGCGAATTGGTCCAATTAAGGGTTGTAACCCTAATATGTGGTACGAACATGTGATTGGTAGCATAAGCACTAAGGCTATTTATACATTATACATTATACATTATACAATTACAGTCTATTAATTAACTCTTGAGATGTTATTAATCTCTTTATACTTGTAATCCATCGTTTAGTCTTATCATTAATCATTATATTGGAGATTTGTTGGTGATGTCTCCCATTAATTCTAGTAGATGAACTTCGAGCATGAATCCCAATATGTTCAACTCCAATGGGCCATGCTACATTCCCAATACTTAATTTCATATAACTTTCATTAGCTCGATTATAATTATGAGTTTGAATATAATATAATACGGTTAATAATGAAATTAACATATCAGAACTTAATTTGAAACTTCGTAATTTATATAATAAAGTAACAAGATCTCGTTTAGTTTCATGAATCAATGGTATTTGTTGTTGTTGTTCATGAGGATGATTCAGGATGTAGTCTTCCCATTGTTTAATCAATGATTTGATTATAACTCTGATCTTTATATATATTTCTTGATTCTTGGTTTCATCATCAATGTCTTCTAATTCTTGTAAATCAATGAGTTGTAAATCAGAATCACCAATATATTTTGATTCTGATTCTAAAATCAGTTTATACTTTTCTTTTCTTCGATTGATTTCAATGATGGTTTGTAAATGTTTGATCTTTTCAAGTTTAGTTAGGTTTTGAGTAGATGTTACTTCGTCAAGTTGTTCAAGTTGTGTTATCAATTGTTCATCTGTGATTGAATCAACTAAGTCTTGTTCTTCATTATCACCAGTATCTTCCTTAGATAGTATTATAGAATCACTCTTTTCATTAATGATCTCAGTCTGAGTACTATTCTCTATAGGAACATCCTGTTTAACTTCATTGGATACACTCTCCACTTTCTCATCATTCTGATTTATCTTCATTATATCATTGATTTGATCCGCCACAACTTTCTGTTTCTTACTACTACTCTTACCACTTTTAAAGCTCAACTTATTCTTCTTCCCATTTTTAAACTTCAAATCTTTCTTCTTAGCATTGATTTCATTAGCCAATATGTTTGAAAAATCCATTTAAAATGAATCTATTACCCCATAAAAAGGAACGATCTATACCGAAAGCTGTTAATTATAATTTGTTTGTTTGTGATAGTTTAAAGTTTTAGTGAGAGGGAGTGAATCCCACAAGGGGGAAAAATCAGAGGATAAAAATAAAAATTAAACTTCAACTGTTAACAATTCAACCAACCAACGAACGATTACTATACAACCACCACACATTCAATCATCAAAAGGGATCTCTAGAACATCTAACTGGAACATACATTCACTTCCATTGATTGATTCTTTACTGTACTTGGCTGCGGTTGTTTCGATCTTAATTATATACCTCCATCAGTTGATCTCAATATAAACACAGCAATCCTAACTAAACACGTTTATAATCATTCATTGATCCAACCATCCATCCCTTATTCCAATCAATCTATGAACCAATACTCTCATAACTAATCATACCAATTAATAATCTAATCCAAATGGTGGCATCAAGTCAAGCATCAACCAATAATGCTGCCAATGGTCTCCCCACAAATTCAACTACAACGTCTAATACAAATACAAATCAACTTGAACATCAATTAAGTCCTCATTCAAGTTTAGGTGATTATGATTTCTCTGAAAATATCCTAAATGATGATGAAAATGATGATGCTAACTTGACAGGATCAGGTAATGGTGGTTTGGGAATAGATGTTAAAGCTCAATTCACCACTGATTTAAATACTGATGAAAATATCTTGACTGCTAAACCTCAAACTTCACCTTTATTATCATCAACTCCACCAACTGTGGCAAAATCTTTAATTCGAGCATATCCTTACCTTTTAATCATTAATAAATTATTATCAGTGGCAACTTGGACAAATGATGATTATTGGATTAATATAATCATTCTTAGTACTTTTTCATTATTTATTTTATATTTTGAAAATTTAATTATTTGGTTAGGTCATATTATAATTGTTGGAATTATTACATTATACACTATCTTAAATAATAAAATATTAGAAGAAACAAAACAACATCCTACTTTAGATGATGTGGTTCAAGCTTTAACTGCTACTTGTATTAAAGCTGATATGTTATTAAATCCAATCACTTCATTAGCATTCACATCTTATGATATTAAACGATTATTATTCACTACTATCTTTTTAACTCCATTATATCTTATCCTTACATTTTTAATTATAAAACCAAGATTTATCTTATTAATTACAGGAATATTCATCTTAACTTATCATTCATCATATTCAAGAATCATTAGAAGGATCGTTTGGAAAGTTAAATTTGTTCGTTTATTAGTGTTTTATTTAACTGGGTTAGATTTCCTGCAAGCTAAAAATCATTCATTATTTGCTGCTGCATTTGCAAAAGTTCAAAAAAATACAGGTTTATCATCATCATTATCATCCACCACTTTAAGTTCAGGGGGTGGTGCAGCCGGTACTAATAATTCAAATAAACCCGTTAGATTCACTTATGTCATTTATGAAAATCAAAGAAGATGGTTAGGAATTGGTTGGACTTCAAATCTTTTATCTTATGAACGAGCTCCATGGACTGATGAATTTTTAAATGAAAGTTCAGCCATTGATGCATTCAAATTACCTAATGCCAATGATGCTCAATCAATCACTGATGATGGAGAAAATGATAATAATAATTTCAGTAGATTAAATGGTGCAACATGGAGATGGGTTGATAAAACTTGGAGATTAGATTTAACTAATGATGGAGCTATTACTTTACAAAATAATAAACGTCCAAAAACAAGTGCAAATCCAACTAGTGATGAAGGATTTATTTATTATGATAATACTTGGAAAAAACCATCAACAGAAGATACATTTTCAAAATATACTAGAAGAAGAAGATGGATTAGAACTGCTGAATTAATCTTTGATAATGGTAATGAATCAGTCACAAGTGGAGCCAAAGTTCAACCTGTAAATGAAGATGCTACATTATTTAAAAAGAAAAGTTTAAGATTTTCAGAAGTTATAACTGAACATAGTGGAGATGGAGAAGTTAATAAAGTGAAGAGTGGTCATGGTGATGAAAAGCCTGTATTGGAAGCGATTTTATCGGGTGATGAAGATGATAATGAAGAAGAACATGAGGAAGAAGAGGATGAAAGACATGACGATATAACAGAAGTAAAAAGTAAATCGATAGTATCAGAATCAATAGATACGACCATAACTTCTTCAACTAATTAAAGAAAAAAAAGGGTTAACGATGTCTCCCCCTCCCCACATAATAATTCATTATATAGAATGCCAGTATAATTCATCATTCGGCGAGCCGAAGTAGAAGTATATGTTATTTATTAATATTTTAAAAGAGATTAACTGTAGATGTAGCATTACGTAGTCAATATCTTATCTGGTAGATAAGATGTTGTTGATAGCAACTTAACTCCACGGAGAGTACGTGTTTGGTTGCAACTATGGTTATATTTGTGGTTTTGAATATTTATTTTTTTCAGGGTGAGAGTGAGATTTGATCGGAATAATCCGATATTTGGTTTGATCCTTAATTTACAAATTGATTCGGATAAGTTGATTTCTATTTTGAATGAAGGGATATGAGAAGCGGACTGTATTATGATAATGTTGATTACAAGTTTTAAACGTCTATACGGGTTTGATGTTGAACGTTATAGATAATTATAATTTAGTCTACAGGATGACGTCAAATATTATATAGATCATATTGGGAATAATTACCTATTCTTCATAGATTATAATTTGCAATCTTTCTTAATTCATATACTAAATTTGCAATAATTGACCCTGTAGTTGAATCTAAACCCATTGTAGTTAATAAGTTAAGTATATTTGTTCAACGATACAATTGAATATAGAGGGAGATAATACCGGTTTACCGAATAGAATATCACCTACATTAAATCGTAAGTTTTTTATGTTTATTATTGTTTCAGTTCCTCCACAATCGTAGACTATAGTTGGAATAGTCAATGTGTTATTATAATTATAGCTAAGTATAGTATAGTACTATTATGAAATTAAATATCGGTATTTTCCGATTCAACACAAAAACATAATTTGGGTTGCGATAAGATAAAAATATTCCACACCATCAAATCAGAGCATGAATGAATTAGTTCATACCGAATTTGTATAAATAACTTCAACAATCTCTTCCATTTGATTTACTGTCCTTTGATTGATAAAGTTTATATATTCTAACTCACTACAGTCTTCTACATCAGACATCAACTAGTCAATCTCATAGATAATATCTTCCCCACACTCATCCACACACAATATGGTTCAATTAATTTCTTCAACATATGGTAAAGCCAATGTTAAATTCTTAAAAGTTAAGAAGAATCCAGCTAATCCTAATGAACAAGAGGTCTTAGAAGCTAATGTTAAAGTATTATTAACTGGTCAATTCGATGTTGCTTATACTAAAGGTGATAATGCTCCTATTGTTCCAACTGATACCGTCAAGAATACTATTTTAATTGAAGCTAAAACTACTGATGTTTGGCCAATTGAAAAGTTTGCTGCTCATTTAGCTAAACATTTCACTAATAAATATAATCAGATTGAAGGGGTTGATATTGAAATTGTTCAAGCAAGATGGGTTAAATATCCTTTAAAAAATGGTAAACTTCATGCTCATTCATTTAGACATGATGGTCCTGAAACTAGAAGAACTCATTTAAAATTCAATAAACTTACTAGAGAATTATTCATTACTTCTGCTATTAAAGATTTAACCGTTTTAAAATCAACTGGTTCAATGTTTTATGGTTATAATGTTTGTGATTATACTACTTTACAACCAACCAAAGATCGTGTTTTATCAACTGATGTGTATGCCAGTTGGTCTTATGATCCAAAATATTTACCAACTTTAGAATCAGTCATTTCCAAAGCTAAAGATGGTTTATTTGATAATACTTACAATGCTGCTAGAGCCACTACTTTAGAATTATTCGCTTTAGAAAATTCAGCATCAGTTCAAGCTACTATGTATAATATGTCAGAAGATATCTTAAAACAAGTTAAAGAAGTTCAATATGTCACTTATGAATTACCAAACAAACATTATATCTTATTCAATTTAGAATGGAAAGGAATTAAAGGTAATGATGAATTATTTTATCCATCTCCTGATCCAAATGGTTTAATTAGATCCACTGTTGGTAGATCTAAAGCTAAATTTTAAGTTAATAGTAAGTCTAATTCTATATAATTTTTGTATTTAGAGAGTTTTAAAATAATGAAATAAAAGGTTAAAGTAAAGTAAAAGAGAAGTATATCTTATCAGATGTAGTTTATATAATTACAAATTCCTGTATATAAAATTTTTCAATTTTAATCATTACAAAAAATTTGCATTCTATGAAATATCACTTAGTTGTAGATACCTTTCACTTCATAAGAACCAACTATATATAATAATGACTAACTCTTCAGGATCGAGTCTATGGTTCACAGTATTGGCCACAGCAGCCATAACTGCTGGTTTGGTGGAAACATACCATAGATATATCTTATCAACCACTTCATCATCATCATCATCATCATCATCATCTACTTCATCACCTCCTACCAAGAGAGTTGATCAACAAAAGGAACATTCTGAAGAATTAATAAGAGAACAATTAGCAAGAAACTATGCGTTTTTATCAGACGAAGGTATGACGAAAGTCAGAAATCAGAGAATCGTCTTAGTAGGAGCAGGTGGAGTTGGATCTTGGGTTGCAACTATGTTAATCAGATCGGGAGTTGAAAATCTTAAAATCATTGATTTTGATCAAGTATCATTAAGTTCATTGAATAGACATGCGGTTGCTACTTTAGCTGATGTCGGGATTTCAAAAGTTGATTGTTTAAAAAATCATTTATTACAAATTTGTCCTTGGGCTAATATCGTAGTTAAAAATCAATTATGGAATATCAATAATTCAAACGCATTAATCTATGGTGAAGATGGAGAAGATGATTTCAATCCAACTTATGTCATTGATTGTATTGATAATATCGATACTAAAGTTGATTTATTAACTTTTTGTTATGAAAATAAGCTTCCTGTGATTTCATCAGGTGGAGCCGCCTGTAAATCTGATCCAACTAGAATTAATATAAGTGATATTTCCAAGACGGAAGAAGATCCATTAGCAAGATCAGTTAGAATCAGATTAAAGAAAAGAGGAATCCTTACTAATATCCCAGTGGTATTTTCTGCTGAAAAACCAGATCCAAGAAAAGCTCAATTATTACCATTATCAACTGAAGAAATTGAAAAAGGTTCAGTTGATCAATTGGCTGCTTTACAAAACTTCAGAGTGAGAATCTTACCAGTGTTAGGTACCATGCCAGGTATGTTTGGTTTAACTATTGCTACATATCTTATAACTTCCATCTCAGGATATCCTATTGAACCTATAGAAGGTAAGAATAGATATAAGATCTATGATGGGATGTTACAAAGTTTAGCGGGTCAACAATCAAGAATCGGTAAATTAGAACAAAGAATTCCTATCTCATTAAATGATGTACCATATATTTTAGAAGAAATTTATCGTGGTAAATCCCCTATTTCAAATTATTCTACCAGATTAACTTTATCGAGATGGGATCCAGCTCAAGAATTATCATTCCAAAATGTCGTTATCATGACCAAAGAAGAACAAAAGGCTCATGAAGATAGTGTATTGAATGGTGGTAAATCATTGACTGAATTCTATAGTCAAGATATATTGGATAGAGTTGAACAAAGATTTAAAGAAGAAAAATATTATTCTCAATTTAGATAGACCCTAATCCCCCCTTATATATAGAAACTGTATACATGTATATTAATAGACCATAAGTTTTAGCATTATTCTTTGATTTAGCGGATGTTTGGCAGCCTAAAATTGTAACCAAAGTGCGCCAATAGCCAAACACAGACAAACAAAAAAAAAGAATCATGTTTTGAAAAACGTTTAAATTTATTCCACGGTTTATTTTGCCATCATCAGATCATGTTACGATTCAACCCTATGCAAAGGATAGCATTCACCTTAAGGGGTGGGAATATAGGAGTATCTCCCATAAGGGCGATGACCATGAGACGAACTCCATCACTTCCGTTCAAATCAAACATATTTAAACGATTCCAATCATCTACTATTAAGCCACCACCTGTTACTCCACCAAAGGAACCAACTGGAGTCAAAGCTTTGGTTAAGAAGTATGGTGTTTCTGCTTTAGGTGTGTATTTGGCCTTGACTGCTATTGATTTACCTATCTGTTATGTAGTGGTTCATTCGGCTGGTAAGGATCAAATTGAATATTATGAGAATAAAGCATTTCAAACGTTTGGATATGGAGTAAGTGAAGAAGAATTAAAGGAAAAGCAAAGACTCAGAAGAATTGAAGAGGCGGAAAGTGCTGATAAAGAAGATAAATCATCTAAGACTGGTGTTTTCAATTACCTTTTATCTCAATTTTCATGGACTGAATTTGCTATAGCTTATGGTATTCATAAATCATTAATCTTTATAAGATTACCTATCACCGCCGCCATTACTCCTGGTATTGTGAGAATATTAAGAGGATGGGGATTCAACATTGGAGCTGGTGGTGTCACTGCTGCTGCTTCTGCTGCGGCTAAGAAGATCAATCCTAATGATGTTACTGCCAATTTAAATCCAAAATTTGGTACTAGACCAGATCGTAAAAAGAAATGGTTTGCAGGATTCTTTTAAAAAAAAATTATTAAAAAGTAAAAGTTTGATTACACCCTTGTACATAGATTAATAATAGATAACGTTAAATAATGAGTTTTATTCTTTGTTTTTAAATAAATAAATATATATATAAATAAGAAAATAAATAGATAAATAAATATGCATGCATGTATAAAGACATATAAATCCAAACAAAATCATGAACTAAACAAATAATAATAATAATAATAATAATAATAATGAAACATCGTTAAAAAATAATCATCATGAAATATATGTACATGTAACTAATAATGAAATCAAAGGCATCTTCTCTCTAAATACCAAGAGCAATTTTAGATCTTTCATAAACATAGAAGGAACAAGCCACCATTGGGATAACTTTAATATATCCAATGGTTAAACCAACAAAGAATCCATTCAACCCATTTTCACGAAAGATTAATTGAGCTGTGGATCTGAATGATAAGAATTGACCTTGATTTATAGCCCCACCAACTTGCATTCTTCTTCTTATAACTTCAAATGGATAAGCAGCAGTTTGAGAACATAATCCAGCTAATCCACCAGCAATTAATTGAGCATAAGCTTTCAAGGGAACTCTTGAATCATGACTATTTATTTCTTTACCTCCCTTTGATTTAACTATGGTATTTGAATTTAATTGATAATCTTGAACGGTATATTTAGCAAGATATTTTGATCTAAATACATCATGAATTAAATCATGAGTATAAAATGATACTCCAGCATAAGGAATCATACCAAGAATAGTTGGAGCAAATCCTCTATAAAAATTTGAAATTGATAATAAATAAGGAGGTAAAATTTGTCTTTGAAATTTTAACCAATTTGGATCATTTAACTTATGAATTGGTTTTTCTTTAAAAATGGTATGAATGGTTGAAATTACTCGACCTTTATGATGAGTGACATAATATTGATGTTGAGGATGAGTATATTGATGTTGTAAATTTCTAGTTTCAAATGCCATTCTAACTCTTACTAAATCAAGGGGATAAGTTAAAAATACTGATGCTAAACCTGATAAAGATCCTGCTAAAAATCGTCTTGCGGCAGTTTCATAAAGATCATTAGGAATTAACATGGTTCTAATTTGTTCATAAGCAACGAATTTAATGGCAGCATAGGGAAAGATTCTTAATAATGTAACGGAATGACCTTGATATAACCCCCAAAATCCATCAGTCATCCAAATTTTATTAGATGCTTTAAATAAACCTGAAAATTTTCCTCTATATTTTAAAAATTCAGGATTTGAAGTTTGAAATAAGATTTTGATACGATCTAATGGTGCAATTAATGTTTTGGCTGCACTTCCTGCTATACCTCCGGCTATTCCTGATCTTATGACATATTCTACTGATTGTTTATCTATGACTTTGAAATGTTCTAAAGGAGTTGATTGATCGTTAACATTAGATGGTTCTCCAGTTGGAGTGAGTGAAAACAAATTGTTGTTCGTGGGGGTGGTATTGTTGTTGTTATTTATGATGGATGTTGATGAAGGTGATAATGATATGACTGACGGTACTAATGATACAGAATCATTCATTATATTATTGGAGGTGGATGGCGTTGGAGATGAAGATGTAGATTGAGATGAAGGTTGAGATGACGATACTGAATCGAACGTAAGACGATTCCCTGACATTTGATATGATTATTATGATGGCTTGAGTAGTAGAAGGTAGAAAGATCTAAGAAAACAATTTAGGATAATTTATGCTAATTTTTTTTTTATGATGCTTAAATAACAAGCTATGACAAAGACGGTAACAAAAGTGGGAAATGAGTATAACAAACCAAACTAAGGAGATGGGTAGATGGATAGGTTATGATGATGGATTAATGATAAAAAGGAGTGATGAAGATGGATGGTCTATAAAAAGTATTTGATATGTGATCCAACAAACGATAAAATAAATACTGGGGTTGATTGGCTAGAGACAAAGATGGATGGATGAAAGATAGGCGGACTTCTGATGCGACTCAACGATATGATTTGATATGGGAAGTATAGGGTTTGATTGATGATCCCAGTTGTGTAATGACTACTTTGGTTGTCTCTTTAAGGTTGGTCCTAGCCTTTTGATTTGGTTGTAAATGATTTGGGATAAGTATTTTTCCTTTTTGATGATAAAAATTTAAAGTCAAATTGTCTGTCTGTCTGTCTGTATTCAGTGTCTGTCTGATTGTTTTTTCTCTTGTTTTAGCTCTCGCACACTTTCACGAAAAATTGTCATTTATTATTAAAAATTTCTGTTTTTCCTCACTGACATTAATATTTGCTTAGTAAAAAAAAGAGAGCTACACCACCAAAAATTTCCTTATTATTATTAAATTTCTTAGGTAAGATTAAAAATTGGTCCAGTAAACTCAGTAAACTCTGGGCCATACTCTTGATCTACACTTGTATCCAGGGGGAGGCTATGTATAGGAACGAAGAGAAGAGCATAGTCCGTCCCTAAGATTATAAATCAACTCTGTTTATATTTCAAATACCGTTAGTATATGTGTGTTACTGATTAATTATTATTAATTGAAAGGTCCGAAATACCACTAAAACTGTACCGGTTTTGGATCTCGAAGCTTAAAAATATGGGGTGTTTATAGTGAGCGTTTTTTTTGTTTTGTTATTTTTGTTACCACTAATGATTGAAGTGTGGGGGAGGAGAGAGGGGCATAAAAAAAGATAATCCGAGCATCACAAAGTTAGTATGTATCAAAATTAGAATGTATAACGAGTATTTAAGATATTTATTTAGATATATATTGATTATTAATTATACAAAGGGAAAGACATATATATATATAGATAGATAAATAACTAGGACAAGTCAACAACAAGAATGGGATGGAAATTTTTAAAGTATTATAAAAAAAAATAGAAATAATAAAAAAAATAAAGTAATAGATAAAAAAAAATAGTAGTATATAAAAAAAAGGGTAAATTAGTATAAAAAACAATAGTAAAATCAAACAAGTTTTTAAAAATCAATAAAGGTAAAAAGCAAAATAAAAATAATAGTAGTAGTAATATAAAAATTGGATAAAAATTTAATAATAGTAGTTGGTAATAAGGGTACACTTTGAGCTAAACAAAAATAACAATAAAAATAATAATGGCGGGAACATAACTATAGTAATACTCCATGTTAGTTTTTCTTTTTTTTTTTCTTTCTTTTCTATATTCGAAAATCTCCCTGATCTTTTCTGTAATGTATATATTTTATTAATATGGGGGGGGTGGATTAAGTTTTCATAATTTTCTTTTTATTTAATCATTTTGACCTCTATAACCTGAAGTTCTATCTTTATGATAATTAGATGGAGATCTACCTCTAATGATTAAAGGTGGAGTTTCAATCGAACTTAATAAAATAGGTTGGATTTGCATATCTTCATCTTCAATTATACCTAATAATTCCACATGTAAAGTGAAATATCTTGAATTTGCTGAAGCAGATTTAATTCTAATTGATGAGGTGAATTGAATTCTTTCAAATCTTGCAATCTTAGCAATTGAATCACTTGGATAATTTTTTAAAATTGAATCATCCTTCATTGAATTTAAATTAATATGATGATAATATTCATTACGATCAAAATAAAATACTTTATTCATACTTTCAATTTTATTTCCATTACGTTTATTACATGATGCTTTAACAGTTTCATGATCAGGTAAATCACCAGGAACAGCAGGATAAATTGGAGGTGGGAATTGTGGACCTTTATCTCTTTTGGCAGTATGTTGAATTAAACTAATTGAAACATCATCATCACTACATTTTGCAACTAATCTAATAGCAAAATAACTGATTTCAACTTTAGATGGATGTAAATGATGATTTAAAGAATGTTGTTGAAGATGAGGATGATGATTATGATGACCATTACCATTAGCAGTATTTGGAGTATTAATACCATTTGATGAAGTAGTACCATTTCTATTTTTTTCAAAAGTATAAAATTTATTATTCATAAATCTTTCAAAATTAAAATTTTCAAGGGTAAAAGCTGAAACTAAAGTAAAATAATTTCTTTTATAACCAATCCAATTACCATTTTCCCCAATTTCGAAACCTCTATCAATTCTAGCTTCTAAAATTGGATTAACTTCCACATCATTACCTTTACAATAGATTTCTTGATGATGTCTAGTTTCACTAAATTGTGGTCCAACTCTAAATAAATCAGTTGATCTTGGAGCAACTTTACGATTAGTGATATTATCACCAAATTCATGTTCATGAGATTGAGTGGCTGCTAACAAATCAAGATGATGCTGTTGTTGTTGTTGAACTTGTTGATGTTGGTGTTGTTGGAGATGTTGTTGTTGAAGGTGTTGTTGTTGGAGATGTTGCTGTTGTTGTTGACCTGGAGCAGGGATGGATATTTGATGATGACCCAACTGTTGTTGTTGAACTTGTTGTTGTTGCTGTTGTTGTTGATGGTGAAGTTGTTGTTGGAGTTGTTGTTGTTGTAGCTGTCGTTGAAGCTGTTGCTGTTGTTGTTGGAAATGTGAATGATGTTGAGGAGTCAACGAAGTTGGGAAAGAAGGTAATTGTTGAGTCAACTGAACATTAATATGATCTTGTTGATCAGGAGCTCCATATTGAACAAGATGATGTTGTAATTGTTGTTGTTGTTGTTGCTGAGCAGCAGCGGCAGCAGCAGCGGCAGCAGCCACAGGATTATGACTAAGATGATGTTGTTGATGTAATTGATGTTGAGGAATGATATTATGTTGTTGTTGTTGTTGAACTTGTTGATGATGAGAAGTTAATTGAGGATCATGGATTTGATGATGTTGAGAGGTTGAAGTAGAGTGGTATAAGGAAGGATGATGAGGGTCATATTGAGGTTGACCTGAAACTTGAGGTTGTTGAGATGATTGTTGTTGTTGTAAAGGTTGAGGTTGATAATGTTGTTGATGAATATTATGAGTATGAAGACTATGATTATTGTTAACGGTTGGAGTTGAATTATTGGTGTTTGGATTAGTATTATTATTGGAATGATTATGACTATTGTTATTACTATTGTTATTACTATTATTAAGACTATGATTATTATTTGAAGTGGTATGATCTTCATCTTTAATTTGAGGTAAACCACCTACCAAGACTGATGAATTTTCTTCAGGATGAACCGAAGAAGATGAAGTGGGATCATCATTGGATAAAGTAGTCATCATGATGGCGGTTTTCTTCTATTCCAAACAAGATGATGGTGATGGGAGCTGTTGATTCTAGCTTTAAATTTGATTGATAGAGATTTCTTTCAAGATGAAAAAAAAATTTCTGAAAAAAAAAAACTAAAAAAAAAATAAAAATAATTAAATTTTTGGTGTATGAAAAAAAAAAATAATAAACGCTTGTTTATTTAGACAAATGATTGGTGAGATGAAGTTGAAGATGATGATATCAAGGGAGGAGTTCGTCGTACCGGTGATGCTCGTAGGTTAGTTCTTAGTTGTTCTTGATGATGATGATGATGATGTTGATGGGTGAGTAGGATAAGGATTAGTTAGATTATATCTTTAAAGATAGAAAGAATCAAGTTGAGTTTACAAAAAGAAAAAAAGAGAGAGAGAGAGTTTTTTTTAGTTTATGTGATTCAACTTCAGACAGACAGACAGTTCCAACAAAAAAAATCACAAAAATTTTCATTTCTTTTAAAATTTTCTCATTCAGACAGACAGACTTTTTTTTTAACTACTGTAAATCACTAACGAGGAATAAAATAAAATAAAATAAAAATACGTATACTTTTTTAAATTTCTTTTTTTAGTTTTCATTTTTGTCGTTTTTTGTCCCTTTATGGCAGTAGTTCTACTTATAAGTCGTTGTACTTTAAATGGGAATTGTAATTACTTGAATCCCCTTTTGAAATTTCATCAATTTTAATAGATTCAATTTAAGTAACTGTATAATCCTATTACTACTATACCCAGGTGGTCATTAATTACATCGTCTGTCTAATTCGTGGTAATTACTCTAGTTATATTGAATGAATCAATCAATCAATCAATCAATCAATCAATCAATCAAATCAAATCAGACAGACAGACTTTATATTTCAAATCACCTCTCAAAAATTGAACAACGACACAAACTTTAAATTTTTTATTTTTTATTTTCGGTGTTTTTATTTGATTTAGTGGTATATTTTAATCTGTATATAATATAATAACATATATGTATGTATAACAAGTTTGATCTCTGTGATATCTATGATATCTATCTATCTATCTACAACTGGTTAATCAACATTGATTATCTATTCTATTCAACCATGAAATAAAATAAACTCTATTTCTTTAACCTTGTTTTATTTAACCTGAAACGATCACTTACTAACCCTAACAACAACTGCCCCAATATTAATAATATTCGTTAGGCATTTTATTCTCTTCTCTATTTATTTTTTTTTTTTTCTTTTTTGCTTTTTCTTTTTTTTTTTTTTAATTTTTGATTTTTGGTAATTGCTATTTTAAGCTTTACTTTTACATCATCCCATATGACTGACTTGAAAATTATACCAATGATAATATTAACTAATTCCTATAAAGGTGAATTGTACATATGAGGTAATACCATCTCCCATCCTCAAATTTCAATCTAAAAGAAGTTGTCCTACAACTAAACTAAACTTAACCAAAATAATGCAAAAAATGCCTTATAACAATTAAAAAAATCTGACCGTTAATTTGTTTGTTATTGCCCTGGTCCTGTATATACCAAAACTCTCTCATTTTATTTTGGAGAATGTTTTATTATGGTCGTGTGAAAGTGGGAAAAAAATCTCCTCCTCCTCCTTCAAATAAAACACGACATTTTTGAATCAAATTTTCCCCTTAAGCGCATAATCCTCCCTATTTGTTTCCCCTGTTACTAAACAACAAGCTAAAACTTCTAGATTAACTAATACTAACTAGGGTACGGTTTAAACCAATTATAGAAATGAAATTAAGATTTACCCAATTAAAAAAATAGGTTTAAAAATTTTAAAATTACTCCATTGTCAAACTAACTAATACTAAATATATGTAACCTGTCATAACTAATTAATCCTTCCTTAATTTCATTCTCTGTCGTCTTTCTTTCTTTCTTTCTTCATTGTCAAAAAAAAATCAATTTAAAAAAATTGCGCTTTACAAAATCAACACAGACATACAGACCTAATACACAAAATGTATGATACACATCAACTCAAACTAATTTCAAATTTAAAAAAAATTTATGATTATATAGTTGTAAAGTATATAATTAAATATGTGCATGCGATTTCTGTGGATCGAACACAGGACCTTCAGATCTTCAGTCTGACGCTCTCCCAACTGAGCTAAAACCGCATATGAGAAATTATGGAACCCACGCCGGGAGTCGAACCCGGAATCTTTTGATTAGAAGTCAAACGCGTTAACCATTACGCTACGCAGGCGAATTTCTTGACGAAAAATCTCGGCAGTTTGTGCGAGAGTGTTCGTATCATGTGATTTTCAGCACGTTTTCCGATTTTTTTTTACTGCCAAAATGCTTTAATATGATGAATTGTAAAATTTAGAAAATGGTTAAAATATCCAATTTTCATAGGAAGTCATAGATAAAAAGATGATAATATGATATTAATGATTGATTATTATTGATTTGTAAGTTTAAACTGGTGAAATAGGAAAGAAATAAGTTAATTTTAATGATATAATGAATTTATTAAATTTAAGCTAAATTTTATCAAAATGTTTTTGCATCATTGTTATAATTTCTCTAAATTTAGTCAAAATTAACATTCTTCACAAGACTTTATCTGATTTCTAATACCAAATTAACAATTTTACTTATTGATTCCTCTAACCAACCTTTAGAAAATGTAGACGCAAAAATCTAAATAAAAAATGACCTTGTCTTCTATTATTGTCAATCTAAATTACAACTTATCAATATTTATCGATAACTTTATTTATTCTGGTAACGAATTACGGAGATGTCGACCATCCAAGCGATGGATACGCCTTATAGCTTAATTCTTCTTTTGTTTTTGTTTAGTTTTAGGTATCATTCTATCAATATGATCTCCTCATAAATCTTTACAAAATAAATTCTTTCCCCACATAAATCGATTGTGTTTATATTGAAGTATATTAGAATTTTTTTAAAAAGTTAGTGAATTGTTTGTTCCTTAGAATGACTGTCACACTATATGACTTGATTGATATAGACTAGTGTATTGATCGTAAATATTAATTATCTTCGGATTTATTATAGATTAATTAATTTAAAACCTGCCTGCCCCTTCTATCAACCTCTCGCCATTTTTTAAAAAAAGTTTAAAATAGTTAGTTTCATTTTTGGAATAATTTTTAATGGTCATAGAAAAATGATCAGATTTTAATAGTTGCACAAAAAATCAGTTAGCCGTGTAAAGACCTCTATATTGAATTGATTAGATTAAGCAAGTTATAGAGGTAACATGATGTAGAGGACCTATAGCGGGATTGACTTCTTTCCTTCCCCCCACAGCCCAGGACCTATTTTCGTTGATTTTCAGTTAAGCTTTTGTTTTTTTTCTTAGCGCTCTCTTTTCTATTTCTCTACTGTTCAATTCAAGAGATAACACTTATCCATGCTCGTAATTTTTCTTGGGGATTAGAATTGGAACGGCATTTGAAGTATAAACTTTTTAGAGTCCAACTATCAATGTCCAATCAGATAGCAAGATAAACCAAGTTGATGATATACTGTCCCCATAGTCTGAATAAATATGATAAATCTACTCGCTCAATTCTCTTAATTTTCTTTTCTTAAGTAGAGAATCAACTCGAACTTGCTAAAAAGAGGTTCCAGTTCCACAATAATAAAAATTAACCAATATAGAAGAAAGTGGAGTGTCAAAAAAAGAAATGACGAGTTGGTCTTTAAATGAAACTAATCACACCGAAATAGACAAGAAAAATAAAATTTACAAAACGCCGATAAAGATATCAGTTTTGTGTTCTTTCTGGTTGCAAAAACAAAAACAAAAAAAAAGGGCTCACTATACAAAACTTTTGGACTCCGGTAACGAAGTATGATATAGTAAGCTACAGTCATATGCTTAATCTAACTGTTGATGAGAAAGTGATATTTTGAGGCCCCCATTTCAATGCTCATCTAATGTCAATCCTCACCTTTGAAATCGAATGATATTTTATATTCTCATTTCGTATATTTATTTTGACTAGATATTACCATTGGATTATAGTAACTACCTATTCATACAATTACCAACTTGACCTCTCACAAATATATCTACTTTCCCATTATTATCATAATCAGTGATGTGTGATAGTTAAGCATCACTTGAAATATTAATCGCTTGTTTAATTCAGCTTTTAGATTGATGTACGTGTTCTTTTCATTCCGAGAGGTATCGTCTCCACATCCCATAGCCAGGAACATCCTTATCAGTCTAAACAAGAGTTAAGTTTTTTAATTCAAGCATATGGACTTCATTTATCATAAACACTGTAACCTGCCAAATCTTAATGTTTAAATTGCTGAACGAAAAACCATTTTATAATTGTCTGACATTATTCTTAATTTGGCATCAGCGATAATAACGATAAACATATTGCCTTGCCTTGGCTTCTTTTGCATTTTAATTTGATAATCAATTTTATAGTTTCAGACAATCAATGATTTATGAATTACATAATCTACTGCTTGTAATAGGGTAATTCTCTAATTTGATCTTAATCTTTTAATGCATTTTTTTCTTGTCTTCTTTTAATTTTTCTTTATCAATATTATTGTTTGTGCTTTATTGTGCTTCTTTAAATTTCTGGTCAATTCAAACTTTCACCTATATATATATAGTTCATTTTTGATAATCAGTTTAATTTTTTAGTTTTTGGTGATTTCCTCTTTGATTTTTCTTTATTAAATTATCTCTAATTAACGATGCCAGAAAAAGAATTAGACTATATCAGATCAAGAGATATTGCTTCTTCAGATGATCAAAATGGTGGTGTCTACATTGATGCCTTCGATGATAAAAAACCACAATTGAAAGGGTTCGCCAAAATCATCGATGGCTTTAAAAGAGCAGATGCTACCGAATTAGGTATTGATCCAAATTTATCAGATGCTGAAAAAATCGCCATTATGACAGCTAATTCTCCATTATCAAGAAAATTAAAAAATAGACATTTACAAATGATTGCCATTGGTGGTTCTATCGGTACTGGTTTATTCGTTGGTTCAGGTTCTTCATTAGGTACGGGTGGTCCAGCGGGGGTTATTATCGCTTATTGTCTTATTGGTACTATGATCTATTGTACTTGTCAATCATTAGGGGAATTAGCTGTTACTTTCCCAGTTGCTGGTGCTTTTATTACTTATAATTCAAGATTTATTGAACCATCATGGGGTTTCGCTATGGCTTGGAATTATGCTATGCAATGGTTAGTTGTTTTACCTTTGGAATTGGTTGCTGCAGCCATGACTCTTCAATACTGGGACTCTAAAACTAATTCTGCTGCTTATGTAGCAATCTTCTATGTTTTCATTTGTTCAATTAATTTCTTTGGTGTTAGAGGTTATGGTGAAGCTGAATTCATGTTTTCATTAATTAAAGTATTAGCTGTATCAGGATATATTATTTTAGGTATAGTGTTAGCTTGTGGTGGAGGTCCAAAAGGGGAATATATTGGTGGTAAATTCTGGAATAATCCAGGTGCCTTTGCTAATGGATTCAAAGGGGTTTGTTCGGTTTTCGTCACAGCTGCTTTTGCATTTGCAGGTACGGAATTATGTGGTTTAGCAGCTGCTGAAACTTCTAATCCAAGAAAATCATTACCAAAAGCTACTAAACAAGTTTTTTGGAGAATTAGTTTATTCTATGTTATTTCTTTAACTTTAGTGGGTATTTTAGTTCCTTACAATGATCCAAGATTAATTTCTAGTAGTTCGGTTGATGTTTCCGCTTCTCCATTCGTGTTATCTATTGTTGATGCTGGTATTTCAGGATTACCATCAGTTTTTAATGCTGTTATTATGATTTCAGTTTTATCAGTAGGTAATTCTTCAGTATTTGGATCTTCAAGAACTTTAGCTGCATTAGCTGCTTCTGGTCAAGCACCAAAGTTCCTTGGTTACATTGATAAACAAGGTAGACCATTAATGGGTATTATTGTTCAATGTGTGTTTGGTTTATTATGTTTCATTACTGGTTCTAATGAATCAAAAGCCGTTTTCAATTGGTTATTAGCATTATCTGCTTTATCATCATTATTTACCTGGGGTTCAATTAATATGTGTTTAATTAGATTCAGAAGAGCCTTATATGTTCAAGGTAGAACTACTGATGAAATTGCATGGTGTTCTCAAGTTGGTGTTTATGGAGCTGCTTATGGTTTCTCCATTATTGTTCTTGTTTTAATTGCTCAATTCTGGATTGCATTATTCCCATTAGGGGGTTCTCCAAATGTAGCTGATTTCTTTATGGCTTATTTAGGGGCTCCAGTTGTTATGGTGTTCTGGCTTATTCATAAATTATGGAAGAGAGAATGGAAATTTATCATTAGAGCTAAAGATATTGATATTGATACTGGAAGAAGAGAATTAAATTTAGATTTATTAAAACAAGAAATTGCCGAAGAAAAAGCTTACATAGCTTCCAAACCATTCTATTACAGATTATATAACTTTTGGTGTTAATTCAACTTTACTGAGAGTTTCTTATAAATCTATTTTTGAGGGTTGATTGGGGGTTCTATATAAATGTAAATCAATAACAGTTATATATTTTAATTTTGTAACAATATATACATTTTAATCATAAAGGATTTGTAATTTTTGTATAACTTCTCCAAAGTTTACCAAATTAACTTTCTTTGGTCAAAGTACCTTATACAAATAGTTCTTTCCAATCAACTATGGATGATACTGAATGAGTAAGGTGGGTATATCCATAAATTATTTGAAAGGAGAGATCCAGCTTTGATGATTATTTTTAAGTTTAATTATCCCAGAAAATTTTTATCCCCTTCTCCGATTCATAAGTTTGCATATCTCCATATTTACATTTAGGAGGTTTACAATCAAAATTATTACTAACCGCTTTCCGTATTTTGAATTGATTCAAGGGGAGGTATGGAAGTAAAGGATGGTTGAGTTATTATGATTGGTTAATGGTACTTTCTAATATTATGACTTGTATTGAGGTATTAAAAATCCGTAACATCAAACTGAAAACAATACTGTCCGATTATTAAGAGATAATAATAATAATTTATGGAATTAGATATCCCGTAGATAATATTGTAGTGTATATAATTAATAATAATAATATTTAGTATAATAGAGGAAAATAATTTTGCATCTTCGCATTATGGTCAAAAAAAAATAAAGTTGGGAGATTACTAAGATATTCAACTCGTATTACACCCTCTATAGAGTGAACGAATCAATTTGAAATATTTTCTATTATGTTTAACTAATGACTTTTGAAAGTTGGGGAAGATCAACGTGATTAATCATTAAAATTCTAAAAGTATCAACAAACGGAGCATCAACAAACTACGAAAAATTACTAATTGATTGATTATACTTATGAATGAAACGGAAAAAGAAGTTCCAACTATGATTTAAACAAAGTCAAAAGCACTGAACTGATTATTTATAACTTGTAAATCGAATCACTATGCCATAATAAAAATAAAAACAGACTATGGAAAGGGGATTTAATTCTATAATTGAAATATTTCGTGATACTAAATTATATTGAGCTGCGGACTTCAAACTGATAAAGCCTTAACCTCGCCCGAACTGTTGTTTGGTGGCAAATCCAAGAAGGTTATATCCCGATTGGTAACAAATCACCTTCACCCCTTGTCCTAAAACATGTGTATATACGTTTAATAGTCAAACCTGATTGTTACATAATTTTTCAGCCTTCTCAGCGAAGTTTTAAAACTTTTTGTTTTTGTTTTGTTGCTTTGTTTACTCATTTTATTTTATCCGAGGTTGCACATGTCGGTGTTTACCCAATGGGGGAAATATAGAGGGATTTAACCATTAAAAGAGAAAATCCGAAAGGATAATCACAAAAACGATTAAAATCGGAACCGTTTTGAATTATGTCGAGTTCAAATTTGAAGGATGAAGAATGTATCTCAAACAGAAGTTGATAGAATTTATCCATTAGGGAAATTAGAAATCCATAGGTTAGAGGTCAGAGTCAATTAATTACAATAATAATAATAATAATTATGACTAGAAAAAATAAAAGGAGTATACGAACAATATCAACGAATGAAATTATTATTATCATACTTATTGTAGCATAAAGATAAGGAGTAATGAAAATAAAGCAATTCAACCCCCACCCTTGAACAATAACAGTCCGCTAGCCTAAAATCAGCGAAGACATATGAGCGAAATTTGAGTTTGTGTAATATTCCTACGGACTTACCTCATCCAGAAAATTCATTACAGCAAAAACTAAAAAAAAAAAAAAATTTACTATCATCGTCCATGATGATGATGTATGATGATAATGATTTCATACTACAAATTCCACTAAGGCAAATGACATCCTCAAACCTATGTTTGCTCTGTGTAATGTTTCTCCTAGTTAACATGAGCAATCATATCAACTTGTAGAAAGTATAAATATATTCACAAATCTCTTGTAAATTTCATTATTTTTTAATTTAGTTTTGTTATCTATTCAATAACAACAAATAATAATAATAAATAATAATAAAAACTTACAAATATGACTAAAACTGTTCCTGAAAAATTCTCTGGTTTCGCTGCTGATGGCCCAAAAACTTGGAATGATACTCATTTAGTTCATTACGAACCAAAAAGATTATTACCTGAAGATATCACCATTAAGATTCAAGCTTGTGGGGTTTGTGGTAGTGATTGTCATCAAATCAAAGGTAATTGGGGTCCTCATCCAAGAAATGATTTAGTGGTTGGTCATGAAATCATTGGTGAAGTGGTTGAAGTTGGTTCAGCTGTTACCAAACATAAATTAGGGGATATTGTTGGAGTTGGAGCTCAATCTAATAGTTGTGGTGAATGTGCCAGATGTAAATCTAATAATGAACAATATTGTCCAAAGAATATTTTCACTTATGGTGGAGTTGATTTTAAAGCTGATAATTATGTTACTCAAGGTGGTTATGCTTCTCATATTAGATTAAATTCTCATTTTGCTGCTTCTGTTCCAAAGAATTTAGATATTAATGCTGCTGCTCCTTTATTATGTGGTGGTTTAACTGTCTATTCTCCAATTGTTAGAAATGCTGGTTATGATTTATCTGAAAAAACCATTGGTATTGTTGGTATTGGTGGTCTTGGAGCTATGGCTATTCAAATTTCAAAAGCTTTAGGTGCTAAAAAAATTTATGCTTTTTCAAGATCTGATTCTAAAAAAGCTGATGCTTTAGCTTTAGGTGCTGATGAATTAATCGCTACCAAAGATCAACCAACTTGGTATCAAGATCATTTTGATGAATTTGATTTCATTCTTAATTGTGCTAATTCTGGTAAAGGAGCTAATTTAGATCCTTATCTTATGGTTTTAAAATTAACTGGTATTTTCGTTAATGTATCTGCTCCACCAGTTGATGAAAAATTAGAATTTAATGCTTTCCCAATGATCTTAAATGGTGGTACTGTTAGATCATCAGCCATTGGTTCCATGAAAGAAGCTGATGAATTATTAAAATTATATGCTGATAATGGTTTATCCCCATGGATTGAAAAAATTCCAATCAGTGCTAAAGGGGTTAATGAAGTTCTTACTAGAATTGATAAGAGTGATGTAAGATATAGATTTGTCTTAACTGATTTCGAAAAAGCCTTTAATTAGATTGATCTAGTTATCTAATCGCTTTATTATATAGTACTTAAAATAGCTAAAATTAAATAAAAATAAAATATAAGAGATATAATTTATTTAATTAGCTGTTAAAATTGTAACATGGTAGTTCCCTTTAAAAAAAAAGTATGGGGTTCATACAAATTATTGGTCGTGCACTTTCCCCATTTTTTGTATGAGATTTTAAATGAAGTTGTCATTTAACCTCAAATTAAGCCAAACACACCTTAACACCATTCAATCATAATCAATATCATCATCATCATCATCCACCATGGCCAATAATCTAAGTGGGTGGATAAATCGGATATTCCGAAGGTCATCCCCTTCACCTGCGTATGACCCTTTATCAAATGGGACCAATCGAATGCCTGGTGCATTCCCTACTGGATCAGAAGGCAATAATTCAACTAATTTACAACCTCAACCTCAATCACAATTTGAAGAAGATACGAATCATTTACGAAATAATTTTAATTCTCATAATATCAATATATGGTTTAAGAAATTATTAAATTGGTTCAATTATCTTATTATCAAACCTATTATTATTCTTTTAGTGGTTAGTTTTCGAATTTTATCTAAGATTCTTAATGTGATTTATTTCAAAGATAATGGTGATGATTTAATTTTAATCAATAATCATAATGGACATGGTAATCATAGACGGAGTGGAAGTCATAATAATATTCATGCTATAAATGATCCTATTAATAGAGTTAATAAATTCATTCAAGATTTAGAAGATAATTTAACTCCTGAACAATTATCTCAATCTCCAAGTGTAAATCAATCAGTGGGGGATAGTCATTTACCTCCATTTTATCAAGGTAGTTATAGTCAAGCATTATATATGACTACTAATCGAGCTAAATTCTTATTCATTTATTTAACTAATCCCTATAATGAAAATTCATCTATTATATTTAAAAAAATCATCACTAATGGGAATTTCATATCGATGTTTCAAACTGATCCTGATTTATTAATTTGGGGTGGAGATTTAACTAATCCTGAAGCTTATCAATTAGCCAATAGTTTAAACGTGACGAAATTCCCCTTTTTAGGATTATTATGTTTAACTCGAAGTACTACCATGACTCAATCTGGACCTGTAAAGACATCACCTAAAGTTTCATTAGTTCTGAAATTACAAGGAGGTTTATTTAATGAAGATATGGATATTAATCAATTAATTAAAAGTAAATTCCATAAAAAAATTGAAAAATATGCTCCTGAATTATCTGTTATTAGAAATGAATTAAGAGATAAATTCATGAGTCAAGTTTTAATTAAACAACAAGAAATCAATTTTAATAATTCATTACGGAAAGATCAATTAAAAAAGAAGGAGAAATTACATCGAGAATTAAAGAAACAATACTTATTATATATTGCACCTCAATTTAGAAGTTTTGAAACGAATTCAGGTGGTCAAGGAGATACGGCTAGAATCGCTATAAAATTAAATAATGGTAAACGAGTGACATATTATTTCCCTAAGGAGAATAAAGTAGAAGATATATTCACGATGGTTGAATTAATTCAAGAAGGATATTTGGAAAGTAATGAAACTTTATTATTAACTGATTTAGAAGCTTCCCAAAAATTTAAAGATTTTAAATTAGAATATAAATTTAAATTATTATCACCGTTACCTCCCAGAGTTATATTGAATGAATTAATGGATGAACAGATTAAGAATGTCGATACAGTTTATCCAAGTGGGTTATTAGTCATAGAAGATTTATAGGTATGTAATATGTGTGTGTGTGTGTGTGTATATTTAAGATAATATAGATTTATACATTAACGAGGGAAAATGATTACTACTATTTATAAGAATAAAAAAGAAAATGCTTGAAGGAAGGACGTAATATATTAATGACATGACATGAAATGAAGTGAATGATAAAAGCAAGGAAGGTAATCTTGACCTACTTACTTACTTTACCCTTTTTACTCTTTTTCTTTTCCTTTTTCCTTAATCCTACAAATCCATTTTTAATAATTTGAATATATTCTTGCCAAAATGAATCTAATTGGGATACTTCAACCACAGTAGATAACTTGAACTTATCTTTCTTATGATCTTTTCTTTCTTTACCATTCATAGCTATTCTAATCAAAATTGGATATTGATCTTCATTTGGAGTTGTATTATCTGTATTTGTGGTAGGTTCAAGGTCTAACGATGGCTTTAATCTCTTTTGAGTTAAGTAGATGGAGTTTTTCCCATTATTGGAAGTTAAGACCTCACTTATTTCAGCTAAGAACCTATGATTATCTACTCTCATATTGGATTGTATGTGTTTCTATATGATTAAGATTGTATTTTAACAGATCAAATGATATAAAGTGTCGATACTGCTATGAAAAAAAAATGAGTTGAAAAAAGTCGTGTGCGATCACCCAAATATTTATATAGTGATAGTATAACGAAGGTTGATAGAGGTAACAAGATCCTTATATCATACCTAGAATGATATTAAATAGAGAAAGAAGTTCTACAATTGATATAAAATCAATTAGTTATAATAATAAAATTTTATACGTATATTATACAGCGAAAGCAAAGATTATAAAATAATCAAAGATATTCTAATAGTCTTCTAAATTCTTTTAACCAAACTTTGTAAACTTTGTAAACTTGTCCGGATCGTCTAAAACAGTAAATAAATTAACTAAATCTAAGGTTAATAAGGTAAGTATCTTATATGGTCTAAGTAATTTGTTAGTAAAACTAAGTAATTTGTTAGTAATAAATGATAGATAACCTAAATAAATATTAGTTAGATCAATAAATTGATCAAATAATGTTCTACCCTGGCATGATATATATGACAAAATCAAAGAATTTGCAGGATTCATAAAAACTCTAAATATTGAATTAATCTTTAAACTTCATATATATGAAAGAAATAGTTATGTTTAAATAATTGTGATTTATCCCTTTCCCTGTGGTATGTGTAGGTGTGGGATTTAATTGAATTGCAAAATGTATTTATAGAATTAAAGGGTAATTCATCATAATATAGTTAAATCATCACTCCTAGGGTAATACTGATTTAGTTAGAGACGGACTATAATATGTGATCAAATACCTACAAATTGTACAAATTATAATCATTAGTTTAAATAAAATGTATATTAATAAACTGTAATACATAAACATCATACCGATTGCAATTAAATTGCAATAGAACCTCGTGGTATTTTGGTAACGTACATGGAAATCAGTAAATACTTCTACTGGAATAATATGAAAGTTCTATAAATTGTTAATAAGTTAACCTAAACAAATGAGTTAATAAATATGGTTAGTAATGAGGGATATCCTAAATAAATTAATAATGTTAAGAATAATTTTATGTAAGATGCTAATACAAAACTGATCCAACTTTTTACATTAGAATGAGTGTCACAGGTTAATTAACTTGTTATTCATAAATATTATGCTACTTAAAATAGAGATCAAATAATTAAATTATCAGACCCTTTAATAAATTATTTTGAACAATAAGATACGAGCCTAACTACAATTGATATAATAAATTTAGAAGTGTATATTAAGACGTATACTTTCAATAACAGTAGCCAAGGTAGTTCATAAACCGGCGGGGCATTATAATAGAATTCTTAGAAACCCAACGTAGCTGAGTTCTGTGAAATTCTATACGTTAATGTTAATATATGAAGATATCCTATAAATGGTTTGTTAGTATTGATGTAAAATTGGTTAGTAAGATAGTCCCTAAACAGTTATGATATGTTAACAAGTAAGTTATGCAATGCAATTGAATATGCACATGAATGAGACCGAAGACTTCCCATAATGGAATTCGCTATGACACTGAATTTAATAAAGCTAATAAACCATAAATATAATTATAATTGTTATCTCAACTGATTATAACTATAACTAAAATTTTGAACATTTGGACACGACCGGTTAACTATAGTATATCAAAGGGTGTAAAATATTGATAGTTGTTTAAACCTAGATATCAAATCAAACATTGATAATGACATAAATAGAGAAGGAATAACATAAAAGGTATCTACAAGTACAGTTAATAAGTTTAAAAATATAAAATAATTGTAAATTAATCAACATATTGAATATTTAATATTAACTATAATAAAATGATCAACAGTAATCGAAATGTTTTAACCAAAAATCACTAGTAGTAATTTGTCTATACTAATGTTAATAAATCATCCTATATATATTGGAGTTAGTTGGTTGTAATAGGACTCTAGTTGGTGTATGCCGTAGAACTGTTATATATGGGTGAACTAGAACTGATGGTTGATAATTTACACAAAACAAATTTAATTGATACAGTTGGATTAATTTATTAAGATATATACTAGTCAACACTTATGTAATTCTATTTAAAAATGAAAAATACTCCAACAAGACCCGTAATGAACAAAAAAAATAACTCAAACATAATTAATACAGCTAGATTTTTACGATTCTTATCATTCATTATGTCAGTAAATCTGAGTCTTGATACTACTAACACAAAGGCAAGTTCATAATTCCCCCGAAAGCTTGCGTATATGATTAAGCAATCGAAGATTGGTGGTGCTATTATCCATAAATTAATTGGTTCTTTTAATGTTTTCTCCTCCGTCGTTGTCATTGTATTCAATAGTTTGTTAATTGTAAATATTTTTTCTTTCACAGGAGAAATCCAATCATTTTTATAGTCGATAGAAGAGGCTTTTACTTTTATGCGCTATACTATATATGGAAGGAGGGATATAAACTCGTGTGAACTTATCTTTTCGAATGCGGCTAAAGTCCATATCCATTTTATATGTAAATATTTGAATATACAATGAGCATCATAATATGTATAGATTTACAGGCTGACCGAGTTTATTCACTTGAAATTGATATTTAAACTTTTAAATAGAAGCAATATGTTTACAAAAGCCTTTGAAAAAGAAGAATTTGGAGGCCGCGAGGTGCTGGTTAATTTAAATTAACACAAGTAGAATCAATGCTTTCAAGGCAGTCATTCATTCAAATTAAGTATCATTTTGAAATGTACTTATAATAAGAATCGAAAAGTCTGGCAGAATGTACGATCTTATCACCTATAATGTTAGCAATAATATAGATCCTAAATGATTTAATCAATTGTTATCATCGTGTTATGCACATATACGAGCTAGAAGAAAATTTTTCCATTCTCATAGCCAAAAAGAAGTGTATCATCTTAGATAAAAACAAAAACACAGTTAGCACAACAGGGACATGGTGGATGTAATTGGATATATTAATTACGGTAAAGTCAGTTAATTATAAAATGAGTTATGGGGGAAATCATCAAAATTTGAACATCGAGACACGACCTTAAGTAAAAATGATTATTCATCAATTACATAATCGTTATCTCTCTCATTTTTTTTACAAAACCATGACAAAAAATAAGATCTCAGTTTAAAGAGGAGGAGGACGTCAAAATTGGATCATCATCATCAATTACAACCATTACGACAACAACAGAAGGATCTGTATCTTGGATAGTAGGAATCATATATGATATCACTTCATCTCATACCCCAATAACTAATCCCATCTTATTGCAATCCAATCATTCATTCATTATCAATCTTTATCTTTATACCCCCCTTTCTCCTGTCAACCAAGAGGCTCTTAAAAAGCTGACTAAACATTCAATCAATCATCCATCTTATACACTTAATACACCTTTAATAGATCACCATATATACACCACCTAGTAATGCCCACATTGAATCCAACCATGACAAACAATAGTACTACAGTCTCATCAAATCATGTCCCTCAACGATTATTATCATTAATAATATCAGTATTTGTGTGTATAGCATCAGGTACCCCCTATCTTTATGGAGTCTATTCCCCTCAATTGGTCAAACAAGTGGGTTTAACTGCATCTGATTCAGCTACGTTATCACTTGCTGAAAATATAGGGTCAGGATTTGGTGGTTTACCCGGGGGATTAATTATTGATCATAATGGACCACAAAAGAGTATTTTAATGGGATCAATCTGTATCTTTTTAGGTTATTTTGCCATTTATAAAATGTATGAAATGAAATGGGGGAATCTTTTATTATTATGTATATCCATGATTGCTATGGGTTTCGGATCCATTACTTGTTTTTTTGCAACTTTAAAAGCAGCTCAAGCTAATTTTCCCAAACATAGAGGAGCAGCAGGTGCTTTTCCTGTAAGTTCTTATGGATTATCAGCAACTTTATTTTCAGTTGTTTCTGCTACTTTCTTTAAAGATAATACCGGTGGTTTATTAGAATTTTTATCTTTGTTTTGTGGTTCAGTAGCATTTTTTGGATCTTTTTTCATTCATATTTATTTAGATCATAATGATGAAGAAATTATTGATGATGAAGAAAATTCATCTGGTTTAACAAATACAAAAAATGGTTATTCACCTATTGATCCTAATGATGAAACTGCTTTAATGAATATACCCGCATCATCCAAACCAAGTAATTCACTTAACCCAGAGGATGACGAAGATGATGAATCAGTTGATGATTCTCAACATCAATCTATCCCTATAAATCCTCCTCCAAATACAGCTAAGAAAATGGAAAGATCGGATTCCTTACCTGGTTCTTTCCGATTCTGGGGTTTAGGATCAAGAACTCCAAGATCTTCATTCAGTTCTCAAGCTGAAGATGCTACACCTTTCTTACAAAGTATAAGAGATTCAACTGTTCCACCTCCACCTAATAGCAATAGTAATAATCCATTCTTATCTGATGATTCAACTCTAAATCAATCATCAACAACTTCCCAACAACAAAAAATTCAAATGCTTAAAAGCAAAACCACTCCTCCAACATTAACATCTTCATCTTCATTAAATAGTTTGAACTCATCCACCACTCCAGCTGCTACCACCACCTCTAAAAAGACAGGTCCTTTCGAAGTGATAAAGGAACGTTTAACTGATAGAATCTTTTTAACTCATTATTTCATTGTATCAATCGTGAGTGGAATAGGTCAAGCCTATATTTTCACCGTTGGATTTGTGGTCACGGCTCAATATAACTATGATGCCAATAAGAGAGACCTTACCGGTTTAGCATCATCAGCCGCCACATTACAAGCCTTACAAGTATCAATCATCTCCATAGCGTCTTTCTCAGGTCGGTTATTTTCTGGATTCTTGAGTGATTATTTATATAAGAAATATCATATTCAAAGACTTTGGATTGTTCTTGTTACCATTGCTATTTTAAGTGTGGGTCAATTTGTCACTATTATCAATGTTAGTAATCCTCATTTAGTTACTTTAGCATCGGCCATTACTGGGGGATGTTATGGATTAGCATTTGGAACTTATCCTGCTGTCATTGCTGATAGTTTTGGAACGAGGACATTTTCAACTAGTTGGGGATTAGTGTGTACGGGTCCATTAATTACCTTATTTATATTGAATAAATATTTCGGATGGATTTATGATGCTAATACTAATCCTGAAGATGGAATCTGTTATAAAGGGAATGGATGTTATAAAGGGGCATTTGAAGTAAGTTTTGTATTATGTTTTATTGTCTTTATTGTTACATCAATATTGATTTATAAACAACGAAAAAGATAATTTAAAAGTCAATAAAAAAAAAAATGAAAGAAAGAAATATAATTTGTAACTTTGATAGAAATGAAAAATATACATATCTTATAAATATCGTCTACATTCTGCATATCTAATATCCAAATATTTTATTTTATTTTATTTTAATTTATTTACATTAAACATATCACACACCAGCATATAATTTTAAAAACTTCTATATACAATAATTTTTAATATGGACACGATTAATCTAATCCACAGTATTAACACTTTCTAAATCAATTTCATCAAGTAATCCCCTTTGATATCCGATTTTCTTTTGTAATTCATGAAAATATTTAAAACTAATCTCAGCATCTTTAATCGAAGATTCCAAATCAGACTTTTCCAGAATTCGTTTATCAATCGAAGTTTGGAAATTATTTAATACTTGTCGAGCAGGATAATTCAATACTTGTCGACATTCCTTCACCATTCTTGATGCGTTATTATGAGCGAAATCCATATTTTCAATATGAGATTTTAATTTCTTGGCTTGTTTTCTTGGATAGGCGTTGGGAATATCACTGATTAAATAATATACCGCAAATCCAGATACTCCAATCACAATAGGGATACCTACTTTCTTCAACACATTCAAATTTAATAAATATCCATAATCATATAATTTCCGAATAAGTGCACCGGTAGTTAAGATCTTACCTGATGAATAAAGAAGTTGTAATGATAATTGACTTGGAATAGATTGGGTACGCAAGGACTGAACTTGTTTATTAACGGTACTAACCACACTTAATGGATTGAAATAACCGATTTGAGTCTTGGTATTTGGGATATATTCTTTTGGTAAACCTAACCATAATAAACATGAATCTAATGATGGATCAAAGAAATCAAATACATCAACGGCAGAATCTAATTGATTTTCAACAGTGTCTCTCTTTCTCGTAAACATTAATTCTGATTTGAATACTTTATCATGTAAGAATTCTTCTCCTAAAGTTTGTTGACCAAGTTTAGTAATATCCTTAACTTTATCTTCAGTAGTCTTTATAACCAAGGCTTCATTGGTTTCTACTTCACTTATGATTTTCTTGATCATCATTTGTTGAGTTCCTCTGGCATATTCATATATGCTTTGTAATCCTTGATATTTAATAATAGGCTTATCACCTAACTCAAGCACGGTAGTGTTGATATTCTTCTTAATGGTTTCATAAAGGTCTCCAGCAGTGTTTTCAATGATTCCATTGATAAGTTCACTAACTTTATTACTTTTAGAAATCATTTCATTATATTTTGGTGCCACTTGCTGATTTAAAATTTGCGTCTTTTCACTAACTTCAGTTTTATAAATAGTTTGATTGATCTCCGATAATGTTTGTAAATCATGTAAAAGATTTATGATATAACTTTTTGCCGGTAATAATTTTGATATTGATCTTTTATCCAAGATGAATTTTCTTAATGATGCTTCTAATTGATCAAAATCAGGATCATTTGGACCTTCAGGATCATCATCCCCACTACCAGGACCATCATCACCTTCACTAGGAAGTTTATCAACGATTTCACTCGAACTAACAAAATGAATAAAATCTTTGGCATTTTTATAAGTATCAGGAGACAAACTTTTAACTTGATCCAAGATTTTAGCTTTACATTTTTCTTTATCTTTAATATTATCAAATCTATTCACCACGATAAAGACATATCTCTTTTCAGCAGCAGCAGTTGAAATGAATTCTTTAGCCGATAATGTGAAATGATTTTCGGAATTTACCACAAATACTACTAAATCAATTTCTTCTTGTCTTGAGAAAACTTGAGTAGTTTGGAAACTATCCATATTTAAACCTGGAGCATCAATCAATTTAATATCTATGACTCCATTATGAAGTAAACTTTCTTCTAAACTTCTTTGATCCAACACATAAACTTTTAATAAACTATAGGAATCACATTCATAAACCAAATCTTCAAGTTTCTTTAAAGGATGGATTTGATAAGATGATTCATCTCTAATATTATATTCTTTCCCAATAGGAATAGCATGAACTTCTTCAATACCATTATTTTCTTTTGATGCATCGATAACTTCACAAAATACTGAAGTACAAGGTTGTTGATCTTCAGGAAGAACTTTTCTTCTTAATAAAGCATTACAGAATGTCGATTTCCCTGCATTTAAATCCCCCGTTACGAATACTTTTGAAGTAGTATCATCAATTCTATCTTTTAAATTTAATAAATATTTGACTAATTGACCAAATTTCTTTTCTAAAAGAGTAGCGATTGCCTTTTTATCTAAATTTGATACTAAATTATCACTACTATGATTATTATTTCCAATTTTAAGGTTTAATTTAAGGATTTTAAATTCAGGAAGATCTTGATCATTATCTTTTAAGCTTGATTTCTCTATTGCTTTTAAAGCTGATGAATTATTTCTGACAAGAGCTAAATGAGCTCGTTTTGAATTCAATAATACATTATTATCATCTTCAACATCAGTAGGATAAAAGATCGGTCTTTCTTTATTCTCTTGACTGATTTCATAGATTAAATCAATGGTTTGATTTATAGACCTATCTAAGGCAATTTTATTATCATTATAATGTAATTGTTGAATGGTAGTATTTAACCCTAATGAACGTTTCCTATGAGATGAACCAAAACCAGCTGCTGAAGATGACAGTTCACCTCCTTGACCATCGATTAAAGTCGATGTTTCATTAGAAAATCTTCCTTCTTGAGGTATATACATGACATTGGTAGGAGGTGGTGCCTCACTATTAATTAAAGTGACGGTCTCATCATCAACACTAGCTTGATCATCATCCTCACTACCATGACCCAAGTTGTTAGACTTCAAATTGACAAAGTCCTTGTAACTCATCCTCTTAGTTGGAGTGTATAACTATGATGGTATCAAAGTCTGTATATCGATTTTAAAGATGACTGGGGTAAATGGCAAATTTATAATTTATGGTGGCACAATTTTATTTTTACATCAAATCAAAATCAAAACAAAAAAAAAAAAATAAGAATGATTTGGTGATTCACCATTTTTATTTACAATATAGTTGCAAAAACTGATTCATCCATTTTTATAAGAATGTATAAATTAAAAAGGGGTAAGGTGATATGTAATGATTACTAACTCAATGAAGATAATTCAATCTTTCTATGATGGTTAAAAAGTAGAGTTTTAAGGTTATGATTTTGAGTGAGTTCTCTCGTCAACAGAGCATCATCAATATTGAACGCTGAGTGACTATCAAATATATTTCAACTCAATTCACTACAAAATCCTTTGAAAAGTTAATAAATGGATAGACAAAGTCTTTTAGATATGATATCACTTGATTATATTAAACTATTAAGAAGTTGGATCCTCTTTTATCTAAATTATAGAAAGTCACGTGAAGATAACGGCTTAATTTCGCAGATAGCCGAAATGATAACTTAAAGTTATCATTTTGAAATATATATTTATCAACACTAAAGATATCACTCATTCATTCATTCATTCAATTATTATCCATATCGTATCAACATCATAACATGGCATTAAAGACGTTTGAAGTTTCAAAGATACCTACCATAAAAGCAGAACCCTTAACCCCAGAAGCGTTTGCTCCATTTGGTGGAGTTATAAGTGCAGATCATCAAATCCAACAAGTTTCAACATCATCTGCCAATTATGGTACTGCTACAAAGATTCATAAGGTGGCTCCTATAGCAAATAACTTTTCCAATAGTTCAAGTGGGAAACCACCTACAGCAAATTGGAATATCTTCCGATGTAAAGCTCCTAAACATTTAATCTCCCATAAAAGTGGTACTAACAAGAAGGTATATTTATCAAAGGTTTTAGAAAGACATCCATTTTCAACTCAAGCTTTCTTACCTATGGGTCAACATCTGAAGATTGATTCATACCTTGTGATTGTTGCTAAAACTGATGAATCATCAAGTAATAAGTTACCTGATCCAAGTCAAGTTAGAGCTTTTATTTGTAAAGGAAATCAATCTATAACTTATGGTGCAGGTACTTGGCATGCTCCAATGGTAGTTATTGATGAAAATGTTCCATATATAGACTTTGCAGTGTTGATCCATGAAAATGGAGTTGCAGATGAAGATTGTCAAGAATGTTATTTTGAACCTGGGTTTGATGTAGAGTATGATAATAATAATAATATTTCAAAACTATAGATAATCTATAAATTCATCTATAAACTTCTGGATAAACTTCTCTTTATCATCTTTATTTAGGTCTTTAGCTTCCTCTTTAGCTAGTTTTAATTTATGCATTATCTCATCCAATCCTAGATTGTTATCTTTACTATTCTCATCACCATCATCATTATCATCTTGACTTAATAAACCTTTAGTCATATCATTTAACTTCTGCATCTTACTATTTTCATAATCATTATGTTTAATTAAATTCATATGAGTCCATTCATTTGATTCAATCAATTCTATGATTCTATCCTTCCCAATCGTTTCATCATATTCATTCTTCCCCAGTATATCAAAATTTATATATTCATATCCACTTGAAATAATCAAATCTTCGATGGATTCATTTACATCAGAATCAGAATGATAATTGGATCCTATTATAGTGAAAAATCCTTCAAATTTATCATTATCCACCAATTTACTTCGTATGGTATCTATAATATTGATCCCCTTCAGTATATAATCGACACTATCTTCACTGAAGGAAACACAGAATATAAATCCATCCAACACTTCTCTCAAATCAACACATTCCTCCGATAAAAACTCATCACTCCATTTAATCAATGCATCTAACTTCTCTCGATCCGATAAAGGATGACTCTTTCTAGTTTCAAAGTATTCATCAATGAATATATTTAAATCAAGACTATAGTATTTAGTAGTTATAGAAGTCTTTATAATCTTATCATTTTGCTCCTGTTCTTCATTGGATTTCTCGTCTTTCTTAGCAATGAGATTCGCTATTTGTACTTTACTTGAATATGATGGTCCTAGTATTAGTATATGATTTGGAATCATGGTTTAACTTCATATGATCAATGATCATTGTTATGCAATACCTGATTGTTGCCAGCCCCAAAAAAAATTGTTATGGAGCAAAATGCGATTTGATCTCAGAATCAAAACAAAATTTGTCAAAAAAGGCTGTAAATACCCATTTTACAACAACCAGATCAATTAACAACATCAAACAGTTGAATATGGCACCATCAGCAACCAATGGAGCCAATGGCCATCATGTAAAGAGCAGCAATGGCAAATCAACTAATGGATCCAGTTTGGTAGATACCATTCCATTGGAGAATCTACTTTTACGTGACGATGATATTTTTGAGACGTCATTACATTCCGAAGATTATCTTGATAGTTTGGCACCGATACTAAAGGATTCCATCAAAGCTAATGGGTTGGGTGAATTGATATCGAGATTGAATGGGATTGTGGATAAGAAAGATGACGAATTGAATAAACTTTCATTGGATTCAACTGATGAGATTAATGCTTGTATTGATTCAATTGATAATATTAATGAAATATCATATGGCTTAAATGCTAATCTTAATGATATCAGTAAACAATTACATAAATCAGCTTATGATTTGATGTCAAGAAAGAAACATTTGATTAAAAGTAAAGAAGTTTCCACTCATATTAATGAAACTATGATAGTATTGAATGAATGTATTCAAGTATTGGAAATCACTAATAAGATTCATGATTTAATCAAAGCAAAGAAATATTTTAATGCTTTGAAATTACTTGATGAATTAACCAATATCCATTTAAGTAAAGTTGAGAATTTCAACTTTGGGGTCAAAATTTATGAATCAGTACCACTTTTAACAAAAATGATTAAAGATGAATCATTTGATAATCTTTGTAAATGGCTTTCTATCAATTCAGAGAGGAGATTATCAACTATCAGTGATGGAATATATGATAACTTGTATAATTTACAACGAAATTGGTATAATTTAAAGAAAAACAAACCAACTTTCAAGCCCTACAAATTGAATTCTCCAGTGGAAATCTCCTTACGTGATCCAACGTTAAATTATAATATCTTTGAAGATGAAACTTTACAAATCACATTGGATCCATTATTTGATGTCATACTCGTATATCAAACTTTACATGAATCAAGTAATTTGAATAATTTATATCATAAAGAATGGATCAAGAAATATAATAGAGTCATTTATCCAATAACCCTGGCTGCTAGTGCCAATACATCCAATATAGTTAAATTCAATGATACAAATGCTCTTGGAGAATATTTACGGAAAATAGCGGCATTCTTCGTCATGGATAAACAAATCAATTTAACTACCAAATATCAATTAAGATATAATTTAAATGCTGATGATTTATGGAATTCATATGTATCTAAATTAAAACCGGTATTGCTTAATTATTTAAAGACCACAAAATTCAAATCGATATCAGATTTATCTGACTTTAAAGATTTAATTGGGAATTTCTTACAAATCTTGGAAAATTATAATTATAGAATCACAGACTTATACGAAGTTTTAGTAATAACATTCAGAGATTATTTCGCTCCATTTAAGATCCAAGAATTCACTTCCGAATTCATCAAATCCATCCAATCAGATCATTACATGCCATTAACCATCGACGATAAAGCAGATTATGAAGGAATTATGGAAGTCATATGGTATAAAAATGATGAATTATTTGCTCCTGCTCATGTTAAAAGGATGCCGATTACATTCCCATTCAGTGAAGATTATGTTCATTTCTGTTTAGGTATTCATTCATTATTGAATGATATCTTATCCTTCATTGATCAACATTATGGGTATGAATTAAATGATATAAATAATATCATTGTTAATGAAATATTCGAAAGAGTATTAGGTAATGAAAAAGGATATGGTATTGTTAGTTTTATTCATGATTTTATTGTTAAAAATGATACTAATAAAGAAATCACTTCTCAAAGTTATACAAATTTGGAATATTATTTATATAGTACTTATCAAATTGGGAAATTGATTAATAGGAGATTAAGAATTCATACTGGGTTAGGTATTCATAATATTGATGCTAATGATACATTCACATTAACTGCAGTTGAACATTTCAATAAATTAAGGAAATTCAGTGAAAATACTATCTTTGAAATGGTTGATAGTAAGATTAAAGAATTATTAGATTTAGTGGAATATGATGATTGGTTACCAACTATAAGAAGATCCGAAGTCAATTATTCTGTTAAGGATTTTGCTGGATTTTTGGAAAATTTATTCACTTCAATATTTACAAATTTACCTCATACTCTTCGAACATTAGGGTTATTCAGAACTTATGATTTCGTAGCCCAACGATTCCTTGAGATTTTGAAAGATGCTCCGATATACAATCGAATTGCAATTGAAAATTTCGATTTAGATATCACTTATGTGGAAAATTCGATGATGAAATTACGTACTAAGAAGAGTAGTAATAATGATACTGGAGATGAAAATGAAACTGAAGGTAATGTAAGTTTAGAATCTACATTCAGAGATTTAAGACAATGTGTTGAATTATTAAAATTAGATAATTATGAAGATTTTGTAAGAAATCCTGGATTTAGAATGAGAAATTATGATAGAGTTAAATTTGAAGATGGTATGAGATTAATTCAAAAAATGCAAGGTTACGACAATGGAATTGGATCAAGAGTCAATACCCCATTAGATGATGCTGGACCTAACGCTTCTAATACTAGTGTAGATCAACAATCGATCTTATCTAGTGCTACAACTTCGAAATTTGCGCTGCTTAAAAACTTTATGAAGAAGAACGAAGATCTCTAATGGACCCCTAATTAAAAATATATAGACAAAACGTATAATAATGAATGAAATATCGTACATACATAAAGAATCACACTAACTGTAGAGCATTATCATCACTTTACTTCCATAACCATAATTTATACCATTTTCTCAGACTTTCACTATGTTCCAATTCTACTTTCTTTTGATCTAACAATTCTTGAATGGTATCTTCCAATAACTTTGATTTAGCAAGCAACTCTTTCTCTTTATTCTCATGTTCAAGACTTAACCATATCGAATTCAATAGTATATATGTGGATGAAGCAAAAAGGAACGTATGTAATAATGGATTTGAAAATTGTCGTATTTGTGGTTTAGGAGCTTTTGGAGCTTCATTTATATGAGAGAAGTTGACAGTGGAATATGATCTCTTTGTCAATATTGACTTTGAACTTCTGATCAATCGTTGGGTATTCATTATCGGTGATTGATGTGTTAGTTATACAGATGGATGGATCGATGATGGTTGATTTTAATTTTTTGTGATACACCACAACACAGCATTGGAAAAGAGAAGATCGATCTCAAACCAAAACCAAAAAAAATCAAACCACCAAGTTAAAAGTCAAAGTCCGCAATTCATAATCCCATCAATTCCGTAGTCCATATATACCTTCCTATAGTTCAATAATGATGATAGGAGTAAGGTCGTTGCTGAGACCACTGATGACAGTGTTGAGAAGTAATATCATCCATCCATCTTCATTGAGATATATATCGATATCTCGTCGAATTTTTCAAAATCAAAGTCCTATTCATGAATCTTCAATCATACAACAAGAAAGAGATGCTTTGGATAAATTAACCAAAGCAAGAGAAGAAAGACAAAGGTATAGAAATAGAACTGCTGGGTATTATTCAGCATCACTTGGGATTGTATTTTTAGCATTAGCCTTTTGTGCTGTTCCTATTTATAGAGCTATTTGTCAAAGAACAGGGTGGGGTGGTATTCCAATAACAGATTCAGCTAAATTCACTCCTGATAAAGTTATACCTGTGGAAACCAATAAAAGAATCAGAATCCAATTTACATGTCAATCATCAGGGGTTTTACCATGGAAATTCACTCCTTTACAAAGAGAAGTTTATGTTGTTCCTGGTGAAACTGCATTAGCATTTTACAGAGCTAAGAATATGTCGAAGGAAGATATTATTGGAATGGCTACTTATTCTGTTACACCTGAAAATGTGGCCGCCTATTTCAATAAGATTCAATGTTTCTGTTTTGAAGAACAAAGATTAAGTGCTGGAGAAGAAGTTGATATGCCTGTGTTTTTCTTTATTGATCCTGATTTTGCTAAAGATCCATCCATGAGAAATATTGATGATGTGGTGTTAAATTATTCATTCTTTAAAGCTACTTATTCTGATGGAGAATTAGCTGCTGTTCCAGTGGCCAATATTGAATTTAAAGCAACTATAGTTTGATACGATTATTATTTTTCTTGTATATATTTAAATAATATCAAAAAATGTAAATAGAAGACCCATTTTAGTCAAGAAGTATGTTAATCTTAGATGGAAGATGGTATAGCCATTTAGCCCCTTCTACAATTCCCGGTAGTAGTAACTGGAATGTGTAAATGGCGTAAAGATAATCATTTTCTAAGTCATTATAACTTTTCCTGTGGAATGCTTCCTCATCCATCAACCACCCCTCCTCTTTCTCTTCTGTTCCTGAGTTTAAAGCCAAGTTCATGGAAAAGAGCAATATAGTATTCTTGGCACATAAGAGAAGCGGCTGGCAAGGAAGGAAGGAATGAAAGAAAAGAATGAAAGAAATAAGAGTTTAAAGGATTGACTGCATTTTGGTTAGTAGCTATAGAAGCAATGCCAGTGGTTACATGTTGTTAAGAATCCAAAATTAGATATTGTCTATTTATAACTGTCATAAAATAAAATATTATCAGATGAAGCCATAATAAGGGATGAATCGTAAAAAAAGTCTGTAATTGGCTGAAAAAGGTTTTATGTTACAAAACCATTACCGATATTTTCAAATTGATTAAAAAGATAAAACAATAGAACCCATACCCAATGGACTAATTAGGAATACGCATATGTCTTTTTTTAAAAATAGCGGAATAATTAAGTTCAGGAGGTAACAATTGACGCTAGAAAAAGTTTTATCATAATTTTAAATTAATTGAAATAGAACAAACGCCTTTGCCCCACCACCTAAGGTATATAATGTGATTGAAAATAATACCGGAATATTAACACAAAATCTGTTACTTGAATGGGAAAGAAACTTTCAGATTTGCAATAGGGTGGTGGTATTGTCCTGATTATTATTATTATTATTTAGTATACATAATTCAGTGTGTGTATAATTACTAACCGATAATTACTAAAACTTACGTAATTAAAGAGTAGATGAAGTTCTAGTCCAGGATTAAGTAAGAAATTTGATAAGAACAGAATGATATCCCATTAGCAAAGTTAAGAAATAGTTGTTGTCCTTCCTGACTTAAAGCCCAGCCCAGCCCGGACGAAACCCTGGGCTTAGGGGCACTGATTTCATCAGATAACTTTGTTTTAGTTTTGTAATTTAAGTCACCTTTTACCTTGCTATATTCTTTCCCCAGCCAATGATACAATTGGTCAATCAGTACATACATGTATGCATGCCGGCTGTAAACCCAACACCCTCTAGAATTTGTGTTCTAGTTTGGTTGCTCAGTAAACTATTAGAGACGCTAAAATTATATTTTTGGGCGTAAAAATTAAATTTTATTTTTTTTGATCAAAATTATCTGATTAAAAATAATCTTTCACTAAAATGATGAGGGAAATTTTTCAGTAACCTCTAAATTTTAACAAGTCAATTGCCGTTTTATGCTTTTTCTTTTTTTAAATACACGGCTCCGATTTGATATTCTGCTCTATATAATTTGCATCTGAATATTTATATACCGATGTCAATTAAAAGTTTAACGTCGTATTAAAAAAATATGACAATAAATTTAAAGTTAATCGAATACCGTCGTTGTCGTTATCCATTAACACTCCGGCAAACATACTCCTGTAAAGGTTGCTTGTCCCTCCCACTCATCACGCCAAGAAATGAAATAGAATGAAGTTTGTTTTAAAATATGATTGCAATAGTAAGTAAGACAATTCAATAATTGGCTAGACCTGACTATGTCAAAGTGTAATTGACACACCACATTATTTCTTGGATTTCCTAATTGGATTCCTCCCTTAAATCGTTATCGAACATTACAAAAAATAATTATACAGATACTATCCCAGATGAATACCACATTTGAGTTATGTATAATGTAGACAGCAGTATGAAAAGAGCCAGATTATATTATATAGAAACAGGGCGTATTTTTAGAAGCCTAAGGTACTACTTACTAAGCCAGCTTTTTATCAATTCCATATTTTTCATCCAACCATAAAAAAAATTTTCGTTTCGTTTTCTATTCCGTTTATTTTTAATTTTTACTTTTCCATTTTCTGATTTGTGATTACAGGGGTTGATTAGGTTATGTTGGGTTTCTGTTTGCTCATCCATGCACAAATAGGAAAACTAAATACTAATCAAGTTACATTTTAAAATCGTAGAATATTTCTTGTATCATCTTGCAGTTTATCATGTTATTATTTTCATGGTCTCTGATTCGATATTGAATCTCCTAAGCCAACCCAAGACAATATAATTGAAATCTAACTTCGATTCAAAAACGGATTGAACTAATCATTGCTGTTTAAAGTTTAGCTGTAACTTTTCTTATTAATTTCTAATTTTAATTATTTATTTGTTAAATCACAAACATCTGCATAATTAACTAGCTTCAATCTTTGTGTAAGGTATAACTTTAAATTTACTATTACAAACAATGAAATCAAAACCATCTGATAAAAATATTTTTTAATTTCATAATGCAAAATATGTACCCAATTATCCTTACTACATTCTTTTTAATTCCAATTGGAATTGACAAATTTCTTTTTATTTTTAATTTTGCGTCTTTTTTTTTAATTTACATACTATTGATTTCAAATCCCAGGGGAATACACTATCATGTCAGTATCTATTTAAATAGTTCGACATATCCACTGTTTATTCAGTATGATATTCTAATCTGATTTTTAAAGGGTATTTCATTTCATAGTCGACTTTTTTTTTTCACAGCCCTCAATCGGAATTCAATTTCTTATTGCGAAACTGAAAAATTAAGCCTACAATCTAACATAAAATGGTTTCTTTTAAACTGGCTTTATTTGTCATAGCTTGCTTGACTTCCATTTCAAGTGCTTCTGATGATTTCGAAATCTTTCATGAAAGTACTTTCCCAAATTTAGCTTGTACCGCCCTTATTGGGAAAATGGCTACTTTTTTCACAAAAGGTGGTAGTTATTGTGATGTTAAACTTCAACAAGCTTTAGGAACGTATACTCATTGTCTTGAAACTATTCCAGATCCAAACGCTAGAAAGAATTTCCTTATATCTTGTGCTGCTTATAATTTAACTGAAGAACAATATCTTGATTCTTACAATAATGCTACCAAATATTTATTAAACACTACAGCTGATCCAACTTTTAATGCCACAAAAATATCTTATCTACCAGTATTATTACCAAAGAAGAGAGTTATTGGAGCTTGGAAATCAGAAAGAGGTAGATACTACAATTATAATTATGCTTTCTACTATGGGGTTACTTTATTTTCATATTGGTATCTTATTTTATTCATGGCAGGTATTTGTAACTTAGCTTATTTCGTTTGTCCAAATTTCATTAAACAAAAATTAACTGGTCCAGCTGCAAATAAATTCAGACAATTATTTACATTACCGGCATTAGGATCAAAGAGTCATGCTCATCATACCGTTGCCTTCAAATTCTTCGTTTACTTCGTTCCCACCAGATTAGAATCGGTATTAGTGGGTATTTGGATTATATTAGCTATTGTTTTCAATTGTATTAGTTTCACTCATGATTCCCCAAATATCATTTGGCCCCAAAAACCAACTGAAATGGGTAGAAAGATAGCTGATAGAAGTGGACAAATCTGTTTATGGCTTTTACCTAATTTAATCTTATTTTCAGGTAGAAATAATGTTATGCAATGGATTTCAGGATGGAATTATTCAAGATTTATTTTAATTCATAAATGGAATGCTAGAATGGCTACTCTTATGGGTATACTTCATGCCATTGGTATGACTTACAATGGTAAGGGTTTAGGTAAATATGAAATGAGAAATAAACAACCATATGTTAGATGGGGTTATGTTTCATTGATTGCTATGTGTTTATTATCATTCCATTCTATGCTTGTATTTAGAAAATCAAGATATGAATTATTTATTTTAATTCATATTATTTTAGCAATATTCTTTATTGCTGGCGGTTGGATTCATACATCAAATGATGGTTTCCAACAATGGTATTATGCTGCTACTGCCATTTGGGGTTTTGATCGTTTAGTAAGATTGATTAGATTATTTTCATTTGGAGTTAGAACTGCTGAAGTTCAATTAATAGCTAATGAAACTTTAAGAGTTAAAGTTCCAAGACCAGCCCATTGGAAGCCATTTCCTGGTTGTCATGCTTTTATTCATTTCTTAAGACCAACTTGTTTTTGGCAATCTCATCCCTTTACTATTGTTGATTCAGTAGTTGAAGATAATACTATTAATTTCTATATTAAAGTTAAAGGAGGTATTACTCATGGATTATATCAATATTTATCCAAACAACCAAATAATAAAGCCCTTATTAAAGTATCTATTGAAGGACCATATGGACAAAAAATCAGTATTAATAAATATGAAAATACTGTTTTCATTGCTGGTGGTAATGGTATTCCAGGACTTTATTATGAAGCTACTGATATTGCCAAAACTATTGGTGATAAAACTAGAATAAAATTATATTGGGTTATTCGTCATTATAGATCCATTGAATGGTTTTATCCTGAATTATTAAGATTAAAGAATACTAATATTGAACCAATTATTTATATAACTCAACCTCATGTTGGATTAGTTGAACCAATCTTTTCTCATGGTAATGAATCAGAAGAAGAAGAGGAAGAAGAACAACAAGAAAAGAAATCAGATACCGTTGAAGAATCAACTGATTATATTGGTAAATTAAAGAATAAATTAAATTTCATTGAATTCAGAGAAGGTAAACCTGATTTTTATACTATTGTTGGTGAAGAAATTAAAGAAACCAATGGACCAATTGCATTTGCATCTTGTGCTCATGGATCCATGGTTGATGACACAAGAAAAGGAGTGGTTGATCACATTAATAATACCAAATATAGAGTTGAGTTGTTTGAACAACAACAAACTTGGTAATCTCAGTCACTGCTACATCCTTTTCATTTCCATTTCCATTTCCATTTCCAAATCCAATTCGTGATGATTTTAATATAATTTATATACATGTGCATATTTAGATAGATAGTTCATTTTTTATACAATGTTCGTTTCGTTTACTCGTTATTTTATCCACACTTTAACCCAAACCTGTAAGTAAACTCCCTTGATAAGGAACAATGGATAATATTTATATGTGTGGTTGACGATGAAGATGAATTTGGTTTGGTTTCAAGGTACTGTTTGAAAGAAGATTGTTTCAACGCGTATTTTGTGGTTTATTTTTGTTTTCATTTTTGGGAGGGAGGGACGTTTCTGCTTCTTTATTTCTTTCTTCTTACTTACAAAACAGTCAATGGAATTCAATCAATCCAGTTTGATGTTAATCGTTGATGGAGGTTTGATTTTGTGGTTCAGCATCACATCAAGTCCGCCTTAACTGTGTGGATATACCGTTTTTTCTTATTTAATTGATGTATTGGTTTGATTGGTTGGCTGATTGGCTGCTTTTCATTACATAGAGTATATTACTAACAATTCATCCATCAACTCTTTTCGTTTACACTCATTATTTCTACTCAACTGCTATCAGACTAATCTGTTACGTACTTATTTATACGATTGATGGATTGATTGATTATATCAACTAGCTCTTCCATTCCATCTCCTTACCCACTTATCCCTCTTTATTAAATGGCAGCCAAACCCAATTATGCTCCTTTCCACGACCTTTCCCATTTTAAATTTCAATTAAGACGCGAAAGTTTTTTTTTCTTTTTATTTTTCATATTTACTGTTTTCAATTCGAGACTCCTAAAACGTAAAAATAGACACAATTTGTTATTATTATAATAGTGACTGAGATCAAAACACAAAGTAAACCAAATCACCAAAAACTTTTTCTTGCTTGTCAAAGTTTTATACGCCTTTTTATTCTTCTTCCTCTGTCATGAAGTATTAACTTAATCCATTCCTTTTGTTTTGTTTTCTTTCATTTAGTCGATAGTTGTTTCCTTCAGGTTTTCAAACCAAGTCATTCGTTCAAACAACCTCTCTGTTATACTCCCCCACCTCCCATTCACTTCACCTTTTAAAAAAGACGATCCAAATATTACCATATTATTGTTTGATTTTAAACTCGTTTTCATTTATTTCTTTTTCAGTCTGTTTACATCAATCGTATCTTTACAAGAAAAATTTGTATTGAATTACACCCTTTATATGTCATATATATAGAACAACGATAACGTCAACAACAACAACAACAACAACAAGATTTAACATTATCCAAGACTTCCCCATCCTTAAATCAATTTAACACCTCAAATCAGAATGGTACATATAATACCTTCCAAATCATTCCAACTTGAATTGGCTGATGCAGTAATTCTTGCTACTAGAGCTACTGAATCAAGTTCAGAAAGTAATAGATGTAAAGATAATAATTCGTTTGAATGTCAAAAACCAGTTAATGATAATACTGTCACCATTATCGTGGCTGTGGTAATACCAGTGGTGGTCATTTCAATAATCTTAGGTTATTTCGTGTTTAGAAATTATCGTAAAGATAAAAAGGAAGCTATGGAACATGATCCTGATTTTGATGAAAATGGTGAAGCAACTGCTTTACCTGATTTCCCAAGTAATCAAAACATTTCTCATCAAAATATGTACCAAATTGAAGATCCTTTCCATAATAGAAATTCTATAAGATATCCAATCGCTCAAGCTGGTAAAGGAGCTTTCAATAAATCAACCGCATCTTTAACTACTTCAGCTCATGGTGATCCATATTTAGATAATTTTGTTTTACCTTATCATCATCAAACTGGTTCAAAAATTTCTTTAGATGATTATGCTAGACAATTTGGAGGTGAAAATCCAAATTATTTCCATCATACTCCTTCTGCTTCCATTAGTAGAACTAGAAATTCAAGTTTTAGTCATTTACCTCCTCAACCAGGTTCTCAAAACATTTCTCCTCAGAAATCAAGTCTAAGACAAGTAGTTTCAACATCTCCAACTAAAAGAGGCCTTAATATTCAGCAATTACAGCAACAAAGAGAATATACCAATATACCCAATCAATCTTCAGCTACATTATATAATGAAAAAACTGAATATGAATCTAATAGTTCAGATTCTGGTAATCATGCTGCTAATGAAAAATTTGCTTATGATGATAGAAATAATTCTCAATCACAACTTAAACATGAACTGTATGAAACAGCCACCAGTGAACCAACTCCAGTTGAACACGATGGTGAAGATGAACTTGAATATGATAGAACTCAAGAAGCTAATTCACCATTTGAAGAAGAACATGCTATGACTACTTCAAATACCACTGCATACACCGTTGATAGTAAAGCTAGAGATCATTATAATAATGGTGGTAGTTCGTTAGCTCCACCTGCTATTACCATTAATGGTGATGAAGATGAAGGTGATTTCGACTTTTCAATGAGTAATGAAACGTCTAAAGAAGATGAAGCTGGTAATACTTCTAAATCAGAATTATTAGGTGATCAAAACAAGAAGATCTTAAGTAAATCACCAAGAATATCTGCCTTTAATTTATTAAAGAATGATAGTGATATTGAAGATGATGATGAAGGTCAAGATGCTGAACAAGAAGAAGAAATTAAAAGAATGAAATCTGTTTATAAGGTTTACTTTGAAAATAAAGATGGTCAAAGACAAGAATATCCCGTGGATCCAGATCAACCATTACCTGAATTAGATCAAAAGGATATCGTTAGAATCAATAAAGATTTGAAAATGGATACTAATTATGAGAAGAGAATGACTGCAACTTCTTCACTTTATAATGAAACTCCAATTTTCTCTCAGAATGAACAAGATTTCTATTATAATCAACAACAACAACAACAACAAAATGAACAATATTATCAAGCTCAACCTTATGGATATCCTGTCGAAGGTCATTATTATCAACAAGGTTATGTTCCAAATCTTCAACAACCAGCACAAGCTTATTCTCCTCAAGAACAACATCCATCAGAACCATTACCTCCATTACAAAAGTTAAGAAATGCATCTGATTTCCGTAAATCTACTTTGGAAACTTATACTAATTTTGAACCAAGATTAAAGAATACTGTTGGACCAAATGGATCTGGTTCACCAACTGGTTCTAAACCTTTTAATCCAATAGATAGTGATGGATGGACTTCACCTGTTAATTCACCTCATATGCAATCACAAGCGTCATTCTCAAATCAAGGTAATAATAATACATATTATTCTACTAGTCCTCAATTAGGAAATCAATCTCAACAACAACAACAACAGCAACAAACTGGTGGATCCGCTCCATCCGCATCACAATTAGCTAGATCATCAGTGGTAATGTTGAATCCTGTAACTGAAATCACCAAACAAAGAAAATTCAAACCTGCTGGATCATTAAATGGTAATCAACCTGGTCAAGGTCAAGGACAATATGAACAAGACTACAATGGTATAGAAAATGATTTAATCCCCGGTAATAGAAAGAGTGATGTTAGACGTATGATGAACACTAACTTTTAGATAAAAAAAAGTTTAGTTAATTAGTTGGTTGATTTTTAATTTTGATTTTTTTTAAGTACTTTGGAAACTAAAATAAAGAAGATAACATAAACGGCGGCATTTGATTGTGTTTTATTATTATTATTAAAGAGTGATTTTTTTGTTTGTTTTTTATACATAGGCGCCATAGAGTAAATATTCTATACATTTTATTTCGTATCTCCCCTTCTTCATCCTCCCCTATTCAATTTATATATATTAACATTTTGTACAATACTATATTATTTCTACCCTGATTTATACCCCTTTTTGCAGTTAAAAAGTTACATTTTTGCTTATAGTAGTAGTAACGTGACACAAAATTTCCGGAAAAGTAAGAGTGAGAAACTCTCGACCAACCAAATTGAACAATTAATTTTTTTTTCACCAATTGACATAGAACCAAAACAATAGTATTTCACTAGAATTGTCTTATAGATTAATACATTTTACTCCATATCTAATCATAAAATAATAGTATGTATCGATGAAGTAATAGCAATTTGTTAGTTTGGGACTATTTACAGTTTCAAACAGTTATTATTGCCTTTGTTGTTTCAAGTCTTTTTTAATATGTCAACCATTTTGATACTAACAACAGATAATCCTATAGTAATGTCAAGTGAAGTTGTACCATCATCTACAAGTCAAAACTTGTTAAACGATAAATGGGATGTTGTGTTATCCAATGCTTTAATCAAAACCGGTTTAGGTTTCGGTGGAGGTGTTTTAGTTTCCATTTTATTGTTTAAAAGAAGATCATTCCCAGTATGGTTGGGTATTGGTTTCGGTTTAGGTAGAGGTTATTCTGAAGGTGATGCTATTTTCAGATCTAACCATGGTTTAAGAAGTGTTAAGGCTTAAGTTTCCCTTCGTCTCCTCGAAAATCTTATCATCACTAATCTCATAATATTTACTTTTATAAAGTAAACTCAATTCCTAAACAGTATGTCATTCGGTATGACATTGTTTGATTAGGGACTATAATGAAAATTAATGCATATCAAAATACAATATAAGTGGTCTACCACTTAGCTAACCCCCACAACAACATCAAGTCATAGAATACATCAATATCTAAAATCAACTCCAAATGAAAAACATTATTTATTTTACATTCAATAGAGGAATTGCAAATTGAATCGACAATTCATTCCTTGCTCCCAACCAACTACCAACCTTTCAACTTGATACATTCATAACTTTCTTCAATTTCTTTTAGATTTAGCATGCATGCATTAGAAACTAGAATTCTCTTGTATAAAATAAAACCTGCAAATTGTTACGTTTATGCTTATCTTTATATACTTTTTTTTTATATATTTCCGTTCTTAAATTATTAAATATACATATTCCAAGTAGAAATGTTTCTGGTGTCTTTTTGTAGAAGTAGATCAAGGTTAGATGTATAAATTTTTATGGTGATAGTTTATGTTAGCGGCCTGATCATTTTGATAGGGAAAAATCAAAAAATAATCTCTGCTTAAAAAATGACAGCTTTTGATGAAGAGGAGGTATTTGCAGCAATCGAATCAATGTCTACAAACGAAGGTGTAAAGTCCATTCTAGAGGGTGCTATTGACTTATATCAATTCTTAGAAGTTGAACCTTCATGTGATTTGATTGAAATAAGGAAACAATATAGAAGAAAAGCCCTTAAGTATCATCCTGATAAGGTTGGTGGAGATGTCAACAAATTCAATTTATTAAGTAAAGTATATGAGATACTATCACTGGAAGGATTAAGAGGTCAATATGATTCCATAAGGTTGATACGGCTAAACAAAGAGAAGAATAGAGAACAATTGCTAGAGTTGACGAGACAATTTCAACAAGAGTTGGAGAAAGCAGAAGCTAATGCAACTGGTACAGATCAAGATTTCATTCAGAAGAGACAATACCATAACAACCTCGAACTCCTAAAGGAAGAAGGATCAAGGAGAAGGCGACAACAAGAAGAAGAATTACTCAAACTGCAACAAAATCGTGGGCAAGCAACTACTCAACGTGAACAATCATATGTATCATATAAAGATCTTAAACCACCATCATCATATTTCAAATTTCCATCATCGAACGATCTAACTAGTTATAACGCCAAAGTGAAATGGAAATTCAAACCAGAATTAAAAGAATTAATAACTGATGATGTCATAAAGGAAATTATGGAGATATTTGGTCCTATAAAATCAGTGGAAATGTTAGAATCAGAGAATAACAATAGATATAACTACGCTTTAATAGAATATACTAATGTTCAAGATTATCAAAAAGCTTTGGATCATGATTACAAGAGTTCAGCTAGTTTATGGGATGGTACCAATGCTAGGAAATTAGCTAGTTTATTAAGAGAATGTACATCTACAACTAGTGGATCACACAAAAGGCATAGAGAGGAAGAGACTGATGAATTAAGTTTGGAAGAATTAGTATCGAAAGTAAAACATCATAAGAATCTTTCTAAACAATTCAAATTACCTATCAAGACTCATATTGAAAATGTTGATACTATATTATATAGATATGTTTTAGGTCATTTAGATCAATAAAATGTTATAGCCGTATCTGACTGCAAAATAAAAGAAAATTGATGCCTATTGGACAACAATACATTTGAGTTTGAATTCTAAAACAATCAATCAAAATGAAAATATAAATGTTTAGCCGATATTTTATTGCTTTCATATTTTATTTTCTTTCCTAAACATGTTTCCAAGTTGAGATAAAACTTTTTGATGTCTTTAAAACACCATGTATGAAGATGACTATTTACTCCGAGATACAAAGTTTTAATGCTTGATTCACATTTATTTTCACTTTTATCATCATCACAAAAGTCAATCGATTGCAAGCGTGATAACCACAAGTTTCGTAATGATTTATGGTTAACTATAGATGGTGTAAAGCAAAAGTTTTGGATTTTAGCGTCTCTTATAGTCAAGCTTTGAAGGTTTATTGGCAAGTCTATTTTGGAAGATATGAATGAGATTTTGCTTTCACTTATTTCAATCTTTTCAAGCATGTTATACCTAGCTGGGTTATTAAATAAAGGACAAGTTTCATCAATTGATTTAATAGGATTATTGCAAAGTTCCAAAACTTTTAAACAGGAAGGTGGTGTAAAATAAGTTAAGCTATCAATCCGACATCCAGATAGTTTAATTACTTTTAATTTGGTGAAATTAGTGAAATATAGATTGGTGAATTCAATACTATTATTTTCAAATTCAAGATGTTCCAAACAAGTGTTGCAAGTGTTAAAGTTGAAATTGTTGAATGGAATTTTAAAATCACACCCAATTGCAATGAATGTTTTTAACCCTTTTGGGAGGTTATATGTCTTATCCTTTGCATTAACGTCTAAAAGTTGTAAATTAATATTTCTCAAACTAGAAGGAAATTCAAAATCCACTTGTTCATTACTAGAGCCTTCAAAGTCAATAGTGTGTCGAGTAATATCCATATTCAAATCAATTAATGAATCTGGTAATTGTGATAAAAGTCGTCCATAAGGAAAACCGGAAGTCTTTAATGTACGTAAATATGATGGTAGCTTATATTTCAGTACTTCAGTGAAATTGCAAACGAGATATCTCAGATCATCTAGAGTTAAATGCTTTAAATGCTGAGGCCAATCTTCACTTGAATTGATTATAATTTGTCCTCCGGTGGACTTTAATGCTATTCTAATATGTTCAACTGTGATCTTTAGTGTTTCCACACGTCTTGGAATAGATGCAATATGCAAGTTTCTCCCTTTTTGAATATGAATATCAAACCGTTTCAAATTAATAAACTTGCTGTAAAATTCTTCTTCAAGGACATTATCAATAGCTAAATCAGTAACCTTTTCAAATATGGTTGGGGATAACGATAATTTCGATAAACTATTATTCGAAATAATTTGAAACTGTTCTAAATTTGTAAATTTTGAAAAGTCCAAAGACCTTAAATAATGCGTTCCTGTTAATTCAGATATGTTGATACCGCTAACATTATAATAACCAGGAAATTCTTTTAACTCCTCACATTTAGAGTAAGTTATTTCATCAAAGCTCAATTCCAAATCGGCATTGCTTTCAAAATCATAGCTTCGACTTACCTTCTTGAACCAATAGGCACTACCTGTTAATTCTGTTCTTGTAAGATCAAACTCCCTACATCTCTCATCAGTGTTAACATGGACTATAATTGGGATTATATCATCAGTATTGATTAATGCTTCTTTACGTGAAAGTCGATTTTCAAGATGAATGTTCTCACAACGGCACACTCCAGCATGGATCTTATCTTTTGTAATCAGTTTAATTGGAAGTGATCTAGTTTCATCATCATTTATCAAAGACTTCAATAAAAGTATCTTTGGGATTGATAAATGCAGCAATATTGCAACTTTCAATTCAATTGGTAATTTTCCGTAGAATTTGGTGAAAAATTTATATATATATTCATCGTTAACATCGTTATCATCAAATTTGTCCATCTTCAGAGTATGGTTTTTTAAAAAGAATGATAAGTTGTGATAGTGTGTTTTATTTAGTAATGTAGAATGCTTTTATAATAAAATATTTAGCAGCATAATTTTTGTTTGTTATGCGAATTTGATGTTGCAAACATTTATGTTATGCTTTATAATTGCCGCCACTGAGATCTCTGAATTTCCTTAAACCCTACCAATTTTATCGTGTCTTGCTCGGTAGAATCAGGTTAACGTGGAAGATTAATAGTACCCTCTAGTTGATAAATAATCTACAAAGTGAAAGATTCTATTATTATGCAAAATTGTGTATGTATATATATAAACTTTCTATATTTTAATCATCTCTCCATTTAATAAACACTTCATCAGTTCTAAATCGTTGAGTACATACAGTATCATTTATAAGATTAGTTTGACCTGTTCTATAACTTAATAAACCAGCATGAGCAATCATAATCCCATTATCAATACAGAATCGTTCATCAGTAGCGTAAATCTGACCATTTTTACGATCTTGAATCATTAATTTCATCATTTCTTGTAATCTTTCATTAGACCCTACTCCACCTACGATTAAAACTTGATTACTATTGACATGAGCCAATGCTCGTTCCGTAATTTCCACCAACATTGAGAATAAAATCTCTTGTAATGAAAAACATAAATCTTCGGGAGTGATTGGTTCACCTGATACTTCATCAATCACTTTTTTAGGTTGTTTTCCAAACATATCATTAGCTAATTGATCGATATATCCAAGTATACCCGACATGGACATATCCATTCCTTTAACAGTATAAGGAAGATTTATTAAATGTTTCCCTTTTTTAGCCATTTGTTCAATATTATATCCTGGAGCTGGTTCATTAGGGATTTTTAAAGTTCGGGCAAATCGATCTAAACAATTCCCAATGGCAATATCTAAAGTTTCTCCAAATATTCTATACCTTTGTTTGGAATATGCTATAACTTGAGTATTACCTCCACTAACATATAATACCACAGGATTATCAGCCCCTGTAATTTCTCGACCCATTTCAATATGTCCTATACAATGATTAACCCCTACCAAGGGTATATTATTCCATAATTGTGCTAATGTCCTTGCAGCAATAACCACACTTTGTAACGGAGCTCCCATACCAGGACCTTGAGTGAAACAAATACAATCAATATCAGTTCCTTTGATATTAGCTTCGATCAAAGCTTTTTTGATGATTCTAACCACCCAATTACGATGATGTCTTGCCGTATCACGAGGTAAGAACCCTTCTCCTGGAGGTGTGACATATGTATCTCTGATATTGGATAATACTTCAGCTCGATTGGTTTGAGATAATGGTCCAATATTATGCTTTATAACCCCTACTCCTAATTTATTAGCGGATCCTTCTAATCCTAATGCGATATAATGACCTTTCCCAGGTTTAACATATTGATCCAAATCAACTGTCATGATATGTTCTCTATGATCTGTTGGTTTACCCTTTGACTGTCATTAGCTTGATCTTAACAGTGATGAATTTTAAAAAATTTATGATGGAGAGGTATATGCAGGAAATTAGAGACATTTTGTGTGATATCAAATAAAACATATACAAATCAAATGTAAACAATCAAACAGATATACTATCAAAGGATAGATAGTATAAGATATGCCATCATTGAGTTATTTCCTAGATAGGACAGATCAATCGATACGATCGATCCAATCACTTAAATTCAAATCACCTGGAATATTCACTAATGCGATCGTTAAGAAACCTAATATCACTATTCTTTTAAAGGATCCTACGATAGATGAGAGTTCATTATATAAGATAGTTAAACCAACGCTTAAGAAACGAAGAATAACGACTCGGAAAGGGGGTGTTTCTGTGATTAATGAGTATATTGGGGTTAAGCCTGAACGAGTGGATGGGAAGAGTGTTTATGTTGATAAGAGTTTTTCTGAGATTGTTCAACTGACAAGTGGTGGTGGTAATAATAAGGATAAAGAGGGAGATGATGATGAGGGGGAAGGTAGTAATAAGAGATCGATAGTTCAATTGCCGGAGTTGATTCATATACCCAGTGATCCAGTGTTGGAACCATCATCATCACCTACGAAAAGAGGAGGGAATTCTACAAATATATATAATCATCCCTATCATCATCAAATCAATTCATATTTCAATATATCACCATCATCAGATGATATTGAGAAATTGATTAATAAAACGAATAAGTTGATTCAAAAGTATCCTACATTGATTAAGAATCAAGCGGAAGTTATTAATAATTTGAATCAATATCAAGAGAATTATGATGAATTAGCAGCCAGTATACAAGATTTAGAACATGATATTAAGAAACAAAGGAAACAATTGAATATTTTGAATATTAATTATAGTGATATAGGAAGTCCTGTTAAAGAGGGTCATGTCTTGACTCAAGATGATGATGATGATTCAGATGAAGATGATGAGGATCAAGGAGAAGAAGATTTTGATGTGGATGAGTATATCCGAAAGGAAGAACAAGAGATTGAAGAATTAGAACAACAATTAAATCAAAGACAAAGAATATGACTTACAGGTTTAGATTTTCACTTACGATGAAAGTAGTATAAAGTAAATATTTATATTATAATATATATATACAGATATAAATCAAAAAAGATTTTTTATTATTGGTTTAAAGATATCTTTCGTGAATAAATTAAACTGAATTAATTTAAACAGAGGTTAAGATATCAGAATCACCAGCATCTAAGATAGATAAAGTACCAACTCTGAATAATTTACCACAAGCAGTACCTAATTCATTATTACCACCTTGGAAGTAGTAAACTGGAGTTTTAGATAACATAGCGTAATATTCTAATTCAGATTTTCTTAAAACTGGAGTGTTACCAGCAATAATGACTAATTTAGCTTTACCAGTTCTTAAAGATTTAACAACTGATTTATAACCTAAGGTATATTTACCAGATTTGATAACTAAAGCTAATTTAGAGTTAATAGTTTCTTGAGTTTTTGGGGCCTAAAGGAAGATAGTTAGTATGAAATGTTATTCATTCATAGCGGGTTTACAAGTAATCTTGTATCAACAAAAAAGGGTATCCACGAACCATTTAGAAAACTATATGATTATCTCTTGATGAGATACTTCTCAAACATGGGTTGAATGAAACTGATAATTAAATAGTCCAAAACCAGATGCTGAGGTATGCTTCTAACTGTTGAGTATTTGATTAGATGTAACGGGTGTTAAAGAAAGATACTGACCATCTCTGCGTTTCTAATATGTATGTATACACTCCGGTCTTGAAGGTGATATGATATAATAAAATGTAAAAAGGATTTATATGAATGGGATTGATTGATTGAAAATTTATGATGAAATAATTTTCTTTCTTTCTCATGATGGCCATTTAGTAAGTGTCCATACCAATTGACAATATACAGGAAGGGATAATATACAGGAACAGGCCCAACAGCAGTCACATTTTGATGGATTTGTCCACGTGATGCGAATTCCCATTGAGATCGTGTCCTGTATACAACATGGTCAAACCTTTTACAGTACAAAACAGCAGTTAACAGTGAGAGTGAGAAAAGTTATCATAGTTAATTATCCTGTATACACCCACACATAGTAACAGTGAGAGAACACTCACTGAGGAACCAAAGGAGAGTAAAAAAAATTTGAAAAGAATCCAAAATTGACTATTCCAAATATAGCTTCTGTATTAACCCTTTAAAGCCAATAAAGAAAAGGTATGTGGATCACATAGATCGATATAATAAGGATAGATAGATCATCAGATAGATCATAGTGGGAAAGTGTTGATCCAGTTTAGTCTAGTTATGTTCATCCATGTTTAAGTTGTATCAGAAATGTATCAATCAAATTAATCAATCAAATTCAACATCAATTATTAATGTATCCTTCCAACGTATAATGTCAAACGTTATGAAATATCAAAGTACTATAAGTCATATCCAGATGTAGATTATACCCATATCATTAATCATTACATTCATTCCATCATTTAAATGTTCAATAATCTCACTATATATGAATAAGTCAAATCCATCATTAAATATATCCCCCCCTACCACATTAATAATCATGTATAACTTTACCCTCACTTCAAATCAATCAGGATTACTCCCACCAACCACAGCCATCTACGTAACTAAACACACCCACCCCAACTGATTTAATCTCATTTATCTCCCCTTTTTAATCATTACTTATTAACTCAAGTATACTAACTTTTATTCTTTTAGTTCATAATGAAGGTTGAAATTGATTCCTTTTCAGGTTCTAAAATCTACCCAGGTAGAGGTACCTTATTCGTCAGAGGTGATTCTAAAATCTTTAGATTCCAAAACTCTAAATCTGCTTCTTTATTCCATCAAAGAAAAAATCCAAGAAGAATTTCTTGGACTGTTTTATATAGAAGACAACATAAGAAAGGTATTTCTGAAGAAGCTTCTAAAAAGAGATCAAGAAAAACCATTAAACATCAAAGAGCCATTGTTGGTGCTTCTTTAGAATTAATTAAAGAAAGAAGATCTTTAAAACCAGCTGATAGAAAAGCTGCTAGAGATCAAAAATTAGTTGAAGATAAAGATGCTAAAAAAGCTGCTAAAGCCGCTAGAAAAGCTGATAAAGCTAAACAAGTTGCTTCTGGTAATATCGTTTCTAAACAACAATCAAAAGGTGCTTTCCAAAAAGTTCATGCTACTTCCCGTTAAGAATGATTTTATATATAGTTAAATTAATTTAATTTCGATATATACATCATTTATTTTTACAAGAAAGTTTCATAATATATATACATTTAAAAAAAAAAACATCATTTTATTATTATAATTTAAACTCTCCTGTTGTAAATATCTTTCCAAACTTGTCTGTATTGTTTAATCTACTTTGAATCACTTCTACTTGATCCTCATTATGAGTAAATCCAAAGTAAAATGATGGTGTACTATGACAATAAATTAATCGTTTTTCATCGGTATGTTTATGATTTATAAATAGTATAACTCCAACGTAAATTATCGATTCATTATCATCATTAATAGCATGTGATTGAAATCGTTGACCATGAGTTTGAATCAAGTTAATCACAAACGAACCATAACCTTCTTCATCTTGATTACAATCCATGATATTATTCACTAAATAATGAGCAAGATTCATCATAATAATATCTTCACCATTCCCACTACACATACATGAAATTTCAATATCATTTATCGTGGTGGAATCTATAGCACATCCAATTATACCAGCACATCCTATTCGACCTGGTAATTTAAAGAAACTCCCTCCTGATGAAGTAACTATCTTAGTAGTAGTTTGATTCACCTCGATAATTCCTATAGTATCATTAACCTCTTGTAGTTTACCACTGTCATTAAATATTCGATCTTTATGAATATCATAGATATGTTGACTTTCAGGACTTATAAGTGTACCATCATCATCATCTTTTAAAAAACTGGGACATGATCCATAATGCATATTCAAAGGTTTACTCAATCCATTATGATCATCCTTATAAAGATCATTAATCTTGTCATAAACTTTCATGGTGACTAAACCAGGTAAACCAACATCAATCCCAGTCAAACTTCCCTGGGATCTTCCACCATTATCATCAATGACTATAAAACTAGCATCACATTCAACTTGACCTACTAAATTTAACAGACTTCCATATCCAGTATTAGTTAATTTCGATGCTTCAATGATTTCAATTGATTGTTCAAATGTAGACAGACGCTTTAAACATCGTCGTATTAAGGATTTATACGCAATCGATTTATTAAGTGAATGATTGCCAGCTCCTATATGGACTATTCGGATTATATTGGTGTCCATACCATTTGATCATACTATATACTGTTTCATCAAAAGTCAATCAAAAGAAAGTTCTGTTTTTGTGTATCTCTCTCACAAAATGATAATGGATTACTTTTACCACGCTACCATTTTCTACACAACTATTTGGGCTAGATTTACCCTCAGTTATTGATTATTAACTGACCGTAATGTATCTGCCACTATTAATGATGATTCATTCTACATAGTTATGACTTAATTTAGTATGGTATGTATCCAGAACTTCCATGAGACTCAGTTTACTGATGTAGTTTGATCATGTGTACTTCTACAAAGGTTTATTCTACTTCAATCACTTTTAAAATAATAAACAATGGTTACAACTTTGAGTCAGTGATATATAAAGCCTCTTTAATAATCATAACGTTTAACGGTTTCAGCTTGTATATCTCCCCTCTCCATTTTCGTATCCTTTACTTCTTTCTCTCTCTCCCCTGATAACATTTACAAAGTACTAATCCTAATTCAATTATTAACTATAATAAATTTGACGAATGACCATTATTGTTAAACTTAATTTATTTATTAAACGATGGCTACTTCTAATTTCTTTTTCTTCTTCCTCCTCCTCCTCCACTTTGTAAAAATTGTGAATTGCTATATAGTTCATTCATTCTCCCTGACCGGAATTCCCCACAGCACCGTATTAAACCGTTTTTCGTGTCAGTTACCACTTGAAAAACACTTTTCTAAGGTGTTTTTAAGTAAAATTGAAAATACCGAAGTTGTTCTCAAAGTATATGATCCTATTATTGGAGCTCCAATTCTTAATAATGACTCTGGGCTATCAGATAAATTATTCTTTGAATTTGGCTATTTCGTTGGTGAAAAATTTGGAGAATCATGTCTGGGATACTACTTAATGGAAGAATACCTTCAGGATGACAAGTTAGACTGTGATTTTGATTATTTCTCCATGTTGGCAAAAGAATCATTGGCCCAAATTCATTCCACAGGGTTAATACATGGAGATATTCATCAATATAACATCCTCTATAACAAAGATAGAGACCGTGTTTATTACATCGATTTTGGTAAATCCACGTTTACGGATATTCAAGAGGGTGAAAGGTCCAAAGACATTGACTGGTGGCGTTTAGATAGAGCCCTAGCAGAAATAGGTAATTTAATAAATTAAATTTATATACTATATTTTGGTTGCTAAAAAGGTTTTGCTATTTTTATATAAATTCTATACCTTTATAGTGTTTACAAGAAATGGGACGGGAAATTGATAGTACCCTCGGTGGTCTGGAAATTATTTACCGGTTTAAGTATCTTCCTGTATATAATCATAGTATAAATTTTTCTTGTTCCGTAAAACATTAAAAACCTTATCAAGTACAGTCTGCAAAGTATGTATGACCTTTTACCAACAATCAATTCATATTTCAAATTTCACACGTTATTTGTATATTATTATAGTTATTATGATAGAAGGATAGATTATATCAGATATAGTATAGAATAAATTAATCAAAAAATCCAAAAAATCGTTAGTCAGAACAGTATCTATTGAACCATTGCAAAGATCAACCATCGTGTACATAGATCATCCAAAATCATCAATAGACTCATCATGGCAAAAATATCATTTCGAACGTTTAATTACTGGGGATATGGGATATACAATGACTTGAAAAGTAGACTACCTTATTATAGATCAGATTTCGTTGATGCCTTCAGTTATAGAGTTATCCCATCCACCACATTTATATTCTTTACCAATTTATTACCTGCTTTAGCATTTTCCCAAGATATGTTTGATAAAACTAAAAATTCATATGGTGTCAATGAAGTATTAATGAGTTCTGCCATAGCAGGAGTGGTATTTGGTTTATTTTCAGGTCAACCATTATGTATAGTTGGAGTTACTGGACCTATTTCAATTTTCAGTTATACCGTTTATGAATTAATCGAACCTAGAGGAACACCTTATTTCCCATTCATGTGTTGGATCTATCTTTGGTCAATGGTGTTCCATATAATCATTGCATTTGGGAATTATATTTCATTTTTAAAGATTATAAGTCTGTTTTCATGTGATGCATTTGGATTTTTCATTTGTTTAGTATATATTCAAAAAGGTATACAAATTTTAAATCGACAATTCCTTGAAATCGATTTAGCAAGTGGATATTGTTCAGTTATGATTTCTTTATTAATGATTATTTGTGGAGTGGGGAGTTTCCTCTTTGGTAAATACTTACATTATTTCAATCATTGGGTTCGAAAATTATTTGTTGATTATGGAGTATGTATATCAGTTATATTCTTTACTGGTTTCATTCATTTCGGAGGTCATTTATCTCAAACTGAATTAGCAAGATTACCCACTACAAACTCTTATCAACCTACTTTTAATGGAGTAGGTCGTGAACATGGATGGTTTATCCATTTTTGGCCAGGAGAAAACATAGCTGTAAGTGATGTATTCTTAGCTATTCCTTTCGCTATATTACTTACATTTTTATTTTACTTTGATCATAACGTATCGTCGTTAATGTGTCAGCTGAAAGAATATCCCTTGAAGAAACCTTCATCATTCCATTGGGATTTCTTCTTATTAGGTTTAACTACTGGTTTGGCTGGAATATTAGGATTACCTGCTCCAAATGGATTAATCCCTCAAGCTCCCTTACATACCGATTCATTAGTGGTATATAATAAAGATGGAAAAGTATTACTGGTGGTAGAACAACGAGTGTCAAATACAGTACAAGGATTACTTACATTCATAATGATGACAAAACCATTCTTGGTAGTATTACATTTAATCCCACAAGCTGTATTATCAGGATTATTTTTCATTATGGCAATAACTGGTCTTCATGGAAATATCGTTACGAATCGATTACGATTCTTATTCCTTGATACCGAATACGTTCAATATGATGATTCATGTCCTCAAGTATTCAAAGATATTCAACAAATTGAACAAAAGAAATGGTTTTATATTTACTTATTGTTAGAAATTATAGCGGGAGTATCTGAATTTGCCATTACATTAACCAAAGGAGCAGTTGGGTTTCCTGGGGTATTAATGTTTTTTGCAATTTGTGCAAAATGGGTATGGCCATTAATTATTCCGAAACTGGAATTAGAAAAATTAGATGGTGATGTAGCGGATGAATCTATATTAAGAAATTTAAATATTATAGAGTATATTAAAGAAAAGGAAGGAAAAAGTGGATCAGGGTCATATAAGGAAGAATATGAAGATGATATTAATTTATCTAATTTTGAAATTATACACAGAAAAACATAGTGTTTATAAAGTTTAATAATTTTAATGCATAATTATGGTTAATTACAGATCGGCTGGATAACTTTTAATGAATCCGAGCCTGGTTAGAATGTTTATAATTGTAGTAAGACTGATGTAAATTTTTCATTCTCTGCTCCATGCTTAATTTGAAAGAAAAAGTCTCTCTCGAGAACCATGACATGACATGTCATACTATAGTTTTACTATACGATGAGAACAACAAGGACGGATGAATTGCGGAGAAATATTCAATTATAACTAATTATAACTATCTTAAGTATATTGGGGGGGGATTTAGATGTGGATAACAGAGGAGTCAAAAATGATAAAAAAACATCTGTTTTTTTATTTTTTATGTTATACTGAATAAGGATTATAACGTGATTGTTTGAAAAATTGTAAACAATATGCTGTTACAATCCTGTCATGCACTTTGTTTCATTGATAAACATCATCTTATTCGTTACATGCTTTATATAGTTGATTTATTCATCCACTCATCTTAGAATAAACACCTATGGGATAAGGTTAAGAACGTATGGTATCGTAAGATTTTGTAACATGCTAAGCTAAAAATAAATTTTTGGGTTTAAATATTTACCCCAGAAAAAAAAAAGCTTTAAACTTTAGTTGTTTCATCAGGTTAACTAACTTTAATGGGTTGGATGGGAATGGGATTGGAGGTACTTTAGAAGAGTCTAGATGATTGATGATGTAAATATAGCCTAAATATCACCATTATAAAATAATTTATTATTGGTATTTGGTTGTTCTATGCCATTGTTCTATAAATATATAAATATGACTGTAATTATCTGACCCTGACTTGAAAATATTAATATTATTATTCACTAACTATATATATACTATTCAAACAATTCTATTATACAATATGTCATATAACTTTCTTAATCAAGTTGCCGTTGTTACCGGCGGTCTTTCAGGAATCGGTTTAGCTACCACCATTAAATTACTTCAAAATGGTGCTAAAGTTATCGTTGGAGATATCACTGCAGAAAATAAAGTAGGTGCTATTCTTGATTCCATCAAGAAAGCTTCTGGTAGTAAAGATGTTAAGTTCATAAGAACTGATGTTACTAATTATAAAGCTAATCAAGAATTGGTTAGTTATGCCGTTGATCAATATAAAGATTTAAATCTTGTATTTGCTAATGCTGGTATTGTAACTCCAAATGAAGGAGCTGAAATCCCTTATGAAGAATGGGAAAAAGTTATAAATACAAACTTAACTGGTGTTTTCTCTTTAAACAAAGAAGCTATTAATTATTGGCTTAAAAACAACAAGAAGGGGAATATCGTTAATACTGGTTCAATTTTATCATTTGTTGGTAATCCTGGTTTAGCTCATTATTGTGCTTCAAAAGGTGGGGTTAAATTATTAACTCAAACTTTAGCCATTGAATATGCTAAAAAGGGGATTAGAATTAATTCAGTTAATCCTGCTTACATAGATACACCTTTATTAAGGGTATTACCAAAGGATGTTTATGATGCTTTAGCTGCAAAACATCCAATTGGAAGATTAGGTACTTCGGAAGAAGTAGCTAATGTGGTTGCTTTCTTATTATCAGATCAAGCAACTTATGTCAATGGTACGTCTGTTTTGGTGGATGGAGCCTATACTGCTCAATAAGCGTGTATTAGATGATTTTTTACTGTCATTTATATTTTGAAATACTTCTGGAAAGCCAATATTTATGTTTGTTTTATTAATATAAAAAGACTTCGAATTGATTAGTTGTAGTAATATTGTAGAGATAACGGTACTTAGTTGAAAAATTTGAAAAATTACTGAATATATTTTAAGCTATGTAATAATATGAACTGATATTAGGGTTTGGAAATTTTGAAAATTTAGGTAAATACGGAAATGGCAAAACTTAAAAGCAAAACAACTTATTTTAAACAATCAACCCCTATTTGAAGCTCTAGAGATAGTTCTGTAAACCCCAAATAAAGATAATATAAAACAAATACCTGATGATATGAAAGTACCTAATGACAAGTAACAATATCTATTGCATACCACTTTTAACCCTAATTGACGAGCTGGTTTTAAACAATTATTTTTAATAAAATAAGTTGAACACCAAGTAATTACTCCATAGCAACCTGCTAAGATAAACCAAAATTCACCAGTAACTTTATAAATGATTGATCCAATAGCTAGTAAGTTCAATGTAATCAAAAATGAATCGAAAATATTCTCTGCAAATGAAGTGAGACTGATCATACCGTCACCAGGATGTTCCAAAAGTGCAAATCTTGTTCCTGATGGATAAACCCTCATTTTGTATTGATAATTGATGTATTCGTAAGAAGAAGAAGAAGAAGAAGTGATTGATCTCTAAAATGTGTGAATGTGCTGTAAAAAAATTGTTTATCCCTACCAGAAATACAGAGAGAATCACCACAAATGAGGATAAATTGACAGTAATCAATCTAAATTTATTGGATATATCCCCTTAAATGGATTTTATATCCATTCTAATTCTGATTATGGTTGATTGACTTCTTTAAATCAATGATTAATGATAGATTACATACTATAAATCACCTTGTTAAAAGTTTGGCAGCACGTTTGGTAGCGTCTAAGTTATATTTTGTGTACAACTAAATTTTTTAAGCAGTGATGATTTTGTAAACAAATATCAAAACCATATTATCAACTTCTAGAGAAAGAGGACTCCTGTTTCAAATGGTATGAACCAAGATGTCAAGTGTTCATGAGAGGAAAGAGGTGTTAGAATTAATAGAAGATGAGTTTAGACGAGATTTGGCTATTCATTTATATTCGATTGTATTATTAAAACGTATAAATCCTAATTTTCCTAGATCAACATGGGGTAATTGGCCATTATCATTCCAGGATGTTCCTATACCGAATAATTGTTTGAAGTATGAGGATGATATTGTTGATTCTGATTATTTTGTGAATGATGTTGATATTGATGAAAAGAATCGACAATTTGAAAAGGAAGTTATACGACAAGAATATGAATCTAGAAAGAGAGTGTTTCATAAAAGTCATATTAAAAGTGAAGTTAATGAAGAGGATTCCTTCAACCAGGTGAATGGTCATACTGAAGATGATGAACTTGATCAAGCTGAAAGTGAAGAGGATGAACAAATCGAACAAGATGATATCAATGAACAAGCAGATTTATCAGTTAATTACTTTGCCAATCAAATATCTCAAGATGAAGTAGAAGACTTTGTTTCTGATAGCGATAGTGATGGAGATAATGAAATTGACTTTTCCTTACCAATAACTAAAGTTACATATACTGAGAAAACCATCAATGCTAAATCAGCGTTAGTAAATTGTCTTAATTCACTTATAGCAAAGAAAATCAATCAAAAAATCCAAACTTTAAAATCGGAAGCTATAATAAATCCTAATCTTGATGTATCTGAGAATATTGAAACTCATAAGACTGTCAATGATTTAAGTTTCCAACTTGCTGGTAAAGTTAATAATTTGATTGAAAGGTTGGAAGATAATATTCAAGAAAATAAACGTATAATAACGTGGCAGAATGTATTATTAGAAGGGTTGCAATTGGAGGAAAAACCTCATAATGTCATTAATATAGAAAAGTATAAACGGTTATATGACCAATGTGAGGATATGTTTCAAAATATACGGTATAATTATGAATTGGAAGAAGACGATGAAGAGGAGGAGGATGAAGAATCAATTTCATCAGAGTATGCAAACGTCTTTACTCCTGAAGGTGGATTTGATGTGATTCAATACTTAGAAACTATTAAATACCATAAATCAAATGTTAGTAATCCTTTGTTTGATGATTTACCTCGTCTGTACCTTCAATTCCGAAACTTCCAAGCCAAGATTAACGATGATTTAAAGAGGATTTATATGGAGAAATTAAAAGTTCACGAAAAGTTACAAGTGATAGATTGGAGTAAAAAACAAAAGAAACGGAAGCAACGAATTGATAAGTTAAAATCGCTTAATGAGGATTTATCCAATGTATCTGAAGTTCAACATGATGCTATCCACCATGGTCCCAATACGATTGATGAGAATGAATATCTTCTCAAGAATTACATTGTATGAATAACTGGAATACATGAATTGATGTTATATATTTATAGAATAGGGCCATAGGATGTAGTATATTATTAAGAGGCACCTTGTCTGATATGTACTATATGGGTTAATTTTTTTAAAAAAAAGGAATTTTATACTATACAAAAAAAGAATATGTTATTAATCTTTTAAATTTATTTTAAGAATCGAAAAAATTTTGTATCACCAGCATCACCACGTCATTATTACTAACTCATTAATATTATTCTTACTTTCTCTTTTCAAAAGTAGTTGTGATTTCAGTATTAAAAATGACATCCCAGAACTTACTTGTAACACCAAAACCTAATTCATAATTCTTATAATGATGTTCTAAATGATAAGTTTTTACATCTTGTAAATAACCTGGTAAGTTAGTATGATGTAAGACGTAATGAGTAACATCATACATGATATAACCTAAAGTTCCACCGGCAAAACCAGAACATGCCATATAGAATGGGAATAAGGAAAATACTAAACGATAGAATGGATAAGCTAAGATGACAAATAAAGCAGGGGGTAAGACTAATCTATAACCATCCATTGGTAAATAATGATGAACACCATGTAAAAGGAAATGTAAAGTTAAAGCATAAGGATGATCGGGTAAATATCCATCTAAATGGAATAAGAAACGATGTAAACAATATTCAACCAAGGTCCAAATGAATAATCCTAAAGCCCAGAAACTAACAGCCACAAGAGGATTTTGATTAATGAAACCAACATAAAAGATATAAAAGTTTGGAGGTAACCAAACAACAGGAATAACCCACCATGGAGTTAAAGAAAGGGGTTCTAAGAAATTCCCAAATAATGGAGCTGAACCTTTACCATAATGTCTTGGTCTATGAACTTGATCCAAGTAAAATTCTTTGGAGTAATCACTAAATAAAAGTTGTTTTAATAACGGTTTACTCAAGTCTAAAAACTTATGTTTTTTAATATCTTCATCATAATCAGTTTTAATTGATAATTTTTCCATAGCAGGTAAATGTTCATGGAATTCATACATATCGAAATCCTTATTATTACCATTTTTATCTTGAACAACTTCAACAGGGACTTTATTTCTATTATTAAGTAACCCATGTTCTTCTTGAGGAGTAGCCAAGTAACCAATCAACATGTCATCATCTAACATTTCATAAGCACTTTCTGAATGTTCATGAGAATCACGATCAGCCATGATTTTAGTGATGTCTTGACCAGCATAAGGTAAGATGATCTCATACCCACCTGGATGTTCATGGATGAAAGTAGTTACATCATAAACCTTTCTTTTATACAACAGGACCCAACAATCCTTTTCAGTGTTATGTTGACTGACCTGTTTGACAGATAACAATGGTAAACTTGAACTCATCTTTTTGACTATTGTTTTGAAGTTGATATGATGATGATCTTAACTGACTAAGAACTATGAAAAACTGTCAAAAGCTATAGTATATATATATATGTCGTAAGGTGTAAAAATCGGGTGAGGTTAAACTTGTTATGGCTTGGGTTTGTAATGGTTTCAATTTTACAGGAAGGATGCGATCTCTCACACAAATTTTCTTTCCTCCATTTTGTAACGCGATTTTTTTTGTTAACGGTTTTGTAAACGAGGAGGATAAATAAATAAATAAAGGGGCTCTCTCGGGATGGATCATTTTTGTATGCTGTTAACAAGTGCCGACTCTAGAACCGGGCTATGATAACTAATGCTACAAATGGATTAGACCACAACAACAACAACAACAACAACTATTATGATAAAATGCTATGTTATGTTTATTTTGGACATTGTTCTACAATGTCTATCTGTCTCTGTATGTTTACTATATATGTATATATGTATGTATGTGTTTCTACTTTTTGGTCTATGCTTCAATGCCGGTGGATTGAATGTTTTCTATTTTAGCAACATCTAAATCAATCTCGATTGCTTGATCATCTTCAACTTCATCTTCATGAATGATTCCATCATCGAAGATGATTCTACCATTACCCTTTCTATGCACACTTCGTTCTTGAGGTTCAAGATCATTGCTCATCTCCACATCTTCTTCTCCTGTAAGAGTACCAACAGTAACTTCTTGTCCTTCAATACCACTATTATTTAATTGTTGCTCTAAATGTAAGGTATGATCAACTAAATTAAGATATGCATACATGAAATTCGATAATAATACTTGTTCCCGTAATGATCGTTTAGGATTAGCTAATTTCAAATGAGATAATCGATAAATGGCTCTTTCAACATGTACAGGGAATCGATAATCCAACATTACTAAGGTTGATTGTGATGGTGGAGGTAAGGGGAATCCAAATGCCGAATCAGTAAATACAATAGGTTGATTGGCCTTTGATGTTCTTTTGATTGATTTCTTCAACTTCTCTTGAACTTCTAAAGTAGTTTGAGCTGGTTTATCTTTATCAATCTCATCACCTTCTTCTTGTTGCTGTTCATCATGTTCTAGATCAACTTTAGATTCAATAATTTCATCATTACCAGTTTCTTCTTTCAATTTCTCCTCTTTCTTACTTTCTGATTGAGGACCAAGCAGTAAGATCTCCTTATTTTGATCATTCGAAACTTCTTCATTAACGCTAACAGGAGATTTTCTTCTTGAAACAACTTCATCAACCTTAGATTCATCAATCTTCTTATTTTGATCCTTTTTGAAATAAGTATCAGTATCAATAATCATATCCTCATACTTAATATCCTTATCTTGTTTAACGGTCTTCTTATTCTTCTTCTTAAATAATAATGATGAACCTTTAATCTGTTGATGTTTCAATTTACCATCATTATCAGAATCATAATCAACCGTAACACCACTAGTACTACTTGAATCATCTAAAGTTTGTACTTTAGTTTCTTGTACAACTATTGGTTTCTTACGTTTGAATAATTTCGTAATCATATTCTCTTTATTCGATGAATATTCTTGTTTATTCTTTCCATGAATGGCATTTTCAGAAACTGATCGTTTAGTATTAGTTGAATCTAAATCAATATCTTCATCAGCATCAAGATCAATCTCATCATCAGATACTTCAAATGCATCATCATCAAGATTCTTATTAGTTATTTCAGGATTAGATATTGATCTAGGTGGGACTTTATTAATCGAAGTTTCCGGTAATGGAGGTAAATTACTATTATTTTCAAATGAAGAAACACTATTCGATCTATCTCTTAACCAACCCCAAGATTTCTTCTTCTTGATCTTATTAGTGGTATTCTTTGAATCTTCCGATACGGAATTACCTAATAATGCGAATGATTTCTTCTTTTTCATCTTCTTATTTGGTGATGTTTCAACACTTGATTCATCCGAATGATCAGGTTGTGATTTCGAAAATAATAAATGGGAATGATGTTGATTCTTTTCATTGTCTGATTTTAATTCCTTAGATGAATCTTTCTTATATACTTCTGAATCATTAATAGTTGGAGAAGGATAGGGAGATTCATCATGTTCAACAAATGGATTTTCATGTCCATTTTTACTTAAACTTATGACATGTGGAGTAGTAGTAGTCGATACATCTTTATCAACCGGAATCTTACTTGGTGAAGTTTTACGTTCTGATTTCTTCTTTGGACTTGGCGATTTTAATTTAATAGGTGATGATTTAGTTTCTTTAACCGGTGATACTTCAACTGGAGTTTCAATAGGTGAACTCTTGGAAATAAATTCATTCTCATTAATATCTTCATCATCGTCATCTTTAAGTTCAATAGGATCATCAGTATTAATATCATTGAAATTAGGACTGATCCGGTCAAATTCTCCCAATACTTGTTTTTCAAACCCTAATGAATCTTCATAACTTATATCTTGGATAGAAGTATCAAAACTAAATTCAATAGCTGGAGTCGTATCCTTTTCAACTTCTTTCTCAATCAAAGTCTTGGTAGAACTGGATGTAGTGGACACGGTTGATTCAGATTTATTCAAACTTTCCTTAAACTCATTGATTTCTGACCTTAATAAATCTAAATTTTGATTCAATTGATTCGATTTATCAGGTGGTCCATTTTGAATTGGTGGTACAGAATGTGGTGGTCTCTGCTGAACATATGGTTGTTGTTGTTGAGGAACTTGTTGTTGAGGTGGAACTTGTTGATTTTGTTTCTGTAACTGTTGTTGTTGCTGTTGATAATAATGATATGCATCGGTTTGTTTTTGATAACTTCTTTGATGATGTCTACCATGAGGATGATGTGATTGAGGAATTGGACCATTCTGTGGTGGATAACCACCAGTATGCTGTGAAGAACGACGTTGTTGTTGTTGTGATGATGATTGGGGAGGTGGAGGAGTTTGAGGTTGTTGTTGCTGGGGAGATATATTCTTAGCAGGATATTGACGATATGTTTGTTGTTGAGGATGATTTTGATTAAGTGAATCATTTGAAGCATTAGAACTATTTACTCTTGGTTTTGGAACTTGTCCCTGTGATGTTTTATAATACGTAGCTGATCTATAACGTTGTTGAAATTGTTGATTCAAATAAGGATCTTGCAGTCTATTCTGAGCACTACCACCTCTTATATCCTTTTCAATAGGTGTTGGAGGCATACCATTGTTATTACTTGCATGTCTTAATTTCAACTGTGATAACCTCTTAGCGGTCATGCTATGTTGTTGAGTTAATTTCTGAGTGATTTGATTTTCAATTGATCTTGAATTTGGATTGATCGGATATGGTGAACCTCTCTTCAGTTGAAGTTGAGGGAGTAACTCCTGTTGTGGTGGTGAAACTTGATTATGATGACGATGACGATGTTGTGGTTGTTGTTGTTGAACTGGTTGTGCTTGAGGATAAGGTTGAGACGAAGCTAAAGTATTTGGATCCACATAACTGAATAATAACTGCGAATCTCTATAATTTCTTTTTGGTATTGATTTTTCAGGCACAGGTGGTGGAGAAGGACTATTTCTAGTACGATAATGAGGCTGTGATGGAGGTGGTGAAGGGGTTTGAGGTAATGTTGAAGAAGTTTGATACATTTGACGGATATTATTTCTTAATGCCTGTAATTTTTCAGCACTTGGTACAACTGGACCTGAAGTTGAACTTCCTGAATTTTTTCTATAGTTATAATCAGGTCTTCTACTTCTTTTTAAATCAAAAGTATCATTATTATTCTTTGAAGGAGAAGTTTTATTCTTTTCTCTTTTTGAAGGCGATATTTCTCCATCATCAATTTCATCATCATTTATGAAATCTTGATAAGGAGAAGTAGATGGTGGAGGAGAAGTCTTGGGAGAATTTAATTCATCAATTGCTAATATTTCCACATCAGTATATCCTAATGAAGCAGATGATAAAGTTCTAGCCAAAGTAACAGCATCAGTTGCATCCATACCTGCTATTTTTGATAATTTTGATAATTCATTAGTTAAATCACGTAAGGAAGGATTACTAAATCGTTTATTATTATTAATATTGTTGTACCATGATTCACGTTTAGGAAATATATCATCTTTAAGTTTTGAATCTATATTCTCTTCATCTTCATCATGTGAATCATCATCAGCCGGTAAAGAACTTGAACTTAACGATGATTTTCTGGAGATTGATTGTCTTCTACTTTCCATGATTTCATCAACTTGAGATTTAATATGAGTTTTAAAACTTTCTGGATTTATTTGAGGATGCAAATTGGCTGGAACCCATAATAATTGATTAATTTCCGATGATGAAGAATCAGGAGAGGCATCATAATATTCATCGTTGGATTCTATGCTTGCGGTATCATTTATGGAAGCTTGACGTTTTATGGATGCTTGTCTTGATAAGGATTTATTTCTTCTTATATCTACTGGTTGTTGAGAAGAAATAGGAGATCTTGATTGAGAATGAGATGGTGATGGAGATGAAGTGGGTGATTTTTGTAATCTTTGATTATAAGGAGAATTTGAATCTGATTTTGAAGTTGAATGAGATGGTGGTGGTGGAGGAGGAGGAGGACTTGGAGATGTGGAAGAAGAAGAATGTATAGGTGAAGGACTTGATGAGTTATTATTATTATTATTTATTGAATCAATATTAATATCATCGATGGTATCTAAATTAGGTAAATCAGGATCATAATTCATTAAGTTCCCTATGGATAATCGTTTCAAAGCAGCCACTATTTTCTTCTCTTGTTCGATATCTTGAACAGCAGATTCATAATAGTTATGAGAAGAGGCCATGATGAATGATTATTGTTGTTTTATATGCAAAAAAAGTGAATGAATGAAAAGGTATATGTATGCAGTAAGTTGATCTGAACTTTGATTTGATCTTGATTTAGGGGTATAAAAGAGTGAAATATATGAGAATTAATAAGATAAGCAGAAACCTAATATGATGAACTCTGCATTAGTAAGTTTACCTGATGGATTGAAATGAATGGATGTGATTAAATGAACGAATGAATGGAATGAAATCAGTTGTTTGTTGATTATGAAAATAATAACAAACAAACAAACAAACAATATAAAACGGTATGCAAAGTGATGTAGGTGGACCAGATTATCTATACAGTAGAATGAATCAGTTGTTGACTGATGATATATGATATTAGACAGATCTGACTTAAGGGTTAAGAGGAAAGGACAGGATTAATAAAAGTTGGGGGACTAGCAGTGGATTGGATTGATGTTGCCTTTTTCAAAGTTTGAAACTGTTTATACTTTTTTTTGATCTCACCCAAAATTTTTACACGTCTCGTTTTCTGAGTGAGTGTCTCCTTCCAAATTAGACTGAAACAAGAATGCTATTTTTAGTATTATACAAAGTTAACTATATAGTTACAAATGAGGATTAATTACAATAAACAACAGTATACAGATTACACCGTTAGCAGATGTGAAACCCTTTATTCTTATTATAACAATACCCTTCTACTTCTTCTTCTTCTTCTTCTTCCCTCTTGTTCTCTACGGTTAATTAGCCAATTCTTTCTATAGTTAAGACCAAAAAGACGCGCCTTAAATTTTAAAATTTTTAATCGTCTAAATAATGATTAATTTGATTACTCTATAGATCTATAAACTCTAGAACAAAATGGTTATAAAGTGATAAGCTCCTCCTATCAATAAACTATAATACACAAGATTAACTACTCTGGTTTGATGGACTACCAATTCTGGCAATCCCATTACATTACATATAGTATGGACTAATATGTTACCCCATAAATTATGATATTTAAACCATATCAGATTCAGAATATATCCAAATAATGTAGTATAAGTTAATTGAAGGGCCACAGTAAGGATGATTTCTTTCAATTGATATTTCTCTTGTTTATATAAATGATACCCATGATGGATATGAGCAATTCCAAATAACCAAGGAGTATAATTTATAAATGATTTGGGGGATAAAGTTAAAATAATGCCTCTAAATATAAATTCTTCTGTAATGGGAGCAAATATATAATCTCTTACACCATATATATTCATAAAAGTATTAAGAAAATCTTGGTATAGACGATCAAAATTAGGAATGATTGAGATTTCTTGTTCATTGACAAGAAATAAATTAACTAGTATAGGACCAATAAATAATACTAATATAGATATCACACTATAACTAATATTGATCAAATCTTGAATAACACTAGTATCATTACTAGTGAAACCTGGTATTATATTCAATGATTTGATCCAGGTAATATATGAAACATGATTGAAAAATGGAATCAGAATTGATAACAACACACATAATAATGTAATTCTATAAAATCGAAACGTTATAACTTGGATATCATTTCTATCTTTATTTTGTAAATGATGAGGAATGTGGAAATATATGAACACCACATATGAGGTAGCAATCATGAAACATAGTAGAATATCAAATACCATTGCCTTTTTTAACCTCCTCAATTTGATATATGATGATTTTTTGACTTTTGAGTTTTGACGGTGAATGAATGATTTATTTATTTATTTATTCATTTAATTTATAAATCATTAAAAACTAAACTAAACTTTAAAAAAATAATTAAAGCACAGACAGATGATATAACAAGTGTTTAATGTTAATTGGTGCCTTAGAAAATGTTTCACATATTCAAAATAGATGTTTCATAATTTTTCACTCTAATGTCACAAAAAAAATGAAAATAAAAAATGACATGACAAAACTTTAGGACAAGACACAAAAAAAGACATTTGCACAAAAAGAGGAATTTCCTATTTGGGCGACATTTTTGACAGCCAGTTCAATTATAGATTGTATGGTTAGAGCGATAGATAATGATGAATTTAGTTGCAAAAACACTACTAAAAGTTTTTTTTAACAATATGTACATCAACGTGACATATTAATATAAGCAGTCATGATTGTAATTTACATAAAGATGAATAATCAATGTTGGCGTCTAATTGAAACCCTTGTATCTTCCTTTAGAATGTTCTCTCCGTAAATTTAATTATTTTTGTAATTAAATAATTACTTCTTTAGCGCTGACCATATTCTATTTGAAAAATATCATCATTCTCCAAACTTATATAGAAGAAGATGTGTTTTGATTTAATTTTCGAAAGATCAATCCCTGATCCTCAAATCAACTTGTCATCTACCGCTCAAGATCTGGCAACAGAAACATCCGTTTCTCAAACTGTGGAAAATATAGATGAATATTTTAAATCCACTAATGATAATTTGAGACAAACTAAGTTTGCATCATGGTTTCAGTATTTGTTCAACATATTTGTTTTTGTTATGGTAATTGTTTCCATAGCTTTATTGTCCAGTGGAATTATGAAGATAGATCTTGGATTTATATTTTTGTTAATTGGTTCAGCTTTAACTTACGCATATTATAATGTATTCACCTCCTTTTGTTTCCGCTATAGTTGTGGAATTTTTGTCGGTTATTCAGCAAATGATGCTTGTATTAAGGGAACAATATTATTAATCATTTCACTAATCATTGTTGTGTGTGCATTAATGGGATTATTGATAAATATTTCAGTAAACTTGATTTCTTGTTTTACAATATATATATTACCAGGATTAAAAGATATCATCAATCGTATATTTCCACCCCAAAAAGATAACTGCAATGCTGACAATCATATAAATATTCAATACTAAAGTATATTTGATAATCAACTATTTATAATTTATTCCTGGAATTTTAAGTTTTAGTGGCATTTTGTTTCTCATTTTATGAAAGTGAATATTTAAATTGGTTTAAATCTTCAAAAGTCTAACTTTATTTATTTCAATTCACCTTTTCCAACTTATTTGCTCATTTTCATTTATATAATATATACCATCCATAAAGTGCACTATATCTACCAAAATATTATATACTCATTTCATCATTCCACTAATTATTTTTTTGTACCATTACCTTTATTATTCTTTATTCATTCATTTTGCTAATTATTTATTATTCCCTTACCAATTTATTATACATATAATTCATTTCTCTTACTTTTATTATTTTGTTGTCTAATTTATTTTAATATGTAATTTAATATGTATTTATAAAAGAATTATATAGTTTCATTAATACTTTTAACAATATTCCCATAGTAAACCACAAAGTATGAATGTAAAAACTGATTCACTAAGACCGTTAAACTTCTTACAATGTTTACATTCTGGACGATGATCTGAATTAAATATGGTAGTACAAAGTATAGGATCCTTGATGATTTGTTTAATATTCGAAATATTATTTGTAATCTCTTCAAAATTTCTAGTAAGTTCAGATAAAGCGTTTTGAGTGTCGCCTTTTAGAGTATACTCCTCTGTAAATTTTAGGTAATGAATCTGAAGCATAGCTATCTAAAATCTTGATATCATCATCAGAATTATATAAAGGGGAAGGCATGAATGGTTAGTTTAGTCGAATATACTATCAATAAGAAGTGTGTTCTTAAATGTTTAGATGAACATGATAATATGTATTGAGAAATGTATACTAAAATCTAAGTAATGCATCAATAATAATACTTTCCTTGAACAACCTAAACTAATTATTTTTACTCAAAGTCTACACTTACAGATATGATATATAATAGCTAACTTCGTGACAATATTACGACAACCAGATGCTGAAATGACATACAAAACTATATTTTCACTAACACACACATTCCCATACCTGCCTATGCATACCATACTCTAACCAACACAATCCAAAGATGATAACTAACAAGTAAAACAAATGCTAATGAAATCAATGAACCAATAGTAAATCCATTAAAACTATTTTCAAAAGTAATGTATCTCCATGTTGAAACTTTCTTTGGAGGATTATTAAGCTTATATTTGATTAAATCAAGTTCATTATTGATTTTGTAAAGACTTTGATTAAGATTTGAAATATTGATGATTGAAGTGTTTTCACCATCAATGGTTTCTGTCTCAACTATTGGTTGTGGTTCAGGGGGTGATGTTTCTGATGATACTGGTCTATAAGAAAATTCAAATCCAAACATTGTTTCAAAGTTATCTATCAAAAGGAAAATAAAAAGTATACAAAAAGCTTACACTATTTTAAAAATAAATTGTTATGTGTATTTAAAACATAGATGTACACTCATGTAAATTATTTCATACCATATTGGGAAACTATAAATCCACTATTAATTTCAACATAACTGCCATAGTAATACTCACCATCAAACCACAAGATATGAAGACCAAAAGTGATTCAACCAGATTTTTAGTGTTTTTACAATGATTACATTTAGGAAGATGATCTGAATTGAATGTAGTATTACAAAGTTTTGGATCCTTAATCTTTTGTTTAATATTTGAAACGGTATTGGTGATTCCTTCAATATTTCGAGTTAATTCGGATAAAGCCTGTGAATCATGAGTAGTTTGATCCACCGTTATTATTCTTTTAATAACATTTGGTGATGAATCTGAAGCACATTCATCTAAGGTGAACGATTCGTTGTCAACTAAAGAAGAAGACATGATTAATTGATATAATATTGATTTAAATTGAAAAGAAATGAAAAGAAAGGAAGAAGTAGATACAATTTAATTTAAAAAGATTAATTTAGAGATAAACTAACGTACATTCATGTACCTTTTGTTAATAACATTTTTATATATAAAAACTATCCTAATATGATTAGTCTTAGAAATATTGCTACAATAATACTTACTATCAAACCTAATATAATAATTATAATAGTAGCTTCAAAACAATTATTAAATTCTTTACAGTGTTTGCATTTGGGAAGTTGATCAGAATTAAGAGTAGGAATAGTTTCGACTTTTAAATCCTTGATGTTTTGTTTAATGGTTGAAACATTATTGGTGATTTCATCAATATTTCGAGTTAATTCACATAATTCAACGAAATTTTGAGTTTCATTGGTGGTGAAATTAGCTCTTTTAGAAGTTTTAGATGATGAATCTGATTCATAGTTAGCCAAAGCGATGCCATCATTATCATCATAATCAAACAAAGTAGAAGTCATGATGAGCTTTGAATACTTTGATAAGAAGAGTGTTTTAAAAAGTTTTTAAGTTGAAACAGTATAATATTGTTATGTTATTGAGGAATTTAGAATTTAAGCATATCAAGTTCAAAATTATTGATCTTTCCTCATATAATTTGAGTTTCATATGATCTCTACACTTTAATCAGGATGTAACGTAGATGTATATTAACTAAGTAAACGTTGAAAATAGCTTCATAATACTGATCCTAATTATAATGTATCTTCAAATGATGACAACCAAGTGAATAAACCTACTTTGATATCAAACTTACTAAACCATTAATACAAATTAATCCAAACAAAACAGTAAAAATAGCAACAATTGATGCGGTAACAATCATAATACCAACCCCAAATTGTTTACTCTGACATTCTTTACACATAAAATCTGTCAGTGAAGCTTCACCTTGTTCCATTGATGATGATTGATTCATAGTTATTAATCGTTAATAAACATTTATAAATTGGAAAAGAGATTAAATCATAAAATGAAAACTTATAATGATACAAATGGGATAATTTATGAATTGGCAATTGCAAAACTGTAGCGGTAAGCAAAGTTGGTATTACCTAATTAGGAAATTCTGGCTTGCGCCGCACCCACTATTTAATGCTTAATTATGTATACTCTGTAGTAGTTATATTAACTATAAACTTCATTACTTAGAACTATCAATGTTGTTATCTTATGGTATTCTCCAATCTATCTTCTTAATCTTCTGCTTCTACTTCATAATTGTTATACTTCTATTACTTCTTAACTATCCTGTGACTATAACTTAACAACCTGCATATAATCACCAGTTATCAAGTGGCATTTTTTTTGTTTATCTGACTCATTTTTACGGGGACAGTGAGCTTATTTCATCTTCAATTTAATTAGTCAAATGAGAATGGTGATACAAAGAGGTATGGATGTTTTATTTTGATAATTTTTCATTATCAATTATGATTCTAAATGTAATATAAACTATCATCAAATTCATATGAAAATTTTTTCAATTGTTTAACTTGTTCATTTCTTAATTAGTCTGTATTGATAACACTTTCAGCCATGTTATTCCAACTAAGATCTAACATATCTCACATTAAACATGCTAATCAATATCAATTAAGATTCTTATCTTCATCGATAAGATGTTTGCAAGGTCAAAATTTAACAGAAAAGATTGTCCAAAAATATGCTGTCAATTCAACTAAATCAGTTCATAGTGGAGATTACGTTACTATTAAACCTCAATATTGTATGTCTCATGATAATACTTGGCCTATTGCTACCAAATTTTTAAATTTAGGAGCTAAAAAAGTTAAAAATAATAAACAAATTGTATTTACTTTAGATCATGATGTTCAAAATAAATCAGATAAGAATTTAACTAAATATAAGAACATTGAAGCATTCTCTAAAGAATTCGGTATTGATTTTTATCCGGCTGGAAGAGGTATAGGTCATCAAATTATGATTGAAGAAGGTTATGCCTTCCCATTGAATTTAACCGTGGCATCTGATTCTCATTCAAATACTTATGGTGGTATTGGTTCTTTAGGTACTCCTATCGTTAGAACTGATGCCGCATCGATTTGGTCTACTGGTCAAACTTGGTGGCAAATCCCTCCCGTGGCCAGAGTTGAATTAATCGGTAAATTACCAAAAGGTATTACTGGTAAAGATATTATCATTTCTCTTTGTGGGATCTTTAATAAAGATGAAGTTTTAAATCATGCCATCGAATTCGTCGGTGAAGGGGTTAAGGATTTACCTATTGATTATAGATTAACCATTGCTAATATGACTACGGAATGGGGAGCATTATCTGGTTTATTCCCAATTGATCAAACTTTAATAAATTGGTATGAAGATAGATTAACCAAAGTTGATGCAAATCATGCTAGAATTAATCCAGATTCGATTAATGAAATCAAACAAAATCAAATTCAATCCGATAATGATGCTAAATATGCTAAATATTTAACCATTGATTTATCAACTTTATCAACTCCATATATATCAGGACCAAATTCAGTCAAGATTTCAACTCCATTATCAGAATTATCCGCTCAAGAAATTAAAATTAATAAAGCTTATTTAGTTTCATGTACTAATTCAAGATTAAGTGATATTGAAGCGGCTGCTTCTATCTTAAAGGGTAAGAAAGTTAATCCTGATGTTGAATTTTATGTGGCTGCTGCTTCATCTCAAGTTCAAAAGGAAGCCGAATTATCAGGAGCTTGGCAAACTATCTTGGATGCTGGTGCTAAACCATTACCCTCTGGTTGTGGACCATGTATTGGGTTAGGGATTGGATTATTAGAAGATGGTGAAGTTGGGATTTCTGCCACCAATAGAAATTTCAAAGGTAGAATGGGTTCTAAGGATGCTTTAGCTTATTTAGCATCTCCAGAAGTGGTTGCTGCTAGTGCTATCTTAGGTAAGATTGGAGGACCTGAAGAATTATATGAAGGTGGTAAAGTTACTCCTGCAGTTGAACCAAAAGTGGAAACTATTATCCCTACATATGATGATTCCGTTGTGGTTGAATCAGGAGCTAAAGTTGATATCATTGATGGATTCCCAAGTAGTATTACTGGAGAATTAATCTTATGTAATGCCGATAATATCAATACTGATGGTATTTATCCTGGTAAATATACTTATCAAGATGATGTGCCCCCAGAAACTATGGCAGAAGTATGTATGGAGAATTATGATCCTGAATTCCGTACCAAAGCCCAAAGTTCGGATATCATCATTAGTGGATTTAATTTCGGTACTGGTTCATCTCGTGAACAAGCTGCTACTGCCATCTTAGCTAAAGGTATGAAATTAGTCGTGGCGGGTTCATTTGGTAATATATTTTTCAGAAATAGTACCAATAATGCATTATTGACGTTAGAAATCCCATCTTTGATTAATAAATTGCGTGAGATTTATAATGATTCCAAAGAATTAACCATCAGAACAGGATGGGAGTTGAATTGGGATATTCCAAGTGCAATGGTTACTGTTAAAGATAAATCCAACGGTGAAGTGATTTTAACTCATAAGGTTGGTGAATTAGGTACTAATTTACAAGATATTATCGTTAAAGGTGGTTTAGAAGGATGGGTTAAAAGTGAATTAGCCAAAGCATAAAAAAATAAAAATAAATCTTTGATAGGTTTATAAGTACATAGACATATATAATTATATATATACGTTGCCAAAAAGTAATTGTATTATTTATTCATCTTATTATTATTATTATTAGTCATGGTAGTAGTAGTGTTCTGTCCATATTGGATCTGATGTATGTAAATGACGAAGCTTTTCATATTCTGGATTCTTAAATTTGTGAACAAAGGAAAGACCTTGATCAATATCTGATATATGTAAGATCTTTTCACCTAAATGGATGTATTCCAAGACACAAAAGCTATCAGCCAACCACCAACCTAATGGAATAGTAGGTAAATTTGATAAGTTATATAATGCCATTTCCATATTTTGAGGTGGAATGATTGGATCAGTTTCAAATACAAAGCTATACCATTGAAATTTTTTTAATATATGAATTGGAAGTCTGAATTGAATTTGATTATCAATGGAGAAATCATGATAGATAAAAAGATGGAATCGAAATTGGAATAAATGCCATAATCTCAGTTGGAAATAACACATCTTCTTCAACAATTCAAACATACCTAATCCATTATCACGTTTACCCAAAATGAATTCCAAATAAATGACTTGATTAGGACTTGGATTTAAACTCATGATTTTTTCAAAAAATAATCCCAAATAATGCTTATCATGATAACTAATCAGATCTTCACAAAAGTAATCTTCATCATAAAGTTTCAAATATTCATAGGGGGAATTGGTATGTGTAAACACCACAGGATCGGGATCTCGAATAGGTTCCACAAATAAAGATTTATCATCATCTTCTTGTAAAGTATTAACTCGGATAGTAATAGGAAGCATAGCTGATGGTAGAGGTTCAAGATATTCTCCAAATGCATCTTTAACTTGATGAGTGATAACTGAAAGAATAGTTTGAATGTGGAACATTTTTGTATAGCTGTAAAGTTAATTGCTTGGTAGCATAATAATATATATTAGAGTTTATAATTTTTTTTGCCGCCAATTAAAAACGGCAACTGTAATAAAGAAGAGGAGTTCGCAAAAAGGAAGGTATATTTCTTACAAGAGATATACACATCATGTTCAGCATATTTCACATATTACAAAGATTAATATCAACTATAGACATATTATATTCGTTGATGGGTATATCATATATGTAGATTAATATAGTGTACTTTAAAAAGCTGCAAATATAAAAAAAGTGGTGGTGGTGTGCATATTATGATACCCTGAAAAAAAAAGTTCCTACAAAGACAAACTGCGCTAAAAATCTCAATTAGGTTAAAAATCGATAAGAGTAAAACATAGAGGTAGGGGAACTTAATAAAATATTAGTTGTATATTATTTGAGACTAACGTATATGTGAAGTTTGAATAGGTTGGAGTATAATTTATATGAATCATAATTTCAAATTATTATTTTTTTAAAGGGTTATAAGAGATTTAAAACTGATAATGAAATCGAATCAATGGTTAGATTGATGCGAGTGTAAGCATAATACGACTCGTTAATGCTTCGTGCGATTTCATTTGATGATATGATATGATATGATTTTCTGCTTATGTCCATTATTTTGTATCCCTCATAAATCAAATGGAAAATCATTATATGTAGAGAAAGATATTGAAGGTGGGTTTAATAGGAGAAGAACGAAGATGTACGGCTGGCTGGGGGAGTTCTAGGCTGGATGAAATAAAAAGTCCGGTGGAGGCAAAAAAAATTAGTGGCTACCCCCCACCACCCGCAACAATCTGAACAATGAAGAATTTTAGGGTATGTTGCCGAAAAGCAGCCGACCCCCGTTAGGTCCTCCCAATTTCTTCTTTTTCCCCGTTGTAACTTGTAATTTTGTGATAAAATTTCACTGCAGAAGAATTTGTCGCTAGAAAAAAAGAAAAATTGCATTCGTTGGATTACCCCTCCCCCGCTTAATTTTTTAGTGAGAGAAATTACAGGTCAGGCAAAATAAATAAAACGTTTAGCGGATGGATAAAGAGAACAATCAAGATGTAATTAGTTATTGATGATGATGATGACTTGATGATAGATGAAATTAGAACTTCCTTATAAGGTAATGTTTCACTTTTGTCATGAAATTATTAGTGGCACTTTTGCTCAGATTTACTAGAGATTTACTTTACACATGAATACCATTTAGTTAAGGTTTAACGGATAAATTGAATAAGTAGTACAAACCATAAAAAGAGAGTGCTTAATCCCGCTGTAATATTAGAATAGTCACTAAAAATAATATTTTTTTACCTTAAAATTAGAAATTAGTGGGATAAATAATTAATTAATTATTTAGTGACAATAAAAGAGGGTAAGAAGTTTATATAAATAGATTGATCAATCCTTTATAATTTATTTTTAGTTTATTACAAGATATCAACTTAATACTAAGTTTACATCTATTCATTATTCCTTATTAGACTATTCCATTCCTTCATCATTCATACCCCAATAACATACCATATAACATACTATCATAATGCAATTAGTGGAAGATATCAAATCCACTATAGATAACACTATAGAAGAAGCATATACCATCTTAGATAATATATTATATTATATTTTAAATGCCGTTATGATGACTTTACTATTTACTGATTTATTAGTGGAGTTTATTAATAATTGTATATATAATTATAAGATTATAAAATGTTCTATCAAGCATCAAATGTATAATAATATAAATTGATTATTAGTGGAGGATGGAGATTTGAACAGAAAATTGGATTGAAACCGGTGGAGGGCAGACAGTCAGACAGAATCTTACAGTAAAGTTTTGTGTCTGAAGAAGAAATATTTTGACATTAATTGTTTTTTAAAAAAGTGTCTTAACTTTTCACATGAAAAAAAGACAGACAGACAATAATATTCCCAGACAATTTTGTTCCTCCAATTCTATGCATTATGATACACACATTTCCATTATAGTTTAGTTCATTCATTCATTCATGATGATCATAGTTAATATAGATAAGTTTATACCTTGATGGTAAATCCACTGTGCAAAAAAGTTTTTTATGTTTTGGTTAAGGTTTGGTTTCTTTTGTTTTGTTTTATTTTATTTTTTTTAGATTATTGTTACGGTTGTTGTAGCCCTTTTCCCATATTTTTAAATCTACTCATCTGATTAGAGTTAAATATTTACGAACAAAGATGTGTGTGTGTGTCGGTGTGTGGTAATTACATCACACCATTACACCCACTACCACTTCTAACAACAATAATAATAATATTATTATATAATTTAGATTTATACGTTTAGTTTGGTTTGGTTTTTATATATTAATTTATGATTTTATTTCTCAGTAATTCATTTTTGCAACAGTAAAAAAAAATAAAAGTAAAAGATAAAAAATTCCCCACATTTTGTTTACTTTAATGATCATCAAAAATTTCATTTAACTATAGCGTATTGAACGCTACCATTTATATCCCCTCTTTAGTTCTTTAAAACCTTATTAGAAGTACATTACAACATATACCCATTACAACCAACTCCATCATTTGATCGAGGTATTTAATGTTTTTAGTTTCCCCACACAATTATTTAGTTGATTGCTATTGTTATGTCAACTATGGAATGATTTAAAATCAATAACAATCTAAGATCTAAATCATCACGCAACGGACTTGGTATGTGATTATAAATTTCAAGTTGTATGTTTATGTTTGCGTTGTTTAACCATCACGGACACGGTTCTTCCTTACATTGTTCCCCTTTCCTCTAGATTATATTCTCTTCATAACCGTATGATAACATCAAATTACAAACCCGCGCTTTTATATTATGGGTATAACTCCATAATCTACATATTTTTAACAATATATCCTAATTAGGATATATCATACTTTTATTATTTTGAACATAAAATTATTATATTGTATTATATTGTATATACATATATATGTTTTGTTATTTTGTTGTTGTTATGTTTTTACCCCTGTAGAAATACAAACTATCTATTACTACTGATTAAATTATATGAATGACAATGAATGAATTAATAAATCTTTTAACGATTAATTTATTCTTCATCAGCTTCTTCTTCTTCATCATCTTCAGCAACTGAGTAGAATTGTAATTGATATTGGTTTTGTTTGGTAGCAACAAATCTAATCCAATCTCTAATTTGGTTTTTCTTTAAATATCTTTTAGTTAAATATTTTAAGTATTTACCAGAGAATTTGGTGTTGGAAACAACAACAACTTTAGCACCTTCAGAAGTAATAGAGATTTCATCACCTAAGTTACCAACAATACCTTCAACTTTGATATGTTCAACTAAATATTTAACGTAACCTTCTTGATCGAAAACACCGTTATCAACTGGAGCTGAAACGTCAACGACGAATTTCTTAGCAGCTTTAGATTTTTTAGTAGTCTAGAAATAGATTGTTAGTATGATTGATTCATTCCTCAATTTTGAGCCTACCGCACTTTATATCACATTACACACTTATAATTTTAAGAACAAAACTAGGGATTTGGTGTAGAAGATAAAAGACAGCAAAGCATATTAGTAGTAGTAGTCAATAGTAGTAGATTGTAAACTTCAGGGTATGCCTAAAAGTGATTGGGTTAACAAACAAACAAACATTTCAAACAAACATATATAACAATATTAAACAATGATAATATAAAATTGTTCATGTAGTTCTTTCCAGTTCCACCATAATCGCCATACTTTCTTTAAACTCTTATTGGAAGGGATACAACGTATCAAATCTTGGTTTAAATACTATTCAGGCCAAAGTATGGTATGTCTTTCTTTTGATCTTTTTCACGTTATTCAATTCATCTTCCTCTTAAAACTATGAAATGATAGTAATGTAATGATATAATATATGAGATGATATTCTCGTTAATGCCGGTAGTCTCATTTTTTTCAACTTATGATGATACTTACAATTGGAGCCATTTTGTATATGTATTAGTATGATTTGATTAAAAATGAATAAATCGTTTAAATGTAGTATATTAAAATTTCAATTTTTTTATTTTTTCTTACTGCTGTTTGGTGAAATGAAAAATTTGTGTGGTCTTCACAAAAGAGTCGCGCCAATACCAAAAAATAAAATGAAAAAGCGAGTTTAGGGTTGTAACCCTGGTGGTTCGATTAATCATGTGATCGTTTGAGTCATCCTCAGAAATGACTCCTCTCAAATGAGTCTCTCTCTCCTCTTTCGCTCTTACTCTCCTCAATGGGATGATTCAAAATCATCTCTCTCTCCCAGTTCAAAATGCTCCCAGTTTTTTGCACCCTACAATATGAAGTTTATGCATTCCCCTATGCCCAACATATTAAACCAATTATATTACAAATAAAAATAAGCATTTCTACATATCTATTTTATAGTTCTTTCTATTTCATTTTCTTTTATCAATTAAGCTTCTTATTTTTTTCATTAATCGGCCATGAGTTATAAATTAATAGTTTCCAAGCGATTACTATCAACTTCAATTGGGAGATTAAATACATCATCTTCAACCTCGTCAAATGTTATATTAGGGAAGATTTCTGAATTTGATTCATCGAAATTTAATTTCAATATTATCGCCAATGATCCACCCTCCATTAATGACATTAATGCTGATCCTATTCAATTAGCTTTAAATTCATCCCCTATAAATACTTGGACTAAAGATCAAATTAAACAAATCTATGATACTCCCTTATATGATTTAATTCATTTTTCTCAATTACAACATCGTAAACATCATAATCCAGGTGAAGTTCAATTATGTACCTTATTAAATATTAAAGAAGGGGGATGTACTGAAGATTGTAAATATTGTTCCCAATCATCCAAGAACCCTACTGGTTTAAAAGCATCCAAATTATTACAAGTAGATCAAGTTATGGAAAAAGCTCGACAAGCTGCTGCTAATGGAAGTACCAGATTTTGTATGGGGGCTGCATGGAGAGATATGGCAGGAAGAAAATCAAATTTAAAAAGAATTGGAGAAATGATATCTACTATAAATAATGAATTAGGAATGGAAACTTGTGTGACATTAGGTATGATTAATGCTGATCAAGCTAAAATCTTAAAGGATGCTGGTTTAACTGCTTATAATCATAATATCGATACATCTCGAGAATATTATCCTAATATCATATCTACTCGAAAATTTGATGAAAGATTACAAACGATTCAAAATGTTCAAGATGCGGATATTAAAGTATGTACAGGTGGGATCTTAGGAATGGGGGAAACTTCTGAAGATCATATTTCATTCTTATATACCTTATCCAACATGCCCAAGCATCCTGAATCCTTACCCATTAATAAATTAGTATCTATAAAGGGGACCCCCTTACATGATGAATTATTAGAAATCCCTAAGGATTCAGAACGTCATTTAAAATTCGAACAAGTTTTAAAAACAATCGCTACTGCCAGAATAATCATGCCGAAATCAATCATAAGATTAGCTGCAGGGAGATATACCATGAAAGAATATGAACAATTCATATGTTTCTTGGCGGGTTGTAATGCGATTTTCACGGGGGAAAGAATGTTAACTACAATGTGTAATGGTTGGGATGAAGATATTCAAATGTTAAAGAATTGGGGTTTAGTTCCAATGAAAAGTTTCTCAAAGTAAGTGAACTAATATATATATTTTCAAGTATTTAGGTTTAAGAGTCATTTTGTAAATCATCTAATATATTGTCCTTATTAATTATAGCATCCCTCTCGATACCTTCATCGTCGTCGTTGTCGTCGTCTTCTTCATTCTGCTCCTCCTCCTCTTGGTCTACTTTTATAAGTTTATTCTTCAGCAGTCCAATTGTATTATTCACCATCGGCAATGAGAAGGATTCATCCATACTATTATCATTAAGTTTGGTTAATACTCCCGCAGCATTTTGTTTCGAATTACCTTCTTGGGGAGTTGGAGTTGGAGTTGAGATTAATAATTTCGACAAGACATTTTCGGTAGTTGTAGTGGTTGATATCGCTATATTCTTGGTATGAATAGGTTCAGGGTGACTCAATGGTTGGAAATTATTATTATTATTGTTGTTATTATTGGTATGAGTGAATTTAACCGTCTCAAGAGTATCATCATCTATTAGTTCCTCATCATCTAACCCATCTCCATTATCATCATCAATCACATCATGCTCTTCATTCTGTTTTTGTTCATCCATATCTTCATCATCTTTATAATTAACTTCGAATAAATCCGGCGAAATACTTAATAAATCATCCAATCCTCCACCAGACCATCCCTTTCTGGCTATACCTTCTGAAATCTCCAATTGAGCTCGTATCAATGACCCTGTCTTGATTAATAAATGATCTTGATTGAATTTCGTCACTATCGAATTTATCTCATGATAATAATCATACTTCAATCGATCAATTTCATCTAATTGATTAGTTAAATTTAATAAATTATGTTTATAAATATTTAAATTCCGAGTTTTCTGTTTGGAAAGTTTTAAATTCTCTAATTCTTGTGTTCGTAATAATTTTGATTTTAATTTGATTTCAGTTTGATAATAGGAATGATTTAATTTATAATGTTGTTTTAATTTATTTAATTCATCCCGTAATGGCACTTCATAACTACTTTCAATCAATCTACTTAAGATTTGTTGATTACTTCCCATCATATATTGTAATCCTGCTGCATTGATTAATCCATCATGAACTAATTTGGGATTATTGATCTTGGGGTTTTTATTAATACAATCTTCAAGAGCTTCACCAAATTCATTAGCTACTTCACTAACTGTTTGTAAGACTTGTCTTAATTTAGCTGCTTTTTGAATCACATTCTCATATGTTTCAATTGAAGTTTGGAAATCTTTGGAGGTAACTATATCAGGTAAATCCAATACCGATGGAGAAAATGAGGTGAATGTATTTAACGAAGGTTGTCTTTTCACTTGATTACTACTTGAATTGGAGAATGCTGGTGATGGTTTTGTAATCAGGATATTACTATGAGTAGGTGATAATGTAGATGGAGAAGCTAAAGGTATTTTATTTACTAATGAATAGAATTCCGATAAGTGTTCAGGAGGAGGAGGAGGATTGGATTTGGATGAACCTAGTATATCGATCAGCCCACCATTTCTATGACCTTGACTGCGATGATAATCACCTATGGGTTTCGACGTAGGTGACTTTTGTAGATTATGAAAAGGATCAGTCATGGGGAGGAGGGGGGTCTTATCTTGCTATTTTCTGTTTGATTGATGGATCTATATGCAGTTGATTGAAGTAAGGTATTTCCCTATCTATGTGTATATCGTGGTATCAGAACAATGACTTGTACGTCTGATTGATAATGCTATGGTTGTATAATACAAAGTAATTGATTGATATGATGTTTAATCTGATTGATTGATTGTTATTTTTTGTTTTTTCTGTTGTTTTGAACTCCATTTTTTTTTCTCTGTAGATGAGACTAACAATAGAAAGTATCATGAAATAATGTTAGTTATATCGTGCACACGAATAGTAATGGACGGTATTGGTTGTGGTGTTGGTATGTTCCAATGCTACTTAAGTGAAAGATCAAACTTTAAATTGTAATCAACATTCATGTTTATGAATAATACTGATGCTGTCTCCTTTTGGATTCAAATCAGATAAAATCTGGCATTGAACTTCATACCATCAAACTTGAAAGTTAACTAATGCTGATTTTGGTTTAATCATATTGAATTGATGTACAACTAGTTCAAAATCACCTTGTAATTAAGATAACACCGCTTTCTAGGTTGAAGTTGTAATGTATATTACATAGACCATTCTAAGTTAGAGTATCATAAGAGTGAAGCTGTTTAAACAGAGGATACTTGTTACATCTCAAAGTCCTACTGAATAACTATCATGATCATTTCATTACATAAGAATCAACCAAAAACCACTTACTCTTTATATTCAGAAACGGTATAGGGTAAAAGTGTAATAATAATTTCGCAATCGAATTTGTGGACAATTACCGGATTAGGCAATGTTTAGAGTAGGGAAGAATATTAACCTGATAAGGAATATATGTATAGGTTATATTTAATTAGATTTAAAGGTATGGATTGGATAATGGATGGAAATAGTATAATTAAGTTAAATGTAAGTGGGACGATGATATGATTTATGAGTTATTGTGTTGTAACTAAGTAAGTACTCGTTAGTTTTTGATTATAATTGTGGTTGTGTTGTGCCTCGGCTAAACAAGAACAATCTTATATCACAAAGTACTAAGTAAACAGATTTGGTTACGACATAAATGATTTACTTAATATATAAACACACCATTAAAGTTTAAAATAGTATTGATGTTAAGTGTAACGAAAAGGTTAATTGGTCAGGAGACTGTAAATAAACGGTGTTGTATAGTAGTTATATGAGGCAGATGTCCCCTTTTTTTAACGACACAAACAGACAGACATTTTTTAATCTGACATTTTGTCTGTCTGTCTGACAGTGTCTGATTTTCTCCTTTAAATTTTTTTTGTTCATCGATCATTTTTTTTTTATGTTTAATTTTCTCTTTCCACACTTTTCTTTCCATTTAGATAGTTATTATTAATTCTAATTGATATCAATCGATTGTTAACGTATCATACGACACTTGCAATCTCATCAATCAATCTCATCACATCAGTCAATTCCATCAATTCATTGTTCTTTGATTGTTCAGGTATTTATTCAACTAAATTATTACCTGTAATTACTTTTTGATCCTTATCATCCTCCTCCTCCCTCCCTTTTTTTTCCCCTATTGGAATTTCGCCCCCTTGAAATTTCATCTATCCCATCAATTCATCCCATCAATCTAATACTTCCCATCCATCAATCAATCAATCAATCAACTAATCATGTCTACTCCAGCTAAAGTTCCAGTTCCACTCACTCCTTGTTTCGTCTTAGGATGGCAAGATCCAATCTTCACCGGTAAAATCTTTGCCGGTGTGGTTTCAACTTTAGTTATCTTTAAATATGTTAATTTATTTAACCTTTTTTTCCATATTGCTTATATTGGATTATTAGTATCAGCTGGTGCTGAATATGCTGGTAAATTAGTTACTGGTCAAGGGTTTGTTACTAAATATAAACCAACTTCAAAATCAGTTGCTAAAATCTTTAATGAATCAGTTTTACCTCAACTTGGTGAAATCTCCATTTATTTAGAAGAAGAATTTAATAAAATTGCTTATTCTCATGATGTTGAAACCACTTTAAAAGCTGCTGGTATCTCATATGTTTTATATAAAGTTACTTCATGGTTCTCCTTGTATACTTTGATTGTTATTGCCGTTGGATTCTTTTTCACTTGGCCTCCAATTTATCAAAGAAATCAAATTGAAATTGATGAAGCTGTGGCTGAATATACTAAATTAGCTAAAGAAAAAATTGCTGAATTAACTGCCACTGTTCATAAACAAGCTGCTCCTCATATTGAAACTTTAATTAAAAAAACTGGTCCAGTTGGTTCATTTGTTCAATCTAAATTCCCAACTAGAACTGCTGGTTCAACTGTGGGTGAAAGTAAAACTACTTTTGGTACTGCTGCTGATGCTGTTCCAGTTGCTCATACTTCTGGTGCTTCAAAATTCCCAGATACTCCTGCTACTAATTTAGGTGAAGGTACTTTTGAAGATGCTGTACATGAAGTAAAATCAACTGTTCATGAATAAATTTAGATTTTATATCTGATCATGAATCTTCATTATTAATAATTTTTTTGCTATTATCGCTACCATTATAATTATTACAATTATTATTATTTATTTTGTTAACTGCTGATTTATACACCCTTTTTTATTATTTTATTTGCTTAATCGCTGATCTTATTATTTTCAACAAATTGATTAATTCTTATCTAACTATCTAGCTTTATTCTTTACTTATACAGCTCTCATTTTTTATTCATTCTCTTCTTTGTGTTAATAAGATTCTTTCTCCAATACACCAGTGTATAATAGAGTCTGATCTTTTGTTTAACTTTTTGTATATGTATATGTATAAATTTCAATAAATTTATCACTAATTATTCTACAATGATTTTTAATGTACTATGTCTTTATATATATATATATTAACTAGATGTTTTATTCTATTCACAATCATCAGGGGTTGGTAATCTTTTATAACATGCAATCCATTTACTACCATTATTTCTAGTAACTTTTTGACCTTCTTCAGTTGAATTAAACATTATATCAACACATTTATCAGTTGATTCCCATTCTTTACTTAATCTTTCAAATAAAGGATGTTCATCAAGATGTTGAACCATCCAATTATGAAGATCTTCCACATCAGTAATAGTATAAATCACTCCTCCTTCCTTTAACACAAACGCATATTCTGATAATAAGGTATTAGTAACGATTCTAGCTTTATGTTTTCTTTGTTTAAAATGGGGATCAGGAAAGCAAAAGAATATTTTTGATAATTGACTCTTTTGAAAGAAATTTGGTAAGAATTTCATAGCATTTGATCTTAATACAGCAATGTTTTGATATTGATTTTCATGAGTCTTTCTTAACGCAATGATTCTATCTTCAACATATTGAGTCACTTGAACTCTAATTTCCATTCCTAAGATTAAACTTTGTGGAAATTCAGGACTTAACTTTAATAATAATCCACCATATCCACATCCAATATCAGCAATTTCAACTTTATGAGTATCAAAAGTATTAGGATATAATTTGGACCAATCCATATCGGAGGGAGATCGAGGGTAATCTAATCTATGATCGGAAAATGGATTGGAATGAGCTCGTTGTCTATAATATCTCTTTCTGGGTAAATCTAAATTTAATTCATTTTCATGTTTAACTTTCTTTTTTGATTTGGTTATAACTTCTCTAGTTTCGAATTTGACTTCTCTATATGCTTTTCTTTTACTTTCGGCATCGGCCTGTTCTCGGAGTTGAGTCTCCTTATCCTTCGTAGAAGGTGGTTGGTGTGGTTTGGGCATGGTTAAGTGGTGATGAGCTCTACCCTTCCTATACTTTAAAGATTCAATTTTTTTTTTAAGTAGAGATGATTCGAAATTTGCACTATACACTCAAAAAAATTTAAATTGTTGCGAATTGTTATATTATATGCTGGGGCTATTTACAGATTTTATATACAAATGTGATTGATTAATTAATTACCTTCTTCTTCTTCCTTCTTCTCACTTGGATCAATGTCTTTTCTTCTTTCTTCTAAAGTTAAATATAAATGAGTACTAGCAGTTTCTAAAGTTCTAACTAATCCAGCTCCTCCTAATATAGTTAATAAACCTGCTAATTGACTTTGTAAAGTTAATTGATCAGGTAAATCTTTATAAACATTAACTTGATCAATATCATACACCGATTTTTCAACTTTAGCCCCGATTAAAATCAATCTATCTTGATGTTTCTTAATTAATTTAAGGACTTTACTGACATTTTCAGGATCACCCTTTGGAATCGATATAATAGCAGTTGGCCCATTTAAAAGGGGAGATAAAGGATGATCTACATCCTTATATTTGGAAGTCACTCCCTTGGCAGCAGGATCGGAATCAGTTTCATTTCTAAGGTACACTCTATATATTCCAACTCTGAGATAATGAAAAGTTGAATTATTAATTTTGGATAATTCAGATCTAACAATCTTATTATCAGCTTTATTTAAATTATTATGATGGACGTATAATAAGATTTCATTGGTATCATTGATATGTTTATATAAATCCATTAAATAGGTCTTTCTGGAGTTTAAATCCTTTTCAGTGATTCTATCAGATGATAAATAATAATCAGCCGTTGAAGAATTATTGGTTATATTAGATGATGATGCTTGGGTAGTATAAAATGCAAGGGGAGAAAATGATTTCTGTCTGAGACTGGGCACTATGGTCCCTCTTGAAGCTAACAAACAGCCTCTTAATCTAGTAATTGATAACATTTAATTTGAATGGTTTATATGTCTCTACCAATTAACATCTATTCAACTTGGTCCTTTGACTTTAAACTGTTCTGAAATTTTTTTTCACCTTTTTCTTTGAGCAAAAGTACACGACCTTTTTGATAGTATAGTCACGTGGATTTCTATAATTTTACATAAATACCTTAATTAATCCATCAAAGGTGGATGAAATGAATTGAAACTTGAATAATTTATATATCATAAACATATAAAGTGATTTAGCTTCCAATAATGAAGATTATCTTACTAAAATGGTGTAAAATACAGTATTTACCTCTATCACACGACCTCTTCCACACTAAAATTAAGCAGAACAAACTAAAAAAAAAAATTAATTTTTGATGAAATGGGATATATCCAACTTTGATTTGCTTTCTTCTGCAGTTAATCTTCTACATCATAAAGGGTTTCATATAGTATCCCTTTTCATAGGTCATTCTCATAAAGTAGTAGAAGAGAATCAAACAGATGGATGTTTCAGATCATCAAGAGCTGACAAAATCGACTGCAAGTGTACTTGAATCACTTCAACTCAGTAATTCAATTGAATCAAAACCTGATCAATCTCATCAACCTATTCAATTAAAAAGTAATAATATATGGGATTTAAGTGTTAATCAAAATATTTCAGATTCTTCAGGTATGGAAATTACTCCTCCTCCAGCTTCCCATTCATTAAAGAGAAAATTTGATTCAAATACAACAGCAGCAACAACAGCCGCATCAGCATCATCTCCTGTTCAAACTAATAACAATATGCCAAGATTACCTAAATTACCTAAATTCAATCGGAATCCGAAATTTGATGTCGATTTACATTCATCAATTGGGTTCATTGATTTACAAAGATTAGAATACACCACTAAAACTTTACAAAAAAATATTAGACTCATCATTAATGATGCCCCCAATTTATATCAATTACGTCAAATTTTAAATTCAAACAAGATTGATACTGGAACTAAAGTTGAATTAGAATCAAATAAATATATCAATTTATCTGCAGAATTGAAAAGTAAATATGAAGTGGGGAAATTATCAATCTTTGATCAAATTCAAAATGGTTCAGCTCCCGTTAGTGATGAAGAATTTGCATTATTAAATGATCAACATTCAGAATTGGTTGATATTAAACCACCTGTTGAATTATTGGATGCCAATACTGAATCCAATAATACTCCGATTGAACATGACAATGATGAAGAAGATGATTATGATATGGATAATATCCCTCCTTTACCTCAGATTAATGATCCTCATTTATTAGCCAGAGTTTTCATTCATAAATCAACTGTTAATAGTAAATCATACTTGGATCCGACTGAATTAATCAATTCTCATAATGAAAGATTGGAATTTCTTGGTGATTCAGTCTTGAATAATTTAGTCACCTTGATGATTTATCAAAGATTCCCAAGTGCAACCGAAGGAGAATTAACCATCTTAAGATCTCATTTAATCGATAATAGAACTCTTGCTCAATTTTCATTTCTATATAATTTTGATAAGAAATTAAGAGCAAATATAGGTGAAGATGTACTTAAAAGTGGAGATCAAAAGATTTATGCTGATATTTTTGAAGCTTATGTTGGTGCATTAAGTATGGAAAGATCAAATTTAACTGAAATTCAAGAATGGTTGAAACAATTGTATGAATCGAGAATTCGAAAATATGAAGCGGAACAAGTTAATGTTGAATCTATTAATAAAGAAGCTAAATCAGAATTATACTCCGTAGTGGGTACTGCTCAATTACATCCGGAATATATCGTGGTGGCAGAAGGAAATGGATCAATTAAAGATTTTGAAGTTCAATGTAAAATGGGTGATGAAGTGTTGGGAACTGGTAGAGCTCCTTCTCAAAAAGATGCTGGTTTAAGAGCCGCCATGTCTGCTCTTAAAAATAGACCTATTTTAGAAAAATATTTCCGCTTAAGAATGGCGTCTGATAGAAAGGAAACAGTTAAAGCGCCCGTTAAAAAAGCAAGTAAGAAAAGTACAACCACTTCAGAAGGTGAAGAACGTAAAGTTCCAAGATCCCCTATTAGAACAGGCATTTTCCCCTTGAAAGCAAATGATGAAGATCCTTTAGATACAGATGCTAGAAATACCTTATATGCTGAAATTGGGAAAAGAATTGGTGAAGTTCCACAATATATAGTTACTAAAACCGCTACTGATATTTTAATCGTTTCGCTTTCCATTAGAGGTTTAGTGGTGGTTACTGCTACTGATAAATCTAAAAAGAAAGCCATGACAAGAGCAGCTATGACTCTATTAAATGATTCAACTGCTTTAAATGAAATTTGTAAGGATTCCTTCATATGACATCCATAAATTTATATAAGTAATGTATGTTCGAATTTTATATAAGTTCAATTCAATTTATATTTTCGTGTAGACGCATTTCAAAATTTTGCAACTCATAAATTTTTAAAAAGTATAATCACACCAAAAATTAATCAAAACACATCAAACCATCATGATAAGTATAACCATTCGATATCTTCAATATGATAAATAAAAAGATAGCAAAAAAGAAAGTGGTCCCTAGCAGGATCGAACTGCTGATCTTGGCGTTATTAGCACCACGCCTTAACCAACTGGGCCAAGGGACCATTTTATGTTGCGATTTTTTGTTCCAGCCATTCGGAAAATCTATGTGTCAGGTGATTTTTATCAGGTGTTTCAATTTTCAATTGATATTTATCCTATTTAGAACTTATTTATTTAATTATAATATATATTGATATATATGTGTATTATGGTAGATTTAAACTGTACAAATTAAAACTAAATTAATTGTGTGCAAAAAGGTGTAGTTGTGGGTTGAAAAGTCCCATAGATAAGAAATTTTTGTAATTTTTTCAACCATTTTTTTGCAATAAGGATATATTTTCATACTTAAGTTTATGTCTGCAAATAAATAGAGTTTTCCTTATATAGTTTCTCTATCAAACTCATTTCTTACAAATCTTTTCTTTAGATACTAAGTCTACTTTTTAGATACATAATAAATGCTACTCATTAGAAAAAAAAAACGGTTCTTCTAAATACTTAATTTCCTCTTCGTTTAATTTAAAATGAGTTGCTTTAACAATCTCTTACTTTAAATGTATGGCCGAGCTGAATGAAGCGAACTTTACGGTGTTAAAACTACAGCCTCCTATATTTAAACATTGTGGATGACAAATATTACGGATACTACTTCATTGGGAAGAATATTACAAAATGTTAGTAATGTGTTGCAAAAAAAGGGATAGATTTTAAATTATTTAGATTATTCGATTATTCTAACTAAAGAACTGATAATATTTAGGTTCATAAGGTTGTTCTAAATACTTGATTTCCTCTTCAGTTAATTTAAAATGAGTTGCTTTGACGATTTCTTCCACTCTTTCAACTGAATTGAGACCAACAATTGGACTAGCTTCTTTTGAAATAAGCCAAGCGGTAGCAACTATAGCCATTGAAGTATCATGTTTTTTAGCAATTTCTTCAACCCGGTTAATAATTTCAATATCACCTTTAGGTAAATCATTAAATTTTAAGATTTCAACAATTGCATTATTTCTTTTGATAGTTTCACCCGGAGAGTATGGACGAGCTAAAAGTCCCATAGCAATCGGAGACCAAGGGATTATTCCAACTTTACTAATATCATTGTCATTACAGAATACATTCATCTCACGTTCTTCTTCACGATAAATCAAGTTATAATAATTCTGCATACTGATAAATTTAAACCATCCATTTTTTTCAGCAAGGAATTGTAATTGAGCAAAATCAACTGCTTTCATAGATGATGCTCCAATGTATCTAGCATGACCCGCTAAGACCACATCATTCAATGCCTTCATGATTTCATGTTTTGGAGTGGTCCTATCTAATCTATGGATTTGTAACACATCAATATATGTACCTAATCTTCTCACTGAATCTTGAACACCATCAAAGATATGTTTTCTAGATAATCCCTTAGAATTAATGAATTCATATTCTGGTAAATCAGCTTCTTGAAATCTAAAGGAAAAGTTAGTTTCGTCGATTGCAGCATACACTTTAGTCATGATAACCACTCTATCTCTCTTAATATGATATTTCTTGAGAAACTTCCCTAATAATATTTCTGATTTCCCATTGGAATACATATCAGCAGTATCAAATGTTCTAATCCCGACATCATAACATTTCTTCAAGATTTCCATGGTTTTATCTTCATCTTCAACAACCCAATTAGCCCACCCTTTGTCTCCATAAGACATACACCCACAAATAACATTTGAGATGGATAAACCAGATTCACCTAATTTAACATGAGGAATTTCAGGAACACTTGATGACATTATTTGTATTGTTTGTTACCGTTAATTCTTTTAAACATTGATGGAAGTAAGTAGGATTTCAAGTTGTATTTATATAGTATTGGGTGCTGTTATGGGTGTGGAAAATGGCTTATGGATCTAAGTCTCAATTAGGCAACTTTTGTGGCCCATTTACCAATTTAGGTATTGCCGCTGTGCAAATTTTTAAGTTCGGTGTTGGTGATACTTTTGAAGATAACCATATATAAAATGGCTAAATTTGAAAGAACTGAGCCGTACGATGGGTGGAAAATATAGATAAGATTACCCTAGCCTCATTTAAAGTTATTAGATTGAATGTTCGACATAATACTTTGTGGATTACAAATAATACGATTGGAAGAAAATTACAGAATGGCATAATAATGTACTGCAAAAAAAGGATAAGATTTTATATTAGTATAGACTATTCTAACTAAAGAACTGATAATATTTAGGTTCATAAGGTTGTTCTAAATACTTGATTTCCTCTTCAGTTAATTTAAAATGAGTTGCTTTAACAATTTCTTCCACTCTTTCAACCGAATTAAGACCTACGATAGGACAAGCACCTTTTGAAATAAGCCAGGCAGTAGCAACAATAATCATTGAAGTATCATATTTCTTAGCAACTCCTTCTACTCTATTAATGATTTCAATATCACTCTTGGGAAAATCATTATATTGAAGAATATCAACAATAGGATGGATTCTTCTAAATTTTGCATTTGGATCATAAGGACGAGCCAAATTTCCCATAGCGATAGGAGACCAAGGAATTAAACCTACTTTTCCAAGACTGTTACGTTCAGCAAATGGGATCATTTCTCTTTCATCTTCACGATATAATAAATTATAATAATTTTGAGCACTGATGAATTTAAACCAACCATTCTTGTCAGCGATGAATTGTAATTCGGCAAATTCAGTTGCTCTTAAATTCGAAGCACCAATATAACGAGCATGACCTTCTAAAACCACATCATTTAAAGCTTTCATGATTTCATGTTTGGGGGTTGTTTGGTCAAAGGAATGAATTTGTAAAACATCAATATAAGTACCTAATCTTTTTACTGATTCTTGAGTTGCATCAAAAATATGTTTTCTGGATAATCCTTGAGAATTAAGCATTTCATAAGTTGGTGCACTTGAATCTGAAGTTCCAAATGATTCAGTAGTATCACTAACAGGGTTGAATAATTTAGTTAAGATAACCACTCTATCTCTCTTGATATTATATTTCTTAAGGAATTTACCTAATAAGATTTCAGACTTACCATTAGAGTATACATCAGCAGTATCAAAAGTTCTAATTCCAACATCATAACATTTCTTCAAGATTTCCATGGTTTCCTCTTCTTCAACAACCCAATCAGCCCAAGCTTTGTCTCCAAACGACATACACCCGCAAATAACATTTGAAACGGATAAACCAGAATCACCTAATTTAACATGAGGAATTTCAGGAACAGTAGAAGCCATTATTTAAGGATATAAATTTCATAAATGGATGAAATTGGCTTTAACCCTCTTTTTATTGGAAATATCTATCAATTTATATAATTTCAAAAACTTCAATTAAGGTCGTCTTTGAAAAATGGAGCTATATCTCAATTTAGCAATTTTGTTAACTCCAGTTACCGGTTTAGGTAATGCCGCGGAGGGAGATAAAAAATTTCGGGCTTTAATTGAATTTACCGATTCGGAATATATACGAATCAACCTTTTAGTAATTAACATCCGCTAATTATGAATGTATTGTGTGATATATGATATCATAACTGTAGTTTATGCAAATTTCAATATTATTGATTCTACAATTGTTTATAATATGACAATTTAAAGAAGGGCCAATTTTTTTTATTCACTATAAAACTACAGATCTATTTAAAAAATGGAATAATTCTTTGGTTCATAAGGTTCTTCTAAATATTCAATTTCTTCAGGAGTTAATTTGAAATGAGTAGCTTGAACGATTTCTTCAACTCTTTCAATTGAATTAAGACCAACAATTGGACAAGTACCTTTACTTATAACCCAAGCGGTGGAAATAATAACCATACTGACACCGTGTTTTTTAGCTAATTTTTCAACTCTATTAACGATTTCAGCATCATTACCGGATAAACCACCTAAATGTAAATGAGTTATACCAGATTCAGTTTTAGCATTTCTATTATTTTGAGATTCAGTATTTAATGGACGTGCTAATACACCCATAGCGATAGGTGACCATGGGATTAAACCAACTTTTCCAAAGATATTATCATCACAAAAGGCATTCATTTCACGTTCTTCTTCACGATAAAGTAAATTATAATAATTTTGCATACTAATGAATTTAAACCATCCATTCTTGTCGGCAATAAATTGTAATTGAGCGAATTCAACTGCTTTCATAGATGATGAACCGATATATCTAGTATGTCCTGCTAAGATGACATCATTTAAAGCTTTCATGATTTCATGTTTTGGAGTGGTTCTATCTAATCTATGGATTTGTAATACATCAATATAAGTACCTAATCTTCTAACCGAATCTTGAACGGCATCAAATACATGTTTTCTGGATAACCCTTTTGAATTAATATATTCATAATCTGGTAATCCTGATTTTTGTAATCTAAAAGAATAATCTTGATCATTAACAGGATTAAATAATTTAGTTAAGATAACCACTCTATCTCTTTTAATATTATATTTCTTAAGAAACTTCCCTAATAAGATTTCAGATTTACCATTTGAATAAATATCAGCAGTATCAAATGTTCTAATTCCAACATCATAACATTTTTTTAAAATGGTCATGACTTTTTCTTCATCTTCAAGAACCCATTGGGCCCAACTTTTATCACCATAAGACATACATCCAGCAATTACTCGTGAAACTGATAAACCAGAATCACCTAATTTAACGTGGGGAATTTCAGGAAGGGACATTATTGTTGTGTAGTTGTTTGATATTTTTTCAATTGAGTTACAATAATGAAGTGAATAATTCAGTTCAGAGATGATTAAAGTAGAATCAGGTCATATTTATATTATCCTTAACTGTAATAAGCCCTTTATTTTTAAAAAGGGTGAAATATAATTATATAACTCCTATATCTTGTTATACCCCTCGTCCCCCCGTTTTTCATTTTAATCCCCCAAATTTTAAACCCCAAAGCGGCCCCAAAAAAGAAGAAGGAGGTTTTAAAATGGGTTTATTATGGAGTGGTTACCTTATTTGTATTGATTAATTACTAATCCGCAATTACTTTAATTGATATTAAGTTATAATTGAATAAGAATTATTACGAAATGTTGAAACATTCTTACCGAGCGATTAATTTTGCATCAATTAGAAGAGAGTATATAGTTATAATTTAGTTAGTATAGTGAGGACGTGGGGGGATTGAAGAAGGTAACCCCATTTATAAGTATGATAATAGAGTATATATAATTAAAATGTAATTGAATAGTTTGCAGCCAATCTCATTTACCTATGAGTCACATCATAATTCAATTTAATTATTCAGAATGGATAGTTTGATGGGACATGTTATTAATTTATTTGCTATACTGCTAGTCACATGATCGTTCACATGACTTACACGATCACATGACAAAGCATGTGATCATTTTTTTGTTTACATTTTCGACTAAAATAAATTGACATGTCGATATTTTTATGATTTGAATCTGACTTGTATTGGAGATATATCTTTAGATTGTTTTCTAGTGATCATCTTCGTATTGTCATCACCATTGATCTCTTCAGCCAACCAGTTAATTTGATAGATCAAGTATCATCAACAACAATATCTCCTCCTCCTCCTCCTCCTCCTCCTCCTCCTCTCTCGTATATTAATTAGACGAGGCAGCACAGACAGACAGAAAAAAAAATCACAACAACCAAAATTTTTTTTTGCCAACACACAACAAACAAACAATCATTTTAAACACATATCATAGTTTGATTATAGGTTACCAACTGAACCATCTGGGAGGAATCACATACCATAGACTTGTACATAATGACAGCCGCCAGTAGTCCGATAAAGAATAATAATACTGTTAATAGTGGTAATAGTAACAGTAACAACAATTATAAACCTACTTCAAAAGTGATTGATTCATTACATTCTCAAATCGATACTTTAAAAGAACAATTGGATGTGGTTCAAACATCGTGTGACGACTATAGAAAGAAGTATAGTGTGGCGATGCAAAAGAATGAATCATACGTTGATCAATTAGCCAATTCCAAACATGAAACTGATATGATTAATGCTTTATTAAAACGAAAAGAACGAAGAATTCAAGATTTAGAAACTCAAATTAATGAATTATATTCAACTAATGATTCTTTAACTTTAACTACCAAGAATCTTAAAATTAGATGTGAAAATCTTCAAGAATCAAGTGTATCATCCATAGCTGAATATGAAAGATTAAAGATTTCTTATGATTCATTAATAACTTCTCAATTAGAATATAAAAGACATTATCAACAAGAATTAAATCAATTACATGATCAATTTAACGATTATAAATCATCTCAACAAAAAAATTTAGAATCTTTACAATTGAAATTCGCTAATAATGATAAAGATGTCGATATTTTACTTGATAGTTTAACTAATAAAAGAATCGCTATGGATTCAATTTATGTTAAAAAGAATAAAATGGTATTAAACTTATTATTTAATCTTTCAAAAGTAGCGAAATTACATGGTCAAGATTCAAAATTAATCTTACAACAATCAGTTGATACTGTAAATGCATTATTAGAAAAATATCCTGATTTAACTGAAAAGATATCTCAAGTTGAACAAATTGATATTAATTTAGATCAAATCTTATCTGAATCTCAATCTACCTTAGATGATTGTTCATTTGATGATGATATGTCAATCAATTCGGAAGATAGTAAAGAATCATCGGCATCAAGAAATGTTTCAATGTCATCCACTACTTCAAACCCAACAGTACAAAGATCAAATACTTTACAGAATAAAAAGAGAAAGAATAAACGAAATTCAATCAGATTCGATTCAAAGGGTTCAGGTCCTGATTTCTCAACTATAGTTACTCCAACTACAAATAATCAAAATCAATTCATGTTACCAAAAAGACCAACCATAACCAATAATACCCCCAATAATACTAATAATAACAATACTCCTCCTCCTCCTAATAATCGAAATATATCAAATAATTCATCCTCATCGAATTCTCGTCAATCTTCAGTATCATACCATACCACTTATGATGCTAATACATTCCAAATAACCCAACCAAACCGTCATAACAGTAACAACAACAGCAATAATAACAACAACAAAGGATCATATAGAAATAATAGTGGTAACAACAACAATAATAATAACAACAACAACAACAACAACAACAGCAACAGCAACAACAACAATAACAATAACAATAACAATAATGGCAATGGGAATGGGAATAATAACGGTGGAGGAATGAGTAAACAAGCAAAGAGAAGATCAATGTATAATAACTCCAATACAAATAATAATAATAATCATAATAAGAGAAATTCACAATTATTCGATACTACAAATTTGAATTATCCAACCAATGCAAATTAATTGAATTGATTAATACGTATATATATATTTAAATAGATTGATACCCTCCTTACAACCTACCTCATACCTCACACCAACATATTTTCTCATTTCTCATTCGTCATAGACTAGAGTTAAAGGTTTATAGATTAGATAAGTTATAAAAGATTCGGTTTCGTGAATATAAATCACGAGAGTTACTATTAATACACATTTATTTATTATCCCATTGTTATTGAGATAAGTCAATTCCAAACTTTCTAGGGGATCACAGTGACCCTTGCAAAGGGGTTTAATGCATTTGGATGTGTTAAAATGTATGGTCGCGAAAAAGGTTTCTTACGTATCCACCCCCCAAAATTTATAATTTCAACAAATCTCATTTTCATAATCTTTCATGCTTACTTCTATGATATCATAACCAACGATTAGTATAACGATGAAAAGAAAACGTCAATGTAAATCAGTACCAGTATTTGGGGATAAAGACTTCCTTTTCGGAGAATTTGGGGACTTTCCACTTGATTTGAAAATTTGTGTACTTAAGTTTTTAAAAATTCGAGAGATAGTTAAATTTCGACATATTATTAACGATGAAGAGATTAATAGTTTAGATCTTAGGCAATTTAAAAATAATCCTGATAATCATGATGATTATTTGGATGGCAGATTAAATTTTGAGGAGTTTAAGGTTGATTCAGGTTATTATAACCCAAGAACAAGTAAACAGGACAGATTTGATTATGCTGTTGAAAGACTTGAAGAAGGATTAGAAATGATTAGAAATAATGATATTTCAATTCCAATTCATATCGAAATTGGTAGTCGAGATAGTGGGTATCTTCAAAATAATCATTTTAAAAAGTTAAGATGTTTAGATTGCAAGCCCTTAGATATTCGTTTATCATTGACTGATTTGAGATGTAAGGATTGTAAATTATTGAATAAATTCTCATCACCTAAGAAAGTTAACGAGTTGATAGTGACTCTAATGAATCATAATGAATATAAAGCTTTCGAAATTGATATTTCGAAGTTTACTGAATTGAAAAAGTTTGACATTTCAGAAATAAACGATGACCTAGAGATTCAAATAAAGCTAGATTATTCCAATAATTTATATCATAATTTGACAGAATTAATAACCTATGATATATTTGATTTGAGAGAAATAGGCAAATTCACTAATTTAAAAACATTGAAGCTAACATTTAAGCATGGAAAAGATGTCTTCTTACCGTTTCTACCAAGATCCATTACAAAATTGAAATTAACATCACTATGGGGAACAGGAGTACTTCATATCAAATCAAATGCCGATTGCCCACCAAATTTGACCTATTTAAAACTTTATGATGATGAAAAGCCATATTCTCCATGGAGGGACACATTAGCGTATTCATTTCCTTCAACTTTGAAAACTTTGAAAATATACGGGGAAGCAATTTGTTCTGTTGTAACAATGTTACCTCCATATTTAACTTGTTTAGAACTCAGGTTTGCACGTAGTTATCTGTTGACACAAGATTATGATTTTGAATTGCCAGCTACACTTGAGAAATTACAACTACAAAATTTGAATATAACTATTAGAGGTTCTAATAATATGGTACTTCCAAAGAGATTAGTTGAATGTGATATTGGTCTGTGCAATTTCTCATTTGAATTATATAGAGATAATCTTGATGGTTCAAACAAGTATTTAAAATATTTAAGTGTTTCAAATGATCACGATGATGATGATGTTGACGGTATTCCTCTTAATAACTTGAATTTCAAGCAGTTTTCAAAATTAACACTGATGGATCTATTTTACTGTGGTATACTGAGTTTGACTGACTTTAGACCACCATTGCGCCTAGAGTATTTAAAAATCAATGATAATAAATTATCATCAATGGATGAGACATGTCCATTGTTTAATAATCCCAATGATTATCCAAACTTAACTATGTTAGACTTTTGTTGTCAAATTACTTATATATCACCAAATATCAAATTACCTGTAAATTTAGAAAGCCTTCAAATTAGAGATGATTGTTCAAAGCAATTTTGTTTCAATACATCGATCGTGACACATCAAAAATTAACTCATGTCTGCATACGACAGCTCTCGTCAGTATCTTTTAATGTGGAACATATAGGAAGTGAAATGAATACAATATTGAGAGAGTTATCTCTTGATTTTGATGAAAATTCCTTTCCTGGTGGTAAAGATGAAATTGATCAATTTTATGATAAGCTTGAAAGGGTACTATGGCAAGATAAGGAGTAGACGTGGTTATAAGAAAAGATTTATCAGAATAGTCTTTAAATATCCTTATGATAAATTTTGATATAAAAATATATTCCTAGAATATGATAATAATCTAATAGTTGGTCTTATCTTATCAGAATATAACTGGGTCTCTGATTCAGTCAAAGTTGGAAGAAATGTATCTTGTATTTAGTAAGGGTTCTATTCTAAAAAGCAATCAGGATTTTAACCGATTATATGACATTATTGAATCACTTATCGGTAAGAAGATTGATAATCGAACTTGTAATGAAAATACAGATTTTACTGTATTTGTCAATTGAAGACATCGTTTTATTCAAATCGTTGATTAATGATGTTGAAATTGAAGACGTTCCCATAAAGGACATTACCAAAGAGAGATTACGGATTGAATATATGAGAGATCATGATGAACTTATTCATTCGGAAGAGTTGGACTTAGAATTTGGTTCGAACGAAGAGAAGATGGCAATGAAATTATTAAAAATGCATTTTCATCATATAGAACAAAGTCAATTAAAACTTCAAAAACTTATAAAATTGAATAAAGTTTGTCAGGATATTATTCCAATTCATATCGATTCAGTGAATGCTCATCATATTCCCCTTAAATTCCTTAATGGTTTTTCAGGTGAATCGCAAAAGTTTGACTTAATATTGGAAGTGGAAAACTTAAGTCATAAGTCAATATCAGATTTAGATGAATTTTCATATCCTGATATTATTAGTGGTATAATAATCACAAGTGTACCAACATCAGATTTCAGTACAGATTTCAATATAGATTTTGAATCAAAAATGTATGATTTATCAAGATATAAGAATCTAAGACTACTCAATGTCCCTCTGTTTTCTACCTATCTGTCGATATTTTCACCAAATTTATTTAATACTTTGACTGATTTGATTATTAACAATATATGTGAATTTGAGTACTTATCTCATTTCAATAAATTAGAGCGTTTAGAGGTAGAAATAAATGCTGAAGAAGAATTTTATATCAAAGATTTACCAAGAAGAATTTCCAAATTAAAATTAATAGTAGACGTTGATGTTGATCCAGTCATAATCAATTCAAGCGACGATTGGCCACCTAATTTAAAATCATTATCACTTAAGGATGATTATTGTGATGAGCCACCATTTGTTAATTTTCAAAATTATGATTTACCTTCAAATTTAACCCTGCTAGACGTTGAAGGTCATTTTTTGGATGGATTGTTAGATAAATCCCCTGTATCATTAACTGAATTAACTTTACTGCAAGAATCTTACTATGATAATTCCCAGTTGATCAACTTTAAAATCCCCCATGGTATCACTAAACTTGACTTGACAGAATTTAATTCTTCAAATAATCTGTTGGACCTTCCAAGTGGATTACAACTGTTCAAGTTGTTTAATTGTAATTTTTCAATGCCAGTGAATGATTTTAATTTTGACCATTGCAAATCATCATTAAGAGTTTTCGAGGTGGAAAGTTATAAAAATCCAATCTCTTTCACAAATTTAGATTTTAGTGAATTTTCAAAGTTAACAAACATATCAATAGCTGATTGCGCAATTACAAGTCTAAGTTCCTTCAATCCACCAACTTGTTTACGATACTTAGATATTATTGATAATTCTATTAAAACGCTTGATGAATCTTGTCCTTTATTCAACAACCCCAGCAAATATTCCCAATTTGTTGAAGCGACGTTTAAAGATTGTCAAATCACCAGGATTTCACCAAATATCAAATGGCCAATACATTTACAGGATTTATTCATAAGCGATAGCTGTGAAAAGAAATTCTTTTTTACCAGTTCAATTGCTAGACATAAGTCGTTGCGAAAATTACATTTAGGAGTACTATCTTCCATTCATATTTACGATCTAAATATAACCAAATCTGGTGATCCATCAAAATTCGAAAAATTAACGTTTACATTCACCAGCGATTCTATTCCAAAGACTAAACAAGATTACAATAGATTTTATGATAAGATTGAATTTCATGTTGGGAAGAAAATCCAAAAGAGAGCCTATAAAACAAACCTTAATAAAGATGTAGTTATGAAATTTGTCGATACTAAATAGGACCATTCGTTATTCTTATCAAGTTGTAGTATTTAGGTGCAAAAAAATAAAAAATAAATTGAAATTCTAAAAATAGACGCATCAGACCTTAATTTAGATTCTGATTCAGAATATAAACTTATTATCAAACATACGCTTAAACAATCATCGCAAGCAAAGAAATGGTCAATCAAATCCTGCTTCAATATGAAGATTAATAAATTGAAAGCAATACCATTGTACGGCGATGATGATTTTGTCTTTACAAAATTTCCAGACCTTCCCCTTGAATTGAAGATTAATATTCTTCTGATGCTTGAGATTAATGAAATACTAATATTTCAATCATTGATAAACGATCCGAGTGTTAAGAGACTACGTCTAGCAGATATAACTAGCGTAGAACCAGAATTTGAGTATTTAAAAACTACTGAAGAATCTGTGAGTGCTCCAATCCGAACTTCTGATAAAATAGAAGAGGATCAAGAAAACCACAAACAAAATCAAACAGAAATAACAAAAGTGTTCGATGTGATGAAAATGTTGAATAAAAAGAATCAAACTATAATCCCGGTGGTCTTTAATTTTTCAAAATGTTGGAATTTTCCCACTGATCATTTGGATGAACTATTTCATGATGCAACTTATTTTGAAATCGAATTTAAGTTTCTCCGTTTGGCTAACTCTCAATTAAAAAAATTGCAAGATTTCAAATATTCTAATATGGTGAGAAAGATATCCATTTTAAAACTTGTAGATCCTACCGGTCCACAGTCTCATTTACAGTTGGATTTAATAAATTATCAAAAGTTATTGGAACTTGAATTTGAATCAGTACACCGCATAAATATAAAGTGGTCGCTACAAACTTATGATGCTCTAACAAGTCTATCAATTGATGATATTCTCGATGGTGCAGAATTACTAAAATTCAAGAATTTGAATAGTCTTGCACTTGTATTAAGGAAGGATATTGATTTTCAAATAAAATATATCCCTCAGAGCGTGTTGATATTGGATTTGCACGCAAGGGATAGAACTAAAGGCATTATAATTGAATCACATAAAGATTGGCCACCAAGTTTACATACGCTATTTCTTCATGATGATGGAAAATCCGGTTTTTTGGAAGTCCTAAATCATAAACTACCACTAAGCTTAAAAAAATTTCGTCTACGGGGCCCACCTCTATATCAAGTTTTTACCCAGTTACCTAATCTGTTGGTTGATTTGGAAATGCTGATAGATGATGAGAGAATTTGTGTGGTTCCTTCCTTTGAATTTCCACTATTTCTTCAAAAAATGGAAGTTAACTTTATAAAAGTTAAAGTTCAAAATAAGCAAATACAACTTCCTTTTGGATTAAAAGTGTTCGATGTATCAAGCTGTGATTTTTCAATGAATGTAAGTGATTTTGACTTTAGTATTTGCAAATCAAGTTTGAAAGAAATTTCCATGAGTTCCACACCACTTAAAAAGTCAGATTTTAGTGATTTTTCAAACTTGACTAAAATTACAATTGGTGACTGTGGTATTTAAAGCCTAACTCCTTTTAAACCTCCAAAATGTTTGCAGTATTTAGATTTATATGGATTGAATCTTGAGTCTATCGATGAATCATGCGTTTTATTTAATGATCCAGAAGCCTATCCTTGCCTAACATATATCGAGATAACCAGTGACCCTACTTACGTATCACCTAAAATTCAGTTACCAATCAATTTAAAAATTTTAGATATGTCAAAGGTTAAAACATTTACTTTTACTAACTTTATGGCTACTCATAAATCATTGGAATATTTACTGTTATTGGGATTATCTTCACTTGACTTTGATAATGAAATATTGGACAAAAGTAAGATCATTGAATCAAACTTAGAAAAAATATATCTTAGAGTAACTGATGAGTTTTTCCCTAATAGTCATGAAAATCCTGAAGCGCTTTATGATAAATTTCAAACTTGTGTTGGTAAAACAGTGGAAGGATCTTTTTCTGAAGATGATTTTGTTGGTAATCAAGTATATTTAGATTTCATTGATTGAATGTGAAGAAACATGATGCGTAAGTTATAGGTATACTCCGTCAATGTTCTTAACTCTACTTTCGATATAAATAGGTATAATTAGTTATTTAATAAGTGGCGGCGGTTAAATTCTAAATTATGATGTCGTTTGCAGTATTTTACAATACAGTGCAGAGTGCGTTCGCTAAAGTAAAAATAAATCCGATAGAAATCCGACATTTATTCCAAAAATAAATGTCTGACGACGACATTCCTTTGAACGATTTCAGACAAATGATTTCCGAAATCGGACAGAAATGAGCTGACACGAACAAATTTTAATACAACCTAACACAATATTATAATATAAGTACTTAGTAACGAATTACATAACCTTATTATGAGGTACAAAACTTGCAGAATGGAAAATAAGAATTTTTTTTTGAGAACTCTTTCGATTCCCACATTCAAATTTTATTTTGTAGGTATATAGGTTAATCGATAGTATTAGAGCAAGACAAGAAAAATATGTATAAATCTATTTAACCTGTCAAACTGATTGCAAGCACTGATAAGACAAGATTAGGTTGGACAAGAAAAACTTATTGATTATCTTGACAGAAAACATGATAATTATTCTATCTTTAGATATATATATTCTCTTCTAAATAGTTATCAATTTCATCAGCCAGTGAAAATCCGACAGACAAAAAAATTCAGACAGACAAAAAATAAATGAAATTTTTATCTGATGGAAATTACGAATTAATTATTTTTTAACAACACAATCGACCCGCCCTTATTAATGAGGGAAATGAATGAATTGGCCAATTAAATCCCATTTTCATCCCCTAAACTTATTTACTGCAACTGGGATCCAAACCGGGTCGGGGAGTATGCTTACATAATATCATAATAAGTTTAATTTTTGATCAATGGTAGGGCTTTGTTGGTGTTTACATTGCATTAAAATTATTTATTAGATGGATGAGATAACTTTTTCTCATGCACTTTTGTGCCATGTTAAAAATTCTTTCAGTTCCTCTTGATTGTTCAATTGAGTTAATGTTTTTTAACCATTGGGTATAAATATGTAACATTCTGCTTCTGCCCCTTCGAATTGGTTCTAGTTTTTTCCATTTTATTCTTTTTCAACTTATAGTTCTTCAATTATTTTATAATATCAATTTCTTTTTTGTTTAACAATCTTTTCATTTCTTCATTGAAATAGAGAATATACCTAAACTTTCCTCCCCCCCTACCCTACAATCTCTCTATTAATTTAGAAATTGAAAATTATTATTTAAACAAAAGAATTTTAAAACAATAAGAACTCATAATGACTAACGTTTTCAGCGTTCAAATTTTCTTTATTGTGTTTAGAGAAGCTTTAGAAGCAATTATTGTTGTTTCTGTTCTTTTAGCCTTTTTAAAACAAGGTTTAGGAGGTTCAGCTCAAGATCCTGCTATTTATAAGAAATTATTACGTCAAGTTTGGCTAGGGGCGATTCTAGGAGTCGTTTTATGTCTTATTCTTGGTGCTGCTTTTATTGGTGCTTTCTATTCTTTAGGTAATGATATTTGGGCAAATTCAGAAGATTTATGGGAAGGTATTTTCTGTATCATTGCAACTGTTTTAATTACATTTATGGGTTTAGCTATGTTAAGAATTAATAAAATGAAAGAAAAATGGAGAATTAAATTAGCTAAAGCTTTAACTAAAACTCCAGCCAACAAGAAAGATCGTTTCAAAATTGGTTATTTAACTAAAAAATATGCTATGTTTATTTTACCTTTCATCACCACTTTAAGAGAAGGTTTAGAAGCTGTCGTTTTCGTTGGTGGTGTTGGTTTAAATTCTCCAGCTAGTGCTTTCCCAATTCCTGTTATTTGTGGTATAATTGCTGGTATCAGTGTTGGTGCCATTCTTTATTATTCAGGTTCTACTGTTTCTTTACAAATCTTTTTAATTGTTTCAACTGCTATTTTATACCTTCTTGCTGCCGGTTTATTCTCCAGAGGGGTTTGGGGTTTTGAAATGCATTTACTTAACGTTCAAACTGGTGGTGATGCCGCTTCACTTGGTTCTGGTCCAGGTACTTATGATATTTCAAAATCTGTTTGGCATGTTAACTGTTGTAATCCAGAAATTGATAATGGTTGGGATGTCTTCAATTCTTTATTAGGTTGGGAAAATTCTGCCACTTATGGTTCAGTTATTTCTTATAATATGTATTGGGCATTCATTATTACTACTATCTTATTAATGCTTTATGAAGAAAAACATGGTCATTTACCTTTCTTAAAGGGTGTTACCTTCAGATCATTGAATCCAATGTATCATATCAAGGGTAAGAAGAAGAATGAATTAACTAAAGAAGAACAAGAAGAATTATTTGAGAAACTTAAAGCTGCTAGAATTGGTGAAGATGATTTTGAAGAAGATGGTATTGAAGTTGAAAGTTCTTCATTGGTCCATGAAGAAGGTATCGAGCTTGATAAAGTTCAAAGAAATGATATACATGTAATTTAAACTTGTCCTGGAAGTCTGATGGTATTTGATTGGCATTATATATATTCACACACACACACACACACACATAGATACAATGTCATGATGATACATTATCAATCAACCTACTCATGTTTAACTGCTGCTAATCACTTTTCTTTTCACACTTGTTTTATGTCGTTACAATTATTATTTTATCTTTCTCTATACGGGGGAGGAAGTTGGGAGTTAATTGAGTTTATTATATATTTGAAGAGGTTGGGTCCCTCTTCATATATCGAGTCGAGTTATTATTATTATTATTTTTTAAATTTTTATAATTTTTATGAATTAGGTTTATATTAAAGGGGTTTAATATATATTTTAACTAATCTAGAAACAATCAAATTCATGTTCTGAAGTTCGTAAGTTTTCATTTAAGATTGATCTGAATTCTTTATCTGTATAAAGGTAAGCATCCTTATGATCATCTTGTTGTTGTTCATTATATTTTTCATCAATAGAATTGATTAAAATCTCTAACACTTTAAAGTTTGAATCATTAAATCGTAATTTTTGGGATTTATCAAAAATCTTAAAGAAGAAATTAACATCCAATTTAAGTTTGATTAACTCAAATGAATTTAATTTGGAATTTGTGGTGGTAGTAGTGGATGTAATTCTTAAATTCTCTAATATAGATTTCAATACGGTTGATTGTAATTCATTTATGATACTTAAAAACACATTCAACCCCGTGATAGGTTTTACTTTTTTAATTAATTTCACAAAATGGATTAATATTAAAAATATAAACCCATCAATATGTAATTCTTGTTGTTGTTGAGGATGTCCAGTTTTCGAAGGACGATTTGGATTCTGGAAATATGAATTGATTTCATAACTAATCAATGTCTTTTCACGAGTGATAATATCATCAAAAATAGTTATATGAGCTTTATCAATATCAGCAAATAACTTCAATTTTTGATGTTGTAAAGAATTTTGAAAGATTTCATCATACTTTTTAATGATCTTTGGATAAGTTATTCTCGATAATTTTTCAAGATCATTCATGGTTAATACTTTAAATGCTTCATTTAATATTCTACTTCCTTCATTTGGTTTCTTCCCGTTTATATCATTACCATTCTCAATTAAGTTTCTTTCAATATTATACTTCTTCATGATAGAATCAACCAAAATATTTAAACTTCTCATGAATTGGATTTCAATACTCATTAATGTTCGTTTACTTGGATAAGCTTGAACAATTCTGAATTCAGACAGAGTGTCTTCTTTAAGAAAGATTAATTGTCCAAGTTTCATAAGGATGAAAGTTTGATAGTATTCAATAATATACATCATAGAAGTATAGATGGCTCCATCTTCATTACCATTTTTAACATCAATATCATCTGATTCAGTTTTCCAATCTTGTAATTCATAGAATTGAGAACAATCATTAATCCATGTAGCACATACTGCTTCAATTAACTTTTGATTAACTTTCAATGAAGCATTCTTTAAAGTTTTAATCACTTTTGAAGTATCATTATATTTACTTAAATTACCAATTAATCCTGAAAAATCTCCTATTTTAGTAAAGAATTTATTCAATTTAGAATTGATATTGGTTATATAGTAGATTGATGATAATGAATTGGTATAATGAGGTAAAAATAATTTATAATTCGATGGAGATGATTCTAATTGAGCATCAACTTCACCATTATCATTTTCAAATAAGGTGACCAATACTAATGAAACTTTATTAATCAAGTTAATGAAATTATTTCTAATCTTTCCTTGAGCATCAATATTATTTAATTTATAATAATGTTTATAATTATTAACGAATTTAGATAAATTCTTTAAGAATAAATCATCTAAATAAGCAATGAAATTATTTAATACCAACCAAGTTTCATTAACCAATGATAAATCAAGATTATCGGTATTATTAAAGATATCCATGATGAATTTGATTTCATTTTCATTATTATTAAGATTAGATTGACTATTATGTTTAGTAGCTGTACTTTGTTTAGAAGCGACAATACCACTTTTAGCAGTATAATATTTATCAGCAATATATCTAATATGAGATCCATCCTTTCTTGAAGGATCAATAGTTATAGAATCTAATAATTTCATTTGCATCATTCTGAATTTACTATCAAATTTAGCAATTTGATGATCTAATTCTTTATCAATATTAGATAATTGAGCTAATAAGAATTCATATACGGGATTTTCTTTAGTGGAATCAGTTTCACTTTCCAAACTATGAATAGTTTCCACTAATGCTAAGAATTTATCATTCCCTACTTTCATATGTCTCGTATGATCAGTTACTTCATGATCTAATGATAATAATTCAGTATATGTTTTCTTTCTATATTGTTGAGTGATATTATCCACTTCAGAAAACACTTTGTTAATGGCGGTCGTTATCATATCCGTTTCTTGATTCAATTGTTTGATACCGGCATCATCATTTTCATTGGTTAAACGGGATAATTCACCTTTATACAGGGTATTTCTTGCCATAATGAAACTTTGTTTCTCTTGAAGGAATTTATTATAATCGGTAATGAATTGATCATGATTATGATTTGATAAATGATTGATTAAAACACTGGGTAAATCAAAAAAGAATTGATTTCCCTTTATAAAATCTATTAATTTAGTTAATTTATGTTCTTTATTTTTATTTTCAATCACAGGTTGAATCATTCTACTGGTAGTATAATTCAAATTCTTAATCGCTTCTTCTAATTCTGAAGATAAGGAATCATCTTTGGTATTTCTAGTAGGTTGACGTTGTTGAGGATTGAAAACTCTGGAACTTTCATAATCTTGTTGAATCTTAGTTTTCAGATGTTTGAATTCTTCTAATATATCATCAATGGCTCCTTTACAATTTATAAAATTTATAAAATTAGAATCAATAGCTCCAATCAATTCATTAGTTTGACCTCGAATCGTATTCTCCAAGTAACTTAAAGAACGAGATAACTCTTCAATACTGGAATCAGAATGAACATTAGTAAGAAACTTCAATGAATTGAATCGTTGAGAACTAATGATATAGTTATTAACTTCAGGATCATTCGTTGATTTGATGATTTGTTTTCGTTGTAAGTCTTTCAACATATTGGTCCCACGTAAGGGATCTTCCACCACTCCATTCTTCAAATCCTGATTATCATTGAGTTTGGCAGTGGCATTGATTCCATCTGGATTGACTAATCGATTCAAGATATTGAATTGATCTTCTTCAGGGAATTTCAAGATTTCATCAGCATCAATGAACTCTTGACTGGTCAAATTGAGTTGTTGTTTGGACGAAGGTTGAAGAGTTTCAAGATTATAGAACTTCAATAGATCACTCTCCGTATACTGCGGTATCAACATCCTGGATTGATTGATTGATGTGTGTGTACTTTTGGTTGGTGTTGCCAATTTTGGTGGTGGGTGGCTGCTTAAATTTTTGTTGATACTTTTTCAAACACGCACTTTTTAGCATATCATTATTTCGTCTTACAAACACGATTTAAACAATTGTTCTTATATATATTACAAGTTATATATCTACATGGAACTATCTCCATAAACTATACTCCTGTTGTTGAACATCGTCATCATCATGAACAGTTGAACTGACGGCTGCAACAGCTGCATTGGCGATGGACTCAGGATCATCTGGATCAAGTCTATCATTATTAGATCTATTATGATTACTATTATGATTATTATTATTGTTGTTTGAACTTGGTTTGGATTGATTTAATTGATCTTCAGCAAGTCTCATGATTCTGATTTGTTTATAATTAGAATCCAATAATCTCGTAATGATCTGTTTAAAGGATAATTTTCTAAAATTAGCAATTTCTAATCTCATTTTTTCGAATACAGTTTTGAAATCAGATGCTAACCATTCCATTGATGAATCTAAATTATCATCTTCTTTAGGTAAATCCTTATATAAACCAGCAATCAAATCCCAATTGATTTCATCATAACTTTCATAATTATTATTTTTAACTTGTTGTAACATCCAAAGTCTTGCTTCCAGAGACATGAATACTGATTTTTCAGATGCTTCTCTCTTTAATAATTTTGTCCATTTATAACGACATTGAATACGAGATCTTGATCCATTCATTCTTTCACTTACAATAGTCCAATTTATACTTCCATTCTTAACATTTTGTAACATTTCGGTAACGATATTTTTTAAATTATTTTCTTCTTCATCAGACCATTTATTAGAACTTCTATTATCTCCACATTTAACATAATTTCTCCATCTATCACGACAATCTTCAGGCATTCTTCCCATAGCTTCACCGATCAATTTCCATTTCCCTTCATGAGTTAAACTTAATTTTTGTAATAATTGATCATCTTCCTTAGTCCATTTTGCTCGAACTTCAAATACATGATATTGACGTCTAATATGTTTATAAACACTAGCACGAGATCTATAAGGTAAGACACGAGTAAGTGATTCCCAAAAATTATCCTTTTTCCGTTCATTAGACCAAATTCTATTACAGACATCTTCTCTTGTCCATTTATTTAAATGACAATATCCTTCAATGAAATGATCTACAGCGGCAATTTCTTGAGGTGAGAATTTTCGAGGACCTTTTTCTTCAGAATTAGGTAAGGAATTAAACCATGCACATGCTTGAGCTGAGGCATCTTCTACTAAACTTTCAACATTAGTTAAATGATTGAATTTTGGTTTAACAGTGATTTGTTTGAAGTTGGAGTTGGTGTTATTATTATCAGTTGAACGTTTAGAATCTGTAGTGGTAGTAGCAACAGTATTTGATTTATTTGATCTACCAGTTGATTTCCCAGCTGTCTTTCTAGATAAAGTAGTAGCAGCATTGGCTAATTGAGCAATAGCAGAAATAGAACTAGTTATAGCTGATTCATGATCTTGATTATTATTATTATTGTTATTATAATGATTATTTTGATCTTGATTGATATGTTTGGCTAATTCTCTGGCATCATTAATAGCAGCTTGAACCAATTGATCATGTTCAGATGTACCTAATCCTTCTAATTCGGGATCAATCCCATTTGAATTCAGATTTCTCTTTCTCTTCTTTGATTTAGTAGTATTAGTAGCAGTTGCAGAGGAGGTGGAGGCGGTAGTTGTTCCATAAAAATCATTATGATCAGTAATACTTTCATCCAAGAATCCAGTCCATTGATTAAACTCAGTTAAATTATTAATAATATCATCAGGTATTTTCCGTTTATCTCTTTTATTGGTATTATTTCCATTGTTATGATTTTGATTATTAGCAGCATCCAACGTACCACCGACATATCTCATAACAGCTGCTTCAACCGCATCATTGATTTGTTGATTATTAGCCTTTTCAACTTCATCTTCATCCTCATCGTCATCGTCATCCACATCATGATCATGATCACCCACATCAACCAATGAATCATCTTCTAAATGATGATGATGAGTGGTGATATCAATTTCATCATCGATGAGTTCATCTCCATTCACCCCATCACTATCGTCCTTATGCTTGGACCCAAGTTGTAATAAAGCATGGGCACCCCCTATTTCTTGTTGATTATTATTCATAATAATCCAAGTGATGATATGATATATATATTTTGCAACCTTTCTATAATAGAATTAAATAAAAAAGGTTACCCTACCAATTAAAGTAGGGTAACTTTTTTTGATGATATTTTTCTCTTTAGCTGTTGGTGATAATTTATAAGTATCAGAATTACTATTAGTTGGTATGAAAATTACACTGAAATTTTTAATACTATTATAAATCAATGTAATGTTATATTACTATAATGATAATTTCAACCAATAATATGTTCCAATTCAGTTGTAAAGTATTGAATAAAGGATATATTTATTTATAGCAATCAATTGGCTAACCAGTGAACAGAGGGTGACATATTCAGACATCGTCTTGCCGCAACCCTTTGACCACAAAAAAGACTGCAAAAATTAATGAAATAATTAGATACTTTACCAGACATCAAGGGGGTCAAGGGGGAAGGATAAATTAAATTAGGAAATGATAATCACTTTTCTCTTCTCCTTTCATACTTTTAATCAACACTAATATGAAAGGAATTTACTTATTAATTATATTATTAATCAATCAATTAACATGGGCGTCACCTATTGCACCTCGAGCTTTGGTTAATCAATCAGATCCTTTCTATTTGGCCGCCTATAAACCAGCTCATCTGGTGACATCTGATCAAGTTGATCAATTATTATCGATTCAAATTCAACAATTTGAAGTTATAGGTTATCAAGTGATTGTTTATGATGTCAATGATGGGAAAACCATTGGATTAAGTTCAACCATTGATTCGAAAAAGTATAATATCACAGGATATGTTACAGTTGATCAATATATTATCGTTACTGATATCATTGGTGGAGGTATAAACTACCTCGTTATTGATCCTATAACTAATAAATTAGAATTATCAACTTTCCCCCCTTCAAGTGATGATAAATTCGCCTTAAGTAGAAATCTTATATCAATTAATGGTAATTATACTTGGTCAGTCTGTGCTAATAATGATACAGAAAATTTCACCGATAATATTTATTTTGGTACTTTGATTGAGAATTCAGCTTATTGTGGTGATTATGGTAAAGAATTAGTTTTAAAAGCTATTGGTTTAGTAAGTTCAGATGGTTCAATCCCTGATTATCCTTTATAGTTGTTATAGTTATATAGGAATAATTAATATATATTATGGTGACTCACCCTCTCCATACATTAGAGAAATTTCGCGGCTGCTCTGTTTTGATTTTCAAATTTGTAAACAATTGTAAAACAGGTATTATCAAATACTATCATCAAAACCATCAATGATATGAATAAAGAACAATTAAAAGGTCTATCTCACGATGATCTAATCAATAAATATATTGCTCTTGAAACTGAGTTTATAGAATTTCAAGATTCATCCCGAGATTTGGAAAATATCCTTGAACTGGAATTGAAAGCTGTAGAACAATCAAATCAACAATTACAATCATCCATAGATCAAGCTCAAGAGAAGATAATTCAATTAGAACTGATCATAGCAACTTTAAGAGAGAAATCAGTGGCCAATGAAATCTCTACTGATGAATATCAATTGAATGAAAGAATCTTAAAACAAGATCTAAATCGATATCAAGAATTAAACAATACATATTTAGAAAAGATTGCTATATTGGATAATGATTATGAATTAGAACGTCAACAATATCAACTTGAGAATAATCAACTTCAAAAGAGAGTATTGGAATTAGAAAAGGAAATCGTTAAAGCAAAGAGAAGACTGTATTATTTCAATACTACGTTAAGTAGTGTATCAGATGGATTTGAAGAAGAAGTTACTGAAGGCGATGATACCCTACAAGATCAAGAGAATAAAACCATCATTCTGTTAAAACCAGATGAAACTATAGATGAAGTGGGAAATGTTTCAGTTATAAGTATTAGAGAAGCTTTACGATCAGGACCACCATTATCAAAACTGATCTCAAATCTAAACCTTCACTTGAATAAAGATACCTCCAAGAGAAGACGATCACTACTAGGTAAGTCCAAGTAAGTAACTCTCTTTTTAATGATTTATGAATAGCATGGTAACATAGTAATAATATACATAATCCTCCTTCCAGTAAGCATAATAATTCTTAACTATGGTCGTGCGGAATGGTCAGGACCAAATGCCATTTTTTTCTGGTTTGACCACAGACAGATCCAAAAATAATTTAACCGTGTTGTTTACGCCAAACCAAGATCCATTTACAGCCAACACCATCAATCAACCAAGATGGATCAGGGTCAATTCAGTCAGTTGATAAGTCGATTCGACAAGTCTGAAGTGTTCGATTATCTCACTCAATTGAATCGACAATTGACTTCAACTACCGTAGATTCTAATCAATTACAACTTTATTTACTGCAATTAAATCAAATCATTGAAGTCTTTAATATTCCTCCTCCATCCACTAAAAAATCAAAGAATATCGATCATGATGCCACTTCGCCTCATACTGAATTGAGGTTGAAAGTTTCTCTTAATCTTATTAGACTTTTATCCAGGAATTTAACTTCAATATTAACTCATTTACCCACTAAGATCTATGATATTGCTAATAACTTATTGAATAATATCAATGAGTTACAATTATCATATCCAATATTTGATGTGTCTGTGATTGTATTGATTGATTTATATGAAAGTTTCCCTAATTCATTAGGTTCATTAACCAATTATTCTGTATCCCAGATTTATAAAATCTTTAAAAAGAATTCATCCGTGAATAATCATAATTTAATCTATCTTTTAAATTCAATCACTAAGAATGCTACTAAGAATGATATTGATGAGAAATTCCAGGCTAAATTATTAAAAGGCATTATTAAGAATATCAATACTTTATCAATCAAATACGATGTTTATGAACAAGAATCAAATACAGCATCATCAAGTACGACGTTATTGAAAAGAAACTATATCCTTTGTTTAAAGAATATCTTGGTGTTGTCCGTCCAATCCAATTATGAAACTTTATTAACCCAATCAGCATCATCATCTGGTTCCAGTTCAAGTTCAAAATTAAAACCTGAAGTATTAATGCAACAACAACATCAATATCAATTGAATATCCTTGCTACTCATGAAAAATTGATTCAATATTGTTTATCCAACTTTAATCAAGATATAAGAGTAGCAGCAGTTGAATTATTAGCTCAATTATTTATAAATTTCATCCCAACAGGTAAATTCAATGCTATAGATTATATCATTGAAGAATTATATATCCTCCCCTTGAGAAATAATTATAGTCCGACTTTAATGTTTCAATTGGATTCAGATGGGATCCCAATTGATGGTAAGAGAGTAGATACGAATTCTGTCCAAGCTCATGATTCTGAATCTATCATTCAAGGAAATATCAGTAATCTCTTAATTCAAACCAGTTTGATTGAAACTTTGATTTTATATATGCAATTGGAACAATTTCAAAATCCAGAATATTTATCATCGAATTTAACTTTCATATTAGATACTATATTATTAAAATTCAGACAAATCATACCTAATCAATTATTAAATTCAAATTGGAATAAAGTCTTGACTCAATTCAAAGGGTTAATCGATTATATCATTAGAGAAGCAGGTTCAAATTGTAATGATATCTTATTGAATTATGTTTATGCCAGGTTTAATGATCTTCCCCTCGATTCAAATCTTACCGACAATCATCATTCTCATGAAAAGAAATCAGGATTATTCTCATTAAAACCAAAGAGTAATAAACATAGTTCAAGAAAAGATGAAAAAGTGGAACCTTATCGTAATTCATTTCAAACTTATTTATTATTACATATTGTGGAATTACTCTTACCATTTGGAGTTAATAATTTAAATCCATCAAGTGCAACTACAGCTGAAGAGAAACCAACTACTATAGAACGATCAGCTGCACCTCCAAAAGAAGGTGAAATTGATATTCCCGAAGATCAAGAATTTGAAGAAAGTTCTAAATTGGAAAATTCTTTCATTAGAGATATCTTATTCAAATTAATCATTAATGAAAATTCGTATATCAGAAATTACGCTTTAAAAGCATTATTGGTTTACATTAAGAATAATGTATTTGAAATTAATCAAATCATCTTACAAATCTTCAAACTTGTGGAACAAGAATATAAACATAGTGAAGAACATCAACAGAAAGTCGAAATCAAATTGATTGGATATTCATTAGTGTTATCGAGTTTAATCAAACAAACTGATTGGCAATTATTACAAAACACCACCATTGTCAAAATTTTAAGTTTTTGTACTCAAAATTTAAAACACAACAATAATAATAACAGTAGTGGTAATAAATTCTTAAAGAGTTCATCATGTTGGATTATTTTATCTTCGTTGGTTACTTTCTATAATGAATCTGAATTTGTGAAATTAAACTCATCTCAATATTTGATATTTTGGAAGAATCTTTTAACTTCACAATTCATAAGTCCATCATTTGCCACTAGCAGTGAATCTCGTCAAAGAAGAGATATCATTGAAGATTTGAAATTAAGAAATTTCAGTCTTGTATGTCTATTGAATTATTTGAATTCCGTTGAATTAACCCCAGAATCATTAAAACAAATTCAATTCTTATTAACCAAATCATATAATTATTTATCTTATTTGGAAAGTAATCTTGAACTGGTAGGTGGAGTTACCAATTTCAGTCCATCATCATTCAATGATTGTGAATATAATCCAAATTTGTTAAATAATATTCATTATACTTCCACTGCCGGTATCTCGTTTGAGAATATCATGATTAGTTTGATCTTATATTCAAAGAAGATTTTATTACAAAGTTTCTCCAAACTTATCCCACTATTAAAGAATGATGTTAATTCAAATATGGTTTTGTTCTTCATTAAAGTATTCAGTGATTCGAAATTATTCTCCAGATCTAATACTTCTGATATAGAAAAGATTTCCAAATCAAAGAAGAACAATGCTGCTGGATTAATCAAGGATTTCGATTTTGATAATAGTGTCCTTGTCTTAAATGAAGATTATAATTATGCATTTGGGGTAACTAGTAAATTTGATGATACGAAAGCTAATATTGATGAATTATTAATTAAATTCAAAATCCCTAAATCTCATAAAAATGAAGGATTATCACATTCAGATATCTTTACCAAGTCCATTGTTCATTTACCAAAATCAAAGATTGAAAGTAAATTACAAAATGAATTTCCAATTTGGATTGACTTCTTTGAAGAATTAATCTTCAAATCAGTGGATAATTCAATCAATTATGATCCAAACATATACTTAACTCAGAATTATTCAAGTTATGAATCATTCTCAGCTAACTTAGTCACTTCAATCATTGATCTTTCCATTGAACTATTCCAACTTGTGTTTCCTTATTTAAGTGTTAAGATTCAATTCTCATTAGTGGAACAATTAAGAAACTCTCTTACTGCTTCATCTATTGATCCACTTCGTTTAAAGGCCATGCAAGTCAATATCACAGTGACATTACATGGACTTTTAAATAACCTTATCAGAAAGAAATATACCTTGGATAAGGAAGTGGCATTGGTCATCATTGATATTTTACAAAGGATAGATACTACCAATGTTAATTTATTCGTTCTTAATTCTGATTCGATTGGATTGGCCATACAATTATTGCCCAAGGCTTTAGTTGGAGATCAAACCAGTAAATTCGTGGCTGATATAGTCAATGATACCAATCCATTCAAACGTGGGTTCTCGATATTATCATTATCTCAAATCTTTAAGAGAACTGGGTCTGGGTTTAATGAGACTTATAATATCATTTTACAGTTGATTAATGATCCTAATCCTATTGTATACCATTATACCATCCAAGCTTCAGTAATCTTATTTGAAAATAATTTCGATAGTACTAATTTCATCCCTGGTCTTTTAAATTTAGTATATGATAACTTCTTAAAAGATGATTTTGGTTATGATATCAACCATACAGCATTACTTACTTTGAAATGTAAATATAGATCAATTGGATTGGTTACTAGATTATTGAAATTATTTATTACTAATCTTGGTCCCAGTTTAAGAGAATGGCCTGCTGTTTATAAAATCATGATTAAAAACTTGATTATGTCTACAAGTCAAGGGATTGGTTCAGCTAGCATCAGGGATTATCTGGAAGTTTACCTGCATTTACTTAGTTTATTCCAAGAATTAATCATTTATGATGCGCTGTTGATCGATGGTGAAGTTCCATTTTTCACTGATTTATTGAAATTAATCATTTCTAAGAACTTGAAGATTGGATTATCATCAGTTTCACCTACTTCCATGTTTAAAGATTGGATTTTCCCATTAAGTACCAGTTATGGTTTATACAAGGGTGCTTATGAATGTTATGTTGAATTACTTAAGATTTTCGGAGTTGATGTGTTGAATAAAGAAACTGTCAATATGTTATGGGTATCAATGAATATGCAACCATGTTCTGAATTGAAACAATTTATTAAATTATGGTTGGAATCAACTTCTGATATGAATTGGTTTACGATTTTAAATTCGTTATTTAAATGTTCATCAAAGAAATTGATTGGACCCTTTATTGAATTGAATTATCAACAGAAATTATTACCATTACTGCAAAGAACTAAGAAGGAAAAAGTAGCTAAAGTTGATTTCAAAGATGAAGAAATTGAAAACATTGTAGGTGATAATGGTGATGATAGTGATAAGAATGAACCTATTACTTGGGAATTTAAATTATTCATTTATGATTTATTGAATCATTTATTAGAGCTAGCTGAAAAGAATAATCAATTATTAGATAAATTAAAGGAAAAGATTCAAGATATAGTTAAAATCTCCTTTTTAGGATCTACATCACCCATCACCGAAATTAAAATTAGAGGTATTAATCTTTTAGATAAGGCGCTTGGATTATTTGGTCATTTGCCTGATCCATTATATCCCTCCGTTTCAATCTTAGAACAACAACAAGCTCAAATTATTAGTGCTTTGATTCCATGTTTTGCTCCTGGTAATGATTCTACTGTTATAGTGAATGCCATAAATGTGTCATCAAAATTCATAAGTTTACCTCGAATTAAATTTTATTCTAAACAAAGAATCTTAAAAACATTGATTTATTTATTAGAAGAAATCTCATCTAATAAATTCTTAAGATTTTCATTCTTAGAAGATATGAGTGAGTTTGGAAGAAAATCAATTCAATTATCAATTTTGAATTGTTGGGCCTTAGTTAAAATTGAATCATTGGATGAAGAATTCATTGAACCAGAATTACAAGAAACTTTAGAGAAATATAGTAAATTATTAATTTCATTATGGATATTGGTTCTTCGAGAATACTCCACATTAAGATATAATAATGATTCATCAGTTCAAGAACTTGAAATTTATCAAAATTATTGGATTAATTTCATTGGAGTTTTAAGTATTGAATTAGAAAATAATGGAGTTGATAAATTCTTAGAGAATGGATCAATTGATTTCTTCTTTGTGTTGTTTAGTTTATGTGTTGAATCATTAATTAAGAATAAGAACATTGGTGAGATTTTAGTCTCATTGAATAGATTGGTTCATAATAGTGAATTGGTGGAATTAATCTTTAAGGAAAGTATCTTTGAAGAAGTGGTTGATTTATTTGATCGTTTAATTTTAATTGATGATGATATTGAAATTCAATGTGCTTTGATTGATATTATTAATATTATCTTTAATACTTATGTTGATAATCATAAATCAGATCTTGCTAATGGATTTGATAAATTATTTGAACTTGTTAGAGTTGGTATGCTTCCATTATTTGGTATCTTACCATTTTTAAGAAGTGATTTTGATCCAAGTAATGATGCCCAAGTATACTTGATTAAACAAGCTGATAGTGCTCATAATTTATTAGTATTAAAGAAGGCATTTTCTAATTTGATTGAAATGACAAGTAGATTTGATGATGTGATTAAAGTTGATCTTTATTCATGTTTATTATATATCTTTGCCAAGATCTATGAGAATGCCAATAAGTTATTGATTTCGATTATCTTACCATATTTAAAAACGATCGTTACTGAAACTAAAAAGTTTAATGAAAAGATTGTTCAAGATTTTAGTAATTTGATTCATAGTTATTATTCAATCAATGTGGAAAATAATTATTCAGTGATTACTACTATGATATTGATAACATGTGGAGATTATAGATTGGATAATGATGAAAGTAAAGAATTGAGTAGTGCATTGATTAAATTATTAGAATCTAGTGATACTAAATCCACTGGTATTCAATGTATTAAATCATTAGTGCAATATTCTGCTACTAATACACCACAATTAACGGTTAAGTATTTAATTGGTGATTTGATTAAATTATTAGTAGGTGATGGTGATCAAGGAAAGATTGAACCAACAGTGAAATTAGAAGTATTATTAATGTATACCAAGAATGTCAGTGAAGAATCGAATTTGAATGCATTGTATTCTATATTAATTCCATTATTAGTCAAATTCAATGATAGTTCAATCATCTCCAAGACATATCTTCATGAGAGATTATTATTCTTGGTGAATAAGAATGCAGCCAGTTTCAAATTAGTTGTTACTGATGCCTTAACTGAAACTCAACGAAAGTTAACTGAAGATTTGATTAAGTTGGATATTAACCATGAAACAAATGATGGTTCATCCGATCCATTTGACAGTAATGAAGAACAAATCAAATTAAAGACATTTGGTGCTTAGAGACGAATATGTAAATAGATCCTATATGACATAAAAATATATATAAAATATTAATTTATATTTTTGTGGTAGCGCATGTTTATAAAATTTCCTCATAAATGAGTGGTAGACTTTAAAATTAAATACATCCAATCTGATATTGAATTACATGACACCATGGTTTACAATTGTGTAGTTGGAAGTTTTCTAATACGTTCAAGTGAATTATGGTCAAATTAAATTACCGCGGCTAAGTCAATTGAATTCTACCCCAATCTATTTATAAATACTGTATCACATCTTCGTCGCCATATAACCCTCAAAAATTCCGAATTGGGACTAAAATATTTGGCTGATGAAATGAGGCTGTTAGAGAGAGAAGGGGTATACGGCTCGTGTGACTTATGAGTGAATTCTTCTTCATGCATTCGCTTAATAAAGAAGAATATAATATTTATGTGATGATTTATTATTATACGTAAGTATTGAATAGGCAATGACTTTTTGTCTTATGTTTTATTAACATATCATATCAAAGTTACAGGAAAAAGATTTACAGACCAGACTGAGAGGATACAAATAATATGAATTAAAGGTTCGAAATGTAATCAATGTATAATGGAAATAAACATGATAGGCGACGTTCTGCTTCAATTACTTTGAACAACAACTTGAAATAATAATAAATGATTAACATAAAACTTCAAACCATTATTGCAAATCTCATAAACAATAAAAAATCCTAGTAAATTCGAATCAATTTGGCAGTTTTGTATGAATCCTTATGGAAAAGAGGCAATATTAGTATATCCAGAAAGCCTAACCACTTTTATCTATAGTGCTATATTGTCATAGTGTCATAGGAAATAGGGTTAATACCCAAATAGGTAAGCGCATGACAAAGTAATATTATGTCGTATATCGCGATATGCCGCAAGTTTATTTCTGCAATCCATCACGACCTACTGACTTCCGAATATGCAACTTCATGCCGGTTCGTTAACAGAATGAATTCGGTTATGACAAATATAAATTGACAGACATTTTTCCTCTATCAGAATTATTTTATATTGTTTTGAATACACATCGTTTATCTTTATTATTTTGAGTAATTATCATTGTCACATATATGCTAAACTGCAATGCGTCAATACGATCAGACTAACCGCCTCGACTTTTCTACTGAATTTCAGGCAACGAATTAGTTAAGAACGTTCAGTACATTTGACCTTTATCATAAAGCTTTATGGAAAAGAGGCGGTTGCTTCTGTCATCTGTTATCTTAGTTTTGATAAATTACTGAAGTTCGATCCTCCAATAACTTGGTTTCGAGCTATGATAAGCATCAAATAGTTGTAATGCCAGTATAGCCGTATTAATGGGCCAATATACCTATAAAGGAAAGGAGTAGACATTAATAAAAGGGGTAATAAGGGTTATCACTATATTGGATTTGGCAGTATAAATAGATCTTAATTATCCTAAATTTTATTTTTATATGAGTTAATGTTATGAAATCTATATATTTATGCAATTATGAAAGGCTCGTCCGCATATAACATAACATGCACATCCAGCAATGGAACTGTGAATGTGGGTGTAATGGCTGAGGGTATAAATCTGTTCATCTGTTATCAAGGTGTTCCATACATACCTGCCCCTAAGTATACAAGTAATGCTAACATTTTTGCCGGGAAGAATAAGTGGCAATATTTGATGGTGGTTACGTTATTTGTAGGTACTTGTTTAGTATGAATTTGAAGTTTCGAGCTTTATCAGACCCCGTTAACATTGATATTCTTTGACAGGAGCTAATCACATAGAGCCTTTTTATGCTCACTAATTGCTGTCAATTTTAATGTAATTTACATGTAATTGTCAAATCAAAAAACCCTGTTTAATTATAAGATTCTATAATGATAAACTGTGATCAATCGTATGAATTAATTTTCACATTGCTATGAAAATAAAGAAAAAGGTATGAACAAATGTATTTTAATCAGTGTCAAAATTTGATTTTACACCTAGTATGAAAAGTTCCGGCCAATGATACAAATCAAACTGATCTTGTTGTATGGGAAATTTGGGTCCTACTTATGAATAGGTGTCTAAAGGCGAATATCTAAATAGATCTTATATAAAAATATAACTGTTTAATTTTAAGATTTGTGGTAGCGCATTCTGAGCGGCGCGTGTTTTGTAAATTTTCTGTGTTTTGGTAAACAACGCGTCAAAATTGAGAAGTGAGGTTGAAATCATATATTGAATCAGAGTAGAGATATTTCATCAATTAAACCTGAGATAACATATGATGAGTGCAGTTGAGCCAAGTTTAGGTGATTTGAATCTTAATGCCAACTTCTCATTTGGTGAATCGAGTTTATTTGAGGAGAATCCATTGAAAACTGGTGAATCTACCGTTGATACTAATAACCAGAGCCAAGATCAAGATGATGAATCATCACAACCTATAAGTTCAGGCCAAATACCTCTTGAAGCATCTATTGAAGAGGATGATGAAGATGAGATATTCATGACTAATTCATTGCCCATATCCCCAGTTATACTACCACCTAAGGAAGTACGATTGTTCAATGGTAGTACTATCAATTTGAAACCAAAAAGACCAACCCATCCATCATCAGATTCTATATCAGAGAAAGCATCAGTGCTTTCATTAGATGACTTATACTCCAAGGCAAACTTGAGAAACTCTGTGAAACAGAACAACTTACGATTACAAGAATTAAATGAACCAAAATCTAAACCAACCAAGAAACAAAGAACAGAAGTGTTGACTGAAAAATATAGACCATCCAACTTCATCCAATTGTGTTCAGCAGGTAATGATAAACAATATAGATCAGTGTTACATTGGTTAAAGAAATGGTCAGGAGTTGTGTTTGGAGAAGATGTTGAAGTGGATGAAAATAATAATGATCCATATGGTAGACCCTACAAAAAGATATTATTAGTTCATGGTCCTCCTGGTATTGGTAAAACTTCAGCTATTCATGTATTGGCCAAACAGTTAGGATACTCTGTAGCAGAATTAAATGCTTCAAATAGTATGGATACTCAACCTGGAGGTGATCAGACTACTTCAGGAGGTGGGGTTAATGCTGCCTTAAAATTAAAAATTATAAATTCATTAACTTCAAATACTATTACGTCTGATGGTAAACCATCATGTTTAGTCATTGATGAAGTTGATTCTCTTATGAATTTACAAGAATTGGTTAGGGTTCTACAAAACATATTACAAGCCGATCAAAAGTCAACTTTTAAAAAACTTAATAGAGGAAGTATTGATGAAAGTTCAAATAAAAAGAAATCAAATGGTAAAGATTTCCGGTTAAGTCGACCAATTATTTGTATTGCTAATGATATTTATAATACTCAAAGTATTCGTAGCTCTCCCATGGAAAAACTTCGTCCCTTATGTGAAATCATTAACTTTAAAAAACCAACTGCATCAGTGAAAAGTATTGCTCTTAGATCAATCAAAGAATACCTTATGAAAATCAATATTAACGAAAAATATGGATTATCCCTTCAAGAAGTTGGAGAAATCATTGAATTATGTGATGGAGATATCAGAGCTAGTTTGAATTATTTACAATTTAATGGTAGAAAAATAGATGCTCCTCAAACCCTATTAGGAGATGCTAAACCAAGTAGTAGTATGGATAAACAAAATTCATGGTTTGCAGTTATAGAAAAGTTATTCAAGAGAGTACCACAATTATCCAAAGATGAGAACTTCGATGTCTTATTCAATTCATTCATGAATGGGGAATGTAAATCAGTGGCAACTAATTCTCAATTATTTGATAAAGTGGTTAAAGGATGTTTTAATCGATATTTGGATGTGGTCCATTATCAAGATGATTCCTTAGTTAAACCATGTGAATTAAGTGATTGGTTAAATCATTATGATCTGCTTGGGAATTCCAGTGGGAATGAAAATTACCTTGGTTTAGTAGGATTAAAGATCTGGTCATTATTTTCTGAAATTAATCCTACTAAATTCCATGATGAATCTAAATTATTAATTCCAAATGTGAAGAATCTCGATTATGAATCATTTGAATTAAGGAAACAAAACACATCTATTATAGAAAGAGTGATTAAAAACCTCCCTATCCGAACCAGAATGTCAGTGACAAGTGATAGTGGAATGTATTTCATCCCATACTTAAATAAAATCTTAACACCCATAGACTTATCTTCCAAAATGAGATCTAATTTATCTGATTTTGAAAAACAATATATCGATCAAGTCACAGATATTGTGAAAACATTTGATATTAAACTTGAAAATGAACGAGATTTAGAAACAGGTCAAGTATTATTACAATTCCAACCTAATTGGGAATCATTAACTCAATTCCAAGCTATCAATAATACTAAACATATTCAAATCAAACGTCAATATCTTTTCCCATTAATAGCGGCTGAATTAGAGAAACATAATACGATATTAAAACCAATCAAAAGAACTAACGTTGAAGTTAGTAGAATTTCCGAAGAAGAAATGAATAAGAAACGATTAAAAGTAACTTCAAGTGTTGATTTCTTTAAGAAGAGATATGATGATATTAATTCTATAACTCAATCACAACCTTTAAATTCTTCATCAGTGGATAAGGACTTTCAAAAGTCCAGAATATGGGTTAAATATAATGAAGGGTTTTCCAATGCTGTTAGGAAAAATATCACTTGGAATGATATTTGGCTTCCATAGATGTATATATATATATTTAATAAAATACTATTTGGCGTCTAAAATGATTTCGTATATTACAGGTCTATTTAACTTTCAAACATGTTGTAAGCAATTACAACCACATCCACTAGGACAATCCTCTTCACCATCTTGCCACCATTGAGCTGCACATTCAGTATGTAAAATATGTTCACAATTAGTACACACAATAAGATTCTTCGCTACGATCAAATTACATAAATTACAATATTTGATCATATTCCGTTTAGATGTATTCCAAGCATTCGATCTAGATGTAGGTATCGTCGTTACGGACTGGATAAACTCTTGAGTGGAGAACTGTCTCACTTTAAATCTGATTCCAAATTGACATGCATGTTCACTTGTACTATTTGAATTTTTAACCGCTGTAGGTGGATGATTGAATTTTAATATTTTGATACGATTAATGGGTAATTGCCATGAAAATAACATATCGGCGTATTGTTGTCTATATCCATTAATCTTTAATTCATCTTGAGACAGTAATAAACTAAGAGTATAATTATCTTCAAACATATCAAATTCATTGGAGTTTTGAAATTCAATATTAACAATTGGTAATGATCCATTTAATTTCTTTTGAAGTTTATTACTAATGGTACTATTAATATGTCTGATGGATGCTTTCTTATTAAGTGGTTTTGGAGTTCTCTTGGATTCAAGATGACTAAGTGTTCTAGCTTTAGTTAACAGTTGCTGAGGACTGATAACCTTATATTTATCTAATGAAATACTAGTTTCATTATATGATGAAGGAGTCAAGGCAGGTAAAATATGTTTCCTACCATTAGTTCGATCTGGAGGTGAATAATCATTAAATAAAAACTCACCATCTAAAGATTTAATACCATGAGTATGATTGTAAATAACCATCAGATTATTTGAATTTCGATGACTTACAGATGGGAAGTTCAGTTCATCAGGACTACTTTGATTATTACTACCTGATAATAGACTTTCTTCATTAAATTTCTTCACAGCAATGATTGATGGTGGAGGTGGTAATACTTGATATGGGGTATGGATTGGAATATTTAAAGCTAAATCTTGACGTGAAGGACTTCTAAGGAAATTCGTTGGATTCTCATATAGTATACATGACATCATAGTAAGCATTTGCACATTTAATTTTAATTCAAAATAATTAAATATTTCTTTAATTAACCAATTTGATCCAAATGGATGAGTACCCCAAAAGAATGGACCAGGTTTAGTAATAATCTTTTTAGCAATATTACTATTCATTAATTGATTTAAAGTTTGACTAGTTTTAATATCCTTTAAATTAGGACCTAAATAAGAAGGATAATGTTCAGTATAAATATCATTCATTTGAACATATTTTAATAATATCACTTCTAATATCTTCCATACATCACTTATTTCAGTTAAACCATATTTCAAAGCAACTTCACTATTATATCGGGCAAGATTTTCTGGAGAATCTCCTAAAACACGATATTCACAAGCTAATTCATATTTATCCGGTAATAAATGTCTGAAATCAAATATACCGACGATATTCTTTACTTTTTTATCTCTACTTCGTTTCTTTTTATTACCATCTCTAATGGAAGATTTATAATTTGAAATAGTACCACCTCCATGACTGGCAAATCGATTGAATGAGCCCGATTTAGTATTATTATGACGATTGATATATCTATTACCTAATCCAACAAACATTCCTGGAACACGAGTACGAGCAGGAGCATCAGTTTCTAAGATTTCATCCCAATCATTGGTAAAACTATCATCTGATGAGGATGATGTGATAGATTCAATACTTTCATCATCACTGCCAGCAGCTGAATTTTGGGATTGGTCTGAATCACTCAGAATCTCTTGATCATCATCTTCTACTTCCTCAGATTCATCTGATTCTGGTTCTACATGATGATGGTGATGATGGTGATGAGTATGATCATGAGTATTTAAACTAAACCCTCCATCAGTGAATTTAAAGATATTGAATTTCTTTTGAGATGCACTTTCTTCTTCTTCAGCATTATCCTTTGGAATGAAAAAACATACTAAATGGCCAGTAGGAGACCAAACTGCTCCGCACCCTTTCGGTATTGGTGTTGAATCAAATACAGGTTCTTTATTACTTTCATCAATTTCACCAGCATTAGCCCCACCATTACTATCATTCATTTTATTCAATTTATTCACACTATCAATACTTCTTAATAATTCATCATTATGAACGATCAAATCATTAAATCCATCATTATCCTCTTCACCTGAAGATTCATCTTTCATTTGATTATTCATATATCCTGGTTGTTGATTAATCAAATCATCAGCCCATCCTTCTGCTCCAACTTCTTGAATAAACTCACCATCACCATGTTCTTCATTACTATCAGTTCTGGTATCCATCATTAATTCATCGTTTAGATCCATCTTATCCCCCATTAAATACCGTAAACATGGCTCTAAAGTGAATCGTTTATGTTTATTGGTGTAGAATTCGGCGATTTCATTTAAATTTAAAATCATTTCATCTTTGATATCTCGAGTTAATTCATGAGTTTCTTCAATTTCAAATTTAACAAGATTTTGTTTTTGTAATTTAGCTAATTTCTTAGCATTTAATGAATAATTGATTTCTTCCAAGTATGGATACTCTTTAGGGAATTTAATTTGTAATCGAATGAAAACCAATATTTGATCTTGATTTGAGTCATCACTGACTGATGGTACTGATTTCGAATTACCTGTGGTGATATTATTATTACTAGTAGCGGTACTATTATTAGCGGTAAGATTACTACTAACGATATTGTTATTGGCAGCAACACTAATACCTGGTATGGATGTAGTGGCATTATTGGTATTATTAGTATTATTGGTCGCTACACTTTCACCAATTTCAGATGGTTCACCAACACCACTTGCACTGATTGAATTCTTGGAATCAAAATTATCCAAGATTGAACTTTTATTAGGATCATCATCTGATTTATCCTTTTCCTTTTCATTAGGACTTGGAACTGGTCCTCTTAAACTTAATACTAATTCACCGGTTGAAACTGATATTCTTTCAAATCTAACTTTAGGAAATTTATGACCCACAATACTTACTTCTTCACCTAAATTGGAAGGACCATCAATAACTCCATCATCACTATCTTTCCCACTCACAATACCATTGGCATTTCTATGAGGCACATGACCAGCACGACCCATTCTAACTCCTGATATCCAATCTAAATGATTTAATTGATTATATAAATCATCACTGGTATTGTTATTGTTATTATTATTATACTGTTTTTGATATTTTTCATAGATTTGATATGACGTTAATGATGATAATAAATCACCATTATTTTTCCGTTTCAAATCCTCGATAGAAACTTCAGGTTCTATTAAATAAGTTTTATAATTATATTCTTGAATCTCGCCTACAGAGGGAGATTGAGGTCGAGTGCTATTATTATCACTTTCCGGTTCATCATCCGGTTTGAAACTTCCTAATAAATTATGATAAGAAGGATTATAATTAACTCTTCTATATAATTCATCATCATGAGGCCATAATTTCAAATCATAATCAACTGAAGACCAAGTAACCAATTGGAAATCCTTATGTTTATTTTTAGAATCAAACCCAGCATATTTTTCTTGTTTGGTTCTCCAAAGGAAATCTTTCATAGGACCATTATGACCTTTGAATGAATAATTTGATTTTTCATCATTGCCGAAATTACTTATAACTTGAGTTTGATTAGTTAAGGCTGCTTGTTGAAATTCATCATCATAATTGACTATATGAATTGAATCTTGACCTCCTCGAAGAGGCATTATCCCACATGCCTTATCACTTCCAAATGGTAAAGATCTAGCTCTCGCTATAGGGAAATCAGTTTCAATCACCACAGTAGGTTTTAAACCTGATGAATCAGTATCTTTACTAGCAAAATAATTAAAATTATTAGAGAATTTAATCGCTTCATCATTTTTTAAATTCCAAAATTTAATCGTATTATCATTAGAACAAGTTATAACATTTGATGAACCATTACTAAAATCCAATCCATTGATTTTCCCATTATGAGCTTTATTAACTTTAACAAGAGGTAATGCTCCTTTTCTAGAATCCCAAACATAGAAATTATTATCATGACTTGATGCTATTTCATAAGGATTTTCATGATTCCATTTAACTTGAGTTGCACCAGCTCTCCATTCTGCCCATTGAGCTACTGGTTTTCTAGGAGTTCTCATATCCCAACTTAAGATGAATGTATCAATGGAACAAGTGGCTAATAATTCAGGATCAGAAGGATGGAAATTGATATCTGTAATAGCTCTAGCATGATTGTGTAATACACTGAAGATGGCATTATTGGAAGGTCGTGATAAATCCCAAAGAAGAGCCTTTTGATTAGATGTAGATATACACCAAGAAGGTTTGGAGAAATGATGAGGAGACCATTGAACATCAGCCACTTCCCATGAAGTGATATGATGTAACCATCTTGGAGTGGTGAATGGATCATCTAAATCAATCACAAATAATCCTCTTCTACCGGCTAATAAAGCATCTCTACCATTGGGAGATAAAGACATGGCCCCAATTGCCCCATCAACTCGTAACAGAAGGGAATTCCCAAATGTTACTGAATCATTAGGATCAATCATTGGCTTTATTAGACTGTGTGATGTGGTTGTATGGTATAGTTTTGATGGGATTGAAATTGGGCTGTAAATAATGGTTAAGTTACTGCTTTGGGATTTTTTGTGGTTGGGGAATTTTTTTGGTTTGAGGTTTGGTTCAGATTTTTTACTGTGCGATGGTATAAAGAGAGTATACTTGCTCTAATGATCGGTTATAAATATACATTTTTCCTAGTATAGTATGGTACTTAAGATGATATATCGGTTTAAAAGAGTAATCTTACAAGGTTACAACTTTAAATAGGAGAATTACCTTATAAATTGATGATAATAGACACGTCTTCTACTTTTCGCAGCCGGTATACTTCAAATTAACATACATTACTTTTAATTGATATTATACTATAAACATTCATGGTTGACGAGTATTCACAATTTGATTCTTTAACTTTTCATCCCATGCTTGACAAAGATCTTCTAAATAAGCCACAACATCTTCATTACCTGTACCATCAATTTCTTTAAATTCTAATGATTCTTTACCTCGTTTATCACTTATAGATCCAATTTTAACATCTTGATCAAGTCCACTATACTTATCCTTTTTCTTCTTTTTATCTCCACTTAAAGCAGCTTTAACAGGAGCATTAGCAGCAATATACCCTGAGATATTATGATAAGGTGATCCTAACCATCTTGCTACATAAAAAAGAAATAACATACCATAATAAGTAAACACATTCAAATATTGAAAGAATGAAAAACTAGTGAAAATACCAGGATGAACAAGATATTGTACTATATCATGGTTTGATTTCAATGATTTATAAGTCCCAATATGCATCAAATCAATCAATCTTTTCGATCCTTCATATGATTCCGGAGATTTAATCAATTGTAAATCATTAAATGATAAATATTTAGGAGCTGACATTATAGAAGATATCCAAATAACTCTCCCACCCCCCGATAATAAATGTTTAATCTTATGAATTAAATAATATGGTCCAAATACATTAGCTTGGAAAACAAGTCCTAAACCATCTTTCGATTTCTTCCCCACTTCTTGAATCTTATAAGTTGGATTAGTAACTCCATCCAAAGGATTAGTTAAGATTTGTTTAGTGGCTCCAATCCAATCAAGACCACTATAGACACCTTGAGCTGCATTAACAAAGAAATAATCAATATGGTTATATTTCTTATTTAAATCATAATAGGCAGTTAATACCGATATCATATTAGTGAAATCGACCAACAAATAATCGAATTCCAAATCACCCGTTCTCCTTTCAGGTAATTTAGTATCAGCATATTGTTTTATAGTAGTTATGACTTCCTTAACTTTAGGTAAAGTTCGAGAAGTTACAATTAAAGTTATATTTTCATGAGGTGGTAATTGTTCTAATAATCGATAGGCAATGTTTATACCAAGATTGGAGGTTGTACCAGTTATAACTGCGACTTTAGCATCTTTAATAAGTGACATTCTGAATTGACTATCCAATGTAAACCAATGACACTTGATAAGTTGTTGTGGTTGATGATGATAGTTATAGTTTGGTTGGTGGTGGTGGTGGTGGTGGTTAAAATCATTTTGCAGAATTTTGAATTTTTCGTTTCCGTAAACGACCAAAAAAAAAATGAATTTGAACCTCAAAATGGAAACTGACTGTAAAGGAATTACTTATATAACAATCAATCATACAACAACTATACATACCATCAAACTACTATGAGTGAACTAAGTAACCAAGGAGGATTGGAAGGAATCGATGAAGAAGAAATTGATGAAGAATTCAATGATGTAGATGAACATATCAATCAAACTCCCAAACTAAAAAATGGTACATCCTCCACCACCAGCAACAATACCACCAAGAAACAACAACATCAATCTAATGAATCCAAAGCTACTTCAAGTCAACCTTTGATACCGGAATTACCCGAATTATCCAGAAAAGATATGACGTTAAAGAAAGTACTTGATTTAATGGATGATGAATTCCAACCTATAATACCAGATGTAATTACCGATTATTATCTAAGTAAGAATGGATTTGAAACTTCGAATATTAAAATAAAGAGATTATTGGCATTAGCAACTCAGAAATTCATTAGTGATGTTACTCAAGATGCTTATGAATATAGTAGGATTAGAAATAGTTCAGCTGTTTATAATAGTTCTAATCCTCAAGTCCGTGCTAAACAATTATTACAAGGTCAACAATATGCCAATCAACAACTGATGACGGGTGCATCAAACTTAGGAGGTGGAGATGCCGCTGCTGCAGGAGGTGATGGAGCAGCTGGTGGTGTGGATGGGAATGCTACGGGGAATGAACAACAACAACCAACTCATTCAAATGCTGGGAATCAACAAGGTAAAATCGTTTTAACAATGGAAGATTTAAGTAGTGCTTTAAGTGAATATGGTATGAATACTTCCAGACCTGATTTTTATAGATAGATTTTATATGTATCAACTGTATTATTATTATTATTAGTAGTAAATTTATATTACTATTTATTTATTGTACATTAAAAATAGTGTAGAAAAGTATATACATAAACATTTCAAGAAAAGAGTGTCATCATAATTACATACCACCTCCCATTCCACCAAATTGACTCATTAATTTTTGCATCATACCAGGATTTTGCATCATTTGTTGAGCTTGTTGCATCATTTGAGGATTCAGTCTCATCATTTGTTGAGCTTGTTGCATCATACCAGGATTATTCATTAATGAGGCCATATCAGGCATACCACCTGGACCTCCTGGACCACCAGCACCACCTCCTCCACCAAACATACTCATGGCTTGTTGCATGAAATTTGGATTCGATTGAGCTTGTTGCATCATTCTTGCCATTTGAGGATTGGCTCCCATACCACCTGGACCACCACTTGGAGTTCCATCAGGATTAGCAGCAGCAGCAGATTTAGCCATGGTGGACATCATTCTATGTTGTTGTAATACCATTTCAATCTCAACCGCAGGACAACCGGACCCCTTAGCAACTCTAATGATTCTGGAAGGTTGCTTTACAAATAATCTTCCATCTGATTCTAATTCTTCTTGAGTCATGGAATCCATTATAAAGATCATATTTTTAATTTTATCGGAAGTCTCTTCTTCACCCACTTGACTCATTAAATTCGACATACCAGGAATCATAGATGCAATATTAGTTAATGGACCCATCTTTAAGAAATTATTTAATTGATTTTGAAAATCTCGTAACGTGAATTTCCCTTCTTTAATATTTTCCAATGTCTTTTTATGATTTTCATCATTTTGTAAATTTAAGGATTGAACTTGTTCAATTAATCCTTGTAAATCTCCAATTCCTAATAATTTAGAAATAAAAGTCGATGGTTTAAAAATTTCAAAATCATTAACATGTTCACCAGTACCAATGAAAATAATAGGAGTCTTAGTGATTGCCACAGCAGAAATAGCACCTCCACCTTTAGCATGACCATCCATCTTGGTTAAGATTATTGATCCGAAATTGGCAGATTCTTTAAATGCTTTAGCTTGAGATTCAGCCGCTTGACCAATCGAACCATCCATAACCATAATGGTTTGACTTGGAGCAATCATTTCACTGATTTGAATCATTTCATTAAACAATTGTTGTTCTTGTCTATGTCTACCTGAAGTATCAACAATAATAATATCGAATTTTTCTTGTTTAAATTTTTCCACCCCTTCATTAGCAATCTTTACCGGATCTTGTTCTAAATATGAACCAAAATAAGGTATGGAAGCCTTTATAGCATTTTGTTTTAATTGATCAAAGGCACCAGCTCTGAAAGTATCAGCACAAACTAATCCAACTTTAAACCCTCTCTTTTTATAATATACTGCTAATTTTGTACATGAAGTAGTTTTACCTGACCCTTGTAAACCGACAAACATAATCACATAAGATGATTCCTTGACATTGTTCTTATTAGCAGTGACTTTAACTTTCTTACCATTGATGATTTTAGTAACAGTATGACCTGAAGTTTTACTTGAATTCACTGATAATTTAGTTGGTTTTGGAGGTTCTTCATGAGAATCAACCAATCCACATAATTCATCATAAATGATTTTTTGTAATTTCTTTCTCTTTTCATTCATATTATTCCCACTAGTACTTAAATCTGATTTAATCTTTAATTTAATATTATCTCTTAATTTAACCACTAATTTAATATTAACGTCTGATTCTAATAACGCAGAACAAATATCTTTAATCATTTGATTGATTTCTTCATCACTACCTGATTCCACCGATGAAAGTGCTCCTCTGAGTCGAGCCCCTAAATCTGCCAACACCATCTTGAGTCGTAGTAATTGTAGTTATGGTTCTTCAATCTATCTATCTAGTTCGTTGGTTGTAACTGTCATTGATATTTGATTTGGCTGTCTTGTCACTCTCTGGCAAAAAAAGAAAAGAAAAAAAAAATCGTTGAAAAAAATCGGTCACGTGAGAACAAATCTCTCCTGCACACAATGCCAGATCTATCAACTGTAATTACACCGTATAGATACTAAATACAATACAATCAATACAATGTATATAGGATTATTAAGTAGAATATATTAAAGATGATATATATATATTAATTTTATATAAAGATACAATATTTTATTTTCAAAACCAGTTAAAAAAGGGGAAGATATTGTAAACAGTGAAAGGAATAAATTTTGAACCATTGAAGTATAGAGAATAGAAAACCGAAATAAATAGAATAAATAGTTAAATAATAATGGTGGTAAATAAATAAATAAATAAAAATATGCAATTGTGAAAAGGGTGGGTGTATGAATAACTTCTTTTGGGAATAAATGAATTGAATTGAATAAAAAAATATGCCAGTGTTGTTGTTGTATTAGTAGTTAATATGATAGATAATGATAGCAAATGTTGTTGTTGTAGTTATAGTAGTCGATGTGAAAGACAAGAACTAATATCAACAACTTCGTTGATTTCGTTTCGTCTAGTGATTCAAAAGAATCATCTCATCAATTCTATTTAAATCCAGTTCCAAACTAAATTTCCTTAATCTAATTAAATCTCTTCTTAAACTAACATCATTAACTTCATCTTCATCATCATAAAGATCATCACCCGTCATTTCCAATGGTAAATAATTCAATTCAAAATTGATTAATTGAGCCACGGAATGATTATGAATATTAGATTGTTGCCATAAGGAATTATTAAGACTATTATTTACAGATTTAGTTTGGGATGGTAAGATTGGAATAGCAACTTTGGTATTATCGATGAATTGATCATCATCATCTTCATCGAATTCTTCTTCCTCCTCTTCTTCTTCTTCTTCATCTTCCTCTTCTTCTTCTTCATCTGAAATCGAGGCAGAACTAATCGATGATAATAATGATAAATTTATACAATCATATTTCAAAGCATTCAATATGGTACTATTATCATGAACAGTATTAACATTGGAACTTCTTGCCATGGTAGTATACTTTGGAACAATCATATTATTAGTACTATTATTATTATTGATGATATTATGAGTTGGAAGAACTTTTGGTTGACTTGAAGATTTATAATTAAAATTGAATTTATATTGATCCTTTTGTAAACTTTGATGATCGATAATAGTAATAGGATTAAACATTAATTCGATATCTTTTATGGAAGTGGAGAAGATTTCATGTTCTAATTTAACTCGTTTTAAAGATTTATTAATAGGAGGACTATTAGTACTAGTAGGAATAGTATTATTATTATTATTATTATTGATATTGATATTATTCGAGGTGGTTGAAATCGAAGTTATACTTGTTGAACAAGGTTGATAAGAATATAAAGTTAATGAATCTGAATTTGACCTTTTCATGTTGAATGAAAGTAATTATAAAAGTTATGAATATATTATGATAAAATGAAATGAATAAGGATTAAATCATATACTGATTAAATGTGGTAGATTCTCTATCTATATATAGTATTAATATGAGAAAATCGGAAGTGGGACTGGAAATAGACAACCCCACTTTGTATATGTGGTAGATAGTAAGATAGTAAATAACAATAGATATATATACAATGAATGTGTAAGTATTATACCCAACCACACAACCTAGGAAAAAGTGGATTAATTAAATATTTATAAATAAATAATTAAAATAATATAAATAATAATAATAAGATAATCCCAACAGAATAATAAAAACACCAAAAATGGATATTGTAGAAATATCAGGGAATATAATTACGTATAAATAAGAAATAGATAATAAAAATTATGAGTGGAAGTGGAAGTGAAATTTTTACTGCAACAAAAATTAACAATGGAAGAAATAAATTTAAGTAAACTGTGGGCTGATAGAAGAAGTAAAACTTACCGTTAAGCAATTAATAATTAAAAGCCAGAAAGATTATGTGGAGGTGGGAAGTTGATTATGGATGATGGATGAAGTGGGTGAGATTAAATAGATGAAAGTAGATGGATGGATTGTTTGAATTATTACTACATTAAGATAAGCTAACCCAATTCATGGCATCATCACACTTGCTAAATTTTAAGTTTTAGTTTGAAGTTGTGTTATTCTGATTGTCTAAGTTCTTGTTCTGGTTGTTGTTGTTGTTGTTGTTGTTTATGCCATTCCTTTAACTGTCAGTTCAAATTTTATTTTTGCGCTGATTAAAAATTTCTTTTTTTTTTTTTTTTTTTAAAGTGGAGCCGTCTAATTATTCCGAAATTAATTATTACAATTCAACAATCATCCAAAACAATTTAGTTATACGATTTGATTGCCATCATCCACCACTTCCATAGTAGTTATCTATACAAACTAAGCAAAACACTAACAATAACAAACAAAATTCATATTTCCTGTACCCCCTTTTTTCCCTAATTGGTGATTTCTTCTACAGTTTACGTTCTTCATATGGCCATCATTTATCTATCTATCTATGGTTCTATCTATCTATCGCCAAGGTAAATGTAACTTAACTTATCTTTAAATTAGGAATTATAGGAGTAACTCACCACTCACTCCTATTAATTTTTACCAGGTTGTATAATTTTATAGGATTAACCCCTCATTAAACTTTATTAATTAATTACACGTCGTCGTTAATATTAAATATATATTATAATAAACTAAAATGATCACTCAAGATGGTTAATAAACCTCCTAATAATAATAAAATAATACGCCTAATTTAATTTTAAAATTAATTTAATTTTAATTTTAATTTTAATTTAATTTAATTTAATTTAATTTAATTTAATTTAAAATTAGAAATTAATTTTTTTATTTTGTGCTTACTCCTATTTTTTATTATAGTGTAAATTAACTGTGAATGCCGTATAGTAAACCATCAAATTAATATTAACTAGTTCCATTCCAAGAAATCGAATGTAAAGATGGATCTATTTCATTTCATCATATATAGGATGTATATGCATAAAGCACAACTGTCATCATCATAAATAACAACAACAACTATTCAGTTCAGTTGTTCAGTTCAGTTCAGTTCGAATTACAATGAGAGCAGAAAGAGCGCAAAAGTTGCCTAATTAGGAAAGAGCAATTAAAAAGAGATAACCAGAGATTAATACAACAAACAACAACTATGAACTATTACTATCACATTCAACTATAATTGTTGATCTGTAACCATTCTAACTATGATAATCGAACCTCCAAATTTCATCATACTGTAGTTATAGTATAGTTTTGCTATTGTTGTTAGTTGTAAAATCTCCACCACAACTAGTAGTACTATTCTCCCGATTGTATGTGTATCTATTTTACGTGAGTTGTATGACGGATCACCAGTTCCATCAAACAATAAATCTATTAATAATCAACACATATTTTATTATCTCTGTCTTTTATTACTTTATAATTATATTCACGCTTATACTTAACATCCTCTAACCCACCCAGCCATACTATAGAACGTGATCATAATAATTACTACTTACTACTAATCCGGATATATACCAAAAATTACCATCATACAGTAAACCCTAAACCATTTTAAACCGTTTAAACGTCATCTCATCTCAAGTACATACATAGATCAATTACTATGATTACAACATCCACCACACTACAACCATTCTAACAAGGTTTTTATGCAAAGCAAGTAAATGTATAATTTCACCCACGTTATACCATAAATTGTAAAATGCGCATTACCAGTATTAATACAGTTGTTGTACAGTAATACTTATCTATTAAAATTAACTTTAAACAGGCTCAGCCACAGTAAGTAATTTTAAACTAATAACTAATAATTAATATGAGTTAAGCGCTTAATTTTTTAAATAGGAGTTTGAGATGATCTCCTGTATATATTATGTCCTGTATATAAGTTAATTAAAGAGAAATGCCTTTTAATTTAATGGCATTGTGAAATCGTTGATGGCAAAATAAAATAATATGATAAAGATGGGTTCTAATTACTTAATTAAGATAAAAAGTTATTTATTTATTTCTTCTATAGAATTCTACTCCATAGTTTTATGTCAAATAGAATATTCTATGAAACACGGTTAAATAATAATAGAACACAACTATCTTAACTTTGGCCACACCATTTTTATCTATTCATTTTTCCTATCTAGAATGGTTACACAGTTTGTTGTTGTTTATCTAATTATTGTTCTTATCTTATTTGGTTGTAGTTTATACCTTATTTAGTCTATTTATTTATATCTCTCTATTGTTATCTTTCGTGTTTATTTGTTGTGGTTTTGACGAGTTTTGATTATCGAAAAAAATATCACCTCTCCTGTATATAAAAATGAAATTTTTGAAAATGGTAGCGGCGGGTATGTGTGTTTATCTTTTAACTAAAATTTCATTTCATCTATGTCTAAACATTCTCGGTCATTGAATCGGCATCTAATATTAAGATGGATTTGTTAGTATGTGATTATGATGATGAAATTTTCATAATAATGTCACGTCAAATTAATTATCTCTAATCTAATCAATGTAATATATTTCATCATTAATAAAAACTGATCTTATATTAATATTAAACTGCTAAACTGTGGAATTGAATCTGTAGGTTCTTATCTTTACTAATTTCTTATTCATCGTCGCCATACCATTCGACAGGATCTTTCTTAAGATCTTCTCTTAAAATTCGTAAATCTTCATCAAAATAATCGGATTCATCACTTAATTCATCATCTTCTTCATCTAACGGTTCTGCCTCATAAGTATCATCTTTTTCATCTTCTTCATCATCTCCTTCTTCAAATACATATATTACAACTCTCTTTCGATACATATTCAATTCTCTATCATCATCACTATCATAATCCTTAGTTTGATACCGTTTAAATTCAACTTTATCAATGCGTAAATCAACTTGTTCAAGTTTTTCATCTTCACTATTGATAAGGTAATCATCATCATCACTTTCATCTTCTTCCTCAACAATCATAATCTCTTTCAAAATCTCTTCGACATCGGCAACGTCAATATCTTCCACAATCTCTTCCACATCCTCTTCCACATCCTCTTTAACATCCTCTTTAACATCACTTAACCTAACTGGAACCACATCATCATTGAATTTCCATAATTCGTATAATTCACCTCGAATCAATGCAATCGCATGAATAACCCCACAAAGTCCAATTTCTAAAATCGGATTATAATACCATTTGTTAAACATATACAAATTTCCACCTAAGAATGAAATCATAACTATACTAGAATAAACCTTCTTCATCTTAAACAACACATACAATTTTGAAAATTTAATATCAGCAGGTTGATTCTTATAATAATTATACATATCAAACTTCAAACATAATGAAATTAATAAAATGGGTCCTTTTAAATTCGCCGCTTCACGAAAAGTATATGCGTATTTAGACCTTGTTGGATCCATCACTTTATGAGTGTCAGATATTGGAATTAGAATCTTTAATGAAGCTGCAGTGCTTGGTAAATTCAAGGTTGGAATGAAGAAAGTCCGTTTATATATCATCGATAATATAAAAACTCCATAAATACCGAAAATATATTTAAATTGATATAATGGAGGTATAAACTTCGTGGCACGGAATTTGAATGCATTATGGAAGGCATATATGATATGTAAGGTAGTTATAAGATTTCCTATAATCCAATTATAGGAAAAATACTTTGATAAATAATAGACTAATAATGTAGTAGGTAATAGATCTAACCAACGAATATCAAAGTCTAGTCCAAAGGGATTTGGGTCTGCAACATTAGGATCTATTCTCGTTATGGTTATGCTTGGACGATTCAGTACTATCAATCTATATCGAGTCCAAGTTAAATCTTGAACATTTAAAATCCGTAATCCTAATATGAATATTACCTCTAAAGACTTATAAAATACAATTGGTTCGTATGTATTGACCACAATATAAACCATTAGACCAACAGAAATTATTGATCCACAAATTATCATGAATATCTCAAAAGAACTCCGTCCCCGTAATGTACTAGCTATAACATCATCTTGAGATGTTACAGTATCATCATCAAATCGAGTTTCTGCAAATTCAATATATGAAGGTTTATGAATGGTAGCATACACCGACAGGACAATGATAAAGGTATATAACGTAAGTAAAATCAATGATTCAATAACAGGAGACGGAATTGAGGTGGAGAATAATACAGAATTGAAAGAATCAGTAATGGCATTAATCACATAACTTGAAGTATCTTTAACAGCCATTGTTATCTTCTGTTATCTTTTTTTGTGGGGGTTAGATATCACACGATTGAACTCAATTAGTTTGTTCCTTTCTTCTTGAAACAAAATACTTACACCTAGAAGTTAAGCCTTTCTGTCACAATATCAATGAGTTAAAGCTTATCTCAAACAGTATTTTTAACAAGTCAAATCAAACAAGGAATTATGAAGTTTATTTAAAATTTAAAATTTAAAATTTACGTCAAATCAAAATAACTTCGCGTGCGGCTCTATCTTATTTTTGCGCGTATTTTTTAGTATAATTAATTTTAGATTCTACCACTACTATGATTGAAGTTTATAGTTATGTTATTTTGATCTATCAATTGTCTAATCTACTTATAAATCGTGGGAAGTACTACTCTTCTTTATTATCATACAATTCTACGGGATCTTTCTTAAGATCTTCTCTTAAAATTCGTAAATCTTCATCGTAATAATCAGATTCATCACTTAATTCACCATCTTCTTCATCTATCGGTTCTGCCTCATAAGTATCATCTTCTTCATCTTCTTCATCATCTCCTTCTTCAAAGACATATCTCACAACTCTCTTTCTATACATATTCAATTCTCTATCATCATCACTATCATAATCCTTAGTTTGATACCGTTTAAATTCAACTTTATCAATGCGTAAATCAACTTGTTCAAGTTTTTCATCTTCACTATTGATAAGGTAATCATCATCATCACTTTCATCTTCTTCCTCAACCATCATAATCTCTTTCAAAATCTCTTCGACATCGGCAACGTCAATATCTTCCACAATCTCTTCCACATCCTCTTCCACATCCTCTTCCACATCCTCTTTAACATCCTCTTCCACATCCTCTTCCACATCCTCTTTATCATCCTCTTTAACATCACTTACCCTAACTGGAACCACATCATCATTGAACTTCCATAATTCATTTAACTCACCTCGAATTAACGCAATCACATGAATAACCCCACAGAGACCAATTTCTATAATCCGATTATAATATGATTTGTGAAACATATACAAATTTCCACCTAAGAATGAAATCATAACTATACTAGAATAAACCTTCTTCATCTTAAACAAGACATACAATTTTGAAAATTTAATATCAGCAGGTTGATTCTTATAATAATTATACATATCAAACTTTAAACATAATGAAATTAATAAAATTGGGATTTTTAAATTATCCCCTTTAAGTATAAGAGCTCCATAATTTGATACCAGCCTTGATGAACCCAATTCTTTAAAATGGTTTCCATAAATACTTGGTCTAGGAATGTGAATATGCAATGAAGCTGTAGTGCTTGGTAAATTCAAGGTTGGAATGAACAAAATCCGATTATATACCAGCAATAATATAAAAACTCCATAAATACCGAAAACATATTTAAATTGAAATAATTGAGGTAAAAAGCTCCTCTTACGAAATGATGTATTATGGAAAGCAAATATGAGATGTAAGGTAGTTATAAAATTTCCTATAATCCAATTGTTATAGGAAAAATACTTTGATAAATGATACACTAAAAATGTGACAGGTAAAAGATCTAACCATCGAGCATCAAATTCTATCCCAGTAGGAGTTGGGGTTGTATCGTTAGGTTCTATTCTGATTATAGTTGAATAATTATCACCCAATATCAACTTATAACGAGGTAAGATTAAATCATGAATATTTAAAATTCGAACTCCTAATATAAATATGATTTCTAACGATTTATAAAATGTAAAGGGGTTAAATTCAAAATTGAGCATAAAATAAACCATAACTCCAATAGCAATTACTGCTCCACCAATGTATTTAAATTTTTCAAAATAAGTTAAATTCGGATCTGTTATGGTCGTAAGTAGAAGATCATCTTGGATTGATGCTACAGTATCATCATCAAATCGAGTTTCTGCAAATTCAATATATGAAGGTTTATGAATGGTAGCATATACACACAAGACAATGATAAAGGTATATAGCGTAAGTAAAATAAATGATTCAATAATAGGAATTGGAATTGAATTGGAGTATAATACAGAATTAATGTAATCCGTAATGATATTAATCACAGACCTTGAAGTATCTTTAAATGCCATGATACTTCACTCCTTGATTTGTTATCTTTTGTTATCTGTTTTTGTCGATAGATATCACACGATTGAACTCAACTTTCTGTGTTTCTTAAAACAACAAAAGGAGACGAATTTAGTATAAGTTAAACCTTTCTGTCAAAATATAAATGGGTTAAAGCTTATCTCAAAACAATGATATTTAGTGTTTTTAATCAATTCAAATCAAACAAGGAATTATGAAGTTTATTTATAATTTAAAATTTAAAATTTACGAAAATTGCGTGCGGCTCTATGTTATTTTGCGCATATTTTTTAATGGTGGTTACATAGAAGTTACTATGACTAATTTTAAATTTTGCCACCATTGATACGACTGAAGTTTATTTTAATCTATTATTAATCTAATCTAGTTATAAACTGATTAATTGAACTATTTGGTATAATCTAGTCATCATCTGCTTCATCATCTCCTTCTTCTCCTTCAACTTTATCAAATTCACTATACCATTCCACTGGTTCATATGCTACATCTTCTTTTATATATTTCAACTCTTGTAGAATATCACTCACGTCTCCTTGTTCATCCTCTACATCTTCCTCTTCCTCTTCTTCGTCGTCATCTTCATCCTCTCCACCAATCACATAGGTATCATCCTGCTCTTCCTCCTCCTCCTCAAAATCAAATCTCGATCTATACTCATCCAATTCAGTCTCTTCACTATCATAATCTTCAACTTGATATCGTTTAATCTCAACCTTATCAACCCAAGCATCATACTCTTCCAACTCCTCATCCTCACTACCAATATCATAATCAATATCTTCCTCCTCTTCATTGTCCAGAACTTCATCCTTAACAGGACTATACTTACTAAACCCATCATTAAACTCCCATAAATCACTAAATTCCCCTCTATATAACGCCACACTAATAATATTAATAATCATACAGGGAACTAAATATAATAATGCTGGTTGACCCACTTTAAAATAATGTAAATTGATCAACGTAATGATTAATCCAATATTATAACTGATTAAAGTGGTAATGAAATAAATTTTCGACATACCGTATATCACGAATAATTTCGAGTATGTCGATTGCGGAGCGTTGGTGTAATGATTGTAAGTATCGAATTTCAAACATAATGTGATTAATAATCCAGGTAAGATTATATCCCCTAATCCAAGGATGGAGAATTTATCAGGGATATGACTTGGGATAAGGATTTTAATGGGGATTTTAATGGAAGTAGCGACGGTTTCCATTATGGTTGAGAAAAAAACGAAATAAATATCATAAATGAATAATAATCCTAATAAAAGGAATAAATATTTGAATTTTTTCAATTCAACAAGGATTAAAGGTGATCCGAATAAGGAATTGATTGAGTAGATTGAATAGGAGATGGCGATTACATCATTAACGATCCAATTATGATTAAACTTAAGGAATAACGCGTACAATAGAGCCGTCACTGGGGTGATGTATATCCCTCTTAAATCGAACACTAATGACTTCCCATTTGTAGGAGTTGGTTCGATAATGGACAACTTTTCCGTATGGATGTATTGATGAATGGAAGGTTTTGAACTTTGTTTGAAATGTTCAATGAATCCAAGTGGGAACGATGGATCTTCAGAAAGAGTTAATCTAAATCGTGGTAATAATGATTCATCGATATGTAACACTCTCACACTCAAAATAAATAAAATCTCCATGGCTTTATAAATAATGAATGGACTTATCACAAACACGTACTGATATAAGTAATAATTGATATTTTCAATATCGAAATTCCTGATGAGATAATTCAATCCTACTAAACTTATACTAGCCATGATAGGTATGACGATGATTTGAAGTTTATTATAGATGGAATTATCAGTAGAATTGATTTCAAATAATGATTCATATTGGAATTTATTAGCAATGATATGATCATCATCATCCTGATCGAATTTAGATTGACTATCTTTAATGAATTTTGGTTTAGTGATGGTTGAAATTGATCCTATTGAAATTATAAATGTCGATAAGACAATAATGAACAAACCATTGATGAACGCAGGAGGGATTGAAGTGGAATATAATCCATTCGTTATAGATGTTGATATATGACTTAGATAATACTCAGTAGTCTCAGTTATATTGACATTCATCTTGGTTAATAGTTGATTGATTCAACGTCTGGGAGGTTGTTGATTTGATGTTTTTTTGAATATAAATATTTGTCAACTTTTCAGAACTTCAATGCTCAATAATGTATGAACCAGCAATATGAAAGTAGTACACCCAAATTAACTGATAAGTGACCCTAACAGTAGTTAACTTTACAATTTGATATATATACCTCAAATAACATTAATTATGATTAATATAACAATTACGAAGAACCCATTCTTAAGAGTTAAAGTGTATGTGTCGGTTTATGTCATTTTTATATGCAGGTATGTCATATTCTTGGGCTCTAAATCAAAAAATGACATTAATTTTATGACAAACCATTTCATTTCGTATATTTATCATCATTACTGATAATCAACCATATTGTGACTTATAATAAAAACATATCTTATGATGATTAAGGATTATTATTTCGGAGGACACCCACCCCCTGAATGACTTGTTTGATTTGTTGGTATGTGGAGTGAACCTGGTTAAACATGATTCAATGATATCAAAATTGAATCATTCACATTCAATGGGGTGTCAAGTTACAGATGAGGAAGATTATCCAAATATGAATCACGGCTGAGTGATTTAATTGTTTATATGATAAATCATTCAGAGAGAGTCATCCTAAACAAAGTTTATATAATATAATCCGCCGTTATTTGAATAGAGTAATAATAATAATAAGACCTTAATTTAACCGATTCTAATAAATAATAATAATATTATTATTAACCATTAAAAAATCATACTATAAGATAAAAAGGGGTGCATAGGTCATATCTTTACAAAAATCCCACTCGACGACATAATACATATATCAATTGAAGATCATTGTTTATGTTTATGTGTAAGTAATGCAAATTTTTTCAAGATTATAAAAACAAATCTCCTTATTGCAAAAATTAATATGGGTATATTTCCTGTATATAAACCCACTCCTTCCAAATGGCGATTTTGCAAACCAAAAAATCAGCTAACAATTAATTATTTTAATTATTTATTGCTTAATTATGAAGTTGATCCGGGCTTATCCTATTCTATTCCTATCCAATCCTAACTTATCCATTGCATTCCCTATGGCATTTTTTAGAAATCTATCGTCTATCAATTTAATAATATGAAACACAGATGAATGAATGGATGGATGATCTAAAGAATGGGGAACAAGCATGAAACAGAATGGGGTGGGAAATTATATACTATTCCATATGAATATTTATTTTTAATATCAACTCATGTTAATAAAAGTCATCAATGAAAGGATTTATCCGTTCTCCTCTTCTATCTATATATAACTAGGTTAAATAATAGTTATTAGTAGTTAATCGTGTGCTCATTCATTTTTACATTTTGTTGGGGATATATTTTACATGTTATACTGATTAATTATTACAAGTTAGGTGTAATTAGAGGGGAATTTACAGTTTATGCTCATTTAGGATGGATGTTCCATAATCTAATATTTTACAGGTTACCATTTTATCTCTCCACATTTAAACTATTATACTCATAAAGAGTTACTATAGTTATTATTATTAGTATTCAATAATAGAATAGATGAGATTAACTATTTTCTGAGATGTTACAAAACTATAATCAAAGAATGGAAAGCCTCATAAAAAAGGTTATTTGATTTGGATTAACGATGGGTAAGAGAACATTTCTGTCAAAGTATAATATTAAATATATTGTTTATTGATCTAGTTGTAGTTCTAGTAGGAACAAATCTCCACTCTTGGCTATAGCGGTAATTGAAATTAAAATAGTTTTAATTTAATTTCAATTTAACTAAAATAAAAATGGTCCGTTTAAAAATGTTAACTGTAAGAGTTTTTCGTCGATTTGAGGCATCAGTAGCCATATGCTGTTAACTGGAACTATTACTAATTAATTAATTAGTTATGATAGTTAATGATGATAGATGATGATTTAAAAAGCTGGTGATATGCAAATTGATCCGTATGAATTAATTATCATTAAATGTCGATACCACTTATGATGATAACAGTTAAAACAGTATTAACTAGTTGTTCCTAATTGGGAAATTTAACCTTTAAAAAAAATCATTGCACTTTTTCTGGTCATTCTTTTTTTTACAGTTTCTTTTTTTCTTTTTTTGCGTTTGCGTTTGGAACCATTTCTGTTAAAGTGGAAATAATCATCATCATCATTCATCTGGTGTATACTATATACTATACTGTTAAGGTATATACTATTCACTGTATTATTTGTCTTGGATTATCTCGACATTTTTAATTATAAAATTTACTGTTTAATTATATAAATATAAATCAAAATATTATCCTCAACCCTTATTTTTAATTATTATTACTGTTATATTCCTTTTACTCTTCCCCTTTTTATTCTTAATTGTATTATACTATAACTCAACTATTCTACAATTATTTGCATCGTTTATTATTATTATCAAACTCACATTTATTTATGAGCTTTATAAATCTTATACATACTAGTCATTCACATACATACTCATAAATCATAATCAATAATCAATAATATCATCCCATCAACTGTATATTATATCCATTACAATTTATTCATAAACCCATCGTATCATTCATTTCATGAACCTTTAGTCAGTCAAATTACAAAATCAGACCCAAAACCAAACAACTCAACTATCATACTATGGCAAAAGAAGAAGAAGATCCATTATCAAAATGTCCCCACTGTTCAGATACAGTACCTCCCGAAACAACCACCACAACAGTTACTCCTACATCATGTAAATGTCGTTCATCTTCATCCTCTTCGTTATATCATAAAAAATTACATAAACTCTTACGGAAAATAAAATCAAATGATCAATCCACTAAGGATAATTTAAATAATTATTCATTAAATTCATCATCGATAAATATCTTTGAAAGAAGTTTAGAAAATAATAATCCTTTATTATTCAATAATGGTACCAATAATAATACTAATAACATTAATAATAATGGAACCAATAACTCTAATGATAATGGAATTCCCTTACATTATAAATTAGAAAATTTCACTAATCCAATATTAGATATCACTACTGATTATCTTAGTGATCCCAATGTTGATTTTAATGATGTTAAATTGAATTATTATGATGATGATCAACCTCAAGATGGAACCAATAATAATGATTTTCCATCACCTCATAATACTATGAGTACTAATATGGCGGAATATCCCTTTAGAGCAAGATCAAGATCAAGATCAATTATTAGTAATAATCTTTTAAATACTTTAAGTCAATCATCCCAAAATAGTAATTCAAGTAGTAATACCACTAATAATACCGGATCTACTAATGCATCTTCTCAAAAATTATATAGAAGAAATTCATCATTTTCAACCATGTCAAATAGTTCAATGTTATCATCTAAACGTCCATCATTTATAAATTCTTATCGATCAAGACAACAATCATTAGCTACATCTACAACACCATCTCAGGGGAAAGTAACCAATCGTTCCAAAGATTCCGTCGATCCCAGTATTGATTTTTATTCATTTGCCGATATGTTATCTCATGAAGATGAAGAAGAAGAAGCTATACTTGAATCGATTTTGAATCATCATATTAATGATGTGATGATTGATGATGATGATGATGATGATGATGATGATTATGAAGGAGATGAGGAAGAATTCATTAATCAATTAGAAGAAATCCCATCCCAAGAACTTCCAGATGATGAAGAAGAAAATGATGTGGCTGTTGCCCAAGATGATGATGATGAAGATGAAGATGAAGTAGATTCTAAATCTCATCAAATGCCAAGACCAACTAGAACCCATTCTCTCACTTTGGAAGACAAAATCGCCTTGACGAATGCATTACCATTATCCCCCTCCTTGAGAAGATCAAGTTATACAACCATAAGTGTTAAGGATTATATCGGAGTATTATAAAGAAAGTAAGATCTCGTTCCTTAATCATCATCATATACTATTAAATTTTTGTCCGTTTATTACTATGTTATTACTGTTATTACTGTTATTGTTTATTTAATTCTAGCTATTTTTTTATATTAGGATGTTTTTAGGTTAATTCTAGTTTTTAATTTTATGCTTTATTTGATATGTTTTTATATGAAATGTAAATTGTAGTAATGTTAAGTTGAGACTGGTAGCGATACAGAAGTTACCCGTACGACATTATCTCACTCACTCCGACATTATGCGACAAATTATAATTTCTTTTTCGACAAAAAGACACGACACGACAAAATAAAAAAAAAATTTTAACAAAAAAAAATTGTCATCAAAAAAAAAAAAAAAAAAAAAAAAAAAATGAAAACTGCTACCACCAACAACAAAAAGAGTTTTTACAACAAATTGACTTTCTAATTCATCAACTCAACTCAAATCATCCATCAATTGATACCATAAGCATAGTACTACACCTATCATATCCTATCAATCCATCCATCGAACGAACAATCCAAGTCAACCGCCATTCAAAATCAACCGCCCCCATCCAAAATCAATCCATTCCAATCCACAAACTCAAACTCAAATCCATCCAGCCCATCCCATCCCCCAATCAATCAATCAATCAATCAATCAATTCATCTCCTTAATTGTAATCAATCAATCAATCAATCTAAACCACGTCATTTAACTCATCCCTCATCCGTTAAATCACTTCAATTAATCTAATTCATTCATTACATTAATTCATCATCATTATTCATATAGATCCAATCTTTAATTTGATCTATTAAAAATTCAATTTTACAAATCCCAATAATTTTCTTTAGATATAAAGAAAATCATTAATCCTTCTCATCATATATCATATCATCTGATCTATTCCCTCCTCCTCCTCCCCCTAATCTAGTGTATATAATTCTCCACCATGACTGAATCTTTATTCGATACTAATTTCTCAGAACCAACTGAAAAAGATCAATCAGCTTCCACCACTGAATCAACCACCACTGAATCAGCTCCTGCCGCCGCCGCTACTTCTACTTCCACCACTGAAGAATCATCTGATGTTAAAGAATCATCCAATGATGAATCAAACCAAACTCATGATGAATCATCAGGTGAAATCTCAACCACCACTTTACCATCTTTACATGATAAATCAAAAGCTTCAACTTTAATAAACTTTAGAGTTTTGGTATCTGCCAAAGAATCCGGTTGTTTAATTGGTCAAAATGGTAAAGTTATTGATTCCATTAGAGCTGAAACTAATACTAAAGCTGGTATTTCAAGATTATTACCTGGTTCTCATGAAAGAATTTTAACTGTAAGTGGTACTTTAGATGATTGTTCAAAAGCTTTAAGTTTTTTCGCTCAAGCTTTATGTGATTCAACTATTGAAAATTATAATTATTTCCCTTTAAAACAATTAAGTTCAACTCCATGTATTGAACATGAATCAACTATTTTAAGATTATTAATTCCAAATAGTCAAATGGGGACTTTAATTGGTTCAAAAGGGTTAAGAATTCAACAAATTCAATCAAATTATAATATATCCATGATTGCTTCAAAATCTTTCTTACCTGGTTCAAATGAAAGATTAGTTGAATTACAAGGTACCGTAAATAATTTATATGATTCTTTAAGAATTATTTCAAGATGTTTAATTGAAGATTTTTCTTCAATGACTGGCACTAATTATTATATTCCAAGAGGTCATTCTAATACTAGTAGTGGAAGTAACTACTCTTCTAATGGTGGTTCTAATAATGGTAATGGTACTAGTAATAGACATTCCAATGGATCAACTTCCTTATCATCATCAACTTCCAACAATAGTAATAATAATAATAATAATAATAGTAATAGCACTCATAATAGTAATAATAATAATAATAATAATAATAATGGAAAGAGACCTCATCTTACTACTACTTCAATTAGTTTCCCAAATGATATAGTTGGAGCTTTAATTGGTAAAAATGGTTCAAGAATTCAAGGAGTTCGTAAAGTTAGTGGTGCAACTATTGGAATTAGCGAAGAAGTTGAAGGTAAAGGAGAAAGAATCTTTACTATTGCTGGAACTTCTCATGCTGTTGAAAAAGCTAAAGAATTATTATATCATAATTTAGAAAGAGAAGAACAAAGAAGAAATGAAACTGGTGAAAAGTAATCATCTTTTCTCATCCTTCCAACTCAATTTATATATATATATTTTTATTCTTTGTTAATTATTATTTCTGTTGTTGAATCTTGTTATTATTTTATTGCTTTCAACTTGTCTTGTCTAATGCCCCAAATGATACTTGTTTAGTTTTTTATCAAATCCTTTTATAGTTTGTTTTTATCTTTTATTACTCTCTTTTTATATCTCTCCTCTAAATATGTTGTTTTATTACAGTATTAGTATTATTATTATAATCTTTTTTATCCTAATTATTATTATTTCGTTTTATAGTTAATATATATATCTATTATTAAAATTTACAAGTTTTAACCACTAATTCAACTAATTCACCTAAATATTTCTCATCAACTTTATCAAATCCTCCTAATTTTAAACAATCAAGATCCAATACTCCTAAAACCTTATCATCTTTAACAATCGGAACCACGATTTCACTTTTAGTTTCACCATCACAAGCGATATGACCCGGGAATTCCTCAACATCAGGTACTAATTGAGTTAATTTACTACTAGCAGCAGTACCACAAACACCCTTACCAATCTTAATGATTTGACAAGCAACTTTCCCTTGAAATGGTCCTAAGATCAATTCATTATCATCTTCCGGATTAAGCACATAGAACCCTGACCAATTCACCGGAATATCAAGAGAATGATATCCATACCATAATAATGATGATAAATTGGAAAGATTGGTGATCCAATTGGTAGTATCTTGAGCTAACGCTTCATAGGAGAGAAGGATATGTTGTAACGTTTCTTCCTTTGTGAGTTGTCCACTTTGTAAGTTGGTATAATCTGCGTGATGTTTCCCGTCTTCTCCCATAGTTGTAGTGTAGGTGGTTGTATTGAATTGGTTGAACTTTTGCTTGATGATGATTAATTTTGGTTGTAAATATTTTTTTGGTTGATGTAAAAAACAAATTGTGGATGTCAACTCCTCAAATCATCATCATTTATTTATTTACAGCCAAATCAAATCAGACAGCACTATAATCAATCCATCAATTGACTATTAGGAAACCCATATCATAGATAGAAGAACACGTATCATGACGAAGGAGGCGGTATGGATCGGAATCAAATAATACATTCATCCCTCCCTACAAGATTTAATCATTTCTTACAATCAAGAGGGATAAAAAGAATAGAATATAAAGATGATGATAATGATAATGTTACCACATCAACTCATATCAATCATATCATCCATAATGATCAGTCTAATGAGGATTTACATATAAATATGATCCCAGCTGTGGGGGAAGTGGATGAGGTTGAAAGATTGGGTAATGTTCTAACGGCTGCTATTGATCGATTTCATAATCGATTTCAAATGATTCATGAAGATTTAGAAATATCAATTGATGAGAATGTTCATAATGATGATTTGAATGAAGGTGGAAGAGATCAACCTCAATTCCAATCAGGATTGGAATATGATGATGAGGATGAGGAAGAGGAGGATGACGATGATGATGAGGACGATATTGATGATGAAGATATTTTAGGTCTATATAATGATGAATTATATCAATCACCAAATAATCGACATCCAGTCGATGCTGATTTATTTTATAACGACAGAAGAAATACAACTGATGATGATAAAGATGATAAAGATGATACAAATGATCATATTCGTAATGTCGATAAAGATTATCATTACGTTCGAATCATTCAACCTAATCCATCACGAAATCAATCATCAATTCGAAGAAGAAGATCATCCTCAAGTTCAACCTCAGGGAAATATCCCATAAACAGTCAAAATGCATATCATAACTGGGAAAGACATTCCCCATCAACAATAGTTTCTACTACAGACCAATCTGATTCATCACCTCGTTTTCCTGATCAATTCAATTCATTCGATCCATTCTCATTACTTATCAATAACTCATTATTATCTCAACAATTCAAAGACTCCCTACATTTGAAATCAATCGGTACAGAATCATTATTTCAAATTCAATCTCTAAAGACATATAAAAATAATCTATCCACTATAATAAGAAACCCTCATACTAATGAAGATTATTTAATTATTGGATATAATTCAGATATATTAGTATATGATTTTAATTCAACTACAAATTTACCTTATAAGATCCCCTTGTTCAAATTCGATACTAAACCGCCATTCACAACCACTACGGATAGATTGATTTCTACATGGCCTTATTTCCCTCATACCGTTAATTTCATTACTAAATTTGATGATTTTATTGGATCACAGGGGATTGTTTGTGTATGTTGTGATGATGGGATTTTATATATATATGATATCGAATCAATCATTACTAAAGCTAATGAATTTAAATTGAAAAGACCTCAACAATTTCAAGATCCAGCTACTATCCCATCCAATAAAATCCATTTTAAACCTCGATTTAAAGTACGATTAGATGCATCTATTTGGGGATTGGATTTCAAACATTACAATGGTAGCTATAATGTATTCATCATATCGGATAATTCTCAAAGTTTAACTTTATTATATTATGATGAATTCGATCAACGGTTTTATAATGTTAAATCTCATCAATTATTACATAACATCCCTGAATGTTCCATAATCCTGGTTAATATCAATCATGACACAGGGACTCATGACGTTAAAGTTTCATGTGGATCAATATCAGGAGAATTGATTATATTCCAATTTAAATTCAAGTTGATTCATGGTCCTGTAAATATTCATGAATGGGAATTTTATAAAGATCAAGAATATCATTATGTTGATAAAGCGATTGAACAATTAGAAAATCGAAATAATATAAATTTCAATAATGCAAATATCATTAATATTTCAAGTTCGAAATTCAATCGAGTTAAATTTAATAATCCTACTGTGATTGTTCGAACGGTGTTAAATGAATATTGTTGGACTACCAAAGTGATTAATTCAAAGTATTTCAAATTGGTTAATTCAATTAATGAATTGACGGGAGATTTCACTATAAATTCAAATGAAAAATGTTTTGATATAATTAATGAATCTAAAATCTTAAATCTCGAATTCGATCCTGTTAAATCATCTCATTTAGGGTTAGCTTCAAATTGGCAACATTTTGAATGTAAGACAATTAATTTATCAAAATTATCTCATTCAACTATGACTTTACCTCCATCTTCACCTCATTCTCATACTCTAGATTCATCAATCCTAGCCACTTTAGATGATGAATATAAACGAATTCATAAAGGCGTACTATCTCAATATACCCATATGAAAGGTAGACCATTACAAAAATCAATCAATAAGAAATCATATTTATTAGATGTTTCTCAAGATTTACAATCATTTGATATGTTAGTAGTATCTACAGGGAAAAAATTAGGATTGTTCCGAACTGATACTTTATTCTGTAGTTGTTCAACAAAGACCATGTTTGATTTATCAATTCCATCCAATGATCAATCGAAACCGGCCAATCGAATCTCCATTACTCAAATCATACCTCAATTACAATGTGTGGTAGCGATATCCCAATTAGGTCTTGTATCAATCATGAGATTATGTCAATATCGAGGATTATACGCCATGAGACAAGAATTCGTCTTCCCTAATGCCTTCATCTTGGCATTTTCAAATTATGGTGGACATCGTACTATAGCGGGTTTTTCAATTCGGGATAAATCAAGTTCACCACAATATCCTCGATTTTTATTATATATAATCTATACGGATGGATTCATATTGACTTATGAATTAAGTTTAAATGATAATAATGATGATTTATTAGTTAATTGTTTATAGTTATAGTTATGAATTTTATGAATTTACGATTACCCAATTAGGAAGTCTAGAAAAGAATTTGTGAAGTGGCGCGTTTTTGTGTCATTCATTTTACTAAAGAAAAACCAAAACAAACAGGGGAAAGAGTATCAGCTTAAACACACATACACATACCCTTTGAACAACCAAACCCTTGATAACCAACCAAGCTGATCGATCGAAAGAGTAAGTGATACTGCTCTGTGAATAGAATAGAAAATAAGGGGTGAGAAAACAGGATCATCATGGACTTGTTGAATCTAGGGTCTCAGTCAAGAAAGACTGGTATCAGACCACGACAAAATTTAAGAAAGGATCAATATGATATGGAAGATATAGATGAATTCTTCTCTGATGAAGATGATCTCACTGTCGCCAGACCATCTACAACCACTAAGAAAGCATTACAATCATCATTAACTCCTAAGGATAACTTCAATAATGTAGCTAAGAAGTTGAATTTCGATAGTCAGGGTGAATCATTTAGTTTATCACCAATTTCAATCACATCAAAATTCTCTACTACATCAGTTAAACTGAAGAATAAGAAGTCTCCATTACGATCCCCCTTACCAGAACATAATAAAGCTTTATCAAGTCATAATAAAAAACATGAAAAACTGAAATTATTTATCGATGAGGGTACTGATGATTTTAATTCTCAAAATGATGATGATGAGTTTGATTATGGAGATAATTTTAATGATGATGATTATGAAAGTCAAGGTGTGGCTATACCTCCAGCTCCTGCTCCTGCCATGAGTTTATCTCCTGTGGATATATCTCCTGTACAGAGGAAAGTCACTAAGAATAATAATAATAATAATAATAATAATACTAAAGCATCATCGAGGGCTGCATCAGCTTTTACAAAACGATTAGCATTGGGTAAATCATCTAAATCTAAACGAAAACCAGTAGTGGAAGAAGAGGAAGAACAAGAACCAATTGAAATAGATCAAGATCTAGTAGATGATGAAAATACTAGTGAACTAATATCCCCACCACCTACCAATAAAAGAAAACCAAGACAGCCAAGAACTAGCTTCGCTGTCGAAGTACCGTCTCAACAACCAACCATTTTTAAACCTTCTCCATTACCTTCACCTCCACCGGATGGATTAAGAAGATCAAAAAGAGTTAAAGTGGCTCCTATTGCATATTGGAGAAATGAAAGAATCGTTTATAGTAGAGCTGATGAAACTGAAGGTGATCCAGATACAACTTTAGCTACTGATATAAGGAAAGTACCATTACAAATCATTAAAGAAATAGTTCAAATGCCTGAACTCCCCAATGGTATAAGAAGTCGGGCAAAACGATCAAGACTGAGATCAAGAACCACTCCACCAAAACTGAGAAAATCAACTACTAAACCAGTATATGATTATGAATCGGATCCTGAAATAGCAGGGTCAGAATGGTTTACTAAAAAGGAATTGGAATTGAATGTATTTCAAAATGATCAAGCTATAAAACAAACCGTGGCATATGCTCCTGATGGAGGAAATTTTGAAGAATCAAGTAAAATATCAAATAATGATGGTACGACACTGTTTGATAAATTCAAAATAGCATCATTATTTGCTGATAAATCAGCAACCAGTGCTGCAGGATTATTACATTTCCCTTTGGAAGGATCAAAACAATTTCGAAATTCAGGACCTTATAATTATTATTTCCATGTGGTAAGAGGTTTGATTGAAGTTACATTGAATGAAACTACCTTTGTCGTAACTAAAGGTTGTTCATTTGAAGTTCCAACTCGTAATTCCTATGGATTTAAAAATATCGGTCAAGATGTAGCTCGATTATTCTTTGTTCAAACTAAAAGTCCCGAACTTGAAAATGAAAGTGGAGAAGAAATAAATGATGATGATGATTGGGATGGAGAATAATCAAACTACTACGAATGATACCCTCCCATACACACAACTGTACTATAACTTGTAAGACTAGGCATATAATTATATAGAAATATAAGAAGTATTTATTTTTTTTTTTATTATTATCATTTGTTTGTTAAAATTAACGTATATTGCTGTATTTTTTTTATTTGAATCTACTACTATACAAGGGAAAGGAGGATGTTATTATTCTATTCTTTCATTTCTTTAATCAAATTTTGTAACGGTTGAATCATCACCATTATAATATGCCACAAGTTTTATTTTAAATTCAGATGCAGCTACTCCAAATTGTTTTAAAATCAAAGCTTGAGTAACATTCAAAGTATCACCTTTTTTACAAACATCAAAAGCTTCATTCAAAGTAATCTTACCTGACTTTATCTTAGTTGGAATCTTATATTTATTTCTTAAGGTTTCTTCTAAAGTATGAGACATTGGAATATCTTCTTCTTCAGCAACTTGTCCACCTCTGGAATAAACAGTACCAGCAGGGATAGTAAAATCAATAGGAGACTTGGAATTGGCTCTGGAATAATCTTGTTTGGAATAAGCATTGAAATAAGCTTCAACAACTTCTTTGGTTTCATTAGTGAATAATAATCCTGGTAATCCAGTACAAGCTCTAGATAATTTATGTAAATTATCCTTATATTCTTCAGCAGGAGTATCCCCTAAAGCCTTTTCCAATACTCTTCTCTTACCTAAGATCAATTTAGATCCAACCCAATCAGATCTTAAATCTTGTAATACTGGAGTTCTAACATCATCTAATTGTAATACCCAAACGTATGTATATTCATCTAAAGCTGATCTCACTTCATCAAAGATTCTGGTCTTGTTTTCCTTTCCCTTCTTATCGGTTTGGGCTAAGGTCACCAACTTGGAACGTCTTGATCTAGGCATGTTTTATATGTGGTTTATATGGTTATAGATCTAAATAGTTAAATAGGAATTTTCAATTTTTTAAAGTGAGATGAAGCTCATCCTGAAAAAAAAAAATTATTGTGCTAATATATTATATACAGGATTATCTGTTTGGTAGCGTTAGTATATGGAGGGTATATGTCTATAAAATTCCTTATATATATTTATATATATATTATTTAATAAAATCCATTATTTGAGGAGGATCTAAGGTTCTGGAATCAAAAGCAACCATTTCATTCACTTGTTCATAAATATCATTAATATAACTTGTTAATAATTCAACTTGAGTAGCAGAAGGAATTTGATTTGATTTTAAAAATACTTCATTTATAACTAAATATAAATCCACCAATTTATAAGTAAAACTAAACATATTGGTCTTGGATCGACTATTAATGGATGATTGTTCCATTATTTCATTATCATTATTAATAATAGCTTTAATATGTTTGACATTTTCATGAATGGTTTGGATCAACTTATATCCACAACAATCAATTTTACTTTCAAATGATCTGGTAGTATTAAATTCTTCAATTATAACATTATTATTAAGACACATATAATAACAAATACATTCTAATGCCACAAATTGTTTCTTAAATTCAATTTCTCCAGTATTAAATAATTGATTCACCAAGGGAAGAAAACTTACTTTAAATGATTTTAAATTAAGACAACACACAATCGATAATAAACTATTATAAATAACATCTTTTAATGGTTCATTAACTTCAATGATTTCAAATAATAATGATAAACATCTCGTTAAATCTTCAGCTCTAATAATAGCTGATGAAGCATCATATATAGAAATAAAATCTCTTAATAATAAAACTAAATGTTGAATAACTTTAGAATTATTTTGATATTTAATATTATCTAATATTTCAACAAATCTTATAAAACTCTTATCAACAAATTGATGATAAATTTGAATTAATTTAATAATATTTGCATCAGCTCCATTATATTCATTAGTAATGAAAAATCTTAATTCTCCAATAAATTTAATTTGATTCATTTCATTATTACCCGGTATATTTAATACAAATAATTTATTACATCTAGCTTCAATGATTTCTATAGTGATAGATTTAGCATCTAAAAAGGCTTGTTGGATGTCAATATGTAAATTCATAGACAGATAATCATCAATAGTAGTAATGAAATAATCATCAAATGTATCTCGAATTGTCGTCTCATCACTTAATAAATCAAGGATTTGACGTCCAAGAACAAATTTATCAATGGAATTAGATACTTTTGATATCTTTGTACTAATAGATGACCCTCTTCGTTTAGAAAACTTTTCATAAACAGTATTAATAGATTCTTCATATTCTGCATTATCTATTTTTAATCCATCTTCCACTATTTTAATTGAATTTATTGATCCTCCTGATGCTGAATATCGATTTAAAACTTGAATTTGAGTTACTTTGGTTTGAGGAATAGTAGGTAATGGTATAGGAGGACGTACTAATCTATGACTTGAACTAGTCTGTGGTTTAGAAATATCATCAACATTAGCTTTTGAACTCTTTAATTCAAATGGATTTTGAATAATATCAATAGTACTATTATTAATATGTTTAAAACTTAAATTTTGCTTTTGACTTGTATTTAATATTCTTCTAGTTTGATCATTCTTCAATACAGTTTTCAACTCTTCTGATAATTTAATATTAGTATGAGGTAGCAAGAAAACATGAGGTGTAATATCTGTCAGATTGGTATAAGTGGGTATCACTGATCTTGATGGAGTAATTTGAGTTGTAATTTGAGGTAGAAGTGGAGTTGATGAATTTATTTCTTCAAAAGTATTATTTACATCAATTGAATTAAGATAAGGTCGACCATTCTGATCAACACTAATATTAACTGGTGTTTGAGTTAAGGGAGAAGTAGGATGTTGAAAGTAATTAGGAATAGGACATTGATTTGAATTTATCCGATTATTATCAATTAAAGGAGCATCTTCTGCATTACTTGTAGGATATTGAAAGTAATTAGGAATAGGAGATTGATTTGAATTTATCCGATGACTATCAATTAAAGGAGCATCGTCCCTATGGGAAGTGGGTTGTAGAAAAGGGTTTGGAATTGGACATTGTTCAGGAGAGGAGATCTGATTCTGTTCATTATCTTTTATTGGAGCTTCATCTGTATTACAAGTTAATGGTTTGAATGCGTCAAACTGAGGACTTAAAACTTGATCTAAGCTTTGTTGAATAGGAGTGAATTGATTCTTATTTACTATTACACTTACAGAACCAATATTTTCATTATTTGGTGTTATGATTGCCTCTTTAATGACGACCCTTTCATTAGCTTGATTTGGTGTAAAAAATGAACGAATCCATAAAAGTCTCATTATCATTAAAACTAGAGCACAAATTAATACATCCAATGCCATCGAAATAGGTATATGAACCTTTGATCTATCAATTTGATAAAAATCTGATATGAAATCTAATATTTGATCCCACCATTGTTCAAATTCATAACCACCATCACCACCACTATTTTCAGTGGAAAAGTATCCATCGAAAGAATCTTTTATATCTATTATAGTATCAGTAACATTCTTGACGGTTGAATCTAAAGTCAATCTAGTAGATGATGAAATATCACTTGAACTTAAAGTGTGTGGAAATATGATATCAGCGGTTAATTTAAGATATGAAGTTGCATATTCAAGAAGCACTCTCAAAAATGTGAATAACCAATGCATATTTCCTTATGACACCACTCTCTCTGATACCATTAAACACGTTGAATAAGGATTGGAAGGAAAAGTAAATAGTATCAAAACACCAAAAGAATATGTTTCTGATCTCTCCCTTTAATTAATTTTAAAGTTGCAAATTAAAAGTTTGGCCTGTGAAGAAAAAAAAATCTTTTTGTGTAGGGATGATTTAAATTAAAAAAATACTATTAGGTTTCACAATTGTTATAACTATGGTAGTAGTATCATATATAGTATATGAGTTGTGTAAGATAGTATAGAATATTCTATCCATGTAGTCTTGGTATAAAGGGTCTATTATTATTTATTGTACAGTTTATATAAGAATATTGGTAACAAGACATTTCCCTTATCTAGGCTAAACATTGAATTTCTATCTATTACATCATAACTTCTATAAAGACCATATGAAGATAGGTTATTCTACTACATCTTTGGGTAACTCTCTTTTAGTATAGTGTGACTATAACAACTGGGCAATTGAATACTTTTTCTGTTCCCCTCGCTAATCATAGTAAGAGATTGCTCGCATATAACCCATCATACATGAAAGAGGTTGCAAATCTAACCATAAATGTTTGCAACTCAACCATTCATGATCATCCGTAAACGTTTCACCTTGGAACAACTTACCAAATTATCTATATACACAAAACATAACCTAATTCACTTGGCTCTTAATTCAAAATTTAAATGGTTCCAAGACTTTTTAACTGAAAAAGTATATTTGTGCCTCACGTTTATAAATATAATTTCAAGATTTAAATACCATCCATCTTGTTCATATCTTGAAAGTGTATTTAAAATAATTACAAACAATTACAACCTTCAATGGATATTTGGAACTTATACTTGGCCATCTTCATTGGTCAATTGGTTCTTCGAGCCGTTAATTGGTATGTCCCTACTGAATTCAATGGGGCCACATGTGCTTATATTAAGAATGATGATACTAAAAGTAAAAAGGTTGGAAATATAAACATTGCCGTTGAATACTTAACCCTTAAAGATAAATCAGATAGTTTAGAGTTGGATCTCCCTGTATTGATCTTTAAGTATACTGACCGTACCAATTTCACAAACATTCCAACCTTAGATGAGTTTAGAAAGCATTATCATACCCCAGATGTTAAATTTAATGAAGATTTAATTAACTTTAATGATAATAAATTCAACTTACATCTTGTTGAAGATGAAATTTTAAATGAAAATCATATCCTTAATGATCATCTTCATTATAATCCTCAATTGACCCAAACTTCCGTCATTAATTTCAAAGTTAAAAGATCAGGTTTATATTGTGCTTATGTGGCCGTACCTCCCAATGCTAAAAATGTTGAATTATCAACTCATTTCGAGAACTCATACGGTCAATTAAGTTATTATCAATACTTACATTCTAATCTCCTAATCTACTTTACCATTGTGGGAGGTATCATAACTATCTATTTAAATCTTTATATTCAAAAATTTAAAACTAAAGGGGAAGGCATACTTGATAGAAAATCAATTTCACTGATTTCAAATAGTATCGTATATCTTTTCACCTGGAAAGTATTATTTGACTTTATCTTAATATTTGCCTTGAATTATCTAAATGATAGTTCTGAAAATAATTCCAATAGTTTATCAATTTATGGTGGATCCTTAGATAATTTAATCACAAATGCAATTGTATTACTGGCTTGGGGATATGGAATCATTACAAATAAAACGGATGACACTAAAGATCGACTTCATTCATTGGTCATGGTTCTGCTGATGTTACTTGTCATTACTGCATTTGTGGCTGATGATTATGTTAATTTCCCTGCTCATTTCACTTCAAAACAATATTTGGAACTCATTTACTCATTATCTTTTGCTATAAAGGAACTCATACCAGCATTATCTATCATCCTCATTCCAATTGGTTTCTACAAAACTCAAAAGGCAATGGTTGATAAAAAAGATACTCAATATTTGAACCCGCTCAAGTATTCATTACTCTTCTTACTTATTTCCCCATTCATAGTCACCAGTATAACAAGTTTAATATTCAACGTTGATTACATTCAACTCTGGTTATTCAACAGCACTTATGATCTTGTCTCATCCATCAACAGTTTAAAGATTGTTTTCTTTGATGTTTTGGATCCAACTGTATCAGAAATATCAAGATTAGATCCAAATCTTAATTTAGCCAGTATTTGGAGTCAATATTTAACTCTTTATGCTAATGTTATTTTCTTATTTTTCATTTGGGTTAAAGATAATAAAGGATTATTAAATGACCCTGTCAAAGTTAAAACTTCATAGAAAGTTCCATAATTTAATAACGACCCCAAATTAGTTTTATGTTTATGTAAGTTTATATATGGTTAATTATCATTATGAATATTATTTGTTTTGATCTTTTCTATAATATTCGAAGTATTATCATAGATCATGCCATATCCAACAATTAAACTTAAATGGCATCTGTTAACAATAGACTTCTAATAGTGGAATGATTCATGTGTTTGTGGACAAGCGCTGATTATAAAATATAATTGCGTCGCGCAAACCAACATTATTGTTTTTGAATTCCTTACAAATACAACCTTCGTATAATTCAACTCTTTGTAAAACTAGATAAACACACTAATCGGATCATTCCTCATATATTGATAATTTACAAAAAAACCAATATTAGTACCATTAAAGTTGTTATATTAAATATAATACAAAAGCACAAATGTTGCCAAGTAATTGACATTTACGAGCTTTCATTCATTTCAGCTAAAATTGACCTCATTATCCATTGAATCTAAATATGTTATCATACCTAATTGAACATCTTAATTACGAATGTGGAGGTTCATTATAAACTTATCTATATCGTTGAATACTTCCTTAAGAGCGTTGATAGTATTAAAGTGAAGACGCAAATTTGCGCCTCGGAATTATATTAATGTGAACCGAACATCAACAGAAAAATATAAAAATAAGGGATTCTCTTTTTAATTCTGTACGGCTAGTTGATTAGAATATTTGGCAAACATAAGACTGAACGGTATGGTTCAGGTTGATAAACCAAAGCTGTTCATAGCTATGATGTTCGATAGATTAAATCTTTACCAGTTTATTACAAGCTGTCAAAACAAACCTGGCGCTTGTTTCTTTTTTGGAACTATCTTCTTTCTAATGATTTCGTCATATACCTCTAATTTCAATGGTGCTACTTGTGGCTACGTTAAAAATGATAAAGGTACCGTTGGTCTTGCTGAAGTTGCCGTTAGATTGAACGTCTTAAAAGTTAATGAACAATATGATGCTGCTACTTTAAAATTCCCAGTGTTGGTTTTCAAGTATACTGATCGTGAAAACTTTACAAACATTCCAACTTTAGATGTGTTCAGAAAATATTATGAGTCTGATGATATTGAATTTGGAGATTATTTGATTAATTCAGATCATAAATTTAGATTGGATGTTGCTGAAGGTAAGACATTAAATGAAGATGAATTATACAACGACTACCTCATGCTCTATAACTCAACCTTGAAAGGAAAACCACATATGCGGGCTAGTTTCAACGTAACGAGATCAGGATTATATTGTGCTTATGTTGCTACTCCACCTCTACATGGTGCTAAGAAAACTATTAAGTTAGGTATTGGCTTCAAAAATTCATTTGGTAAATTTAGTTACTATGCCCAATTACTTTCATCTCAGTTGAAATATTTTTTTATTACTACAAGTCTTATTTTAACCTGCATCTGTTATGATCATCATCGTTTTACGAAACAAGGAGTCAGCGTTAATTTTGACTCGATTTCACGGATATTTGGTATGGTCATGTCCTACTTCGCTGCGAAGATAATATTCAACATAATTTCAGTCATCTGTCTCTATTCATCGAATGAATTTAGTGATTTTTCATTAAAAATGAATTATATTAGTAATGTTTCGTTGTTATTTATTACCTATGATAGTATTCTTAGAGCTGCCTTGGGATATGGTACTATCTCCGCAATAAATTTTGAGACATTTGTACCAGTCAATTTATCAGCTCTGGTACTTTTAAGCTTTTTTTTAAGCTTCATAGAAATGGTTTTGGTAGATCCATTCGACAATTCATCTTCATCTATATTGTACTCAAGTTGGTTCAAAGATATACTATTCATTTCAGCTCAGTTGTTACCAACTGTTTGGAAGGTTGTCATTGTTGCTTGTTTTAATCGTACAAAGAAAATTATGATACTCAAAGGACAAACTCGATATTTAAACCCACTCCAGCAATCCATACTTTTCGTAATAGTTTCACCTATCATTTGTGCTGGTATCACAAGCAAAATGTTCAACACTAATTTTAAAAAAGTATTGTTATTTCATCCATTGTATGATATCCCTGCCACTATCATGAAACTCAGAGTGGTTTATTTTGATGTCTTGAATACAAGTGTATCAGAAGTAGGAAAATTGGATCCAAATCTTAACTTGGCTAGTATTTGGAGTGAAGCTTTAAATATCTATGCTAATGTTATTTTCATTTATTTCACTTGGTTCAAGGATAATAAAGGATCATTATTTGTGATTGAAGATGTAGAAGCAAAATATGAACCATTAGATGTTAAGGAAAAGGAAAAAGAAGAGAATGAATGAGCGATGGCAATTTAAATTACTTGGGTTTTATGGGTGTTTTATTCTATTTAGATAATGTGTATTTGTACAATAATATAAAGGTTAGATATTAATATTTTAATTGAAGTAAGTCTTAGACCCAACTTGGTCTACTATAAATAATCAATTTGAAGATATGTATTTTTTGGTTAAGATGCTCAGGTGATTTCATATCATAAAGCAATATCTATCATAGGTATACTTCTGGTGAAATTGATACTCAATAGTCATACATACGTTTTCTTAATTCTTCCCAGAGAGAACTATCGTACCATTCCCACAAATTGACCCCACCGTAAAGTACCAAACCAGTGGTAGCAGAAGCGAAAAATGAAGCTACGATGTAGTTTCCAGCAGTTCCTATCAATGGCAATAACGCAGCTCCAATAGGTCCAAAGATGACACCGTATGTTAATGATGCAAACATCGTTATTCCTGAAATAGTGAAAATGATTTCCAAACTAGCACCCTTTTCGATATCTTTAATGAACGAAGAATAGTTCACGACATCATTCAGTAGTGGTTGCAGAATAACAGACGAACCACTGCTATCATGAATATTTCTACTATCTTTTCTGATCAGTAAAATCAATAAAACAAACAAAACTGTTAATACAAAAAGGATGTGCCCCCATATCATGAGCTTCATACACTTTTTATTTCTTTCATTTGACGAGTTAGATACTTTCTCTCTATTGTCATCATCATCTGTTTGGCTTAGCATTGGTATCATTACCAGGTCAGTTTCATCATTGCGGAGTCTTGACATGATAGTTGGAAATATTTGGATGAATCTCGTTTCTAGTCTATTCAGTCATATTTTTCAATGAATTGTTATTTTATATTTATAGAATTTTGAAGTTTAGAACTATAAATTATTTTTAGGTAATAATTGCAATTTTCTTCCGAAAAAAGGTAGCGCAAAGTAGGCGCTACTTTATATTAACAAAACTTAGATGGACTATATAGATAAAGATTTTAGCCTGTAGAAGGGTTGGATGAGAGGTTAACTTATTAGTTAGTCTTGAGGATCTAGGGGCATCCTTGTTAAGGTGAACCTACTAACCAAACTGGTTAAAACTAGCTAGCTGAAAAAAAATTCTCGGTAAGTGCCTTGCTAAATCGACAGGGTGCCACTTTCAGGGATATATATATATATATATATATATAAATTGCGTGAATAAGCAGTAGCAATTTTTTGAAAGAAAATTGATAATAAGATACAACTCTCAATTCAGTTTGATAAGAGATTCAAGATATGGTGGTCTTTAGCGCCCAAGAATTTGTTAACTTTTGCAACTGCCAAGATATCTCTTTTGACAGCGCAAATTTAATTATACTATTATTTACCCAGTTTACATGTCCCTACCTACCTAGCTTTTGAATACCACTTTTATCTTGTATTTCTTATTTAGTGAAACGAGAGTATGTGCCACCATTACCAAATTCGTAGTCAACCTCATGACCTCTTGCCATTGTTCATAGGTGCGCAAAACTACGCCTCGTAATTACAATTCTCCCTTTCATCAGAAAAAATTAAAAAAAAAACAATTCTGAGATATAAAAATAAGGGATATTGTATCTGTTTAATTGTGTACGGCTAGTCTATTGATCATACCTACCAAACACAAGACTAAACAGGATGGTCAAGTTTGATAGAGCAAAGTTCTACCAATTGGTGGCAAGCTTTGAATTCAAGGTTTTCGTCTGTATGTTCCTTGGAAGTATATTAGTTGATACGGTATCTGAGTATACTACTAGTTTCAATGGTGCTACTTGTGGTTATGTTAAAAATGATGAGGGTGCTGCTGGTCTTGCTGAAGTTGCTGTTAGATTGAACCTTTTAAAAGTCGGTGAACAGTATGATGCTTCTAGTTTAAAATTCCCTGTATTGCTTTTCAAGTACACTGATCGTGAAAACTTTACAAACATTCCAACTTTAGACGAATTCAGAAAATATTATACTACTGATGGTCCTAAATTTGGTAACAAATTAATTGATTCAGATAATAATAAGTTTAGATTGGATGTGGCAGAAGGTAAGTCATTAAATATAGATGATTTATACAATGACTATATCATGCTCTATGACTCAGGTTTAAAGTGGGAGCCTCATATGCGTGCTAGTTTCAATGTCAAGAGATCAGGATTATATTGTGCTTACATAGGTAGCCCTAATGTAGATGGTCCTGATAGAGCTATTATGTTAGGTATTGGCTTCAAAAATTCATTTGGTGATCTCAATTATTATGCTCATTTACTTTCTTCACAAATGAAATATTTTGTTGTTATCGGTAGTGTTATGGCATTTTATTTACATTATTATAGCCAAAGATTCATAAATCAAGGAGATAGTTGTTTCAGTTTTAGATCAATCTCACTGATTTCTTTATGCATTAAAAGATTATTTACTGGAATAGTGTTATTGAATATATTCTCCTTAATCAGTTTCAATATACCAAGTTCTGAGTTTATTAAGACAGTGTTATTAGGTACGGTTTTCAGTCTGAGCAAGATGTTGGAAATTAGTATTTATGCGACCATACTTAACTTTGCTTTGGGATACGGTATAATTACTGCTATAAATTCAAAGCTCCATATGAAAGAACCTTCAATAAAAAGATATTCGTTGTTAACGCAATTGGGTATGTTTTTAATCATTAAAGGTATGAGTAGTGCCAACTTTTTGAATGCATTCAACAATTCATATTCAGCTAGATTGTTCTCAAATAAGGTGATAGATTTATTTTTTGCTGTATTTCAATTGTTACCTGTGGTGTGGATAGGTCTCATTCTTTCTAATTTTAAAATTACAAATATGACTATGGTAAACACCAGAGATATTCAATATTTGAAACCATTCAATTTGTCCTTAATTTGCTTAAATGTATCTCCTGTTATTTCTGCTACTGTTACAAGCTTTTTGTTCAAAACTAGTTTTATGCAAGTATTGTTATTCAATCCTTTGTTTGATATCCCTGCAAGTATCACGAGTTTCAAAGTTGTATACTTTGATCTCATCAATACAAGTGTAACAGAAGTTGCTAAATTAGACCCAAATCTTAATTTAGCCAGTATTTGGAGTCAACAATTGACTATCTATGTTAACGTAATTTTCTTATTTTTCATGTGGATCAAGGATAATAAGGGATTATTATATGTCATTGAAGATGCAGAAGCAAAATATGAACCATTAGATAGTGATATAAAGGAAGCCGAACAGAAGGAAGCAGAAGAGGATGAATCAGAAGAGATTCATGCTTGAGTTATACCAATTTAGATAAGGATGGTCCCTTAGTTTTTATATGTAATTAATTATATTTAGGTAATGTGTATTTCTACCATAATATTAACAATGATAATTAGATGATTGTTAGGACTATTGTAGAATTTAGTTGCAAATGTGGATTGATCTCGGGAACTGCGATATTAGATATCTTCTTGAATACGTTGATCATAAATCATGCTTTAAGTATTCTTCTAATGAATATTGTGTTGTAGGCCAAGCTTTTGTAAACGTTTGCAGCTGCCAAGATATTCATTCTGACAGCGCAATTTTGCTTAATCCATAATTACAGAAACAAATAAAATCATCTTTAAGTAGCAGGTCTGTCTGTAGCTGCATAAGTTCTTACTATGTGTGTCCTACCTTGACTAGAGAGCCTCCGTTAACAGTTCATAAAGTTGTAACTAACATCAGTGCTGCGACCATTGTTCAAATGCGCAAATTTAAGCCTCGTAATTATTTTTAATGACAATTCACCAGAAGAATTAAAAAAAAACAATTCTGTGATATAAAGATAAAATTAAATAAGGGATATTGTATATGTTTAATTGTGTACGGCTAGTCTGTTGATAATAACTACCAAACACAAGACTAGATAGGATGGTCAAGTTTTATAGAGCAAAGTTCTACCAATTGGTGGCAAGCTTTGAATTCAAGGTTTTAGCCTGTCTCTTTCTTGGATATTTATTGATTAATGGTATTTCCATATATACCTCTAGTTTCAATGGTGCTACTTGTGCCTACGTTAAAAATGATGAAAGTGCTACTGGACTTGCTGAAATAGCTGTTAGATTGAATGTCTTAAATGTCAATGAAAATTATGATGCTACTACTTTAAAATTTCCAGTATTGCTTTTCAAGTATACCGATCGTGAAAACTTTACAAACATTCCTACCTTAGACGAATTTAGAAAATATTATAAGTCAGATGATATCGAATTTGGAGATGATTTGATTGATTCAGATCATAAGTTCAGATTGGATGTGGCGAAAGGTAAGACATTAAATGAAGAAGAGTTATACAATGATTATGTCATGCTCTATAACTCAAGCTTCAAAGGAGAGCCTCATATGCGTGCTAGTTTCAAAGTCAAGAGATCAGGATTATATTGTGCTTATATAGCCACTCCTGCCATTGATGGTCCTAAGAGAATTATTAAGTTGGGTATTGCATTCAAAAATTCCTTTGGTGATCTCAGCTATTATTCTCATTTACTTTCTTCTCAAATGAAATATTTTGTTGCTATCGGTAGTGTTCTTGCAGTATACTTTCAATTCTACACTCAAAGATTCAGAAATCAAAGAGACAGTGAGGCTGGATCTAAATTGATTCCTGTAACTATCATAAGATTAGTTACTATGAAGGTCTTTTTGGACATGTTTTCATTAATTTGTTTCTACGCATCAAATTATGAAAATATTTTTAATGCTCTATTTGATTTGGTTCTGCATTGGAATCTGATTTTGAATCTTTTAACATATTGTTTCATATATAGTATTGTTTCGGTATATGGTCCTCTTTGTGCAATAACTACCAAGTTCGATTTCAATGATCCAGTACCAAGAATATGGGGAATATTGCTGGCGCTTGGAGTTTTGTTAACTGAAGAATTTAGAGACACATTCAAAAATTCATATACTGCTAGACTATTCTCAGATAAGGAGACAGATTTATTATTCATTTCAAGTCAGTTGGTACCCATTGTGTGGAAAGTTTTCATTGTTGCAAGTTTTAGACGTACAAAGAAAGCTATGCTAATCAACAATGATACTCAATATTTGAAACCACTCAAACATTCATTAGCTTTCTTGATTATCTCTCCTATCATCTTCACTGCTCTTACTAGCTTTGTGTTCAAAACTAGTTTTATGCAAGTATTGTTATTCAATCCTTTGTATGATATTCCTGCGACTATTAAGAGTTTCAAAGTTGTATACTTTGATCTCGTCAACACAAGTGTAACAGAAGTTGCTAAATTAGACCCAAATCTTAATTTAGCCAGTATTTGGAGTAAGCAATTGACTATCTATGCTAATGCTATTTTTTTATTTTTCATGTGGATCAAGAATAATAAGGGATTACTGTATGTGGTTGAAGATTTTGAAGCAAAATATGAACCGTTAGATGGTGATGTGAATGAATCAGAAGAGGAGGAAGCAGAAGAGATTCATGCTTAAGTGATACGAATTTAGATAAGGATGGTCCTTAGTTTTTATATGTAATTATTATATTTAGGTAATGTATATTTCTCCCATAATGTTAACGGTGCTTATTAGATGTTTTTTAGTTATTGTTGTAGAATTTGATTGGAGATATGAGTCGATCTGGAGAACTACAAGGCTTCATAAATATTGTAGAGGCCAAGCTTTTTGTAAACGTTTGCAGCTGCCAAGATACTCATTCTGACAGCGCAATTTGATTTAAGATATAAATAACATTAATACCTATAATTATCTTTAAATATCAGATCTGTCTGTAGTTGCAAAAGTTCTTACTCGATGTGTACTACCTTGAATCTAAATAGCTTCTATTAACAACCAAATTAATAGAGCCGTACCCAACATCTAAACCGCTGTGTGTATGTGTGTGTGTGGGCGAGTGTATTGTTCAAATGCGCAAATTTACGCCTCGGAATTATGCTAATGTCATCCGTAATTTTAACAAAAAAATAAAAAGTTGATATAAATAGAAAAGGGATTTTGTATCCCTTAATTTTGTACCATTAGGCTACTATCAACTACCAAACGTTAGACCCTAAATACTATGGTTAAGTTTGATAGAGCAAAGCTCTACCAAGCTGTGACAAGCTTTCAATTCAAGTTTATTGTCTTTTATTGCCTTGGGATCTTTTTAATTTATCCTTCTTTTACTACCACTAATTTCAATGGTGCTACTTGTGCTTATGTTAAAAATGAAGAAGGTGCTGTTGGTCTTGCTGAAGTTGCTGTCAGATTGAACGTCTTAAAAGTCAATGAACAATATGATGCTTCTACTTTAAAATTCCCTGTATTGCTTTTCAAGTATACTGATCGTGAAAACTTTACAAATATTCCAACTTTAGATGATTTCAGAAAATATTATGAGTCAGAAGATATTGAATTTGGAGATGATTTGATTAATTCAGATCATAAGTTCAGATTGGATGTTGCTGAAGGTAAGACATTAAATGAAGCTGGGTTATACAATGACTATATCATGCTATATAACTCAAGCTTCAAAGGAGAGCCTCATATGCGTGCTGGTTTCAAAGTCAAGAGATCAGGATTGTATTGTGCTTATATTGCTACTCCAGCTATAGATGATCCTAGTAAAGGTCTCATGTTAGGTATTGCCTTCAACAATTCCTTTGGTGAACTCAGTTATTATGCACATTTACTTTCTTCTCAAATGAAATATTTTGTTGCTATCGGTAGTGTTCTTGCAGTATACTTTCAATTCTACACTCTAAGATTCAGAAATGAAGGAGACAGCTACTTTAGTTCTAAATCTATTTCACTGGTGTCTTTAAGTGTCACAAGATTATTTTCTTTGAAAGTCTTATTCGAAATACTTCCATTAATCGGTTTCAATACATCAAATCATGAGATTGTTTCCAGTATTTTTTTAGCTATTGGTATCATCTATAACGCGTTGTTCAATATTTACATCTATTCAGGTATACTCAACGTTGCTTTGGGATATGGTGTTATTACCGCGATAAACTTGAAGCATGTGCTCAAGGATCCTATGGTTCAAAAATATATAGCATTGATAGTGGTTACTATATTTGTAACCTTTCTGGGGGTGCTTAATTATGGTGGTCCAAATATTTTCAATAATTCATATTCAGCTAGATTGTTCTCAAACAAAATGACGGATTTATTATTCATTTCAGCTCAATTGTTACCAATTGTGTGGAAGGTTCTCATTCTTGCAAGTTTTAGACGTACAAAGAAAACTATGATCAACAATGATACTCAATATTTGAAACCATTCAAACATTCATTAGCTTTCTTGATTGTCTCTCCTATTATCTTCACTGCTCTTACTAGCTTTGTGTTCAATGCCAGTTTTATACAAGTATTGTTATTCAATCCTTTGTATGATATCCCTGCCACTATCATGAGATTCAGATTAGTGTACTTTGATGTCGTAAATACAGGCGTATCAGAAGTAACAAAATTTGATCCAAATCTTAACTTGGCCAGTATGTGGAGTCAATATTTGACTTTCTATGCTAATGCTATTTTCTTATTCGTTATGTGGGTCAAGAATAACAAGGGGTTATTGTATGTGGTTGAAGATGTTGAAGCAAAATATGAACCATTAGACGGTGATGTAAAGGAAGAGGAAGAGAATGAAGAGTGAGTATTTGATACCAATTTAGATAAGGATGGTCCCTTAGTTTTTATATGTAATTAATTATATTTAGGTAATGTTTATTTCTACCATAATATTAACAATGATAATTAGATGTTTTTTTAGTTATGTTGTCGACGTTGATTGGAGATATGGATCGATCTGGAGAACTACAGGACTCTTTAAATATTGTAGGCCAAGCATTTTGTCTTAGCATTTGCAGCTGCCAAGATATTCATTCTGACAGCGCAATTTTGCTTAATCCAAGATTACAGCAACAAAATATAATCATCTTTAACCAGTAGGTCTGTTCGTAGCTGCAAAAGTTCTTACTCGACGTGTCGTACCGTGACTAGAGAGCTTCCATTAACAGTTCCACCAACATCTATGTTGCGACTATTGTTCAAGGCGCAAAATTAAGCCTCGGAATTATATAAATTTTTATCCTCAACAAAAAATAATTATATAAAAATAAGGAGTTTTATCCCTTTAATTTTGTACCATTAGTGTATAACAATAACTGTTAAACATTAACCAAACAGTATGGTCAAGTTCGATAGATTAAAGGTTTACAATTTTGTGACAAGCTTTCGATTCAAGTTTACTGTCTATTTTTTACTTGTAGCGTCTTTGATTATCGGTTCTGTCGTTTATACTACAAGTTTCAATGGAGCTACTTGTGCTTATGTTAAAATTGAAGAAGGTGCTGCTAGTCTTGCTGAAGTTGCTGTTAGATTGAATGTCTTAGAAGTTAATGAAAATTATGATGCTACTACTTTAAAATTTCCAGTATTAATTTTCAAACATTCCGATCGTGAAAACTTTACAAATATTCCAACTTTAGATGATTTCAGAAAGTATTATGAGTCTGATGATATCGAGTTTGGAGATGATTTGATTGATTCAGATCATAAATTTAGATTGGATGTTGCTGAAGGTAAGACATTAAATGAAGATGAATTATACAACGACTACCTCATGCTCTATAACTCAACCTTGAAAGGAAAACCACATATGCGTGCTAGTTTCAAAGTCAAGAGATCAGGATTATATTGTGCTTATATAGCCACTCCTGCCATTGATGGTCCTAAGAGAGCTCTCTTGTTAGGAATTGCCTTCAAAAATTCATTTGGTGATCTCAGTTATTATGCTCATTTACTTTCTTCTCAAATGAAATATTTTTTTGGTATTGGTATTGTTATTGCAGTCTACTTTCAATTCTACACTCTAAGATTCAGAAATGAAAGAGACAGCTACTTCAGTTCTAAATCTATTTCACTGGTTTCTTTAAGTATTATAAGACTATTTACTTTGAAGGCGTTTTTGGATATATTTCAATTAATCGGTCTCAATACATCAAATCATGAGATTCTTTCCATTTCTTTGTTAAGTATTTTCGTCATGTATAACACGATATTGGAAATTTATATCTATTCGGGCGTACTTGATGTTGCTTTAGGTTATGGTACTATTGTTGCAATAAATAATAAGAGTCATTTCAACGAACCTATAGTAATGAAGTATACAGCATTGACACTGATTACTATATTTGTAACGTTGCTGGGGATGGTTAATTATGGTGGTCCAAATCTTTTTAGTAATTCATATTCAGCTAGATTTTTCTCAAACAAGACGATGGATTTATTATTTATTTCAGCTCAATTGTTACCAATTGTGTGGAAGGTTCTCATTCTTGCAAGTTTTAGACGTACAAAGAAAGCTATGTTAAACAATAATGATATTCAATATTTGAAACCACTCAAACATTCATTAGCTTTCTTGATTGTCTCTCCTATTATCTTCACTGCTCTTACAAGCTTTGTGTTCAATACTAGTTTTATTCAAGTATTGTTATTCAATCCTTTATATGATATCCCTGCCACTATCATGAGACTCAGAGTGGTATACTTTGATCTCGTAAATACAAGTGTATCAGAAGTAATAAGATTTGATCCAAATCTTAACTTGGCCAGTATGTGGAGTCAATATTTAACTTTCTATGCTAATGCTATTTTCTTATTCGTTATGTGGGTCAAGAATAACAAGGGGTTATTGTATGTGGTTGAAGATGTTGAAGCAAAATATGAACCATTAGACGGTGATGTAAAGGAAGAGGAAGAGAATGAAGAGTGAGTATTTGATACCAATTTAGATAAGGATGGTCCCTTAATCTTTACATGTAATTATTATATTTAGGTAATGTGTATTTCTACCATAAATATTAGCGGTGCTTATTAGATGTTTTTTAGTTGTAATGTAGAATGTAGCCATGTAATATGTAGGTTTCATCGATTTGATACAATTGCATTAGACTACGAGTAATGCCGTCCCAGTTTAATGTTATTTATTTATTAGAATGTTTATGTATATGTATGTAAATTAAATAATAACCAAAAAAAAAAGGTTTCATAATATAAAAGAAGTAAATTTGAAAAGGTACCGGGGCTTAAACCCTGAATGAACTTATCTATGTCGATGAATATATCCAGATGATATGATTCTTCTAATGGGAAGGGAAGGGAAATGGTTTGTGTAGTATGTAATTTTAATGAATTTTGACATTACATTCAGTATATGAGTGTGATTTCATTTTGAATTTGATGAGGAATAATGATGATGAGTTGAGTCTAGCAGTATAATTAGCTTCGATCCATGATGATTTAATGCAATAAAAGGAAAAAGAGGTATTTACCAATCACCTGGAACCAAAGGTTCTCTTTCAACTGGAATATTTCTTTGATATTTAGAACCACCTGGACGAGATGGAGCCACATAAGGATCAGGATGTTTGAATTCAGCTAATTTAGCTTCGAATTTACCAATGGCTTCTTGTAATTCAATTGGATCACTAATATGTTTATTAACTTCAATTTGTTGTCTTATTTTAATGGTTTCAGCACGATAAACTTCAAATTTATAAGTAGAATCAAAGGCAGTTCTCAAGGCCTTTCTGAATAAAGAGGCAACTCTTTTACTATTGGCTTCTGTGAATGGTAATATAGCTGACATGGTTCCTATCTTAATTGTTATCTAACCCCAACTGTAAAGATTTGATATTGATGGTATAGTTAAACAGTGATATTTTCAGTTTATGATAATTTTATTTTTTGTTCATTTTATTGGTTGATTTGTATGCAGGAAATTTTCATTTTTAACCTGTACCAAGAGAAACAGTATAAGAACACTACTACAATAACAATCAAGGATAATCATAAGACCAATAATACAATAAAACAGTAACTAAAGTAACTAAAAGAGATGTTGTTTTTTTTTAATAATTTGCTTTCATTATGAGCAAAACACTTATAAAGTTTCAGCAACCGCCATTAAACTACCAACAAATGATAAGATTAATCTACTTCTAACTTCAATAATATCTTCAGGAACTAACCAAATCAAAGCTCCTAATTTTCTAGCAATTGAAATGGCTAATTTAGCATTAGCATATTTTTCTTCATCAGATAAGTTTGAACCTTGATAAACTAAATCATAATCGACATAACCTGGTTTTAAACCATGTAAAACATTTAATAAATATACCCCATTTGATAATGAAGAATCTTTAAAGGATCTAATGGATGAAGTTTTACCTCCTTTAACCACTTGACCATTAGACCATTTCAAAATATCTGAATCAGTTAAATTAGATCCTTTACCTAATTCAGATAAGGTATTAACAATATTTCTTCTCATTAATTGCCAAACTAAACCTAAGGTTAATAATTTATTACCATCAACAATATCTGATCCTTCAATACCTACTAAAGAGAATTTATTAGCTTTACCAATTTCAACCGCATAATTAGTATTTTCTAAAGCTTTAAATCTTAAAACTTCACCCCCATTAGCTGGTCTTTTATTAACATGTTTAAAAGATACTGAACCTGGTAAAACTTTATCATAAGCTTGTAAAAGAATTAAACCATCTTTTAAATCTTCAAATAATGAAACCACAGGAGGATCAACATCTAATGAATTCAACCATAATGTAAAAACTCTAGCTTCTCTTTCACCTTCAGCATCAAATTCTTCAATTTCAATTTGTTCATGTTCTTCAATTGGATCTAAACCAGGATGAGTATTAAATAAATGAGCCACAAACGCTAAATTTAATTTTGGATTACCTGAAATTAATGAATTTGGAGTTAAATATTTTCTACAATCAATTTTATCAGCATCATTTAAAATTTTTTCAGCTCTTTGATATAAATCAGGGATTTTTAAAGCTGATAAATCACAATGTTCAGGTTGTAATTGATTTAATAATACAGTATAGTTTTCCCCATCATTAATATCTTTAGAAAAATTACTTACTCTTCTAGCCCAACCAGCATTTTTTAAATGATAATTAAACCATCTTAATAAGATTTGTTCAGGAGGTAATCTTAAAAATTGTTCTAAAGTTTCATCATCTTCTAATAAACGATATAATTCAGGATGATATTTAATATCAACTTTTGATAATAATCCTCTTCTAATAATTTGCCAAATTAAACCTAAGATTAAATGTTCTTTACCATCAATAATATCTTCAGAATGAACATTAACCACCACACATCCAATAGCTTTAGCAGAATTAATAACAATATTAGCATTTTCATTCATTTGGAAATTATTTAAAACTTTTTTACCCTTTGGAGTATTTAAAACTCTTGTATCAATAGTATCAGGAACAGAATCATTAATTAATTTCGATAAAACTAAACCATCTCTACATTCATCAAAGATTTGGAAAGTTTGAGTATCAAATGGTAATCTATCACCCACATCCGCATCACCACTTAAAACAGAATTAATATGTCTTGTAAATTCTGTTCTTTCTTCATCATTAATAGTATGAGTAGTACCTGAAGTTTTACCACCTAAATAAGTTTTATTGGTAGTATTGGCAGTAGCAATAGGAGGAGCTGGTTTCGATCTACCTGGAGAAGTAGCAGAAGCAGTAGAAGGAGATGAAGCTGATAAATGATTATTGCCACTTGAACTTGGAGTAGCTGGAGTTGCTGGTGCTGGACCTGGTGTTCCATTGGTTTCTTCCTTTAAATGAGCAATCAATTGAACATAATCTTCTAATTCAACATGACCTGATGCATCAACATCAACTGTTTTTAAAGTCTCTCTAGCTTGATCATAAGTATATTGACCCTTTTTAGAAATGGAATTTATAACTTCTTTCTTTTCAACCCAACCTTTATCATCTAAATCAATACTTCTAAAGTCCTCAATTATACCAAATAAATCATTTTGATCCAATACAGGATATTTCTTTTGTAATTTCAACACATTCATGATGCAATTGATGGATTATCTGTTGCCCAATGACGGTGTAATGATGATATGATGATGAAATGTTGATGATGATGATAGTTTGGATTGGATTGGCTATTTATAATTTTGTTTGTCTCAACTTTCCCCCTTTGGCCCACACATCCTCACCGCAACACTTAAGGCATTTGACTGTCATCAATTTGGAACTTCTTGCTGCGGCTCCCCCTTTTTTTTGAAGTTGATACCCATCCATCTTTAAATTTGATCTGATTATAATTAGGATGAAATTATCAATTATCTTTACAATTAAATATGATGATGATCAATCATGAGTCATTGGAAACATGATAAGCATTGATAACTTTGATTCGATTAAGATTAGATCTACAAATTTTATCTCTTTTTAAATGATTTTAGCATCAATTATGGCAATTCACTGCGAAAGTATCTGTAGTAATTGTTTAATACTTGTAAACCATGATATCTATAATTAGATAAATAATGACCACTCTTACATCCTCAAACTAGATTAGATCTATCTATGATTAATAAATAAACTCAAAATTGATTTATCAAAAATTAGTGGTTTATACATGGTAGCCCCATACATCCAACTTCATTTCTCTCACAAATACAAATACAAAAAATTATGACGGTCAAAATAAATGGCAACCAAAATTGATATCAATCATCTATAATAACAACATCAACAAATGATATCATGGATCCATCAATAAATGGTAAGGACTTGGCGCCGTCCATAAACTCAGAATCAACCTCTTCCTTCAACAATTATAATGGCAATGGAACCAATGGTGATGGTGTACTAGCGTCCAATTTAACCACTACAAATACATCAAGTACCACCAATACATTTGAAAATGATCATGAAAAACCATCGTTCTCCATAGAAACAGTTCAATTGCAATTTGATTTGAGTCATGGTTTAATCAACTTACTCGTATCCAATAACATCATGTTCTTAATCCTTGTCAATTCAGTAATACGAATAGATTTAGATAATCCTTCTGAAATCAAAAAATATCAAGTTCCAACCATCAGTAATATATCAAATCTATCCATAACTAATAATTGGTTACATCCCAATGGATCTCATTTAATCATTCAAGTCAATCATATCCATTACTTTTACCTTCATTCATCATATACTCAATTCAAATTATTACCTCGATTTAAAAATCTAAATATTGTAGTTATAGCATTCCCCACTACTAATAATGATAATATTACTGATTCAGCTGCCACTACAGGTGAATTCATCATAGCAGTTAAAGAATGTATTCTTTATTCTGCTCTTATTAAATCTCATGATTTCTTAAATGAATCAAATAAAAGAGATGATAAATATATTAAACAAATCTATAAACATCCATCATCAAATGGTACGTTACATGGGTTAACGTTTACCAACAATAATAGTCAAATCAATATCTTTATAAATGATACAGTATATATCTGGGATTGTTTTGATTCATCATATGCTGAATTAATCAATGTATTTAAAAATAAAGCTCAAAAAATGATTGAATTACCCAAAACTTCAAAACCAATATTTTCTTCCAATTATCAAGATTATATCTATATAGATCCATCCACTAATGAATTTCAATCTAATGATGTTGAATTAATCTTATCAGATATTGAAAAATTACCTACTTCACATACTCATTTATCTCCAACGGCTAATATTGTAATCACGCCTCATCATTTAATCACTTTGGATCATGATAATGATAATTTATTAATCTTCAATAAATTAAACCCTTTGGATCTCATTGAATTACCATTAAATAAGTATACTCTTGATAATGATAAAATCATTGGTATATTAGCCGACTATAAATTGAATACTTATTGGTTATATTCATCAAATTTCATATATGAATTGATTATTTCTAATGAATCGATTTCAATATGGTATAATTATTATAAAATGGGGAAATATGATGAAGCTTTAAAATGTCTTGAAGAATCTCCTGATACAAACTATTATAAATTGGATTTAATTTTAATTAAACAAGGGTATGATTATTTACAACGAGGAGGATTTGGAAGTATTGATTATGATTATGATGATACCATTGACCAATCACTTCAAGCTTTGAATGAAGATGAATTACTTGAATTACAAGTTAAAGGGATTAAAAAATTAGGAAAACTGTCAGAACCATTTGAGAAAGTTTGTTTAATGTTATTAAATCTTCAACAACAACAACAACAACAAAAAGATGATAATAAATCATTTAGTTCGAAGACATCAGTAATCAGTATTGTTTCTCAGATATTATTAGTGGAATACCTATTAGTAAAGTTTTCCATTGCTAAGGATGTGGAGAAAAATAAAATCAGAATTATTATATTATCAAGTTGGATTATTGAATTAATGCTGAGAACAATCTATGTTTTAAATGATGATTTACAAACTAAAACCAATAATGATGAGAATTTAAAAGTGAAAACATTCAAACAGAGATCATTACAAACATTTGAAACTAATTTTAAATCATTTTTAGCCTCAAATTATAAAATTTTAGATCGGGAAGTAGTTTATCAAATTATGATGGAATTAAATTTATCATCTAAATTCATTTATTTTGCGGAATTAATTGAAGATTTCAAATTCATTTTAAATTATTATATTAATATTAATGATTGGGATAACTCGATAAAGACCATTATCAAATTATATACCTCAACTATTCCTCATAAGATTGATATCATATATAAAACATCAGTTGTATTATTAATCAATTGTCCTCAATTGATAGTTAACGTATGGTTAAAATTCAATGAACAAGATGTTAATTATGAGAATTTCTTACCTGCCATTTTAATTTATAATAAAAATATTGATAATATTAAATTATTGGATAATTATTCAATTAAATTCTTGAATAAATTGATATTTGATAAAGGGATTAAAAGCAAACAATTGAATAATTATTATTTATCATTATTAATCACTTATCCTCATAAAGAAGTTAATAATTCTACTAAACAGATTTTAAAATTCTTACATTTTATTCGAAATGAATTAAATGCTAATTCAAAATTACAATTATATGATGCAAATTTCATTTTACGTCTATGCTTGAATCATAATCAATATGAAGCAGCCATATTGATCTTAATTCATGATATGAAATTATATGATCTGGCTTTGAAATTATCATTGGATAATGATTTACCAGAATTAGGTCAGTTTGTACTTCAAGAATATGATAGACATCATAATGATAATCAAACAACTTCTACAGCTAATACAAATAATGAAGAAGATTTTATTGTGAAGACAAAGTTAGAAGAGGAAACATTCAGTTCAAGGAAGAAACTTTGGATTAGTTTTTCAAAGTATGTGATTACCAAAGTTTGCAATGGAGAAAAGATTGATCTTCAATTTGTTGATAGTGAAGAAGAAGAAGAAGTAGAAAAAGAAAAAGAAAAAGATGATGGTGAAACTATCGTGGAAGAGAAAGGTAAATCAAATTCAAATGGGGTTCATGATCTTACTCAAAGTTTAGTTAATGATATAGTTGGAAAGAAAGATGAAGATTTAGAAAAAGCTGATCATTTAGCTTATCTGTCACAAAAACTTAATGAAGTATTAAAATACATTTTAAAACTTTCTAAATTGAATAATAGTGATAATAGTGGAGTTATTGGCTTAAAGGATTTATTACCATTATTCCCTGAATCGATTATGATTAATAATTTCAAAGATGAAATAGTTAAATCCTTAAATGAATATAATAATAAAATCAATCATTTATCCCTTGAAATGAATGAATCATTAACTATCAGTCATAATTTAAAACAACAAATCAAAGATGCAAATAATCTCGATCATACATCTAAATTATATTCTATAATTGAACCAGGTGAACCATGTCAAATATGTTTGAAATTATTAATCACTAAGAATTTCATATATTTCCCAAATTGTCATCATGGTCATCATAAAGATTGTTTAATTCGAAATTATTTAACCTTAAAGAATGATTATCGATTTAAAAAGATCTTTAATAATTTCAAACGTAATCCAAATTCATCAGTCAACAAACAAGAATTAAATGATATCCTTACCAAGTCTTGTATCTTATGTAACGACGGTAATATAAATCTCATAGATCTCGGTTTAATTGATCCTGAAAGAGATCAATCAGATATTGGTAATTGGGAATTATAATGATAGTGATAGTTAATCTGTATAGATCGATATTTAGCCAGCTCTTATACTAACAATAAATTTCCTGCACATAAAATCAATATTTTTTTTTTTGCTTTTTTTTTTTTTTGAAGCAGAGCATCACATAAAATTTATTTTAGATAATAATAAGTAAATTAATTATTCAAAAGGTAAAGACTAAACATATACTGAATAGACTAACATGGGTAAGACACAAAAGAAGAACAGTAAAGGTCGTTTAGATCGTTACTATTACTTAGCCAAAGAAAAGGGGTATAGAGCTCGTTCTTCGTTCAAGATTATTCAAATTAATGAAAAGTATGGTCACTTTTTAGAAAAATCTAAAGTTGTGATTGATTTATGTGCTGCTCCAGGGTCATGGTGTCAAGTTGCTAGTCAGTTATGTCCTGTTAACTCATTGATTATTGGAGTTGATATTGTTCCTATCAAACATTTACCTAATTGTATTACCTTTCAATCTGATATTACTACCGATGATTGTCGTTCTAAATTAAGAGGTCATATGAAAACTTGGAAAGCTGATACTGTTTTACATGATGGTGCACCAAATGTTGGTTTAGGTTGGATTCAAGATGCTTTCACTCAATCTCAATTAACTTTACAAGCTTTAAAATTAGCTGTAGACAATTTAAATGTTGGTGGAACATTTGTGACTAAGATTTTTAGATCAAGAGATTATAATAATTTAATGTGGATTTTCCAACAATTATTTGAAAAAGTTGAAGCTACTAAACCACCAGCTTCTAGAAATGTATCTGCTGAAATCTTTGTCGTTTGTAAAGGTTTCAAAGCTCCTAAAAAGTTAGATCCAAGATTATTAGATCCAAAATCTGTATTTGAAGAATTAAATACTAGTAATAAGAATAATGATAATATGGAAGCTAAAATTTTCAATCCTGAAAAGAAAATGAGACAAAGACAAGGGTATGAAGAAGGAGATTATTTATTATATCATGAGATGGATTTCTTAGAATTCATTAAGAATGAAGATCCAATTAATACCTTGGCAGGATTAAATAAATTAGTTGAACCATCAAAAGAAGATCTTGAATGGAAGATATTACGTAAATTAAAGAATTTCACTCCTGAATTATCAGAATGTTTAAAAGATTTAAAAGTTTTAGGTAGAAAAGAATTTAAAATGATTTTAAAATTTAGAAAAGCATCTAGAGAAATATTAGGATTAGACGAAGATGAAAATAAAGATGAAATTGAAGTTGAACCCTTAACTGAAGAACAACAAATTGATAAAGATTTACAAGATTTAGGAGATAAGAGGAAACAAAGACAAAAGAGAGAAAAGAAAAGATCAAATGAATTAAAACAAAAGGAAATTGTTAGAAATCAAATGAATATGTTAACTGATATGAATATTGGGTTAGAAGCTGCTCAATTAGGATCTGAATCATTATTTAATTTAAAAACAGCCGAAAAGACAGGACAATTAGATAAATTAGCTAAAGGTAAAAAGAGAATTATTTTTAATGATGAAGAATTAGCTAAAGATAATGATATTCATTTTGATGAAGAAGATATAGAGATGAATTCTGGTGATGAAGCTGATGAATTAGAAGCTCAATTGGATGATATGTATAATCATTATCAAGAAAGACAATCGGAAAGAGATGCTAAATATAGAGCCAAGAAATTAAGAGGCGATGGAGATGATGAACCATGGGATGGTATAAGGAGTGATGGAGAAGATGAAGAAGGAGAAGATACCAAAGATTATATCATGGAAGATGACGGTGAAGAAGATTCTGATGGTGATGAACAAATCAGATTAATCACTGAAAGAAAATCAAAGAATGGATTATCCAGAGATGCCAAAGTATTTTTCCAATCTGATTCTATATTTAATGAATTTGATGATGCCAGTTTATTAGATGAAATGAAGACTGAACAAGAAAAGAAACAAGCTGCTGCCAATGGTGGTAAAGTTAATGGTACTAGTAATGGAAGCAGCAATGGTAATGGAAAAGTTGTTCCCCAAGGTGATGATAGTGAATCAGATGCCGATTCCGATTCCGATTCCGATAGTGATTTTGAAATTGTTCCAGCAGAAAAGGAAGTTCAATATGAATCCGATGATGATGATTCAGATGATGGAAGTTCATTATCTCGTCAATATGCTAGAGCCAAGACTGAACAACAAAAAGTTGATATAGCGACAGTTGAAGCCATGACCTTAGCACATCAAGTTGCATTAGGACAAATGAATAAACATGATTTAATCGATGAAGGTATTAATAGATATTCATTCAGAGATAAAGATGGATTACCAGAATGGTTTCTTGATGATGAAAAGAGACATTCTAAACTTATAAAGCCAATAACTAAAGAAGCAGCTTTAGCCATTAAAGAAAAACAAAAACAATTAAATGCTAGACCTATAAAGAAAGTATTAGAAGCTCAAGGACGTAAGAAGATGAGAGCCTTAAGAAGATTAGAGAAATTAAAGAAGAAATCCGATTTGATTAATGAAGATAGTGGAAAATCTGAAAAGGATAAAGCTGATGAAATTCAAAAATTAATGAAGAAATTAACTAATAAACAAAAGATGAAACCAAAATTAACTTATGTGGTTGCTAAGGGGGCCAATAAAGGATTAAGTGGTAGACCTAAAGGTGTTAAAGGTAAGTATAGAATGGTTGATGGAGTTATGAAGAATGAGCAAAGGGCATTAAAGAGAATTGCAAAGAAGAATAAGAAGTAAGCATTAAGCATATATAAATAAATAAATAGATTATAACATGTACTATTTTTAATTTAACATTGTATGAAATGTAGAGTAATTCCAAGAGTAAACAAATAAATACCGAGAAGAATGGTAAAGTATACAAGTTATGATTTTCAAGGCTGGACCAATGATATATGATAATTAAACGAGAGATAGAATAAGAGAGCTGGGGGAGGACTCAATAAAGAATGCGAGGCGGTTAAAATTTTACTTGGAAATTTCAAAAATTTATGACGATAACTTTAGGTTAGTTTAAACCAATCAATGGTAAGGTTATTCTGAAGATAACGATGGTCTAGTTCTCCCAAAGGCGGTTGAAAGCATCTGGAATGGGAAAGAACGTAGACAAAGAAGACGAGGAGACAAAGCTCATATCATGATATTGATTGTAATTGGTTATGGATTGAAACAGAAAGAAAGAGGATAAAGTTTATACACAGAGGTTGCTAAAGTAGAATGAAATTCATTCATTCATTCAATCCATTCATTGAGGTTACTGTATTCCATATTGGTAAAGTTTAAAGTTTAAACATAAATCTAATTTTTTAAGCAAGATAGTGGGGGAGGGAATATTTTTAATAATGAATTTAAAAACAAAGTTTATGTAATAGAAGATGAAAGTTTATGTAACCGAAGATGATAAAGACCGTTTATATCTAATAGATATCGTAACCCCTTTATATTATCGTAATATTGGTTATAATAAATGGTTATCATCAAATAGATCTATAGTGTAGCCTAATTTGAATTTGTCCCAATTAGGAAATGCTGCGTTACAAACAAGAATTAGAGTAAAACAATCGTGGTAGAAGTTAACTTTAAAACATAATGGATATCATTATCCATTATCCGTTATGGATATGATTAGGATGGATAAGTGATATTGGTATGGACCATCATATGAGTTATCTTATAGGTTATTATTCACAATGATTCATGATAAGAATAAGCGATGGAATAAGAAATAAGCATTTATAGGTAATTGTTTACTCATTGTAGGAGACCATAACTTTACTTGACTACGGGGATGAATGAATGAATAATAATTGGTTACTTCTATATCCATACTATGAAAAACATGTCAATATTTAAAATATTCTTATCTTTGTTTAAAGTGATTTTGTTGTATGTAATTGGTTAACAATGTGGTGGTGATGAACACGTCTTACTCATTCAGATTACAAACCAATTTAACTAGTTAGTTAACTAGTTAACTAATGAACTACAGTATATACTCTGTTAACAGTAAGTATGTATCACGCTATACCCTGCCTTAACGTAAAGCAACGGTTTGTACCTGAAATTATAAACTATGAAATTTGCATAAATTAATTAATACTAAAATGGAAATAAAAATGAAAAAAGGAACACGCAAACTTTTTTTGAACTGGAACTGAGTGGAACTGATGGGAAATGTAAAAAGCAAAAAAAAAAAAAGTTAAAATTTTTTAAATTTAAAAATTTACATAAATAAAACACAATAGAACTTCATTCCATTCCATTCAACTTCTTTGTGTGTTTTCATCTTAGACAACTATTACCATCATCATATAACAACAGAGTACTACTACCAGGGAAAGTAATACTAGTATCTGTCTTGGTGTTTTTTAAACTTTTGTGTCGTTGTATACTATCCTTCCAGAAACGTCTTACGACTATCCCTCTCCCCCCCCTCCAGCCAGATGGTTAGCGTGTTATAAACGAATTTAAACAATATATATATTATAACTGAAAGTAGTAGTATAGTATTTTTCAACCCAGGGATATAGTCTATCACACTATCCAACAACATCATCCCTCTTTCCATCCTTATTGCTGCTATCTCTAGCTAGCGTCCACTCTTTTGTTCCATCATTCATTATCATTCATCTTCATCCCTCATTCGCTTGTCAACCCCTTCCCATCACACCACACCATAATTTAATCCTATCATATCATATTCTATCATAATATATCATATATATCCCTTGAGATAATCTATACATCTATACACTTGCCATCATCATCATGAGTTCTCTCCCTCAAACTAGCTCGTCTAATTTCTTATCTATTCCGCTGGCTAATGATATCACCACTTCCACCACCACTAATAAAAGATCTCATAGACATAGAAGGTCAGCTGCCATATCAGGAGACTTTGATGTCTTAGGAAATGGATTATTCGCTATGCCTCCCATCCAACCTCCTCAATCTTCAATTCCAAAATCAGAATTTATAGATAATGTTTATCAATTTAATAATGATGAAGATTTCGAACCCATTAAAAGACCTTTACCATCATCAACTACTATCCCATCTTCTTCATCCCCTTCTAGTGATTCATTCTCATTCCCAGCTACAAGAACCCCAGACTTGGATTCGTCATCAAATAGTTTCACCAGAAATATCCCCTTTTCTCCAAAACGTTATCAACATCCTGGTATGCATTATGGTTCTCCTTCTCAACATCATCATCCTCATATGTCTCCAGGAAGTTTGAATTCTCCTATAAGATTATCCTTAGCAAATCATAAAAGAGCTTATTCATCCAACAATTCATTAAGACCTATGAAATTAGCTGAAGAAGAAGTTTTATCATCATCATCAGATATACCAGATCCAATCATTGATTTAGATGAAATATTAACGGCTAATTTACATATTGGTGGAGGTTCAGGTTCAAATACAAATCTTAATAATACCCTTCATAAACGTACTGGACTGGCTCCAGCCGAATGTGTATTTGATGATCATGAATTTTTAGCTTCTCCATTCTTAAAACAAACTCCCCTTATTTCAAGTCCATTCTTTACCACCACTGTTGGATCTCCTTTGGCAACTGCTACAAGTAGTAGTGTTTTAATTAATCAACCTATCCACGAAAAACCAAACGATGATGATGATGATGATGATGATGATAGTAATAGTAGTGATAATGCTGATATTGAAAGAGTGGTTGATGAAGATAATCATATTGATTTCTTATCATTAGAAAATCAAACTAGTAATAATAGTAGTACTACTGAATTTCCCAATCCTCCTAATAGTTTATATATTACTTTATCAGCTAATTCATCATCATCAAGTATTAGACAAAATTTAATGGAAAAGACCTTATCTAATTCTTCCAAAGAATCAATTGGTAATTCCATACCTCCAAATAATAATAATAATAATACCACAACTACATCATCTACAACGAATGGTCAGAATAAAAGATCAGGAGCAAAAGCTACAAGATATCAAATTTTCTATGATCAATCAAATAGAATATCAAATGCATTAAAGATATCTTCATCTGAAAGTGTAAACATTATCAGATCCAATAGTCAAAACAAAGACATCAACAGTATCAACAGTATCAATAATAATAATAATAATAAGCATTTATTAGGTCATGCTTCAAGTTTCCCAAGTCTTAAATCAAATGTTAAACGTTCAGTAAGTCTTATGCCTCCACCCCCTCCATTACCTTCTCAATATCGTATTTCCAATAATAACGGTGTTCCAAAAAGAACTATTTCACCTCCTAATAGAAATACTTTTGAATCTCAAAGTTCAATATCACCTTCTAATTCAATTAAAAAGATAAATTCTAATCCTATTGTTGTAACTGAAGAACAACCTCAACCACCATCAGAACCACAACAACCACAACCACAACCACAATCACATAATCTAGGTCAAGAGATTATTATTTCTAAAACTAGTACTTCGTCAACCAGTCCTATAAGTATTAGATCTGTGGTTTCATCTACGGTTATTTCAAGTAGTGGGACTTTATTATCAACTGATAATTCTTCATTACATTCCAGTCATATACCTCATAAAGATGGTCTGACTCCATCTATTATGGTTGGATCTGAAACTTCATCATCATCATCAACTAATTCCACTTATAAACAAGATGATAATTCTGGAATAATTATAAATGATGATACTACTATGATAAATAATTCTCATAATGATGATACATTTATTTTACCGGATGATAATTCTACAATTTTAAAATCTCCATCATCAAGAGGTGGTGGTGGTGGATCAACTCCTAAACAACCTTCACCCAGAAGACCAGTTACTTTAGGTGAAGAAAAGATTTTAAGATTAACTCAAATTCCTACCTTTAAAGGACCTTCATCATCTATCAGTTCTGCTCCTGTTTCACCACCTATTACAAGCCCAACTATTTCATCACCATCTCGTCCAACTACTAAAACTACTATATCATCCGAATCAAAACAAAGTAAACGAAGTAGTTTTTATTCAAGAATGAAACGAACTTCAATGACTTTATCATTAAGTGATTTTAGTGATTTATTACCTCCTCCACCTTCATCTAATTCTAATACTATGACAGGACCTTCATCTCCATCACCTCCTCGTCAACATCATAAATCGAAATCATTATCGTTATCATTTCAAGAATTTGTTTCATCATCATCATCATCTTCCAGACCTTCATCAACTGCCATTATATCATCTTCAAGTGAATCACTTAATATTGTCAATTCACCATCCATGAGAAAGAGAGAAAGAAGAAAGAGTAATAAATTCATGAGTTGGTTTAGAAAGAAGAGTGATGTAGCTTGATGGTTTCCCCATATAACTTATTTATTTTTCCCTTATTTATCATATCCCTAGCCTATTCTACCTTTTCAATTTTTTAATATTTAATTATAATTTACGTTTATTCTTTTTTCATTGTTTCATCTGTTATTATTTCTTTAGTTCGTTTTGAAGTGTTCGTTTTATCTTATTTTATTTTATATATCTTTTCTTAATTTCATATAATATATACCCTTTTGCATTTACCTTTATATCGTTAAAGAATGTTGTAGTTATTGTGCTGGTGAACAAATAATTGTGGAGGTTACGTTTTTTTATTTTTGTGTAATTTTTAGTTTTTCCGTTGATCTTTCTGAGACTGCACTGTCAAATTTGTAATTACCAGTAATAAAGTACTACAGTTGAGTTATACCAATATTCATACTATTCACGATGAGTTCAACAGGATATGACTTGCCTCATGACTTTTATCAACAATTAACTTTGAAATATAATGAAGCTATAACCAATGGTCATATTAAATTCAATGGAGAATCCAAAGAAGAAGAATTAATTCATAATGAAAATATCGATGTGGTATTAACTCTTTTACATTCGTTACAATTCAGACCTGAACAAGGCACAAAGGAAACTAATCCCTTTGCTAAACCTGAACCTGAATTAACTATCATTGATAATTATGGCAACAATAATGAATTTAGAATCATCTTTAATAAATTCCCTGTTATTGCCAATCATTTCATGATTGTAACTCAAAAATTCAAATCTCAATTGACTCCCTTATCATTATCAGAATTAAAAGCAACTTATAAAACTTTAACTGCTTTGAAAGTATCTGCCAGTGAAGATGATTGGTTTGCATTTTATAATTCGGGTCCTCAAAGTGGTGCATCTCAACCTCATAAACATATTCAATTCATGACTTTACCTCATCAAAAGGGGTTTAAAGTGTTTGCTGAGAGTTTAGCAGATACTTCTGAATCATTCATCCCCAATGCTAAACGTGATCCATTACAAAATCCAAATTTACCCTTTGCTCATTATGTGGTTAAATTACCTAATGTGATTGATGATTTAGATGATTTAGCATTATATTTCGGATCATTGATTCAATCAACGTTAAATACCCTTAGACAAAATGATTCTCATGATATCTCATATAATTTCGTTATGACTACAAAATATATGTTAATGGTTCCAAGATCAAATGGGAAATATAAAGATAAACTTGGGATAAATTCATGTGGAATCATTGGATTAATTCTTTGTAAAGATGATGAATTATTACAATTAGTAAAGAATGATGGTCCCTTAGCTATATTAGAAGCAATAGGATATCCCAATACTCATGGTCAATCATCTGATGAATATAATTATTAGTAGTAGTAGTTAGTAAATAGACCTTCCTAATTAGGCAATCTAGATTTTTCAGCCAATAAAATACCTGAGAAAAAAAAGCACTGTAATTTTTTAGTGAAAGTACACGACACATGAAAAAAAAAATGTATTCAACTCAATTTAAAAATAAAAATGAGCTTTCAACAGCAACAACATCCAACTTTCATCAGCATCTTCAGTTCAATACTAGTACTTATCAATCAAAAATGGCTTCTATTACTTCTATTGTCAAGTCTGCTGATTTCATCTTATCCAGACCAACCTTATCCAAGATTGTTTCTCCAATCGCTAAGACCTTTGTTGCCTTTGCTGGTTACAGAGAAATGGGTTTAACTTTTAATGATTTAATTGCTGAAGAAAGTCCAATTGGTCAAAAGGCTATTGCTAGATTACCAGAAGATATCAGTTATGCCAGAAACTATAGAATAATAACTGCCCATCAATTATCTCTTTCTCATCAACTTTTACCTCCAAATAAGGCTGTTAAACCTGAAGAAGATACTCATTATTTAATTCCATACCTTTTAGAAGCTGAAAAGGAAGCCTTTGAGAAAGCTGAATTAGATAACATTCAAGTTTAAATTTAATTAAATTATTCAATAAGTTATTGTGGACCCCCATTGATTCATCCATCCATTAACTATAATTCATGCATATTCATCTATATATATATAATATTTATCAGATCAAAATTTAATACCATCCATCGTACCCAAATTTAAACTGATATATAATCTCCTCATCATTTATTTCACTTTTATCTACTATCTATTATAAAATCATGTCGTTAGCTGTTATGTTACCCTAGTTTATTTTTAGTTCAGTACTTTATTTTGTATTGCAATATACATACTTATATTTTTAGAAATAACTTATCTTAGTCTACCTAAGATTGTATGATTGACCCCTCCCGCTAAGTTACAGTATACCAAATTATTAAAACTACTTGTGAAGAAATGAAATATGTCTATTAAGGTTGAAGGAGGATAAAATTATAAATAAAAATAAAAAGTATTTTACTATTCTATGAAGGTTTTAAGGTAAATTAACTAATCACCACATTCCTATTTTATACTTTCTTAATTGTTCCAATGCTAAGAAAGTAACAATAGTATGAGGTCCTAATCTAATGAAAGATGGTAACCAACCTCTGAACATGAATCCAACCCCTTCATTCTTAACAGCATTAGTTAAAATAGTTACAGCACTACCTTCAGCAGCACCTTTAGCATTCATAATTCTTGTCTTAACCACATCAGCTGGTGAACAAACAGTAGTAGCAACTAAACCTGCTAATAATGATGCACTGAAATGAGTTGATTTCTTAGTTGGATCCATATGTACATTATCCACTAATATATTCTTTGCAATATCATAAGTTACAACTTGAGATGCCGTCATCAATACTCCTCTAACTAAATTTGGAGTTAAACCTCTAAATAATGATCCCACACTTTCTTCTCTACAAATTCTAATAATCCCATCAATAGCATTTCTATAATTTCTTCTTTGTTCAATTGGTAAAGTTGAATCATTTTGCATTCTAATATTAACCACATCAGATGGATTACCAACTAAACCACCCATAGCACCTGAAATCATTGACATTGGTAATAACACAGCAGTACTTGGTTTTGGATTTTGAGTTTTTTCTATATATGATTCCTTTAAGAATTCATAAATCCCAAATCTAGTAGTTGAATAAGTAGCTTGTCTTAATAATGAAGCAGTTAAACCAGAATAGATCTTTAAAGGACCTTCCTTGGAAATGATTTGATAAATCATTGATATTAAAGATTGACCCGGAGTAGTAGCTGTTTGTAATCTAACCTTTGCAAGATCCAAAGGATGGGTTACCAAACAAGCTATCATACTGGCAGCACCACCATACCAAAATCTATAATGATGAAAATCGTTAGTAAATCAACCTTATTTTTAAAAAGATAAGCACCAAATAGGGCTCAATGAAAATCAATTTTTACTTACGGATATTTAACTTTTTGACTAGATGTAGACATGGTTGAATTGTACCTTGGAGAGTAACTAGTAATAAATGATAGTAATTAAGCAAATCAATCAAACACCGTCTCTATTTGATCCTTATCGATTCCGTGATATTTTTTTTTGGTTTTGGCGATGGATGGATTTCTCAAACTAAAATTAAAGGAATGTTTGTTCCGATATATATGTACAACTTACGTTTTTTGTTTTTTTGCACCAATTAACACTCCGATAATATAATAACTTTAAATGTTATTTTAACTCTATTTATAGGCTAAGATGAGGTGATATATATATATATGGTTATTTGTTGATAAATATACCAAGAGTATTGTTATTTTCATTATATACGATATATAAATGTTCTATACGACTTTAAATATTGAACCTCATTATCCGGGCCTGAACGGAACAACTTTCCCCTCCTTTACCCAATTTTATTTTGGTTTAAAGCGTGTAAGAAAGCCTTTCAAAAGTTGCAACCTAATACAGAGTTTAAAAATTGATGAAAAAGTTTAAAATTAAAATGAGCTTCAAATAACAAGGGAAGTAAATGTAAAGTGGAGTAGAGTGTTAAGAGCAGAAAGATTGTATGTCGAAACAGATTAAATGTAAATTGACCTTATTTTAAATATGCAAAATTACGCGTCAACCCATAAACAACAAAGTTAATCGTATACTCCAACAAAATCGAAATGACACTGAGTAATTATGTTAAATGCAGTTGATCATTCTGTAAGTACTTGACTAAATTATTCTAAAACCCACTTGGAACAGATTCAAATTCGAAAATTTCTAAAATCACCATCAATAAAACCAAACCAATCAGACTAAATCAAAGTACCAAAACCAACATACTAAAAGATATAACTGATCAACTCAAGCTCAAAGTAAATTCAAAACATTATAATAATAATTTCTAATACATACTTTTAAATGATCAAAATCGGTAGAATAAAATGGGTATTTAATAAGCGCTACCAAATACATTGTAGTATAAGCCCAAAAAATTTAACTTTTAAAATCACAAAAACTTGGACAAATCTCAGTTAAATTTAACAATTCAAGTTTCTAAAAAGTATATTTCCAGCCTTCACCAACTTACAACCATGAATCTCAAAACGAGAACTCAGAAAAACCAATTTATCATAAAATAAATGACAATCTAGTTAAACTAACTTCAAAACAAAAATTATTATTATCTGGATCACCTAAAGACCCAAAAACATTACTCCTACAGCAAAATCTCAGGAATAAACTTATAAATAAAAGTTTTAAATACACCCAAATAAATACTAATTCACATCAAAATGAAGCAAGGCAATTTAACAAAACGATATTCAGCATGAAATACAATACCAAACTAATTCAACACAGCATCAAACTAGAAATTTCCAGAGATTGAAAGCTTTTTCATTTTCATTTTTTCCAAATTTGTTATATATATTCTTACTCTAAAACACTATAAAACTATAGAATTTATATAAAGAGAAAGTAAATTTGGAAAAAAAAAAAAGTAGAGCGATACCCATGATGAAATAAAAAAAAAAAAGAGTTGAGAGGTAAAGCTGAACCTTCTTTTTGTAGGATGTATCGTCGACGTCGCCATAATTTATGAACAGCAAAGACGTATCGATTGAGAGCGATTAATTGATTTTTATCCAATTCTGGATTGGCTATTATAATTTCCCAGGCTAATGGAAGTGTGATTCCCATTTTGGTCCATATTTGGCGACTTATGGAACATTCCAAGTATAAATGATCTGAGTAAGTAATCGATATCGGTTGATCACAGAGTTCACAATTAACTGATGATGGTAGGTGTATGTGTATTCGGTATGAATAACAAATTGGGAAAACTAAAATATAAATTGATAATCTGGGTCCAATAGTTTTCCAGAGCCTTGTCAACATTCTTTTATGAATTGATTTTAATAATTAGCATCTAGATAAACTAATTCTACTGGAAACTATCTACGTTTTTTTAGCTAGAAGTCCAGATTGTCGCTTAATTTTTATCTTTCCTCAGGTACATTTTATTACTCTCTCACCTGGATTAGTTTCAGAGGTGCTGTCATTCTAAATAGCAGATGTTTCTTGAGATAGAGTTAAATCCAGGTGTATTGTATGTTTAAATTAGACGAACTTTGATGCAACCAAAATCTGTAGTGTAATTGGAAATAAGTTAGATTAATTCTATAGTTTTATGGTGTTTGTTGAGATTTAGCCTTAAACCTGATAGCGTAGTCATCAATGTCAACCTTTGAAATGAATATAGAAGACATATTTGTATGTATTATACTTGTTCATCTATATATCTATACGCTCAAAACAAAGGAAGGGAATATCTAGGTCTATTTATACTAATTCCATATGGGATAAATAGCCCCTATTACCCTTATTACTAATTCAGTTTAGTACATAATTAATTTCTTTTTATAATAGTTATTTGGTTTATGAGTGACCATTTTCAATGAATCACTCCATTCATGATTTATGAGTGACCTCTTTGTATAAATCACTCCATTTATTTCTTTTGCAATGGCATCATAATTCGCAACTATTTGCTCCTTATATCCATTTACAACAGTGTTCACGAAAAATATATAACAAATTTGGGAAATGAAATATTTCTGAAGAGCAGAATAGAAGCTAAGGAAGCCGGTAAGAAGATCAACTGAAATGGTTTGTTAATTGAATATATTCATAATTTATTAATTGAAGTGATGAGAGGCTAGGTAAAACTGATTTGATCATTCGAATTTAGTTTTTTTTTGAGTTCTTTGGAGAGAAAAAAAGAGTTCTAGTTTAAATTTTCTTTCTAATGAGAGCCATCAGATGTTAAGAGGGAGATATGATTGCGCGGTGCTGAAATGGACATTTTGCAAGAATTTTAGGTTTGATTTCACCTCTATAGACATGTTTCTTTGGCGTTTTACGTTTCAGTTTTCTTTGTTTTTAGGGACGTAACATGTCAAATTTTATATGAGCAGCGTACGGAATATGTAGAAATAAATGTATTCTGGTGATTGATTATTAGTTATTCCTCTTGTTAAGATGCGTTTTGATAACTTTTTCGTGAGACTAACTTATTGAAATTGTTCCTTTGCATTATCATTCAAAAGTGAGGATGTCGACGATACATCCTACAAAAAGAAGGTTCAGCTTTACCGCTCAACTCTTCTTTTATTTCATCATGGGTATCGTTCTACTTTTTTTTTTTTTCCAAATTTACTTTCTCATCATTAGATTGATCTTCAATTTTCAATCAAATCTTACAAAATAGCTACTTTATCATCTAATCAAGAGAGTTTTTTTTTTTTTTTCCAAATTTGTTATATATTCTTACTCTAAAATACTATAAAACTATAGAATTTATATAAAGAGAAAGTATATAACTAGTTGAGGGAGAGAAAGGTTAAAAATAAGAATTATTTTAAACTTAAATTCTATAGTTCTATAGCGTTTAGGAGAAAACGAATATATAACAAATTTGAAATTTGGAAAAAAAAAAAATTATATAAATTCTATAGTTTTATGAATATATAACAAATTTGGAAAAAAAAAAATAGTTTTATAGTGTTTTAGAGTAAGAATATATAACAAATTTGGAAAAAAAAAAATCTATACCTAAACCATGATAATCTAATTATACATTATTCTACTTAATACAATTCTAACTAATTTACATAAAGACTCAATATTCCATTCAGCAAGACTATCTTTTCTGACTCCTACGTTGAACATTTCTTCTAACTCTCCACACTCCACCTACTTTACTTTTACTCTCAAAACTGACATGTGGAACTGTCAAAGTAGATTCAACTACCGGAGAGTTTCCTTTCAACTTATTGCTTTTAAGGCGCTTGAGCTCTTTACCTTTTTTTAAGATCAATGCCGGATTGAGGATTTCAGGACTTGCAAGCTCCCCTTCACCTCTGACTAAAACCAACTTAATTCCTTGAAGTAGAAGTTCTTTTAAGTCAGTCATTAATGTTTCTGGAAGATACACATTGAAGAAGTTCTCCAATCTGTTGATACTATGAATCATGGTCAATCCCATATATTTAAACTTTTGAACATCGTTGTAGGAAGCAAGTTGATCAAAATTGGAACTTGACAAATAAACAGGAAGATTGTCTTGTGAAGGTGATTTATGAAATAGCTTAGAAGACGCATAAAAATATTCATGGTCTATAGCATATATTCCCATAATAGACGACTCTAGCATGAGCGGCAAATCTTCGTAATTGAAATCATTTGATACATCAAAATTTAGAATTGAAACTGCATTGACGCCTACGAATGAGTCCGGGGAACTCGAAGTTTCATATGATAGTTTAAAGGGAGAATTATTCAAAATGTGATGATTAAAATTAAATTCCAAGGTTGCCAGTTGATGAAAATAAACTAACTTGTTCAAAGTTCGAAGTTGTGCTGGTAGATACTTAGAAGCTTGATAAACACCCTGCATGAACTTTGATTTCTTGAAGGTGAGATCTTTGATTAAATCAACATTGTCCTTATTCGTATCATCTAAACTATTTGAAAGTACAATTAAATAATCAGGATTTATGAAAGATGTAAGCTCTGTCAAAATCTCTCTTCCATATCCTTTAATCCAACCTGGAGTATTTATAATTAAGTGGTCACCCATCTGCTTGTTGTTAGATTTATAATGGTTAAACAAGCTTCTTATGATGGAAATATATTGGGTCGGTCTATGTACAGGCGATGTGTACCCAAAATATTGTTCTATGGAAGACTCTGTATGTGTTATAGATGGTATACTCATACCAAAATTTGGATTCAGAATTCTTGATAATGATAATGAATAAGGTTTTGAAATTTCAGGTTGTCCAGGATCTAAATCGAGATATGAAATTGTTGTGGAAGCAATGCCTTCAGTCAAGAGTGCATTTATTAATGTTTTATTTAATGTTGATTTTCCGCTATTTTTGGTTCCTATAGCCATAAATAATTTCGGTGTATAATCATCCTTTATCTCATCCTGTATAGATTCGATAGACTCTGCCCATGACTTGTCAATATTTAATCCTATCATTCTTTTATCTTGGAAAAGAATTTCAAAAGAGTAGTTTGTGAAGATTTTATCGTAACTATTAATGACAATATCATCGTTATATGGGTCGAAGAACAATCTTTTAAAGGGGGAATAGTACTTTCCAATACTTTCTAGACCTGTGTAGAAACTACTGAGCTTTATAACTGATTTATAATCACTTGAAAATAGATGAGCATTTTCATCGTAAATATTATCTTCAATTTTTGATCTATCAAGAACCTGAGTACTTGCAATGATTGGTAATGAATGAGAAGAGGGTGCACTTATAGTATAGTCATGGTTTCTTCTTGCATGCAAATAATGAAAGTTGTTCATTAGTATAGCTCCACGTTGGATATTTAATTTAAATTGGCCATTTATAACAAGATATTCATGAACTTTTAACCCTATAATTATGTAATTTTCTTTAAGGATGATGTTATCATTATTTGGTGAAAATCGAGACGAAACCACTTGAGATATAGGACTGTTGGATGGAGGTTGTGGAGTGGCTGTATTTGTTGATATCAGAGGTTCTTCATAATTTATTATCACATCTTCATCTTCATCCGATGAGTTTTGTTGATATCCTATAATTGCATCATCTTCTCCGTCAGCAGATTCATGAAATATTGAAGATATAGATGAATTATCCTTCAAAGCAGCATAAGCACTCATTTATCTCATTTGACACTTTATACTTTGCTTTTTTAATATAAGCCTAGCTTCATGAAATCTTTTAGCATCAATAATTTTTTAGACCAAAAAAGTTTTGATAGTTAAGCGATTGGTAATTTTACACGACCATTTTAGATGTATGTCACTATTAGCATCCAATATGCAACAGACACCAGAGTAGTTCCCATTTTAGGGCAGAAAGATGAGTGAAAGATCCTAGTTTACGAGACTAAAATGCTCATTCTACATTTATGAAGCTTTAAGCATAAATTATTAAGACATATATTATCATTAGACTGGACTCAAAGGAAGTTAACATTACCACCTTGCTTTGAATTGATTGATTTCGAATGAGGAAATGTGATTACTTGCGCAGAGACATTTCATCAGCTCCTTGATTAGCAAGTCTATCAGCATTTTCATTACCAACATTACCTTGATGACCTCTCACATGAGTGATTGCAATGCTACCTGATTCCTTATTTTCATAAGATTTTATAGCACGATACTCTTTTCTTGCAGTTTCGATTATATCTTTATTTGCAATAGGTTTTCCTTGACTATTTTTCCAACCATTCTTTTCCCAATTATTAGACCATGTTTCAATACTATTTTTTGCATAAGCTGAGTCTGTCAAGATTTCATAGTCCTTTTTACTTCCAGTTTTTAAATCTTGATGAATATCTTTCAAAGCATGAGCCATACCAAATAATTCAGCTCTTTGGTTAGTTGGTTTATTAATCTTAACGTTGTCAACTTTGGTTAAGGGAACAGCTGCATTTTTAGGATGATTATCTCCATACCAAACACCATAACCAGAATCTGGCATAGTTTCTCTACCATTACCTCTAGATGCTCCATCGACATAAATTTGCTGTTTCGGTTGAGATGGTTTTGAATATGACAGACCTCCATATGAACCCAGATAAGAGCTTGAATAATCATTGTACGAAGATGAACCTCCTGAAGAACGCGTACTTGAAGATGATGTTGATGATTTAGTATATGAGTTTGAACTTGAGTTCGAATATGAGCCACTATATGATGAAGAACTTGATGGAGTATAAGATGAATTACTATTTGAATGACCTCCCAGATTAATAAATTGACTAGCTTCAGCAGCAGTATTAAACTTCTTATACAGAGCTCCTGAGTAACCACTCACTTGATCTTTACAGGATTGCCAGTCAGAATAGACACCGGCATTCTTACCCTTTGCAACGGCGTAATAGACCATTGTTAATTTCGATACTATCTTATTAATCTTGAATGGTGATAGATCATATAATAAAAAGGAATATGAAAAGAGAGAAAAATTATTTTGATCCCCTTAAAATTCTTTTGAAAATATACGATACTCGTACTCGCGCTATAATGCAAAAAATTATGCTACAAAATTATTAGACTTTAAAAATACCGTAGTAGTATTAATTCTGTTATATACTCTAGCTAATTTAGGAACATAGTAATTAGCTTGATTGATTGATTGATTGATTGATTGAATTGTTGTTGTTGTTGTTTTTTGGATTTTGTTAAGTTTAATAAGTATCACGAATAGTTTAGTTTTTATTTAATATGTACCACATTCTTCACAGGCTCTGTTTGCAAGTTCATCGGCAGCATCATTTCCATCATTTCCACTATGACCAGCAACATGGATAATCTGAAATCTATTCCAATGACGAATACTGTATCCTTTACATATGCTTGCATATGTACGGTATACTTCTTGAATTAATTGTTTATTTGCCACAGTTTCACCTTTTACATTTTTCCAATTATTTTTACTCCATTTATGAATCCAAACTTCCATACAATTCTTAACATACATTGAATCAGTATAAATTCGAACTTCAACATCCTGTTTAGCAAATTTACGAGCATCTCTCAATGCGTGCCTTAAAGCAAATAATTCTGCTCTTTGGTTGGTGGGTCTATTTAAGTGTAAATTATCTACTTTGTCTAACGGGATAGATGCATTATTAGGGTGGTGACGTTGGTAATAGATACCATAACCAGCCCTTGCATTAGAGGTACCGTTACCTCTACAAGATCCGTCAATGTAGACGTTAATTACACCCACTGGCTTTTCATACATTATAAGAAAATGTGTTCAATAAAAAGCAAATTATCCCTTTAAAAAAAGGTGGATAATAGAATACGTTAAGAAGATTTAAAATTAAATTAAATCAAATTATCTTATTGAAACGAGTTCAATAAACAGATAAGTAAAAGTTATAATTGAAAAATTATAACAAACGTATATCATAAAACAGTGTAAGCAAATTATCTCCTTAAAAAAAGGTGGATAATAAATACGTTAAGAAGATTTAAAATTAAATTAAATCAAATTATCTTATTGAAACGAGTTCAATAAACAGATAAGTAAAAGTTATAACTGAAAAATTATAACAAACGTATATCATAAAACAGTGTATAAACGTTTTATGACGATTTTTAAAAGAAAAAAGTGTTGAAAATTTTAAAAAGGTTTTGAAGCAGATTTTAAGGTTTAAATAGGGATAGAGGGAGGGGACAAGATAACAGAAAATTTGTGAGTCACACCATTAATTTTATTACACCATTAATTTTATTAAGGATTCCGCGGTTAAATTAGTATGCAAAATTATGCTACCCATTAAAGCTTTTCATATTTATTACAATGCTAGTTTGATTTGTATCTGAAACATTAGCTAGCTATAAACTTTGTTATTATTGAATGAATCTTGTTAATAGATACCACAATCATTACATGCTCTATTTGCAAGTGCATCAGCAGCATCATTTCCATCATCTCCACTATGACCAGGTACATGGATAATTTCTATATCACCCCAATTACGAGCTTCATATGATCTTTCTAAATTTGAATATAAGCGATATACTTCTTGAATTAATTGTTTATTAGCCACATCGTATCCTTTGGAATTAGTTTATTCCAATCATTATCTATCCACTTGTGTATCCAAACTTCCATACAATTCTTAACATACATTGAATCTGTATAAATTCTAAGTTGAACCTTTCTTTTAGCAAATCGACGTGCATCTTGTAAAGCATGTCTTAATGCAAACAATTCTGCTCTTTGATTTGTAGGTCTGTTTAAATTTAAATTATCAACATCATCTAATGGAACACTTGCATTATCAGAATCATCATAACCATAGAAGACACCATATCCTGCTCTTGCATTAGGGGTACCATTACCTCTACAAGCTCCATCGATGTAGACATTCCACGTATTTAGTGGACCCAGATCATACATGATATATCTCGCGTACTATTGAAACAAACTTTGTTGATATTAATGCAAATAATCTATAAATTTCACGACGATATCTGAATGATTTTGAACTTTTTATAATGAATAACCTTATTCTCTTGATTGATTCTTCTTAAAAGTTAAGCTAAAGCAGTTGTTGAACTATAGAAATGTTTCAAATAAAATCGTGTTGTCATAAATTTTTTAGGCGAGAATTTTCTAGATAGTTTTTGGAATTAGAGTTACAATAACTGATAAGCAGAACTATTTCAGTCACCAGGTTTGTTATGAAAAGTCAATAGAGAATTTAAAGAAGACCCTGCAGTTGTGCCTTAAGCATATCTGGATCAGCCGTGTGAAAAGTGTGCTACATCAGTTTATTTATGAAAAATATTACGTTTCTATCTAACGTGCTATTCAAATATATTATTATATGTTAATTGATAATTGTATGGCTTTCATTGGGATTAATAAACACCACAACGATCACTTGCTTGTCTTGCAAGTGCATCAGCTTTCTCGTTTCCTATATTGCCACTATGACCAGGAACATGACAAATCTCCATTGGTTGCCAACCCTTCCTTCTATATTTCACACATATATCTTTATATAATTGATATGTTTCTTGTATTAATTCTTTATTTGCTACATCGAATCCTTTTGAATTTGTCCAGTCATTCTGAATCCATTTATGAACCCAAACATCCATACAATTTTTGATATACATTGAATCAGTCATAATTAAATATTTGATTCCATAATCAAAATAGAACTCTGCTTCTCTCAAAGCATGTCTTAAAGCAAATAATTCAGCTCTTTGATTAGTGGGTCTATTCACCGTTAAGTCATCAACTAAGTCTAAAGGCATACTTGAATTTAAATTAGCACTATGTTCATAATAAACCCCATAACCAGCTCTTGCACTTCGAGTTCCATTACCTGGACAGGCACCATCAATATAAACAGTCCACGTCGAACTTATTTCCCTATCTACTATCCGTACTCCAAGCGCATAATGGCGTACTATATTACTCATATTGTTGCAAGTGAATTTTTGAACGCCGTCAAGACAAAGAAATTCACAAGTGAAATTGACTATTGTATTACAAATGAACTTGAATTTATGATTGAAACTTAATCAAACTCCTCTCCAAAAAGAAATTGCCTTCAAATGTTATATGAATTAATTGAAAAGTGAAAATTATGAAACGTTTTTGAATCAAGAAATATTTTTTTTCCATACAAACCCTAATTAATTAGTGTCGCATGATCGTTAACTATGCATAATAGGATATGATACTGAGTAGTTATGATATATTGATTAATAATTGCTTCACTTTCTTTAACTTCAATAAACACCACAACGAGCACTGGCTTGTCTTGCAAGTGCATCAGCTTTGTCGTTTCCTTCATTGCCACTATGACCAGGTGTATGAAGAATCTGCATTGGAAGCCAATGAAGACTTTCATATAGTATGTTTACCATTTGATATAACCCATATACTTCTTGTATTAATTCTTTATTTGCCACTTCAGATCCTTTCGAATTTATCCAACCGTTTTGACTCCATTTATGACCCCAAACTTCCATACAATTTTTGACATATATTGAATCAGTGATAATTATAAATTTGAAATAATTATCTACCGAGCTATAAGCTAGCTCCAAAGCATGTCTTAAAGCAAATAATTCAGCTCTTTGATTTGTTGGTCTATTCACCCTTAAGTTATCAACTTCGTCTAAAGGAACGCTTGCATTAAGATGTTCTAAAAATAGATAATGAACACCATAACCGGCTCTTGCAGATGATGTACCATTACCGGAACATGATCCATCGATATAGGCAATCCCTGTAAACTTAAACTCAGGATCATCCAACGGATATGAATACAGATCCAGATCCAGGTCCAGGTCCAGGTCCAGGTCCAAATAATTTTGGTGATACGTCATATGGTAATAAGAAAATATAATGTGATAGGAAGAAAGAACTTAAACTTACGTTTGATACTTAATCGAACTCCTCTATCAAGTGGAATAATCTAGCCTTATATGAAATAATACGAATAAAGTGAAAAGTGAAAAGTGAAAAATTTTTGAATCGAGAATTTTTTTTGAAAGGTTTCTTGGCTATTTTAAAGATGATGAACTAAGACTATACCTATAAAATCAACTCATAATCAAGTAATGTCACATGACTGTTAGTTATGTATAATAGTACAGGATAAAGTGAGTAGAAGTTCCTTGTTAATATCTAGTTATATAGATAATATTATTTACTAAAGAATAAAAGTATTTTGCTGCAATAAGTATTACGTAAACTTTGCTGCCTTTGAGAATATCTGGAATAGTCGTGTGCTCATTTTATAAGTAGTGGCTAATTTTAGGTTTAAGATTTAAGCATATTTAGTTACAACTGATATGTACAAATCCTTCAAGAGTTCGTTTTCATATTAGATGTACTTCTGATTGTCTTGTATACTTAGATGTATTGTCTTTCAATTTACTTCATGTTGATGTGATAAAAAATTATTGGATTGAAAGATACTACATAAAATAGTTGCCTAATATTTGAATACGTACTACTCTATATCTATGAAGTCAATATGGAACTGACCTTGTAAAGGTATTCAGAAGTTTAAAATTAAAAATATATTGTGGGGTAATTAAATCATTTATGTAGTAATGATGACAAAAAAATATAAAATTTATGATATTTTTGAATTTGAATTCCGATCTACATGTCTCGATCATAAGCCTTTATAGTTTAGATAAACAGATTAAGAGCCATTCTAAAATGAAATACAATTTGATTGACGAGAATTGGGGGAGATTGAAAGAGATTAACAAACCTCATTTTGTGATCAAAAAGGAGTTCGGAATAATTATAATATGATATTAAAAACTAGAGAAAATTATTCAAAAAAAAAGAGTTAAATAATTAAATCTGTCATCAAACTTTTAATAGAGTTAACTACCATTGCCTGATCTAAGAAAAAAAGGGTTAATTATATAAATATGGTCGGATAAATTGATAAGATATATTTTTTATGATTCATGTCTATTGTTAAGATTGTTCCTATCTGTCATCTATTTAAGTTTAATCTCTAATTATGATCTAATCTTATATCAAATATGGGATTTAGAGAATACGTCATTGCGGAGAGAAGTTGATGTAGTAATCCCAGGGGGAAAACAAAGGGTAATATTGGGGAAATAGGTTGGAGTCAAGAAAAAATTTGAATAAAATGAATTAGTGATTTAATTTTGATTGACTGACGTAGACGTAGAAAACATCAACAAAAATAATTGGATTGAATAATTTATCCGAAAAAATCGCTCTAACTGCATAAACTGTAAAATAGATATATCACTCACAAAGACAATTTCCAAAAAAATAATGAATTTTTAACGTGATTTTTTTTATAGTGCATGATGAACCGGAAAAATTTTACGGGGAGGAGGGGGGACCTTATTGAGACTGAGTTGATTTTTAACTGACTTTCTTTTTTTTTTTTTGACTGCGGTTTTGAACGAAAAAGAGAAATTAACAGCGATGGAGAGAGTGACTACCTAGAAAAAGAAAAAATTCGCATCTCTTGATTGCACTAAAGATATTTAGTATTAATTTAGTAATGAGAATGGAAAGGAATAAGATAAGGATACTATTGAAAGGGGTTTTTAACTGGAAGTTCTGGAACTGGAGGACAAGAAAAACCAACAACAATCCATGGATGAAACCAAATATTACTAAAAACACTAAAAAATTAAAAAAAAAAACACCAGTGAAATAAGTAATTAAAAAACACAAAAAGTTTAAGCATTTACAAGTCGATCTCTCTCAGTAAAAATTATGTAATGCCCACATTCCTACCACAAATTTCCTCCACCTTTGTGGGCGGATAGATCTGGGCCAGGGTTAGTGTAATGAAAACAATGGGCAATTATTAATAATTTTTATGCATCCAACATCAAAAGTTGCATCAAGGTTACACATTACCCATTTTTGATGAGGTAAATAAAATTAATAGAGAAATAATGAATTTACACTATGAATAATCCTTAAACATAGAATGGAAATATCATTAAAAAAAGTACGAGAAGTAATGATATGTCAACCTGATGATGAAATATGGAGTATTCTGTTAAACAGGATAAAAATTTCTTGATTAATGATCAAAAATCACTACGTATAATTAAAAATAATTTACTGGGGTAAACACCTGATAATTATCATCATCACTAAAAAAAAAACAATCAACAAAGAAGTAGTTATTATATAGTTTTGGATTTTGAAATTCTTGGATTTTGACATCATTCGTTTGTAAGGTCTCATGATGTAAAATGGTTGATGGGGCCACTTAAGTATTGCGGTGTAGATGTCTATGGGGGGAAAATTATGCTCCGAAGAAATTAATTTCCATTTTCGAGCATTTTTTTTATTTTTCAACATTTCAACATATAAAGAATAATATAAATAGGGTACAATAATTTCCAAATTTGATTTATTGTATATTTCATCTCATCTCATCTCTGTATTGGATATTTATTCCTCGTGTCAATCATTTATTAGACTCAATTACTACTACTATTACTCCTCCTTCATTTGTAGAATATCATATATAACTTCAATTATATTTCCCCCAATTCTACTTTCCCTAAAAAATTTTATATTTATTAGACAGACTCATTTCAAAACATTTACAAATTATTTTTCACATATATACATCCATAACAATTATCATTCAATATGAATACTGATTTAAAAATCGCTGTTGACGAAGTCGTCAAGAATTTCCAAGTTGATAAAGAATTCCTTATTAAAGCCACTGATGAATTTGTTGATTCTATGGTTAATGGTTTAAAAACTGATGTTCCTGTTAAGGAATATATGCCAATGATTCCAACTTATGTTACTGGTATTCCAAATGGTAAAGAAACTGGGTTATTCTTAGCTGCTGATTTAGGTGGTACCAATTTCAGAGTTTGTTCTATTCATTTAAAAGGTGATCATACTTTTGATTTAAAACAATCTAAATCTGAAATTCCAAAAGAATTTATGCAAGGTTCTTCTGCTAATGATTTATTTGCTTATTTAGCTTTAAAAGTTAAAGATTTCTTAGATGAACATCATCAAGGTAGTAAATCTAATGAAAAATTAAAATTAGGTTTTACTTTTAGTTTCCCTGTTAATCAAACTGGTTTAAATAGAGGTACTTTAATTAGATGGACTAAAGGTTTTGATTTACCTGATTGTGTTGATAAAGATGTGGTTGAATTATTACAAACCAATTTAGATTTATTAAAAACTAATGTTCATTGTGCTGCTTTAGCCAATGATACTGTTGGTACTTTATTATCTAGAGCTTATTCAAATAATCCTGAAAAATCAAATGCTCATACTGTTATTGGTGCTATTTTTGGTACTGGTACTAATGGGGCTTATTTTGAAACTTTAGAAAATATTCCAAAATTAAAAGGTGTTGTTGAAGGTATTAAAGGTATGGTTGTTAATACTGAATGGGGTTCATTTGATAATACTCTTAAAATTTCTCCAAATACTAAATATGATCAAATTGTTGATAAAGAAACTGCTAATGTTGGTTATCATTTATTTGAAAAGAGAATCTCTGGTATGTTCTTGGGTGAATTATTAAGAGTTGTTCTTATGGATTTATTTGATAGATCATTAGTATTTGAAGAATTATATAAACAAAGAGGTGGATCATTACCTCATAGATTAACTGAACCATGGTTAATTTCTGGTGAAGTTTTATCATATTTGGAAATTGATGATTCAACTGATTTGAAAATGTCTCAATTAGTATTGGAAAATCATTTAAGATTACCAACCACTAAAGAAGAAAGATTAGCCATTCAAGCTGTTACTAGAGCCATTTCTCATAGAGCTGCTTTCCTTTCTGCTATTCCATTAGCTGCCATTGTTAAAAAGGTTAAAGATCAATATAAAGATTGTACTAAAGATTTTGAAGTTGGTTGTGATGGTTCAGTGGTTGAATTCTATCCAGGTTTCCAAGCTAAAATCTTAGAAGCTGTTGCTTTAATTGATCCATTAGAAGGTTCTTCCAAAAAGATTCATATTAGAATCGCTAAAGATGGTAGTGGTGTTGGTGCTGCATTATGTGCTTCTGTTGCTAAATAAGTAACTGTTTGACATGTACAAAAAATTCTATTTTATAAAAACCCAACAATGATATTGGAAAAACTAAACTTCAAGTAAATAAAATTAATATGCATTTTACGATTAATGACACTTTTTTTTATCATATTTTCAAATTAGCTTGACTTTATATATATATATATTACTATTTTTCTTGTTTTGTATTAAAAGAACTGAAAATCCCCCAAAAAAAATCCCCAAATATTACTTTTAGTGTTCTTCTTGCATATTGTCTTATTACAGATATTTGTTTCTTACTTCTTTATACTTTTCTCTTCTCCAAGTTTATATTTTTTACCAAATATACCTATTTTAGTATATCCTTTTTAAGTTTAATCCAATTTAGCTGTAAAATTGTGCCTTAAAATTGCAAATCGTAAAAAAAAAACTACGACATGAAATGCGGCACGGTTGGACATAAACCAATGCGACATTTTTTTCATTCGGTGACACTCCACGAAAAGTTTTTGATCCCAACTTTAATATTACTGATTTAACACATGATGATGAAATTAATTATTGATCAACCTTCAATTGGATTTAAACTCTCAATTGAATTGATATCAGGTTTCGAATAGTTAGAACAGAAGTAATAAGTATCTCATTAATCATGATATTCCCTAAATACCTTCTATCAATTGCATTGCTTTCAAAGGTTGCATTCGCAATCATACCTAATGTACCACCTCCACCAGCAGAAGGATTCGATTCAACCACAAAACATGATGAACCAGGTCCTTTATCATTACCAAACTTGTTAAATATAGATAAAATATCCACGTTGGAATCAAATTGGAAAACGTTTGGTAATATCAAACTTGATACTGGTCGTTTATTAATAGATGCAACTGAAGATGGGTTTGGAAGTATTTGGTCAATTCCATCATTACCTGATACTGCTAAAGAATGGACGGTTGAATTAGTATTCAGATCTACTGGTACTGCTCAAGATCTTCAATTTTTCAATACCAATGGTTTATCATTATTCTTAGTTGATGAAAAGAATACTCTTACCATTAATAAAGAACATAATCAAAATTTTGGTGGTCCATTAAATTATGATGGTTTCCAATTCTTAATAAATAATAAGGATATCAAAGGTTTAAAGATCTTTAATAGTGATAGATCAAAAGCTATAACGAATGAATTAACTGGAACCATTGGTCATTGTTCCTTTAACTTTTTGGATTCTCTGGTTCCATTTACTTTAAGAATATCTTATTCTGCCGTTAAAGCATGGTTTAAAGTTCAAGTCGATAATAACTTATGTTTTAAAACTGATCAAATTCAAATTCCAACTAATATTAATGATTTCAAACTTGGTATAACCGGTAGTTCTCAATCCAATGAAATATTTGAAATTTTGAAATTCAATGTATATGATCATTTAATCGGTGATGCTATTGATGATCATGGATTACTTTCTGATGGACAAGTCGTAGCATATGAAACCGTTACCAAAGGTTCTGATGAAGAAGAAGAAATTGCTACTCCAGGTGTTATCCGTGAATCACTTATGGAAAAGAGCAGAAAATTAGTTGAAGATCAATTGAAAAAAGAAGGACATATATCTTCATCATCAGATTATGATACTATTCTTAATGAAATCTTGATAAACTTACAAAACATTCAAGCTAGAATCTCCACTTTAGATAAAAACGAAGATTATGATATCAAACAATTAGACACATCTCTTGGAAAAGTAACTAATATTCTTGTCCAACAACATGAAGTTCTTGGCAAATTAAGTTCCAGTATAGAAACATTCCAAACCAGTATTACAGAACAATTTTCTCAAATGTTAGGAGCCATCTCAAAATTAAATGAAAAAGTTATTGGAGAAGTTAGAGAACAACATTATGGAATGGAAGAAATTTCTAAAAAAGTCGATTTATTAATGAATAATCATAAAGAACTTACTTATCAATATGAAAAACTGTCAACTGATTCTAGTAATACCACTGCTGAATTATCAAAATATTATCTTGATGCTACTATCAGATGGGTATTGGTTCCACTTTTAATTGTCGCCATTGTACTTATCGTAGTTTTAAATAAACTTAGAAAAGAAGTTAAACATTCAAAGATGCTTTAGGTTAATAAATAAGGAATACAGTATAGATAGCTGATATTAACCGCATGAATATATATATATATTTAAAAAGCATTTATGTACATTATATAATAATAAATCATTTAATCAATCAACATTAATAACATCTCTTTTATTAATGGGGGTTGATCCCTTTTTACTATTGTTAAAGTCTGAAATTTCATTCTCCTTGTCAGAATAAATCTTACGTAATGAAGTATCTGAATCATAAGGATTAGCCTTGTCTTTAGATGGTGTATTAGGACTTGATACACTCGATGATACAACTGTGAATTTCTTCTTATCGGTTAAGACAGTATTTAATTTTCTTTTCACAGGTGATGTCGATCTTCTTAATGTAGTATGACCTGATTTAGATGGAGTAGGTGGAGCGGGGGAACTATTATCATCACTGGAATCGAATGAATCGGAAGATCCATCTTTGGCTTTAATATTGTCACTACTTTGACTATTTGATGGTTGAATCTTCTTTGGTAATGGTTTATTGGTATTAGGAACCGATGATGATGATGATGATTTATTTCTAATGGAGGAGAATATTTGTTGACGATAATCATATAAATCATTAATCAATTCTAATAAATGTCTATCAGTTGCCACACTGGCATAATGTTCATCATCAATCTTTGGTCTATGTAATAAATCACTAAAATCCTTTAATAATTTAGCTTTGAAATTTTCAGCTAATTCCACATGTTTCTTACCAATTATCTTTATAAGATGATCAATATGAAGTAAGATGGTATCCAAAGTTGCTAAATTACAAGTATTAACTTCTTTAAGAACATTGATTAAACCGTTTAATCTACTTTGTAAAGCATCATGACCTGAATTTTGGGCATAAATGGCTCTAATCAATGCAAAACTTTCTTCAGGGATAACTGATTCAGGTAATTCCAAAAGATATAATTTTAAGACATTTGTTACAGCAATTGGTTCAGATGAAACCAATTCAGCTTTAATATTTTCTAATCCAGATACTTTATTTAATTTGAATCTTAAAGCATGTACTGTCTTTAAACTGACTGGTCCTGTCCATAATTCAATAATTTTTCCATCATCAGCTAATATTTTATAGGTCTTATCAAGGTAGGACATAATGGCTTGAATTATAAATGGTAAAACTCTATTATCAATATCTGATCTTGTCAGTAATTTTATACCAAATGTTTCTTCTGGTTTTGAAAAATAATTTTCAAATGTCATAACTTGAGGTCTGAAAGAACCTGTTGAATTAGATTCAATTAAAAAGTTTAAATCTTGTTGAGGTTTAATCGTTTCTTCAAGGATTTCTAAATTCTTAAATGATCTTTCCATTTCATCAATTCTATGAGATATACAATTTAAAAATTCATGAGTTAAATGTTTTATAACACTTGATCTATTAAATTCACTTCTTTGTACATCACTTAAATTTTCAATTACAATTTCTTCATATTGACATCTAACAATATCAAATTTTTGAACTGCTTCTTTATAATCATTTTCCAATCTTCTGACATCCACGGTTAATTTAGGATATTGAGTGATATCAGTTTCATCTATTGTCCCCACCATACCCATTTGTTCAAGGATGGATGCGGCATTTGTGATACGTGTTCCTTCATTAGCGGTGGGAGCTTTTAATTTTGTAATTTCAAACACAATTGGTTTCCATTGATAATAATATTGAGATGAATTAACAAAGTTAGCCCCAATACCTGCTGTTTTTATAAAATCATAATCTAATAAATCTTGACCGAATTTTTCTGCTTTTGAAATATTTTTTTCAATATTTGGTAAATTATCCAATACCCATTGAGTAATGGATATACCGGACAGGACATTATTATAAGTGATATAAAAGTTATTCTTATGAGTACTTAATTCAATGGAAGTTATCATTTTAGTTAATAAGACTTTTAATTCATTAATATCATATTCATCACCAGCAATATAATAAGTTTTATCTTGTTCATCATCACGTAAATTAAGATATTCATTGAATTCAAAGTTTAATTGTTCTTCAGAGAAGTTTTCTCTAAAGATTTCTAAACTTCTGGCTTTAGTAAAGTATTTACTTCTTATTTGTAAAGCATTCTTTTTCAGTTTCTTAAATTCTTCTAATTTTTCAAATATTTTCCGTTTCGAAACATTGATTTTCTCTCTATGTTCATCAGTTGATTTCACCAATGGTTCTAAAACATTATCATTGATCCTTGACGCTATAGACATATGATAAGAACCTTGTTCCTTAAAGTTTTCATTAAAGATTTGAAATGCAGTTTTGGTAGTTGAAATGAATTCATCATTATAAAGACGATTATCCCGTTTTTTAATAGATTCATCGCTAGCATTGAGTTGACTACCATATGAATATTCCAGATCGATTCTAGCTTGAACTAATTGAATGAATGAATCATTCTCTTGAATCCCTCCTTGAAGTTGATCAAACAACTTACGAAACCCCAGTTCATAATCACTAGTCCAAAAACTATCATAAAACGAAGATCTCAGCATGGCAAAAATTAAGAAAGACAGACAAACAAACGTTATTCAACTGTAATGAGTCTTACTATCTGAGTATATATGAGAATATTTTTTAATCAAGTTTGTATAACAAGGATCCAATGAATCAATTATGAATTGAACCTAATTATAGCATCAAATTACGTTTTAAGTTTCTATTTTTTGATTTTGAATCAAAACAAAAATTCTCGTCTGTAACATGCAAAAATAAATGGATATAACCTGTAAATATCGCGTTTTACAGTTTACCCCTGAGATTTCAATATTTACAGATTAGACCTTCATATCCAACATGTAAAAATGGTTAAAATGCAAAAATTATTTTTTTACATGTTAGTTGTAACATATTGCTGGTTTTATCAAAAAAAAAAGTATGGTTTTAAAAATTTGAAATTGGTATTAAAATCCAGCTATCAATCAATCATAATTAAACAATCATCCCCGTACAAAATAATCAAAAGATATAGAAGGTTTGGACCATGGAGACAGAGTATCAGAATGAGGATCCTTCCACCCCTCCTCCTTGTAAAAGGAAAGAGTCCAATTGTGTTAGGAGTCCCCCAAGACGTTTCTCCTTGGATGCGTTAAATACACCAATTAGTATTACCAAGAACACCACCCATCATCATCACAATCATCAACATCATCATCACCAGCCATCATCTCAAATACATAAGAGACATGGTACTAGGAACTCGATGTCGAGTACCAATTCAAGTTCAAGTCTATCGATTTATTTATTAAGTCCTGGATTCACACCACATAAAACTATCAAATCTCCTAAATGGAAGAGGAATTCCCAAGATATGAAAGTAGGTTCATTATTATCATCTACCAACATAACTACGCCAAGTACGATGGCATCAACTTCATCTCCTACCCATTCTTTGATTACAAAATCCCCAATACAAGGCTCGATTCGTAAACTGACGATTGGAAGTGGGAGATCTTCTAGCATACCAATTTTTCCAAGTTTTGAGTTCATTGAACCAGAAGATAATATCAATATACCCGGTGAAATAGATATTTCTGAAACTCCACAAACACCGATAAGGAATATTAAGACTAATCGGGAAGTGAATCAATGGCTTGAGAATGCCAAAGGGGTTGAAGCGGGGAGAATGTTTGCTCATCAGTATGAACAAGAGCCAGAAGAGGAAGATGAAGATCAAGATGATTCAGAAGAGGAAGAAAAAGACGCGATACGACAATACCTTGGACTTACTAAGAGACGTGATTTAGAGAACCCATTTATAGAATCTATTTCTTCATCATCTCCTATACGAAAATTATCCACACCACCATCATCATCATCACAAATATCGAATCCATTTATTCATGATCCCATCGATTATTCAACTCATATAGAACTCATTAAATCAAATGGTCAAAAGGTGGTTAAAGAATTACCTACTAGTTTAAAATCCATCAAACCTAAACGATTGAATTTTAGTAGTTTCAATACCCTCTCACCACCACCTTCATCAATTTCATCATCATCATTATTTACATCTCCATTTAACACAATCAAGAGAAATCAAATTAGTCAAGATATAAGTTCGAAATATATTAATAAGAATCTTAATGGTTTATTCATTAAACCTAAGAATATCCCTGATTTTGAAATATTTAATGATGATAATAATAATTTTAATGACAATGACAATGATAACCACCATGATAATGAATAATCTGAGCTACAACTAGTTTAAATTTATATATAATTTATATATTCAATTAATTAATTTAATAATAATACAATGTTTTTTTTTAATTTAATTTAATTTAATTTAATTTAATTTATTCATATCTAAATTTCTTTAAATTATCCCAACCAATAGCATTTGAATTAGGTAATTTAACAATTTCAATTCGATTTAATAATTCCGGATTATTCTTATCAGCATAAGTAGTTACATAACGGATTGGTTTCTTTATAGATGGGATATCATCTTCATTTAATTGTTGATCTTGTCTTAAATCAGGAGGTAAATGATTAGTAATTTCAGGATGGAAAGAAGGTAAAGTGAATCTTGATAATACATCAAGTTGAGGAGTTTCAGTTGGTAATGGTGGTGGAACCGGTTTTAATAATTCTTTATCTATTTCAAATTGAGATGTTAAAGCTTGTTCTCTTTCTAAAATATCATCAAAATTGGGTGGTTCAATTAATGAAGATGAATCCGAACCTGTTCCAACGAATGGATCATTAAATGTTGATTCTAATTCATTTTGTCTTTTCTTTTCTTCATATTCCTTTTGACGTTGAATTCTTTCATGTTTTAAACTTTCCAAGTTACCATTTAATTCAATAATTAATTGTTGTAAATCTTCTTGTCTCTTTTTTTCATTTTCATGCCATAATTGTTTTTGATTAATTTCATCTTGTCTAGTTTCAAGTTCTAATTTTTCTTGATTTAACGATTTTAATTGTTCAAAATCAGTTAATTTAAATTTATAATAATTTTCCCAAGTTTCTTCACTAATTTCTCTATAACTATTAATTAATAAATTAAATTGTAAATTATTATGTAACATTTCTAAATTAACATAATCTTCAGTATATTTTCTTTGTTTGGATAATACGGATTCAACATATTCTTTATTAAATTTTTCAAATAATAATCCTTTTAAACCTTGATTATATCTTTGTTTATGATTTTTAAAACTAGAAGCTTTATGAGGATGATGAATATTTTTATTATTAATAAGATGAATTTTATTAATTCGATTCATTAAAGCGGCATCTTTATAGTTCCCTGATCCTGGACCTCTATAACTCTTGGTATAATAATATTTAGTATGATGATAATCATTATCACCATTAAAGATCAATTGTTTAACATGATTTGGCATTTTAATATTTTCAGTAAATAAAAAGGAAGAATTTGAAGTAGAATTAATCTTTTTAAGATTAAAAGATGAAGATGAAGCTGATCCAGTACCAGTAGTTGGAGTTCCTAAATTAGATCCAATACCAGCTGCTGCGGCAGCAGCTGCTGCACTAATATATTGTTGATTTGATGTAATATAATAATTTGGAACTTTACATAAATGATTAATATTAAATTCAGGAATATAACCTTGACCTGGTATAGCAGATTCAGTCAAATCAATTGAATTGGGATCAATATTGATATTATGTTTCTTTGATTTCCCAATTGGTTTTCTAAATCTTTTCTTTTCAACTTCATGAGATTTAATATTATTTAATTCTGAATCATCTTGATTTCTATAGATTAATTCACGATCACTAAAGGTTAATTTTGAATTGGGTAAGAATTTATATGGAGATGATAATGATTTATAGTAGTTTAATTTAGTGATTGGATTTAATGAATTGAAGGCAGAATGATTTAATTGAATGGTAGAGCCCACTATACCATATTGAGGAAATGCTTGACTTATAGTTACTTTTTCCAAAGCATTTGAAGAGTTGTGGTGTTTATGATGATGATGATGTTTATTAGAAGTTGGTTGATCTTCCGATAAAGATGGGGTTAACTTTCTCTTTTTAGCCACAATTTTCCCATCTTCATCATCGTCATCGTCGTCATCATCATCTTCATCATCATCATCGTCGTCTTCATCTTCATCATCATCGTCGTCGTCATCGTCGTCTTCATCGTCTTCATCCTCTTCACTCTTATTACGTACCCCACTATCCTTTTTAACGAGTAACTCTTGTTGTTGTTGTTTAACTTGAGATATGATAAAGTCAGGAGGATTTTGATTTATAAACACATCCTTATTATTAATAATGGCATATATGGTAGACAACTTACTATAGAATAAACTGAAATTAACATCTTTAGCGCTGATAAGATTATGAGATAATAGTTCTTGATTTAATTCAGGTTTGGAATTATAAATTAAATCCAGTTTTGATAATTTCGATTGTTTGATTAATTTAATAATCAATTGATAAGATGATGGGAAATTCCACACCAGGGCCAAATCCTTAATCAATACGTAATAGTTATCATCTCCATCATCAAGTTTAAAGATAGGTATACCTAATTTATGAGACTGTATTAAGTCATGTAGTTCCTGTTGAAGATTATTAGTCTGTGGTGGTGGTGGTGGAGGTGTAATATCCAAGACGGTTGAGTTTATAGAATGTGTGGTATCAGCCAGCAAGGGAATGGATGGATGAATTACCTCTATCGATACCATCCTCTTAAGTTTGATTGATTGATTGATTGATTGATTGATGGAAATATGGTTCGTGCTGCCAAACTGAACTGGTTCAAGTTGTTTTCAAGTTGGTTGTAAATATAAGTTTTTGAACATCGCCACACGACCTTCCACTTCCTCCTCCCACTCACCCAAAAGGGGTCGTGTCTTTTAACAAAGAGAACACAAATCACTTTTTCCTCTCAATTTTGATTGATTGATTAAACCAATTAAGCTGAACAATTCGATTCAATCATAGTTAATTACTTTAATCATCTTGTTAAATCAGATCTCACGAAGAAAGATAAGATAGAACGACATAAGGCAAGATGGGTTTATCAATTTCTAAATTATTATCGGGACTTTTTGGTCGTAAAGAAATGAGAATTTTAATGGTTGGTTTAGATGCTGCTGGTAAAACTACTATTTTATATAAATTAAAATTAGGAGAGATTGTTACTACTATTCCAACCATTGGTTTCAATGTTGAAACTGTGGAATATAAGAATATTAGTTTTACAGTATGGGATGTTGGTGGTCAAGATAAAATTAGACCATTATGGAGATATTATTTTCAAAATACTCAAGGGATTATCTTTGTAGTTGATTCTAATGATAGAGATAGAATTAGTGAAGCAAGAGAAGAATTACAACAAATGTTAAATGAAGATGAATTAAGAGATGCATTATTATTAGTATTTGCCAATAAACAAGATTTACCAAATGCTATGAATGCTGCTGAAATCACGGAAAAATTAGGTTTACATTCAATTAGACAAAGACCATGGTATATTCAAGCTACTTGTGCTACTACTGGTGATGGTTTATATGAAGGGTTAGAATGGTTATCCACCAATTTAAAGAAACAATAAGTTTCTTTAACTGGTTTTAAATGATTGATGGTTTTGAATTGAATTGAATTTTATTTCACTTTACGTGATTGTTATTAATATTGATGTATACTATTACTTCAAAAGAAAAGTTATAAAGTGAATGGAATCAATCAATTCAAATCAAATCAATCAAATCAATTTAAAGAACTTCCGTCCTATCCCATGCCCCCCTAAAAAACAAAAACATCTAAGAGATCAATTGTATAACTAAATTTTTTCATCATATTTTTAATTCATCATTATCATTTATTTTATATTATATTATAATAAAATCTTTATTTTTATCTTTTTCCTTTTCCATTCCGTTTTTTTTATTATTCAATCAGTTTTATCATCATCCTTATCATCCATCAATCTACATGTTTCATTTATTTAAGATCAGATCATCCAGTTCAATTCAATTCAATTTTCATTAAATCTCTCTCTATCTCTCTTATTCTTTTTTTTTTTTTATATCAATAGATTCCAATCGGATCTGATCTAAAGTAATGAATGAACTACAAGAGACACAAGATGATAAACTATGGAAGAAAGTAAAAAGAGTATTTATATATATATCTTTTGAATAACTAAATAATTAACTACCAAATTAACTAATTAATCTTTTTCTACCATTTTTATTAACATAATTTAATAAATATTATATTGTTCCATAAATAAATCATTTTAGACTTTACTAAACTTACGGGATGGAATAGGATATTAAAAATATCTCTCCTTTATTCATCCACCCATCCCAATAATTATTATTATTATTAAACTGATAAAAAGTTCCCCCTTTTTTTTTTCAAAAGCTTTGATCTGAAAAATTCGAAGTTGTATTGCGGTATGGATCACTTCCCCATTAGGCAATATTTTCACTATTTTATCAGATTTATATAGTTAGAGTATGTTCTATTAACAGTTAAGTAATAGTAATTAACAGTATACTAACCTTATAGATTATTCAATTGAAGTTGACTAGTGACTCTCGATCTAGAGGTGTTTATTTGCAATTTTTGATTTTGATTTAAGTATTGAATTGGTTGATTTAGCTTTTAGATCAATATGAAAGCTATCTCTCATAGTTAATTTACGAATGCATGTGAGGTTGGTTGATTGATTAACCTTAATTGATTATCGCCCTTAATAGTCAAATAACACCAAATGAAACTTATTACTACTATCACACCCAATTGAATCAATTGTAAAAGTTAGAATTAAGTGGGAATTGACATATATTTATCAAATGGATTTAATCCTTTTAAAGTTACAAACTTTAACCAACGGCTTTTAGACATGTAATGTAAATTATAATTATAATTGGAACTGTTAGTCTACCCCATACTGAAAACTTCTCCACCTATTGATTAATACCCTGTTCTTCTTCTTTACAATTCCATTTAATTTAAAAGGGTAATGATCGGAATTATGTAAAATCGGTTAGTAGACAAACTGGTAGAGAAAGTCCGATAACCCAGTTAGGTGTACACACTAATTGACAATTCTATGCTTATTATTATTAAAGTTATCCTGCTGCTCCTCCTCCTCCTCCTCCTTTAAGTTACATCCTATAGTTACATAGTAATTCTATTAAGGTTCGGTAATTCATCGTTATCATTGTGGCTAAACTACTACTGATAGTAGCAGAAGATAAAATTATCGTTTAACCGAGGCAAGTCTCATACTTTTTTTTTTGGGTGAGAATCCCATCCCCACAATTTGATTCAACTGGAATCTCTATAAATATCAATATCAATATCCAATGATGAATAACTAACCATTCTTCCTTATCCTAAGTTACATTAACAAATACAATCACAATGTCTGAAGGTCAAGATATCTTATATGAAGTTAGAGGTAAAGTTACCATCATCACTTTAAATCTTCCTGATAAATTAAATGCTTTAAATGGAGCTCAATATAATTTATTAGGTAAATTAGTTGAAAGAGCTGATAAAGAAGAAGATACTATTATTACTTTACTTCAAGCTACGGGACGTTATTTCAGTGCTGGTGCCAATGTGGCTGATAAAAATTTATCCAGTGTTGATCCATCAACTCTTTTCAGTCATGAATATTGGTTAGCTAATTTTGTTGCAAGAAATGTTTGGTTAACTGATTTATTTCATAATCATAGAAAAATCTTAGCTGCTGCTGTTAATGGTCCTGTTATTGGATTATCAACTGCTTTATTAGCTTTATGTGATTTAATCTATGTTAAAGATACTACTAAATTCTTTTTATTAGCTCCATTTGCTAATTTAGGTTTAGTAGCTGAAGGGGCTTCATCATCAACTTTATTCCTTAGATTAGGATGGTCAAAATCAGCTGAAGCTTTATTATTAGCTAGACCTATTAAAGGAGAAGAATTAGAAAGAATTGGATTTATTAATAAATCTTATAATGGACAATTTTCAACCACTGAAGAATTTAATCAACATGTTCATGATGAATTAGTATCTCAAGTTGAAAATTTACATGAAGATTCAATCTATCAAAATAAAGAATTATTAAAAGCTCAAAGAGATCAATTGATTACTTCATCCAATTCAAGAGAAGTTACAAGAGGATTATATAAATGGCTTGATGGTATTCCTCAATCAAGATTTGTTCAAATGAGTCAAAAGGAAAGAAAACATAAATTTTAGTATGGTATGTGTGCTTAGACAGTTATTCTTTATAGTTAGATCTATGTTAATGTATATGGAATCATCTTAGCCCCATTGATTGTATTGATGTAGTTGTAACATATATATACTATGTAGTTGATGATAGTTGATGATAGTTCGCGCTATAAAAAATTTGGCAGCACTTCAATTTTCTAAAAATTGACTGCCAGTTCTATAATCAATAGGTTAACCAAACAAGGGTAGGAGCAAGATGAGTTTCAATCTACCTAATCCAAGTCTATTGGGGATACTACTAGTGATATCCACGCATAGTGGTCCTCAATTGATTTTCAAATACCCTGATGATCTATCGTCAAATCAAATAGGAGAAAAGATAAATAGTACATCTATGACTTCCAATAACGATCTTGATAATAGTTCAGATGAAGAATTGGTGGATTTCGATGATTATGAAATCCAATTAGAACAATTGAAACAAGATTCAGATAAATCAAACGAACTCTCATCTCATTCTCATCTCCAAGATCTTCAACATCAAGATAGTCAACCTAATCTTCAACCTGATAATTCAGCTTTATATTATGAAGATCCAAATGTATCAAATTTAGATTCTCAATATAAACTGGGGAATTACCTTTATTATCAATGGGATTATACGGATAATTTGAATTTCCATATGGATAATACCAAAGATATCATTCTGTTTCTTAGTGAATTGGAATTAAAAAGAGATCAAAAATTTAAACTTCAACAACAACAACAACAACCAGTTACTACTTCCAATCCATTGTTATCATCTCCTACATTATCAGGAAAGAAGAAACTCAAACAATTACAAAAGACTCAATCATTAACAAAGACAAATTCAAACGTTCCAAGTATACCGTCCACTACATCCAATTCAATCCCTGGATTATCATCATCAATCACAAATTTACTTCATTCTAATCCAAATGCCCAAACTACATCTACAACTAATACCAACACTGACTTAATCTTTGGTATTGAACCATCTTATTTATGTGAAATGTTGGCTCCTCCTAAAAAAATGTGTAATACTAGATTTGAAACTGCAATTAATAATAAAGTATTCTTAGGATTACCGATTCATAAATATGATAATGGGAATTGGAGATTAAAGAATAATTCAAATTCAAAACGTCATCATAAATCTCATAAGAAGAAACATTCAAAGAAAGATAGTACTAAGGATGAGAAAGATACGGGGGATGGGAAAGTTAAACATATTTCAAGTTTTATAAATAATGATTATGTTAATGAATATAATGTTGACGATAATAATGGTAATGACAATAATAATGAAAATGATGAGGATGAGGATGAACAACCTAAATCAAAACTCAATATGAATATGTTTCACTTGGTATTCATTATGAATCCACCTGTTATAGAACGGAATTATCGTATTGATGAAATGTTTCATTTCGTTATATCGAAATTAACGTTAATCTTAAGATATGAACAACTGAAATCTGATTTCATATCGAATGAAATCAAATCAATCTTAACAATCAAGGAACAACATTCTAAGGACTTCTCTAATAATGAGGGGTTAATGACTTCTTTATTAAATAAATCTTCATTATGTAAAATCATTCAAGATTGTTATTTATCAATATCCCAATCTAAAATCGCTAATTTATTAATCAATAATAAATTAAGATCTTTTCAAATCCCGATAAAGACAGAATTTCATTCATTACCTGAATCATCTGTCCCTTTCATTCCTGGTTCTCATCTCTCATCGATTGTTAATTTATTAAGTAATACCGGTTTGATTAGTATTGGGGAAACTACAAGATATGGAAGTCAATATAATAATAATAATGGTAGTAATATAAATTATAATTCTAACCCTCAACATTTCCAACCCCAACATCAACAACAATTACAACAACAGCGATCAAGAGATGATGAAGAAGAAGGTAATGATCCAAGTGATGATATAATTTACTTTGCCTTGTTATTATTAGATGATCCTGAATCGATTATAAGAGATATTAAAACTGAACTGGAAAGTTCATTAGCTAATTTCATTCGAACTATTAATCCAACTGAATCATTAATTAAATTATCACTTCGAAATAATAATTCATTAGATATAGTACAAATCAAATCATTTGCCTTTCATTTAATCTATTGGAGAAGAGCAAGAGTCATTCAACCATTAAGTACCAGATCAGTCTATATTGTAAGTCCTATGGCACCCATCACGATTAATTTATTCGATGATATAATAAAATTTAAAAAGGCATTTCCTACCTTACCTTCTTTACCTCATTTTTTAAAATTATTAAGTCCCCAATCAAAGAAACCATCACAATTCGCTACCATCATTCCATCTAAAGATCATCGGGATATTTATCTTGAAGCTTTAAGTTGGTTAATACGATATGGATATGTTACTCAATTGCAAACGTTTATTTGGTTAAAGATTTCGAGAAAGATTAAAATTAAAGTTGAAGAAGATTTAGAAAATGAAAATTTAAATCGAAAACGATCAAGTTTATCATCTAATTCGAAATCAAAATCAAAGAATCCTATCGGTGGAACTGATAATACGTCGAAGACTACGGATAAAAATGATAAGAATGATACAACCGATAATAAACTTATTGATAAAGATCGTAAACTCGGGGATGGTGACAATAATAATACCAAATCAGATGAAGATAAAGAAATTGAGAATATCAAACAACGATTACAATCAAATTCCATTGGAGGACCTCGAGTGACATTAGAAGATGAAGATGATACTATCATTCTTGATCCTGGCAGAGCCACGGCTTTAGAAAGAAGATGGATTAATAAAATCGTTTATGAAGAAAGTAAATTATCTCCTGAATTAATCAAAATATTTTATAAATTATTAAAGTATATGAATGGTAAAAGTCCCTTAGAATTATTATTATTAAAGGAAAATATTTCTAGAGGGGATTTACGAAAATTATTATTCGCTATTGAAGATCATATTATATCAGTTAGACATTGGTAAGAATATTATATGTACATTTATAAGACTCTATAGACAAACACTATGTAAATACATTTTCTTGAGTTGCTTCAACTTCATTATTAACATCAATAGCATTGAAAGTAGAAAAATGAATTGGACGATGTAATTCATCATAAAATTTCATAGGAACATCATATTTAACATCATATAAATTATTCGCATTCCAAATTGATCCAATAAAGAAATAATTCCAAATCTCATCTTCAGGAACCATGAATGATCCAACGATTCTATCCGATAAGATCAATTGGGATTTTTTATAAAATGATTTGGAGTATCCTGTAGGTGATGGTGACATATAATCTACATTCGTTTTACCCCATTCATAACCGTCACGAGTTAACTCAAACGCTGATAATGATACTGATCCAGGAGTAAATGAAGCCACAAGAGTAATAAAATTTGATCTGAATTGGGGGTAACAAGGTCTTGGATTGGATACTAATATCAATAGGTGATAAATGTTCCAGATCTTGTGATGATTGAGTATGGATCCATCCTAATAGTTCTAGCTTTTGTAAGCTTTCATTGTTAGGTAATGTATTTGGGAATTGAATAAATGTGGTATTCCCTAATTGAGGTACTAAAACTATCGATTTGATTTCTTTTACTTCATTATTATCCTTTGGAGAAATACCATATATCAAAGCACCAACTTGAATTCTTAAATCTGAAATCTCCACAAATTTCTTTAATAAATTTTGAGGGAAAATATAAGTGAATGTGTCAGCATCATCAACAAAATCCTCAGAGGTAACATAAACATTCTTGGTTCTTAAATGTAAATTACTTGAAGCAATGGCTCTATTTCTCCATTCATTCTTAGATGAAAATGTCAGTTGTTCATAATTGGTAGTTGTAACCGTAACAATTTCTTCACCATGAACATTGGTAGTAGTAGTTTTCAAAGCGGTTAATTGTTTATTATCTTGTTCTTGTGGAGTATTTTCAATTTCATTAATTTCTTGTCTCTTTACCGAAGGTGCTCTAATATCTTGTCCTAAGATTAAATCTCTAATTTCAGATTGAGTCAATGATTGAATATTAACATTATGCTTCTTCGAATAATCATTAAGAATCAAATCTCTTAACTCAGATTCAATATCTATCCATTGATCAGTAGTGAAAGTTGGCCAAATATGATGATCTTGAGTAATTACACTTGAATCAGGTCTTAATATCAAATTAGTTTGTTCTTGATTAATTCCTAATGCTCTTAATAAAAGAATAACTCTGGAAAATGCTGTATAAGCTGATATATCCTTTAACCAATCATCATAAATATTGAATAATACCATTTGTGGTTCATTAGCCTTCAACACTATATCGGCCAATTTATCAACTTTCATAGCTGAAGCAAATGGTAAATGCAATTCAGATGGTCTGATCGAAATATTTGGGAAATCTAACATATGCACTTCAAGTGGATCCAACATACCTTTTCTAGTCAAAATCAATTGCTTAGGCTGTTCTTCTCTTGGTAATGATCTAATTAAAGAAGCAACTTCTTCAGCTGTTTTCCATTTAGCTAATTGACCAAGACGTTTTTGACCTGCCCAAACTGAAGTATGAATAATCTTTAAGAATAATTGACCTGATTTTGGATTCAAGATAAATATAGACCCATTGATTGGTTTAGTAGTTAAATTTCCTTCAAAAGTTTTATGAACTGTAACTCTATAGACATTTGTATCATCAATAAACAATTGAGTTTCATTATTAAATAATTCAGCATAGTTATTAGAATTTAAATATGCTTCTTGAGGTTGTGATTGATATAATTGTAAACCCTTACGTATACGTTCTCTTAAAACATATAAGGCTGGATTTGCTTTCATGATTTCTTTCATTGAATTTTGAATCAATTGTTTTAAACCAGGGAACCAATTACCATAAACATCATACATGTTATAAGCTAAATCAATGGCAATAATAATACCAGTTGGTGATGGATATGAACTTGTATTATCAGAAGTATAGTCCAAATATTTCGATCTTGCATAACGAGAAATATCATGGGAATCATAATCACCATATCTTAATTGAACATCAATCCAAAATTTATTAGAACTGATTTCAAAAGAGTCATTGGTATCATTTAAAAGTGAAGGTCTTGAAACGTTCCATTTATAAGTACTAGTAGCAACAATATCAGCAGTTGATGAATTCATTTTGTAAGACTTACGAGGGTGGATAGCTTGTTTTTCAACTGTATCAATTTGAAGAACTTCTAATTCTTTATCTAAAACTTGACACATATCTTGAACGACACTTTCATGAATTTTTTGCCAAAGATGGGCTCTGAATATTTGAATTAAAGATATCTTCAATGTTGGAATCTTACCATGTAAGAAAATACCAGTTAAATCAAGTTGAACTAAAAATCCAACATAAACATTAGCACGATTAATAGTTGGAGACCACCATAAAGTAAATCTACGATTTGGAATTTGACTCAAACCTGATCTTTGAGCGTTGGTCAATTTTTTAAATTTCAATGAATCTTCGAACCCTGATGCCTTTTCCCAAAACAAACCTTCCCAAGAATCAAATCCAGTACCTTTAAACAACGTATGTTCAAGAATAGTTTCAATACCTCCAAGAGCTTGAATAACATCTGTTCTATACGCATTCAAGTTCCATAATTTACCATCATGGTGATTATTTGTCCACCAGAAAGGATTGAATCTGGCTAAACTAAATTGTTTGAACTGTCTTCTAATTCTATGTCCTTTATCATAAGCTAAAGTATGTCTATCTTTTTGGAACAAAGTACTAATACGAGGAATACCTCTATCCCAATTACTTTCCATATCTTCAAATGTAAGACGTCTATTTTGTTCCATAGCCTCTTGACGCTTTATAGCATATTCAGCCCAAACTCTTTGAGAATCCAAGAATTCATTTTCCCAAGTAGTAATGTATCTGAACAAAGTTGGAATCATTTTTTCATCTTGATGGGTCATACCAGCTCTGAAATGAGTTATACCAGTATCTGTTTGCTTCGACCATCTAAGATCTGAAGCTGGAATCAAAATATGAGATGCACTTAACATACCAAGACCTCCTAATTCTTTAGGAGTATAAAATACAGCCGGAGGGAAACGAGTAGGCATCTTTGAATTAAGTCCCATTTTAACTCTATTTTGAATCTTCGTTTCACATTTAACTAAAGTATCAAGTAACGGTTCCGTAGCTACAATAGCTTCTCTATAATAAGTGAAAAGTGCAATTAAAGCAGTATTCCACTTTGAAGCTACTTTTGTAAATGTTGTTGAACCTGAAGACATTAATATTTGACGGATTCTACTGTTAAAACTATCAATTGCTTCCTGAGATACTTGAAGATAAGCCTTTGCAGTTCTTTGCTTAGTAGTATGATCAACAAGATCCCATACACCTTCTTGCGAAGATAATTCTTCCTTTGAACGACATTTAGGTATAATTCTGACCTCAAATCCACACATAGCAAACAAAAGATTAGGATTATCTCTTGAGTATACTGAAGCAAAAGTATCTTCCCATTCAATGCTTGTAATAGATCTAGGTAAACGACCAGATATTTCCCAATGAACCGCACGTCCTAAATTAACATCATGACGCATTAATCTCATACGTGAATCTTTGGGCCAACAACGACGATTATTGTATCCTACCACATTTTCAAAATTTGGATCTGGATTTTCTGATAAATAATCTTGAATCAAACCATTGGCTTCATCATTATCAAATCTAAAGAAAATATGAATCTTATCCAAGTAACGAGAATATAATCTAATAGGACTCGAAGTTTCAGTTTCCAAATCTTTGAATTGTAAGAAACTGTTTGGTTGTTGGACCGAACCTGCCAATTCGCCAGCTCTATCTAAACCTAATATGAGCAAATCTACAACCAAACCATAGTATTGATAGATAAACGATGAGAATTGCAATCCTCTTAAAAGACCGTACAGATTGACATGATTCATATCTTTATATGTGATGTTAACATTATTCTTCGAAGTTATGTAGTCAGCAATATTTGTATCTACAATTAACCTCAATAATCTGTTTAACAATGTGAAATCAATCTTTTCGGCCATTTTGCTTAAAGAAGTTTCCACCATAACATTACATTCACCATTAGAAGTATCCCAAACTTTATCCAAATTATTAATACCCTGACACCATTTATAGACCAAAAGAGGAGGGATTTCATCATCACTTGGTTTGACCCAATTAGGGAAAAGTTTTCTTTTATCAGCTTCATACCATAAATATTGATCAAGATAAGCATCCGTGATTTTTTCAAGAGGATCCACAGTATAAGTTGGAACTAAATGAGTATAATAATCCATCATTTCTAACCCTATTTCCTTAAAGATTCTTTGAGTCAATAAGAATTTCTTGATTCTAGCTAAACATTCATGAGGATTATCATAAGCTTGTTCAATAAGGGCCAATTCTTCTCTTTGAGCTGAATTTAATCTTGCATCGGCGCTATAACTTTCTTTTAAATTTTCTAATGCTAACACTAAAAGTTTTGTATCATGTTTATATGATAATGGAGGGAATGGGATAGGACTGAATTTTCTACTTTCAAACCATTGAACCATGGTTTGGAAAATCGTCACGGCTTCATCAGCGGAAACATAAGGTCCACTCTTTGAAAAATTAGTTTGACGCTCTTGTTCATTTTTAATCCACAATCTAGTCAAACGACCTAAATTCTTTTTAGCGACAGTTTTTTCAACAGTTGTACCTTTTCTTATTCTATCTCTATTATAATGAGCCACTGAAATCCAATTATCAGCTTTAGCCTGGATATAACGTTCAATGATCTTTTCAATAGGAACCGGTAAGCCAGGAACTTTCCAAGGAATATTTGCTTTCCAACATCTCCAAGCTTCACTTAAATGTTGTAATATAGATCTTGATTTACTTTGTTTTAAACCTTCCGGGATCATATCCAAGATATCATGCATGACTTGAGATCTTAATTCCAAATCATAATAGGAATCAACTCTTTGTTTGGTGATGGTTTTAGCAACGTCATTAGCCCTTCTACCTTCGAATTGTCTTGCTAATAAATTACCCAACCAACGTTCTAATAATGGAACTATACCTCTAAGGAAAAATATCCAAACTCTCCATGCTGGTTGCCAGAATCCAGCACCAGGTCCCTTACCAATTATTTGATTGAATCTTGCATAAACCACATGTTTTAAATCTTTACATTGACGAATTTGATGCATGACCTTATACTTATATCTATAAATACCAGTCAATTGACCTAAATGATTAAGAATATAATAGATACCATCGGCTAACTGGAATGCATCAACATTTCCTAATCTGTATTGTACATGTGAATCAACAAGGATCTTTATACTTCTTAAAATTTCTCTTATTAAATGGAAAGCATGACCGAATCTTGACTTTTTTCTTTCCTTTGTAGTTAATGTTTTTGTTGGTTTTAAATTGAAATTATAATCAAGATGTAAATAAGTTAAACCTTTTCTATGAATTAATAAATTTAACATATTGAAACCTTGTCTACAAACTTGTAAACCTGCTTCAACCCAATCAATAGTTGTCAGTTGAAAATATTTGGTTGATTTCAAACTTTTGAGAAGTTTGATCTTTCGTTGATTATGGGCCCTACTTCCAGTTTTACTACCAGGAGGATTATGCAATTCATTCAAGACATTATTCTTTAATAATTTTTGGTATGAAATACGAGTTTTCACTTTACTATCACGAGGAGCATGTTGTTTATACCAAGATTTGATCAATGATGCATCTTGAGCTCTAATCATCTTACCACTACGACGATTGAAAGGATATGGAGCTCTTAATAAATCCAAGGCATCAGCAGTTCCTTCAGGTTCTAAAGGAAGTAATTCACTAATGGTTTCTTCATCTTCTTCAAATGTCATAAAAGGCTGTATACCATCCAAATCGAAATCTTCCACATCAGATGGGATTTTCTTTTCAACAGTGGTTTTATGCGGGATAATAGGATTGTAATTCAGGTTGAATATAAATTGTGTCTGTTGTGAATCTTCTTTAGATACATGACAATCAAGAGGATCATGATACCATACTAAATGAACTTTTTTCACAAATGAATTATAAAGGAATGGGAACGCAACCTTATATTCAGTCTTTATAGGATTTCTGAATATTATTCTATCAATTGAATTAAATTCTGTAAAATCTTCTAATGCGGGATTATTTAATTTCTCTTTATAAAGAGGTTCGAATTTCGGTCCACCAGGAACTGAAACATTTAAAGATTTTGCGGTGAAAAGGGCATTTTTGTCAAATAAATGAAAATAATTTGGATCTGTGACATCTGGCATTAATGGTTCTGATAATTTATACAAGTTTGACATGGTTGGTAAATCAAGGGACCATTTTCTATAAGAATCTCCATTTACAAAATTTGAATCTTCCACTAACGGTTTTTCATCATATATCCAATCAATTATTGGTGCATCAGTTTTTTCACTTAAATCAAGTCGTATGGCATCAGGAGCATCTGTATCTTCAAGATTTTCTAACCAATCAATAGGAGGTTCTTCATCATCAAAGGGAGGGAATCTCATTCTTTTAAAATGTCTTCTATCTCTCTTCTCTCGTCTCATCATGGTCCAACAACTAGCCCATTGAGCGGTATAAACTGGTTCTATTACTCTTGGAACTTCATTAACAAATGTTATAGCACCACCAGTATGATATAATACTTTAACTTCTTTAGATTGTTCCCACGGTTGAGGCATATTTTCTAATAATTTCAAGATAGCATGAGGCATATATTTCAATGCACCTAAATAGGCTTTCTTATCAGTAGCTACTTTTCTTGATGAAAGATCACCATGATCAATCATGATTTTTCTTAAATGTTCAGGAGGCATTTCTGGTTTCTGAGGTATTACTAATCCTCCTGATGATTTAGACAGTATAATGTTATACTTTGATTTCTGTGATTGTAACCATTTTCTCTTTCTTTGATCTAGTTCGTCCTTACTTATAGATTCTGATGCTCTTCTTTTAGTTCTTGATGATGGAGGTGGAGGTGGAGGTGGAGCATGAGATGATCGAGAAGTTTTATTATTTATACCAGGAGGAGGAGGAGCTAGACGTGAAACTGACGATGGTGGTGGTGGAGGTGGTACACTTGTTCTACCATTTGCATTTGTGGTCACTGTAGATGGAGGAGGGGGTGGTGGTGGTGGACGTCTTCCACCATTTTCTCTTTTCCCATTGGAAGGTGGAGGTGGTGGAGGTACCTTACGATCCATTGTTATAATGTCTATATGTACAATGTAATGATAATGGGTAGAATTCACTATTTGATATATATATTTACAATGCTCATCCTTTGTATAACAATTGAAAAAAATCACGTCGCAGGATGTCGCATTAATGGTTTTGTCGTTAAATGTCTCCAATATCACGACATCTTGCGACAGAACCTTTATCTCCAAGCTCGGTTTTAAAAAAATAGACGTTGTACGATACGATCAGCAGACAGCAGTTTCAAAAATCTGATTTAACATAATTATCATCATAGTTAATCATTCAAACAGTTATCCACAAGTTCAATGTACTAGATGTCAGGCGTAAACATAACTGCTAATCTAACAGAGACAGTCAACCAGGCTCTTGCTGACAATCTTGTTAATGAAGAAGATGATTGGTTTTTGATTCGATTAGTAACTGCTTTTATAGAAGCTATATGGGAACAAAAGAATACGTCAACTAGTAATTATCTGTTCAATAGAGTGGGTGGAATCACGACGTATTGTTGTTCTGTGTATGGTTTATCATGTTTGGTGATGGCTCTTGTGTTGAATCGAACTTTAGTGATGGCTTCAACCAATACTAATCATATTCAACAATTGGCTATTAATCGACATCGGGATATTGTGGGAGTACCAAAACTGGCGGAAGTATTGAAAAAGTTAAGTATTATCAGTTTTAGAATTGGGGTGATTATGCTTTTGATTTATAATGCCTTTAATGTCTTAGTGGCTTTAAATTTATTATCTCATATTGGATTACTGGATGATCCATTACCATGGTTTTATAAGTTATTACTGGATAAATTATTCACTTATAATGTTGATTATTTTGCATCTCATAAGTATATGAGTTCACCCAAGACTCAAGTTATGATTGGACCTACTAGTGATATGTATTGGCCTATATTTTTGAATTTCTGTTTACTGAGTTTTACTGAAACTTTTATTTCCCTGATTCAAGGTAGAAAACCATATACTGAAAGTGGTATAACTATATTTGAACATTCATTAGCCTTTCAAGAATTTAGTTGTAGTGGAGCCTTTTTCTTTGGTAATTCTAAATTTTTAAAGAGACCAACTGAACAAGTATTGCTTGCTACATTATTTCTGATTTTCAGTCATTTAAATATTCATTTGGGTGCTTTATTAAATGATAATAAATATAGATTAATTCCACTGTCAATTATTGGTATTTCATTCTTGAGTTATTTTATTTCAACTTTATTCAATTGGAAAATATTAGGATTCCCCACTATTTTAATTATGACTTTTACTCCTCAAGTATTAATCTTATTTATCATAGCTATAAGTTCTATCATCTTTATTGCAGCTATTATAACCAATGGTTTCAGTTTAGAAGATTTAAACTATGCTAGTTTTTTCATTCATGATGTTAATGATGATGAACCTGATTTTATTGCTCGTAATTTCAATATTAATTTAAGTGATGATTTTTATACTGCTTTATTAAATGTTGGTATGTTAGCTATTACACTGGCAGGTAAATCAAGTTATATAACTGAATTAAGTCTTGTTACTGTTGATGAAGAAACTTGGATTGAAAGAAGTATTTGGGAAAAGGTGAAACAAAATTTTAATAAACATCATCAACTGGGTCAAAATTTAACTTTGAATAGTTTTATTAATGAATCAAATGAAGTTAAATCAGGTTATGCTAAGTTAATAACACTGCCATCACAAAGATTAATCAAAGGAGGTTATGATAATAATAATGATCATGGAGGTAATGATGAATTCAAGTCCAAGAGTGTTTTCAGAAAAAGATATACTTATATTAGTAGAATGGTTAAGGATACTATTCAATTATTATGGGGGATTATAATCAATCGAATTTTATTTGGTATGATTCCGGATGCATTTAAAAAGTATATTTTAAGAAAACCCCTCAAACCAAGAGAATATTCAATTAGAGAATCTGAATTAGAATTTGAAAGAAGAAAATATAGAGTTCCATCATTTTTAAGAGGATTAGTTAAACGAAGAGAAGCAATAGAGAAGAGGAATATTATTAGTATTCTTGATAGTTTCAGTGAAGAGAAATTACAAGAAGAATATGCTGAAATCTTAAAGGGAGATCTTTTACCTGAAATTGATTCATCGTCTGATTATGTGTTACAAGAAGAATATTATAGTGAACTGGAGATAGAGGATAGTGAATCTGAAATTGAATCTATTGGTGGTGGTGGTGGAGAAAGCTCTATCATGAGAAATAGAATAACCGGATATGTTACCACGAATAGTGATAATAATAATAATATTAGTGCTATTCAAGAATTGATAACGGCGGAAGAATTTAATGAAATAATGAATAATCAATCTGATAATATAAATGTCATGCAATATCATATACTGAATCGAAATGAAGGAGTATTAACTCGGTCACAGTATAAGAAGGCATTGGTAAGCACTTCGCGTCATCATCATAATGAATATCAAGATACTATTAGTCATCAACATAATGATCATAATGGTCAACAAGATTCTTTATTAAGTAGTGATGATAGTTTGAAATTATTAGAATTGATACTTGCTAAACGTGCCCATATTAATCCTGAAACGCATTATAATCATCAAGATAATGATGAATTATCATCTAAATTAGATTGTGTGATTTGTCAAACCAATACTCGTGAGATTATAACTTGGCCATGTAAATGTTTTGCTATATGTGAATCATGTCGATTAAGTTTAGTAAGTAAAGGGATTGAAGGATGTGTTTGTTGTCGTAGAGAAGTTGAAGGTGTATCCAAAGTGTTTATACCCTGAATGTAGTTATAGTTTCCTATATATATATAATGTACAAAGCATAAGATCATATTAATATGGTAGCATAATTAGGAGTAGTTATAACCAATTTTGTGGCACAGACACGTCCCCCTTTTTCTCATACGATGAAAAGACAAAAGCAGAAAAAAAAATTGACTGTCAACAAAACCAAAAATTGGCAACACCAACATCAACGAACCATCCATCAACCAACCATCATCACCATCTAATCCAGTATAACCCAGTGATCTGTTTGGTGTGGTAGAAGAAGATAAAGAAGAAGAACAGGAGGTGTTTGAGTTACAATATCTCTTTTTAGGACAATTATATACCCTTTTTTTGACACTTTTAACAACGGTACTTTCGTTTTTACAACAACAACAACAGCAACATCATCATCATGGCATCAGCAGCTGAAATCATATATACAGCCACGACCACTACCACTACGACTACCACCACCACCGCTGTAGTTCCTCCAACTTGGGACTTGGTAACCCAGAAATTGGCTGATAACTTTGTATATTATTTAGATGGTTTAGATAATTTACCAGGAGGTCAAATTATCTTAAGATATATTAAATCATCTTACAAGAATGATCCTGTAAGATCATTATTTGAATTGGCCCTTTTTATATTTGCATTAAATTATTTCCTTTCATCCAAACGAAGAGAAAATAAATCTGAATTTGTTAAATTTAGTAATAAAGAAATCGATGAATTGGTTGATGAATGGGTTCCTGAACCTTTAATTGATGATATTAATCCTTATGAAAAATGGCAATTAGATGCGGTACCAGAAGTTAAAGGTCATAATGGTTCTCATATTAATATTGATGGTAGACAACAAGTTATAAATTTAGCTTCTAATGATTTTTTAAATTTAAATGAAAATTCAACTGTTAAAGAAGTTGCTGCTCAAGTTATTAATACTGATGGAGTTGGTGCTTGTGGTCCTCCTAATTTTTATGGTACTCAAGATGTTCATGTCAGATTAGAAGAAGATTTAGCTCGTTATTTAGATGGAGAACAATCTATTCTTTATGGTCAAGATTTCGTTACTGCTGGATCTGTTATTCCTGCCTTCTTAAAGAGAGGTGATCTTTGTGTGGTTGATAGTGGAGTTAATTTAGCTATTCAAAAGGGTCTTATTCTTAGTCGTTGTGATATTGAATGGTATGATCATAATGATATGATTCATTTAGAACAAATTTTATCCGAAATTAAACCAGTGTTAGATAGACAAAAACCTATAAAGAGAAGATTTATTATAACTGAAGCTTTATTTGCTAATTCAGGTGATTTAGCTAATTTAAAAACAATTGTGGAATTAAAAAATCAATATAAATATCGTTTATTTTTAGATGAATCATTATCTATTGGTACTTTAGGTAAAACTGGTAAAGGTTTAGTTGAACATTGTAATATTCCAAGAGTTGAAGTTTCTATTAGTATTGGTACAATGGCTAATTCATTTGCTTCATCTGGTGGATTCTGTGTTGGTGTTACACCAATGATTCATCATCAAAGAATTCAATCTATTGCTTATGTTTTTAGTGCTTCATTACCACCATATTCTGCTAAAGTTGTATCACAAGCCATTAAAGAAATCAATGATAATCGTAATGCTGAAGGTGAATCAATTATAATTAAATCTTTACATGATAAAACTTCATATGTTCACAAAGGATTATCCAAAATTTTAAAGACTTCAAATTATTTTGAAATTGTATCGGATATTAATTCACCTATAGTTCATTTAAGTTTAAAATCAAAATATAGAGAACAATTAGAATTACCAAAGATATATGGTAATTCTGAATTATTAATCAAAGGTAAACCTGCTAAATATTTAAATCCATTTAATGATTATTATAATTTTGAATCATTCTTATTACAAAAAGTGATTGATTTCATCTTACAAAATTCGAATATTTTAATTACTAGATCGAAAAATTTAGTGGAACATGAAAATTTACCAGTTTTAAATCCTCATTTATTAATTCATATTAATAATGGGGTTAATCAATCTGACTATCAAAAATTATTAGATGTTTTTGATTTAGCCATTAATAAAGTATTAAATCCTATTAATAATGAAAATGATCTTTTTGAATTAACTAATGAAATCTTAAATTATTAGGGAGGAAGTACTCCCACTAACTATTACTATTATTTAAAAACCATAGAAAAAAAAAAAAACAGAAAATTACTCAAATCAATCAAATGGCATTTATTCAATTTTTTATGATTTATATTATTTCCATTAAAGTTACATTTAATAACCGACTTACCCCCTTGTTTAAACTTTAATAGAATCCATAAATATATAATACAGAACACATAATCACACAGATACATATATATATATACAAATTAATATAAAATTAACAATAAGAAACTTAGTTATGTTACTTCTTCAGCATTCTACTTCTTGATTCTCTTAAGATTGATCTGGCTTCATCAAGATCAGGACCATAATAATTCAAATCTTTACATAATTCATGAGCTTCATCCGGTTTATTATTATCAAGCGCAAATCTTGCTAACCATAATTTTGATTTGGAAATTTCATCACTTGACCCCCATTCAAATTCTTGATCTGAACATAATTTCATATATTTAAATGTATCGGATAAATTACCTAATTTTTCATAAATTAACGCTAATCGATAACAAATATGAGGTTCGAAAGTTATAAGTGATTCACCAGTATCTTCATTAGTTAAGGTATCGATATTTAATGCTTTTTCAAATGATTTTATTGCTTCTTCAAATTTATCAATCTTTTCATAACAATTCCCAATCGCTTGCCACATACGTTTATCCAATGGTTGTAAGATTGTTGCTTTTTGATAATAATATAATGCGTATAGATTCATATCTAATACTTCATAAGCTTGACCTAATCCATACCATGCTCTGAAATCCTTAGCATTAATATCAACTGCTCTTCGATATGATTCAATGGCAGCATGACTATTTTTCAATTCAACAAATTCATGTCCCATTAAAGTCCAAGCACTAAGACAATTTTTATTAAGGATTAAAGCCCGTTTATAATACATGATGGATTTTTCATGTTCACCTTTCATAGAATGATAATTGGCGATAATACAACATGTCTCCGGACGGAATTTATCGATTCGAGATGCAAATTGAGCTAAGTATGATAATTTTGATTTCTTTTCCATTACATATAACATATTTGAAAATGTATCAAGATCATCTAATCTCAAGGGATCATCGAAGAGGATTTGATCGAATATGGCCTCTGCTTGATAATAATCTAAATTATGATAATAAATAAGGAATTGTTGAACTTTTAAGAAATTAAATTTAGGGAATATCAGTAATAAATTTGATAAATTTTCAAATAATGTAGTTGATTGTTGATAAAATTCCTGTAAGATGACCACTTCAAAGAATTGAAACATGATATTTGAACTTAATTCTGATGATTTATCTAATTTAACTTTATTTATGAATGTTATAGCTTCATCGAAAGTAGTGAATGATACGATTAATTCTTGCCAACATGACCAATTATATGGAAATAATATTAAGGAATTATAAAGATTGATTTGAGATAATTGATATTTCTTCTTTCGATTATAGATCACTCCATTTAAATAATATAAAAATGGATTCGAACCTTCATTTGAAAGGTATTGATCTGATTCTTGAATGATTTTACTTAATCTTGAATTCAAATTATTTAATAATTCTTTACTTGGATTCATATTAGATGAAGGATCTGAATGATTAGGATTGGAATTGAAATGATAATCAACCGTATCTTTCTGACCTATGAATTCATTATTCTCTCCAAATGATCCTACATTAATCGATCCATCAGTTTCTTCAGTTGATGTTTTATCAACTGATAATAATATAGCATATAATCGAAGAAATAAGGCATTCCCACTCTTACACCCTTTCAATACTCCAGCAGCTCTATCAAACTCTTTACAATTGAAGTAAGACTTGGCCAAGATGAATTTAGTTTGATCCATCATTTCCTGGGGTGTTAATTGTAAAGGAGGATAATTAATGGGTGAATTGATCTCTATCAAACCATTTAACGCTTCTGCACACCATTTGGATGCTTGGAAAAGATTCAAGTCAGATAGTATTTGGAATGATTTGTATAATTCAAGCCTTATCTTATCCACCTCATCTTGTTTGATCGATGTCATTGTTTGTATTGATATGATTGATGATATGATCTAGGGTGCTGCCAAATTTATCAGTGGTGAGTTTAATATTATGGTAAACAAACGCGGGTTATTATTGCGGAAAGGATGTTTGGTGATAATTTTTAAGTAACACAATTTTTTTCAACTCAAATATGATATCAGAAATAGACCAGTAAGGGTATCAACCAAGCATCAAGATAGGTACAGGTGAAGAACAAACAGGGGGAATGTCTAGAGAGGAGAACACAGAGAAGTTGGAAACACTCCATCAATCCTTATTGGATTCGATCAATACTTATAAAACGGCTCAAGATTTACTTTCTACCAATCAACAATTAATAAATCAATCAAATACCAATGAAGAAATCGCCAATCAACTTCAAACTTTAAAGAAACAATTCATATTGGATTCGTTTAATGTCAATAAAGTCATCAAGGATTATAAAGACTGGGATCATCAATATACTCAAGATTTCATCAATTATGAAATATTCAATTATAATAAAGTATTGACAGATAATAATCGACTTCAACAAGAAGTTGATAAATTGACAGGGATATATGAGGAATTATATAATAAGGTGAGTTTACCCGATATAGAGTTTTCCATTCAGACTTTGATTCAATTTAATGATGAAGAAATCTTACGTCAATTACCTCGAGATGAGAATGGTTCATATCCTAAGATTATTCATATAAATCAATTATTCTCATTAGATCCTAAATCTGAATTATCATTTCCTGATTATAAGAAATTTCAAAAGTTGACTGATATAGAATATAGATTAAGAGCTTCCAAACGGTTGAAGTATGAGATTTTATTGTTTATAAAGAATCAAGTTCTGGTTAATAATACGAAATGGAGTAAAAGAGATAATGAATTAAAGACATTTCTTAATCAAAAATTACCCAAAGTGTTTGATGAGGTTAATGTGATTAAAGGTTTAGAAGCTAAAGCATTGAAAGTTAATGGAGGTGTAAGTAATGGAGATGAAGAAGGGAAGAGCCCTAGTGATGATGAAGATGATGAAGATGAGATTATTCAACAAGATTTTGATGAAGATGAAGATGAAGAAGATCATCGTGATGATGATGGTGAACATGAAAATGGATCAAAAGTGGAAGAAGAAGAAGAGGAGGAGGAGGAAGAGGAAGATGTTGATGTGGATATAGAAGGTGGAGATGACTTACCTGAATCAAGACAAGAAACAGTTGAACTTGAAGATACACTTGCTCCATCACAAATATCATCTACCAAACCATCCGATATAGATTCCGATGGTGATGAACTTTTAATCTAAAAAACTTGTACTATTAAACATATATCATATAAATACATACATACAAATACTAATGTTCAGATACTTGTTCAACTCTTGGAGGATTTGCAGCTAAAGCAGCATTAGCAGCATCTGATCCATCACCATGTAAGATATAACTAAACACTTGACTATTTGAATCACCTAAAGCTTTTCTATAATCAATAATTCTATATAATTGATAACCTGCAACCCCACCTAAGAAGAAATTAACACTAGCCAATAACCCATTTCTTGGTTGTATAACAAATCCTGCCCATCTTGTCCATATAGCACCAGTAGCAAATAAAGCTAATTGTTGAGTACCACTTAATTTTTCAACTGGTCTTTGTAAATCATTGAAACCTGCAACCACTAATGACCATTTTAAAACAGGAGCCCAGAAATGAACGGTTCTTGGACCAGTTTCAGAATTTAAAAATCTTGCAAATCTTGAAGTATGTTGAGCAGATGAAGCCATGATGTATGTGATTTGATTGGGTATGGGAGATTGATAGATAGATGAATAAACAGTGTTTATGAATATATTATGGTTATTCTATGATATGATATAATATGATATCTATGAAGAAGTGAAGATAGTATGGATAATTACTAATAAATGGGTTCAATCTATATGATATGTATAAGGTCAAACAAGTCAAGAATTAATTTTGACGTGATAGAAATTTAACATTCCCGAACTCTCCTCCTCCCTCCCTCTGTCCTGTATGTAATTTTTGATGGGTGAATCTCTTCCTCCTCCAAATTTTGATCCATTCTACACGACCTGCTGATATAACCACATATATATACACACAGAGTTAATTTGGTTGCAATTTTATAAACTGTTGAAATCTATATTTGTATATACTTTTTAACTATATATAACTATAACCGATACCTTTTATCCCATTAAATACAACTAACTAACCAGTATAATCAATCATCCTAATCAATCTTCTCTTCCATATCTTCATCATCTTCCTCTTCTTCAACATTAACATCATCTCCCTCCTCCTCCTCCTCCTCCTCCTCATCTGAATCATAAATCTCAGGTAAATCATCTTCATCATCTTCATTTGAAAATAAATCATCTTCATCCTCATATTCTCCATTTCGAAGTTGATTTAATAAATCATAAGTATCATTAACTTCACATTTAATTCCAATTAATGTTTCAACTTCAGCTTTAGTAGTAAATGAACTGAAAAATCGATGATAAAATTGATCTCGTTCAAAATCATCCTTTAATTGATTCACTTTCATTTCAATTTCCTTTTCATAACTTTTAAATATTTGTAATCGTTGTACTAATAATCCTCGACTTAAACCATTTTGAATGGGATCATTTAAAATATATTTCACAAGTTTCTTTAAGGATTCATGATTTAATACATCATCTAATATTTGATATTCATAAGGAAATATCGTTTTAAACACAGTACATCGTTGATATAACCATTGTTTCGAATATTGTTTATAAAAGGTTCGAGTTTGATCAGAATCAAATCGAGCTCCAATACCATTTTCATTAACATTCATAAATGATACAAATCCATATAAAATCTTCTCCATTGACCATGTAGGATTCCAACTTTCAGTATGATAAGCAGTCATAGTCATACATATAGCTCTTCTAGTTTCAAATCTTCCACTATGACTAATCATTTGAAATTCAGGAGCAGCATTAGGATAATCAGTAGGGAATATAATAGCTCCAAGATATAATCCATCTTCATATGTAGTATGTTTTGATCCATGAATTAAAAAATACCAAGTTTGAAAATTACTATCATCAACTCCAATAGTAATCTTTTCCAAGGGATGATCCATAATCTTATGATATTCTGATATTAAAGTTTTCATTTTAGCAGGAGTTATACGATCAATCTTAATAAGATCAGGAGTTACCGTTTTCCATCTATCAAAAGGAATTGATTCAAAGCTAGTTATTCTTGACATTTGGTGTTTTCTTATAAAGTTACTGATTGAATTCATAAAATTGACATAAAGAGTTGAATTCAATTTATATAATTATTATGATGATAAACTTGTTCCTTCTTTATACTTCCTTTATTATGCTTATAGATGTTGGTAATGGTTGAATGTGTAATCCTTTATGCTTATTGTGTGGGTGTCCTTTTTACTGTAAATAACATAATTTTACCGCTGTCTAAATCCATTTTTATTCTGCCTAAAATTAGTGAAGTGCGAAGGCTATTTTTAGACTGCAAAATATTGGAAGACATATTCATACAGTAGACATACAACAATATCACATCCCTTATATTATTATAGACAGTAGGAAACATATTCATACTCTATAAATACATATGTTGTAGTTCTCATAAATTGTTTATAAATCCCATTATTTGAAATTATCCCTATCATTTATCAATTTAGTATCATTATATTAGAATTAAGTCAAGATATACTGGCTGGAACTTTCACCGTCGCTGGCATACAAGAATTTTTAACAATAACAGACGAAAGAGTCTATGGATGATAAAAAGATAGAGGAAGAGCTGAAAAGAAAATGAACAGTAAACGAGGTACTAAAAGAAGTAGAAAGATTAATGGGATTGTTATATCAGAAAAACTTGTAATCCATGAAGAAGGTCCAATCCAACGAGGAGGTAGAAGACTTCGCAATGGTTATGCTGAGTCAAACAGCGGCAAAAGGAGAAGAACTTCCTCAGATACAACACCAAGATCCTATAATTCTACTCCTGATAGACCCACTAGTATATCTAACAATAATATTAGAATGTTACGAACAGAATTGAGGGAAGGTTTTAAAACCCTCCTGGATGACTTCCTGAAAACAGTTCTGAAAGAAGTGAAAACGCTTGTGTCTACTGTGGTAAAAATTCTCAAACAACAAAGTAAAGAACAAAGTAAAGCTCAAAATCGGAGAGACAAGAAATTTACGGACTTTTTGGAAGCTCAATCCAAGTCTCAGGAAAAGTCTTATAGAAGATTGCGTGGTTTTCAGGGAAATAGAGATGGTGATGAATCTGATGAATAAAGTGAATAATTTAGTTACATTTATACTTATTCTTACTCTTATTTATATCAAATCTTTTTTTGCAATAGAAGGTATTAACCATTAATTCAATTACTACTGTAGCTAAAACTGAGAAGATAGAAAAATTGATTGAAGTGGTTACAAGTTCAAGTAAGTCTCGAATAGCAGTGTTAAGCAAATTGATTGATATGAAAATTGAATAAGAAACTTAACATATAGATAAAGAAATATTAGGGTAAAATCAAAGTAGACATGCGAATACAGAATAGTACATTGAATTACGAATTACTGCCAACTTTTCTAGACATTACTGTAAGTTACATATTGATACTCGATGATAAAATGGGTAAGAATTTTCTCATTATTTAAAGCTACTTATTTATCTATTATTTTCAATAATTGGCTATATGTATCATGGGTAATATGTATCAAGTTAAAAATAAGTATTTAAGAGAATTCTTAGAATACATAACCATTACAGAGTTGACAGCTGAAGAAAGAAAAAGCTTGATAAAAGACTTGGAGATGATAATGGAACATTTAAATAATATGATTGCTAAAGATGACTATGACAGGGAGACCAAGAATATCTAATAAGAGAGGTATTTCAAAAATTAGAAAGAATAATGGGATTGAGATTTAACCTCTCTGTTACGTCTGCAATATAGCTATTAAATATAAATTATTTTTATTTAAATTTGTTAATGATAAAATTGTCTAAATATATCCACCTTGTTTACATAAACTATAGAAAATACCATCTTCCTTATTAAGTAAATTTTGTGGAGAATCAAATTCTTTAACCTGTCCTTGATCTAAACTTATGATCTTGTCCGAGTCCATAACTGTGTCCAATCTATGGGCAATTGTGATAATCGTCTTCGATTTGAATTCACTTCTAATAGTTTCTTGAATGATCTTATCAGTTTGAACATCAACAGCAGCAGTAGCTTCATCTAATACTAATACTTGTGAATCACTCATCTTTAATAACACTCTAGCTAATGACATCAATTGTCTTTGTCCGGATGAAAAGTTTAATCCACCTTCATAAACTTTATATTCTAACTTGGATCTATTAACATCAACTTCAACATTGGCATCTTCATTCTTATCTTCTAAACTTAAAATATGTTCTTTTAAGTGAGCTAACTCTAATGCCTTCCAGACTTCTTCGTCTGTATAATAATTAAATGGATCTAAATTCTGTCTAATAGTACCTTCAAGTAATTGAGAGTCTTGTGGAATGATACTTAATCTATGTCTCAAGTCATATAATTGCATATTACTAGTATTAAGTCTATCAATTTCAATATTACCACCGGCGGCTTCAATAATACGGAAAATACTTAATGCTAATGAACTCTTACCAGCTCCAGTTCTACCAACTGCTCCAATATGTTCACCTGGTTTAATATGTAATGAAATATTCTTTAACACTAAATCAAGATTTTCACGATATCTAGTAGAATAATTATGGAAGTAAATTTCTCCTTCTTGGGGCCAATGTAATGGAGGTTTAACAAATTTAGTTAAATCATCATCATCATCTTCACCTCTTTCAACTGGTAAAGTTGTATATTCCAAACATCTCTCTACTGAAATGATATTATTCTCAACTTCAGCAGACATTCTTACTACCGATCTTAATGAATTAGTAACTTGTAAAGCACATGCCATAACGAACCCAGCCATTGAAGAAGTTAATGGAGTCTTTGTAGTCACGGTATAGATGGCTAATAGTGATGCACAAAAAGTTCCTAATGATCCAATTAATCTCAACCTTGAGATCAACCATCTTTGCACAGATCTAAGTAGATAGGCTGAACGTAAATTGAAATCTACATTGGCATTATTTATATAATCAAATCGATTATATTGATCATATGCTCTAATTGTATCTATCCCACTTAAAGTTTCTCCTAAATGTCCAAAAATTGGTGAAGTAGAAATTGAAATTAATCTCTTTAATTCTCTTGATATAGATACGTAATAAAGTTGATAATACCAATAAATACCGGATAAGGAGAATATAACAATGATGAACCATGGCATGATTAATCCAACCGTAAGGAAAGCAATAAGGGTATTCATTACATGACCCATGAAATCTTGTAAGATTCTAGGAACATTATCATCAATTTGATTAATATCATTAGTGAAACGATTCATGATTCTTCCAATTGGAGTACGATCAAAAAATGACATAGGAGCTTTGACTACTCTTAAGGCCATTCTATCATGAATCTTACGAGAAGCATTCAATCCTAACCATAACATCATGACTATCCCTCTTATAATATTAGCAAAACTTGCACCAAATCCAAGAATAGCATAAACAATAATAAATCTCCATACATCTGAATTCGAACCAGCATGACTATTTTGTTCAGTCCAATTCTTTAACCAATAATTACCTCCAATTGTTACAGTAGATGCAAATACTAAAAGTAAAAACCAAATATTAACCCCAATTAATGAACATGCTCTAGCATATTCCAAATAAACTGACCACTTAACTTTACCCTTTTCACTGACTTCTTTAATTTGACTACTTCTTAAAGTACCGACTAATTTCTTCAGAGGTTCATATCTTAAACTTGCGACACTTGCTCTTCTTAATCCTTTGAAAGCGTTAATTTGAGGACTGAAATCATAGATGGATTCGTCTTCTTGATCAAGAATAGCAGCATCGTCATCTTGTTCAGTGGTGGTTGCAATAAGGGTGTTTGTATCAATTACAGAAGGAGACTTCGAAACTTTTTCACCATTACCATATTCATTTACTAATTCGTATAATTTAGGATGATGAGCTAAATTAATATCAGCAAACGAACTAGTTTCAATGAATCTACCTCCAGAGATTAAATTAATATCATCGGCGAATTCTAATGCAGCAATCGAGTTTGTATTTAATATAATGGTTCTAGATGATAAAATTCCCGTTTGTCTACTAAACACTTGAGTCAATAAATTCTTACCCACATGAGAATCAACAGCACTTAAAACGTCATCTAATAAATAAATATCAGCACGAGCATATACAGCTCTAGCTAATGATAATCTTGCCTTTTGACCTCCTGATAATGAAATACCTTTCTCTCCGACTTGCGTATCATCTCCATCGGGTAATACTTTCAAATCAGGTAATAATTGACATGCATCAATCGTCTTTTGATAAAATTCTTCATCATATCTATGACCAAAGATAATATTTTCCTTAAATGATGCATTCATAATCCAGGGTGATTGAGCACAATAGGCGATATTTCCATTGATATTGAGTGAAGGTTCCAGATCTCCATCGCCTTTAACAATCACTAATTGTCCTAATAATCCATAAAGGAATGATGATTTCCCAGTACCTACTCTACCGACAATACATGATAATGAACCTCTCTTTGCTGAATAATTTACATCATGAAGAGCATAATTATAAGATTGAATAGCTGATTCCAGATCATCTTCAAATTTAGGCTTCGACCATAAAAATGAACTATTTTTAATCTTTACGGCATATTCTTCTGTAGATGAAGTAGTACGAGTAATGAATTTATCATCAACTTCAGTACTGATCAAATAATTGGTTATTCTCTCTAATGCCACATGACCTTCAATCATAGATGTTATAAGGGTAGGAAATTCCAATAATGGTCCGGATAAAAGATTTATAATAGCTAATGCTGGAAATACAATATCTGAAGTTAAAGGAGTTGAACTTGTTAAAGCAAATGTAGTGAATGATGTGAAAGAAACTAAGAATGGAATTAAATTCCAAATAAAATTTCCAACTTGATTAACTAATCTAATGGTACCTAAATTTTTTAATTCTTTTTCATTTCTTGATTCACTTAATTTTGAAAGCATAGGTTTTTCCCAAGCGTATAATTTAATTGATTTTATGGATGATAAGATTTCATTAATGATTCTTGATCTATTATCCTTTAATTTCATTTGAGTTTTACTTAAATCTTTCAGATATCTTACTAAGATAGAATTAATGGGTACTAAAAGTACCATGACGAATATTCCTGCCAAAGTTGATTTACCTAATAAGGGCCATAAAGAAATAAGACATAAAATGACATCTAAGGGACCAAGAAATAACGTACTTAAGGATTGAGTGACGGTTTGAAGTCTGGTAAGATCAACTGCAATTAAATTTATAATATCCCCTGATGAAGTTTTTAATTTTGCTTCTGGAGATAATTTTAATGATTTTTGATAAATTAAAGCAGTTAAAGCAGATCTTGAACCTAATCCAACTTGTAAAGCTCTTAAAATATATTCATTTGATAATGATGTTTGGACGATGGTTACACTGAAAATCCCAATGGCAATTAAAATACCTTGTAAAATAGGAGCATCTTTATTATCAAAGAATTTTATAAATAATCTTAATAATTGAGGATTAACAAAATTTAATAATCTACCCATGAATTCAAAAACAATGGCAATAAAGATTTGAAATCCATATGAACCAATCAAACATGAAAGTAATGAACCAGATTTTCGATTATTCCAATGTTTAGCAAGAATTTCAGTATTTGCTACGGTAGATACACCTGCTGGAATCTGAGGTAATTCTGATTCATCAAGATATTGTTTTTTAAACGTACTGACAATGATAGGATTCATCCAGTTTAAAGTGATTCTGTCAATCACATTGTGTTGATCAAGTTGTTTCTCTTGACCATTTTTAATTAATTGAAATGTAAGTTCTTTATTTGGTTTCCAAAATGATTTTGAATATTCTAAATAGAAAATGACGATAGTATTTAGGATTAATATACCTTCTATGATAGAAATAGCACCTCCATATTCAACCAGTTTGATTAATCTCCAACTAGTGAAATTATCTTGAAAGAATAATACAATTTCAATGATAAGGAAATTAGGCCAAAATAATAATAAATAATCAAATGGAATGACTCGATAACTGGTTTCAATGAAATGCAATGGTAATATTACTAAAAGTAAATTAATTGTGATTAAACTAAATGATAGTATCTTGGTATCTGCTAATCTTTCATGAATATTATTGAAAGTAGTAATATAAAGAAATAAAAGTCCATGAAATAGTACCAATGATACTCTAACGTAATGGTTTAATCCAGTAAGTTTTGATGAATAAGTCCCATACTTAGGAGACTCCTTGATAGTAGTAATTAATGTAACAGATCCTAATATGATAGCAATAATACTAAATGACGCGAACACAAAGGTTAGAAAGCATGGATTGAACGCGTTATCATTGTTTGGAGCTAATGGATGTAATAAAGCTCGAGCCCCACATGCAAGTTGAGGATAATTAGGGAAATTGCTCATTGCTAGTATGATCCAGCAAGATTAGAAAGAAGGAATGGAATGGAATGGAATGAAACAAATGAAAGTAAGTATTTTTAATTGATAAAAATGATAGTCTAATTTTAGACCTTTTTAAGATGAGTTGAAAAGTTGATTGGTGATGTACACATAAACCAACCACTTACTGACTAACTAAAGTAAGTAAAATCAATACGGCCAAACTAGTTTGAAAGAACTAGGATAAGTGAAAAAATTTTCATAGTTAAATCATTTTAAATTAACCATTTTGAACTATTGTTCGAACTGTGGTATCTATTAGGCTTTGGTGATACTTCTCTGGTTTTGTGGTATGATGTGGACTTACGTCCGTTTTAGGAAATTGTACCTATCTCGGGTCAACCCACGAAAATGGAAATAGAAAGATTGCAAAAAAAATATTATAACTAATTAAGTGATACACAATTTGAATTATTCTAACTAGTCAATCCTAAGTTAGGTTGTATTATGGACATGTAGAGTTGATACTGATATTGAGAGAAGACAGAAGTATGTGCGATAATGTCCAACCAATTACAGATATTGCAGTAGTGTACATATTGGTACTTCAGCGTGAACACTATTTATTTATATAAAGCTATCCAGTTTTTCAATATAAAATGATTCTACTATCACTAAGAGCAAATAATAGAAATAGTTATACTAAATAATCTTCGTCGTATACTCTTTCAAGTCTATTTATCCTATCTTTTGACAATTTTATAAGCATCAATAGAAAGAGAAAACCTGATACTAGATACGAATAAACCTTCATTAAAAATACTATATTTATATCTCAGATAGTCAACGCAAGATATAATCAAAAATATTCTAATAGTTATATTAATCAATACATTTGCCGCTATGAAAAATCAAGAACAAATAGCAGTCGGTGAAGAAAAGATAGTAGAAATAAGCCGTCAAGTCCAAGAAACATCTTGCAGTTCCAAAGCCATTTAAGTGGATCAAGAACAAAAAAGACTAGATCCCTCTCTTCAAAAGAGTCATCTAGTCAATCTTCTAGTATTGCTGAAAATAAACTGATTAGTCAAGGTAATGGAAAAGAGTTAATCAAAGTTACTCCTTTGACGGTGCCAGCCAGATCATCATCTAGTACTGATATAACTCATGTGAGTGGTCAAGATAACAAGTTGGCAAAGGTTATAAATGTCGAAGTTATCGATAAAACAGATTTAGTTGTTTCAAAATTAGACAAAAAATTAGATAGGTTAGCTGATATAGTTGCAGAGCAGCTGAGAAATATGGCGGACTTGACAGTTTTAGTTGTCGGTTTGAATGGTAAAATTGACGATCAGCTGAACAAATTAGATCTATTGATTGAGAATTTGCATTAGTTTATAAAGAGAAAAACAATGAAAGTTGATCAATTTGGTTAATTCGATTGGAACTCTCTTCGGATAAAAGTAGAAATTGATTTTTGGCTTTATGTCAAGGAATATGAAAAATAGTTTTAATATATTTTTCCCATCTATTACGTAAATAGTAACTTATTATAGCTTTAGGATTAAAATATAAGTTACCCAAATAAAGTAGAGTAAAATGTACCAGGGGATTTCAGATTTAATACCTAGTAAAACAGAGAAAGGGATATATGACAAGTAGGAAATGTATATTATAGTGAGAATAAGGATTAATATACTGATATAAGCATAATGGTCTGCTCTAACATAATCATATTTATTTAAATTTGTTAATAATAAAGTGTCTAAATATATCCACCTTGTTTACATAAACTATAAAAAATACCATCTTCCTTATTAAGTAAATTTTGTGGAGAATCAAATTCTTTAAGTTGTCCTTGATCTAAACTAATAATTTTATCACTATCCATAACTGTGTCCAATCTATGGGCAATTGTGATAATCGTCTTCGATTTGAATTCACTTCGAATGGTCTCTTGAATGATCTTATCGGTTTGAACATCAACAGCGGCAGTAGCTTCATCTAATACTAAGACTTGGGAATCACTCATCTTTAATAACACTCTGGCTAATGACATCAATTGTCTCTGTCCCGATGAAAAGTTTGATCCACCTTCATAAACTTTATATTCTAACTTGGATCTATTAACATCAACTTCAACATTGGCATCTTCATTCTTATCTTCTAAACTTAAAATATGTTCTTTTAAGTGAGCTAATTCTAATGCTTTCCAGACTTCTTCATCAGTATAATAATTAAACGGATCTAAATTCTGTCTAATAGTACCTTCAAGTAATTGAGAGTCTTGTGGAATGATACTTAATCTATTTCTCAAGTCATATAATTGCATATTACTAGTATTAAGTCTATCAATTTCAATATTACCACCGGCGGCTTCAATAATACGGAAAATACTTAATGCTAATGAACTCTTACCAGCCCCTGTTCTACCGACTGCTCCAATATGTTCACCTGGCTTGATATGTAATGAAATATCTCTCAATACTAAATCAAGATTTTCACGGTATCTAGTAGAATAATTATGGAAGTAAATTTCTCCTTCTTGGGGCCAATGTAATGGAGGTTTAACAAACTTGGATAAATCAGCATCATCTTCTTCACCTCTTTCAACTGGTAAAGTTGTATATTCCAAACATCTTTCAACGGAAACCACATTAGTTTCCACCTCAGCTGACATTCTAACCACCATTCTTAAAGAATTAGTAACTTGTAAAGCATAAGCCATAACGAACCCAGCCATGGAAGAAGTTAATGGAGCCTTTGTAGTAACAGTATAGATAGCTAATAAAGATGCACATAATGAACCAACAGACCCAATCACTTGTAATCTGGACATCAACCATCTATGAATTGATCTCAAAAGATAAGCTGAACGTAAATTGAAATCAACATTAGCATTATTAATATGATCAAAACGATTATATTGCTTATAAGCCCTGATAGTATCAATACCATTTAAGGTTTCACCTAAATGACCATAAATTGGAGATCTTGAAATAGAAATTAATCTCTTTAACTCACGAGATAATGATACGTAAAAAGTTTGGAAATACCAATAAATAATGGATAATGAGAAAATGACAAAAATAAAAAGTGGCATAATATATCCCACCACTGCAAATGTAATAATGGTATTAATTAATTGAACCACAAATCCTTGTAATGAACCAGGAATAGAGTCATCAATCAGATTAATATCATTAGTGAAACGATTCATAATTCTTCCCACTGGGGTTCTATCAAAGAATGACATTGGAGCTCTTAATACTCTTGCTGCCATTTTATCATGAATCTTACGAGAAGCATTCAATCCTAACCAAAGCATCATAACCATACTACGAATGATATTGGCTATACTTGCACCAAATCCAAGAATAGCATATACAGTAATGAATTTCCAAACATTAGAATTCGAACCAGCATGACTATTTTGTTCAGTCCAATCCTTTAACCAATAATTACCTCCAATTGAAACACAAGATGCGAAGATTAATAACATAAACCAAATACTAACCCCGAATAACGAACAAGCTTTAGCATATTCAATATAAACAGCCCATTTAACTTTACCCTTTGCACTAGTTTCTTTAACTTGACCACTTCTAAGATCACCTACTAATTTTTTCAGAGGATCATATTTTAAACTTGCTAAACTTGCTCTCCTTAAGGATTTATAAGTGTTAGTTACTTCAGGAGTTAATTCTTCAATAATATCAACCACGGATTCAGATACATTAAATTTATCATTTGGGATTTCAGCCACGACTTCTTTTGTGGTTGAAATGGTAATGTCTTCCTTAATTGATGGTGTAGTTGAATTATCTGAGCTTTTACCAAATTCTTTAATTAATTCAAATAATTTTGGATGATGAGCTAAATTAATATCATCATATGTACTTTCTTCAATGATTTCACCTTTAGCAATTAAAGTTATTTTATCAGAATAATTCAAAGCAGAAATGGAATTAGTACTTAAAATAATTGTTTTAGTAGCTAATAATCCAGTGGTTCTACTAAAGACTTTAGTCAATAAATTCTTACCCACATGAGAATCAACAGCACTTAAAACGTCATCTAATAAATAAATATCAGCACGAGCATATACAGCTCTAGCTAATGATAATCTTGCCTTTTGACCTCCTGATAATGAAATACCCTTTTCACCAACTTGTGTATCGTCTCCATCGGGTAATATTTTCAAATCAGGTAATAATTGACATGCATCAATCGTCTTTTGATAAAATTCTTCATCATATCTATGACCAAAGATAATATTTTCCTTAAATGATGCATTCATAATCCAGGGTGATTGAGCACAATAGGCGATATTCCCATTGATGTTAACTAAAGGTTCCAGATCTCCATCACCTTTAACAATCACTAATTGTCCTAATAATCCATAAAGAAATGATGATTTCCCGGCACCGACTCTACCCACAATACAAGATAATGAACCTTGATTTATGGAGTAATTAATGTTTTTAAGGGAATAATTATAAGATTCAATTGAAGCTTCTTGATCATCTGAATATTTTGGTTTTGACCATAAGAATGAACAATTATTAATACTAATGGCAACGTCATTTTTAGCGGTATCAGTATTAGAAGTGGCTGATGATGGGGATAAATTATGAGTAATATAAGTATCATCAACTTCTGTATTAGTTAAATAAGTTGAAACTCTTCCAATAGCAATCAAAGCTTCAACTAAAGCCGTTATAATCATGGGTAATTCCAATAATGGATTCGATAAAAGATTAATTAAAGCCAATGCTGGAAACACAATATCGGAAGTCAAGGGGATATTACTAGTTAAAGCAAATGTAGCGAAAGAAGTAAAAGAAACTAAGAATGGAATTAAATTCCAAATAAAATTGGCACCTTGATTGACTAATCTTATAACCGCTAAATTCTTTAATTCTTTATTATTTCTTGAATCTCTTAATTTTGAAAGCATAGGTTTTTCCCAAGCGTATAATTTAATTGATTTTATCGATGTTAAGATTTCATTAACTATTCTTGATCTTGCATCTTTTAATTTCATTTGTTTTTTATTTAATACTCTGTAACGTTTAACAATAATAGTATTCAATGGAACTAATAAAAACATAACTGCAATACCTGATAAAGTAGCTTTACCTAATAAAGGCCATAAAGATAAAATACATAATATAATATCTAAGGGAGCCAATACTAAAATACTTAAATTTTGAGTTACATTTTGAATTCTATTAACATCAACCGACATTAAATTGATGATATCACCTGAAGAAGTTTTCATTTTTGATTCAGCAGAAAGTTTTAATGATTTTTGATAAATTAATGAAGTTAATGAAGATCTACAACCTAAACCAAGCACTAAAGCTCTTAAAAGATATTCATTTGATAATGAAGTTTGTAAAGCAGTTACGAAGAACATTGATAAAGAAATTAAAATCCCTTGTAACATTGGAGCTTGTTTTTGATCAAAGAATTGAATGAATAATCTTAATAATTGAGGACTAACGAAATTTAATATTCTTCCCATGAATTCATAAAATAATGATACTAAACATTGAATACCAAATGCTTTTGCTATACAAATCAATAATCCATTAGGATTATTTGTATCTTTGGTGACATCCCAATATTGAGAAAGAAGTTGAGTATTAGCCACGGTTGATACATCAGCTGGAATATCAGGTAATTCTGATTCATCAAGATATTGTTTTTCATAAGTACTTAAGATTAAAGGATTCATCCATGTGAAAGTGATTTTTTCAATAATATTATGTTGTTCTAATAACTTTGATTGATTATTTTTAACATATTGGAAAGTTAAATCTTTATTTGGTTTCCAATATTGTTTTGAATTTTCTAAACAGAATATAGATACCGTATTTAAAAGTAAACCAATTTCAATAATGAATAAAGTTGAATTATTATCGGATAAATTGATTAATGGCCAATCAGTGAAATTATCTTGAAATAATAATACTAATTGTAATACTCCAAAAATAGGCCAAAATAATAATAAGAAATCATATGGAATAGGTCTATAACTAGTTTCAATTAAATGTAACGGTAATACCACCACAAATAAAGTAAGACTTAATAAACTTAACGCTAAAAACTTTGCATTTGATACTGATGATGAAGAAGATTCAGCATTGATAAAATTAGCAGCCGCTAAATAACCAAAGATAACAGTCAGGAATAATACTGAATTAACTCTAATATAATGAGTTAAACCAGTATTTTTAGGATGGAAAGTACCATAACGAACATTATGAGTGAAAGTATTGATTAACGTAGTTAATCCAATTAAGATACTGATGATTGAAAAAGCCATAAAGATCCAAGTTAAAAAACATGGATTAAAGGCATTATCATAATTTGGAGCCAATGGGTGTAAAATAGCTGAGAATCCACATACGGGATTGGATGAAGAATCGGTAAACATGATTGATTGAAACTGAAACTAGATTGGGGTGAGATCTGGGTTTGAAAAAACGGTATTAAATGAATGAATTAAGGAATGATCAGACCATATTTTTGGCAGTAGTAGTAGTAGTGTTAGTAATACTTTGAGTGCCAATTTTCATTTATCTAGACTTTTGATAAGAGATTGGTAGGATGAGGAGGGGGGGAGGGGGGAGGATCGCACTGATTGATTAATTGAATGATCTATCTATCGATTGATGGATGGATGGATGGATGGGTAACTATAAAGAAAGAGGATGAATCTTTCGATAAAGGTTTAAATAAATGACGGTCAGATGAGATAACGTTTTATAAAATGGAAATTGGCTGCTTTTTATTTCATTTTGATTTTTATCAGAGGAGGGGGGAGGAAGACAAGTAGTCGTACACTTACTAAAAATAAACTATGTAAAATATTTCATGTCATAAATTATGGTACAGTATATCTAAATTAGATAGAATAGGGGAGGGGGGGGTGGACAGATGCCGGGATTGGGCAATATGCCGTAAGACAATCGATTGAATAGGGCATAATTCCACTATATAAATAACGATAAACTTTGAGTTAGTACTGGGGCTGAGGAAATTTGTCACCTCAAGAGAGCCGTATCATCAATTGGGAAGATAAGACCAATTTAATTATTTAAAATTTTGCATGACCAGATTCTCTATCTCTGAAAACCCTTAATTTGGATGGTATCTAGTTCGGTTATATATGTATTATTGATGTCGATTTGACATTCCCAAGATTCAAAATTTAGAGGTGTTCAAGTTTTCATTACATCATATTCTTTATTAGGGAGTATGGTGTGGAGCTACCATATGGAGTTTGTTAAGTGATAGAATATTGAAGTAAGAAGTTGGACAGGATGTTAAATATTGATATAGTGAGCTTCTTATTAATATGGTAACCATATTCCATATTCAACATATTTAATTATTTAAGTAAGTGAAAACATAGATAATAATAATTATACTATAATTACATAGTAAAAACTCTTGTGATAGTAAATGAAAGAAATAACTGGATGCGTGGATGTTTTCATTAGTTTTTTTAGTATCGTGATCGAAAATCATGTGATAACTCGATCCTGTATATAAGTATTGTTTTATATGCAGTATGTTATACTTTTTTTATGTGTTGGATGCAAAAACAAATAAGAATGAAAAATTTGAAGAAAAAAAAAAAACGGTTCACTATACCAAAACAACCTTATTAAATATTGGTGTTTTTGTGATTGTTTATTTGTTTATGATTATTATGAATTGTTTATGTTCCATTTCATGATATTTTTGCATATGCGACTCAAAAGTGAATGATGAAAAATTTTACATGTCAGTTTATATAATAGTAATGATCATTAGATGTAGTTATAAGAGATTATAGAAATGAAGTGGAATGGATGGATGGAATTAACAACTACAATTAATGATCAAGTGGAGTAGTAGTATGAATAACCAGGTTAATCAATCATCGTCATGTATAAATGGTACTATTAAAACTTTTCATGAACTAAGAAATAATAATAATAAATAGTTACATAATAAAGAAAAAGCGAAATCCGGTACCGAGCCAGATCAGCCAATTAAAACGCGTATAAAGAGCCTGGAAATATTTCGGAGTTCAAATTTAAAACCTGGAGAATTGTAATGTGCAGGATCATACTAATAATGGTTTTGATTTTTATGCTGTCAAACAAATCAATCCTCCTCTCTCCCGAGGGTAACCCATAAACTATAACAAGAGAGGATACTATAACCAATCAATTGAATCAATCAATTGATTGATTGATTGAATGGATGGATAGTATCTACATCCTACTATGTAATACTCCTACTAAACCAACATATCAAACCAATAACACTCTGTTTAATTCAAACCCTCTATAAATGATCTCATCTTCCATAGTTAACTTCTATTATAAATTTCTTCTTTATAATTGGTTGGATCCTTATATGCACACCATAGTTAACCCTCAGTAAAAATTGATAGCGGACAATTTTAATTTAATTTCCCCCATCCATCCATCACCAATCCCAACGAAACGAAATCAATTTAAGGAGACAACTTTGCTGACTTTTTTTTAAAAATTTCTTCAAATTCTTCTTGCTAAATTTTTTTTTTAATTTGATTTGATTTGATTTGATCTGTTTTCAATTATCAATTCAATCATTAGATTCTCGAATATGTTATCTGCATCATCAAGATCTACTGTTGCAAGAATCCCACGTTCAATTCGTGGTTTAGCAACTGCTGCTTTAACCAAAGATTCTCAAGTTAATCAAAATTTATTAGAAACTCATTCTTTTATCAATTATAAAAAACATCTTGAAAATGTCGGCATTGTTAAATCAAGATTAAATAGACCTTTAACTTATGCTGAAAAATTATTATATGGTCATTTAGATGATCCTCATGGTCAAGATATTGAAAGAGGGGTTTCTTATTTAAAATTAAGACCTGATAGAGTTGCTTGTCAAGATGCTACTGCTCAAATGGCTATTTTACAATTCATGTCTGCTGGTATTCCAGAAGTTCAAACTCCTTCTACTGTTCATTGTGATCATTTAATTCAAGCTCAAATTGGTGGTAAAAAAGATTTAGCAAGAGCAATTGATTTAAATAAAGAAGTTTATGATTTCTTAGCTTCTGCTTGTGCTAAATATAATTTAGGTTTCTGGAAACCAGGTTCAGGTATTATTCATCAAATTGTTTTGGAAAATTATGCTTTCCCAGGGGCTCTTTTAATTGGTACTGATTCTCATACTCCAAATGCTGGTGGTTTAGGTCAATTAGCCATTGGAGTTGGTGGTGCTGATGCTGTTGATGTTATGGCTGGTTTACCATGGGAATTAAAAGCTCCAAAAATCATTGGGGTTAAATTAACCGGTAAAATGTCAGGTTGGACTTCTCCAAAAGATATTATTTTGAAATTAGCTGGTATTACTACTGTTAAAGGTGGTACTGGTGCCATTGTAGAATATTTCGGTCCAGGGGTTGAAACTTTCTCTTGTACTGGTATGGGTACTATTTGTAATATGGGTGCTGAAATTGGTGCTACTACTTCTGTTTTCCCATTCAATAATTCTATGGTTGATTATTTAAATGCTACTGGTAGATCTCAAATTGGTGCTTTTGCTAATGTTTATAAACAAGATTTCTTATCTGCTGATGAAGGTGCTGAATATGATCAAGTTATTGAAATTGATTTAAATACTTTAGAACCTCATATTAATGGTCCTTTCACTCCAGATTTAGCTACTCCAGTTTCTAAAATGAAAGAAACTGCCATTGCTAATGGTTGGCCATTAGAAGTTAAAGTTGGTTTAATTGGTTCATGTACCAACTCTTCTTATGAAGATATGACTAGAGCTGCTTCTATTATTAAAGATGCTGGTGAACATGGTTTAAAAGCTAAATCAATTTATACTGTTTCTCCAGGTTCTGAACAAGTTAGAGCTACTATTGAAAGAGATGGTCAATTAAAGACTTTTGAAGATTTCGGTGGTATTGTTATGGCTAATGCTTGTGGTCCATGTATTGGTCAATGGGATAGACAAGATATTAAAAAAGGTGATAAAAACACTATTGTCTCTTCTTTCAATAGAAATTTCACTTCCAGAAATGATGGTAATCCAGCTACTCATGCTTTTGTTGCTTCTCCAGAAATGACCACTGCTTATGCTATTGCTGGTACTTTAGCCTTTAACCCTCTTACTGATACTTTAAAAGATGTTAATGGTAAAGAATTCAAATTAAAAGAACCAGTAGGTGTTGGTTTACCACCAAATGGTTATGATGCCGGTGAAAACACTTATCAAGCTCCACCAGAAGAAAAAGCTTCTGTTGAAGTTGTTATTGCTCCAACTTCTGATAGATTACAAAAATTAACTCCATTTAAACCTTGGAATGGTAAAGATGCTGAAAGATTACCAATTTTAATTAAAGCTTTAGGTAAAACCACTACTGATCATATTTCAATGGCTGGTCCTTGGTTAAAATACCGTGGTCATTTAGAAAATATTTCTAATAATTATATGATTGGTGCTATTAATATTGAAAATGGTGAAGCCAATAATGTTAGAAATCATTATACTGGTAAATATGATGGTGTTCCACAAACTGCTGCTGCTTACAGAGATTCTGGTAAAACTTGGGTTGTTATTGGTGATGAAAATTTCGGTGAAGGTTCATCAAGAGAACATGCTGCTTTAGAACCAAGATTCTTAGGTGGTTTTGCTATTATTACTAAATCTTTTGCTCGTATTCATGAAACTAATTTAAAGAAACAAGGTTTATTACCATTAAATTTCGTTAATGTTGCTGATTATGATAAAATTAATTTCGATGATGAAGTTGATTTATTAGGTTTAACTACTTTAGCTCCAGGTAAAAACATTACTTTAAGAGTTCATCCAAAGAATGGTGAAGCTTGGGAAACTGAATTATCTCATACTTATAACATTGAACAAATTGAATGGTTCAAATATGGTTCCGCTTTAAACAAGATGGCTGCCGTTGCTGCTGAAAGTAAGTAAGTTACTTAATCCCTTCCTAACACATTAAAATCATAAGTCATTCATTCCCCCATCCTCATAAAGTATTAATGTAATTTGAATATTTTTCATTAATGTTTTTGATTAACATTTTTTTTAAATAGCTTATTTATCATTACTTTTATTTAATTTATTATTAAATTTATTATATTATTATTATTATTATCAATTTATTCCTGTTTTTAAAAATTTCGATGCATTTGTTCATCACTCGTTACATTGCATCTTAAATATATATATATATTCATATTATTAAAACAAATACCAGACATCGCTAAAGTTTGTATGTCATTAAATTTTCGAATAAAGTGCAAAAAAAATTAGAAAAGAAGCCCGACGCGGGACTCGAACCCGCAGCCTTTTGATGCCCCTTAAGTATTGATGTAAGGATCATTCTTAAAAGTCAAACGCTCTAGCCATTGAGCTAGCCAGGCCAATTTCTGAAGAAAAAAATGCTTATGTCTGTGGTAATGTGTACGTGTCAGGTGATATTTAGCACGTTTGAAAATTTTAATTCTTAATTTTAACCATATTAAACATGGTTAATTCAGATATAATTTGGTTTTGGATGATCATAAAGACTCTGAATATAGTACAAACTCTTTAAAGTTAGGATTTCAATCATTTTTAAAAGTTGGATTTGGGGTATTTTACAAATTGGTTGCAAAATTTATTGAAAAGTTTATATTACCTAAAATATAGTAGATCTAATATCATTTTATTTAAATTAGGATTTAGAGTCAATTTGATATCTTTGATACATGATATATATGAGTAGACCATTATCTAACACTAAGAACGTAAAAAATTCTACTATAAATATTGGTGTCTGATAAGGGTTAAATCGTATCTCTCTGGGGTAAAAAAATGAGACAAATCAAAACGATCCCCTTTTTAATCTCAATTAATTTATTAACTTTAACACATTCTTTCTTTTACTAAGTAATTGAAGTAGCATTGTATTAACTCTTTGTTCAGTTTAATTGTTGTTTATTCGATAAGGAATTTTCTTACTTGGTAAGTGTCCCGAATCCGGATTGGATTCTCTAACTCATTTTATTAATATCTAGGATATGTATACTAATTAATCAAACTGAAAACATTAGAAGATCAGATACCGAACCGATGGAAACTATCTTTGATTAAATAAGAGGATTTGATTTTATACTACAAAATAGCAGGTATTTATTTTTACTAATTAACCACATGTCTATTTAGAGATCATTTAATAACTTCTGATATAGGAGGGCATTTTGTATATATGTGAGTCCTATTTTATGGCATACAAAGCAGATGTAATTTGATATCTCAATGTGATTATTAATTACTTTTATAGTAATATATTTTAATTATATCTAAATTCGAAATACTGTAGAATAATCAATACTTCTACAACTTATTGTTTAAATATAACATATAATTTTATTGAACTTTTAATAAACTAAACATGTAAATAAAGACAAACCAAAACTTTTAAGAGTATAAAAATAGATAAGAATAAGAGTTAAAAACAAACGATAAATAAGAATACATAATTAAAATAAATATTAGAAAAATAGAGAAAAGAAAAGAAAAGAGAATTATAAAGAACCATCATAAATCATATCACATAATCATAAAACCAACAATAATAAAGAATATTGGTAGTAAATATTTGGTGGTTGACATTTGATTACCTGAGTTTTGGTAATCTATTGCTTCGGGAATACTGGTATCAGTATCGGTTGATGGCATTGAATGAATAGAAGATGAACTTTCAATATCATTGAAATCAACATAAATGGATGTAAAATTATCTTCATCAGCAGTTAAATCAGTAAATGATTGCATTGAGGCAATTGCAGTAGGTTCAATGAGTTCATCTTCTTCAATTGGAGTAGTTGCATCTTGTTCATTAGGAACGATAGTAGTAGTGTATGTGTTACCATCTTCATCAGTGGTTGTCATTGTAGCTGCATCCAGATTACATTCCGTGCTTGTAGATGTAACGATAATAGTAGTAGTATATGTGCTACCTTCGTCATCTGTAGTTGTTAAGATTATTTGGTCTTCATCTTCAGCGTCTAATGTGGTAGCATTATTATCATTTTCATCGGCGGTAGATAAAGTACATTCATCTTCATCACATTCTGTGGTTGTGGAAGTAACTATAATAGTAGTAGTATATGTACTACCTTCTTCATTTGTGGTAGTTATTGTTGTTTCATACAGATCACAATGTGTAATTGTAGAAGAAATAACTTCAGTTGTAGTAATTGTGTTACCATTTTCATCGGTTGTAGTAATTATAACATCAGTAGTAATTATTTCAATTGAGTCATCACTAGTCAAAGAAATTGAAGTAGGAGCATCAGTGCCAGCATCTATTGTAGTTGTAATAATATCAGTATTAACAATAGGATCAGAGACACAAATATGAGTATCAGAATAAGTGACATTAAAATTATAACCAAGAGAGCTTCCTAATAAATTGAAAAATACTCTATAACCTTCAGGAACATTAGAATAATCAACAATAACTTGTTTATCAGTACATTGACTAATAATTATTTCGTCCCATAATTCAAATGATTTAGGTAAATACCAAGAATTTAAATTATTAGAAATGGCAGTTGTAATTGTTTCACAATCAAATTCTCCATCATCAACTTGAAGAGTTAAAGTACCTGATCCATAACCATTTTCACAAGTACCTGCTAATAAATAGAAATCAGAACCGTCATCACCTAAAGATCTAATTGAGCTAACGATTTGTTCTGGATCTTCTATCGAAGGTGATCCAGGTTCAAAGGAAACGATAGTCAGTAATTCATCATTTTCAGTAATAAATGTAATGGTTTGAGATCCTGATTGGAAGGCATTTGCAGCGGCAATATCAACATCAGAAGTACTTCCACCTGCATTGAATGTAATAGGTATATTAACTATATCAACTCCATCAAATTCAATATCTTGAGAAACTGTACAAATCAAACTAGATTTAAGACTAGCTAATCTTGCTGGCATTAATTCACAAGTAGCATATTCAACATCGGAAGTAATCAAAGGAATTTTATTATGACCACCTGCTCTCTTTTGTAAACCAGCAGCAGCATCAGGATGGAAATCAAAAACATAAGGAAGTAATAATCCAAATTGTTCACCTTGTTTTACTCCAGAAGTGACATTCCATTCAACAGCAAGATCCCATGCGGGAGACATTGGTTGACTATGTTTATGGCCATGTCTATCTGACCAACTTATTAAATCGATTCTGGTAAATCTAGCTGAGGAAGTCATAGCACTAGGTACAGATGAATCAGTTGTAACAGAAGCAGTCATTGTAACATCTAAGTCTGAAGTTTGATCTATAGGTTCACTTACTGTAGCCGATGTTATAGTTACTTCTTCAGTTATGATGATATTAGATCCATCAGATTCAGTTATGGTGAAAACAGTAGTGTATGAGGTTTCTGAGATTTCAATAAAGGAAGTAGAAGTATGTGAAATACCTTCGGAATCGGTGGAGATTATGACTTCACCAGTTTCAATAGTAATAGATCCATCAGATTGAGTTGAATTAAATGTGGTGATATATGAAGTTTCTGTATCTTCTACTAAAGAAGTAGTAGTTTCAAGAATTCTATCAGAATCAGTAGAAACGATAACTTCGGTCTCAGTAGTGGTAGATACTTCTAATGGTGTCGATAATGAACTTTCAGAATCTTCCACGATAAAAGTGGTAGTATATGTAACACCATCAGAGTCAGTTGAGATAATAACTTCGCCTGTTTCAGTAGTCAATAAACCATCGGATTGAGTTGATATAATTGTAGTGAAGTAGGTAGTTTCTGGATTTTCCACGACAGAAGATGAATCTTGAACATTTTCTTCAGATTCGGTAGATACATTAGCTTCATCAGTTTGTGTTGTAATGGAATCAGATGCTAATGGGGTTTCAATGTCTTCAACGATGGAGCTAGAAGTGTCCATATCAACATCAGACTCAATGGAGATAACGCCTTCACTAGTCACAATGATTATAGATCCATCAGATTGAGTGGAGCTAAATGTTGTGATAAATGAAATTTCAGAATCTTCAGCGGTAGAAGAAGTAATATCTGAGATACCATCAGAATCAGTAGAAACATTTTCTTCATCAGTTTCAGTAGTAAGTGATTCGTCGGACAGGGATGTCAATGAAATTTCAGTAGCTTGTATTATAGAAGTAGTAGCATCTGTAATATCACTGGAGTCGATGGACGCCATAACATCATCAGTTTCAGAAGTTGAAGGTCCTTCAGTTTGAACAGGCAATGAGCTTTCAGAATCTTCAATGATTGAAGTGGTGGTGTATGTAACATCGTTGGAATCAGTTGAGATAATGACTTCGCCAGTCTCAGTAGTAACAGATCCATCAGATTCAGTGGAGGTAAATGTAGTGATATACGAAGTTTCTGTGTCTTCTACTGTGGAAGAAGTGCTATCTGTAACAATTTCAGAGTCGGTAGATTCAATACCTTCACCAGTTTCAATAGTAGTAGATTCAGATTCAGTTGATAAAGTCTCAACGTCTTCCTCGGAAGTACTAGGACCTGTAATAGCAGCAGACTCGGAGGTCACAATAACTTCATCAGTTTCAGAAGTTGTATGTTCGTCAGTGTCAGAAATTGTAGGTTCATCTGTAATAATATCAGACTCGCTAGAATCTATGATTTCATCCGTTTCAACAGTAACAGATTCATTGGATTGGGTTGACAATGAACTATGAATATCATCTATGAATGAGGAGGTAGTATCTATAATAGCAACAGACTCAGTGGACACCATAACTTCATCGGTTTCAGAAGTTTCAGTTGCATCAGTTTCAGACGACAATAAATCTTCTATGATTGAGGAGGTAATAACAATAAGATCAGATTCGGAAGATACAATAACTTCATTAGTTCCAGAAGTAGCAGATTCATCGGATTCAGTTGATAAAGTCTCAACATCTTCCACGGAAGTACTAGTATCTGTAATAGCATCAGACTCGGTGGACACAATAACTTCATTAGTTTCAGAAGTTGTAGGTACATCAGTTTCAGAAGTTTCAGTTCCATCAGTTTGAACAGACAATGAGCTTTCAGAATCTTCAATGATTGAAGTGGTGGTGTATGTAACATCGTTGGAATCAGTTGAGATAATGACTTCGCCAGTCTCAGTAGTAACAGATCCATCAGATTCAGTGGAGGTAAATGTAGTGATATACGAAGTTTCTGTGTCTTCTACTGTGGAAGAAGTGCTATCTGTAACAATTTCAGAGTCGGTGGATTCAGCACCTTCACCAGTTTCAATAGTAATAGATTGAGATTCAGTTGATAAAGTCTCAACATCTTCCACGGAAGTACTAGTATCTGTAATAGCATCAGACTCGGTGGACACAATAACTTCATTAGTTTCAGAAGTTGTAGGT